TAGCCATCTCTCTCAACAAACACAAGTTATCTTTTAAAATGATTTGCGAAGCTATGTTCTGTGATCCCCCCTCCCTACTTTTTTTCTGTGTTATAAATCTTCAGTGAGATAGCCTGGGATCTTATCTCTGTTTTAGATGTGACGTCTGACTCAATGTCTCTAGTTGCTTGTAACAAGGACATTTGTAATTCTGTGAGTGGTTTGCAAGTTTACCAACTTATGAGGTCTGGTTCCTTTTACAGCGTCTTCCCGTAATTTGATAGTTCCAAGTGAAGAGCTTTCAAAACCTTCTATTTTCTTCATATACAAAATCTATTTATATCTGTGTTTACTGTTTCTATCTATGCTTGGAAGTGAGTTAAATGATAGTGGAATACTACTCTGGTCAATTTCCTTGTATCTGGATCTCAATTTCATACCTCTATTTTCTCAGGGCTCTTGCTCTCGAATATGGCAACGTGATTCTTACTGGAATGCCCGGCCCTCATCAAGAAGGTATATATGTTGGGAGAATTGTATTTCTTTGTTTGTTTGAAGACAACGGGTGATTTAGGAATATCAACCTTTTTGGACTGAATCTTTCCCTTCCCCATGCAGCAATGAGTATCCTCTTTTTATACCCCGCCAGAATTATTGCTCTGGCAGTGGTGAAAATTCAGTTACTGATTCTGATAGAAGCTCCAGTAACTTTGGTGTTGCCTCAATAGAGTCAGAAAGAAAGGCATATCTTGATTCTTCCCGGAGTAGTAGCTTCAATTACTCATCGGCCTCTGCACATTCAGTAGAAACGCACGAGGACTTGCAGAAAGGCATTGCACTTCTGAAGAAAAGTGTGGCTTGTGTGACAGCTTATTGTTATAACTTGCTGTGCTTAGAAATTCCTTCTGAAACATCTACCTTTGAAGCCTTTGCAAGACTATTGTCAACGCTTTCTTCTTCAAAAGAAGTCCGGTCTGTTTTCTCCATGCAAATGGCTTGTTCAAGGTAAGTCTTTGTGCAGTATTAATCAATCCCTGGAAGATGTTTTTCTTAAAACTCTTATTTTTCAGATTTGTGCTCATCTTAGATGCCATCATTAATTTGCTGAAATATTTAATTTTTTTAATCTTTGCATTAGTCATGCTTTTCTCTTTTAGTTGTCATTTTAGAGCTTGAACTTACTGTAGCATTACTGTGAGTTCAACATTCAAAATTTGGTTGTTTGTTTCGTGTCTCGAAGGAGAAGTTGTCCTTTGGGAAGTATTAGGAGAACTAAGTCAATGGGAATTTTTCAATTCAGACTATTTACTTTCGGTATTAAAGAGAAGGATGTAGTAATAGAGGAGCAGTGTGTTTAATATCGGCTCTGGGAAAGGACAGTTGTTGGTAAAAACTCATGTTAAGTGAGTTTTTCTGGAATAGATGATTTGCCGCATCAATTGTTAGCAGAGGCTTTCCTTACAATGTGTCTGTTCGCTTGGGTAGAAGTCAAGCTACGAAAAGGCTGAACAAACGTATCAGATATATTTAGTTTCAGTTGTCATGGTATGAGGATACAAGAGTAATCATTCAGACGCCCTTGCTTGTTCAGACACCTATAACTCTGTCCTCAAGTTAGTGTTCCTTTCGCGTTTCAGGTCAGGTAAACAAGCTCAAAAGTTAAATAAATCTGTCTGGAATGTAAACTCAGCCTTTTCATCCAGCGCGTTACTGGATAGTCAACATGCACTGCATCTAACGGTATCGTCTCATAACTTTTTCCTGCTGATTTCTCGCATTATAATGTCATCTTCCAGATGTTACTTAGACATTCCATGTCAGCTGTTCAAAATGCATTACTGCTCTCATTTCCAGAAAGCAATGGTCTTTTTAATCGATGCACCTCTTCCTGCTTGCTTATTTCTTTTGCAGAAGAACATGAGTGAATATAACCTCCTAAACTCGACCACCAGTTTCCTGTACGGCCCTACCGATATGTCGGAGTTGGGGAAATACGAAGGGCTCGTTGATGGATGGGATCTGGTGGAACACCCTAAATTTCCTCCTCCGCCTTCGCATACCGAAGACATCGAGCATTGGACTCGCGCCATGTTCATCGATGCTACAAAGAAGAAATAAAACCTTCTGCAGTGATGCAGACCTTAGCAAGCAGGCTACTTCTGTACATATTGCAGTTCTCTGCTCTGTTGTTGGCTGTAACAATGTACATATAATAGACCTAGAGAGCTAGTCTCTGTCGCCTTTGATTCTTAAAACTTATTCTAGCATCACAGCAGCCTCTCTCGTGTAAATTTGAATGCATGATATAAGATAAAGAGGTAATCTGCTCAACTGAACCGCTGAGCTTACTCTTATATCTACATCTGAAACTGCCATTAACATGTGAAGTCAGCAGAGTTCACATGGTCCACACCACATTCATTGCTTCATGTTATCGTTTACAAACGAATTCGTCGATCTTTCTAGGGTGGAACGGTGAGTACTTCAATTGCGAAAGAAGAGAAATGGGGAACATAGATGTAACTGTACTTCATTGCTTCATATTCGAGTTCTTAGGCGATTTTGTCGAGAGAGGGGAAACTCAATGAGACCCAAAAACATCTCTAAACCAGTGTTCCATGCCAAAATGTCAAAATCCAAACGGAATCGTCCTCTCTCTCAAAGATTTTGCAAAGATACCTGTGCAACAAAGGACATGAACTCCATCGACAAGACGGCCGAGAACAACCATGTTTGTCGACCAATCTATGCCAACAGTTTTTGGCAAACATAGGAGCTAGGCAGTTTATGGGTTGATATTCTGCACGTGCTCTCTTGTACTTGCATGATTCGAACGTAAATGCAGAGGTAAGGAGGTCAGGAATACTTGTGGTTGATATGGCTCGAGGTTAAAGGGGAAGAAAGTCTTGGATAAAAGAAGGGCTAGGAAAGAAAGTGAAAGGTCCTATAACTCTAACCTTGGAAACTGCCCTAAAGAGTTGAGGAGCATCCAAGTGTCGGGAGGGTAAGAGAGGACCAAAAGTATCTTATGTATCGATCTGCTGCTGCCTTTGCCAAGGTCGTCAAATTAAGATTCCTCAACAGATGATGGGCTTTGATTTTGATTGACATTCCATATGAAGAAAGACTATGGAGTCTTTCTTCCTACTTATGGACTATGGAGTAGGGTTATACACTAATAATGGTATGTACTTATTTTTGTAGGAGTTGGGTTGTATAGGCTTCTCATTTGTTAGGGCTGAAAATTTGCCTGTCTCGTCCCTGTCCCGTCCCTGTCCCTATCTGATCCGTCTCTGAAGGGTCAAGATGTATAACCGTCCCGTCTCGTGCCTCTCTCCTTCTTGACCCTGTCTGACCCTCAAGGGTTGGGACGGGACGGGACGGGTCAGTGGGTCGACTCTAATCAACACACTACTTTTTTTACAAATTACGTTTTGGTACCCAAAATTATTTTTTCTTATAATTTAGTACCTAAATTTTATTTTTTTACAAATAAGTCCATAAATTTTGTTGGTAAAATTACGTTTTGGTACCCAATTTTTTTTATTTTTACAAATTAGTACCTAAACTTTTAAAACTTATCAAAAAGGTCCAATGAAGTATGAGATATTTGTTGTTGCTAAGGGTCACATGTAGGGGTGAACAAACACACCCGCAAACCGACCCAGCCGTCCAACCCGACCCAACCCACCCGTATTTATCGCTAAATCGAAGATTTTGGGTTGGGTGAGGGTTTTCTTTTGTACAACCCGCCTCTTTTGGGTTGGGTTTGGATTTTGGATTACACAACCCGTAGAACCCGACCCAACCCGTGTTCCAATTATTGGTATGAGTTCGTATCCAAAAAAATATTTATGTCGTATATAGTCATACTTATGAGAAAATTAAGATATTTCGCCATGTTTTTCTCTTTAAGTCTCACTAATCTAATGCATTCTTCGACTTAAAGTTTAGACATATATTTAATATAGCTATGATTCACGTAATTTTTTTTTTCTTTTGTACAATTTTAAAAGAATATCATATTATGGATGCGTTCATTTGTAACCTTTTTAGCCTATTTCAACAAATGTCGTGAAAAAAACTAGACATAAGTTGAAGTAAATCAAGTTTTATTAAACTTCAAACAATATTTGTGAATTTTGATACATTTCACCTCAGTTTATTCGTTTGAAATTTTTAATATGTTATAAAATATTTTTATGATGTAGAATAATTACATATTTTGTGTTGGGTTGGGTTTTTACTTAAAAATATCGCCAACCCAACCCAACCCAACCCAATTAGAAACAAACCGTAGGGTTTAGATTTTTTTGGGTGGGTTTGGGTTTCATATTTCCCAAACCATAGTGCATGGATCGGGTGATTAAAATGTCTAAACCCGAACCACCCGACCCATGTACACCCCTAGTCACAGGGTCAAAACGTGACCCGTCCCTAAGTTGTCCCGACCCGTCCCCACCCTTACAGGGTCAACAAATGACTCGTCCCTAATCTGTCCCTGTAGACAAACTGACCCGTCCCGACCCTTAGGGACGGGATGGATCGGGACGGGTCAGTGGGTCTTCCGGCACAAGCTTTCACCCCTATCATTTGTTATGGTTTGGCCTTTTCATGACATATACGGGTGCACAAACTCTTTTTTAATATATTTGTAGAAAACAGACTGGTACACAAATCCTACACGGGACGGACAGTTAGTCAAGTCAATGAATTTAACGAAACAACTAACGAATGATTATAATTGTCTATCCGTCTTAGAAAATTTAACTATTTTATGATTTTATCGCATTTAGATTTGGCTATTTATTCATAAACAATGACAAAGCCACGTTGAAGGTAAGGGGGGCTTTGCCACCCTCAACTCTTCAGATATAGGTTAAAGTACATGCAAAATTTGTAATAAACTTGAAAATAATTTAGACAATATCAATCTTATTATGTAGACTACTCAAAGGAGATGACTAATTAAGAAAGGCATGATTATAAATTTATAATTAAAACAAGAAACATTACTAATACTTTTGGAAGTTACATATGGAGAATTGGACATATTCTCTGCCCCATTAAATTATACTCTAGGCACTACTAACTCTAGATCATATAATTATTAGTTAATGATATCCTCATGATTGATTTGATTGTGCAAAAAATGTTCTCTAAAATCTCATTCCCACAATGACCCATTTTCTCATTATTGCAATGATAATAATGTTGCTAATTACTTAATTAAGAGCATGCAATTGAAGAAAAAGCAAAGACAAAACTAGTAAAAAGCCTCTTCCTCTATCTGTGATTGTAGTGTATTGCCAGCACTTGTTGCATTTGTTTAGGCAGAAAGTAAACAATCAAAGAAAAATTAAGTGATCAAATGATTAGCATAAGCATCTGAGTGACGAATTAAAGCACTACCAATTAATTAGTACCTTTGGAAAAAACTTATTAATACAATTAGTGGCTGCACTATTTGATTAAAAAAAATGAATTATATACCAAATAAGGAAATTGCAGATAGATCCATGCATTGTGTTACATAATATAAATGCCCCAAATGGAAAGGTCTGGCTATATTTGTTTCTCTTTTTCATTCATAAAATAATGATAATTTCTCCTTTAATCATCCTTTATTGTTTGTGTAGAGCGTAGTTTCCCATAATACAAAAGCTAAATAAATTTAATTAGTTCCTTTAGCTCGAGACTGTCTTAGAAGGATCCATTTCTGTGCAAATAAAATTCTTTCTGTCTCCGCTTTACCTTTAAAAATTACAGCAAATCAAACCAACTAAATCACAATTAGAAATTAGGAACTGATCTAAGTTATGTCTCAATATCTATGGTTATCTATACTTGGTTATCAAGGCGGAACAAACCCGTTTGCGAATTGTTTGGTATTCGACTATTCGTATTGATAAAAAACATGTTCGACATTCGATTTGTTGTTTAACGAGTCAGTTATGATCAGTCAAGTCATGATTAGCAAACGGGTCACGCGTTTGAATTTGATCCCGCTAATCTTGGCATGCTCTTGCGAGCTAGCTTGACTCGGTAGGCAAGTCATTATTATTATTATTCTGCACGTGATAATGACCTTGTCGATATATGGAGAGAAAAAAAAGATGTCCTGCCTAGGGAGAGATACAGAAGAAACGATGCACATTGCTAGTAAACGCATGGTATAAGATCCATACTAGATTCTCTCTCCCAACAAGTCGAGTTTATCGGGACGGATTGGTTGTTGACATGGTATCGAAGTCTTCAGAAGACTTGAGAAATCTTGTGTTCGAATTTCGATGAACTCGCCATTTTGTTAAGCACTTGATAGTATGACGACGACCAGTAGTGCAAACTTCTCTCGAATCTCCATATGCTGAGTTGGCTTTTTTCGTTTGATAAGGCATGTTCGTAAATTATATAATATCCATACCTGAACCTCTTTTAACAACTCGCGAGTTATTGAGATTAATTAGTTATATTGAGATACTTGTTTTTCTTTCTCACCAATTATACATCAAAATAAATCCACACATACCACTTTTAAACTAAAGTTCCATGTCCACTTTCACTTACTATAAATGTAGGGTTTGGGGCACTTCCCACTCCTCAATTCCCAACCAACAAAAACTAAACCAACCAATAAGGGAAATAGTGAAGTACTACTACTGTACTTCTTCCCCTCTCTTAGTTCCTCTCCATCCTTCAATTTCTCTCTCTCTCTCTCTCTCTCTAGAATGGGGAAAGTGATGTCAGATCCTCTGGAGATTGGGAGAGTGATAGGAGATGTAGTAGATAGCTTCAACCCTAGTGTGAAGATGAAGGTCACTTACAACTCCACAAAGCTGCAGGTCTTCAATGGCCATGAGCTCTTCCCTTCTGCTGTTACTCTCAAGCCCAAAGTTGAAGTCCTTGGTGGTGATCTCAGGTCCTTCTTCACTCTGGTAATTATACATTAATCCCTCTAGCTTCTTTTCTTTACCTAATTCCTAGAAAGTAAACTAACCAAGGCATTATATTTATATGTCCAACCTGTGCAAACGATAAACTTTCGGTTTTAGGGACACAATATACCAACAGATCTTTCGCGTGCGACTTAAGTGATTTGTTCGTTAACACGTAGTGGTTGTTAAATTTGCAGGTGATGACAGACCCAGATGTCCCTGGGCCGAGTGATCCTTACCTGAGAGAGCACTTGCACTGGTTTGTTTTACAGTGCATTCCATTCCATTCATTTTTGTATGATACTTATTTCCTTGTTTTGGCAAAAGTGGGAAAGAGTTGAGGAAAAAAAAAAGGTTTTAAAATATACTGTTACTCTTGCTTTCATTGTTTAAGCAACAAGCTAGCTGCTGCTTGCGAGAAATGGAAGGGTGAAGTACTGAGAATATAATCACCAAAACTAGCAAGACAAAGAAAAAAGGGTAGTGCTAAGGGAATATTGTACTTTTGCAGAGGGGAAAAGTGCAGTACTTTTTACTACTGAATTGAAGGGTGGTGGTGATTGGTGAACCATTGAAAAGATCATATATGCCGTAGTCAAAAATCGCGTTTTAAAATTTAAAAAATTTACGATTTTACACTTCTAAATCACCAAAATGTTTCCACGCGCGTAGAAACTCGCTTTTGACTACATTGCGCGGCATATAAACTGTATGGAGTGAGTCAGTGCTTTTAGTGGCTACAAATGGCTAGCTCATCCGATAACTTCTCTCTCTCTCTTTTACTTAACATGCACATGTATATATTTTAGTTTTCTTTTTAACTGAGAGAGATATACAGTACAGTCTAATGATTTGTTTACCTCAATTAATTAATTAATTAATGTTCCACAAAATTGCTTTGCTGACAGGGTAGTGACTGATATCCCAGGCACCACTGATGCAACATTTGGTAAGTCATCGCGCGGTCAGAGAGAGTGATATAAAATTTATAATGAACTTTTTTTTTCTAATAACTGGAGTTATTGAAATTAATTCGTTTCTAATATGGTATCAAAAACTGGTTTAGATATGTGGTCTTGTGTTTGAATATTCACGCTACCTTTCAATATTTAATAGTTGATCCAAAGATCAAATAATTTTTTTCAAACGCGGCGCGAGTTATTGGGACCAAATTAAACTATGAAAATAATTAGCTAGAGTGAATGATATGTGTGTGTTTCAGGGAGGGAAGTGGTGAGCTACGAGATGCCACGGCCGAACATAGGGATCCACAGGTACGTGTTCCTGCTGTTCAAGCAGAAGTCCAGAGGCCAAACGACGTCGTCGTCTTCGTGCTCGAGGGACAACTTCAACACCAGGAGGTTTGCTCGCGACAACCAGCTTGGCCTCCCCGTCGCCGCCGTCTTCTTCAACGCTCAGCGCGAGACCGCCGCCCGCCGCCGCTAGCCATCTTTTTCCTCAGTCATCATTATATTGTACTACATTAATTTATATCCAGAAGCAGAATATATCTATCTGTTACTGTACGTGCTTTCGATTACCCGATTTTTTTTTAACAATAATTCCATCTTATATTTCACTATCGAAACAAACGTGAAACTCCGGTTACATTATTACAGAAGATCAGAAATTAGATCAAGAATTACTAATCCAGTCAACAGGTAGAGTAGATCTAGCATTATGAGAAATTTTACAATGCTATATAGTATTGGTGCTATAGGATTTTGCTTTTATGGTACAACTTAAAATTGTACGTTTATGTTATGGTACAATTTCAGACTGTACCTATACTTTTTGTACAAATTCTTTTATGGTACAACTTGAACTTGTACCTTTATGTGATGGTACAACTTCAAGTTGTAAAGTTGTACCATAACATAATGGTACAAATTGCTTTATGGTACAACCTAAACTTATACATTTAATGTTATGGTACAACTTTAAGTTGTACATTAAAGCACCAATACTATATAGCATAGTAGAAGTGCTCCTAGCATTATAGCGTGCTACGTACCCAATCGGCTCCGACATTCAACGCTCTCGGCACCTTATTGACTTTAATGGACAGGTTATTTTCTAAGGATGTTGATCACCGAGCCAATCCACCAGGCCGCGCACACCGCCATGGCCATCCCGAATAATCTTTTTTTCAAGGCTATCCACCAGAACCCGACAGTCAGAAAAGACCGTGCATTCCGTTCGTTCCAAATTCTTGTGCTAATTTAATACCTTCCAAGAGGCGAGGGCCTTTGCTTCCGCTTTTAATCGGGGTGGAACAAAGAAGGGTCTCAGCTAGCTCGTCCATCACTCACTTGTCCATGGTGGTTAGAAGTCACAACATCATAAGCCGCCGGCTGGGAGTCGCTAATGAACCACCCATCACAATGAATCATCAAAGGGTGATTACTTGGCGGGGGATTCGTAGAGGTATGGGTTCCCCTGAGCTGAGTAGGAGAGGCATCATTTGAAGATGGGGGCATCGTGTAAACATAAATCATAATAGCATGGATCTTAGAATTAGATGATTTCACGAATCGATAATAGATCGGGGAAACCTACCTCGATCCATGACGAGAGCGGCGGCGGCGCTGGAGTAGTAATCACCGGAATTGTGTTTCTCCCTCTTGACCCCTTTAGGTTTTAGGTTTAGAGATTTCTGTGATGGCTAAGAAATTCTACGTAATGGGTTGAGAGAGGACCAATCCTAGAGCTTCTTTATATAGACCCACCATCAGGGCATATTAGGAATTTACCTTTCATTAACCTAATCAACATAGGATTTACCTTATATATTAAATTATTAAGTCATAATTACACTTGGGCCACAATTATTCCATAGTGACCTACGTGAATTGGGCTTACACCTCGGGCATGAACTCCATTTAGTGCGTTCTCTATAGGTTTGCAAACAGACGTTAGGGGGCCAAAGAACTTTATTCTTGAAAGTACACTCATTCCTAGCCTTCCAGATATTCCAGCAAAGGAACACGATATGGATCAAGGGTTCTTGTGAGATAGCATCCTTGATTACTGATGCATTTTTCTTAACAAGGTTTGCATGCATGCTATATGTATATATATTGGTAATTAACCAACGCCATTACTACAATCGAAAAACCAATATCTGTGTCTTCCTCGAGAAAATAATTTGACAAATCTCTCATTTGCCCCGTCAAATGCCACGGTGTTCTTCTGGTTTCCCTCTCTCCACCGTGGCTTTCCGTCCAAGAAAAACAACAAGAAGTTGAGGGGCCAATTTGTTAAGGAATATCAAAATAGTAAAGCCCAAGAGATCAGCAAGCTCGTTAGACGCGGCCCGTGGGCCATCCTAGATCCTTGCCATATTTGTTTGGGCCCGTTGATTAACGTGCGCGGAGGGTCTGAATTGATCTCACTATCAACCCATCTGTTCAGAGATTTCAGTCACATAAGTTGCCTACGGGCTACGGCTGGTCACCAAAACAAATTTCAGGTAGCAGACTGAAAGCAGCTGTTTCGGTTCCACAATCAGAAATCCAACACTCTTAAAAGTTTTTTACAGTACCAAACAGCCTAGGCTCTGATTGACCAAGAATCCACCGTCCCTTGATATTCAGAATCGTGCAAGGCCTAAAGGTCTGCGCCACCAAAAACACAGAGCCCTCAGGAAGTGGATACAACTGGGAATTGGTCAATCCATCCTTCCCTTCAACGTGCATTCTTTTACTTCAGTTGGAGTGCTGCAAACCCAGAAGAACCAAAGTATTCACATAACTCAATGAGTTGGCCACAGACAGTGATAGAGCATGTTATCAACCATCAAAAACGAGTGACCAAAAGACAAGGAAATGAATCCTGGTAAAGATTAGATATGATATTATAACATTTTGGATCAGGGACTTACACAATATAGATGTGTCCACCCCATCCACTAAGACAATCACGATCTACCGAAGCCAAAAGTGCTTGAGACAGAGTCTCAAATAGCTCCTCGGGTTCCTGAAGATTGAAACAAGGAATTCAGATCAGGGCCATATATGACCGTGAAATGCACACTTATTCATCTAATAAGAATAAGCACCATACATGAAGAACATACAACTTTGGAAAGCAAGGCCATGTTCTCTACTTGATTTGTAAGTTAAAACATAGTCCAGAGCTTTATTAGCTCGATCTTTCCATTAGGCCCTTTTAATGAATCAAAACCTTGCATAAGGTATTTCTCAAAACTCGAACTACTAGATTTTTCTACCACTGGGCCAGCCCATGAAGTTAATTTAGTTGTAACTGTCAGATAGCTCTCCACTCTTCATGTACCAGACAGCTATTTAGTTCTATATTTCAGCTATCAAGTACTGCACTCTTGTACTAACTTGAAATATACAATCTCTGAGTGAAAAAATACATTACTTGATTCTGTGGAATGCATTATCTAAGAAGAGTCCATTCCAACCCCAGTATTTGCAATATCAGTATTCAATTAGTTAACCTCTAAATGCTGAAAACAAACTTCAGAAACTTACCATGTCAGGCTTGAACATTGCCTCACATGCACCATAAAGTGAGTCGCCAGCTGTTCCTGCAACAACAAAATCTTTTGCCAGTTCCCTGCGATTTCAAGAAAAAGAGAAGCACAAAAGAAAGAGCATATCAGAGCTCCAACAAGAACATATAAGCTGAAACTGACACAAGCATTATTCTACTCCACATAAAAGTACTTCATGTTATTCAAAACCCTGTGATGCTTAAGTCAGAAAAAGTCTGATTAAACCATGTCCAGTAACAGATGACCATGATTCTGTATTACCACAATGTAATTGCAAATGGCAACACTAGAAGTGACTAGTTGACTGAAAGAACTTGAAAACAGTAAGCAGCAGTGGTGGTCACAGTTTTCGAACTTTAACTAGATTTGCTCGAAATATTTCAAGACTAACTTAGACGAACTAGCAACATGCGCATGCACATAAAAGGATCGTCAAATGGCAAAGACAGTATTCTGTAAGAACATGACACACACAGCTTTGATTTCAGAATCACATATTGTGGACGCTAACATCTAAAATGGAATGGATGGAAGAGAAAGTGACATACTTGGCACCAATAGAATCCGTCGTGCAAATGAATGGCTTGTCATCATCACTCAATCCAGCAATTACAGGTTGGCAGAAATATGGACCAAACCTGAGAACAGACGTTTACACTTACTTTCATAAGCAAAAGTATGGCTTTACTAAGTGAACTAGAAAACATCTTGTAGGCAACACTGGAACTGAATAAGCTGAGCAGATACTGCGAATGGCCATAAGTTAGTGATGTACTCGTTATTAGCATTTCTTGGGTTTAGTTGTGCAAGTGAAACTTTTCATGTTCAGAGGTCTTAGGTTCATTTAGTGCGAAGTTTCCCACTCAAAGGCAAGGATTTTACAGTCCTCTTATCTTGGTTGGATTCTCAATCAAAGTCCTTCACATACATACATACATTAGAGAGGCAACCTTTACAAAGCCCTAAACATATCCACTGTTTTCTTGAATTTCAAGTAGCTAGCTCTAGGTTCGCACCCTTTTTCACCCAAACCAAGACCACTACTATTCAAGCTACATAACCTAAGCATAAACCATTCTAATCCATCCAAAGACCAAAGTCCGCACCTTTTCTCATAGAGCAGAGCGGAGACCAGGCTGGCGAAAGTCTCAGGCTTCATGTCCCTCTCTTCTCTCAGCTGGTACAGCTTATGTCGAAACATAAGCCTCTGATACCTGCAAACAATCATCAACTACCTTCAGCTCCCTCAACCCTCTCCATTTAACATTTTCAAACAAAACCCAAAAACGAAGGAACGCAGAGAGATGGATTTACAAAGTCTGGGCGTCGGTGGCCAGGCCAGATAGACCGATGAAGAGACGGTCGTGGATTTTGTGGATCCGCTGGAAATCGGTGGCGATGGTCTGGAGCTGAACACCCAATCGGCGATCGCTAGCTATGGCGAAGCAGTTCTTGCCCACCATGGCAACTAGGGCACTGCCATTATACTCGAAAATCTGCACCCAAATTGAATAAAATGAAAAACCAGTCTATCGAAAACCCGTCTCTGCAACGAGATTACGAATTAGGGTTGGGATTCTTACCGACATTGGTTGAGAAGCTAGGCGTATTCACCGTCGACGGAGAATGAGATCGACAGGTAGCACAGAAGGAGAAGCAATTTGGGTTTCGCGAGTAGGATTCTGAATTGGAAAGGGGTGGAATTTTGGTGCTAATGATACAAATAGTGTTTTGCTTCGCCTGTGCCTGTCTTGTTCGTCACTCCAAGGCTGAAGCTTCTTCTTCTCTAATTGCTTTGCTTCATCGGGGAAGGAGAAAGCCGGACTTAGTTACTGTGGGCCGGTCTAGTGTTTGGGCCTAGAACGGACCCGCAAACTATTGTCTTGGGCGCGCCGAGAGGGCCCAATAGATTTCGTTCTTTTTTAAAATAGTTAACCGGACTTCTACTGGTCGAAGAGTGTAAATGAGTCGGGTTGATTTGAGTTTGGTATAATTTGAGTTCATCTCGTTATAAATTAGCCGACCTAAGAGTCGGCTCATTTATTGAAATTTTGGCTTGTGTTTGATGCGAATTCGACTCACTAATGAGCTCACAAGCTTTATTGAAACTCGACTCATCAATTAGCTCACAAGCTCAACTGATCTTATTTTATCCAGGGTTTACTAATAGGTTCGATTTTTATGGCAGCTGGCGACTAACCACATTACGCTTGGTGACGACCTCGGATTCTTTTTCAACCAATCTCACTCATTGTCAACCAAGAAAATGTAAATTTCTAAAATTACGCTTCCCTTAAAATTATTTCTCTTTTGAGAGAATTTTCAATTTCTACTTACTACTGTCATATGCCCCGCTCCTCTTCAACTCGAGTAAAAGTAGGTCTACATTTAATATCATTGGATGCATGTCATCACAAGTAAACAAACATTGTGACATGAGACACCATTGAGAAATCATATGACCGATCAAAATTTCTCAAAGGATTACTGTTCCGCTACTTAGAGAGTTTCCATTACATGTGCCAGGTCGATGGAAAATTTTTCAAGTTTGGCTGAAATTTAGGTATCAAGAATGTGATAACTTACAAACTTGAATCATCTCAATTATTTAAGAAGTGATCCTTCATATACAAATCAACAAGCTTGAAGATTGGCCACAATAATTGACCACAAAGATCACTTGCTCAATCTTCAAAAGTACAATTCTCTACACTTATGGTTTTGTGGGTTCTTCTTCCCCACCAACTTGCCGGCTAACCAAGCCATCAGCCAGCCCCCACTTGGTGACTGGAACCGAGCAGAGAAGACCTATCCATCCATGGAAAAAAGGGATCAAAATGATGCTTTCTTTCACTCTTACATCCTCATTTCACTCTTTTTCACTATAAATATGCCAATATTTACTTCTCTCAATCAATCCATCTTAACACACTTTCTTTTGCTTCTTCCTTTTCCTTTCTCTCAGGTGAAGAAACAACTGATGGGCAGAGTATTTGCAGACCCACTATTGGTTGGCAGAGTGATAGGAGATGTGATAGATAGCTTCAACCCAAGTGTGAAGATGAAGGTCACTTACAACTCCACAAAGCTGCAGGTCTTCAATGGCCATGAGCTCTTCCCTTCTGCTGTCACTCTTAAACCCAAAGTTGAAGTCCTTGGTGGTGACCTCAGATCCTTTTTCACCCTGGTAAAATTTTCTTTCTTTTTGATGAATTGTCCACATTGGTAATCATTTGAAACCAGAACAAAAAATGGGACAAAAAGCAGCAATGTGGGTTTTTTCAGGTGATGACAGACCCAGATGTCCCTGGGCCAAGTGACCCTTACCTGAGAGAACACTTGCACTGGTTTGTCTTTCCTGCAGCAATCATCATTTCCTCCATTTCTTCTTTTCCCTTTGAGAAAACTGGTAGATTTTGCAGATATATCCTCTCTGCCACTAAAATAGGGGAAAAAACCCTTTTCCATATATGTTTTCTGCAACTGTGTACAGTAAAATAGAGGATTGAACTTGAAGTACATGGAAGCATCTAGCTATAGTAATAGTATGTACTATAATCGGTTTTTTTTTATATATATAGTATGACATTCTGAAATATTGTACCTTCTCCCTGCAGGGTAGTCACTGATATCCCAGGCACTACAGATGCAACATTTGGTAAGCACACCTAGCCAAAAAAAAAAAACCCTCCTCGTGTTTATAGTCGTTGGATCAATGTGCGTGACACGACATAATTTATGTCACCACGGTGATCCAACTACGTGCGAATTCCTCGAGGGGCGGGATCGAAACATCATGTCATTCTGATATACACATGTATGGGTGCATAATGTGCAGCAGGGAGGGAAGTGGTGAGCTATGAGATACCAAGGCCAAACATAGGGATCCACAGGTATGTGTTCCTGCTGTTCAAGCAGAAGAGAAGAGGCCAAACCCCATTACTTGTTCTGAATTCGTCATCGTCGTCGTCGTCAACAATAAGGGACAACTTCAAGAGCAGGAAGTTTGCAGCAGACAATGAGCTTGGCCTCCCAGTTGCTGCACTTTTCTTCAATGCACAGAGGGAAACTGCTGCCAGGAGGAGGCACTAAAACTAATGTACCCTTAATTATAAGACAACCCTACCCTACAAAATAATTGTACGTACATTATAAGGTACTAGCATGTAATAATTATAGCTAGCAAAGCTTGGATGCGGGAAGGATAAGGATGGGAACAACAAGTTGGCTCGGATGATGGTAGGGAAGCAGCAACAGTTCTGCAATCTGCAGAAGTAGTCATTCAAAATCACAGGCTGGATGGATTAATCTGATATTTGTTGTTGTTGGTTTATGTGTACGGTGAGCTGCTATAGCTATATTTTTTACTGGAAATATGAAGGGCTAGAGGTTCGGTTATCGGTAATCGGCTAACCGAAAAACAATCCGCGGTCGGTGTTTGGTAGGGGATTAGATGTGACGATTAACCGGCTAACCGACCCATATAACCCCCTCATTTTCGCCAAAACGACGCCGTCCCCACTCCTAACCCTAATCGACCCATTCACTATTATCAACGCTCTTAAACTTTTGGGGATCTTCAAGCTAGTTGGGGAATTTGATTTGCTTTGAGAAATGGTTTGCAGATGCTGAAGAAGAAGTAATGAGGAACTGAGCCGCCGGCCTCGTCGCGGTGTAGCTGTCCCTCTGAAGCCTCTGTCAGGAATGGTCATAGCTTTATCAAGCCGTCTTTCCAGGACCCATGTACGCCTCGGAAGAAAGTTATCAACTTTATTCTTGAAATCAACAGTAGAACAGAGCTGATTTATCGTCTCCCGCCTTTTTTTTTTCTTTCTATCACAGCAAAAGAATGGAGGAAACAGATGTGAGATCTTCATTCTTTTTTCCAATAATCCTTCCGATAAGCGAAACACAGGCTAATGGGGTGTCTTGTATACAGGACGATGGAGTTGACCGGGTCAGCATCTCTACATACAAGTCTTGAGCCGAAGGTTGCCAATTTCATGAAGGTCTTGTGCAGCCAGGAAATCTAAAGGTATGCGTTAATGGAGATGGATATGGACTCGCCTGATTTGCCGACTGGAATGTTGTCTGACATCCATTTGAAGAGAGGTAACATAGATAACTTTCTTGGGGTGCTCTTTCAATGACTCTTGCTTTCAGTCTAAGGAACTGAGTCCTCTTTCCAGGTGAGAAAGCTCTGCTTGAATTCGTGGAAGCTGTTAAATCGGCCAAAGGGTCTGGTCGGAAAGAGGAGGGTGTATGGTCCGACCATAGCCAGCGGTGGTTCACTCTCATGCCTTCTACTAGGCCGTTCATCTTCAAAGACCACAAACAATTGGCAGACATTGTCAGCATTCTGAACTTTCCACATCGCACTTTGCAATCTTCTTAGGATTGATTGCTGCTGACTTTTCGAGATCTGTAGGCTGCAGCTGGCTGCGAGACAGTGAGAGACATCAATGTCGCATCCCGCCTCATTGGAGATATGTCCGGTGCAACCCTGGATGACCCGCTTTCGGATAGATACAAGAAGTTAGGTTGCTTCATTTCTGCTCTTGACAAGGAATCTGATGACTACAAGATGATTGTGAAGTACCTGGAGACAACCTATGAGCCTGTCAAAGTTGCAGACATTGTGAGTCGGGCCATCTGTGCTTTTTTATACTGTTTGGATATCTGTTGTTGCATGAATTTAATAGCTTGGGCTTACCTCATACAGGAATATGGTATTAGGGTTGAGGACATCTTTGCAGTGGAATGGAGTGTAAGCCCTTCCTTGGAGGATGTGAAAACCTTGCCTAACAAAGTCCTCTTGTGGTGTGGTGAGTCTCCGATGCATTTTTTTCTCAAGCTCAGCAAGTTAAATATTGCTATCCAACTTCATTGTATCATTATATCCAGTATTCCAGGATCGAGGAGCTCGAACCTGCTGAGGCATCTGCAGAAAGGGTTCTTGCCTGCAGTTTGTTCACTTCCTGCCCCAGGCTACATGGTAGGGATAGTTTTGATCAAATTCTGTTCTTTTTCGAATGAGTTCTCACACTGCTGGTTTGTGATTGCAGTCTCGGCGAGCGATCGTTTGCTCCGATGCAGCAGCAGAAGCAGCTAGATATGGATTTACTGCTGTGTATAGGCCAGAAGGGTTCTTGGTCCTGGCAGTGGCTTCTCTTGGACATCAGATCGTCCACCTGAGGATACCAAAACTTTGGAAGAGAAGAAAGTTGGGGTCAAGGGTTTAGGCAGGAAGAAGACCGACGAAGCGGAGCATTTCACTTGGAGGGACGAGATCAAAGTTCCTTGTGGGAAACTAGTGCCATCAGATCATAAAGACAGCGTCCTGGAATATAATGAATATGCAGTCTACGATCCCAAAATGGTACGGAGTGATTCGATTACTACCCTTTTCGTCTAGATCCATGATCACCAAAGCTAGATTTTGAAAACCTGACCTTGCTTTGTTGACTTCTTTAGACAAGCATAAGGTTCCTGGTGTCGGTCAAGTACGAGGAGCAGAATGCTGAGGTTGAAGATGTAGGACCTGCATAGAAAAAAAGTATGAGGAGCAGAATGCCAAAGTTGAAGATGTGAAACCTGCATAAAAACAGTGTGGAGTAGTCGATGGCAAACCTTCTGTACAGCCTCGGTTCGCCCTTTTGGCGGGAATCTCCTTTGCTCGGAGACCAGCGGGAAGCTTTTATTGTCTAGGAAACTTTTGTGCAGCATGAAACGAGGTTCTTCCAAAATTTTGTCAATGGTTCTGTACTTTCCGCAGTTGGAAACTCAGGAAGAACATAGGACTGCACATATATGTATATGTCAGCTACTGCTCTTCAGCATTTGGCTGTAGTAGATACAAAAGTTTCAGCAACAAAGAAATCGTATCCCAAAAGAAATGTTCTTTCTCCACTAGCATCAGCTATCACGTTATGAACAACAGATAGTCGTAAATGAAACAAGATCCGGAAAAATGAGTGGAAGGATTCATACTTTGCATTAACCCATCAAGTTTCCACACATTTCGTATGGACCCCAAATCGCCATTTTTCATGAACAAGGGTCAAAACATCTAAAGAAACAAACTTTTTCTTCTCGTGCAACTATTCGTGGAAGCCTGCCAACAAAGTACAAGACAAACCGTGGTCTAATAATGGATCGTCACAGGAGGGAACATGAACTTGCCGGAAATGAAAGGTATCGACTTGGGATTATGCACCAAATCATGATACAAATCGTACTCCGCACCATAATCATGTAGCTTGAGCTCAGCCTTCTGATTCGTATGGTAATGATGCTTCGCGGAGATTGATTTTCCAAACCCAAAAATATCAACCTTATCGCATATCCCAGCAGCTAGCATCACCGCCTGCAACCCAGAAGAGTAATGGAACGTAGAGCCATCGTGAGCAGCTCCCCATTCATCCAACGACTTCCCAGTCTCCGCCGCAAACCTCCTCAACGAGTAGTACTTCACGATCCTCGTGCACAGCAGATCGAATCGCGGATCGGTGACGATCAACAGCGCCTTGTGCGACGAGTTACATAGCGTGTAGTCCAAGAAATGAGCTGGTTGACAAATGTACATGGCAATGGGGACTTCAGGGCCATACGGATGGCAGAAGCAACCTGGCCATCTAGCACATAGATGCACAATGTTGCTATTCACAAACGAGAGATCGGTTTTCGCCCCAACATTCTTCTCGAATTTCGCAGTTCTCGCATTGTTCAATCGCATCACCATCTCATTACGGTCGACCAATTCCCCATACTCCTTCTGCAGCAAGATCCCACTGTTACCCACCACTGCACAGGAAGCATAACGTCGTGAATCGGGCGATCCTCCTTTCCGCTTCTCGATCGGTTTCTTCACGAGCTCGACGAGCTCGTTCATCACATCAGGGTGGTACCTTCTGTTTCTCGCCCAGAGATGGAGAACCCGCCGGAAGTCGAGCCAGTAGCGGTAGAATTCAGGGGATCTGAGCATTACCGGGAACCCCCGAGAAGAAGTGGATTTAGGGTCATGGTTGTTGAACCTTCTCCAAGCAGCGAAAGTTCTGTACCTCCCCCTGCTGGCGAAATTGCCCTCCAGCAATTGCTCGATCTCTTGCTTGGTCTTCTGCTCGCCTATGTCAATGGCCGCGTATCTCAACAGAGTGGAATTGAAAACAGGGGCGGTTTCAGGGTAGGGTAGTATTACATTGTGCTGAAGCTCAATTGAAGCGAACAAGGTCCGGCGGAGTAGGATCCGGAAGCTGAGAGTGGCGGCGAAGAGAACGAATATGAGAATGCTGAAGACGGGACGAACTGACCTTTTCATTGCCGCTCTAGCTCAATCCGTCGTCTTCCTCGGAGCAAGGTATTGCTAGCTGTCTTCGTCGAATTGTGGCAATACCCATCTCAGATCCATCTTCGGCTTTCTCATCCAGAGGGCAGAGTAATCAATCAATGGCGAATTGCTACGAGTGAGATGGGTTAGTGCGTTCTCCCCCCGAAATTGCACAGGGAAACTCCATATCCACCTGGCCACCCACCCGCCCGCCGACGAGAAACTCCGAGAGAAGGGCGCAATAAGCGGAGGTGGGTATGAGAGTTAAGAGAGAGAGGAACGGCGGAGTGGGAGATATAGGGACGGAGAGAGAGGAAGGCGGGGCGGGGGCAGGGTTTATAATGGTGGCGGAGATGGAGGATTTATAATACCGGGCTCCTTGTTGCGAGGGAAATCGGAATAGCCGAAGGCTAGATTCGTTCTCTTTCGTTTTCATCATTTCTTTCATTCTTCTTTGTTAATGGCGACTGGCGAGGGAGAAATTTTGGTGGTTTGATCTTGGATGCCATGGGCAGGCAGGCAGGAGGCAGGGAATGGAGATGAGATCTTGAAACTATCAACCATCATTTTCCGTTTACATTTTGGCGTTGTCTTTTCTTCCAATCTCGGCAACTTGCACGGGTGTGCAATGCTTTGGTCCGTAGCAGGTTACACAGGACCAAATCGATATTTGGATTGGACTATATCAAATAGAGTATAAAATGACTTGATACTTAGTTCTAAGATATATTTTACTACTAGATCACGATACTCATGAGTTGGATCGACTCGAACTGGATCAAACTGTTGCACACCCCTATCAACGGATTCAGATAAGCCAGTTTCCCTCCATAATGCATATTATTAGGGATGGCAATGGGTAGGGCGGGTTTACCCTATACCAACTCCTAACCCGCCGGGTAGAGCTTTCTAAAATACCCGATCAAATAACCATCGGGTATGAAAATTATATAACATACCCTACCCACCGGATAACCACGGGTATTCGGGTAACCATGGGTACGAATCCTAAACTATGAAATTATACACATATATGCACATACATACTGTTGTCCATTAAAAATTCTCAATACTTGTAACTGTTCTAGCTTCAACAATTTACACAAATAAAAACAGCAAACACATAATAATTGTTCTTGCTTCTACAATCCACACAAACATAATAATCGTCTACATCTTCATCATCAATAATAGTAGCTAAACTAAATTTCTCAAGGGAAACTGACCCTTTGGTTAGCGGGGCGGATATAACGGGGCGGGTATTATCGATTACCATACCCGTACCCTACCCTTTATTTTGAAACCGGGTATTACCCGTAACCGCCCCTTAACCCGTCAAAGCGGGTAATTACGCTCGTTGACCAGTTACGGTCGGATAGGGTACCCATGGTTACGGGTTGGATTGACATCCCTACATACCATCTCGAATCACGATTTAAAGAAAGTAATCATTTTCGATATTAAAGATTGGTGGGGGTGTAATGGACGACAACTAGCTTGCGACTAATAATTGTCCGGGTGTAAAATGTCATATCAAAATCATATGTGCTATTCTCGAATAATCATATATAAAGTTCTTGATATAAGGTGAATTTTTTCTTAGAATGTCGATGATACTTTTAAGTTTTATTAAGATATTATTAATAAAAGTGAGGAAAAATGAGCAAAGACCTTTGTCTAAGAGAAGAAACGCATTTGAGTTTGAACAAGTCATTGAATTGAATTCTTTTCTCTCAGCAGTTCCTCAAGCTCTAATTTCATTGTTTAACCCGAACCAAAACAGGCATCATGTTGATAATTATTCGCTAATTATTTGAGACAAAGTTGATATAATAATATGATAAACCCAATTAAAAACAGAGCAAATCATGATTAAGAAATGTACATTCACAAGCAAAAACGCAAATCGACAAACCCACTAGTACCGCCCGACCCCACCAACCCCAACCCCCAAAAGCCAATTCAACTTTCCCCATCCTTCTTATAATCACCGCCGATCACCGGCGGCGGCCGGTTCCGGCCAGCCTGTCACAATAACTGAATAGCATTTCGAATTCCCCCCCACCATTTCAATTTTCCACCGTTTCAAAACGCCGGTCAGATCTTGTGGAGCTTCTCTCCCTTGACGACCGGATTGGCCCTGGCGATCTGCTCCTTCCCCATGCTCTTGAAATCGAACCCGCAGCTGTGCTTCTCCGGGTACCGGTGGCCGCCGCAGAACACCATCCCGCACCTGCACTTGAACCCCGTCAGCCCCACGCGCTTCCTGCACTCGCTGCACCTGTTCGCCCGCGTCCCCACCCCCACCGCCGACACCGCCGGAGCCGCATCATCCTTCTCCTTCTCCAATCCAACAACCTCCACGGCCGCCCTCCCGATGGAAGGCACGGAAACGGAGGACGACGGGGATGGGATCGAGGAAGCGGAGGAGGAGGTGGCCAGGGTCTGGTTCAAGGCGAGCTTGCCTTGCTCCTTGAGCTGCAGATCTCGGTAGCACTTGGAGCAGAAATCCTGCGTCGCCGGGCTACCGAAGAAGCCGCAGTTGTTCGCGCAGAGGCGCTGTGCCTGGCATCTGTGCTCTTCCGCCATATCCTTCTTCCCTCCCTCTCTCTCGATGGATGATCGAAATTCGATCTCTGACAAAATCAAAATCACAGAACACCGGATTTTTTCAGGATAAAAAGAAAAACCAAACAGATCCAGAAAAACCAAACGCGAGAATCATACCTTACTCGGCCGGGCAGAGGGATCTGGTTTTTGCTGGATCTGGGATCGTCGAAGAAGAGAGGGAAAGGAGGAATCGGTTTCTAGGGTTGCTGAGGAAATTCGGAGAACTCGAAATTGAGGGAGGTGGCGAAATGGGAATTGGGGAGGTTTCTCGAAGCTTTTTTTGTTATATAATGGAGAAAAGGCCACAGCTTTCCAAAGGGCGAACCCAACCACCTCCACATAAAAAATGGGCGGCCGGGCCGACTAAATAAATGGGGAAGAAGAAGAAGGGAAACGGAAAGTAGGAAGGAAACAGAAACCAAACACGGCGATGAAAGAAAGGGGGAAAAAAAAAAAGGAATCTCTCATTTTCTCCTTTTTTCCTTGCATAAAAGGGAAAACGAAAAAGAGGAAAGGAATCTCAATTCCAAGGCTGATTGTCGGTTTTCCGTAGCCCGGTTAGACCGTTAAATCGATTAGTTTTCGATGAGTTGTCAAATGTGTTAATCGACATATTGATTATTGGTTAAAATTGGAATTTACTAGTTTACGGTCAAAATAATCACGAAATGACCGAATTCCCCCTCATTCAAGATCTTCTTCGTCTCTCCCCAACCGAACTCTAAAATGGTAAATTCCCACCCGGTCTCAAATCACAATCAGTGTTTGTGAAATCGCACTGGAGGTTCGATCGGGAAAAAAAAATCTCCTACCCAAGTCTAAATCAGTAGACGATTTTTAACATTAAGGCTATTAAATTACATTAGTACAAAATACCTTACAACTGATTCTTCCGATACAATCTCCAATACTATATTTCACAATAATTGATAACAATATCGTCTCACTTTTGTGGAACCCCAAATAACAAATCCAATTTCATTTTTATTGTGGGAGGTGGGGATGGTTCTAGTTGGCAATGGAAAAGATACCAATTTTATTTTTCCAAAACATCGATTAAGATTAGATGCTTGTAATCATGGATTAAATTAATCACATCTCTTGATCGATATTTTCGCGTGGAAAATGTTAGTTGGCTGTCTGTATAATAATACGTTCTCTCTTTTGCCTTGTTAAGAAAAAAAAAAAGTAAAAAAAACAATGACCAATATTTTAACGAGTAGAGAAAGAGGCAAAGGAGGAAGTTTCTCAGCTGGTCTCTCTTCCAAGTTGCTAGTAGTTCTTATCACCACGCGGTTACGATCAACAATGGAATGACCGCTTTTTGGACCGTGCTAAGTCACATTTAAGCGCCTAATGAAGATGATAACTAAGCAGACGAGAATGCTAAATGAACTCAAGTTGTTCTGTCAACTGAGAGGTTCAGTAAGATAGTTCTACCGAAAGCTGACAACTCGCAATCTTATACCAGATGGTTTCGTTCGATTGAGATGTCTGTCTCGATCGTATTTTCGAAAGCACGAATGTATCATTGTTGCAGAACTTCCGCCTAATTTACTTGCCTACTTGATTAGCTACGAAGAATATGATTTTGGAGTAAGTGAACAACTCGGAAGGGATCTCAGAAACAGAAAGGATGAAATGAAATTCAACAGTTTTCCAGATCAGAAGTGCCATGAATCTTAGGAAATGGCAAATGTTGTAACAAAGTTAAAAAATGTCAGTTACTGTTGGGAAAAGGAAGGGGCCAAGCAGCAGTTTCTGGGTTTATTAGTTTGCAACAGCGACAATATATGCGTTCCAGGAATCCTCCTGCTCAAACTTCTGGACCTCCTTGTACTTGATGTCTCGTCCAGCTCCGAATCCTTGTGTGCTCCTGCATTCCTCGACGTCTGGCACCTTGCGAAGCCAGAAATGGACGGACCGAAACCCTGCCTCCTCTAAACAGTCTTTGATTTCTGGCAATGACCATCTGTAAACACACACACACACACACACACACAGAGTATAGAATTGAACCTCTGAGTCCATGATGTCGTAACAAGAGCACTACTATAGGGGCAAGAGGCATTGGGGGCACAATGATAACTTACAGCCTCCAGCTGTATGAAAATGCATGCCGGATTTTCCTCTGCTGCTTCAGGAGATGGAAATGGAGGCTGATTCTTGTTTTTCGTGCCACTATGTCGAACTCAGCTTGCTCCCACATGTACTGCAGAGTTAGAATTGAAAGACACCACAGCTGTAAGTACACAGTGCAATCCAGATACCTAATGCCCCTCCCAATGTGGTCATGGAGGGTGATAGGTAAGTGTAGCTACAAAATCTTCAAATGGATATTAGCAGTAACCGAACTAGTTCAGTGCCAGAAGGGATCACAAACACACTACCAGTACAGGAAAACTAACTGCAGCATTTCTCATAGAAAAGAATCGTATGAATATGGACTGCCAGAGGTGGATTGAAGAGAGTGTTCTATATATATACCGTGAAACTAGGAAATCTTCTCTGAAGCCTCAGCTTTTGCTCAGATGAAGTACCACCATACAAATCCATCACAAAGATCCCACCTTTCTTGGACAAGCATTCAAGAACATTCTTGAAGTACAAAACAAGTTCTCCCCGTTTGTGGAGACAACAGCAGCTGAAGTTGAAAGCACACACGATGTCTCTTGCTGGTAGAGGACAGTTTCTCTTCAAGTACTTGTCATCCGGGGAACATGGCAAATCTGTTCTGGTTGAAGAATCGAGAACATCGCCAGCTGAAACAGGATCCTCCTCGCCCTCTTCCAACTTAATAGTACTAATCGTCAGTTCTTCGGATTCACTTCTCATCAGTTTCGCCTCGAGAGGCTGCAAGACGTTGCCATGGAAGAGGGATATTCTAGAATATACATCAGCACCAACTTTGTTTATGTTGTTCTCCATGCACCATTCTAGTGCCTCCAGGTCCAAATCCACTCCCACTGCAGTCCGCCTCGAGTCACCCCTCAGCCATTCTGTACTGCAAATGACATCAAGGTATAAAGTATTTAGGCTGTATTTCATAAACTTGTAATTGACAGAAGGACCTAAAAGTTTAACCTACTTGGCATATGAGGGAACTGAGAGGTTTAAAGGTTCGAAAGAATGAACCAAAGAACATTAAGAACCTACAGATAAGCTACAAAGTTGCACCCAGTTATCGATATTGAAGCACCATCACCATATTCAGTAACAGATAAGACAAACAAACGAAGTAACCTAACAAAAATGCGTGAGAAAGGATGCAACTGAGCTGCATATTTCATACCTAAGGAGAGCAGTGCCACAGAAATCTTCCTGGAAATGGAGAGGCACCCTCTCACCCACATACATCAGAAAGAACTTCTGCAAATAGCTTATGTCTCCTTTGGGTGACTGCATCCATGGACACAGAAAACCTCTTACCAATTAGAACTTCACCAACAAGCCAAAAAACACTTCAATTCTAAAATGAGCTTGTTTTCTCCATCAAAGGCATGTCTCTTGCAACATTGAAGAAGCATATCATCAAACTAAGCCACAAAGCAAACCTTTCAGCAATCAAACACAGCAAACCAACAAATTGGGGGGGAAAAAGGGTTTCGATCGGTAATAACCAAAACCCAAATGTATCTCAAACTTTGACATCCTCAGTTTTACCTGTACAGACTGCTGGTAAAGGAGATACTTTGAAGGAATATCTCCAGATGGGTTGGCCTCCTCTTGTTCGTTGTCTTCTGGGAAGTCGTCGTCAACTGGAGAGGCTTTATCTTCATCGGAAAGAGGAGAAGAAGCAACCACGCTTTGTGGGCCGTCGTTCTCTCCTCCGCCATTGCCATAGTCGTCCTCGTAGTAGTAAGAAGCTGTTCTCGGAGCATGCTGCTGCCTATATTTCTTCTCTTTCTTTTTCCCCATGGTTAGTGTGTTCACTCCTTGCAGCCGCCGTCGCCGACTAATTTCCTCGGCGTCAAGGTTTAGAGCACTATTTGTAAAATATTGGGTGTCATTGTCAACTACAAAATGGTCATTAGACTTTGATGGACTTCACTAACTGATCCATAAACTTTAAAACATTTAAAATCGATCACCAAATTATTATTCTTCTATTTTCCCAATAACAAAAAAAAAAAAAAAAGGGAAAACCAACGTCCAATCCCACGTCAGAAAACTCATTTTTTCTTCTTCTTCTTGAAAGGATTGGCCCTTCTTCTTCAGTTCCTTCACCATTCTTTCTCGCAGCACACGCTTCCTTCCCTTTGACGGGCCAAATTTCCCGACTTTCTCCTTTGTAATTCTCGATCCTCCGATTCCACTATCTCCACCAATCCCAATCCAGCCGCCATCGTCGTCCTCTTCAGATCCCAATTTCCCCATCTATCCCAAACCCAATTCAGACCCACCAAATCCTCTCTACTTTCTAGGGTTTCTCAGCTCACGCAGTGTTTTGTCATCTCATGCCATCCCCAGCACTCGATTGACCGAGCAAAGCCGATTCTGCGAGTAGGATTTTTAAATAATGTACAGCAACTTCAAGGAGCAAGCGATAGAGTACGTGAAGCAAGCGGTTCAGGAAGACAATGCCGGGAACTATGCGAAGGCTTTCCCTTTGTACATGAACGCGCTGGAGTACTTCAAGACCCACCTCAAGTACGAGAAGAACCCCAAAATCCGAGAGGCGATCACCCAGAAGTTCACCGAGTACCTCCGCCGCGCCGAGGAGATCCGCACCGTGTTGGATGAGGGCGGGCCCGGTCCTGCTTCCAACGGCGATGCCGCCGTTGCTACGCGGCCCAAGACGAAGCCCAAGGATGGGGAAGATGGGGAGGATCCTGAGCAGACGAAGCTCAGAGCTGGGTTGAATTCCGCGATCATTAGGGAGAAGCCGAATATTAAGTGGACTGATGTGGCTGGGCTTGAGAGCGCCAAGCAGGCGCTTCAGGAGGCTGTTATCTTGCCCGTTAAGTTCCCCCAGTTCTTTACAGGTGATGGATCGTTTTGTCGCTTTTGCTTTCCTTTGTTTGCTTGGTTGTGGGGCACTGTTATGAATTTGTGGATTAGTGGTGATTGGTCTAGCTTTTTAGTTTGATTATGTTGAGTTATAGGATGGTTTGTGGGGTTGTTAAAGGCTGCAAAGTGTGTGGTTTAGATGGTAGAGCGCTCTAATTGTTTGGAGTAGTGATGACTGATAATGATTAGAGTTTGGTTGATTGCTGGAAGACTTGGATGTGAATGATGAATACTTGAATTGCAGATTGTAATGTGAAAGACGGTTGTGTGTGTTTATATATGGCCATCTTATGGTACACTGAATTAGTTGGTCCCCTTAGAGACTCTTTGCCTCCCCATGGCGACCTTACAGACTTCATCATTCTTTCCATTGACTAGAAGCCTCTCCTCGACACCTTTAGCTACGTATCCTGTTTCTGCTCTTTGATTTTATGTTCACTCTATATGACTTAGGCAAGAGACGACCATGGAAGGCTTTTCTTTTGTATGGGCCTCCTGGTACCGGAAAGTCTTACTTGGCTAAGGCTGTTGCAACTGAAGCAGACTCTACCTTTTTCAGGTAAAGATTTTTATGAAATGGAGCTTGTATGATGTCTCTTCTTCCCTTGCACACATTTGTGCTTTTGTTTGTTCATGTTTCGTCCATTAATATTATTTTGTCCTGCATCTTGATTGCTGGTTTTTTTTATCGTGTGTCTTTATCTTTGCTTTGTGTAGTGTTTCTTCATCAGACCTGGTCTCGAAGTGGATGGGTGAGAGTGAGAAACTTGTATCAAATCTTTTCCAAATGGCCCGTGAAAGTGCCCCTTCTATCATCTTTGTCGATGAAATAGATTCGCTGTGTGGACAACGTGGTGAAGGCAATGAAAGTGAAGCTTCCAGACGTATTAAGACTGAGCTTCTTGTTCAAATGCAGGTCTGGTTTTGAATATTAATGTTGGATGATGAAGGTGGTCATTAGTTTTCTTATCTACTCATTGTTAAACTTCAACTTACATGGATATGTTGATGTGGGCAAAATCTTCTCATGATTAGATGACGACAGATGTGCTAAAAAAATTTCAGGGAGTTGAGCTTCTGTGCTCAATGTGTCCGTTGCTGGAAGTTCCCCACTTATTTCTGCATAATTATGTGACAACAGTTGTTGATTTATGCTTTTTTTACATGTTTGGTGGTGCTTACTGGACATCTGCAGTTGATAGATACCTGGCGTGAGCTAACCCGGGTTCAATTTAGATGGCTATCAATACATCAAGTTCTGCGCTTAGATTTATTAAATTTGTTACTAGAATATCAGCGCTATCCCCAGTACTCGTATATCATCCCGGTCTATTAGCGCTTGAAGAGTAAACCAAGTTACTGTGCTGTCAGTCAGCATCTTTTTTGCAGTATGCTTTCAGTAAAGTTGTGTGATGGCCTTAATCATTTAAAATTTCAGCCTATTGTTTTAGTTTTGTTTTCATATGTCATTATGGGTGATATCATAATGATTCGCTAGTATGTCTGAAGTTTCATTATGGTGGTAGGCGACATCTGGGAGCCGTAGGCCCCTATATTGATTTTATGAACTATAATTTATTGAATTTCTAAAAGACGGTAAATGGCTTGCCTATTTATAAGATCTTGTTGCATTGGTTGATTTCAGGGTGTAGGGAACAATGACCAGAAGGTTCTTGTTCTTGCGGCCACTAATACACCATATGCCTTGGACCAGGTATGTAATGGTGAGCAATTACATTAGATTTTCCTGGACAGAGGATTATTTGTTTCTTTTTCTAAACGATAACGTGATTCCAGGCTATCAGGCGACGTTTCGACAAGCGTATTTACATCCCTCTACCTGATGCAAAGGCTAGACAGTACATGTTCAAGGTATAAACTTCTGTTGCAAATTTTCGAAGGTACTTTCCATTTGGATGTTATTCAGAATTTGTGTAATCTCTGGCCTTCAATTTTTTGGGCAGGTGCATCTTGGTGATACTCCTCATAACCTGACAGAAAGTGATTTTGAAAGCTTAGGTCGTAAGACAGAGGGCTTCTCAGGTTCAGATATATCTGTTTGTGTAAGCACTGCTCCAACTGAAATACATCTATCTTCTCATTAGCTTGTTATTTGGTTCTCTGTTTATTTCCAATGGATGATTCCAGTGATTGTATGCTTTAAATCTGCACAGGTTAAGGACGTTCTGTTTGAGCCTGTTCGTAAAACCCAGGACGCCATGTATTTCTTTAAGACACCTAATGGTATGTGGGTACCATGTGGATCTAAGCAACCCGGTGCAGTGCAAACCACGATGCAGGATCTGGCAACCAAAGGAGAAGCCGCAAAGGTATAGTCCCCTAAATCCTCCCATTTTAAAACCTGCTTCAGTTTGTTCCATATGGCATGTTTTTCTGGTCTCTGAATTTACCTCTTTTGTGGTTGCTTGAATGGGTTTGATTGTTGCACAATGCAGATACTTCCACCCCCAATCTCGAAGGCTGATTTTGACAAGGTCCTTGCCAGACAGAGGCCCACAGTGAGCAAATCCGATCTAGAGGTTCATGAAAGATTCACAAAGGAGTTTGGAGAGGAAGGTTAATGGAATTATGATCCCTAATCACTACTGTATTGAATTGCTTGCCTGGACATGAGCTTGTATGCCTTAGTTGTTGCTTCTGTTGCTTAAAAAATCTGATGATGATGATGATATACAACCTCATTGTCCCTATGGAAGGTGGTGGCTTGACTTTCCTCTGTAATTTTAACAGCCGAATACTTAAAAAGGTCGGAGGATTGATGAATTGATGTTTATGAAATTGTACAGAGAACCTTTTTAGAGCTTGTTGCATTTGGAGTTTTATCTTGTTTTCAGCATATGGTCATATTGGAGTTGAGATCCCTTAGTTTCTGTATAGTCATTGAATGTTTACTTTTGCTTGAATTAAAGGTTTCATGCATTTTATGTAGCAAATTATTCAGGCATGTCTTTGGCTCGAAGCACAATTAAACATCGGGCGCTAGCAACATTAGCTCTGCTGCTCGCCTGCATCTTTGCCATCATATGCCATTGCCGTATGAAGAGAACGCGTAGGAATGCATCCTCTGCTGGTGTCCTGTGGCAATGGGCAACTAAACTGCTTAGGTTTCTCAGAACAGGACGAACAACGGAGGTTGATTGCAGCCTGCTGAGATTTTGCATTGGTTATTAGAAAGGCTCGAGGATGATCGGAGTCCTTAACATGGATTGACAGAGACAAGGGCTGAAAGAAGTCGACTTTTCTTGTATGCCAACTCTTCTGGAGAAGGTGAAGGTCTGAGTTCCGATAGTTGTAACAGCTCAAGCTTGTAGCTTTTGGCCACTTTGAAATTTGAATATAAACCGAAGCCATGGCAAGTGCGTTCTGTTTATTTGTTGTGTCTAATGAACGGGTCGGGTTGTGACATTAAATAGGCATCTCCATTCCCATCTCAGCGTATAGCTATTTGTCTCCTTGTCACTGCATGTGTATGAAGTCGTAAGCTTAGACATCATTGCTATTCTTCCCCACAAGCCATCAAAGCCTCACGAATGTTGCATTGCGGACCATAATGAATTTAGTTCATGCAAACCCAGGGGCTCAATGGCAAACTGGCTGTGCACCCCAGCGAAATCATGACCAAGAGCGAAAAAACATAGCATCTGCAAAATACATCCCGGCAACAGCATTCGTGCTGGAGGCTCTGATGTCATGGCTCGGTTTTAACATTAGCAAGGAACTTGAGTTCAAACAGTACCTGAAATTTCAAGGCAGATTATGAACAACAATGATTAGCACGAGCTAGTCCTAATGTGGACCCGGGTAATGTTACACGATGATGAAAGTAATTTCACATGCATTCAAAATCTGCCCATGTAACACTCTCCTACAGATATGCAACTAACTTGATGCGCTTTTAATTATCGAAGGTACTGATGCGTGCATGCATCTAGCTTAGTGGTCGTTCCCCTCGAGTAATAACTTCAATCAAATGCTCTAATGAAAGAATAGTAGGTAACTGTATTGGTATGGTCTAAGATGAGCCCTGAGAGAGGATATGCAAAGCATTGGCTTCTGTTACATTATTCTACACTCTCACTGCAAGAACCTTCATGCAGGAAGGTGTAGAGCTCAGGTTAGAACGAATTAGCAAACACACAGACATAGATCTTTTGGGAGGAGATCTTGAAACTGATACCTCATCTTTATGTAGCAGTTTGAGAGGCTCAACGATCAGCTTCATGCCCTCCAGAAGTTCAACATTGAGGTGGCTCTTGAATTGTGTAAGAAGTTCCTCCCAGTCCAGGATAAAGTTTCTTGGAGAACAAGGTAATCAGGCTTTATCCCCCAGCCCAAAACACGTTAGCATCAAAGAAGCTAATGAAATCCTTTCCAATTATCTTCATGACCTTCAGCCTTCAGCCTTCAGCTTACAACACACTGTTTTCTTTATCAACACCACTAGCAACTAACAAATAAATGAAGATGCTTCTCAGATGATTCCATCACTTGATCTTGCTCTCCTAACACCTATACATTGAATAAAGTTATGATAAGAAAACACAATCGACTGAAGATTACAACATGACTAAACACGGAGTAGGTCTGATAGAACGATATACATATAACTATTTCTTGTGCAGAACGGCACAGAGTTTTGATGAACAAGACTAGGCAAATTGAAAAGGACTAGCATGCTTTTCTTCTTTGATCCATAAAAAACAAGCAGAAGAGTAACAAACTTTACCTCCAGATGACAGTGAAGAATTAAAATCTTTTCTTCTAATTCTCCACGGTAGTAGCACCCCCATGTCGGCTTCTCCCCAGCACTTCAAATTCCTTGGGCAACTGACCCGCCTGACACCATGGCTCATCCAAGCCAACAGCCTATCCAGATTACCAGCTGGCCTTTAATGGGCTGTCACCAATAATCTCCACAAGAGCACGACCCATCCTTAAAATGATGAAACCGGTTCGTATCCCTAACAACAATGTACCTCCCTTCTATCTTGGAGATCAACTTAATCACAACATGACAGTCTCCACAGACTCTGAGATTCTTCATGACCCGCAATGGAGTACCTGGTGGCGTAGCAATCAACCCAAAAGCAATCGCTAGCCTCTCACTGTGCTGAGAAAGAATGGCCTCTTTGTGTTCTTCGTCAACATCAAGCAGCACATGATCAGTATCAGCCTGATACCCAGCATCTTTCAACCTCATCCGCAGCTCCTCAAGCTTCTCATATATCTCGTTGGACATTGGATGAGACGAATCAGCCGCCAAAAATGAGTAAGTCTTGTTCTTCACCTCGATCCAACTGTACCCAGCTTCCTTCTTCACCTTTCTCCCATCCATCAAACTCCTCACTCTGGCTCTCTCCTTCCAGTTCCCCGCCATTGCATGCATGTTCGACAGCAGGACATAAGCTGCAGAGTCTTGTGGCTGCAAAGAGATCAGCTTTTCGGCTGCAAGTGTTCCGAGCTCTAGATTGCGGTGCACACGGGAAGCACCCAGTAGGGTTCGCCACACGGTTGCACTAGGTGGAAATGGCATTCCATTGATGATATCCATGGCCTTCCCAAGCTTTCCAGCTCGGCCATAGAGATCAACCAAGCAAGAATAATGCTCCATCGTCGGCTCAACACAGTGATCTCTAACCATCATGTCGAAGTACCTTTGACCTTCCTCCACTAGTCCAACGTGCACGCAGGCAGAAATGACACCAATGAAAGTCACACCATCCATCTCCATGTTTTGTCTCCGCATTTCGTCAAACACCTGGAGAGCGTTGTTCACATGGCCGTGTTGTGCATAACCTGAGATCATCGAATTCCACGACACCAAATCTCTGTCCTGCTGCCTTCTGAAAACTTCGTTAGCACTCAGAATGTCGCCAGTTTTGGCGTACATGGTGACAAGAGCACTGCTCACACAGAAAGCATTGTTGAATGTTGACTTTATTGACCAGGCGTGAAGCTGTTTCCCCTGCTGTACTGGCGCCATTGAAGAAGCACACGCATTTATGACGCTGGAGAAGGTATACTCGTTAGGCTTGATACCATGTTCCGCCATCTCAACAAACGTCTTGACAGCAGCCTCTGTATCTCTTTTCAGAGCATATCCAGCTACCATGGCTGACCATGCGACGATATCCTTCTTCTCTATCCTGTCGAAAACCTTTGAACCTTCGTCAACTTCTCCTAATTTCACATAGGTGTCCAAGAGTGCAGTTCCAACTGTGGGAGACTTCTCAGAGTTCGCTTTGATAGCTTGTGCGTGAACTTGATGAGGAGAAACCATCGGCTGAGCTGAGAGGATTGTGGAATACGTAAACTCATTCGGCTTAACACTTTCCCTGTTCATTTGAAGGAAAAGCTCCACAGCTCTCTTTGCCTTTCCATTTTGCAGGTAGCCACTGATCATAGCAGTCCATGCCACCACATTACGAGCTTCTTCACCCAAAGCTGAGAATATCTCAAAAGCATCATCCATTACCTTGCACTTGCTATAACCAACCATGAGGGCTATCCTGATATGCTGGTCGAATTCAAACCCAGTTTTCAGTACCAAGCAATGTAGCTGCTGTTGAAAGCCCAGTTCTTTAATACTGGTGCAGAGCTTGATTACAGCAGCAAAAGTCATGTTGCTTGGCTTGGCATTAACAAGTCTCATGTGGTGAAATATCTCAAGTGCTTCGGAATGCAGTCCATTGGTTGCATAACCAGCAACCATACTATTCCAACTAACTGCAGTCCTATCAGATAAACGATCAAATACTGCTTTCGCTTCCCTAATCCTTCCAGATTTTGAGTAGATGCTGACCAAAGAATTGCAAACTGGTGTAGCTGTTTGAAACCCGTTCTTTATTGCTGCAGCCTGAAGTTGGAGTCCCTTCTCAACCATTCTTTCACCCGATAGTGACCCAATAACCGTGGCAAAAGTAAAAGGTCCAGGTTGAACCCCTTCTGATTGCATTCCAACGAACAATCGCAGCACCTCAGCATCCAAACCATTCTGCGCATAACCGGTGAGCAAAGATGTCCATGAAACAACGTTTCTTTCCCCCATTTGATCGAACAATCTCCTCCCTCTCTCCACGCTCCCATTCTTGAAGTACATATCAACCATGGAAGTACCAACGCTCACATCGTTCAAAAATCCGCACTTGGTACAATGGCCATGAATCTGAACACCAAAATTTTGATCAAGCGAGTATGCACAAGCTTTGAGCACGCAAGAAATGGTCGATCCATCAACAGGAAGACCAGAACGATGAACACCCATGAAGAGGCTCAGAACCTCGGAGTGTCTATTATTGCGAGAGCGCTCAAAGAGCAAGCGATTGCTGCAGCGTGCCCCCTCGGGACTTTCATCAAACAAGTGGTGGACATCAGGGTCGTCCTCGCTCCTTAGGGCCAGGGCATGATTTGAGACACAGAAGCTTGTGCGCGGTGGAAAGTTGAAGCGGGTTTTCAGTGTACCGAAATGGGTCTGCCTCTTCAGCGAAGTTGCCAACGCTTTCATGAAGAATGCCTGGATTATCATCATCAACTCTCTGCTTCAACAGCAGCTCACTCCACTCCTCGAAAAGTTGCAGACTTTGAACAATAGAGACATTCTCAACTATACCCATTATTCATATCTCTGTCTCAACGAAGCTTGGCAGCTAAGAGCGCTATCCGAAAGGGATGCGGACTTGCGGAGTTCTTCTGCACAGAAGGAGGAGTTATTTATCATACTTGGTGGAGCACTTGGCAGTTGACTTCTGGGTTCTTTCTGTTTGTGATATTTATAGCAGAAGAAATATTCAGGGGAAAAAATTAAAGCAAAAAAGAAAAGAGTAATATTAGAAGAGAAACGAATCTTCTTCCTTTACCCAAAACTTTGCCAGGAGGAAGGTAGGGCAGCTGTCATTGTCGAATCCTTTCATAAACCCTAATTTAATTTACCTTCTCCAAGTGATCCTCGGATTTTCAAATTCCTTCCTTTTCCCCTTCCTCTCAATAAAGAAAAGAAAAATTACCAGAGACGACAGACAGCGAGTCGCATAATAGCAGTCTAGTCGGACAACCTCGGAGCGGATTTAGGTTTTGACAGTTACGAAGAGGAAAAAGTGGAAAAGGGGCGTTCTTTATCTTCTTCAAGATCCTCTTTCTTTCTCTTCCTGTGATTCATCGGACAGCTGCCTCCTCCCTAGGGCTTATGCTTACGCCAACTGAGGTTTCTTATTAAGTTGTGGTCGAGGGTTATTTTCAACGAGAGTGAGATAGTGCTGTGAAGGTCGCTTCTTCTCTACTCCACGCTCTGTTAAGTTCTTTTAGGTTTCAGTTCGAGCGGGTTTGATTGAACTTGCGATTCCTGAGGGGTTTGGATGAAATTGAGGGGGATTTATGGCGGCGTTGTTGAACTTTGACACATTTACGTTGGTGTCGTAGAAAGGAAGGGGACGTGCAGATTGAGGTTTGTGGGAGAAGAAGAGCTTCTTCTTGGGTAGAAAGCAAAGATGATTGCTGAGAAACCCAGTTGGGTTAAGCATGAGGGAATGCAGATTTTCTCCATCGATATCCAGCCCGGTGGCCTCAGGTTTGCCACTGGTGGAGGTGACCATAAGGTAAACAAACGTGTTCCCCTTCCTATTATTGTTGAAAATGTTCAGCCTATAATGTGCCCAAATATGCGGGAACTTACTGTGGAACATCCTTGAAGCTAGAACCTATGAAAATGTTGTAGCTGCTATTCATGTGATTCTTGCTTCCAGAGTATGAGATGGTTGCTACCACTTGTGTGAATTTTAGTCCAGGTTTTGTTGTTTTCAGCTGTTGTTGTCTTACTGATTGAGTTGCCTGAAAATTTCAGGTCAGGATATGGAATATGAAATCTGTTAGCAGGAATTTAGAAGAGAATGATGAATCACAGAGGCTATTAGCGACTCTACGCGATCATTTTGGTTCGGTTAATTGTGTGAGGTGGGCGAAGCATGGCCGTTATGTTGCATCTGGTTCCGATGATCAGGTGATCTTAGTTCATGAAAAGAAGCCTGGTTCTGGAACCACAGAGTTTGGTAGTGGGGAGCCCCCAGACGTGGAGAATTGGAAGGTTGCATTGACTTTGAGAGGGCATAGCGCTGATGTGGTAATGGCATTTGCTTTCGCTAGTTGGATCGCCAAAGTTGGAAAAACTTTTTTGATCTGTTTTTTGCTGTTCATTGAATGGATAAATAAATGCCTTGGCTATGTTTTTTTGTTCGTGCTAGTTGTTTCTAGTATCTTCTAACTGGGAGTTTTTGTTCTATGCTTAAAAGTAGGTGGATCTCAACTGGTCGCCGGATGATTCCACACTGGCTAGTGGAAGTTTGGACAACACAGTTCATGTCTGGAATATGAGCAATGGAATATGCACGGCCGTTCTTAGAGGTCACTCTAGCCTAGTTAAAGGAGTTGCTTGGGATCCCATTGGCTCTTTCATAGCAAGTCAATCAGATGATAAGACTGTGATAATCTGGAGAACGAGTGACTGGAGCTTGGCTCACAGAACCGATGGCCACTGGGCGAAATCAGTCTGTTTTCTGGGCCTTTTGTGAAAATTCTGTCTCTTCATTAACAAATTTGATGCTTCCTAGTGATTGGATCTTATGTTTGTATCTTCCATCATTTTTTTTTTTGCCAGCTTGGATCGACTTTTTTCAGGCGTCTTGGCTGGTCACCTTGTGGCCATTTCATAACGACCACACATGGTTTCCAGAAGCCAAGGCATTCTGCTCCTGTTCTGGAGAGAGGAGAGTGGGCTGCAACATTTGACTTCCTTGGACACAATGCTCCCATAATAGTCGTGAAGTTTAACCATTCAATGTTTAGAAGAAACACATCGAATGCTCAAGAGGCTAAAACTGCAGCAGTTGGATGGACTAATGGGGCGTCAAAGACTGCAAGCAAAGAGTCTCAACCATACAATGTTATTGCAATTGGTAGTCAGGATCGAACAATAACCGTATGGACGACTGCAAGTCCTCGCCCTCTTTTTGTGGCCAAGCACTTCTTCATGCAAAGTGTTGTCGACCTGTCCTGGTAAATTTAGCTATTTCAAACATTTTGATCAATATTACTAGGATGATTGATCATTATCTTTAATTTTGCTCATTTCCTTTTCCAAACAGGAGCCCTGATGGATACTCGCTCTTCGCCTGTTCATTGGATGGATCAGTGGCTACTTTCCATTTTGATGCAAAAGAACTTGGACAAAAGCTGAGTGATACTGAACTAAGTGAGTTAAAGAGAAGCCGATATGGTGATGTCAAAGGCAGACAGGCAAACTTGGCAGAGAGTGCTGAACAATTGTTGCTCGAGGCAGCCTCAGCTAAGCAGACAGCCAGCAAAAAGGTGGCTGTAGACAATAAGCAAAATGAGCCACCTATAAAATCTTCAGTTGAGTTAGTGCCCATTACAAAGCCACCTGAGCCCCAAGTCGATGCCGAGAAGAAAGGTGGAGGAGTGGTCACTAATAATGATGGTTTGAATAATAAAGTCTCAACTTCTGCTCGAGTTTCTAGCCCTGTGAAACAACGAGAATACAGGCGCCCTGATGGCAGGAAGAGAATAATTCCAGAAGCACTTGGTGTGCCAAGTCAGCCAAATACGGTATCTGCAGGGGTCCATGTTGCTCAAGCCCTTGAGTTCCCCTCTACAGCAACTGATCTCAGAAAGGAAGAAAATGGGTTAGTTCCCATTGATGTTGTTGGCATGCAGGCTGGCGCACATAGAGGAGCAGTTGGCAGAAGCTCCAATTTGAAGGAACGAGGCGGTTTTACTGCTAGAGCTACCATTACAGAGAGTTTGGTTATTGAAAAGGTGGCTCCAGAAGCATCTTCACTTGGGGACAGTGGAACCATCAGTGTTGAACAGTCTGGTAGTGTGAAAGCATCTAGCTCCTCTAGTGCTGGTAGTAATGCACTTTCAATCAGGGTGTTTGATAAGAGAGTAGGTGAAGACAATTTACCGATATGCTTGGAAGCTCACCTTAGAGAACGTGCAGTAACTGATGTTTTTGGTAATGCAAAGACTAGTACAATAAAGGAAACTGAAGTTTCTTGTACCAAAGGGGCCCAAACCCTTTGGTCTGATAGGATATCTGGAAAAGTAACCGTGTTAGCTGGAAATGCCAACTTTTGGGCTGTTGGTTGTGAAGATGGTTGTCTACAGGTAGCTTCTCATCCTTGGCCAACCTTTTTACTGTTTCAGTAGTGTTCTGTTTATTTTATTATGGATTGTCGTTCTCTTCCTAAGACCATATACATTGGTAGAATAAACAAAAAACAAAAAATGAAGTTTGTCTTCACAAAGATTAGGCTTTCTTGTTGGTCTTCAGGACAGAAATATCTAGGCTACTATGCTGTTGTGCTGTTAGCCTTTCATGTAGACAGAAAGGATAGGTCAACTTGCAGTTATATATGCCCTCTTTTATTTGTATATCTGATTAACTCTTGTCCTATACTTATCCTCTGATTCAAAGATCTACACAAAATGTGGGAGGCGTGCAATGCCAACAATGATGACAGGATCAGCTGCAACTTTTGTAGACTGCGATGAGAACTGGAAGTTGTTGTTGGTCACACAGAAGGGATCTTTATATATATGGGATCTCTTCAGGCGCAGCTGTCTTCTTCAGGACTCATTAACATCTCTGGTCATTTCAGATCCAAAATCCTCTACAAAAGGTTCACTCTCACTAAATATTGATCGTCATGGTACTTAAATTTTGTAACAATCATGGTACTTACTTCTTTGTTTACTTCTCAGGCACAATCAAAGTTATATCAGCCAAGTTATCAAAGTCTGGTTCACCTTTGGTTGTTCTGGACACTCGTCATGCTTTCCTTTTTGACACGAGCCTTAGGTGTTGGCTGAGGGTGGCAGACGATTGCTTTCCTACTTCTAATTTTGCTAGCTCGTGGAATTTGGGTTCTGTTCATAGTGGTGAGTTGTCTGCATTGCAAGTCGAAGTCAGAAAATATATGGGCAGAAAACCTAGTTGGAACAGGTATTGACAGATAGCTAACTGAAATTTATGGATATTTATCTTGGCTATGTAGCACTGAAATGGGCTGGTAACTTGGTGTTGTTGTAGGGTGACGGATGATGGAATACAGACGCGTGCCCATTTGGAGGCACAGTTAGCATCAAGTTTGGCTTTGAAGTCCCCAAATGAATACCGCCAGTGCCTTCTATCTTACATACGCTTCCTAGCAAGGTACGTCCTTGTTGATTTTTTTACCTCATGTCTCTGGTAATAGACATGCAATTTAGGATCATGATGTTCGTATGGCTTCCTCTGATTTGCAGAGAAGCAGACGAGTCACGATTGCGTGAAGTATGTGAAAGTTTCCTAGGACCTCCTACCGGGATGGCAGAAGCAGCAACTTCTTCTTCGGACACCAAGAACGTGGCTTGGGATCCTTGTGTACTTGTAAGGACCTGCTTCTCTCAGCTCTCTCCATGCTATTGTTGCTTGCTACTACTCACTTTGTCTTATGCCCCCCTCTTTTATACACTGCAGGGGATGAGAAAGCAGAAACTCCTGAGAGAAGACATTCTTCCAGCAATGGCATGCAACAGAAAAGTACAGAGGTTGCTCAATGAATTCATGGATCTCTTGTCCGAATACGAAGGTGCCGAGGCTGACACTAACAACATTAATCAGAAAAATTCTGCTCCGCTGCTACCTGGACCCCACGAGGCTGTCGAAAAGATGGATGTTGACCCGCCAGCACCAAATAATGAGACAACTCATCAGCAAGAACCCGTTAAACCAGTGACCGATGCTAACAAGGATCCTGTTCCGATGCTTGCTGACAAAGACCCTTGTCCCGGTGTCATTACAGGTGATGACAACAAGAATCCTGATGATCTGTGTGCCTCAAAGGAGAAAACCCCTGATGATTTGAGAGCCTCAAACGACAAGAACCCCGATGATCTGTGTATCTCAAAGGAGAAGAACCCTGATGATTTGAGAGCCTCAAATGACAAGAACCCCGATGATCCGAGTCCCTCAAATGACAAGAACTGTAACCAGCTGCCAGTAGCAGTAAATCAAGTAGATTCTGCTACTTTAGATGAGGATTTGGTTGCCGAAGATTCTCTTGCTGAAGAAGATTAACCATATCATAGGACATGGTAGTACAATGGATATATAGGTACAAAGCTGCAATTTGTTGCCTGCTATTTGCAGCTTCTAAGGACAGCTTCCCGAAGGGGACAGGGAAAGCAAGCATCAGCTACTGAATCATGTCTCGACTCCTTTTGTTTTCGTTGCTGCAGCTTCTTCTTATGTAATAGATACTAGTTCTAATTGGTTAGTTTAAAGTTTCTTTTCCCTGTGGATTCTTTGAGACTAATTATAATCAATCGAGCTTAGTGTTGGTTTTTCCATGTGTCTTTTGCTTGATAGGTGGTTGAAGAAGCAGAATTCTGCAGAAGATAACTAGACTACTGCATTGGGCTTTTGATGTAGGCTTTTTGTAAGTATCAAAGTGGGTTGTTGCATAGGGCTGAAATCAATGTCTTATTCTTATAGTATCATTTTTCATTTTTACGTTCTCACGACTATTTCAATGAAATAAGGTTTTATGTTTAAAGAGATTTTGCATAAATGACTTGAACCCAATTTTCAATTTGCACGGTTAAATGTCGGCCTAATTTTATTATAATCTCTCTAATTTAAAAGTACAAAACTCGAACTTTTTTCGATCAAGATATTGCTCGCTTTGGATCTAGACCCAGTGGCGGAGCCACTTGGAGAGGAGGGGGTGCTTTGCACCCCCCTTGGGTTTGGAGGAAAAATTTCCGAGTAGGGGTATATACAAATTCGAACCAATGACCATTCAGTTGCAGGAAGAATTTCTTATCATTTCGATCGAGTGAGTTTTGTTATGTAATGCACTTTCGTCTTTATTTATAGTAATAAATTTTTGTCTTTTGTTTAAATTCGCTCATTTTTTTTAGCTCTACAACAGAGAAATTTCTTGTCTTTTGTTTAAACAAAGTTGAAAGTGAAGAAGTACCAATTGAAGTTCACTTGTTTGTTTCACAAAATCAATTCCAAGGTACTTCTGAGTTCTAATTTGTAATATTTGATGAATGGAAGTCTTGATTTGTATGTACTGAACTTATTTGTTTGACGTTGTAACCGGTGTACGTGAAACTATTTTAATGTAATTGTGTGAATTTAGAGTATTGCGTTGTTGACTTTTTGTTTAATTTAAAGTTGACTTTTCTATTGTATATGTGATTTTTTATGATATGATAAAGACACTCCCTTGGCCAATTTCCTGGCTCCGCCACTGTCTAGACTTGCACGAATTTTATCTTGATCATGTACTTTACTCGTTGATTTTGTATGACTATCAAGCGCTTAGTTATGAATAAAATTTAAAATGCGCTACGTCCATTCTTAAAAAATAATATTGCATTGTAATTTTAAGCTTGATTGTACCCCAAATGAAGAGTTAACCATAAATTTGCCAAACACTCTTTTCATTAAAAAAAAATTGGTTTCTTCAACCCATTCCTTGTATTCTCAATCACAATCTTCATTATTATAAAGGCCCAATATCTTCTTTCTTCATGTTACTTACAGTTGCCAATCCATTTTATATAATTTAAAAGAAAAAAATGATAGCCCTCAAGCAAAGGGAAAGCAAAGAATTTTGTGTTAAATCAAGAAAAAGTCAAGCAAAGAGACAACACAATCTGAGACACAAACAATAACATAAATCTGAGGCAGCCAACACACAAACAAATATCTTGAAGTGTGAGCCAGTAATGGCTAAGAAATCAATCCCAAACTTTTATGTAATCATTAATTTTTTTTTTTTTACAAGAAGAAGAGATTATAATATATTCAGTATTGTTGTCGTGACTGATCATCATTAGGTTAGGTCTATATATATAACCAAGTGGCCTGGCAAAGACATTATTCCTTTCTTCTCGGTTTGAGGAAAGAATGAGTATTAAGATATGATTTAGTTTTTTAAATTCGATTGTAAAACTTTTAAGTTACATGCAATGCATGGTGGTTTCATTAATTCAACGAGCGTTGAATTAAAATAAAATGTAGAGCTGAAAAGGGAATTAAAAAGGCTAAACAGAAACCTTTCTTAAATTCTTTCAATGGTCATTGAATCATTGAGGTTTGTAACAAAATGATTCATTCCGAATTATATTCATAACGACAGCAAAGTGAATGCTAAACGCAGAGTCTCCATAAGATGGTTGGCTAAACCTAGTGATTCGTGAGTAGTTGGTTATGTATTTGTGAATAAACAGAGAGTTGTTTGATTGCTATGTTTTTATGAGTAATTTGGCACTGAATGATTCGAATTAATTATTGAGTCATTGGATTTTAAATGACTCGCTTGACAGTAATAAAAACTAAAATGAATCATTTGTTTCAACGAAAAAATTCAATTGGGACATTTACAAATGACTTGTTTTGTTAACTATATTCAAATATTAAAATTTCCTTTTTTAATAAACCCAATACTTTTTTGGGTGTCTGCATAGCTGCGGGCCAGGGGAGACCCAGCCACACAGCCTAAACCCAATACTTCATCTAAAAAAATGCATAGATGTAACGATTTTATCGTGATCTACTAAAAGATATCAATTTTTTATATATTTCTGGAAAAAAAAAATTCGACCACCCATTAGTCCATTACCACTGGTTACCATCCTGGTAGACTAGTACTACTTTCTAGTTTCTACCACCTTCATTATTAAATTTAAATCTAAAAATTTTTGTAAAAAATTTTCCTTATCAAATATACCACCCTTGTAACTGATGGTAAACGGCGATGAAAGGTGATTAGTATATTCACACTATCATGTATATAACCATTCTACACTATGGTATAATTACACTACGATATAATAAAAAATTATGTATTACCAAACATTACCACCATGATATAGACTATTAATATATGTCTTAATATGTTTTTTCAAATTATATTAAAATGGATGTCCTTTTAATGTAAAAAAAAAGTGAGCGATGGACTTTGAAAGTTTCCATAACAAGGGTGTGAAAAGACAAGATGGGTTTGGTTGGTAAACGATGATCGAATTTTCTTTTGCAAATGCATGTCGACGATATGAAAAATGCATGCAACTTAATTAATTGCAAATGGTTGAGAAGAGAGTGTTGTTGATGGAATGTACCAAATAAAGAGCAAGTCAAAGTGCATCATGTTCTTTTTGCCCTAGCTTACGTGAACCACGGCACATGAGTCACATGTACGTGCCAAAGGTACAAAGTTCAGTTTGCATCATGAAAAAATTTGTACGAAACGATATACAATCAATATACACATATATATAATCTATATTGTAAAGAAATCTGTACAAAAATGCATGGGGTGTAAGTTGGAATATGATTCTATCGTAACATTAAAAAAGTTACATATTCAATTTGCACCATAATTGTTTTTTCCCCGTAAACGAAAGCGGCGGTACGTACTTAGAAGTATAGTAACGGAACTCTAGCTATATATTTAGAACTGTCGTACAACTCCATCCTGTTGTTAGTAAGTGGTCAGATCCATTATTTAACATCTCCCAACAACTCGAGTTATTGGGATCAACTTGTTTTTTAACATGGTATAAGAGAGCCTTCAGTGACCAGAAAGGTCTTTGTGTTTGAATTCCTGTGACCCAATTTGTGAAGCACATGATATTCTCGTATTCAGAACCTGTGCAAACAAAACCCCTTATGAGTTGATCGACTTTCGTTTGAAGGATTTATATTAATCAGTGATATAAGATCCATTAACTTCTCCGAACAACTCGAGTTATTGATATCAAATCAACATGTGTCATACTACTCTGACTAGGCAGTTGGCACTTTGACATATATGTATATATTATTCGAAGTGGCTGCAAGAGCTCGATATTAGTTATATTATTCATGAAGATATATATAGGTGGCACATTTTTATGCATGTATATCTGTTATTTTATTAATTAATGAAGAGACCCAGAAATCGACAGCTACGGTACGTCGCCGTATGTGCTTAATTCTCTTTATTTGCTAATTAATTAAGGTTACTAAATATTTGGTTCGCTTCATGGGGTTGTTACATGCAAAACATGTCGTGTCGTGTCTAAAAATTATGGGATTCTTGGTAGTTGGGGAATGTTCGGAATCCGTTTATGTTTTAAGTATAGTATCCCGAGGCTAGCTCGTTCTAATTTTCTTGATTTTTAGGGTACGTAGTTTGGATTGAGTATTTTAATGTGTCATTTGGGGTTAATTATATCACTTTTTAAATAACGTGTTTGGTTGGGGAGAGAATATGACAAATATTAGAAGGTTCATATTCTCAAAATACTATGTTTTTGTTTTGTTTCACTTTTGTTTTTATTCTTGTTTGGTAAATCTCAAACTAGGGAAGCTACGTACTCTCCATATTTTTTTTTTTTGCCAGTTTTCACTTTTGACCCAATTAGCTTTTCTTTTCTTTCTTTCCACTTTCATCATAATAACCATTATTTACTTGCCCTTCATACCTTAATTATGTCTAACAATCAATATGTCTTGTCCAACATAGTTAGCAAAAATCCGTTTTATAACCGTATAATACACACACGTTTAATACATATGTTTAAATTTTAAATTTCTAATATTTTAATAACATAATTTACTACTATATATGTTGACCAAATATACACACATGACACATATATGCTTAGTTTGCAAAAAAATTTCAAACAAATTTTAAATCCAAAATGATAATTACTAGATGAACCTTAACTTGCTCACTAAAATGATAATTACCTGAAATTCTATACCCCCACCCCCAATTTCTATCTTGAAAAATGGTGTAGTTGCTTCTGGATAAAATTGGAGTAAAATATAAATAGCGTTGGTGATCTAGAAGCGTAAAAGCGTAAACTTTTAAACTTTAAATCGTGATTTGTTCCAGTTTCGTACACTTGAGATTTTACATGGAATCTTAAAACGTTTTGGTGATCGAGAAGCGAAAAGTGTAAGGCTTTAAAGCCCGATTTTCACTAAATAATTATCAAAGAACCAAGTTGTCCCAATAACTTGAGTTGTTGGAGAGATATTAAGGGGTCGTTTGCTTCAAGGATTTGGTACATGGATTTGGTACCAGAAAACCAACTATTAAGGATTTAGGTACAATCCGTTGTTTGCTTGCACCTTTTTTGGAGACAAAATCCGTGGGGCCCACGGATTTTGAGGGTGCAAATCCGTGGACCCCACGGACTTATAAATCCCACATGTTGATGTGGGATTTGGAATATGACATAAATCCTTGATGACATTTTACCCATATACCCTCATGCAATTTTAATATTCCAAGGTTGCCCTCAAATTTAACTATTATACAGTATACTTAACAATAAATGAATAATATAAACGTTCAATTAATGTGCAAACATGAGTTAGATATTTTATATCATTTCTTGTGTTCTAGTTTTCTTTGACCTTTTCATGGAACGTGTAATTCTTTGTTCTCCCGATTCTAATATATGTTGTTATATGTTACTTTTGAAAAGGAGGACAAAGAATTGGTAATTGATCATTATGTTACGTTAAAAGTTAAAACGGAATTTTCTCGTTTATTATTATTGTCCATGTGGCAACGTACATTATGCTTATTAGTATGTATTGTCCTTGTTTTGTGTACATATCATAAACATGTCAAACATATAGAAAATGATAGTAAGGTAATTTTGAAGTTTTGTCCTTGTTTTGTGTACATATCATAAACATGCCAAACATATAGAAAAGGACAGTAATGTAATTTTTGACTTCAAGTAGTAAATCCCACACCTTTAAATCCATGATAAAAACATCAACAAACAAAGGATTGTTACAAATCCATGATGCCTCAAATCCTTGGTAAATCCTTGGGTTTTTAAATTACAAAACCCTCGTTTATAAATCCATGAAGCAAACAACCCCTAAATATGGATCTCACATACAGTATTTACCAAAACACGCCCTGCTCAAAAGAAAACCAAACGCATACGAGTTCGATTACTGTAAAAAAACCAGTCAGTCCCAATAACTCGAGTTGTTGGGAGAAGCTTCTGCTGCTGGGTCTTATACCACTCTCTAACACAAACTTTCCACATATATCCGAACATCATCACGTGCTTAACAAATGAGGATCGCAACGGCGGACCTCTCGATCATCACTGCGAACGTACACTCCGATATACCATTTTAGAAAACCAACGTCTATCGTTACGCCCTCAATACGAAACCGCTGAGTGAAGTGTGAAGGGAAGTCTGGTGGGTCGGTATCTACCCCAACCATCTGTCAGCAACTGAACCCAAACCCATCAAGCTAAGTTGGTCCCCCAGTGAGTTGTGTTTATTACCCAGCTTGGTTTTGCTGCTCTGCTGCTGCTCTGCTCTGCTCACACTAGTTATTAGCTAAGCTAGGTGAGTTTGCATTGCACTATAAAACGTTATAGGTGACCACCTCACACCCATATTTGGCAATTCCTGCCGGTTCCTACTCTTTGCTTTATTTATTAACCCGGGCCGCCTACAACATCTTAACACATCTCATTAGTCTACTGTTCCCATTTTGTTTCTGTATCATCAAAAGAAACGGTTGGGCAATACATCACCTCTCTCGTTGTATAGAAAGTTCGTTTACCAATTTTCCTGCACTACCAAACTAATAATAATCTCTCATCACAATTAGGCAATTAGCCAACTTGAATCATATAAAACCCTAATTGGCTAATCCGAATTGAACTTGTTTCGCTAGCTAATTACTGTCGTCTGATTAAAAATGAATGCATTAGTCAACTTTCAAGTAATTTTTTTTTGCTTGTTATTGAGGTCAGATAAGTTAATTGATCAATTGGAATTGAATTGAAGTAAAAAAAAAAAGTGTTGTAAAATTGTTATTTCTACTAAAAACCGCAAGTTACTTTGCTTAAAACGTTTAGGCGCGCCTGTTAGGCGTGCTAGGCAGTAGGCAGGGCCTTCTCGAACCTTGGATCTTACTCATATATGTCCCGCCGTACTTAGTGTGTTGACTGAGTCACGGACGATGTTTAATACTGTCGTCGCGCGGAGACCAGTAACCAGACTTGAAATCAAGACACCTATGTTCCCGTTATTCACTCCGATGATCGGCTACCATATGCCGACACAAAAAAAAATCTACAATCAATACGTGATGATAATCGTTAACTATATGCTAAAATTTTTGTCGTTCGCTAATCAAAACTTACTGAAACACAGAATTCAACAACATCAGCAGGTGCTTACCCCGGCGGAATGAACTTCCTCTCCCTACAACTGTATCTCTTATCAAATATTCCAAAAACACATTAGCAAAATCATTTTTTTACTATCGTGTACTCCACTTCATTAATGTCATCCCCCCATCTTCCTTTTTTCCTTCCCTCTAATTTCTACAATATTAAAAATAAAAAAATAAACCAGTCTTCTCCTTCCCATCTTCTCTCTGTCGCTTACCCTTGCAAAATCCTCCATATATTTGGCAGAGGAAAATGGCGAACCGATATCTGCCAACTCTCCCTTCTCTGTCCTCTGCTTTCTCCCCTTCTCTCTATAAAGCTACCTACTCTCCAAAGACAACACTACTCCATCTCAATTTTGCTTTCCTTAATTGCTCGCCAGAAAAAAAGACCAAATCAAGTTTTCATTTGGTACTTTGGGAGGTTGCTCCTCTTTGCTTTTCCGAGAGAGCAACAATGGAGTTTGGCAGTGTGGTGCAGTTCTTGGAGAACAGGGCGGTTCTGATCATCGGTGCAACTGGGTTCCTTGCCAAGAGTAAGCAGGGGGATCAAAACCGAAAAAAAAGCTTCCATCTTTATCATCCATAGCTAGAGAGCTCAAATGGGTAGTGGATGATTTTGCTCTTCATTTTGTGTGTATGGCTTTTTTTGGGCAGTTTTTGTGGAGAAAGTGTTGAGAGAGCAACCAAATGTGAAGAGGATGTACCTTCTCCTCAGAGCTGCTGATGCCAAGGCTGCTTCCCAAAGATTTCACAATGAGGTAATCCCCACCAAAAAATAAAACCCATTTTTTTGGTAATTTTGGAATGCAAAGCATGTATGTCTAAAGACTAAACTTTAGTAAACAACCCGTCAAAAGAGTTAGACATGAATCAGTAGGTGCTACTACACACCAAAAAAAAAAAAACGTTTTTGATATATTTTCGGAATGCAAATGTTGTCTGTCTGAACTTTAGTAAACAACCTCTCAAACAGTTGTACACGAGTTGTCTGTAGGCGCCACCCAAAAAAACCTCATTTTGATAATTTAATAACTCAAAAAAAATTCAAGTATGACATTTGGTAAAAACCCATCAAAGAGTTATACACGACGAATCGATGGAGGCTTAACCCATATCCATAGAACTTTTTTGGTCTGATTGTATTGTTGTCCTCATGATATAACCATCGTTCTTGGCAGCTTACTTACTTACTTACTTCTCTAGTTCTTAAACACCATGAAATCATCAAAGTCATATGTGTTATTGGATCAAGGGGTGGACAAAGTAATTAGTTTATGTTACGTATTAATTGTCTTGGAGTCAAAGGTTTTATTTGGTAACCTAGCTAGTTGCTTTAAATGAAAGTGAAGATCTTTCCCCCCACTTTCGTGGTCCTTTTTGGTGGTTTCGTGGGTAAACCTTGTGCTAAATTTATTGGCTGGGGGAGCAGATTGTAGGAAAGGAGCTGTTCCGGGTAGTGAAGGAGAAATACGGCGAAAATTTGGGTACCACAATAGCAGAGAAAATAGTTCTGGTACCTGGTGACATCTCAGTGGACGAAGGGCTTGGTGTCTCCTCCTCGGAACTCAAACAACAAATGTGGGATGAAGTCGACGTTATTGTCAATCTAGCTGCAACCACCAACTTTGATGAAAGGTATTTTTTATTACCAATTCACCCCCAAAAAAAACCATTAGCATACGCTCGAGTCTACGATACATTCTGAATTTCGACCGATGGATGAATGCAGGTACGATGTCGCGATGGGGCTGAACACGATGGGGGCGAAGCATGTGATTAGCTTCGCGAAGAACTGCCCTAATCTCAGAGTTCTCGTCCACGTCTCCACGGGTAATTGACCGAGTACCGATTGCTTCTATAGATTACATCATTCATTCGTTGGTAAGTATGTTTTGTCGCTAATTCGTTATGCCATTGTTGCAGCTTATGTGGCGGGGGAGAGGTCGGGGTTGATATTGGAGAGCCCTCATCGGATGGGGGAGACCCTAAATGGGGTGACCGGACTGGACATTCAGGAGGAGAGGAAACTGATAGCCCTGAAGCTGAACGAGCTGCGAGCTGAAGGAGCCTCTCGGGACGCCATTAAAAGGGCTATGGTCGACCTTGGCCTCAACAGGTTCGTCCTTTGATATACTTTATGAGTTTTCTCGTGTGTTTACTGGTATTTGTAGTGTGATTCGTAACTTTTGTAGTGATGTGAGCTAATAATTTGGTTAGCTGGCTAGCTAGGGTTTGTCCTTTTTTCTCTATATATTATCTTATTGTTTTGGGCGGGTGATGGTAGGCGAATCCTTGCAGACTGAGAGTAGAATTATTGTGCAAAGGCCTCTTGCCCTCTTCTCATTCAGTTGAATGCTGCTTCTTCTTCTTCTTAAGGATTCGGTCTGACGATTTCGTTGTTGGGTTTTCAATATGGAGGATTTAGGTTCGAATCATTTAACTAATTTCTAACAGATCACACAATAATCTCTTCAATTAGCGGCGTATTTCCAAAATGTCGGGGTCTCGTCGCTTGAATATCCTTAGGCAGACGTACTAATAATATAATTCCTAGCATGTAAACACGGCCTAAAATATATTTAAAATTATTTGTATCCCATACAGCAAATGAGTAAAAAAAAAATAGCAATGCTTTCAAAAATCGGCACATGGTTTTAACCGTACAAAAAGTTTGAACCATACTTTCAATACAAAATACTCCATCATAGTATCACTCACTTTTCCAAAACAACTTACAGTAGAATTTTGCCATTTGTGAAAAAATAGGTGACAATCCTATTTTTCCAAACATTAAAAATTATCTAGGTTTCCTTTTCTTTTACCAAACATTAAAAATGTACAGTTGGCCAGTATGCCAAAATTAGTAACACAGTATAAGTTGGTTTTCTTTCTTTTTTAGAAATCTACAACATAGTAATAAACTATTGGAGACAAAGACATTTGTAGGAATGTGATTATTGATATCCCTGTGCCAGTTTTGTTTTCTGTTCAGGACTTCACGTTACAGTCCTGCATATAGACAGAAGTGTTTGTCTTGACTTGGTCAAGATTGTAAAAATATCTTAGGAACGAAAAAATTATATTAGATTTTGTCAGAAAAAGAGAGATCAATAACTTCTACCAGGGTAACTCATCTCAAATTATTTTCGATTTTACTTTAGTTACACTGTATTTCACTAGAATAAAGTTGTAATTACGTAAAAACCTACATTATATTCTCAAACCATTTAACTTCATTTATCATGTTATGATTTAATTCTTGATTTTTTTAATGAAAAATTAATATCTCAAGTTGTTTTCGCTTTAAAGTACACATTCGTATGAGTCGACCTGATCCGACGTGCACCACAAAGTAGAATACCCGACCTGTCGTCGTGGTAGATATTAATGTCGAGATACCCGCCATGACTTGCTCAGCGTCACTTCTAAAACACGGACGCGTGGTAGACTAATCGAGAGGCGTTATTGGATTCTCACCCTAGCCTCCCCACCGTCACACTTCAAAGCCTCACCGTCACACTCCATATGAGTTGAAATCTGTATAACCACGACACCGTATATTTACATTAATCGTCTTTAACGATTCAAACACGAGATTCTAAGTCATAAACTCTGAGATATCAAGTTGAGGTCCAATTTTCATGAGTTGAAGTTATTGGTCAAAACTCAAACCCAAATTTACTTTTTTATGTCAAAGTCAACTCAAATGTGAAGTATTAAGTATACTATTTAGTATTCTCATCTGCATAAACAAACAGTAGGTCACCTAATTAACCTTGCACAACACCACACACCTGGTAGTATCTGCACTTAAACAGGTCACCTAATCAAATCCATAATCAGACCTTTATACTAGGATTAGGATTCTATCCTAATGATTATTTTAAGGTATCTATGTCTCCTGTCTTACGTCATACTTTCTTTCTTTCTTTCTTTCTTTCCCGGGAAACAAACAGGGCGAAAGAGTACGGATGGCCAAACACTTACGTGTTCACCAAGGCAATGGGCGAGATGCTGGTTGGAGAATTGAAAGGCGAAAACATGTCCGTCGTCATCCTGCGCCCCACCATCGTCAGCAGCACTTTCAAGCAGCCTTTCCCTGGCTGGATTGAAGGCATCAGAACGCTCGACAGCTTGGCTGTCGGCTACGGCAAAGGTCGCCTCACTTGCTTCCTCGGTGACGTTACGGGCATTCTCGACGTCGTAAGATCCATACAAGAACCACTCTCAACAACTTTCAAATTATTGTAACCAGTTGGTTTATGATACGTTCGTTTCATGTCGCATGCGCAGATACCAGCAGACATGGTGGTGAACTCGATACTGGTGGCGATGGTGGCCCACTCGAACCAGCCCAGATCCGAACCGGTGATCTACCAGGTCGGCTCTTCGGTTCGCAACCCGATGAAGCTCGGGGAGCTTCGAGATTATTTTTTCTCCTACTTCACTCAGAAGCCCTTGGTTGGGAAGGACGGCAACACTATCAGAGTCCGTAACCCTAAGCACCTCGGTAGCATGGAGAGCTTCCACCGTTACATGGCCTTCCGCTACTTATTCGCCCTCAAGGTATATAGTAATGGATCTTATACTATAAACCAACAACGAAGACTGCAACAGTGATTAAGGTGTTGAACTCGTCGTCTGATAAAATGAGTTTTACACGATCTTACTGTCTGCAGGGACTAGAGCTGGCGAACGCGGCCTTCTGCCACTTCTTCGACAGAGTGTACACCGATCTCAACCGTAAGATAAAGTTCGCCATACGGCTCATGGAGCTCTACCAGCCGTACCTCTTCTTCCGTGGAGTGTAATATACGACACATAACTTTACCGTTATTTCTTACGTAACAGTTATCTAAAATTGAGACCGGTGTCTGATTTCGATATATTTTCGGAAACAGGTTCGACGACATCAACACGGAGAAGCTGAGGATGGCGGCGAAGGACAATGGAGTGGAGACAGACAAGTTCTACTTCGACCCGGCCGAGGTTGATTGGGAGGATTACTTCATAAACATTCACTTGCCTGGGCTGGTGAAACACGTCGTCAAATAGAAAGGGATCTGGATTACTTTATGAGACAAGAGACACAAAGTACATCTTACATTATTTATGCCGGCAAATTGGTGGTGGCTGATCTCTGGATTTACAAGAATAAAGGAAGAAAGTTTATATAGGTTTGTTGTTCTTCACGTTACACAATTTATTAACAGGGAGCAGAAGTTTGGATTGATTGATTGATTTACAGAAAAGAATGTAATCACATTATTGTTTGTTGGGACTTTGATTTCTCTTATATCGATCATATGATTCTTCGTGTATTAATTAGACTTACCTCAAGTCCGGAATAGTATGCTGAACTAGAATAGAACACAAAAAAAACTCAACCAATTATCGAAAAATGCTGTATACCAAGAGAACAGCTGCTTGCAGAGCTCCATATTGCCAAAAACATGAAACTTGTTTTGATGACAATGATCCAGCTAAGGATGAGAGGGAGACCTGTCTTTCCTTTTCCCTGTAAGGGTTGTGGTTTTACTGTCGCTGATCTCGGGGGCATCCAAGCTTTGTTGATGGCCCTTGCAGGAGCTCTCATGGCCGTTATCAGAAGCTTCCATGGTCAAAGATTGGTTCGAGGTTTTATCTGCAGAACCTGTCCTTGTGATGCAGAGCCACGTTTGTGCAGACTCTTCGCTGTCACTGCCAGCTAAAGGGACATGCCATGATCCCTTCTCTGATTCCTGGAGATCAAAGAGATTAGGAAAATGGTGTTTGGCTTCAATTCATTAACTGTCCATGGTAATAGAATCTTGCACCAACATATATGTATCGATCGAACTCTGACAGGAAACAAACCATGACATTACCTGGATAACTACAGAAAAAGGAGCTGGCATCTGAAGTTTTAAGGTACCTTTAGCAAAAGTGTACTTTACCTGCAAATGAAAGATACGAGGAGTCAATAATACGATAAAGACCGTTTTACCTGCAGAAAATCCTCAACCAATGAGCAACAGGCAATTCTTGGAAGCTATAGATCCAAAAGCTTGATTAGGACCACTACCCAGTGACTATTACTTAAGATAAAATGTTCATCAAAGCATGAGCTGAAAAGAATGTAAATCAGAGGAAGTTTATATGTTATCCAGCTTCCCAAGGGCTTCACCATGTTTATAACTAGGGATTCAGCAATCAAGAGAAACACATTGCTCGCTCATCAGGCAAAAAGGTAACAGTTATTACATACTTGATGCCTTTCTTTCCACTTGAGGAAGAAGCTGCTTCCTAGGAGTTCGAAAATGTGATCTCGCATTTCGTCATTAGTCACTAGCAAGCACCTGAGTTTCACTGCAGCATAGAGCCAGTACCTAAAACCCACGGGAGGGGATCATCACCAAAAAATCTCTCCCATTGACAGCAAATCACAACCCATCACAAAAATTCAGAAGTTTTTACACACAGAACACCCTCTGTTAGAAACATCGCCGAGATAATTGCAAATAGTCGTGCGTCCATGAAAATTACCAATCATCGTTAGAACCATGCGGTGTTGTATAAAGAGCACCGTTCTCCTTCCACTCTTCAATAAACTTCCTGTGGGAAGCGTTTTCAAGGAGAGCTCGAACACGCTTGTTGTGCAAGACTATCAGCGGCCATTTCCCATGTCTATCATACAGTTCTTTCACTACAGCATGAAGCTGCTCTATATCAATACAAACAAAAGCACAATAAACAACGAAAATTAGCAGTCTGTTCAATGTTTAAAAGGACAAAAGAAAAAACAGAACTTTCATGACTATATTTCAGAACCTGAGAAACACTGAATCCCCCTTCAGCAAAACTCTGCTGGCAGAGACCCACATTTGCTGCATCTACTATAGCTTCATAATGACCATTCTTCTCCAGCCAATCCTGTCAGCATTATACATACAGACATCCCAAAAGAACCATAAGCTTCAAGAAACTTAACCCTATTCAATTCTGATTCAGTTATTGACAGTAATTCACCATCAATTTAAATGGTAACTGACCTGAAATTCACTAAAATTAGCCTTAACCTCCCTATCCAAAGCCAAACCTGCTATCGATCGAGCAAACACCTCGATTTCTTCATCAGCAATATCAACACAAGCCAATTGCTCCCCACAACATAAACATTTTCCATCAACATCAACACTCCCTTTCTCAACAACCCACTTCCCTTTTCCAATCCATCCCAATCCATGCCACCCTCCACCATTCCTATCAATGGCATCTCTAATCAGACCCAAATCCAATTCGATTTCCATCCCATCGCAATCAAATCGGTTGAACCAATTCCTAATCACAACCGAAGTCTCCTCCCTCACACACCTCACGATCTTCCTCAATTTCTGCAGATATTCATAAACCCGATCACGCTTACCAGTCTCTGAACTCACCTCAAGCAATGCCGCGAGCACAGCTTCCTCCAAAGCAACACCATTCCTTCCCATGTGCTCCTCGACTTCAAAAGCCTTCTCCGCCTCCAACTTCTCGCAGAAGCAGAACAGCGCCGGACCGTAAGTCCGCAGCCGGGGCGGCGAGTTAGGTACGGGGACCATGTTTTTCACCAGATCGAAGGCGCGGTCGCCGTCCCCTGTGGCAGCAGCGAGGCGAGCGACGGCGGTTATGGAGGCCTCGTTGGGTTTAATCCCGCTGCCCACCATGCGATCGTATATGCGGAACCCATGTTCCAAGGCGAGGTCTTTGGTCGATGGGTCGGCGAGGGAGATGGAGCAGAGGTAAAGCAGAGTGTTGAAATGGTGCTGGCTGAGGCGGACGGCGGGTTTTCTCTCCTGCGGCGGAGTCGTAGAGGGAGAGGGCCGAGCGGAGGTCTTTGGATTTGGAGAGGGAGTTCAGGTTGTAATTGAATTGAGCTTCCGCTGATTGGTTCTTCGCCTTCTTCTTCCTCGGCGGCGCCGCAGCCATGGATAGATTTGGAAAGTGATGAGGGTTTTGGAAATATTGGTTTGCCGCGCCATTTTCTGTTTCATTCACTTTTGGGCTTATTCTGGCCCAGTATATTGGGCTGGGGCCTCACTTTTGGGCTTATCGAATAGTTTTAACATCCACAGCAATTTGTAAATAGGAAAATACAGGGTCAATAGGTGACCGGGATCTCCGTCGGAGTGTCGCCGGTAAATGCAAGCTCCTCTCAACTGCTCCGAAGTAAACACCTGAGAATTGAGATCCGTGGTTCGCAAAGGCAACAAGGAAACCATTTTCTCAGAACAACGAAGGCGGCGGCAACAACCAACAAGCACTTTGACAGTCACCATTTTGTTGAACACAAATTTGGACAGAGCCGACGGCGACAAGAAGTGAATGATATACCCTGCTCGCCGGCGGAGCTTAAACAATTAATAATATGACTATGACATGGCAGGAAAAGTACAGGATCGACAAAGTGGGGACGAATTCCAAAAACACACATGTTTTTCAAAAAAATTCTCAAAATACACACGTTATAAAAAAAATGCCCAAAATATACATATCTGAACATCACCGCTGTTGTCAACCGCAGTGAATGCATTCACCGCGGCAGACCAACACGGTGAATGTATCACCGCGGTTGACGGCCGCAGTGAATGCCCGACTTAACTCTGAAAATTCAAACAAACGTAACTTTGCGCTCGGTTATCCGATTAGCGAATTTTTTTTTATTCCATATAACTTTTCAAGATCTTTCAATCTGCAACAAGATTTCATCTCAAAAAAATGTCGTTTGTTATCCCGAACGAGCAATTTTTCGATTTTGCCAAACTTTGGAAGGACATAACTTTTAGCTCCTCAATCCGAACGTCGTAAAGTTATTTTTGATTGCGCATAACTTTTTAAGAACTACAACTTTTACTAGGAAATCATTTTTTTAAAAAGAAGTACTTTTGGGTATAGGAGATTTTGGGAATAACTTTGCCTTTACTTTTCACAAATTCACATACTTTCCAAAATTATGGTTATAATAAAAGTTGTAGTAGTTCAAAAGTTATGCAACATCAAAAAAAGTTTTATGACATTCGAATTGTGAAGCACAAAGTTATGATCTTCCAAAGTTTGTCAAAATCGAAAAATTGCTCGTTCGGGGTAACAAATGATTTATTTTTGGGATGAAGTCTGTTTCACATTGAAAGATCTTGAAAAGTTATGTGGAATCATAAAAAATTCCTTCAATCGGATAACCGAGCGCAAAGTTACGTTTGTTTGAAGTTTCAGTGTTACGTCAAGCATTCACCGCGGCCGTCAACCGCGGTGATGCATTCACCGCTTTGGTCTGCCGCGGTGAATTGACAACAGCGGTGATGCCCAAATATGTGTATTTTGGGAAATTTTTTTATAACGTGTGTATTTTAGGATTTTTTTTTTTTTAACATGTGTATTTGGGATTTGTTCCGACGAAGTGGGATTTTTTCCGACAAAGTGGTAGGTGAAAGTCGTCGTCGATTCAACACTTCGTTCCAAGATTGGCCCGACTCTTTATGATCCACAGTGAACAAACAATTTTAAGCATGGCCAATTCGTCTACCAACCACCTTCCCTTCCCTGTACCTGCAATCAAATACCACTGGTTTTCTACTTCAAGTTCTACTGCCTACTACTACCTTCCCTGTCTCCTTCTCATAGTTAAAAAAAAGTTCCAGTTCACGAACAAAAACAATGGCGGACGGCGAAGTACGAGTGCTGTCCTCAGGTTTAGTTCAAGCAGAGGGGCTTACCAAGCTAGCAGCTGCTGCAGAAGAAAGAATTCCCCTCACTCCATGCGACCTGCGTATCATTCTCTTCGGGACCATCCAAAAGGGACTTCTCTTCCAAAAACCCACCAATCCTTCAATCGACCAAGCCACCTTGATCCAGACCCTCAAATCCTCCTTCTCCCGCGCGCTTGCCCTGTTCTACCCCTTCGCCGGCCGGCTCTCCGTCGACAAACACGATGACGACGGCACCGCCTCTATTTACATCGACTGCAACAACGCCGGCGCTCTGTTCGCTCACGCCGTCGCCGACGGCGTCTCCGTCGCGGACATCCTCGACCCGCTCTACGTCCCGCCGGTGCTCTGGTCGTTCTTCCCCCTCAATTGGATGATGAATTACCACGGGTTCTCCCAACCCTTTATAGCAGTTCAGGTCACGGAGCTCGTAGATGGGTTCTTCCTCGGCTGCACGATCAGCCACGCGGTCGCCGACGGCCCGACTTTCTGGCGGTTTGTGAATTTCTGGTCCCAAATCTGCCGTTACCCCGGTGGTGGTGGGGATTCAGCCAATAAGTCGCAGGTTTTCACCCGGCGCTGGTTTCTCGACGAGAAGCATCTGCCGATTAGGCTGCCGGCGGCGATGCTCGAAGATTTCAAACAAGATCCCATCCCAATCCCACCGCAGGAGCTGAAAGAGCGGGTTTTCCACTTCACCCGCGAGAAACTCGCGGCGCTGAAAGCACAAGCCAACGACGAAGCCGTCGCCGCCGCGGGCGGCGACGGCCAGATATCGACTCTGCAAACCCTAATTTCCCACATCTGGAGGGCGGTGTTTCGAAACAGAAGCGAACCGGATCCAGATCGGGAGGCCCATTTCCACCTGCACTTTGGGCTCCGACAGCGGCTCCAGCCCAAGGTCCCGGAGAATTACTTCGGGAACGCCATCGTGGGCCGGCCGGTGGGCCTGAAGGTGAGCGAGCTTCTGGAGGCGGAGAAGGGGCTGGGGCGCGTGGCGGCGGCGATTCACGGAGTGGTAGCGGAGCAGACGGACGAGAAGCTGAAGGAGGCGGTGGAGGATTGGATCGGGAACCCTAAGTTTGTGGGGACTGATGTGTTTGTGACGGGGACGATGGGGCTGAGTAGCTCCCCGAGGTACGACGTTTACGGGAACGATTTCGGGTGGGGGAAGCCGGTGGCGGTGAGGAGCGGAGCCGGGAATAAGTTCGACGGGAAGGTTACGGTTTTCCCCGGAGTGGAGGCGGGGAGCATGGACGTCGAGATTTGCTTGTCGCCGGAGACGGCGGAGGGAGTGGGAAGGGATTTGGAGTTTATGGCTGCAGTCGGCGTTTGAAAAATCTGGCTGTGATTTTTTTTTTTTCTATTTCAATCGGCTTTTGGTTTTGTTAAACCGATTTAATGATTTCCAACTCGGAGATGTAATGATTTCGAACATTGTCAAATCGATTTATATCATTGTTTCAATACGACGAGCATCACACACTTCTCAAAAAAAAAAAAAAAATTTGAAGCTTGAACAACTCGTCAAGCTTGCAACTCCTTCCTTCATGTTTCATAGTAGCTCAAATCCATCTTTTGAAATTAGTAACCGCTAATTTAAATCGGTTAACAAAAATTAGTAAACAAATAATAATTATGCGTTGCACCGATATTGTAGGTCATGCACTTTCTTGCTTTGAGGATCCGGGAGCTCCTCTTGACTGTTCAAATACATCATCTTCATGTGTTGATTCCTGGGACAACTCAAACTTCGTGTGTTAGATTTTTGGGACAACCTAAATTGGATCTTCATCCTTAGCTTTCTTGGCTCGCATTTTCATTCGATCCATTATTCAAAAGCCCTGAAACTATTATTGTAAATAAGTCACACACAACTAACATTAATCATGAAACCAACTAGTATTCAAATATTGGTAGACAACGAGTATTCCAACAGGTTACAACTAGCACTCCATAAGTTATCGTTTGTATTCACCAGGAAAGCAATTATTATTCGAAAACTATGTATGCAACTGCCAACAAGTTTTCAATCATGCACATGTATTCAAATATTTGTAGGCAACAAGCATTCAACTGGTTACAACTAGTACTCATAGTGTAAGCAACTAGTATCCGTCGTATAAGCAACAATGTAGAGTGTAGACCATCACACATTACATACAAAACTTCAATCAAAAGGCAGGACGCCAATATGAATACAAGGTAGAGATATGGATGGTATGTTTACGCTCCACTTTGCTGTGGGTATTCTTCTTCTGCAAGTAACAGTTTTTTTTATGTAAATTTGACTAAAAAATTGTGTATACATATGGGTTAGACTGATGTACTCATACAATATGAATACTATACCCACAAACAACTCTCGCTCTGTAGGGATGACAACAAAACCTGAACCCACAAGTACCCACCCGATCCAACTCGATCAACGCGGGTAAAATCCGTGTTGACGGGTTTTGGGCCGGATTTGGGTTTGAACCCGTTTACTATTCACCGGGTTGGGTTGCGTTTGGGTTTAGGTAAATCCGACCCATGGGTACCCGCCCACACCCATATAATTAATTTTATCGGTTTATTTTATATTCTAAACAACTAATCTTATTTATGTTTTGTGGAGACATGTGTAATTTTTTCTTTCTAATTTTGTAGAATGAAGTAGATGTTATCGAGTGGAGAGTGAAGAAACTTAATTGAAAGGAAGAAGCTTTCAATTAATCATGTTATTAATGGATAATTTGTGATTTGCTTCAATTTTCTTGAGTTTTCTAAATTGGTGTTGAACAATTTGTATAGTTAATTTGTGATTTGCTTGAATTTTCTAGAATGGTGTTTTAAATGAGAAATTTTACAATGCTATATAGTATTGGTGCTATAGGTTTTTGCCTTTATGGTACAACTTAAAATTGTACATTTACGTTATGGTACAACTTTAGATTGTACCTATACTTTTTGTACAAATTCTTTTATGGTACAACTTGAACTTGTACCTTTATGTGATGGTACAACTTCAAGTTGTAAAGTTGTACCATAACATAATGGTACAAATTGCATTATGGTACAACCTAAACTTATACATTTAATGTTATGGTACAACTTTGAGTTGTACATTAAAGCACCAATGCTATATAGCATAGTAGAAGTGCTCGTTTTAAATATGGAAAATTTGTATTGAGAGATTGATATTTGACTTTAATTTTGATAGGAACTTGTTATTGTAAATTTTTTACGACAAAAACCCGTGGGAATCCATGATCCCACGGATACCCAGCGGGTTGGGTTGGGTCGGGTTTGAGTTTTTCATACCCAGTGGGTTTTACCCCGGGTTTTTTTCACGGATAAACCCATGAGTTTGGCTTTGGCTTTGGCAAAACCCGATCCAACCCGACACTTTGTCATCCCCGTAGGTGCTAAATACGGCCACGTCGTCGTTTAGTCACTGTCTTTCTCTCTCTTCCGGTTCTCTTCTCCCTCAAACTTCCACTCTCCATCCAGCTTCCCCTGCGCCGTCGCCTCTACCACCCTTCTCTCCCTTGCTCCGCCGCCGCCGTTGCCGCCCAGGCTCCACTTTCGATCTTCCCACTTCCGGCCCACCTTGTTGCGCCGTCCCACTCGCCTCCCATAATTCACTGTAGCGCGCTTAAGCCAATTTCATTGGGAGGCACTTCTGCAGAGACTTCTCTCGACGGCTTATTGCTTGAAGTATTAAGTTTATAACGCCATTCATTCAAACAGGGTCCTCCCTCCGTCTCTTTTCCAGCATTTGGAAGCAAAGATTGTACCTTTTCTACTATTTTTTTTGAAGAAAGACAGAAGCGAGTGGCAGAGGACGACCTGTGAAGGCTGTGATTCATTTGGTTAGTATGAACTTGGGTTGTGCTCCAGGTGTTTGATGAAATTCCTGAACGAGCTTAAAATTTTCCGGCTACGATTCAGTTTTTTCCGAATTTCTGTTTCAGTTAAGTAGTGTTAGTTTGTCTGAGATTTTCAAGTGGAATGCTGTAGAGTGATGTTTGGTTTTGATTGTGGAGTCTGTACTCTGCTGGACGTTCTTCTGATTCCTCACGCTGCTTTCTGTCTCGTCTTTTTTTCACCCAGGTCCTGCTACACTGAAATAAAGGTTGTTCACTTCAACAGCAGCCATGGATGGTATGTTTACGCTCCACTTTTGTTTACCTCTATGGAATTCATCGGTCTTGAGATGACATTTGGAAGGCTTTCGTTTAGATTTTTGTGCTGCCTGTATTCAGGGTCTTAAAGTAAAAGTTAGTTGTTTCAGCAAGAAATTTTTGCCTTGCCATGTTAACTCAATACAACACTGAATCAGAGCTCAAATTGGTATTATAGTGTGTTGAGGTGGAAACAACAATGGATCCTGTTTAACTTCTCGTGTGCATTATGTTTTCTGTATGGTTTCATCCTTGATTGATACTTGCAGAAACTGTGCTCTCATTTCTTGTTTGCTTTCAGTCGATGCGCAGCCAACGATGGAGGAAACCATATTGGTCGGGGAAGACCTAATGTTGGGGCCACCATCTCCTCTCATCCCGAAAGAAATTGCCTCTCATGTGGTGGAAGGCGTTGAATTATGCGATGGAGTCTTAAAGAACCTTTTCTTATGTGAGTTTGCTGTTCCTTTGTTAAGAGTAGCAACAACTGTTCTTTCTGGTCACTAAGTCTTAACTGTACAACCAGTGGCTTGTCACGAGTCTCTGAGAGATAATAGGAGAGATCAAAGTACTTTTCCAATCTGACCCAGTGTGGTAACCACTGGTATTCATACTTACTTCTTCATGTAGGCTTGCAAGTCAATGACATTGAACCTTTCTGTCAAGACGAGCTTTCTTTGTACAGAGAATGTGCTGAAAAGCGGGTGAGTTGGATTCATTTTGCTGCATAACAGCATCCATTTCTACATTAGGATTTTGGAGAGTTGGATTGTGTTTCATCCCAGGAGATTTTATGTTTCCCCCCTTTCTTTTGATGTCATGGGAGACTTAATGTCTGAAAAATGCATTTCAGGATAAGATGCTAAGGCAACGCCTTCAAGACAGTGAACACAAATTGGGGTTATCAATGCCCTTGGATCAGGCGAAGGATCGTGTTGCTCAACTTGAAGCAGAAGCGACAGCTTTTGAGAGGTAGGTTGTTTCTGTGTGGTTAGTTCTTCCCCACCCCCAACCCCTAAATGGCTACAACATCTTAACAACAGTTTGCTTGTCTTAATTATTATCTCGAAACTGAATTTATTCTGTTATAAGTTGTATATTCTTGGTCTGAATTGCAAGCGCTCAATCTGCAACACACATGCCTGCAAATCCCATTGATCGTTATTGTAATTATTGTCATAGAGTACCTTTAGGCTTAAGCTTAACCGAGCATGTGATTATGAGAAGGTTGTAGTTCTTTTTCTGCACATGACGAGAAATAAATGCTCCATGTACAATCTTCAGCGTACCAACATTATTTTTTGAATTCGAGCTTAATGGAACCTCTTGTGATGGCATTTTCAAACTTAACATCAATGATGACCGAGTATTTTGACTACACTTATCATGCAGCAAAATATCTTCATATTTGTCTCCGATTTTTTGAATCCGGGTTGTTAGGATTAGATTCCTGGATTGTCCTGCTAACCATATTTATCTCCGTGCTTGGCTTATTATTAGGCGCCTGATTCTTGCCAGTGGAGTTGAAGGCATTGAAGGATTTCGCCAAAGATGGAGCTTGCATGGTCGTATGAGTGACACCAAGTAATGCTCATTAATCATTAATAATATCCTTGTGATTCGTTGGCAGTGCAACGTGACATGCATTTTTGATGTGAATGTCAAACCCTCCCGAACTAGAATCTGTAAGACATGCAAATATCCTGTCAGATTTCGTTCATAGGAACCTAATCTGATCTTTCTGTTTGGTCTGTGCAGGAAACGGCTAGAGGCTCTAAAGCAGGGGATGGAGAGCAGAACGCCAGAGTTAAAAAATGATGAACCAACTCCAGCACCAAATAAGAAAAGATGGTTTCTCTGGTAACATGTTGGGGGCATTCCCCCTTTCTGTTTTTTGCTCCAAAGGGTCCAACCATGAGATAGTTCTCTCCATTTTTAAATCAGCTTCATTCGAATTAAGACAGAGGATGTCGTACCTGTGCAGTTGATTTAGTCGGTTAAGTGAGTATTAGGAGTGGAATCTGGCTCTAGATGATTACCAAAAGAACGACTGCGTCTCTCATCACTAGATGATATCTTTTGTAAACAATTCATCTCTTTTCTACACATGAATGCTACAATATTTACATGTAATATACCGCAGAGGGTACATGGAGCCTCGTCGATGCACCTATGGAATGTAATCACGTATGCACCAGTTTTATTTTTTGGTTCTGGTGACCAGTACAAGTGGACAGAACCTAGCTACTGAATCCATCCAAGATCCATGAGGTGCACTCTTCGAGGAGTTGAAACTTCTGATGGTGAGCGACGTTGAATAATATCTGCATTTTGCTTCGAAACTCGGCTGGATCCTCCTTGCACCTGTATGACCCAGCACACCCGCATTGTTCCGCTAAATGTGCAGCTTTCACCCGGTTGCACCTCAGACACAAAAGGTCCTGCAAATGGTACAGACGCTCTCTCTGCCGCACGATTTGGAGAAGGGCATTCTCCATCGCTTCTCGGTCGTAAGGCTGCCCACACTGCGGCATGGGGCATCGCCATTCTTGAGATTGTAGAGCTGAGTCCCGGCACAGGTCCAGGTCTCTGCAATCGTTGCAGTAGCTGTGCAAACATAGGATAAAATATCAAGCCCAGATCAGCATAGGACCAGGTTGAAAACTGGGGAGAATGAGACGTATGTTTTATCTTTGATTTGGTCAACTTTTTTTGTGTGTTCTTAGGAGGATCAGTGGGCTCGAAACCAAATCAACTTATATTCAATTCAATTTAGTGTTAACCTAATCGTTGTACGCATCTAATCAAAACTTATATTACTGGCTCGTTCAGATGTTTGAAAAGTTCAGCAAGAAAACCTGATGCTATTATTTTTGTGAAATTCATTCTCATACCTGCAAATTACGTTAGGTAAAACGAAAGAAGAGTGTGGATCATGAAACTCCGCTTCAGGGGCAAACTCCCGCACCCGTACATATTTGAGTAGGTTCTTTCTCATCACCTGGAAGGAACACAATCGCATTGCTTGTAAGTCGGAATAACGAAAATGTCAACCAAGTCTCAGCAACTCTCTGTTCGTACAACAATTACCAGAATCTCATGCTGAACATTCTGGTCAAGCGCCAGAACGGCGCAGACATGCTTGATGAATTCCAGGGCAGGATCCCCAATGTGGGTCCTGCCCATAACACCAGGTGGAGGCGACTGATTGTTGTTTTCAGACTTGTTTGTCCCTTTCATGTGAAGGACAGTATCTCGAACGATTCCTAGAAGCTTGTCCGTGAAGTAAGTGCCTATCTGAAACCGAGGAAAAAGCAATAGATTCAGAACTGGATTGACACAGATATCAAGGAAATGTGAAACATATATGAAGCTGCCAGTATTTCTCCTGAATAATACCTTATCTCTGAGGTGTTCGGCCAACAGTGATTCAAAAGACTCGGCAGCTGCTATGCTAATTGATGGAGTGCTAGAAGTGGAGTCTTGCAGAGATGCTCTTGTTGCGGCTCTCTTTCGGGCATAATCCCATGGAATGAACATGAACTCAGAGACAATCAACACAAAATGATCCTGCAAACGAACCATGGCCAGGAGCAAATTTAACAAATTGACAAGGGACGCAATTCAGCCACTGTAACGACAGAAAGATGTATGTATTTGTAAAGTGCTCATTCTATGAGAATGTACAGCAAGGAACTGGTTTTTTTTTTTTTTTTTTGCCAAAAGGTCACCTGAATTTGCTTCGGCAAGTAGTCAGCAACATTCCAGCTTGACACAATGTCCACTTGAGATTCTTCTCGTTGGGAATGATCGTCTTGTGAGTCATTTTCAGAAAGACCATCAACTTTTGCAGGAATTCCCCCATAATTATACTGTCAGAGAACCAAAATTGCAACGAGTCAATTAGCAGCTTTAATCAGTGGGATCAGGCATATAAATTCTGACGTCAGAATAAGGAATCATCCAAAAGCTAGGAAGAATGTACGACATTTTAAGCTGTACGGTTGAGAAAGTCTGAAAGTGCAAATTAAAACTATCAGTGACCTCCTAGTGCTATAAGTTAGCTTGCACCAAAGTACAATCGTATGCAAACTTCAAGTTAAATCACCCTAAATGTGTATTTTCCCCCATTCTAGTATTCTAAGCTTTTTCTTTCTTCAGCTACACGGTGATTCTTCAAATGTTCTGTCCGGAAAGGTTAAGGCATGACGAGGGGAAAAGCGAGCTCCCGCATTTGTTAATCTAACTTATTTGCTAAACAAATAGACCCAAAAGTCTAGACAAGTTGACTTTTCAAAACTCGAGAGATTTGTGTGGCAACCAAACCTGATCCATAAAAAGTAAAGTATGCCAATACTGCAGCGGCTCAAGCTCAATCCATTCAAACAGTTCCCTACAAATAGCCCAAACAGAGTTAAAGGAAATAGCCGGAGAAGAAGATTAGTTTTTGAAGACTTGGAACAGATGTAGAGACTCACCTCGTTTGCAATGTTTTGAGCAAGCTATCACAGTATGCTTTTGCTGTAGAGATGCTCAATTTACCGGTATCAATGATAATCTTAGAAAAATTTGCGAATATGATTGTGGCACCCAATTTGCGAAATTCAGCCAACAGCAGGGCAAACACCTTTTGCATGACCTATCAAAACATTCACTCAAGAAGTCGTAAACATTGGAGTGCAGCTTATCCATTGCAGAAAAGAACAAAGAAAATGTGCAGAAGACATACCCTGTAAAGTATGTGATGTAGTGCTGGGTCATGAAGCTTTGACTGGGGGCTGCAGCAAGAGATCAACCACATTACTTATTATTTAAGTCAAGAATAATCAGCAAGTAAGAAGTTACGATACTACACCTGCAAAGCCAGCGATACAAATGTTGCAACAATGCATCAGCAAAAACGTTCCCAGATGTGACGGCGTCTGCAAGGCACCTCTGGACCAGCTGTTTCAAGACACGTAATGCAGGGGCAGAAAGAACGGCCTCATCCACACCATACTGCTCTGCCCCAGAAGTTGATTCCTGCTCAAACCCTAACAAGGCACCTCCTTCAATTTCATTCACTTGGTTACTTTTCAGGAGGGCATTCACAGCAAGGTTTTGAATCTGCAGAACAAAACAAGGGCTCACTACAGAGGAAAGGTGGAAAAAAAAAATTGTCAGGAAGAAGAGCAGAGATGCTGTAGGAAAAGGATGTCTTCGAACCTTTAACTCCACGGAAACTTTTCTATAAGCTCCAGGGTATACAAGAACAGGTTGATGAACCTACTTCGACAAAGGAATAAAAAAAAACAATGCTAGATCAAAAGTTTGATAAAAGGCTCAGGAAAGAATGGAAGCACCAAAGTGCTATTGGTAAGAAGTAGAATGCACAGATGGACACCGCATATTCATAGGAAGTGGAGATGAAGGTATCAAAGACCTGAAGCTGACTGTTGAAATATTTGTCAACTACATTGCATGAGTCGAGATTTACCTCATCAGCAAAGCAACTATGTTCCTGTTTGATGCCTCCTAAATCTGGAAATCCATCATTTGAAATCCAAAGCACCTAGAGAAATACTCAGTTAGATATGCAACAAATTCCATCTTACTGATGAGTGACATAAAGCCAGCATCTGGATACGTATTACTCTTTAACAGAAAACTGATTGACAAGCTTATATGAAACTACATATAGAGAGGGAGTGCTCTCTAAGAAACGTTTGAAGGACTTGACGACCTCCTATAGAGAACAAATGGCCCGCAGCAACACTTTTCTAGCAAGAGTACAAGACTAAGTTACCCAACCAAGTACCTGTTGTTGATCCCTTAATGCCCTTGAGAAGAAAATGTCTGCAGTGAATAAAATCCAGTCAACTTCAAAGTTCCCTAACGGCACCTGCACCAGCAGCAGCAAATTTGTTAAATCAATAAATTATGATATATGCAGAAAGAAACTACTACCAGAAAAAATAGGTGAGGAACACATTACATGAGCATATCTTGAGAGAGAAATTCTCCCATTCAACCACTGGGATGATGCAGCACAGCGTTGCATTCCCAATTTCGCAGCCACATTTTGCCACCCAAGAACCTATCAGATGCAAAAAGAAATATGAGGTGTAACTTGCATGAACGTAGAAACATGATTTGGTTTCACATATGCATATGAAGCAGAAAACATAGATTAAATTACCTGATACTGACTATCATGGGCGTTGTAAGGTACGTTGACACATGGGAAATTATCAAGAGCTGGTACAGCTGATTTCATCAAATTAGAACTTGGGCATTCTATCACAGCAACGGTAGGTCCATGATATTTATCTCTGTTAAAACAAAATAGTTAGTCCACTGTATAACTCGTTCACTGGAGCAGATTGTTCGCCACATATTCTTCCATATGCATGCTTCCAGGAATTCCGCAGAAAGATATCAGCATGGAGTAAAACCTGAGTTCATTAATTTTTCCTTGCAAAAGTATTTCTGCATCCTTGACAATTCCCACGTAGTCCACCTGTAATTAGTTTCAATGAAAACAAGGCATAAAAGAAGTTACAAGACTATTCAAGCATCAAAAGGTCTAGTCAACTTGTTTAATTTAATAATAACTTAATCTTAATTTGTCAAGAGGGAGATGCACAAAATACAAGTATGACACGGAGCCACATATCAATTGTCACCTTGAAAACAATATCATTCCTGGAAGCTGGAGGCTCAATAGATAATTGATGGCAAGCTTCACGAAATTGTCTCTCAATAAAAGCTGGGGATATGTCCTTATTTTGATAAGGGTTTACAACCACAAGGTTTATGACCCGCAGTGCAGGCATATAAAGAACATATGTAGCACGCCCTTCTGAAATGCTGCAACATTTAATAAATAATCAGAATGGATGCACATAATTAGTTGAACACAAAAATTATTTATATAGAAGTTTGAAGCCCGCTTTACATTAGAGGAAGCCTTCGGAACCATGGTCTAACTGCACATTTGTTCTTGCCAACAATACATAGAATAACAAGTAACCTTTAGGGTTTCAAGTGATACGCACTGGAGGTAGTTGCAGTAAGTTATATAAGATCCGAACATGTATATGCTGGAACCAAGGAGCGCTGCAGCAATCCATGGCTTCATCATGGAGGGTTAAGCCAAAAATTACTAGCAGTAGAGTACCTGTTGCCTTTTACAAACTTTAATTTTAAAAATGAATTCAAGAATAAGTTTTTAATCACCTTTGGTAGAGGTAGAAAAAAGAGATAGACTCTTCCAAATAAGCACACTCCGTGGTATTCTTCATATGCAACTCACTGAGACTCCAACCATCCTGGGCAGTTCTTTTGGCAGTAGATTTATCCACTTTGCAAACACATCCAAGTTGGACTACAGCATTGAACTCCAGAGGGACATGTGTCTCATATATCCCCTAATTAAATGAAAACATGTCAATGTGAAACGTTCAGACACACAAATTTTCTTTAACCATAAAGCACAAACACATGTTTTGACCTAATTCCAGCTAAAACTATTAAGAGCCAAAAGTAAAAGGAAAACCTTACCTAACAGTATAGGTCTTAATCAATAATTTATAGTACTACAGAAGTATGATGGAATAGTTGCATAGCAAGAGTTTCCAGACAATTAATATTGTAACTCCGTTTACAAAGGAAACAAGAGAACATGTAAACAAATGCACCAGATAACATATATCTTTCCAATGGCTGACAGGCATAATGATAATATAACCCAAAAACCTTCATGCATGTATGAATTAGAATATGCCCAACCTCAAATTCTGGATCAGCAAGAAGAGCTGCCAGGTTCCTGCTTTCTTTCTTGAATCTCTCTTCATCAACAATAACCTGTTGATGAACCAGGTTTGACAAAAAGGTACGTCACAAACTGATGATAGGAGATTACCAACTAAAAGAAAGAGAAAAAAAGAAAACAGGACAAGCTCAGTATTCAAGTACCTCAACCAAATTATAGCTATGCTTCCCATGTGGAAGAGTCTTGTTAACACGCTTTCCAGGAAACTTTTCAGTCGCTGGTGCTTTGGAGTTGAGATAGAAGACCCTTGGAACAGTTATAGGAATCTTGAGCATGATTCCATCAACGACAACCCAAGCATAAAATTGTCCACTGCGAGAACCAGGTAGCAGTTGTATAATCTGAAACAAAAGAAAGAAGATGAATGAATACTCAAATTACCATAACTACCTTTATAAACGCATTATCAAAACTGTCACCTGCCAATGGCATCGTGTTAAAGCTACTTCATGTGTTCTAAAGTATGAACCAACACCAGTCCTGCGATGAGCCTCTTTCTGTTTTCCCAGACCACTTTGCAGTTGGGAAGCACCATTAAGCTGATGCGAGCTTCTTGAATGGCCAACCCTAGGATAGTTCACAAATGCATATATCAAGACACATAATATACCAGGTAAAAATCTGTGCACATGCATACAACTGGTTCATTGAAGATGCCGTTGGAAGGTCCTGGACAAATTAAATGGAAAGGATATTGAAACGGAAATGGGATTCAAGAAAATGGTTTAAATAACAAACCCTTAGGTTAAAATTATAGCGTACCTTGAAACATGAAGCACAAATGAGCCTACATAGAAGCAAGTAGGAGAAAAACATAACTAATATATACAGGAAAACAAATATGTACCTCTGTTTCTTCCTCTTTTGTATCCCCTCCTTCCACTTCCTCTTCTTTAACTCAAGCCATCCTTGATAGTCAACATTTCTGTCAATATTATCCGGAGGAAGATCATTTTGCATTGCAGGTGCAGACTGGTCATTTGTGTTTTCGTTATGATCAGCATGCAGATGCAAGGAATCTGCTGGGCCGGTCGCCTTGTCAACAGATTTCCCATTTAGAGCTTTATAACAATGTACAATTGGTCTAGGTCCATTCAAAGAACTGCTTTTTTTCTGGAAGTCCTCCAAATCACCCAGATTCTTCTCACTGATTTCATTGCTGGTGATGACATCATTGGTATTCTTGCCAAATAACTCACTTTTGTTTATTGGCTTGAAGACATCAACTAATTTCCTTTGACGAAATTTGTCTTCCTTTTCGCGAACCTTTCTATGCAGCCAATCAGGATGAACTACCCTAGGTACCGGGTTTGCAACCTGAAACGATTCAGATGATCAGATCAACTCTATAAGGCCAGAAGAGAGGATAGATGATATAGCTTGTAAAGCTAGGAAGCAGTAGAACCTTCTGCATGGCAGCAGGTATCGTAATAATCTTTTGAATTGCTGAACCAAGCCGTTGCTTGTAATATTCCCAGTCAATAATGGATCGAATGCCAACCTCTGATGGAGTCTTGCACCATTTCCGTAGATAAAATTTCATAATTTCTGTGAAAGTTCAAATGCAGTCTATCAGCTGAAGAATGAAAAAGTTAATCAAGACTATATTTGTGAAATTTTACCAGTATCAGTCTCAAAGATTGCAACAGGAACTGCTCGTTCACTCACTGGCGTACCCTGCTCGTATAAGCATTTCAAGAGTCTTTTATCAGTAATTCATGAAATCAAAAGGAAAACGGAACATAACAAAGTGGAATGGTGTAAGATGAGAACAGCCATAGCATTACAATGGAGACTAATCTCTAAGATTTGCAGGACAAAACTAATTCTAGGAAATAGGAAAGCCGAAGTGTTCTAAGGCCCTACTACCAAACTAATTATGCAGCACTCTCCAGTGTATCTTCAGTTCAGCGACTTCATGTGAATAAGTTTAAATTGGAGGAAGGGGTTTATCTCTTGCATTTGTATTTCCTTTTCATATTAAGTCATTCGTGAGTAACTACAAAGATCTCATTGGCTCCTGATGTATTATCTCCAGCCATGAATTCCTAACAGCAATTAGGTGGGCTGGTACACAAAATATAAGTAATTTCCAAAGCATCATTCCTTAAAACAAGATCATACCTTAGGTTCACAAGCAACGATATACTGGCAACGCAACCCTTTATCTTTAACCATTGTACCACCTAGAAAATCTGCAAGACGCTTTGCAGTAGTTACTGCACATGACTTCTGTTCACCATAGTCTGCCAAAGACTTGCTCATTGTACTAGATTCAGAGATGTAATCAAGCAGCTCAGTGTCAGCAATATCCTTCCCTTGATTCTAAGGAAAAATCAGAAGAATAACAATTAAGATAAAAGCCTATGAGAGCTTCCATGGTTTGCTAACTAAAGAGAACACAAACAAGCAGACATAAAGAAACCCAGAAGTAAAGGATCGAGAAAAATGAAGTTCGGATGAAGAGACAAAAATCATGAACTTGCGTACATCAAGTAGATCAAGCCAGCGGTTTGCAACAGCAGCTACAGCTGAATAGCATTCCTCCATTGTTGATCCATCAAGGAACTTGTCAAAAAGCTCGGCCTGCAAATGTGGAAGGCATTAACAGACAGAAAAGAAGGAACTTGTTCTTATTTACGTTGCAATAGGTGAGGTTTTATGCAGTGATTCTAGAATTAAGACCAAATCATCTTGGGGAAATCTTGAACCACATCACAAGGGAAATTCTGACATATTACTTCCACGGCATTATCATATCCGAACTCTGCCGACAAAAAGTTGTTCTTAACAAAGACAAGGAAGCAAATAACTGTATATGACTATTAAGAAGTCAGACATCAAGGAAGTTGTTCTGACATATTACAAGATATATGCCTCTTCACAGTTTAAGCGGCTGATAAGCATATTCATTTTTAGGGTCTTAAATTTGATCAAATTCAAAGATGATTATAAATTTATATCACCTACCACAAAAATCACCACACATGGGCCGATGAAATAAGTCCACAATTAAACTTATAATAATAACAGCTTCAAAATGTCTAGAATTTGTACACTCAGTCTTGAAGAACATTGTGAAATCGAGAAGGTAGAGCAGCAGTAAAGTTTACGAGTGAAATTGCCTAACTTGCAGACCCTACTGAAAATGTATAAATAAATACAGTCATGATAAACCAAAAGCTGGCATCACCAACAGGACAGGATACGAAAGAGAACAAGAAAATTCTTCAGCGCTAATGAGCTTAAAGAGTAAACTGACACGAAATCTATTCACATTAGGTTGAAAATATTAATTATAAAGTTCAGTACCTGGAACACTTTGATGAGCTTGAGCTCGCCTCGACGTTTGATTTCAAACCCTTTAAGCTCTGCCAAAGTTCCGTCATCATTGAAAACAGCATATCTCTTCTTAATTAGAATTCCTTCTTCTTTTGAAGCAGGAAGAATCATAGCCTGTATGACAGAATAGTCAGCAAAAAAGAAACCAGAACGTAAATGCTGTACCAAAGAAAGAATACATTATTTTTCACTACCTTATAGGGGCCATCCACTTCAAATTCAATTGAGCATTCACTGTGAGTGGCATAAGTTTTATTGACAGGATCCATGAGTGTCTGCTAAGGAAAGAGAAAGTTAGAATTGCAGGAGTGCAGTGTTTGCTTCAATGAAAAAAAGCCAAAAAGATAGTAATGACATATATTTCAGACACAAAACCAAACACCACGAAAAGAAAAGGTCAGACAAGATTTTTTTAATGTGGTTGAAATATAAGTTTTGAAGTGACCTGGTATTGATCATTTGTATTGTTTCTTGCCACATCAACATTCAGCATAACACAAGGATATGAGATTGTCAGTTTTTTCTTCAAGTCCCTGAAACAAAGAACCAGGGGAAATTAGAATGACTAGATGGAACGTTTTTTCACAAAATATAGACCGCAGGTAAATGACAATCCATTCTTGTAGGAAAAGACAGTATAGTTACGGTGCATTACAACACAAGTTACAAAGCATTAACTCATTTGTGTTACTTTTGGGATCAATACACAGCAGAGCGACTTACGTGGTCTTAAAAGTAAAGTTCTCTGGAAATGACCCAGGCAGGCAACACCATATACCGTCAGTGTCTAGTTCAAGCGGTTTACCAATCTTATCCACAAGCAAACGAGCATTCTGGATTATCTTTGCTCCTGTATATGTAACTACACCAGCCATTTCCATTGAGTACCATCGTGCACCCCTGATTCCAAAAAAAAATAAAAAAGCATTTGCCCACATTATACGAAACCATATCAGGATGCTGACATGTATAGAAATACATATCATTTATCATATGACCAACTCATGCACGCTACCAACTCACTTGCGCATGACATATCCATAGAACGAGTTAAGGATGCACTTATGAGCTAGTTGCAAGGAATCATAAACCACTACCATGTCCTGGAAGAATCCATAAAAAAGCCAATTAGTGTCCAGAACTAGTTGTAGACTTGGAATATTTACAAACTATTCAAATACAAAAAACTGTGATACCTGTGCCTCCTGGATTTTTATAGAATTCCCACTGGCTTTGGCTTCAGCCAACTTGCCCTTCCAAACCTTATTAAGTCCTTTGTATTCATATCTTCTATCACGAAAGCTGGAACAAGCAGATTGAAGAACATTCAGTAACAGAAGTATCAATGTTGCATTATGCAGCGAACCCAAATGCATGCCATGCAGATGAAAGGTAACGGATACATTACAGATATAACAATTAAAAGATGAAAATCCCGGCAGAAAATGGCAATTATATGAGCTGAAAATGAGCGAACATCATAACTAAACACCTGCGAACAGTGTCAACATAGAATGGATTCTCCCGCATGCAGATGCCTGCTTCTCGAAGTTCAGTCACAGGTTTGTCAAGTACCCTTTTGTATGCCTAAAGAATATGCAAAAATTAAACCATAAACAATATCTATTCATATATTACCACATAGAACCATAAACAATACTTGATAAAGCAGTATACTCAAATTTGGCAAGCACCTTCTGGCAGTATTTCTTTAGACGCTCCTTGAGTTTTGTTTGTTGCTCTACTTTTGGCAGTGCAATAAAAGATTTTGCTGGCTGTCCATTATTCCCATCAACAAACTCGGATTCAATTTGCTTCTTCAAATGATAGTAGTCACTGAAATGTATTACAGTGAAGGCCACTGGCAATTAGCACTTTTAATGGCTAATTCCTAGGAAACAGAAAAATAAGCATGAGAAAATAGTGGTGGATGAATAAAATACCTCCTTTTGGCTGTAAAAGTTTCTCCACGCCAAACCCAGTCAAGCTTCCGAAGACAGGTTTTGTCAGGGCGGTTGAAATCACATGCGGTGCAAATCTCATCTGTAACTATAGATGGAGGCTGCAAGAGAAAAGTGGCTCCATCATGTATTACTATTTTTTTCAACAATGGGAAATGGGAAGCTACTGCCTAAATAATTGTACTAGAACTAGGTCTAAGATTAAGCGGTAAGGTGCATTTGACGAATTGAAATCATTATATGAAATCTCCAGATTTATGAGATACATAACAATATTGAAAGCGTTATTAGTAGAAAGAGAGCATAGTATCTATGGTATGCATCAACAAATTGAATAAGTGAAGAACATAACACCACATTTAGATAAAAAGAAATTAAATGGGCTTGAACAGGTAACAACGCATAGAAAGAACATACAGACCAAATTTAGACAAAAAAAAAAGATAAATTAGAAAAGAAATGAACATTGTACATGCTTTTCCATATTATTAGTACAGTACCTATGGACTACATTACCGGCCCTCCAAAAACACCGTTACAATGGAACCAAAAGTTTAACACTGAATCTCTGACCACATAGTGCAGAAGAAATGTCTTCTTTACTTTTATTGTCCTAGCTGGACACCAGAACAAGTAGGCCATACACATGAAACTGCCATCAGTTAATAGAATCAGCATACCTGTAGTCGGTTTGTTAGGATGATGTTTGGGTACATGGCAGCCACATCAAGATGGTAAATGAGAGGGCACTCTTCACGTACGGGTACGTCTCTCAGGCTCAAAAGCTGCACAAGCCGAAAACAGTAGCAATACTTAAATTGTTCTTTCTCTGTACTTACTTATATCACCAAGACAAGGTCAAGAAAAGCAACCAAAGAATGCTCCTCGATGAGCTTTAACTCTACACTCTAAACTTAAAAGTTAAATAGGATGGGTGGACAAGCAAGGAGGCAGATCAGGTTCCTGATCGAGATCAATTTTCATGCAATGCAGGTAAAACGAATCAACTAAGACGGGTGAACCAGCCAAGAAGGGTGATTATCTAAATGATCTAGAATTAGTAAAAAGCAATAAGAACAAGAGCAGAATAGTCACCTTTTCCATGATAGCACTCTTTACTTCGTCGTAGTTTGAGACAGTGTTCAGGTCCATCTTACCCTCTACTCTGATAGCATATTGTAGATCTCTATCAAGGTTTTGGATGAGTTGCTGAAAATGTAGGTGATAAAAAATCAGTCATATACCAATGGTCACTTTGGAAAGAAGCCTAAATTCTTGCAGATGAGCATGCCAATTAACAATAGGTATTGGAAGCTCTAGACAGACGAAAATTCCTACAACAAAAGTCGGAGAGGTGCATGGCAACTCCCATTTCTGAAAGACTAGCTTTCAAGGTCTCTCACGAAAGTTAAAAAGGAATCATTTGAGACAATGCACTTGAAATCTAGATATTAAATATGTAACCAATAAGAAGTATTCTGTAGACTACAATGTCTCCAATTATTGCTAGTAGAATGAGGATATTATTAATTGCCAGATGAAAGAAAACACAGGAAAAGCTACCAGCAAGGAAATTTCTGATGATCATTAGTCTTTGTCTCCAGCAAACGAGGATATTGTTAATAGGGCAATAAAGGAGCAAGGAATACTACTTAATGAAGAAGGTCATGCACGACATATAGCAGACATTAGAGACTATAATAAACAATAGCAAGAAGGCACACTTAGACATAGCATTTAGAAGTACACTGACGAGTTCGAAGAAGAATTTAGCTGAGAAATAATTCACTGATCATATAAATGAATGGACTCTGATAATGTTGCATATATACCAGAGCAAAAGCTCACCTCATATGCAGATGGATCAAGTTTGAAACTGGTAGGGATATCCGACCTGAAAACACCGCTTTCAAGGCATTCAACGTGACCGCCTATGTAGGTCTCACTCTCGAGAAGGTGATTCTTATAGAACTTTTCTGGATCAGATTGGTGCTTGTTAGGGCAAATAACATTTGCCATGAATGCCTGTATGATGTAAAGTAGTGAATAAAAATGGAGAGGAAAAAACTTTGAAGAAGAATGGGGTGTCGACAATGGACACAAGTGTATAGTGAGACTACCTGCACCATAAGAAGCATTTCACAAAGAGTGCCACTACCTTTACGCAAAACCTCATCAGGTGACATAGGAATTATAGTTGCTAGAGAGAAAATGAATGGATGCACGTAGGTCATGTACAAATAGTACGTTGAAACGGCATCAGAAACTGAATATGAGGCCATCATCTGTTAAACCATTTTCAAAAAATCAACAAAGTAACTGTAAGCCTTTTGCAGATTGTAATAGCTTCAGAATTTAATGGAGAAGCCATGATAAAAAGGTAAAATTTGACAAATTCAACTGTCAAGAAATTTGTACCTGAGGTTTTTCTTTTGCAAAGCGCACCATATCTTCAGGATTGACCTCCAGTGGATCATAACCTAACTTTGCTTTTGTAACAGCCTAATTACGACAAAGAGAAGAAGCATGTACTTTACATCTTATTCCTTAACATTATTTATTGGTTCATAAAAAGCTTTTGGTAATTGAACTTCAAAAATATCAAGCTATTTAGGGAAATGAAGTTGAAACTTGAAAGTTACATAATTATTATAGCCAAATTATGAAGAACTCTATTTGAGTAAAGCAAATCACTAATTCTGGCACAAAAGTGCATCAACTTGTCTAGACTTGAATTGTACAATCAGTTCCAATGTTGTCTTGAGTTGTGACTTCTTAAACATCACAATGGCAAGAAGGAAACATATTGGATGGAGCATCCAAACCATTCTCATAGAATAAAAGAGCATGCTCAGCGACAGGTAATCCAGAAAATACCGATTATAATACTGAAGGAATGAGAACCACAGAGAAGGAACAAACCTTAAGGCCATGGCTACCCTGAGGCAGATAACTATCACGCTTGACCCAAGCAAAACAGTCCAAATGACAAGCAAATTTAGCACGGCATTCCCCTTGATTCTTGTCACATGAGAATCCAACTTCCTGAATGCTCAAAGGTAGATAAGAAAACCAAGGAGGCACTATGTCAAACACATAACGCACTGAAGAACTGTATATGCAGAGTCTTCATAGTGAGAGACAAAGCAACTAGATCATGGGAACTGTCAACTCCAAACTCAAGATGTCAATGTATAGAATTGAAAACAAAAGGAACGTGCTAAGTGCACCTCCTGGCCTTGAGAGGTTCGGTATTTTTAATACTTGCAGTATATAATATAATCAGATCAATTAGCTCTACCATTAACAGAACACCATATTTCAATCTCGAGGATAAATTGTATGATTGTAAAAAACATTTGCATCACATGATAACAATAGTCATGATCCTGCCAAGGAACATTTCTTCATCTATGAACTATCTAGCATTCTTTGCCTTCAGGCGACCTAATCAAGTAGTAACATGAGGAAGCTATATAATAAAATTATAGGAGCTTATAAGCGAATGCAGAAGTATACATACATCGCTCATCTTGAATCCATAATGAGCTGCTCTGCTTTCAAGGAATGGCCAGTCAAAGAAATCACCATTGTATGTAACATATATACCAGGTTTGACCTCTCGCATGTGAGCAAACCAGAGTCTTAGAAGTTCTAACTGCAGGTAGCAAAATATCATATCACAGATATCAAGATAAACAAAAAGGGTGTCTCAAAAGTCCAACTGCTTCGTTACCTCATTTTGAACATTTGTCACTTTGAAATAACCTTCAAATTCTGGCTTTGGAGTATACTCTATATCCTCAATATCTTCCCCCACACACTAAAGGTAGATGCATGAAGAAAAAAACGTGTAAGAGAGCAAGTGAAGGAGCTGAGATTAATCTAAAGTAAAAAATGGAAGAAAAAGGTCATAGGAGGACTAGGAAAACTTCTACGAATTGACAGGGAAAGAGAGCAAAACAGCTTTTCTGTTTAACTATGAAAAGTTAGCATGCAGCATAACATCAAACAAGGAAATTTCAGGGGGATAAAAGAAAAGAAGAGCAAAACATCTTTCCTCGTATGAAAGAAATAAGCGGGTTACAGCCAACAGGTAAATGATACATGTTGTGATATCGAAAATCACAAGGCAACAAACCAGATTACATTTTCTCAACTATTGATCAAGAAACTCATCCTAACTTGGAGCTTTCCAAACCGAGCTTTTCCGCATTGATGATACTACCAATTTAACTATCATAATTCTTAGTTCTGTGCCTAAAACAGAAGGGAAAAAACCTAGAAGATAGCCAAATATAGACAAAGAGCACCATTATGCACATACCTCTCTGTTAATTATCAAGTATCCTTGTCCGTCGATCATGTATGATATCATCATAACTGAATCATACTCTGCATCCGGAAATTTTAATGGTAACTTGGTGGTTTCAATATCAAAGGCGCAAACATGAACCTCGGCTCGTTGAAGAAGATCACTTCTCTTCTCAAGCATAACACCATTGCTGGATACGCTTACATCATACCATTGACCACTTCGAATATCTGAGTAAGACAAAAAGAACAACCTTGTAAAGGAATAAGTAAACATGATTGCAGTGAACTAAGATAAATATATGACATTCCAACAGAAGAGTTATTATCTAATTACCCTCATCAATGGCAAAGCGGACGTGGTAAGGAACATCATACTCCCTAAGATCAATAATACAATCTATAAAATCTTGATGCCGTTGTTCTCTGTTAGACAAACAGCAGGAAAACATTATATTAGAACAAATCAACAATCCTATAGCTTAACAAGCCTCAGATCCGACTAAAGCATTTATGAAAATTCACGCTTAGCTAATAACTCCCAAATTACCTTACACTTACATCAGATGCGAAAAACAGCTTATGTGCTGCTTAATAAGATATCTAAGAAATATTCTTAGAAATATTTTGCATCTTGTCCATGTTCCATATAGTTCGGTATGAAAACTCAGTGGTTAACTCATTATTTATCTATTAAAACAAAGGTCCTAGCTGGGGATATATTTAATTTAGTTTGAAAAAACGATAAGAAGAAAACTGATGCCTCAATTTTAAGCATGATACTTGTCAATACTACCACGAAATATCTGATTAGGATGCACATAGAACACAAGATAGGACCAGTAAGGCAGACCTTTTCCCTGCCAATATCGACTCATATGCTTCTGCGGCATCAAACTTTTCCCGGTTCCTTTCAACAACTTGCAGTAAGTCTCTCTTTACATCCATCAGTTGTTGAACAGTAGAAAATGAAATCTTTAAGTATGATTTCCGCAAGCCTGATAAGTGGTTTTTCTGTCGACAACCACATAAAGAAATGAATGCATAAGCATTCGTAAATGCAAGCAGGAAGTTAAACTGCAAATATAAGCCACTTCTAAAGTTCATAAAAGGGAGATTATAAAGTGACTAACAAGATCCAGGTCCTCTTTCTCCATGATCTCGATATCTGCAATTTGACTTTCGTAGCGTCTTCGCAAGTAGGCATCTACATCCATGTCCATATTTCCCTGTAGAATTAACACCCGCGAAGTCAGAAATGACACTTCAATGGCAGCGTAACTTAACCTCCAGCCAAAAGCATTCAAAGAACAAGCACCTTTGTGGCTGCGTAGAAATAGGGACGGAACTTTTTCTTCGCCTTGAAAGAGGAACCATCCTGCAATAGTTGCAGCAGACACAAAACAGTCGTTTCAAACAATTGCCGTAACCTTACTCGCCCACAAAACAGAAACTATACGAATTACCAGCCTAATTCAGCACTTCACCTGAGTCACGAAGTAAAGATCGACACAGCTATATGATTTCCCAGTCTCCTGATCCTCTACTGATGACTGCAACTCAAAGCACAAGAAAGAGAAGCAAAAGCAAAACGTTAATTCTCAACTCCCGGCAATAGACTACTGGCGAATTCAGGAGGAAGCCTTCCATTTCATCTGTAAGCACACGAATCGGAGGCGGAACAGGACTTACGGCAGCAAAAGTGAGTAACCATCCGAGGCGCTTGTCGCCCTCGGTGAAGAGATCGAACCCTAGCTTCGCCTCGAGCTCTTCCTCGGCGGTGCGGAGCAGCTTCTGCTTCTTCTGCGTCCGGCCGTAGTCCCAGCCGTCCCGCCGCCGGTTCTCGCCGTTCATTGCTCCGGCCGTTTACTTGAGAGAAGAGGAAAGCGGAGGAGCGGCCGCCTGAGTTGTTAAAAGCTGCAAAATGAATTCCGCTAAGATCTGATAGCTCCCTAGTTTAGCTGTTTATTGATATGCCGCGCGGTAAGACGAGGCGCATTTTCCCGCCCAAATGAGTTCCTGGCGTGGTAAATGACGAAAATGGCCCTATAGGTTGCTAGGTGACTCTGGCCCTATTTGGTATAATCCAAGAAGCCCAATAAACTAATGGGTCAGTTTATCAGCAACTTAAATTCCCATCAGCCCAATATCAGGCCCAGAGAGCTTATGGGCTGGTAATTCAGGGTAAGCGTAATAAACGGTCAGGATCTGATCATGTGCAACAGAGAGCGGAAACACAAAACCCTACGCATATATAAATCATACAGCCTTCCTTTTCTACCCAGAAACCCTAGATTTTCGTTCATCTGCGCAAGAGGAAAGCACCTCCATTTCTTCTGCCGCTTCAAGCCAAATCTAAGTACGAAGCCGTTTGTTTATCTCCGGGTTCGTCTCCTGATCTTCGGCTTCTCAATTTGATCTGACATCTAAGTTTTATGTTGTTTCAGGAGAGAAAATGAAGGTTGTGGCAGCTTACCTTCTCGCCGTTTTGGGAGGCAACTCCTCCCCCACCGCCGAGGACTTGAAGAAGATCCTTGGAAGCGGTAAGAAATTACATTTCCTTGTTCATTTTGATAGAGGGTTTCGATTTGTCTGGCGTTCAGCTCGTTAGTTGTAAACATGAATGAACCCATGTTAGCCTTGATATGTGGTTTATCCTGGTTAAGCTTTTATGTGGTATCCTTACAGATCGTAGTGTGAAATTGGCATTTTCGATAGAATGAGAATGATGCTCTCTCTATTATAATCGACCCATTTTCCGCTTCGATATCGTAGTATAGAATGTAGTTTTCCCTTTGGCCTTCTGCTCCAAATTGTTTGCCTTGGTTGGTGAATTCTCTGTGTTGCCAGACTAGTACATGTGCTGACTTTGTGTTCTCTGTGTTGTGAATTCGTTTATTGCAGTTGGCGCTGATGCTGATGAGGATAGGATTGAGTTGCTCTTGTCTCAAGTGAAAGGGAAGGACACCACTGAACTGATCGCAGCTGGTATGGAGAAGCTTGCCTCAGTTCCATCAGGTGGTGGCGGTGGTGCTGTTGCAGTTGCTGCCTCTGCTGGCCCAGCTGCTGGTGGTTCTGCCCCAGCTGCCGAGTCCAAGAAGGAGGAGAAAGTGGAAGAGAAGGAAGAGTCTGATGATGTAAAGTTTCCACTTCCCATTCTTCCTTGTGATTTGATGGTTGAATCTAGCTTATTTGTTGTCTCTTTGTTCATGAAATGTGCTGATCTGTTTCTGTGCTTTATTGCTTGTGCAGGACATGGGTTTCAGCTTGTTCGACTAAGTTGCTCTGCCTTCTGGTTGTTGTTGTCCCGTGAAGGCTGTACTACTTTTGTTTTACTTAGTGTTTTAGTTGAGCTTTACAAGTCTTGTATTTCTGTACTTGGATATGTAATGGTTGCGTCTGAGGCGCATCCTAGTTTTGGATTTATGAATGAAGATGTTATGAAATTGAAGCTTTGGTTTTGATACTTCATTATTCTCCTTGTTGAGTGCTCCTTATCCTGCTTTCTCCTTGTGGTTTGTGCTTCTGAGTTGTAGTTAGGGCAATAGTTTCGGACCCAAAGACGGTGGAATCCTATTTGTTGGTCATCAAGTGGCAGCAGTAGTTCTGCACTCTGTTTTTGCCATACCCCTCTAGGATGATTCTACTTTGCTTCAAATATTTGGTTCACATTCTGCCCTGCTCGGTTCCTGTACGGATCATCATAACGGTTTACAGAAGCAAACATTGAAGTCTATTTCTCTGCTGATTGCAACAAATCTGCAGCCCTCTTTCCTATTCTCCGATAGGCAAAGTGAAAGTTTCAATTGATAATGAAATCCCTCAGGTCCAAACAGAGCAAACACAACTTTCAAGCGCAAAACAGAGGACCGCAGCAACAATGAAGAAGAGGATCCACATCGCAGTTTCCAGTGAGAGCTCCATTAGTTCACTACTGCAGACGACGATGAAGGGGTCGGAACGTTTTGGTCGAGGATAATCATCTCCATCTGAACAATCAAATCAGTCATGCAATTCAGTAATCCATCATCGTGAATCTTCAGTTGATGTACATACAAATTCTAGGTAGGGCCAGGGTTATGAAGTTCCATCACTTTTACGTACCCTGCTGATTTCGTTGAGGGCGTCCCTCAGAGTTTGGTACTCGTCCTTCACCTTCTTCAAGCATTCCAAGCACCTCGGCTTATTGGAGTCGTCGCAAGCACGGCGCAACTCGAGGCAAGCAGCCGCCACTCTTCCACCTCCCATGCTGCCGCCACCAATATGATTCAGAGTGACAAAAATCAATCCGAATTGCATCGAATCGTAACATAATCAACGACATATGAATACCTGGAAGAGCTGCCTTTGAGCTGGAAAAGATCCCTGACTGCATCGCCGTAGTAAGGAATAGGCTGATTGCTGAGCAGTATAATCAACCACAACGAAAAATTAAGTAAAAGACCCCATTGGTAATCAAAATGGTGATATGTGGTATTACATTTCCGACTCCAATCGGGCGACAACAGTTGCAGAGTGAGCCAAAAAGGTGTCAATGATCTCCACCAGAAACCTCGGGTTCTCCGGCGACCGGAGCCCCGCCACCGTGTCGAAATTCACGTCCAGCGTCTCCTACAAAAACATAAAGGATTGTAATTTATCACCCAATGTTAAGCTTTGCCTCATATGATTGTGCTTTATTAAAGAAACGGTAGTAAGGGTATGTTCTGCCTCGTCTTTCATTCTCTGGATGAACTCTGCCTGCTGTTGTGAAGTAATGTCCTTCTCGGCAGCATCAGCTTGCTCTGCCGCCATTTTTATCAGCTTGGCTTGCGAGAATAGATGAAGGAAATGGGTAGTTTTGGCAGAGTAAAAAACAGAGGGAGTGTAAGACTTTGCTTCTTCTGCATGGCAGTTACTTGAAGGCTGACGGTTACAAATTAACAAATGTCCTTCATGGCAAAGAAGAGGTCAGTCAGCAAAGAACGAACGTTATATGGCTGTCAACCAATCATCACTTAGTTCCTTAGCAGCAGCAGCAGCAGTCATGTTTTTTGAACACACAACCTCGCATCCCAAAACCCGCTCTTACCCGTATTTTGTTAAAATCGCGGTTTAACTGTGTCTCAACCGTTTCATATCATAGTAAGACCACCTACGCGATACGATTTTGCAAAACGTCGCAAAATAGACAATGATCATCCCGAATTGAACCCAGTAGCCACAGCAAGTTCATGGTTTATTATTTGTAAATTGATATCCATATGAAAATTGCAAAACCTCAAACATAAAGGAAACTGAAATCGATCCCCAAAAGCAAAACAAAGCCACATTCTGCAACACAGACAATGCCGGCCGGCCGGCCGGAAGTACGACGGACGACGGAGTGAGCTAATCATTCCTCCGCCTTTGCATTCGCTGGCGCCATTCTCTCCGGCTAATGTGGTGCCCCGCCAGCTCTTCTTCCATCTGCATATATATAATAATTTTCCATAATTAACTCATTAGTTCTGCCTTTGTACCAAATTACCAACCGATAATTCGAACAACATATAATAAATAAAATATCTTAAAATTGATAAATTAGTTTTACCGCAGCAATTTGGGCCAAGGCTGCTACAAGAAGAGTGTATTCGTCCTTCACCACCGACAGCAAGGCAAGGCACCTACAAATCAAATCAAAACCCCCAAACGACAAAATTCAATCGAGAAAATTAAAAACTCAACTTAATATTATTTACTCGACTTATAATAAAGCGCGGGTTTTTGTGTATCATGTCGGTACGACCAATACATTCTCGTACTATCGAATTTACTCTTTTGTCGTTTTTCATTAGTCGAATAATGTACACTACGAATAATTGACGATCAAAGTCCTTCAATATACTAGAGAGAAGAGGTATAGGTGCTTACAAGGGGTGGTCGCGACTTTCAAGAACGCGCGCCAATTGCAAGAATCTAGGAATCACTCTGCCCCCACCAACGCTGGATATAGTTAAGAAGAGGAAACCATACATGGTCGGATTTAATTAGTGGCGTGGTAAATGAAGACATTATACTGAAGACATTATACTGAAGACTCCAAAAATCGAAAGGATGAGCATAATAATGGTCGTACTCACAAATATAAACTTAAGACACGAAATTTGAGTTGATACAAATCAATAATGTGCCCAAAAGAATTACTCATTCATAGCTTTACATCTACTATCTATCAAGGAACAACATCCATTTTGAACTCTGAAATCTTATAGACCCTAAATCCCCCGCCCTAAACACCAAATTCCTAAATCATGAATCTTGATATCCAAAATCCTAGTCGTTTAACATATCTAAAATATGGAACCACCTGAATCCTAAAGCACAACCCCTAAATCATAACCCTTTAACCCCTAGAAACTTGTACCCTAAAGCTTAAATGGTTAAACCCTAGAAGAACCCTTTAACTTTTAAACCATGAATCCTCTAAACCCCTCCCCTAGACCTGAAATATCATTCATGAACTCAAAAAAAAAACTTAAACTTGTATTAAACCTAATCATTTAGGATGCTGGAAAATATCGAACACTTTCAGACATGATTGAAATTGCGTGAATCGATTGATTGCTTTTCTGCTTTCATTGATCAATTTTTCAGAAATTTTTTAGAATCTGAGGGTTATGTATATCTATTAGAACTAGTGTATCCTCAAAGTAATCCAGTGGATGATAAGTTGCTAGTCTTAAATAAATCAGTTTCGGCCTTTATTTTAAATGCATGCTTCTTCACAATTATCGTAATTATCGTCATGCTTTCCACTTTTGGAGTATTCAATGTATTTTCCCGAGTTATCGGTCAAATTTTTTAAACAAAACTCTGCAAAAGCAATCATTAATACATTTTCAGAAGGACAAGTGGTCAACATAATTGACTTTATGGCTGACCTGATTGATAATGCGACTGACCTAATTAATCTTTTATTGGACTTAATTTGTCAAACGTGGTCGACCTGAGCAAATTTATATTCTACTGAAAACCACACAAAACTCCAAATAAAATCTTTTTGGACTTTACTACAAATCATGATAGCAAAGTCCTAAACAAGTTGGTCTGATAAGTAAAAGAATGAACGAAACCAATAACTCGGAAGACGCTTACTTAACACAGTCGTCAGTGATGCGCTGGAGAGTGGCCCGACTGACATCAAAATCAAAATCCACCCTGCGTTTGTTTAACAATAGCAAAATCAATTTAAAAAAAAAAATCAAACCGTTGGCGTGCTGATGGCAATTAATGAAAATATACCGAGAAGAAAAGATCGGGGAAAAGCGGAAATTCTAAAAATTGAAAGGGAAGAAGTTACAATTGACGCTCGAGTTGACCAAACATGGGAGGAGAGGTGGTGAGGAAGGCTTGGATACGATGCAACATAGCGCATGGGTTATTCACATCGTCCTGACGCCGCAGTGTGTCAAAATAATTTCCCAGTATATCCTGCATCCATTTATCCTCGTTCAAATTTTCATCATTAAAAGAAAACCCTAGCATTCAACAATACAAGAAAACCCCCCTTTTTTACAACTAACCAAGCTCCAATGCAAGACACAACCCTAATTGAAACAATTCAACAATAATCAACAAGATGGAAGAAACTAACATCATTCCACCACATCACATATAACAAGGAAACACGATATTTATGAAATAATAAAGCGGTAATACGATATGCAAAGGAATAAGTTAAACTAAATCACGAAATAATATAGTTTGTATCATATTATTACGAGGACCTGTTGGTGAGCATCGACAATGAAATTTTCCAACCGGAGCCTGATATTTATTCCCACCATTTTTTTTCTCTATTGATTTTTGTCTGTCCTCACCAGTATTTATAAGGTTGAAGTTCTTCTCTCTCTTTTACATGTTTGGCAGATATATAAATGATATCAAATCTAAATTTTAATGCTCTTTTTTCAAAACTAATTCATCTCATTAATGCATTATGCATACAACAAGATTGATAAACTTGCCATTTCAACTCTTAACAAAAAAAAAGTTTGTCTGGATATGATTTGGTTACCAATATTATGGATTTGTGATTGTTGAAATATATGTATTTCTAAAACACTAATTTTAACACAGTCGTCGGTAATCACAATTGAAAGCAATCCAGTCGCAAGTAGGTCGGCGGCAAACTGACACAGAGATAAGACAGAAGGTGGATGTGATTTGGGGATTTAGGGCTAGGATTTCAAAAATTGTTATGGTTTTGTGGAGTTTCAGACCCAAAAGGCCACCGGTGGTTGCGTCGCCTCCGCCGCTGTCGTTGAAATTTTTTTCCGGTCGTGCCAAGTTATAATAATTATCCTACAAATAAATGAAAGGATATTAAGATAAATTTAATTTAGTTAGGGCGACGAATAATAAATTTTAGGACGACGAATAGCAATGCACAAATTCATACACGGGTGTCTCCTTTGAAAATTAAATTAAATAAGAAAATATATTGACTAGTACAAGATATAATAAAAATCCTCTTAATCCACATAAAACAAACCCATCATTCTTAACACAATAAAAATAATTCTCTTGTTATTTTATAGGTCGGGATATCTCGACCTATGTCCCAACTATATATTGTTTGGCCCATCGTCTCTTTATTAATCACTGCAAGACTAGTATAAATACTAAGGTACCATCATCTCTTAATTAATCACTGCAAGACTAGTATAAATACTAAGGTACCACATCCCACCTCATTGCAATTCCTACTTGACATTAATATTTTCCACGAGTATAAAATCTAAATAATCAAAGGGGAATAATTAACAGATAAATGGTCATTTTGGTACAAAATACAAAATTAGGTAATATTGCCTCATTTTTTTACAAAAATCATAATATTGCCTTAGTATAGTAATTTTTTTTACAAAAGATAATCATATATTGATTCACAAAAATAAAATAGTTACATCCTGGAGTTCAGTCAGACCTGGAAATCAAAAGAACAACTCATAGTCGGGGACAATGAAAGGGTCTTTCTAGCCACCAAATGAGCTACCATATTGCTACATCGACCTACAAATCTCACACTAAACCCAGACCGAGAGGCAAAACAATACACTATTTCTTCAAGAATAGCCCCCCATCTGATTATCACCAGTCTTCCCACGATTAATCTTGTCAATGATTACTTTGGCATCTCCCTCAAAACTAACTTCCGTGAAGCCACGATCTAGACACCAGCAAACAGCCTCTCGGAGGACCAGCAATTCGACCACCATAGGGTCAGCAATACACGAAAACTGGACCCCATTAGCCAACAGGATTTCCCTTGCTGGGGTCATAAGCACCATCCCTCCTGCCGAGTGAGACCCACTCTGGGTAACCCCATCCCACATGCACACCACCTGGTTAGTCCCCCCGGGACTCAAGTGATGTGTCGTAGGTAGGGATGGCAATTTGAACCCGCCCCGCCGGGTAATACCCGACCTAACCCGCGATGGGGTGGGTATTACCCGACCCGCATTAGCGTGGGGCGGGGCATGGGTATCAACTTCCGACCCGCCCTGCCCCGCCCCGCCCCATTCTTACCCCGTTCTATGTCAATTTTTTACCCCATCCATTCATATATCTCCTATTTTGACTTTTATTCAACTATTTAGATTTGATCTTTCAACTAAATAGACTCAATTACTTATTATATTATCACTATTAGTCATTCATCAAGTATTTTCCCCTTCATTTTATCATAAAAAGTAAAATTGTGCGTGTATTTTTCTCAAATAGCATGTAAGAGTGGGTCGACCCGCCCCGCCCCGTTCCCGCGCGGGTATTACCCGCCCCGACCCGTACTAGCGTGGGGCGGGGCATGGGTATTAAGGTACCCGCCCCGCCCCGCCCCGACCCATTGCCATCACTAGTCGTAGGAGTGGAGTGCAGAAGAACGTGGTCCATCGACAAACTTACTCATTCCTCAAACTGTTGGTGAAATTGTCGCATCATAGTCGGGATCCCAAACTGCTTTTCCTCAAATACAACCCAGTTACGAGATCGCCAGATCCTCCAAAGGACAGTCATGAACAACGTAGGTTGGTGTATAAGAGAAATCAACTTTTTTAGAAAAAAGCGGGAAAGTTTGACGAGGCAACCCTTGTCCAAGATACTCTAGCCCTGAATGGTCCCAAAGGATGCGGGCCACTGGACAATAAGAAATAAACGTTCCATTGTTTCTTACTCTGTCCAACAAAATGGACATCTAGGGAACACTGGGACATCCTTCTCAATTAAGGCTTCCATAGTTGTTAGGATTCGGTCAAAGATTTGCCAAACAAAAACCTTCAATTTAGGTGGAATATTGGTTTCCAATAAACGAATCCAACTAGCCCTTTCCATCCAACTAGCCATAGACGTCCACCGATTTTCCCGCTTATCCAATAGGACCGCGAGATGGTAGGTCGATTTAACAGTGAATACCCCATCAGTCGTGTCGTGCCAAATTAGTCTATCTTCCACATTTTGGCGTGGGAGGGGAATAGATTTTATGGCCCGACAGGTTGGCGGATCAAACCACTGGCTAAGTTTGTTATCACACCATCGCCCTTCCCCGGAACAGAGAACCTCCGCCACCAGAGGATTACCCCCCTCAGGTAACACCTGGGGATTATACACATGGGCAAATGGATGTAGACCAGGAATCCAGCTGGAATAGAGTAAAAAAGTCGTATGACCATTACCAATCTGTCATCGTAACCCCATTTCTAAAAGCCGCATGCCATAGAGGATACTCTGCCAACCTCAAGATGGGCGAGAGCGCGCCGTAATAGTGAGGAAGGTTCTAGTGGAAAAATACTTTCCTTTATAGACATGGGCTAGGAGGGAGTGAGGCTCATTTAGGATAAGCCAACCAATTTTGGCTATGAGAGCCTGATTAAAGTGCTCAAATCGATGTAAGCTCATCCCCCCATCATGCTTACTTCTGCACATATTGCGTCAGGACATGCACTGAATTCTTGCATGACCCTCCTCAACACCCCACCAGAATCGAGCCACATGTTTATCCAGGAGCCGACACAGCGATAGAGGTAACTTGCAACATGACATTGCATGCAACGACAAGGCTAAAGCAACATATTTGATAAAGGTCTCCTTAGCTGCCCAAGATAAAAATCTTCCGTTTCCATCCTTGTAGGCGTTCCAACAACTTCTCTTCTAAATAGCGGAATGTAGTTATCTTAGATCGGGCTATTAGCGTAGGTAATCCTAGATATTTATCATGGACCCCTACTGCCACAACCCCCAAAATCTGGGACAGGAACTCCTGATCTGGCAGGGTGATATTCTTACTAAAGCACACTGCTGATTTAGCCATGTTCACCCTCTGGCCACTGATCTCCTCGTATTCATTCAAAACTTCGATCGGATTCTCACATTTCTGGAGAGACCCTCTAAGAAATAAATAAGAATCATTTGCAAAGAATAAATGCGAGATTTGCGGAGCTCGATGAGCCACTTTAACCCCTTCAAGTTTTCGTTCTGAGATGGCCTTTTTTAGAAGAGTTGCAAATCCCTCCGTGTAGAGCATAAACAACAGAGGAGGTAGAGGATCTCCCCGTCGAAGTCCCCTGGAAGGCGTGAAGTAGCCCGAAGGGGTGCCATTTATTAGAACAGAAAACTAAGTTGATTTCAGGCATTCATGGATCCATCCTCTCCAGGTGGAGTTAAAACCAATCTTGTCCAAAACATCAATGAGAAATGGCCATTCGACTCTATCATAGGCCTTTTCCATGTCAACCTTTAGAGCCATGTACCCTTTTTTACCTTGCTTCTTGATTTTCAGATAATGCATTAACTCATGTCCCATGAGGATATTCCCAACTATTTGGCGTTCACGGATAAAAGCATTTTGACCTTCTAAGACTATTTGTGGCAAGAGACAAGCCAGCCGTTCAACCATGAGTTTAGTTATAATTTTGTATACAAACTGGCATAAGCTTATTGGACGTAGCTGTCTCATGGTTTCCACATTGTCCACTTTGGGGATCAATGTCAGCCAAGTATGATTGAAACTACAGAGCATCTTACTCGTCGTAAAAAAAGAGCAGACAACATCAACTACTGAGTTTTCAACAATACTCCAGAAGGCTTTGAAGAATTTCCCAGTGAACTCATTAAAACCTGGTGCCTGTTTCGAGCCCATAGCGAAAACCGTTTTGCTCACTTCACTAGGAAGGACTGCAGCCATAAGACTGACATTCATTCCTGGTGTAATACTCTGGGCTATGGAAAGATCAGCCACCCGATCAACCATGTTCCACACATGGCTCTCCAAAGTGAAAAGATTCTGATAAAAACTACTGGCAATATCTGCCTCCCTAGTCTTCTTAGTGATCCACTCAGCACTATCACTACGAAGGCCTGCCACGAAATTTCATTTTCTCCTCACTCGCGTGACCATATGGAAGTAAGAAGTATTTTTATCCCCTTTCTTTAACCATTAGACTCTAGATTTCTGCTGCCAATAAATTTCATCAGCTTCCCATTGTCGATTCAACTCCATTTCCAAGAGTCAGATCTCATCCTAGTTAATAGGGTAGACTGATTTTATACGTTCGATTTCAGCCTGAAGAGTTTTAATATTGTGCAGAGAATTCATAGTACCCGCCCTACTCCATTCATATAGCAAATGACGTAATTTCTTAAGACGTTCCCAAAGTTGGAACATGGGAGTACCCGGTATGTCCTCCTCCCAGACATATTTCACCATAGCCTTGAACTCGAGATTATCGGCCCAACGAGCATCGGATCTGAACAGGGGACGACTATTTTGGGTATAAGGTTTGTCAGAGAGGAGGAGGGTTCTATGATCAGACTCTTGGTCCGTGAAATGTTTTAACCAGGGTTTCATGGTATCAATCAATCCACTTTTGGGAGCACAAGGCTCTGTCTAGCCTCTCACGAATACTACTAACCCACTAGATGCATCAATCGCATACACAAATAAACAATGAGAAAGATCAAAACCTAAGCCGCACATGTGACGGGAGACTACTCTCCGGCTCGATCGAGTCGGTCTCTCGCTCACTACTTTTTATTGATTTGCCATTTATAATTTCTTCTAATTAATTAATATATTTCATATATGTTAGACTAAACATATAATATATTAGATATATGACTAAGTGCTTAATTGGTTTGATTGGTTAGTAGTGTGTGAAACCAAACTAAATCGCTTAAATCAAACAGACTATAAAATTTAACCAACCTAATCCAAATTATCCAAATTTTTTAAGGTTACAATGGTTACCAGTAATCACTCAATTTGAACACCCCTTAGTGTTAGCACTCTACTAACACTAATTATAAGGATATTATAGTAACCACCCTTATAACGGATTATTCCTCACACTCCCTTACTCTAAAGGATTTGGGTTTAATTTTCAAATTATAATTTGATACCTAAACTTAATAAATTATAAGATTTAGTACCTAAAATAATATTGGAGAATTAGTTTTTTGTATCTACAAATATAATGTCTTACATTTTGACACCTAAACTTTTAAAAAATTGTAAATATGTACAAGTTTATGAGGTTTCTTGTCTACTTTCATAAACTTTTGGTATTCTTTATAAGGTTCTGGTATGCTTTCAGAAACTTGTGTTCTACTTTATGAGATTTTTTGTATGTTTTATTAGGTTTCTGATCTACTTGAAGAAATTCTTGGTGTGTTTAATAAACTAGTGGTATGCTCTAATAAATTTTGATATGTGCTTTATGAGGATTCTGATATATATGTGCTTCAGAGAACTTGTGGTGCTTCAAGAAACTTTCGGTATGTTTTTGGAAACTTGTGGTCTGCTTTAATAAACTTGTAATATGTTTTATGAGGTTTCCGGCGTGCTTCAGGTAATTTGTAGTATGCTTTAAGAAAATTGTGATGTGCTTCAGTAAAAATTGTGGTACGCTTTATGAGGTTTTTGGAATGCTTTAGAGAACTTGTGGCATGCTTTACGAGATTTCTAGTATGCTTCATAGAACTTGAGGTTTATGAGATTTCTGGTGTGAAGATATCAAACAAATTTTTACCAAGTGTGATGGGTACTAATCGGCTAACTGCACACGTTTTATTCTTAATATTTGCATTATGCTTATATGCGGATTTTCCCTAATTTTTGTCATATTCATCATCTTTTGACTTCTCTTACTATATCGTAATTCCATATAGGTTACATTCATTTTAACCTAAAGTTATTAGTACTCGTGTTATTTTTAAGGATCGACATATCTCGATCTACATCCTCAATCATGTTTAGTCACCGCAAGACGAGCATGGATACTAAAATACTCACATCCCATCTCATTGTAATTTCTATTTGAAGTCAATATTTCCGACGAGTCTAAATAATCATATAGTGGAATAAATGACAAGATAAGTTGCCATATATTTGTACAAAATACAAAAACCAGGTCATATTGCCTTAATATTTTATAAAAAAAATTCATAATATTGCCTTAGTATAGTATAGCGTCGGTTTCTCATTCACTGCTTTTTATTCACTTTCCTTAACCTACCAATACAATGCACTCACATATTATTAATTACAATCTTAACCCAAATCCTTCAAAAATAAAATTACAATCTAACCCAAAACTATTCCTATAAATTGGCCACGGGTCAGTCCATTGGAGACTAAGAGAAAGAAAACAAAAACAAAGTACTTAATTACAATAATGGTGGGCATAGATGTTAGATTTCAGCTGCCCAACTACATTTCTGAAGTCCAAGAACAGGTCTTGATTTCAAAACCTTGGACATGTCACCTAGATTTGGTTATCGTACTACTTCTTACGCGCGCGCGTAAATTCGTTTTTCGTACTGTCGGACTATATGATCGTTGGATGTATACGACGATAATTTTATATACGATTTTGCATTAATTACAGGGGATATTGGACCAATGCTTTGACACCCTAATGGAGCTTCGTGGCCCCAACGATCTGACGGTCCTGCTAGACTCCATCAACAACTTCCTTCCCCTTGCTCATGAAAACATTCAGCAGCTCCACCGCGAAATGTAATTAACAATCAAATTATATATTATTGTCAATATTTTTTTGAGGAATTGCCTTCTTAATTAATTGGTGTGTTTGTGTAGGTGTTACTCTGTGGTCCGATTTGATGAAGTCGTGACCTATGTCAACAGGCTCCAATCCAACGCTATTTGGTAAAAATTCGATCCACGATATAACGTTCTGGTAGACGAATTTTACAGTACTTTATAATATTGGTTTGATTCTCTTTCTTCATTTTTTCATTTTTCTATCAGCATCGGAGGAGGCAGGTTGGCGGACCGCTGTTATGACATGTTGCGTGCTTGCCAGAGATTTGATCAAGAAATGTAAGCAAAGCCTAGCTAGAATTTTATATAAAATTATCAAATAATCACTTGGATTTGTGTAAAGATATTAATTTAATTTATCGTTACATCGAATCCCGATTTTTTCGTTGATGCATGCTTCACATATGTATAACTCAGGTGTGACGAATTATTTTCACGAGTGAGAGAAGAATACAGCATTCTTGTTCGCACCTTAAAGATTATCTATGAGGTACGAGTCGGTACATAATATTAACTCGGATGATAATTGTGATAGTCATATAACTATATCAACTGATCATCAAAGCTTATCTGATCTCTTTGCTTTGCATTAATATGAATTTACTCAGATGGAAGCGATTATTGTGAGTGCACAGATGCGAAGGCTAAGGAATAATCTTCCTAAGTAATTTGATCATCAAGCCAAGCTGTTGCTAGCTAATCCGGTGTTCAAAGAGAATTATCATCGTCATTAGATATAGATTAATTCAAACTGTTGCAATTAGTTTCTTCAGTTAGTTGTTTACTTTGATCAACTATGAAGAATGAAAAGATTCCATCTGTTGTTTCTCATCTTGTAGCTCTTTCCAAACAAGATTTGTTCGATATTATTAAACTAAATGTGCCAAGTAAATTAACATGATGAGCACTAAACATCAACCAACTTGCAGTCCAGTAATATAGTCATATAGATATCTCGATGATATTACTCAAGGAGTAAAGTCATGTATATTGTGACACAAATACACAACCATCTACAGATATTATTTGATGTGAGAATTTGGAAACCGATAACCTTGAGTTCTACGAGCGAGAAAACCCCACTTGACGTGACTATTGATTAGGTTCGTGTAAAATAATTGATGTAAGAGTTTCGACAACGTAGTCCTAAGGAAGCTACTCCGAGCAATCGAGGGTACTCTCTTGAAATTCAGCAAATTAAATCGTCCTCCACGACATATTAGTTCGGAACCATAACTATAGTAAATAAGAGATTCATAAACTTAAAACCTAAATATAAGAGAGAACAGTTAAAAAATACCTTCTGCAAGAAAACGACTATTCATACTGAGTGAGGTGAGGCACCCACCGTTCTATATACAGTACACTACTCATCACATGATCATCATAGACATGACTATTTTCACGAATAATCCTCGTATTGTCTTAGGTCAGAGTTGGTATATATTATTGTCTTCCTGGGTTGAGTTAGGGCTGAGTTGTAACTCGACAAACTAATTATATCTATTTACATTTTTACGATATACAACGATAGAAAAAATATGGATAACCTTTCAGTCCCCGTAGACTATAAAGTCAAGTAAGGCAAAAACATAATTACCCAAGAAGAAAAAATGAAACTCCGCCAGCACATTTTCACACCAATTATATATTTTTTTATAAGGAACAAGGCAGGACGACGCTTATTTAAAATCACTAATAATTTTCATCCCAAAAGAAGCCATATAATGGAAATGACAGGTGCAAATATGAAAAATAATTAAAAGCCCAATTTTCTTACTGCCTAAAATGCCACAATATACATTTCCCTCCCTTAAACACAATAAGTATTTTTTTATATTTATTTATTTATTTATTAGTTATTACAATTCACTGCTTAACTCATTCCCACCATTTCCAAAATCCTCTCCCCGTACGCTCCCTCCGCCCTCGCCGGCCGCCGTCCGCCGGAGACCACCGTTTCAAATGGCGACGGGAAGTGGGCAGAATGATGAGAAGCAGATTGTTTTGAGAGAACAGGAAGAGTTCATCCGAAGAATGAAATATGAGGCGATTATCATACTATTATATTATTATTATTATTAATATTAATGAAGTTCATAATTTGTTTTTACTGTTCACTAAGGGGGTGGTGAATGGTGTGGTGCAGGGGACATTGGACGTGTATTTCGACACGGTGACGGAGCTCCGGTCGCCGGAAAGTCCTGCCTTTCTGGTGGAGATGATTGACCTTTACTTGGCTGAGTCACCGGCTTTGCTCGCCAGATTGGAGAGGGAGATGTAAACTATTCTTATTATAATGATTTATGACTAATTAATAGGGTTTTTTTCAATGTTTTTATGTTATATTTGATTGATTTTAAATATATTGTGGACAGAAAGCAGCCTATTCCTTCACATGAAACCGTGATTAAGGACATTTTTCAACTCAGATCCAGCTCTGCCAGGTACGAAATAATTGCCTCTGCATCCTTGTCAATATGATAAAATAGTTATTGTGTTTGTAGATAAATATGCTAGTGCGTGTGTTCTTGTTTAATCTCGTTTTTGTTATGTGTATGATTAATCGAGTTCGATAACCAAAAAAGGGGGTTTATATAGAGTATGTCGATCGATCGTAGAATTTGAACATAATTCTAGTTCGAGATTCATTTACTGGTAATTATGAAAAACAACTCTGGAAGATAATTATCTAATGACCATCACTATTCTTTTTTTTATTTACAATACCATCAATATTCACTAACAGTTATCCTAATAATTAAGGACACTCTAATTTAACAATGGCAAATTTTTTTTTGTTACAACTTGATCGATGGTATTCTCTCTCGCGCGCATAAAATAATTTGTCATCGGTATAAGAGAATGAAATAAAGCCATTTTTTCACAATAACTCGATCCAATGAAATGAATCGATAGTAAAAGTAAGAAAAAGAAAAAAACACGCTCTTTAAAAGACCAACATGCGCACGTTACATCTCGCAGGCATCTATTTTTCATTTAATTATTTGTAATGGTGGATTACTATCCATCATCTCTTAATGCTTGTGGGTGGATGAATGCCAGCATGGGAGGTGGAAGGTTGGCGGCTGCTTGCCTTGAATTCAAGCATGCTTATGATGACAATAAACTAAGGTAACACCTTCCACCAACAAATTCGTCCAGATTTCTGGTTCCGCCGCGCGTTACAGTTTTCTTAAACTTACACAAGAAATGGGGGAAAAAACAATAATATTATCGTAGGTGCTTCGAGGCTTTCACGAAGTTGAAGCACGAGTACGAGAACTTTACGGGTGCCCTCGTCACTATTGGTCAGGTATGCATGTACGATGTATTTGTCAAGAACAACTATCAATCTTTGTGGATTGGTTATATGATCTGTTGACTGTTGCTGTTCACATGTGGTTGACCGATGACAGATGGAGAGGAGAATCCTGAGTAACGGTAACGGTAACGGAGGAGGTGCAGTAGCAGCAGGCCCACCGGCACCGGGCTCTCCCGCCGATGGATCGGGGATGGACCTGGACCTGGACCTGGACTCGTTGATCCAATTTTAGCAGAGCCCATTTGATAGAAATCTGGGTTTAATCGGGTCTTGGATATTCGGGGTTGTTTATTATGCTTTGTAATGTCTTTATTAGTCTTTGTTGAGTTACTAGCACTGGGTCCGGCCCGTTGGCCGGATGTTTGATTATTATGTATTTTGGTATGTGTTGCTATCGCTTATAATGTGTAGATAGCAAAGGTATATATGCTTACAAAGAAAGAGTTTATGATTGATTTTTGATATAGTCCCATATTTTCATGATTGATCTTTGTTATTTTTGTTGATCCTGACACATGTTATAAATATGAAATTGTTTCATTTGAATAGACACGTTGCGGATTGATAGTCACAATCGAATGAGCTAAAGTTTGATATTCTGCCTCCCAGGTTTCAAATTCACCTAATAAACTCAAAAGAAATTTAGGGCATAAATCCAAGTACTACAATAAATTGAAAGCTAAATATCATCAAGATCTTATTATTCCACCACCACCGAAAGAGGCAAATATTTTAAATATAAGGAGAAAAGTTTGATAACATATCCAACAAAATTGATACAATCGTTCCCACAACAGGTCAAGGAGTCAGACTCCTCCTACTACCAAAGTTTTATCTTCAAGTTGTTACCGGGCTAATTGCCATATTTTATCGACTCTCCATTGAAATCTTCGGTATGTTCAAAATACAATAAAGTCGTGATTTGGCATAAAAATATTCACAACAGTGGATACCTCATTCAAATCTGACCTAATTGAGTAGGGTAAAACTTGAACAAAAGGATTTTTAGTGAGTACGGATAAAACGTGAATATGAATATTGCGAGTAATTGGTATACATAGTTTTATCACTATCCAAGCTCATTCAATAACATACATGCATATGTATTTTATCTAAGAAAATTATTATTATTATTCTTAACATATTATGTTTATTATATATATATATATAATTATTTTTAACTAATTTTCTTATTTCTAGTGATTTATCGTCATATTTTCCACTTATGTAATGTTATTCTACGTGTAATGTTACCCAACATATGGATACGCTAAATTCGATGGGGGAAGAACATTATTTTGATTGTCTACCCAATTATTTTGTCTATATGAGTTTCAAACTATTTTAGGTAGGATAATGGATATTATCATTGGAATCGGAGTTGCTCACGTTCTTTTTCGGAGTTGTCATCAAACTTAACTTGGAATAGATCGAACACTATTTTGGTCAGGTCTTAACCTTAGGGTTAAAATCAGAACCTGGTAAGAGAATTCAAGTTATAGGTTCGAGAGTACGGTTATGTGAGAAAGAGAGCCCTACACCTTTCAAAACTCTAAATTGGTACTACTTGCTCACGTTCATTTCCAGAGTTGTCATCGAACTTAACTTGGAATAGATCGAACACTATTTTGGTCTGGTATTAACCATAGGGTTAAAATCGGAACCTCATATGAGAATTCAAGCTATATGTTTTAGAATACAGTTATGCGAGAAGGAGTGCCCTACACCATGCAACGCTCTAAATTGATACTACTTATTTCTGCAACACTCTAAATTGTTACTACTTAATCTATATAATAGGGTAAGTGTATTATTACTTGTCACTTATTTAATTAGATTAATTTAGGATTAGATACGCTTAATAGGAAAGATTTTTTTCGGTGATGTAAAAGGAAAGAGATTATGAGTTTTATTATTAAAAAAAAAGAGATTTTGAGAATTTGGTAATTTACAAAGGGTAAAGGTAAACACGCTGGGTGGGGAGGGGTATAAAAACTTCTCTTAAAAGTTAAACCCTAATTCACCCACCCAACCATCTTTTGAACAGTCTTCTTCTTCCCTTCCGATCTCTCGCCCACCCTCTGATGGTGAAGCCGCCAGCTCAACACATTTCCTCTCATCCCTCATTACCTCGGTCGGAGCTTCAAAGGTCGTAGTCATAATGACGTTATGGCTTCTCGCTGTAGTTAGAACTTAGAACTGACGGCGGTGGACGCCGGCACGATGACAGCGGCGACGAAGGTAAGAAGTGCTTTGTTGGTTTGCATGTCGAATTTAAGGACTTTTTTATGATTTAGGGATCCGACCTTTAATTTTTGTGGTTTTGCTTATCGTGAGGGGAAGAGGAAAGCGCCGCCGACTTGGATCTCTCGCCCGGATGCTCTGAAGGTAAAGCCGCCGGCTTCTCTCATCTCCTCTCTTCTCTCATCTCCTCCGCCGGAGCTTCAAAGTCGCGATGGCATGATGGCTTCTTGCGGTGCTGAGAACTGACGGCGATGTACGCCGGCGATGATGATGACAGCGGCGGTTAAATTAAGATCTGTTTTTGTTTGTTTGCATGTCGATTTTTAGGTTTTTGTTTGTGATCTAGGGTTATGACATTTCATTTTTTTGGTTTTGGTTATCGAGAGTGGAAGATGAAAAGGTCGCCGACTTGTATGTCGACGGTGACTGGATTACTGGTCGGATGTTTTGTCGTTTTGTTTTTTGACCCATCTGTGGAGGAATGGGCCTTTGAAAACTAAAATGCACAGCCCACTGTCACAGTCAGGCCCTTATCCATCCGTGGAGCTTGGTATTGGCCTTTGAAAAGCAAAACGCACAACATCATTTATTATGTTGCAAAATGACATATAAACCCTTCCGTGAATCACTCCCGAGGCTGCAAATTCAAAATGGGGAAATTCTGACCCATGAATCTGTATTAAGTATAGTATAGATTCCAGTACTTTTGAGGTGTTATTTAGTAGTAATGGGAGTTTAATTACTTAATCATGGATAATCTAAAGAAATCTGTTAAGACTTATATATCAAGCAATTATGGTTTGAACTCATTAGTGATTACTGATTAGACAGAGACAAAGCTTTCTGGAGGAATTCTACGGTACTGGTCCGATAACGATACTGGTGTAAGAGTAAAGGTTACATCTCAAACCAAAATAGGAGAAGGTTTTGAACACTCAAGACGATGCATCTTGAGCCCGGCTCCACGAAGATGCGTATCAGACGGTGGGTGGGTACAGCATCGGAGCAACTATCATGCGATTAGTCGCGCGCGTCTCGCTTGAACACTGACATGAAAGCTTCAATGCTGCAATCTTCAGAAACTTGCTAGCAGCTAGACACTTTCCCTGAAAGGCTGAAACTATGAATGAAGTCCTACAGACCACGCTCGAAAGGACGAGCAATATGGAAGTTGTCTTTACATTTGACCCACTTACTTGAGACACAAGATTCTCGGCAAAATCGTACACCACTTCTCAAGAGGTGGTCTCCTGTTACGGGGGGTGCTGTTAATTCTTTGGGATAGTAACACTCAAAATTTTCACATCTTGGTATGGCCTGTCGCCCTTGTCAGTCTTCACCTTCTCAATGCCCTGTAATCGCCACAACGTTTAGTCTCAAAAGTAAAGATAATAATAATAGGTTTTGCGGCATGCTAAGTTGATTCCGTATTAGAAAAACAGCCATGTCATGGAAAGTTGTAGAGTTACCTGGACTACATCCATTCCTTTAACAACTCTGCCGAATACAGTATGTTTACTATCCAGCCACGGTGTGGCTACAGTGGTGATGAAGAACTGAGAACCATTGGTGTTTGGCCCGGCATTGGCCATAGATACTGTGAAAGGCCTATCGTGCCGTAGGCTGCAAAGGAGGAGGGGGAAAAAGGTTAGACATTAGTCAATAAGATGAGGTTCTCATTTCTCCATCTAATAATTATTGGCATAGAACATCTTTCATGGAGAGTTGGCTAACCTTTTGTGAAATTCATCCTCGAACTCCCTTCCCCAAATGGACTGCCCACCAGTGCCATCTCCCAAAGGATCTCCAGTCTGTATCATGAACCCTTTGATGACACGATGGAATATCAGATTATCGTAATAACCGTTCCGGCAGTGTGTTGTGAAGTTCTCCACGGTTTTCGGACACTCCTCAGGGTAGAGTCTCATATGAACGTCACCCATTGTAGTGTGCATAATCTGGCATTAAAAATGGAAATGTTACTAGAAAAATAATCAGAGAACAGCAAGATCCCCCTTGTTTCTATTTATCATGCAAAAGTAAATACTATTTTCAACATAGGAGAACTTGGTTACAGCCATAAGTAATTAAATAACTGAGTAAAGAAAAACATATTCTGAATGGCAGATCAACTAATTTAGGGCTCATCTATTCACTTTATAACAAAACTCACCACATTCTCAGGGAGAGATGATGCTGCGGCCTTTCCTAATTCTGAAACGGCCAAGAGTTCATCTGCTGGAGGCTTCTCATTGAAAACATCCCTACCTTTAGTTGCATCCTCGGGCTCTTCTGGCTCTCTCCGGCTGTTATTAATACAATACATTAAGAAAGTGATAAAACCAAATGTCAAAACCTCATTGTCGTGCTGGATGATATCAAGCTACCTGCATACATTACCAACTCCTTTTGAGAGCACACAACTTTAGCTGTTTCATCAGTGTTTTCTAATTCAATTATTCCAAGGACATTCAAGTACCTTCGATCACAAAAAAGACTCAGCCAGAGGATAAGCCCATAATTATCTTTCTACCTCTGGGGAATAACTAGATCAGATATTTGTTTCTTTCATATAGACCTTTATTAACTTAAGTGGAAGAAAACATTTATCCGCTTTTTGATAAAACGATGTACTTTGGGCAGGGAAAACAAAGCACTTCAATACAAAGGACTGACTCTAAAAGCTCTTCAGCATGGAGTTAGGGAAAAATCAGACAAATACATAAGCCACACACCTGAATAAATAAATCCTGTGCTTCTTGAATGCACAGCATAAAAGAGTAGGGTCAGTTAATGGCTCTTTGCTCTCATTTGCATTTGCTGCTGCAGTTGGAATTTTTCGAACTTTTTTATTGCTTCGGTCTCCTTGATACAAGGCAATTCGCAAGAACCTGTCGTTGTTCTCCACTTTTCCTAGGATTCGGGCCACTTTATTCGTGTGCAGATTTACTACCTACATATACATAGAAGGTCCAAAGAGTTGGACAAAACCATTGAATAAGTGAATAACAACCTAAGCATAAAAGGATCAGCAATTAGATGATACAATCAAAGTTCACTTACTTTTATTCCCAGTAGCGTTGCATATATGAGAAAATTGGAACTTTCATCAAAAACAGCATTTGGCTGTGGTGCAGTTTCTGTTTTCTCAAATTCTTTCTCAACAGCCATCCTTCGTCCAAAATCAATGGCTTCTAGTCGGTACAAAGGAGCATCACTCCTTTGGAGGTCTTGAGCAACCTACCCACAGCGGATAAAAATATTTTAAGAAAAAGCTAAAGGCACAAAGTTACAGTGGAAGTCTAATTAAACATTGGTCTTTACCTCTAGAGATTCATCATAAACTCGTCTTAGTTTACCCGTTCTGAACCAAAAGACTCGTATCCTGCGATCAGGTGACGTAATTGAGAATTGCTTACCATCTGGGCTGACCTGAATGGGGGTAACAGTTTCAGATTGAATAATTGTTTCCTTTTTATAATTTAACCATCAAGCACCCACAATGCTTATACAAAAAGAAGGCATATTACCTCAATAGCTGAAACACTTGTTTTGCATTTCACAATTTCGAATAAGTTTGTATCAGTTTTTAATTTAAAATTCACCCTGCATTGCAAAATTAAAAGAAAAGGAGGTCAGACATCAAAACCAGTGACAATAGCGAAAAGGAAAAAAGTTACTGCATAAGTTGCAAAAATAATGGAACCTAACAGAAAGAATTGCTACGAATAGATGAAGATGGACGGCATTAAGATAAAAGCAAGGACCAGAAGTGCATCATCTTAATAGAGATTTAAAACAAAAGGAATAAGACAGGATATAGCATCTCAATGAATTCGGACAACCCAATTTTGTAAAAGTACATGTAAATGTGCACATACTCATCCTCTGGAAACTGAAGTGTAGAAGGACTCCAATATTCAATTATTCCCTTCATATCAGCAGATATCACAGAATCGTAAACTGGGTTGTACTTCATAACTTTGACTGGCCCCATGTGAATCTGGAGGAACAAATCAAAACAAAAAATTTGATAAGGAAAGAGGTAAGGTTGCTTCTCGTAGGAACCACTGGCATCGCTAATTGGTTACCTCTCTCGAGATAATAGGTTCATTTGTACCGGCTCGTGCATCATATATGTGAACAAATGAGGAGTTTCGATCACTGATTGCAAGCTTGGCTTTCACATCTCCTTGTTCATAAACCCATTCAACACTCCCAGGAAGATATGGCAAGCTAAGCATGACCATCATGTCATAATTCACCACATCATAGATCTTGACGGATTGATCACTTGATATCGTGCAACAAAGCAAACCATCAATGCTAACCTGCAAAGCTGGAAAACGGTCATGGTTGAGGAATTCGCCAACCGTCCAACATAAATGGAAATGAAAGCAAACAAGAACTGCTAACGATATCCTAAAGATATTATGTTCATAATAAAAACTATGACAAATACATAAGCACGGGACAAAGAAAACAAAAAGTTCTCTGAACTCACAATCTTACTTAAGTATGTGAAGTGCCATTCCAACCAAAACAAACTAGGTTAATTTAAAACCGAATAAACTACAAGATGATCAATGAAAAAGGTCTTCTCGATCCAAAATTTTGGTCCATCACAAACCCAATCGACAATCAAGTAATGCACAAATAAGTAAACTAGGCAGGGAAAAGAACTCACCGCTAAGCCTTCTATGGGACCAAGATGGGATCTGAAATGTTTTGCAAATTCAATACCAATCGATTTTTTCTTCCAGAATTTCAAGTGACCTGAATACACAAGGAATAAGAAAAGCATCCGTCAAAACACAAATTTTCCAATCCCTGATATTCACTAAGCCATCATAAAAGAAGCCAAAAAATAGCCGGTCAGATTGCATTCCCTGGAGAATAAGTGATCAATCAGATCTTTATAAAAAGGTTTCAGAGCCTGGACTCTTAATCTCAGAATTAACATATATGCAAACTCAAGTTTGTCAACATGAAATATTTCAACAAATGCAACTTCAAATGCTGCAGTACGATATGGATTGACGGAATAAACAGTGAACAAACCAAATATAACAATTTGGAATAAGCTCGATCAACCAAAGGAAAATTAATTGAGTTAAATCGTCACTAACATATTCAGTCCATGTCAAATCAACAAATTGAAACGGCCAACAACCTTGTAAATCAACTGTCACCACCAATTTCCACTCTTCTGTGTATTTCATAAGATTAACTCCAGGCAAAGGAAGGCAAGCCTCAAGCCCATGGAATATAGAAAAGTTATCATCAATATGTTAACTCATGCAATATATAAACTTTCTGAAATAGCAACCATCAACTAAGGGAGCAGACAATCTGAACAGCTTCGATCCAAAATAATGTATCCAGTAGACAGTATAGTGCATGCATATTATGTTCAAGAAAGTCTTACGTCAAAATACAGTGATTCTGCTGAAACTTGCAGACAACCTTTAAACTACAGAGCAGCTCGAAAAATCTTCAAAATTATGCTAACAAGAACTCGTTTCTACATAACTATCATTATTATTAGTATAAGGCAAATATAGGGCTGTCTTTGGAGCTTACGAAGAAACACATTAAGGAAAAAATTTCAGGAACAAAGGACACTGCATGAGTCACCCTCACAGATATAGTGAAAAAACAATACCATCAAGACTTCCAGTGATGAAAAAATCTGCTGCTGAAACAGCAACATGCGTCACCACATCTCGATGCATATAACTTTTCTCATACCTGTCATGTACAGCATAAGAGAATAAGCTCTCTTGTAGCAATTATAGCTAAACAAGCAATTATAACAACTTTCAGCCAATGTAAGAAAAAAGGGCAAATTTTGAAGCATATGATGCATCACAGAGAACAAATATGCTAAAACTTCAAGATATAATATTGAATGATGAAAGAAACTGAAGGAGAATAAATGTAAGAGAGAAAGGGATACATGGCCTTCTGAGTAACTCAGAAATCAGGCAACCACATTGCAAATGCAACCAGAAAAATCAACTTCCCTACCAAATTACACCGATCAACTACTAAGAATCATGAGGCAAACGTCCCGTGTTAATTACTTAAGTGTGTTGAAGATTAACAATTTCGAAAACAACAAAACTAAGCAACAACAACAACACTCAATCCCCTGAGGTAGAAGGTTAAGTAATCAACCAATTGACACCAATGTCTAATCTATTACGGCCACCTCCTGTTCTACTTGAACTAACCACAGCGAAAGGCAGTCACTACAAATCAAGAAACAGGAAAAATCCTAAGAAAATGTCCAGAGCTTTAAAACTAGAGCTCCAATTCCACTACCATAGTGGCACAGGGGCAAAAGGATAAGTCCTAACATTACTTAATCACAGTCCCACGCGAACTAAACACGAGAACACCAAACAATTTGATAATACCCGCACAGATACGAAGCTATGCTACGCTCTGGATCAACCTAAACCCTAAACTAACAAGTGCAGGGCCTGAGGGAGCATTCTAAGGGGGAAGCAGGAAATTGCATACATATTTGCTGAGGGAAGAGCGTCGAGGTAAGCATGCTCGAACTGGAGAGGACGCTTGGTGCGAGCTTTAGGAGGCGGTGCAGGGCCGACGGCCGGCTCCTCGGTCTCCGGTGGAGGAGGCGCCGAGTTGTCGTTCGCGTTCCCGTTTTGTGGCTGCTCCATTTGTAGTTGAAACCGACGCCTCTTCGCAAGCGAGACGGAGGGAGAAGAAAGTAGATTCCGGCGACGGGAGTTGCGATTTTGGGATTTAAGCTTCAAGTCGCTGGATAGTATCCAATTTCCTGATAAGCACCGGCCGCCGTTAGTTTGTCGAGCCTACGAACTAGTAAATCCCACCTTTTTTATCTGGAATTTTGTCGAGAGAAAGCAAATATGTGGAACTCATGATGCAAAAATTTTATAAATCCTTGATAAAAGAAATGAACTATTCAAACAATGGACTCTTTCAAATTTCGTAATGCAACAAATCTATTATAAATTCTAAGGTTTTAAAAACGGAAATATCTCATTTGTAAATCCAACCAGCAAATGAACCCCTTGGATTGAAGGTGAATTAAGGACAATGTAATTGTTGAATGATTTAATTAACCAAGTTTTGATTCGATACCTCTCATCATGCTCTTGAATTCATCGAACTATCCCATTCAAATTCATGGTTCAAAATTCATTAAAAAAAATCATGGTTCAACAATTTTCTATCGTCAAAACCACTTGTTTGGACTTGTTATGCAATATATCTAATCGAACTAGACGATAGTTTGAACTTGTTATACAATATATCTAATCGAACTAGACGATACGATTTCTAAAACATTGACTAATCATTGGATGCGAGCATCTATTACGCATTTCGTCTTATAATTTCCGTATCAATCTTCCACCCTGATTAGCCTCGTTGGTTGTGTTGATATCCAGTGAATTTCAATTTCCTCGCTTCACTACTCTCCTTTCTAATAATTCTATATTTATATATATAACCCTCTAATTATCATTGAATTAATAATACTCAACCGGAGTCCCTGGGCAACTATCATCCGACACAACATCCCGACTAAACGGCGGCGGCACATACGGCGGCTTAGCACACCTCAACAAAGCCCAATTCACCCCATGAAAAAACGCGTGCTTCTTAATCGCCGACGCCCCCGTCGTCGACCCAAGCCGCCTCGCCGGATCCTTCGCCAGCAGCTGCGAGATCAAGTCCCTCGCCGCCGCCGGCACGGCGGGCTCCTTGGGGAACTCCAGCGCCCGGGCCACAACGTTGGCCAGCGTCAGCTCGTGGTCCACGCCTCGAAAAGGAGTCACACCGTAGACCATCTCGTACATGAATATCCCCAGCGTCCACCAGTCGACGGCGCTGCCGTGCCCTTCGCCGGACACGATCTCCGGCGCCAGGTACTCGTGGGTGCCGACGAACGACATGGACCGGACGTCCACGGGCTCGGCCACGAATTCCGGGCCGGCGGCCCGGTGGTGGCTGGTGGGCTTCTTCTTCTTTCGCTTTCGGTTTGGGTGGAAGCAGGAGACGGCGGGGACTATGCAGCTGGGGATGATGCACGAAGAGGATGTGAAATGAGGGCGTTGATCGGCGACGGTGAAGTCGGTTTTGTTAAGTGCGACTCCGGCCGGCGGGTTTTGGGATGGGATTATTACTTGTGGGGTTGAGGCCGTGTCGTCGCATTTTAAGGAGAGGTCGAAGTCGGTGAGCATTATGTGGCCGTCGGCACGGACCAGGACGTTCTCCGGCTTCAGGTCGCGGTAGACGATTCCCAACATGTGGAGGTACTCCAACGCCACCACAACTTCTGATACGTAGAATCTGTAAAAAAAAAAAAAAACAGAAAAAATCAACACTTTCAGGCATTTGACTATGTGGAAAGACTTAAACTTGAAAAAAATTTGGCAAATTTTGATCATCCCACATAGTTTACCAGTTGAAAGATGTTCTGGAACGAATTGTACAATTATTTTCTGCGCAAGATGCATATTATGTTACGTTTAATTCAAGATAGCTAGACCTGGTTCGGAACAAGCAAGGTTGTCAATCCGCAGGTTGACCCGAACCCGGTCGAGCTAGTGGGTCAAGAGTTTAATCTGGTTTGGCCCAGAAATATGGAAAGAGTCATTATATTGTACTTATCCTTATTGTTATGGGACAATCCAAGTACCACATCGGAAATACAAGGAAATGAACCCTTGTATATAAGTGTCCACCTAGCCCAATTAGTACGAGGCCTTTTGGGGAGGACACCCAAAAGTAAAACCGTGCGGGCTTGGCCCAAAGCGGACAATATCGTACTAATTGAGCTGCCCGGTTATGACACTTATAAATTATATCAAATCTTATCTAACATATGAGTTATAACATATAATATTACACCAAAATAACATATCGTACTTAGATCTGGCATAAAGTGAAAATTCACACACTTATATACATCAATATTCAAATATTCAACTTAGGATTCCACATATTGAGTTATGCGAAAAGAAAAATCGGAAATATGCGCATTTCGCAAACCAAAGAAAAAAATGACACAATTTGACCTTCAACCCGGTACCTTATAGCCGTCGACCGACGGGTGTGTGCGGCCCGTTTTTCTCTTCTTCTTTTTTTTTTTGAAAAAAAGAGAAAAACGGACCGTACACACCCGTTTTTCTCACTGGGTCAGGGTCAAAGTGGGTCGACCCACAGGTCAACTCACGGGTTGACAACCTTGAAAACAAGAGCTAGTGGTAGTAAAAAATATGTGGTCATATCCGTTATCACCGTTATTCCATTCCAAAAGGGTAAAACGCGATCGAGAAATCCGTTTCCTCCCTCTTTACGCCTTAGACTCACGTCCAAGATTAAGTTCAATCATACAACATTACATAGTGACTTCATAAACTCAAACAAGGCCAGAGGGACAACGGACAAGTAGGACGTGAACTCTAAATCTTCGAGTAGGAAAATAATTGATAAGCCACTAAACAAAAAGAGTCCCTAAACCAAAGGAAAGAATGGGGGACCTACAATTGTCACAATATCATTGGCCAGATGTATGTTTTGTTCTTTGATTATCATATCATTACCTTACATGCATTAATAATAATGCATATAAAAAACCACAGATTTGTTTGGTGTTCATACTTCATACTTCCCCCTAACTGCTAAACAAAGGATCGACAGGATTACCCTCTTATATGGATTCCCTTTATGCTACAAAACAATACAATAATCATAAGTGGAGGAAGCATAATAATACCCATCATTTGGCAGTTTTCATGATGGCTCTAAGTGGAAGATGAGAAATCGATAGATGTGATATGATAAATTATACAACATAACACGTAATCGGCGATATTGATTACTGGAAACTAATGCAACTGTCTTCCCAACACTTTGATGCCCCCACCGAGGAAAATAAAGAAACGGCTAAGTGACAAAAGGCTAAGGGATAGTGTCATGATTAAAGGAGGCATATGAAGTGTTATGTTTCTTAATTGGAGTTAAGAAGTGGTTTCCCTGTATACTTATTTCGGGATGGGATTAGGCTACTAAAAATAACGAAATCACTACGAATTATGATAAAATCAATACAACATTTAAGCTAAATTACTACTAATTCAAACTAGTAGACGGATTATTATAAAATCAATACAACATCTAGGCTAAATCACTACTAATTCAAACTAGTAGTAGTTTTTCCCTTGGTTAAGACGGTACTAACTATTGTGCAATTAGCACCGTAACCGCTCCCACTTATTTCTAGCAGCACTCACAAGCAGGTAAGAGAGGTAATGACATGTAAAGCCCTAAAACAGGCAGAGCAGTTAGCTAACCCTGATAATCAGCAGGCTAATCATAGTGATTCTACTAGGGGTTAATCTGATTCAAACCCTATTAGTCATGCTGCTATAAATGCTCATCTTTAACCTTTACCAAACTCCAAAACAGTACACAAAAACACCACCACTAATGCAAACCTTTCAAACCCTATTAGTCATGTTTCCCTTCTCAATCAAAGATGGGAAAAAACTAGCATAGCAAAGATGAAAACTTGACCTACAGTTCACTACGAATAGCTCCAAACTGCCACAGATGGGTGGACCTTAGGTTTTGACTCATCAATGGCAACCGCCAGATTCACTATCTCTGCCTCTATGCGGGTGTTTGAGTTGGCTACCGGCTCCTGCCACAACTCACAAAGAATTCCAACCACCCACCGAGCCTATTAACTGGTCTAAACGACAGCTCCCAGCTGGCTCTTTCTCAGTTCCCATATGGCCTTATTATTGGTAGGCAGTTGGCACTAAAAGGTAATTTGCCCATTTCTCATGTGATCGCAAACTGGCTCCTTCTGGTAGGGATGTGCAATGGTCCGATCCGTACCGGATCACACCAGACCAAACCGTTGTTAAGATCAGACCGAGTAAAATACGGTCTGGTCCTTGGTCCTCATGAATTTTATAATTACTGAAGAAATGTTGGATCGAGCTCATATTTGGACCGGACCGAACCGGACCAAATGCAAGAATGGTCCGGTCTTTGATCCTAACATGTCTTTCACTAATGGACCGCGGTTCTCATGAGTTTGGTCCGGTCGTTGCACACCCCTACCTTCTGGTCCTTGCCATATAAAAAATTCACCCTTACAGGAAGTTCACGTAATTTACGTCGTTAAGTAAGCATTAAGCGCGATCTAGGATCTCTTTCCTGTGATTAAGAAAGAAAGAAAGAAAGAAAGAAGGAAGCAAGAAAGAAGTCAAACCATGGATGATTACGTGGACTACACCACACGTGATCATCTCCCCCATTGCACGGCGACCACGCCGTGACTCACTGTTTCACTCCGTTAGTAGGAAATAACGAAAGTGAAAAGAAGAAAAAAGGAAAAAAGCCGGCCGATGCGACCGTGCAGGAAAACGGGCTCCGACCCATCTCCCTCGCCTCGTCGTCGTTTCGTTACGCAAATAACGGTTTACGGGGGAGGGACGGAGCCCGTGAAATCGGAATTCCGGGGAACGGAAATCGAGGACGGGGGGGACAGCCACACGCATTTCTAGACTTCCAGAAAAATCGAAAATATTATTCTAACTATTTCAAAATTGGAAAAGGAAAAGGAAGGGGAGAAGGAAAGGAAGGAAGGAAGATGCTTAACGTGCGCACCTGACGGCAGCTTCGTCGAACCGTTTGAGCGGCTGGCGCTGGCGGAGCACGTGGAGGTCGCCGCCGGGGCAGAACTCGGTCAACAGGCACATCCACCGCGGCGACTCGATGCCGGCGTGGAGCGACGGGAGGAACGGGTGGTCCAGCATCTCCAGGATCTCCTTCTCCGTCCTCGCCCTCCCTTCCTTGCTCCTGCTCACCAGCTCCTTCTTGTCCATCACCTTCGCCGCGAAGATCGCGATCTCGTCGCCGCCGGCGTCCGCGGTGGACGCCGATTTCTTGAGCTCCGCCAGGTAGACGGAGCCGATGTCGCCGGAGCCAAGGCGGAGCGTGAATCGGAGATCCGAGAACGTCAGCGGCTGATTCTTGGTGGTAGCCGGCTTGGAAGAGAAGGAAGTGTGCGCGGAGGGAGCGGGGGTGAGGGTGGCCGACGACGACGAGCCGGAGCTCGTGCTCCGGTGGAGCGTGGCGGTCGTGGCGGTGCCGGTGGAAGTGAAGCTCACGCTCTGGAGGTCGTCGGCCAAGTCATCGATCAATGGCGGCTCCATTGAAGGAGAGAAAAGAGCGGGGGACGAATTTGGGAGCGGAAACTGAAGCGTGAAGTACGAATTGAGAAGTGAACGAAGGAGAAGAGGAATGTGATTTGAGGGGAGGGGTATGGGCCTTAATGGGCCGGTTATGGGTCCGCCGAAATGGGCCCGAGTGGGCCGATGCCCCGGTTATTGAGACAAGGATGTATTCCAGCCTAAGAAACCGAGATTATGGAATCTAATCAGGGGATTATGTCTTGACAAATGAATCTTAATTTAATTTATTTCTTAGCCAATTATAGAAATTGAAATTTTAAAAAATATAGAAATGGAAATAAGAGGATCAAAACGACTCTATGTTTTAGTTACGATAATATTTTAGTCACAAGCAGGTTAATAACAAAATATAGAATCTTTGTGTTGAAAAATGTGTTACATTCTATGTTTTAGTCACAATCACATAATGATTCTAGGAAATAGAATAATTATCAGTTTATTACTGTGAATAAGACTTTTTTAATTGGATATTGAGATTTACTCTATTTGTAAGAGAAAAAGACTAGTAAGATGCGTTACGGACTTAAGTATTCGAACTTTTTCTAAGGTCAACATGGAAACCTATTTTTGATCACATATGGGTTGAATTTGATGGACAGCTAATAAGGGCTTGTGCCCATTTTTAATCAGTGTCTAGTCCAAACTGATAAGCATCTTCATGAGTAAGACATGACTTAATAATAAAGTAATAATAAAATAGAGTTTAATTAGTCTTCTTTGCAAATTTATCACTTATTTCGAAAATGATATGTAGTTCATTCACATATTACTATTTGGCAGTGTTGTGGACTGGTGGACGTTCGGGATCTTCATCTTCGAGCTATTGTATGGATGTACTCCTTTCAAAGGTCCGGGAAATAAGGAGACACTAGCTAATGTGATGACAAGTATATGTAAAATTTCATTTCCTTTTACCTAATGTATTTAATATAGTATAAATATAATCCCAAAAGGTTGGATGTATACTAGTTCCACACGAGTTTATGGTTAAAAAGAGGTCAGAAGCTTGGATGTATACTGGTTCCACATGAGTTTATGATTAAAAAGAAGAGGTTTAGAAAGGGAAAAAAGGGGCATTCCGAGAATTGAACTCGGGACCTCTCGCACCCTAAGCGAGAATCATACCACTAGACCAAATGCCCTTGATTGGTAGCTGCATTACCTTTTTGGCAATAGAAACCAAAGAATCTCTTGTGACTTGTCACGTGTGGGCTTTATTTGATGCGAGGCCTATATCAATCTTGGACCGACTCTTCAGTTAAGTGACGCTTTTGCTACGATTTCAATTATGGGCTTTTAGAAGACAAGGCCCAACTTCTTATTAGCTACCACATCGCCTATTAACAGTAGCCACTAAACCTTTATATTCTCCAGCTCCACTCATATGCTCGTCCCTTCGGGGACATCCGATAAAATTGGAACGATACAGAGAAGATTAGCATGGCCCCTGCGCAAGGATGACACGCATAAATCGAGAAATGGTCCAAATTTTTTTTCCTTACTTAATCGAGTCAGTTGCAGATTATTTTTTTTCGTTCGTTTCTAGTTGACAAGCATATCATAAGATTTGTTCCTTCAGGGACATCCGACAAAATTGGAACAATACACAGAAGATTAGGTAGCATGGCCCCTGTGCAAGGATGTACGCATAAATAAAGAAATAGTCCAAATTTTTTTTTCCTACTTAATCGATTCAGTTGCAGATTGTTCTTTTCGTTCGTTTCTCGTAAACAAACATATCATAAGATTCGTTCATGACCCCTGCGCAAGGATGACACGCATACATCAAGAAATAGTCCAATTTTTTTTCCTACTTAATCGACTCAGTTGCAGATTGTTCTTTTCGTTAGTTAGTTTCTGGTTAACAAACATATCATAAGATTCGTTCGTTTCTGGTTAACAAGCATATCATAATCAAAAGATTTGTTCTGGAAACTGATAAATGAAATAAGCTCATCACAGACTGTACATTTTACTTCTTCAGCACATATATTTGGCAAATTTGCAGTAGTATTATTACCAAGTTCATAAGTCATAACTATCCTTCCCCAAAATGAATGCACAATATTTACAGTGACCTAGACAAGGCCAAAGCAATATAACCTTTTTGAAACAACCCTCTTAGCATAAAAAACTCTCCCCAGATTCAGGATCATTTTGCCTCCCTATAAACATGACAAACTGAACCTTCCATTCACTCATACAATGAAGGGCTGCTTAACTGCTTTTCTGCCACGCTGCTTCCTAGGGTTGGAACCGATCATGCAAGAGAAGGCATTCACGATTTCTGAATCTTCTTCGTTCATCAGAATCTTTGCTGAATCAGGGTTGGCAAGCAGCTGCTTCGATACGAGGTAGCCTGCGATCGACCAGGTCTGGAACAGCCTCGACTGCTTTCCGATGAATCTCCCTCGCTTGGTATCGTAATATTCTGGCCAGTTGTCTCTCGAGATCCGCTTCTCGACAAGCTCCACTGCTCTTTCTGCAATCTCTGGTCGGTTCATCTTGATGCTTGCCACAGTGAGCTGAAGAATGAATGCCCCCAACAGACAAGTCAGTAGTAATATAATAAGAGGTCTATTAGACTATTTACACAAATGGTCACTGGACTTTGGGCGTCACCAGCAAAATTGGTCACTGAGCCTTCTATTCTTTTCAAAGAATTTGTTACTCAAGGTTCGAAATTATAACTAGCATAATTCACAAAAGAAGAAAAATGCTGCGTTTACAGTAATTATAGCAATCTAAGCTACCTGCCACAGCAAAGTTGGCCAAGAACCACCATTATGGTAAGACCAAGGTCTGCAACCAGTACAAAAACAGCAAAGAAGGGTATGGTTAGAGTTATCTTTATCCCTCCAGAGATTAGTAAAAATGACCAAAAAGGATCAAGGTAAGAAGCATAATACGTGTTCTTCGGATCACTGCCTGTGATGATACGCCATTCCTGGCCTTCTAAAGCAGGGTAGCAGATTTTGAAAGGCATCTCAGCCACTAAATCTTCCCATTTTGATTCAAATAGATCCAATATAGCATGGGACTGTTCCATGTTTGCAAGACTGCTCACTATGGACCACAAGTTCCCCAGAGAGAAGAAACGGAAATCCATGTGAGCAGGCTGCAGGTTTCCAATCAAGTAGCCTCCTTTGCTGGGCATGAATTCAACCAACCAGGGTGGAATCTGGTCCGGGTAGATGTTGAACTTATTGACTGCATCGTAAGAGTACTCCTCAGTTTTGTAACGGTAAATTTCGTTCAGTTTTCTCATGTCAACCCAGTAGTATTCTCTGATGTGGAAAGACAAGGCTACCAGACGGTTGTTGAGGACCGTAATGAGTTCAGCTGTTCCATCTTCTGGAGCAAGCATCTCACGTGCACTTAGTAGAGCTGAATAAAAGAGGGCCTGCAAAGCAACCTTTTATCAGCACATGCTTATCTTCATTTTTGTTTTCTACTACCGATTTCATGCATAATTGCACTGAGCCAAACAATGTTTTAGCAAACACACCAACATGTTAGCATGCAGTTAAGACAACTAAGCAATTCACTAATGCACCAAACCAAACACACCTGGACTCATACCTCTGAAAAGGTGGTTGACTGTTTGAACTATGAAGACCTAGTTGAAGCATTTGATATAATATGGGCATGAATAAATAATCATGGAGCACTCGTGTAGATTAAGCTAAGTAGTTGCCAACTTGGAACGTGAAATATATAGGATAATATGATATCAAAGCGCAATAGATTATAGAAAGAGCATTCACCTGAATCTCCAAAGGATGCCCATGAATTCCCATGCGTCGATCAATCATACAAGAACCGTCCGTGACCAATAAGGTTGGAAACATATCAAAGCCATCAGCAAGGCAAAGTTTCAGAATCATTTTGATCCCAGTTTGTACGTCTACTCTCTCTTGCATCGAGAGATCGCCAGAGCATTTTCCATAAGCTCGTAAGAGTATAATCCACCATAAGCCTGAAAAAGAGCATATCCTCATAAAGATTTCTCAACTTGCAGAGCAAGCAACCAACACAATAAGGAAAAAGTATTTGGGGAATAAGTACCAGAGTCAACCGGTGCAACACGACCAATTGCAGCTTCACCAAAATCAGGATCCAAGACTTCTTCACTGGCATTTTCATCACCCTCGAGAGGAACAGTTCGAACCTTGAAACTAGCCGGCATTAGCCCTTGACCAGGACTATAACAATCCATTGTTTTCTCCCAACTCTACCAACAGTCAGGGGCAAATAAGCTTAAGCAATACTGGACATCATAATCACACAATTTGACGAGCTCAGGCGTCTAAATTTTACTTAGCATGTTAAACGTGATTGAAATTCGGAGGATAAATAACAGAACAACATAACATTACTTGTACTTTACCTGCAATTGTAGAGTGTAAAGAATGAAATTCTTCACGATATCATACTCTCCTTTCAAAAGGAAAGCAATCCCAGAAGGAATGAAGTCACGAATAAAGACTTGATCATAATTCGATACATTACTGCTGTTTGGTTCATTAGCAGCAATAGTTCCAATAGGGTTACCACAGTAGTACACAACGGATGCACGCAACAAGTCCCAAGCTTCATCCTCAATTGGATTCGTAGAAGATCCCTTGAGTTGCACATCTGTACTAGTTGCAGCTGTTCCATTTCCATCCAACAGCCCACCGTTCCCCCCTACTGCAACGTCTCCATTTTCTGGTTTCAATTGCTGGAGCAGTGAAAAATCCTGACCTCCACCATTGACGCCAAACACAGGGATCGACATTCCTCCACCATCGCTGCCAAAAGTTTCAGACTGCTGCTGGCATTTGCATCTGCTAGAACCCGGTCTTCCAGCGGATTTATTGATCCTCCCAAAGGAGAGGGGATCAATGCTCCCACGGCATGCATAGACCTTAGCAGGGCAATATACTAAAGCTTTGGAGCAATGATTCCTCCTGCTTCTTCTGGAGCGACCATTCATGGGCTTTACAGAAACGAACGAGCTTGAATAATTAAAGAGAGGATCGAAATGATGAAGCCGCGGCAACCCAGTTCGGGAAATCGCTTCAGCAGTAGCCATTGTTGGATTCCTTGTAGCTAGCATGAAAAAGTCCACAACTTTACGGTTGCACAAAACCTACAGAGAGATCATAATCCTAATTTCAAAGAATTCAATGAACAACCAGGGAGGTAAGACCGCATTCGGAGATCAAATCCACAAAATCTATTGCTCCAACATAGATTGATCAACCAATTTCCAGGGAATGAAGGGTTGAATCGAACCTATCCCTTCATTAACAGGAAACGAGAAATCAAACGAATTGAGCAACCAATACGGGGAGATAGGAGGGAGGGAGGGGGAAGAAAGAACAGTGAAACGAATACAAATATATTATCCACAGATAAAAAGAGCCAGGTGTTTGGTGGAGGTATCGCTAAAGAGAAAAAACGAAGACGAGTTTCCTGCTCCAACCTTTTTTGGGTAGTTTCCGTTACTCCGTTAGGTCTCGAGAGAAGACGTCAGAGATTGAACGGGATGAAGGTGTTAAATGCTGAATCGGATGACGGAAATATGTCGACGGTCGACGCCAAGTCCCGGCGACCAAACATTCAGTTTCAGCTATCAATGGTAAGTTCCGTGGAGGAATTTGTGGGTAGGAAGAGGCCAACGGCGGCAAGTTTTCCCATTTAGAGAAAGAAAGATATTTTCGCGGGTGACAAGTTAGCGTATTACACGAGTAACAACTTTAATTTTGGACAAACAAAATGGGTTTGAGTGCTTTCTGCAACTGCAAGAATCAATCAAAACGGTCCCTTTGGGGACATACGATAAAATTGGAACGATAAAGAGAAGATTAGCATGGCCCCTGTGCAAGGATGACACGCATAAATCGAGAATCAATCAAAACGTTTGTGGTGCCATCTGTATTTTTTTAGATCATGAATAGCTAGACCAGCTGGACTAACACAAAATCATTCACTAATCTTCTATTTCACAGAAATACCCAAGTAGTTAGAAAAGCAATCTCTAATTCTCTATGATGTGGTATGCTAAATACAAGAGATTCACAGTTCAAGTTTGATGAGTTCAGTCAACCCCTAGATCAAGGCAGGGAGTAGTAATCTTCTGAACTAACAGCTACAGTCAATTGAATCCCATCCGAATGCACTTCATGATCCAGCCGGGTGATCGTTGTCATTGTCCCCATTGTAGCACTCATCATCCCTCTGGATTTGCTTGTCTTGTGCATGCTCTGAAATGGAGGGAAGATGGACACTGGTTGTGAGAAAACTGATGGAAACACAGAAGTAGGGTGAGAAAGAACGTTCTATCAGGGAATTCAACTTACGATCCATTCTTTCATCTGGGTTCTGTTCATCTTCATCGAAGTCGGGGATGTGGAAGTCGGGTGGTACCTGCACAACTCATTCTAGTTAGGATATTTGTAAAAACAAAAAATGAATAGGGAACATACAAGATACAACTACACATACTAGAGCTGATTAAGCTCAAATTTTGCACTCTTCTAGAAGGGTGCAAAACGGCCCCTTCCACTTAATGCAAGCAGTTGGTCAAAACCTAGAGAAAAAAGAATCCCACCTCTTGCATCTGCACACTTGGTGCATGTTGTATGTGCCGCATATTCTCCATTACTTGCACTTTGATGGTGCTAAGATAAGACTTGCTATTAAAATTCTCCTGCTCTAATCAGCCAAGGTAGTAGAAGGCGGAGTAAGGAGACGAAGCCGGAGTTAGCAAAAGAGCAAGTTCACAAATTTTTTATCAATTAAAGCAAGTGATAAGCAAATACATACTATGAGTCTACTTGGAATCTTCAGCGAATAGTCAGGGGCAAAATATTCCAAGTACTCATTTTCAGGAATCTCTGCAAGGAGAGTTTCAGAACATATCGTGAACACGTATTCAAATCCGAGCCATTATAGTCAAGGCATACTGAAGATTATAAATTCGTACTATTGGGTAGTTCCGTATCCAACAGAACCCCTGTTTCAACTGTCCAACATCGAGCTACATTCTCCTTTGTATATCCTCCACCTCCAGTAACCTGCATGAACATGACATGGGTCCAGAAGGTAAGTTATTTTCATATTAAATAGCAGCAATGCATGGAGTCCATCCTATTGTTATAATAACATACCAGTAAGGGAAGGTTAAATTTCTTCACAAACTAAACACATTCAGCATGACCTGCAATGCATATCATGATACCATACCAGTAGCTTTCAGCATCAGTCTAAGCCTTAAAAGTGATAAATTGTTCAATTAAGCAGGGATAATAAGCCCAGAAAGAACTATTCATGCTTGCATGTTTGCTATTATGCAAAGGGATAGATAAATCCATAAGGAGAGAAATTTACCATCAATAGAGAGATTGAAACAGCCCAAACGGTCCCCAGCTAACGAATCTGCTCCACATTGAAGAACTATAGAGCTTGGTTGATAGATTTCTATGACCTTCGATATTATCTAGCAAAGTGACAATCAGGCACACACGTTTGTCATCGAAGCGAGGAAGCAAGCAAGAATAAGTCTTGGAATGGGTAGCTTAAACAGTAACTTACAGTTTTAAAGAGACGGGTGAAGCTTGTGTCATCTATTCCATCTTTGAGTGGGACGTTTATGGCATAGAACTTACCTTCTTTTTCTCCTATTTCCTTCAATAGAGCAAATGTTAATATTCGTCGCACTTCAAGCTTGATCAAGAGAAGTAAATACAATAATCATATTGGGTCCAATACAGCTACATTCCAAAGTATCTATGGCAACTCTTTTTAGCACAACTGCTTACATATCCTAATATGAAAGAGTAGGTTGAATCATGCGCTTAAATTCGTATTGCTGATTACAATTAACACAAGAAGAGAAAGTGCCTTTTTAACTTCTTATAGAATAGGCATAACCGCTTCATATTTTGAACTTGCATTTCAAAAGTTGAGACCTTCCATAAAAAAGCATCTTTACGAGGAAATACTTCAGCAAAATTGGCGAAAAGAGAGGGTAAATAACTAGAAAGGACAGAGTAATCACCTTAACATCACCAGTTCCAGGGAAGAACAAATCACCAAACTTGTGAAAACTCACCGTCATCACCCTGCCAGTACCATGTTTCCCACTAAATCAGAGTCGATGCAAATAACTAGCTTTTGGCTGAAGTTCAGTAATAAAGCTGAAAGCAAAGTTCCAAAATAAGTATATCTCTATCATGTGCTGTGACAGGCTTATCTGGGCTACTGAGATAGTGAGATCGCTGAATGGTTAAATGGATTTGCGACATCAATAAAGCAAGGAATACAGAATCTAGGAAGACAAATGCCAATCAGTACATTTCTTGAATCATTAACCTTTAGAAGCCTTACTATCCCAAGCTTTGTTCAGATGCTACATATACATGTCTTTGCTAATGAGGCAAGACCTCGGACAAGCAAGTGAATGCTGATAGATTGATCAGGATAGAGAGATATAATTCTGACAAAACAGTACATCCGGAAAACCAAGAAAAGGAGGAAAAAGTATCAACTCCCACGAGACTACTGAGCAAGTGGTGCATCTTACTTTTGATCTGAAAAAAGTACTTTATAGAAAACAAAGGAAACATTAATTTTACAATATCCGTAAAAAATGAAGCTGGCTTACCTGTCAGTGAAATAAAAGGCCTCCTCTACACCATCTCCGTGATGAACATCTATGTCTATGTACAGAACCCGAGCATGATGTTTAAGAAGCTCTAAGATCCCCAGTACCAAGTCGTTGATGTAACAAAATCCAGACGCCTCACATTTTTTGGCATGATGTAATCCACCAGCCCAATTGATAGCAACATCACATAGTTGGTTGTTCAATCTGCGGGCTGCATCTGTTAAAAGTGTAGAGGACGCAGTTCCTCCAGCATAAATTTGACAAAATTCAAACAGATTTACGAAAACAGGACAATATTCTCCAAGATTAACCGGAAAAAAGAAGGCATAAAGCAAAAATCATTAAAGGGTGAGTATAATTGTCAAAGAAAGCTCTCAATGGTATAACTGGACATATGAAATGAGAATAGAAACCTTAATTAATCAGATTAGCTATTATGAATTGCAGTCTCTCAAAAACTTAAACCAAAGTAAGGTATTTTCTGTTTCCAATATCAATCACAATCAATAACCCCCCACACTTTTAGCATGTAGCACAATGACGTAACAAAAAATATTCACGAAAAACATGTAAACGAGTACAATCATTCGGGGGAATGAGACATACATCTAGCTAATTCAGTTCTGAACGAGTTCTGTGTATCAGGTCTAATTCGATGTAGGAATTCAACAATCCTCGGAGTGGAACTGAGCCAGCTCACTGGGGTATGCCTTGTGAGGCCGCTGCACCAGACAATACATAACAAGAGAAACCCAAAAATTTCATTACTGTAGTTAGACGTAAAAAATAGAAATCATATACAGCACATACTAAAGACTAACATATATCTCCACTTCTTGTGAAGGTCATAAGAAAGAACAAGGTGGTGGGTCATACACAGCCTGTGTGGTTTCATTGGATGGTTTGGTCCAAAGTAAACACTACCCACATCCCCTGCAACGTTGATAACAAAAGATCAGAATTCATCCAGAGAAAGAAAACAAGACCAATACAGTAATACCTCAACAAAAACTGCAAAATTTGCACAACTCTTGATCAACCAATTCAGAACCAGTCTCCCCAATCCGTAATGACTCTCCTACTAGCAAAACCAATGCTTCCCAACCTAGCCCGTGGCACGCTAACAACGAAGCTGCCGGAATGAGTTCCTATCCCTTCAGTATTTCGCGCCTGTAGCTTGAATCATCACCAATCCGTAGCAGAAAGCAATGGGAAAGAAAGAGCAAGGAAGAAAGCACCATACCATCGTAAAAATATGCGATTTTATCCTTGGAGCGCATGGTTACAGAGAGTTCAGTAAAATGAGAGATGAACAAATGGGACAACTAAGACTCTTCCGCCATTGCCAGAGCTCGACAGTCAAGGGGAAAGAGTTTCCCCAAGAGAGCCAGCCATTAGCCAACCAACGCCGAAGATGGAAGGTCGAGGAAATTGAAAGGCACAGTAATTTTAACTGGACAAAAAGTGGCACGAGAAAGGCCCATGGCGTGACAGAATAGTGGGCCTAAAACATGGGCCATCTGCCCGAGTTTTATGGGTCCAGCCCAATTGCTTTAGCCAGTTGCTGACTTCTTCTTCCCACTTTATTGTTTAGTGGACTAGTGGTTCTATCGCATCTCTGTCAGAAAATCCGTCGCGCTTCTCAATCAGCTTTCTCGCCGATCCACCGCGACCTCCGATTCCCTTCGCAACCCTACAGCCAAGTAAGTCGATCGATTTCTGTTCGCGGCGTTCCCGATTGCTCAATCGAACGTTTCTTTTGATCTAGTTCTTCTTTAGACTTAGGGTTAAGGTCGATGATGTTTTCTGGTTGCGGTTTCCGGGAAAGGAGGATTAGGGTCTGTGATTCAACTATTCGATTTGTTGATTGAATCGCAGTTGTATATTGGGTTGTTCGCCATCTTGATTAGGTTTTTTGTTCGAACGTAATTTATCCCAAGTTTTAGGTGTGGCTGAATTACTAAAATTGAAAAGGGGAATGGTTGCTTTGGGTGCAAGAGTCTTTTTCCTTGGGTGCCGAGAGAGGCCCGCATCAATTGTATCTCGTGTTGATTTCCCAAATCTGACCCTTTTGGAGCCTTTCCAATCCGTTTTTCGGCCATACTGGTGCTTGAAATGGATGATGATTGATTCCACATCCCTTGATGGGAATTGGGAAGAGATTTGTTGTAGATGATGCCATTGAGCAATATTCGTTTCTCGACGATCAGGGATTATGTTTCGATTCTAAGTGCGGTGTAGATGTCGGAAAATTTACCGATATTAGTGATGCCAGTCTGCTTGTGTGAGTTATGAGCTGCACAGTTGTTTCGGTTTCCTCTTTGGCCACTGCCATAATATTGGTTTTTATAGTTAGCTAACTATTAGATTGTGGCCTTGTTGTTGCTGTCGTCCCTGTTTACTGTATCATGGAAGCTTGAACCACGATCTGCACTGCTGATCTACTTAGGTCGAGTTCAGCGTTTTGTTGGCTATGTGTGTATCATAGAATGCGATGTAATAACTTGCAAGCGTGTGTTGAGTTTGCTTACATTGTAAACTTGAATTGCAGAATGGTTGAGGCAGAAACACCTTTCAGACCAAGGGAGAAGCTTCTTGAGAAGCAGAGGTATTTCCAGAACATCCACAAGCATACTTACTTGAAAGGACCTTTCGACAAGGTCACCTCTGTTGCTATCCCCATCGCTCTGGCCGCCAGCTCCCTGTTTCTTATCGTAAGTCCCCTTCACTTTCTACAGCGAACCCGAACGTTGTTAGTCATATGCCTACAAAACGCAGTAACAACTTCTTTTTGCTGCTGTCTTTTGTCAGGGACGCGGAATCTACAACATGTCTCATGGGATCGGAAAGAAAGAATGAAGATGCAGTGTGTGTTTTTTCTCAGTTCTTGAGGACATTTATTTTACTTTCGGCATGTCAATGCATGACTGCTGGCTTTTGAGTTTCTTGTTTAGTGCTGCGCCGCTTAATAATTGCAGATTTGCAGTCATGTAGCTATTACCACCATTCCAGAAGTTTAATGTTCTTCCCTCTTGATGGGCACTGTTTTCCCTAATTCTTCCCTCTTGCTGCCATCATTTTCTTTTGGGATCATATAATTGTTGCTGTTGTTTTGCTTGCCAGATAGTTCTTTCGTCTTTTGGGATCATTTCATTCCCTTCAAAGTAAAAAATCAAATAGCAAATGCAAGTAAAAAATCAAAATATATAAAAACAAATAATGGTGCAAGTGCTCGTTCAAAACAAATGAAAAAAAAAAATTCAAGTATAATAATAACAAAGTAGAACAATGTGGTGTCTACAAAGCACGCTAATAAACTAAAGCAAAGCACGATACCACTAAACACCCATAGACATATTACAAGTAACAAATTGAGCTTGATATAGTTGTCAGATAGTAAGAGAATGAGCTTTGAATGATTATGCGATCACCTTGGAAGTTGAGGGTTTGGTATTAGTGAGTGAGCTAAGAACCTAGTTTCGGAGTATAACAATCATGTAATCCCAAATAACAAATAACACCTGAATTCAATCACAATCCCATAAATACGTGTATTCAATAGTATCAAATATCAACAAATTCGATACGGTATTTGGTATATCCCAAATACTGATATCAAATTTTTAGCCTTAATGATATTCTAGTTTGTACCATGTGATCGTGAGTATGTCTTTTTTTTGTTCCAAAAATATTATAGTGGATACTATTATGTAGAACACGATAACATATTAAATTTGGAATTAAAATAAAAGGTTACGAACCATTGAACCAAATAAAAAGATTAGGCGATCTAATTAGTAATTATCAACACATAATTACAAAGCCCTACAGAATATAAATAACAGTGAAGTCTCGATCTTATTCAATAAGAGTATTCCATCAATTGTCAACAACCAAACACCGATGCCAAGAAATCGGCAATTCAATATACTCTTTAGTCTTCCCTAAAAAAAAAAAAAAAAAAACTCTTTAGTCTTTAATTTCTTAGATATTCCTTCTTTTGTTTGTTATTAGTTGCCAATGTATCTTTCGGTTGCCTGAATGCAATTAGAGATGATAACTCGATTGGATTCATGAATTCGAGTGATTTTTAAATTTTGAATTATTATAATATTTTTGAAAAGTTTATAAACTAGAATATAATATAACAAATTTAGATATACCAAACCATAATTTTGAAGAATATTTTTTATTAACAAATTAAAATTTAGGTATCAAATAGTAAAAAAAATGTACACACTAAGTTGTAATTTTCAACCATCCATCAATTTATTATTTCAATTGAATTTGGATGAGATGAATTCGATTTAAATGGATTGAATTAATTGATTTTCATATGAAATCTGGTTTCAAGACGTGTAACATACAACCTTCATCTCTCGTTAAGGCACAAAAAAGAAGTGAAAATATATATTACCGTCAAAGTTAAATGTGTTGAATTTTCCCGACATGTACATTGAGGCCACATTTTCACCACATCATCGATTATAAAAATAAAATAAAATTGATCAATGTTTGGTCGACTGTTATCTCTAAGGATCAACAGAAAATATGGGGGACATAAATAGTAACGGGTAAGACACTCTCACAATTCAAATTACAATGGTCATCACTCAATATTAATTCTAGAAACGACAATTTTTTAAAAAAAAAATTGTGCGTTGTAGACTTCTGGTGGTATTTACCCAAATATCACCGAACAAACATAAATAAATAAAATGCTATTGCCTCGAAAAAAATACGTTATCAAAATCAATTCTGACCTGACACCGTGAAAGAAAACGAAACAATCATTCATCCATCGACAACCGGCACAACTCAACTCGTTAGTACACGAACTTCCAAAACAACTCCCTATCTAGTAGCTACATTGTTGAGAAGTTCATTGTTTCCAAAAGCAATTAAACTAGCATCTCTTAGAACCGGAGCTCTTGTTGCTAAGCCACAGCCGGAATCCACCTGAAACCGGCGATTTTCGATCGAATTGATGTCAATTACTAGGAAACACCGACTTTTGGAGCTTATGTACCTTTAAACTGGGAGTTTTTGCACGAACAGAAATTCATGAATTCCTGTTTGGTATTTGTCTGAGTTGTTTCATATGTACGTATGGAATTAAGTGGCTATATACATAGAAAAAAGTGGCTATATATATATATATAGCTAGCCACCCCTGGTGGTGTTGGCAGTCACTACAACATTGGTTGATATTTCCTTTCATGAAAAATACTTTTGCAGGTAGTTACTGGATACAATTTTTCTCGTTTGTTTTGTGAAATAGACGGGAAATGATAACGAGTCGTACGTACTTGCAAAAGTATTTATCATGCATGGAGTGTCAATTATCAGGGTGCATGATCCAGGCTCGGTGTGAGTAAGGCATCGGATCTATCTTATCCTCTTTGTTGATATAATTTGAATATATCGTATTATAATCTGCCATCGACTAGAAGTCACGGGGTCTCCTGCATGTGGACTAGCTAATACAACACACTATTGTGTTAATGAACCATGCAAATCTATATGTTCTTTACTTATTTCTTTCTCTCGCTGTCTTTTTTTGCATTGTCGATTATCACGATCCGTCATTGACCCTCTTCGGTCGGGTCTAGTTCACCCAATTGTCATACCAGATCAGCCGACAATGATCTCTCTTTGTTACTACCATTCAACAGATCACACTCAGACAATATTGGTCAATTTCCTGAAGCTGGTCGACAGAGAAATGCAGTGAGAGTGACAAAGCCATCTCAATTAAGAGTCCTGCCAAAACCTGAATTAATGTGGGTGCGCTATCTTAATCCATCTTTCTAATCGACATAATTGAATACACGTTTTAGGTTTATAGATCTTCTTTAGTTAATTATTAGTTTTTGTATGTTATTAGTTGGCTGGTTGTGAAACTGGGAATAAATGTGGAACAGTATCTTGAGATTGAGTAAATGATAGACTGAGTAGTATGTCGATCGAAGTAATATTTAGATGATTCAATCTTCTTGGGATCGTTTATTTTTTAGGATTCTATTTCCTGATCACCTACTTCGAACCAACAACCGATATTTCAGAAATGGATTGTGGTTGAGATGTGTTAGAACGAACTGGATAATTGACAATGTAAGAAAATAAAATAAAAAACACATAAATTTATGTGTTCACTGGGATAATTGTCAACAAATAATTATAAAAGCCCTACAAGATATAAATAAGAGTAAAGTCCTGATCTTTTGTCAATAAGTATTCCCTCAATGGTCAACAACAGAAGCGATTCCAAGGAATGGGTAATTCAATATACTTTCTTAATTTTCAAGTTTTTGGATCTTCCTTCTTTTAATTGCATTGTTATGAGAAACCAGTCAGATTAATAATTGGAATAGTACAATCACAAAATTAGTTATAATAACGGTTTGGTTTCTTTGATTGAACGGATAGGGACAGATCGAACGGTTTTTAACGGCTGAACATGAAATCATATGAACCTGCCCGGTTTAACTAGCTTATTGGTCACTATTTTTATTCATAAAATTTAAGAAAAATAATTTAACGTAAGCTAAGATCATCCAACCTTAATCACTAATTTTGTTAATGCTTCCTTTTCTTCATTTCTCAACCTCCTTGTCGACTTTATCTGGTTAACTACGGATTGACACCCTGATTACTGACTTGGATTCAATAAAAAAATTACAATTTCTTTTGTGAGATAGTTTGAATGCTCTGTTATAACTTTTTGGTTATAGATTATATGAATCTAGATATAATATGCCCTCTACTATGATGTTTTATCAAACATGCCCCTCTACTATTTTTTACATCCAACATGCCCCTCTACTATTTTTTACATCCAACATGCCCCTGTACTTTGTAAAAATGATCAAACATGCCCTTTTGTTAAAATTTTCATCCAAAAACCGTTAACCAATGCCGAACTTTGGTTTGGCGACACAAATGTCTAAAATTCCCTAATAATTTCACTTTAGAATTTTTTTTGGTTCTTTTGTATAGCCAAATAATTCAAATAATTTCACTCTGAAAAGACCCAGAGAAATCAAGCGGGGGATAAAACTAACATTTTTCTTCCCATTTGCCGATGTCGGGTCGTCTAAATCTTGGTTCAACCATGATTGAAGATTTTTTCAATGGAAATTTTAACAGAAGGGCATGTTTGATAATTTTTTCAAAGAACATGGGCATGTTTGATGTAAAAAATAATAGAGGGGCATGTTTGATAAAACATCATAGTAGATGGGCATATAATGTCTTTTATGTGATAGACTGATAGCGCATGAACGGTCCTATCGATGATTCACCAACGGTTTTATGACGGTTAACCGTTGAAACTATCAACCACTAACTTTTTTTGTTCAGTATCCAATCCGATTATAGAAGCATTATTTATTTGTTAGTTATCAAGGTATCTTTCTGCTGCCTAGATGCTGCTAAAGAGGTTTATGCATATCAGACAACAAGTAGGGGTGGCAAACAAATAGAATTAATGGAGTGATAGATTAAATTAAAAGGATTCGTAGATTCATGTATTCGATTATGATTTATGAATCCAAGTTATATCTGAAATTTGGTCAATATAATTATGGTACTTTGATAATTTAAGGTACTAAAATGTCATTCTAAAAATTATTTTTTGATAGCTTGTTAGATTTGAAGAAGACGAGAGTAATGCACACATAAAATAACTAGTTTCTTACCCGGCCCGTTGGCCGGAGAGATTTATTTTATAATTTATATTAATTAACTTATTTATATGATTAAATCTTTTTGCATCTTCTAATTATTTTGTGTTCTTATTCATAACAGAGTTTTTAGTATGTCTATATTGAAAATTTACAATATTTAGCACACTCACTTGTGATACTTTGGTTTTTTTAACATAAATTATGGCGCTGTCACGTCCCATTTAGAATTTATTTAAAAATTTGTCAACCAAAACACTAATATTTGGTGTGCGCCAACCCGAACCACACACACACACATATCTATATAGTTCAAGCTAGCGTGCGGCAGGAGTACGCTATACTCTTGCATTCACACTACCATACGACTGTTGAGATTTTCTTTTTACACCCCGAATTAACCGAAGTTTTTTGGGGCATGATATTATACCATAACCTGGTGAACTCCAGTCCATAATTCACTAACCTCTAATTTATGCACATAATTCGTCATACCTATCTTCTATCGTACCTTAAGTAAAATCAAAAGTATAGTATACTTGATATTATATATATATATATATATGGTGACGTATTCGGTGCACCCACTTTTTTGGGTGCATTCAGTGCACTCACTTCATAACCGTCATTTTAAACATGCGATTCATGTCAAAATGATGTCAATCATCACTTATGATGTGATGAACAATAACGCACATGAATTTGCACAAAAACCATCAAAGATTTACTTTAATTTGAAGGATTTAGAGTTTAGAGATTTAGGGTTAGGGTTAGGGTTTACAATTTGGGGTTTAGGGATAGAACTCAAAATTGGAGGTCTAGGGCTTAGGGTAATCCGCTAATTAGTTGTTATCTTATGTTATATCATCATATTACACTAATCTACAAATTAAAATTCAAATTCGACACCTTAAGACTAGTTTTTGAGTTGGGTGCATTGAACGCACTCATTTTTGTGAGTGCACCGAAGTAGTCACCATATATATATATGTGGTGCCTTCTACGGTACCCCGGGTGAAATCCTGGGTACCGCATACCTTGAGTGGAAAACGCTATCTAGACCTCGAATTAGCAGGATTTTTGGGCATGATACTATACCCTAACCCTTAATGAGTGAACCCTAGGTCCTAATTATCTAAATTATAAGCTATAAACCCTAAGATGGTGCATTGATTTTTTTGCCTATATTAAACCGTCGATTATTGTTTCTAATTAAATTGATCTTGGGGTATAAGATTTAGAGAATTAAGACCTAAATTTGGATCTTTAAGGGTTAGAATATAGTATCATGTCCGAAAGATCGGTCAATTCAAGTTCTGGATAGCGTTTTCTTACTCAAGGTATGCGGTACCCCGGATTTCACTCTGGGTACCGTAGAACTCCCCATATATAATATGTGGGGAGTTCTACGATACCTAGGGTGAAATCCGGGGTACCGCATACCTTGAGTAAGAAAACTCTATTCAGAACTTGAATTGACTGATCTTTCGGACATGATACTATACTCTAACCCTTAAAGATCAAAATCTAGGTCTTAATTCTCTAAATCTTATACCCAAAGATCAATTTAATTATAAACAATAATCGACGGTTATGATTCGTCCAAATATAGGCAAAAAAATCAATGCACCATCTTAGGATTTATAGTTTATGATTTAGATAATTAGGACCTAGTGCTCACTCATTAAGGGTTAGGGTATAATATCATGCTCAAAAATCCTGTTAATTCGAGGTCTAGATAGCGTTTTCATACTCAAGGTATGCGGTACCCCGGATTTCACGCGGGGTACCGTAGAAGACACCATATATATATATAGTAGACTCAAAATTATCCAGATATTTCGTCATATCTATCTTATCTCGCATAATACTCGTATTAAGAGTGCTAATTGCCTATCCCCCACTCCCGTGATAGAGATATCGCTTTTACCCCCATAACGTCAGGCAACCATTAGAGTTTATGTTCTTTTGTGCTATTTTTGGGCTTCTTTTCGTTCTTCTTTGGCACCTATGGTTGTTATCAGAGGTATTTAGCCCCCGAAAGGGATTGAGATTTTAGGTCCAATTGACTATCTTACTAAAAATTGCCAACTTTTATTTGGTAAATGTCTAGGTTAGTAGTTGATGAAACGTGATGTTTATCGTAGATTCTCAACAAAGATTTCTCTAACCTTCACATATGTTATCTTTCAAGGAATCTTGTGTCTCATCCTAGGGTATGAAGTCAAAGTTTGTCAATAATCATACTTAGGTCATTTTGAAAATTTTGATTTATAATCGTTGAAGATAACTCCAATATGAAAGAAAATTTTTTAGCATACGACTTAGGAACTCAATAGAGCTTGTTCAATCAACATGATATAGATCAACTATTATTAATTTGAACTTAGGACACATTATAAAATTATTGCACATGTGATTCCTCTTTATTTGAGGAGTTTAAGGTGAAACATAATCTGAATGAATAAGAAGTCCTTTTTATATAAATAAATGTAACTACTTGATCAAGATTATATTCTGACATTTTGCTAAATAATACTTGTTTTATTTTCGAGACATATACTTTACGAATAAAAGTTGTTTCATTGCAAGAAAATATAAAGTAATATAGTTTATTTTTCAAAGGTAATTGAATGCCAAATGTTTATTTTCTCGCTTTTCACATATATTTTGTTTAATCGACAAAAATATTATTGTTTATGTGTATGTTTGTTTAATTTTTTCATCAAAATGTAAATTATCTTTCAATTTTGAAAATTTACTTCATAAGGTTTAATCAAATATTTTTATATAAACAAATGTGATATATGTCACTCTCTATTTTCTTATTTATATTTTGTTTACTTGACAAAAAAAATTTATTATTTATGTGTATTTTGAAAAAGTTTATCAACATGTAACTTATTATTAAAGAAAAAAAGAATAAATTGATAAATAAAAAAGAATAATTGGATAAAAGAATTGAAAATATTAAAGAAGAGAGAGGTAGCTTCATAAATACATTAATAACTAATTTTTTTTGTTTGTAAAAAAGTTGTCATACTTGGCAATTTGTGGATCATCCAAGTGCTTATGTGGCAAGAGATTGATTTAAATTGCCATAATATTTTGGTTAAGTTTATCAACATGTAACTTATTATTAAAGAAAAAAAGAATAATTGGATAAAAGAATTGAAAATAGTAAAGAAGAGAGAGGTAGCTTCATAAATACATTAATAACTAATTTTTTTTGTTTGTAAAAAAGTTGTCCTACTTGGCAATTTGTGGATCATCCAAGTGCTTATGTGGCAAGAGATTGATTTTAAATTGCCATAATATATAGTATAGATAGATAGATAGATTCTACATATGTTCCAAACAAAGAATAATATTAAACCGTAAAAAGAAAACTAAAAACGAATGTGTATGATTGCAGTTAGAACTCAGAGGTGACAATATGAATCCAATTCATTCCATTATAATCGAATCCATTTTATCCTAATCTAATCGGAATCGTCGATTCACGAATTATTAGAAAATTATAGTTTATGCACAGGTATATTAGGGTTGTGCATATCGTGACCAAAAAATCCATCTTATCGTTGGAATCGTCTGACGGTCCTTCCTTATTTATCTTTTCTGTTTTAACCTACAAAGATCTTGTACTTATATTTCGTATCTTTTTATTTTCCATTTTATGGGATACCTTTGGCAAACAAACAAAAAAATCTAAAAAGACACAAAAACTGAAACAATATGAAAATAGACCTAACTAAAAGAACAAAATAAACATATCACAGGACTAAGGGCAGAAATAAAAGATGTTGTCTAGGTAAGTTTCCAGAAAATTAAATAAAAAATAAAAATGGCCTTTAATTCCATCTCGTTCTATCTCCGTTTCAATGTTGTGCACATTTACTTAGTTTGAAATAAGCTAATCAAAATAATATATACATGATTCCTCGTCTGCCGTAGTCCAATCATAACTTGCTTGCATTGGTGATCTAAACAACAAAGGTGTTTAGGACGGAGCCATGCTGGTAATATTCGAGATGCTGCAAATTGGTAGCTGCCTGAATCTGGAAAGCTTCACCATGACTAGGCTAGAACAAGTTCTTGCGAATGTATTTCCCAGATGATGAGTAGTAATGACATCTGACGAGAGGGATGTGTTGAACGTAGCGTCGATCCGGTCCACAAATGCTCTCCACAAGCTCCGCGGGGACGATGTCAAGTCTCAATTGCTCGAGTTCGTTCAGATGTTGAATACCTTGTGGTACAGTCTTCAGATTCGTGCAACTAGAAACCTGCAGTATTTTGATGCCAGGCATAGCTCCATCTGCTATTGTCATGCTCTTGAGTCCTGGAAAATTCTTGAGTGCCATTGTTTTGAGATTGGCAAACCCTGCTGGGAAAACCAGTTCCGTCCCTTGGCATGCATTGTTCAGGAAAATGCTGCTCAAACTCTGCAACTGATGCAGATGTTTCAGCGGATCCTCTTCCACAGGCAGGCAACTACGATGCATCTGCAGGTCGACGAGGCTTGGAAGAGAGCAAATCCACCGTGGAAACTTGTCCAGTTTCCCGAACAGGCTGAGGTATTGCAGGCGTGGCAGTGGAGGAGATCGACCAAGTCGATCCAATCGAAGGATCTCCACATCGTTGTCGGTGCCAATTGTTAGCCGTTGTAGCAGGCTCAAGTTCTTAAGCGAGCAGCAGAAGTCATTCATTTGAGCTTGCCCCTTGAGGTTGGTTATTCCGAGTACTACGAGTTGCGTCATGAATCTCAGCTGCTTCACCAGATGTCCACTTGCTTCTACCAGACGTAAGGACTGTAAGTTCTTCAGAGTGCCGATGTCTGATCCTGCAGAAAGTTTGATGCCGTGTAGCCCATCACAATCTCTTGCCATTGTTCGTTTGGAGTAGCCAGTAAACAAGTGGCGCAGTTTCTGCAACTCAGTGACCTCTTTGGGGAGAGCTTGAATTTTTGTGCCCACTACATCTAGAGTTTGAAGGTTTTGTAACCTTCCGATTGAGCTGGGCAACCTTTTTACTGGAGTGGCAAACAAGTTCAAGAACCTCAAATTGAACAAACTGTCAATGTGGTCAGGTAATTCCTCGATCGGAGCTTCTTCGAAATCCAACACTCTAAGCTTTCTGAATTGCGTGCAATCCAGTTCACTCAAAGAGAAATGACAGCATCCATTGCTAGGGAATATGAAGAGAGAGCGAATGCGTGACATACCATCCATCAATCTCAGCACGTCTTGTTTATGAATCTTACTCGCTCGGTGAATTGATAAACGGTGATGATGATGTTCTGAGTCGTCTTCATTGGACACAGCCGCAGGGTTTCCAACATCACAGATGAAGAAAAGCTTCTCTTGGCTTGCTATTGTAAGCCCGACCTCCCGGTACATGTCATGCATCCTGCACATTCTGTCATTCACAGACAATTCTGAATCCACAAACTGAAGCAAGTTTCGGCCGATCAATTCCATAAGGTAACGCTTAGCAACCTCCTCCGGTGTTACGCCATTGGCTTGCTCATCCTCCACAAACCCTTCTGCCATCCACAGTCTTGTTAGCCTGCCACACCATATCTTGTAGTCCTCTGGGAACAAGCAACAGTAAAGAAAGCAGCGCCTTAGTCGGTAAGGCAGATCGTAGTAGCTCAATAGAAGAATGCTTCCAATCGGCTGAAGGATCTGGTTGTTGCTCAGCTCCCACTGCAGATTCTGATAAACCGTCGTCCAGTCAGCTACCGAACATCTTTTCGTCGATAACAGACCGGCCAGCGACACAATTGCAAGGGGCAAGCCTTGACATTTCTCCACAATGTCAGCAGCTAGACTCTGAAGGTGAGGAGGACATTTCTTGGAGGAGAAGAAAACTCTGATGCAGAACAACTCCATAGCTTTGTTTTTATCCAGCGGCTTCACATTGTAAACATTGTTTCCATCTTCGGAGGAAGACGAGTACATGGCGATGTCATGAATTCGAGTCGTCACGATGACACTGCTTCCATTTTTTTCATCCGGAAGCCACACTTTGATCTGACTCCATACATTAGCATTCCAAACATCATCAAGCACAACTAGATACCTCTTCGGTTCCAAATAATCCACGAGCATCTCGACGAGCTCACGATACGCCATCCTGCTCAATTGCTCCATTTTCCGAATCCCGAATTCCTTGATCAAGCTTCTCAACAAATCCTCGATAGCAAATGACTGAGAGACAGTAATCCAAGCAGCACAGTCAAAGCAGCGTTTCACGGCGGGAGAATTGAACACATTGGCAACCAGAGTGGTCTTACCGGAGCCACCCATCCCCACCACCGAGATAGTCTTCCGCCGGGGATTTTTATCACCGCCGGTGAGCCATTCAACCATTTGTTTCTGGAATGGTTCGATTCCGACGAGGTCTTCCTCCTTCAGAAACAGAGCCGACTCTGCATTGAACACGGCCGTGTTCCTTGTTGCTTGATCATCAATTAGTGCCTGATGATACCGTTGATTTCTCTCAGGAATTGCTTTGATCAAAGAAGTGATTTCCTTGAGCTTGGCGGCAATTTGTCTCCTCTCCCAGAAGAGGAGAGGGAAGAAGAGAGCCGTCCGGAGATAGCCGGAGAAGGTACCAAGGCTGCTGCTCTGCCACTTGCTACGGTGGTGGATGAACTCGTCGACGATGTCTTCAACATCGTAGACCAAATCCCTGACTTGGGCGACATGGGTTTGCTTGGATTTGGAGTGGGTAGCTTTTGGATCCTCGGAATCCTCCAGAAATGACTTCATGGCAGCCAGCTCGGCCTTGATCTCTTCGACTTCATTTCGTGCTTCTTCAAACATGGCAGCTTCGCTTTGTAGCAGTGAATCCAGTTTCTGGGCCAAGCAGTCCATCGGAAAAGTGCTGCTGTCGATTTTTTTTTCTTCTCTTTGGCGGGAGAATGAAAATGGAACCGCACTGAACTTCTTCCAAGTTCCAACTGTTTAAAAGGAGAGGGAAAGTGAGAGAGAGATAGTGGGAATCATCCATTAACAGGGTCTTTTTCTGCAACTACTTGCAAATATTAAAATTCACCTCAAAGTAAAAGAAAACCCAGATCATGTGCACATCACTGATGGCCTCGAGAGAAAAAAACTAAGTTATCAAGTGTTCAAAGTAGCTCAGTGGTCAAGGATCCATTTGAGAATGCAGATTCTTTTTGCCCTCTTCTTTTTCTTTCACGCGTGAATCTGTGAAGAAAAATGCATAGTTTAGTTCTTCAGACCGATATTAAATTGTCAGAAGTTGGTGTCTCCTGCAACTTTCCTTGAGCAGGATCAGCACTCACCTATTGATTTCTTTTTAGGTCGGGAGAAGGTGCCATTTGAAATTGTACCATGCAATTGAATATAAACAATTCGACGAGAACATTTGAGAGGATACATGCAAATCTCAATCGCATCGAAATAGCATCATCTCAAATACGTACCAGAGGAGACAATATAAGAAATTGCACAAGATTAAGAGTACTAAACACTAAACAGTTTCCAACTTCAATCTTTCCAACCTCAACGGACATATTAACAAGGCAAAAGAGGAGATTCCTAACATCACACAGCTGAAGAAGAGCAAAAGGTATGGTGGTATGGGTATGGCAGGATCTACCAAAAGAAGCCTGTAAAAATTTAACCGACAATTCAACGAGTTTTAGTACTACAAAGGCAAAATACTGGTCTTCCCATTCCCTTGCACAAAATGCCGATCTGCTGCAGCTGCTGTTAGAGACTCACTCAGTCGAGCCAGCTGAACTTTGAGAAAGATGGAGCACCCATATATGCTTCTTCAAGATCCTCCATCACCCTTTCACAACTCCAAGGTGAAACCTTCAAGAAAAAAGCAAACATGGATAGATCCATTTTCGATCCTCCCCCAAAAAAGTCCCCAATACCACCAAACTAAACAAAAACCTAACGAGCACTCGCCGTCAAATGAATGGCGATTAATAACTGTGTTCTTCCAACTTCGGGTGGCATTTTATCCCTCCCCGTCAATTGCCAAAATGCAAAGGTGGTGGCAGAGAAAAGAATATACACTCTTCCACCCATTCTGCTTTGCCAGTCGGACCAAAAACATCGACTTGACTGCCTGTAAATGCGTATCCTGCGTACCTATCGTACGGAAGGGCATTCCACAGTCTAAAATGACAACAGAAGTCTAGTTTAACCCCCATCAGGGGCATCTGCGATTGCGTTAATCTCCTTTTTGCTCTTCACCAAACATCGCTTCTTCATATCAAAGTCTAGTTTATCCAAGTCGCATGCTATCCCTAAATACCCGTACAGAGCTGCTTCCACTGAACCCACTTGATCGCCTAATACCGTGTCCTCGTCTTCCTTGCTGTCACCTTCCCTGCTGTCGGTGCTTGTACTCTTTCCTTGCAACCCGGATCTCCCGTGTCCATTCTCAGCATAGAGCCTGTGAAGCTTCTCAGCTTCTTGCAGCCCAGAAAATGTGCCGGCGAAACTTACCACCATAATACTCTGGTTTGCAGCTTTCCCCCTACAGATGTTGACAATCGAGTGACTGAATCCTTTACCTGCATTTGGAATGACAAAAGCAAGAAAGTAAAAAGAAGGGAAAAAGGCCAAAACAAGATCTACCGAACACACAATTAATTCGTATATATATCATCCAACAACCAGAGTAAATGGGCATGTTCAACTTCAGATGAACATCTAGTTGTTTGGAACCAAGATCCAAGGAGGCCTTGTTTAGGTGGTGCAATGTAGAATTCAGAAATGTCAAACAGGCCATGGAATGTGAGATGTGTGGAATGCTATTGATGGATTTACTTAAAATGTAAATTACAATTTCACCCTTGTTTCTAGTTCACGGATTTGCTTAAAATGCAAAAATACAATTCCATCATAATAGATTCCATCGCAACGGTCTTATCTTAAAATGGTCATCCAAATGACGGATAGTGTGATATTCCATCAAAGGAAAGTAAGGTACTTTCCATGGCCAAATTCTGCTGTCCACACGACTACTAATGACAATAGATGATTAATCACTCACCAAAGTCAGCTAGAGTTAAGTTACAGAAGGGTTAGGGCCTTCACAGAAGTACTAATGATTCTAGAATGCAGGTGCAAAGACACTACTCATTTATAGAGCCCATAAAAAAGTTAATGGATATGCTTAAAATGGCATCCTAACAGACCAAACAAAATTATATTAACAGCGTCTGTCGAACTAGAAAACAAATAGGAAGATCACTAAGCTTGGATTGAGCAAAATTATCAGCGCAGATAGAAACTCACTTACCTCTGAGAACAGATCGGAGCTCTTCAATACTTACAATGATACGTCTGTTGGGATTTTCATTTGATATGGAACCATTATGAATGACGACAACAGGAGGCCAGAGAATTAGGTCCTCCTTCAGTGATAAAGCTTCGGCATTGGGCAATTTTTGCCTTACCCAAGGACCATTTTTTAGGACTTCATCAACGTTCCACTTCCAACCCATCATCAAGCAAAGGGCTTTATGGAAACCTAAATGCTCCGATCTGGAACCTACTTTAGATGACGTAGACGCATGCTGTGCCAAGCTTAACGTGTCCACAAAATCTTTGGAGTCGCTGAAATATAACAGTTGGCAAATCAGTTAATCAAAGTGATTTCACAACTGAAATCAAATAGCACAAACAAGCATAATGGCCAGTTGTATTGCATGTACAATAATAATGACATGATTACAACACAGATAGACAAATGCTTATCAACTCGTCTATATACAACTAGAGAAACTTTTCGCATAATGGATTATCTTTCTTTATGACTAATACCGAACTCCTAGCTATCCCTAGAAAAGCTAAAGCATACGAGGGAGAAGGGGGGCAAAAATACAAGAGCTTAATACCACGAATCATGTGAGGAACTTCATAAAAGAATGAGTTCATTAAAGGAACACCTGGGTCATAATGCCCTCAATCAAATTCTGGTATGCTTATAAAGTAGAAGAGAGGAGGATAAACTGCAGACCACGAACCAAGAATTCCATGCAAACGAATTACAAGGGGATACAGAGTCTATTTAAAAAATCATTCGGTCATAACTTTAAGAAGCTTAGTAATAATCTCTTTTTCTTTATCAATTCTTCTCTCAAGAAAAGAAACACAAGCTAGAAAATCTTGGCATCTGGCTTACCACCGATCTGTCTGCATCAGCATGGTGTGTGGCCATTGGCTCAAGCATTCACATATTAACATATACACAAATGCAAGAGAAAGCAGAAAGTCCATTTTCTTGTAATCTCCTAATCCTTCCGAAGAAAATCCTCCCAGGAAAAAAATATAGGTCAAGGGATCAATCACCAAACAAGCTCTGAGGATCACTAAGGAAGACAAGAAAGCTAGAGCATCTCCGCAAGAAGTGTCGACGATATAGGTGACTAGAGACTGCCATCTTACCATGAGCATGACAAGCAAAAATCAAACATATTTATATTCCAATCATGCTCGAACCCTTCTCTTATTCTGTCTCAAGCACCATTATAAGCAGTGATGGCTCAAGTTCACTCACTAGAAACCAGTCTACTACCTTGGAACACTGTTAAAACACAGACAGGGCATCTCAGTGAGACTCCAGTTTCCTCACAGCACAGATAAAGGGTGAATTCTCTAGACCGTTAAATCCTGCAGATTATTATATCATTCATCCCATTTTCCTCTATTTGTTTTCTCAGTTTTTCCTATGCCTCGATGGAACATGACATAACTGGCTGGAGCTCAAACTAGTCAATGCAAGTCAGCTGACAGTAGGAGTCATTCACCAATACAATTATAGTATACAGGGCAATAATTCAGATCGATGTGAAGTAGCAAAAATCATGCTTGCAGTTCAATTAATTTGTATTCGACAGCATCAATAGGAAGTATCACACTGTCTAATTACTAGAGAGACAAAACATATGTATATGCAGTCCATCCACTTTCATGACTTTTTGACCAAAAGATTGAAGAGAGATAGAGAGAGTGCCTTGATTTGATACCTGCCACATACACTGCATCTCAACATACCATCTCCATGTTGCTCTGTGTACTTTCTCCTTTTGGCTGAACTTTCATTCAGAGATTTTAAGAACTTCAAGAAAGCAGTATTTATGAGCTGGATGAACTCCTCGGAGTTCTCCTGAGGTTTAGTCTTCATCACTTTCTCTTTCATTTCTAAGGACCGATTGCTCAATGTTTCTTCAGTAGGCCCCTGACGTCCCTTTTCACGAATCTTCATCCAGGGAAGCGGCTTAACAGCACTTCGATCTTCTCCCGATTTCTTTCCCAGTTTTAGGGCAGGCCCCAAACGCTCCTTAACATTTGTAGCACGCAAAGATGTGTGTTGATTAACCATAGCATGAGGCACCAACCTTGGTCCCAATCGCTGCTTCACACTATGAGCAGGTCCTAGACGCTTCTCAATGTTTCCTTTAGAAGCTTTGACAGGCTTTCCTGAATGCCTTTGTCTTGGTGGTAGGAAATGTCGAGATTCTAATGGTTCTTGAAAGCCATTGTTACCATTACTCCCCCTACCCCCATGCCTAAATTCTAAATGATCCGACAGTAAGGATTTTTGAAGGCTTTGGTTACCATAACTCCCTCTCCCGTAATTTAGTTCTAAATCTTTCAAAGGTAAGGAATCATCAATGTCGTTGTAGTCCCAAACTTGGTCTCTGATGCTCAGGTCATCATCCTCGTCCAATGGATTCCGATTATGCGAAAATAAACTTCCCGAATCCTGTTGAGTAGCTTCTAACTCCACACTTCTCCTCCCCTGCAAAGATTCCAGTTGATCATGAACACCTAACTCCTCCTGCGGATAGACAGGTTGGTGAACACCTCTGCTCCTATAAACACCTTCATAAGGTGACCGTACTCGATGCAAATCTTCTCCTGGAGGAATGGAACCTACATTTCGTTCTAAACCATGATTTCCAATTCCCTGGTAAGACTCGAAATCTCCGCCATTGATGTGCCCTTCTCTCACATACTTTAAATGAGTGCTCCTATAATCCAAATCATATTCAACCTCATCATCTGCTCCAACTATGCGCCTTTGCCGAAAATAAGCTGGATTGCTTAAAGCCTCCCTCCCATTTCCTTGACTCTTATTCAGAACTGAATCTGCATAGCTACCGCTGCCCCCCAAAGGAGATGCATAGCCACCGCTATCCCTGAGCTGGCCATAGTTCTTCACATTCCTGGCGGATGGCAAGCCACTGTAATCATAATGAGTTATTGGCCTGCCTCTTCCATGTGTCTCTCCAGGGGTTGGAGCCACAGAGACAGAATCAGAGAGCCTGTTGAAGTGATTCGTGGGAATCTCTCGATTTACCGCCGGACCTGGTCTTGCAATGGTGGGTCTGCTAGGGTTACCATTGCCATCTCCAACGCCAAATAAGTTGTCTCGTTGAAACTTCGAGAAATCAGGTTCCCTTCTCGGAATCGCCTCGATAAGCGGCGCAGATTGCTTTTCCTCCCGACCAAACCTATCCTCAGGATACAATCTTTCGTATTCGCGCCGCCGGCTTGAGCCAATGCCGGAATCCGCAGACGGGTTCCAGCCGGAGAAACGCCCATAGTGACCGTCGATTCTCTGCGGTTCCCGATTCGCCGCCCATCTTCTCGGAGACCTGGACGTAGACCTAGACCTAGACCTATTCCTAGACCTAGACCTAGACCTGTTCCTAGTCCTAAGGCTATCGTAATCGATCTCTCGCCGGGGCGCGAACCCAGAATGCGGTCTGGGCGGCGGGTCCCGCTCGGGCCACGGCGGAGCATGGCAGGAAGTTGTGGGGAAACGCCAGTTCTCTCCGAAATCGCGGTCGCTTCCCCGGCTCGGCGGAGGAGACGGAGGCGGTGACCGAGATCGTGCCCTCGTATATTCGTATCGCCGGTCCCTCATATAACCACAAAAAAAAAGGTCGAGATGATTCTTCTGTATCAGGGAGCGCGGGAAATGGAACCCTAAACCCTTCAAGTGATTTCCGGCAAGGCGCTGGAAAGAGAAATTTAAAGCTCCGGTGGTAGTGGCAGTGGTAACGGCGACGGCGGTGGAATTGACTGCTGCCGCCCTCCAGTTCCTCTTTCCTTTGCTCTGATTCCGAATTCGGGCGACGGGGAAAGGGCAGTTAGGTAGGTGACTCGCCGATTTCTGATTCTTTTATCATGGTTTCTATTTCGGTTTGGTAGGTGCTTCGGAAATTGTACTTCCGGCCCAACTGTCCAGCCTGACCCGGCCCGGGAATATTCTCATTTGGCATGGTTCGGCCCGCAGGGGACGGGCTGGGTCAAGCATCTGGATCCACACACATCAATAAACACACTGTTTTTTTGAAAATTATATTATGGTACCTAAATTTATTTTTTTCTTTTAACTTAATACCTAAACTTTATTTTTTTACAAAAGGTTCAGAAATTTTTGGGGTAAAATTATGTTTTAGTACTTTTATATATTTTTCTTTGCATTACAGTTCCTATTCTTTAAAACTTTACAAACACTCTCAATGTGTTGGTATGTAAGAGAAATATGTTGTTATTCAACCCTAAATTCACTCGACCCCTACAGGTCAAAGAATGAGTCCCTACTCTAAACGGACTCTGTAGAAAACCTAACCCAACCTGACCATGAGAGTCGAACCAGGCCAAATCAGTGGGTAATGGGTATTTAGGTTGTCGATATGGTCTACCAAAGATCTCACACGGGAGAAACAAAAGGTAGGGACATATGGTCACCGGAGATGTCAGATTCATGATGAAGAGTGCAAATTTTTACAGGCTTTACCACTTAATGTATCAAAACTCAATTGGGGGGGGGGGGGGGGAGCGATCAATTAGATCCTCACTTTACGCTGGTGGGGCTGGACACTACCAGCCCTAATAGCGATCAATTAGATCCTCACTTTACGCTGGTGGGGCTGGACACTACCAGCCCTAATACAACTTTAGAACTTGTTGTTGGATTGTCACTCAACTACACTACACTACACTTAAAAAAACAATGACAAATTTCAAGGGAACATTTAAAGTGGGACAAGATTATGAATGATTAGTACTAAACAAAATATATGCCATGTACTAAGAGACTCGATAAGGAAAATAACTTTTAACTTCCAACATCTCTCCTACTCTGCCTTGCTCTCTAAGGCTCTCCAATAGAAGCAAAAGGTTATGTATCTCCAAAAAGAAAAGCCAGATACCACAGTCTATATAACTTGTAGTTGAGCCCTTGCTGTCAGATTCCATTCCACAGAAGCACACACAAAACTTCCAATCCAAGGCAAGCACCTTTCTGTGGAATAATTCTTCACCAAAGTTTCCCTATGTGCCCCATACCATCATGCAATTCTTTTCTTTTCATAATTAAAGAGGAAAGTTCAAATCTTCAGCAAACCCATGTTTAAGGTAAGAAGAAGAGGGTGAAGACTAAAAGACTAAAGAGAGCTTCTCCAAGGCTCAAAGGGTCTTTTCTGTGTGTCCCTCTTCTGTTCAATCTTGCATGATTAGAGGTGATTATGATTAAATGTCCCATTACTTGAATGTCACTAATCAATTGATTAGCTGCTAATTTTGCATTTGTTTTGCTGGGTTGTAAAGTAAGACTGAAGGCTGTTTTCTACTTCCATTACCACCTTTACAAACAGCCAACCAACTACAATATATGATAAATAGGATCACCATAGCCAAGAGAAAGCTAGAGGTAAAGAAAAGAACCATTGTTTGGGTTCTTCAGGAAATCATGACAACACAAAAACAGGTGGTGGTGGTGAAGAACAACTCAGGGCAGCAGCAGCAGCAGCAGCAGCAGCTGGTTTCCTACAAGGAGATCAGTCCAATGTTGCAGCTGGATGACAAGGAGGACGAGATGTCTCGATCTGCAATCGCGATGTTTCGCGCGAAAGAGGAGGAGATCGAGAGGAAGAAGATGGAGGTTCGTGGCAGGGTTCAGGCTCAGATGGGTCGTGCTGAAGTTGCTACCAAGCGGTTGGCCGAGATTCGAGAAGTAAGTTTGCTAACTTGCTGTTTATGGCAAGGTTTTTGGGGATGGAATGTGGATCATGTTTCGTTTGATGCTTTTGATTTGTGGAAAAACACAATTCGTTGTAGGAGCTTGAAGCTTTGACGGATCCGTTGAGGAAGGAAGTGTCGATGGTGAGGAAGAGGATTGATGCTGTCAACAAGGAACTCAAGCCATTGGGCGTTAGTTGCCAGAAGAAGGTGAACCATAATCCTGCCTCTTGATTTTGGACAAAACTTGTTAGTCTAAGTTTGGGATAACCAACAAAAACAAGTGTTTTAGTTCGAGATTGTCCACATTTTCATTGAAATTATCGCGATGAGCGGGTCAACTAACTTATATTTATGATCAGTAAAATCACACACACATATATATATATATATATATGTTGGCTTCTATGGTACCCCGGGTGAAATCCGGGGTACCGCATACCTCGAGTATGGAAACTCTATCTAGACCTCGAATTACCAGGATTTTTGTGTCTGATATTATACCCTAACCCTTAATGAGTGAACCCTAGGTCATAATTATCTAAATCATAATCTATAAACCCTAAGATGGTGCATTCCTTTTTGTGCCTATATTTGGATGAATCATAACCGTCGATTATTATTTCTAATTAAATTGATCTTGGAGTATAAGATTGGGAGAGTTAACACCTAGATTTTGATCTTTAAGTGTTAGAGTATAGTATCATGTCCGAAAGATCGGTCAATTCAAGGTCTAGATAGTGTTTTCATACTCAAGGTATGCGGTACCCCGGATTTCACCCAGGGTACCATAGAACTCGCCATATATATATATATATATATATATATATATATATATATATATATATATATATATATATATATATATATATATATATATATCCTCTAGTTAGGTATCTGATAAAAAAATCATAGAGATTAAAGTGATTTGAAGTTATATTAGTTGGAACTAGATCGAATAACCAGTTTGGTTTGGATCATGTATGCGATAAAATGAGATTTTTTTATGGTAGCTTGTGATGATCTAATGTAACCATTACTAGACTTAAAACTTAATGTATTTGGTCGAACGAAAATCCTAAAGACGATGAACGAAGTGATTGTTATGTTAGTCGTTCCAAACACTAATGACACGTTTTGTCGATAAATTGAAGTTCGATAGTTGATCTTTTAGTTCCCTCAAAGTTAAGTGATCATTTTATCTACCAATGTACCCTTTTGTGTTAGCTCAATCTTGATTCATCTCCAAGCAACCTCTTGAGCTTCTATTCCATATGGCTGAAATGAAATTGCTAGGAAAGGGAGTACAGAGAAGTACTTGAAGCATTCAATGAGAAGAACAAGGAGAAGACACAACTGGTTTCCAAGTTGATGGAGGTGGAGAGAGCTCCTTTTATTACCCTTTTCATGACTTCTTGATTAAGATTTTTTCTTCACTCAAGATGAAAATGATTAACCTGGTGAGTGAAATTTTTGTTTACTGCAGATGGTGGGTGAAAGTGAGAGAATGAGGATGAAGAAGCTGGAAGAGCTGAGCAAAAGCATATCGACACTCTCCGCTGAATGACCAAACATATTATTGCTGACATGTCAAATGTTGTCTTTGTTTTGGATTAACATTTGTGGTTTTGTTATCCGCATCAATCGTCACCTCCTTCTGGGTTTTTCTTTCCCCAATTTTTCATGAACATGTTGTTGACACAGTCATGAACCAACCAGGTTTTGGTACTAATTAAATGCCTAATTAGGTCACTCATATCTATGTCTGATTTGGATTTCTCTTGTCTTTTTTGTTTTGTTGTTGTATTCAAATGTAAGATAGATACTCATGCTTTGTTTACCCAATCGAGTTTACCGTCTTACCGATCAGTTATTGTGGTTTAACTTTGTTGAATCACACGTTTAAGAGTTGTCGGGCAAAAATTTTCGAGAAACCAACTATATTGTTATGGCTAACTGACTATTATAAATAATATGATTAGCAATAAATACAAATTATTTAAGGATTAATCTATGACCCAATAGACAGTTATGGTTATAACTTATAAGTTATAACTGAACCAAACCGAACCAAATTACAACGATTTTACCAAGTTCCAAAGTTTTGTGGGTTTAACTTCATTGTTTGAAACTTAGCCACTTGTTATCGTTGTTGGAACTTGGATGGTGCATTGAAATTGAAATGTCAAATGTTCATTGAGTTGGTGCTAACAGAGGCCACATCAATTACTTCCTTTTTTATCGCACTAAGAACTTGATGTCGATTTAAGCTTTTCTTTTATAAAACTCGTAATTGTGGGGGGGAATCGTAGGTAGATTGGAGGAGTCATGGGCAACACAAGTAGTAGTTGAACCATCAGTAAAGAATCGTCCGATCTTTTCTCCAGGTGGAATGCGGGTCAATTTTGTCTATACGGTCAGTTCAGAAACGAGTCAGCTTTTTGACCCTATAAGAGTCGGATCAACTTAGCGGCAGTCATTCAGTAAGTGGAGCTATAAATATAATCCATCTTACGAGCATTTCCACCGCTGAAATTTTTTTTTACCATTTTTATGTAGAATACATACTCTCAAGACAAAGCAAGAGCCCCCAAGTTGGATCAGCAAGTTCTATGGTACTACTCTAGCTGCTTTCTCCTCCGTGGACTTGCCCTTTTCTTTCTTCCTTTTGCTCTCCTTTCTGCTCATCTTTAACAGCCAGCGCCACCAACACCACAAGCAACGGAAAACTCACCGTCGACAGCGCCCAGTTCACGGCCAACTGAGCCATCATCGGAACCCTCCGGGCGTCAAGCCACCACGCCAAGCTCGCGCCGGCGCTCTGCACTCCTTTGTAGAACCCAACGTACCGGCTCAAAACCTTGGAGTCATCCGCCAGCGCGCCAATCACCCAGTAAATCATGCTCTGAAAAATCGAATCCAAAAGCCCATACCCAAAGTACAGCACAAACGGCCCGGCAAATTTGGGCCCGGAGTCCATGAAGTCGAGCTTGGGCTGGGGCATGTCGGCGAACGAGTAGTGTAGCTGGTTCGCGAACCCGCCGGCCCAGATCGCGGTGCTGACGAGGAACACGGTCCCGATCCCGAGGAAGCCCTGGTGCCTTCTCTTGTTGTTGGGCTTCTTGAGGCCCAGGTCCAGGTCGAAGACGTGGCCGATGGCGGCGGAGCCCACCATCTGGGCCCCCCAGTACGAGACGTTGTTGAGGCCGCGGGTCCGGGTGGTGAACTGGGCCGCGTTGACGTTGTTGAACTGGTAGGTGTAGAAGAAGTTGCTGGCGCAGGCGGCCGGAGCGAGGAGGAGCATCTTCCAGTTGGTGAAGAGCTTGAGGAGCTCGACCGTCTCCGTCGCGGGGTTGGAGTGGGCGGTGGACGTGCACCGGCTGCCGTCGTCGCGGAGGAGCTGGTTTTTCGGGAGGATGGCGATCGAAAGGATCGTGCCTGACGTGCCAAGAAAATAAATAAGATTGTTGATATGAGTTGAATCGGATTATTTATTGTCAACGTGAAGTTATGAGATTTCGTTATAAAAGTTAGATTGACTCATTTGATATTTAAGAACTAAAAATTACTGACTATTCATTCAAGGCGTGTTATTAGAAAAATACAACTTTTTTATGTAATGGGATTAAATAGATACCTGAAGTTTAGCAGCTAAATCTGTCAATATATTAAAGTGGAATGACCAAACGGATTTTTTAGTCAACTTAAATTGAATCAATTGATATTGCAGAGATAAATATTCGTGCAAGAGAAATTTTATAATGCTATATAGTATTGGTGCTATAGGGTTTTGCCTTCTTTTATGGTACAACTTAAATTGTACATTTACGTTATGGTACAACTTCAGATTGTACCTATACTCTTTTGTACAAATTCTTTTAATGTACAACTTGAACTTGTACCTTTATGTGATGGTACAACTTCAAGTTGTAAAGTTGTATCATAACATGATGGTACAAATTGCTTTATGGTACAATCTAAACTTATACATTTAATGTTATGGTACAACTTTAAGTTGTACATTAAAGCACTAATACTATAGAGCATAGTAGAAGTGCTCATTCGTGCAATAAGCAAAATTCGAAGCTATAACTAAGTATGTATTATATAGCAGGTTTACCAATGTACCATCCATAAATTAAATATTTCAGTGCTCTATTTAGGATTAATTATATTTTGGCACCTAAATTTCTTATTATACTGTTTTAGTACTTAAATTTTTAAAAATTTATATATTGATCCATCTTTTTCTGCATTTTGCTTGACTAAATGTATCCAATCCATTTGATACTATCTATGAATCCATCAATTCATTTCATCCAACATCTCTAAATCCAATATTTTATCAATTCAGTCGACCAATCTCAATCTATAAATCTAATCAATTTGTCACGATATTGGAGGAAGTGGGTATATAGTTGGAGTCTAAAACAAAAACACTTCCCATTAAAATTGCCACTCGCATGCATGCAACAAAAGAAAGAATTTATCTTACGTACGTTACCCTCGATTTCCAAAATTACCTGCAACCATGAAGACAATGAAAACAATGTACGTCGCATCGTTAACCGAATCCGCCCCCCGGTGGAAGTTCAACGAGAACGGAATCAGCCCGCCGACGACCCCGCCGGAGCTGAATATCACCCAAAACATCGAAATGTACGCCCCCTTCCTCTCCGGCGGTGGGTAAGAAGTCAAAATCGCTCCCTGCACCGACCACAGCATCCCGCCGCCGACTCCCAATATCCCGCCGGCGACGACGATGACCGTCTGGTCCCGAGTGTGGTTGTAGTAGAGGAAGGACAAGGCGTAGAGCGCGTAGGTGATGCATCCGGCGGGGAGCATGAGCCGGGGGCCGGCGATGTTGAACAGGCCGCCGCCGACCACGCAGAATACGGCGAGGGCGGCGTAGAGGGCGGTGTTGGCGTTGTTGGCGGCGGTGGGGTCCACCTGCCCGCCGCCGCCCATCCCGGAGAGTGCCCGGAACATGCCCGGGCAGCAGAAGCAGACCAGCCCCATTAGAATCACCTGGACCAACGGTGAGTTGCGCCGCCACGCGATATACGGCGTCGTTTCTGAGGCGGCGATGGTTGCGCCGGAGTCTTGGTTGTGATCGGTAGTACCGGTCCCGTCTTCCAAGCCCATAATGATGGCTGAATATTAAGAGAAGTTTTTGAATTTTCTGTGCAATTCCCCAAGCTTATGGGAGGTCTTTATTTATATATATATCAAGATCAAGCTTGTCAAACCGGTTTATTTACCTTTACGTCGAGATAGTAAGTGTCAAGTGGAATGGATGGTACGATCAGTGGTACAACCAGTTTGTGTCGGTTCATATTTACTGGCTTAATAAAATACTACATTACAAATAAAATAACAAATACTCATATTTAAATACAACTTTTAACGTCAATATCTAAACGTTTATACCTGAATTCAATTAATTAAATCTAACTTTTAACTTTTATAATTCATAAAACATATAATATATTCATTTTTTTATCAATCAAATTTACTAAATGGCGTCTGTTTATTTAAATTTCGTAAATCGATCATTCCGGTCATACCAGTGGTGTTTATGTCGATGTCATGACCGACACCAGTTGAATTAGGTTCAACCGACCGGCATGTCACCGGCATGAACAACCATGATTAAGATGTAAAATTAATAAATGAAAAAAAATATGAGGTTGTGTGAGAAAATGTAATCACAATTTTTTTTGTCATAAATAAGTCAGTAGGGCCGGGAATTGGTCGGTTACTGGTTTAACCGGTAACTAACTATCAGGTTAATGGTATACCGGCAACGACAATGCAAAGATCGAATACCGCTACTGGTTTCTGACTGGTTAACCAGATAGTCGGTTACCCCGATTATGAATCGGTTCTTTGATGTACCGTCAAGGGAGCTGGGCGCCACCAACTCGAACCGGTTAACCCAAAATTAACCGAGATTCTCGAGTCGAATTCCTTGTTGGCTCCGAGGAAATTAAGGTGGGATGTCCAGGAATCAAAGCCGGGAAAGGTGCGGCGGAGTGTTCAGTGGAATGATAAAAACGTGTGAAATGTGTTGTGCCCATTGAGATCCTAACACTGTTCCCTAGTAATTCTAGCTGTCTCAGCCGGTGTTCTCGAGTGAAAAGGCTTTGTCTAAGTAGCTAAGAGATATATGAGCTCGCTGGGGCCTGGAGTTGTTTATATTTTAAAACTTTTTTTCTCTTGAGTTGGAGCCGCTTGCTTTCGTATGTTGGTTAGCTTATCGGTATCCGGTTAACACTACGGTTATTTCAATCGGTTATCGGTATACCGAGATAAACAGTATACCGCGACCGATTACGTCCGAAACTGCTATAATTGGTTAACTGTATGATTGGTAGTCGATCAGTTATATCATTAACCGGTAAACCGATTACATCACCGGTAAGTATATAATATGATATATAATTAAAGTACATCAAAACAATCGAGCTGCTGATGCAAAGACATTAGTAGCCACTAGATGAGTAGTACTATCAAACCTATAACTTTGATGAAACTGAATTAATAAAGTGATCTCACCAGGGATTGTTAATTTCTATGACCAATCCTATTCGATCTGTTCGACCCGTTTAGTCGGTTTTGAGGCGGGGTAGGTGGGATAGGGCCTAGGGGCAAGGCGTGAATCATCGCTTCGACTCGACTCGCTCGCTCTGTTCTCGATACGTATTTTCCAAATTATATAATTTTACTCAACTTACTTTGAATTTTACTTTTGTTACATCATATTTTATATCTAATATATAATTGTAATTGGGTGCGAGCCCTCCACTTATCATAATAATTTAACTTTATTTATCGGTTCGTTTCTCGATTTTGAACGGAAAAAAATTAAAATCTCGATTGTGTTCCTTGAAAATGCGCACATATCCTTATGTGTCGACCTGCTCCGACCTGCGTCCCCCTATCCAATCCGGACTCGACCTGCCATGGGAATTGCACGGGTATCGAAATACTCACCTTGTCCTGGCCGTTGACATTCCTAGATTTCACCGGCATCATGAAAATTACATTTCTAGATTCTGTGCTTGGCCTCCCGGCCGGCGGACTTAGCGCACCATCTGACAAGCGACGACGATTGACCTCCGGCACTCCGGCTGATCCTGTTCCTAATCCGCCCGCAACATCTTTATGCTTCATAGTTATTATTGCCCATCTTATCTTTTGACGACACATCGCTTCCCTCATCTTTGGGAACCTTACATGGTTGCGTACGTAACAGAAGACAGTCTCATTTGTCGGCATTTGGTTACTCGGCTTGCCGTTTGAAGTATATTCTTTAGTTTTTGTCATTTCGAAAGGGGCAAATATGAAAGGGGGAAAACAAAAACTATAAACCTCCTCCCATTTCTCTAGTTTAGGAATTAGGAGTTTACAAACTATAGTCGAACGTGAGATAGGCAAATGTTGGAATTTTTAAAAGTGTGAATGAGAATGAATGGCGTTAAGAGATACTCTTGAAAATATTATGTTGGTGTGATGAGGGAAGGCACGACTACAAGTTTGGTCTAATGTTACGTTTAATAGTACGTTAATAGTCATAAATATATAAAATTAATTATTTTTAAACATAAATAAATATATAAATAATAGTAAAATTAACCATTTAATTCATTAAATATGGATATTAAACGTGTTATATGGATTTTATACGTGTTTAATACGAGAACAATCAAATGAACAGGAAAAAAATGAAATGACTTGACAATAATACGGATATGAAAGTTTTAAACTAATAAAATACGTGCAAATACATATACATGTATTAAACAGAGTATTTACTAACTATGTATTTATATGGATCATGTTGAGGTTTCCTATCATCTCGCACAGGGTCGCACCCATAACTCTTTAGCCCAGAGTTACATTTTGGGCTTTCGTTATTTCCTTGTTGGGCCTTGGAAAATCTTCCCAGACACAGAAAAAAAACATCCACGCCTTATTATTTTATTTTTTTTATAATCAGACCTGTATTTTATTGATGCCTCATGGGCTCAGAATCTAGAACATGTAACAGAAACATAGGCGGCCGAGACTCCCAGTGTTCCTGGGTATCCCAAATACAAGGTGTATGGGTTAAAAGATGGGTCGCCTCATTACACTCCCCCCTTGCAAAATTCCACTGGATTGAGCCCAATCTCGCTGCTTCTGTTTGTAATTCTTCGATCAGAGCAACAGCTTCCAACCTCGTTACCTCCGCCTTTTCCAGAGCGAGGAATGCGCTCTGGCAGTCCATTTCGATAATGGCTGCTTGAAATCTATACCTCTCCACCTGTTTCAATGCGAAAGCAATCGCCTTTATCTCGGCCAGCTCTGGGACCATTGGACGCGCTCCCTGCAGACCGCCGCCATCAAGAAATGGCCATGCTCATCATGAGCCACCACCCCAAAACCCGTTCCTTCGTCTTTTAGGACAGCAGGCGTCCACATTCAATTTGATCCATCCCGCCGGCGGCAGTTACCAGGTATGTCTTTCCAGATTCTTGGGTTCTAGCTCCTTGACATGATGATCCTTGAATTCTTCCTAATAGTTTAGGGTTTTCTCAACGATTTCTCCTTCCCAAGCTTTCCGATTGTTGAACATGTGGTTGTTCCTCTCGTTTCATATAGTCCATAGGATCACACTAACCTAGCCTAGGGTATCATCATCCACCCTTTCCATGACCTCGCATAGCCAACTCCCAGTGGACAAGTTGGGTTCTAGTTCAAATAGAGGTCTGAAGCTTGTTGGTCTCCAAATCCTGGTTGCCCATTGACATTCTTTAAAGATGTGTTTTTGGGTTTCCTCTAGGTTGCAGAATGGACATTCAATCGGTGCATCCTTCTTTCGCTTCGCGATATTCTTCCCTGTAGGTAGAATGTTGTGAATCAGCCTCCATAGGAAGATCTTGATCTTAGGTGGAATCATCAGCTTTCAAACTCGTTTCCAGTTTATGGGATCATAGACTTCAATTTCTCCGTTCAAGGATTCCATCTCATCATTCTCCTCTGCTTCTGCCTCTGCTTCTTCTACGTCAAGCGGTTTGCTTGCAAGCTCTTTGTAGAATAATTTGTAGGCTGTTTTGACAGAGTATTTCCCATTCTTTTCGAAAGCCCAAACCTCTGTGTCTGGAATATGTTGTCTGGGCATAGGAATTCCTTAAATCCTTACCCTGTCTGTAGGGTTGAAGTGTTGTTGGAGAAGATCCTTCTTCCAGTGGCGAAGGTCGTGGTCAATAAAATCAGTAACTCTTTCCAGCTCACCTTTCGCTGTTCTCGTAGTAGTAACTTTGAAGCCAGTGTCTTCAGCTCTTGCCACCCATCTGTCCTCCCAGATATTTACTTGTGTCCCATCCCTCACTCGCCATCTCATCCCCTTCTTGATGAGGTCTTGGGCTGCCAAGATGCTCCTCCAGGTATAGCTAGGATTTGTTCCAACTTGGGTATGTAGAATATCTCGATTCGGGTAGTATTTTGCTTTCAAAACCCTTGTTGCCATGGAGTCTGGATTTAGGAGTAGATTCCATATTTGTTTCCCTAATTAGGGCCGGTCATGGGCCTGTTCGTGCGGGTCGGAACTTACCCGACAAGGAATTTCGCTACCTTAGGCCGTTATAGTTACGACCGCCGTTCACCGGGGCTTCGGTCGCCAGCTCCCCTGTCATCAGGTCACCAACTTCCTTGACCTACTGGTCAGCCCGCCAGCACAGGGCCTCATGATTTTTGGTACGTCCATAAAATTCAAATTCCCTAAATATTAGTTATTGTTGGGCTAAATTATAGGTCTGCTATGAAACAAAACTCTTTTAATTCATGTTTATATGGGCCACAAAAAGAATGAACGGGCAAAGTTATAAAAACATGAATTAATTTAATGGACTTTAATGGGCCATTTTCCTTCTTATAATTTTTCATACATCTTCACGCTGTGCATGGAGAGACTGGGGCAACTAATCAAAAAGGAGGTTGCGGATGGAAGGTGGAAGCCGATTAAACTTTCTAACAATGGTCCCCTGTTATCTCATTTATTCTTCGCAGATGACCTCATCCTATTCGGGGAAGCTTCGGTGCAACAAGCAGAAACTATACTAAAGTGTTTCAACGATTTTGGTGCGGCATCGGGTCAACAAATCAGCAAGCCCAAGTCCCAGGTCTTTTTCTCCGGCAACGTTACCGCAAGCTCCGGCCAGGCTATAAGCTCATCTCTGGGAATCCCGGCTACTAATAACCTGGGGAGGTATTTAGGTGTCCCAGTCATTCATGATAGAGTTTCGAAGAATACCTTCACAGCTCTCATTGACAAGATTGATGCGCGTCTAGCGGGGTGGAAGGTGGCAAGTATGTCTCTGGCAGCTCGGATTACTCTCGCCCAGTCAGTCCTGACATCTCTTCCCGCCTACACAATGCAAACAACCCTGCTACCGGCCAGTGTATGGGACTATATCGACAGGAAGATAAGAGGCTTTGTATGGGGAAGCTCGGAAGCAGGCCGCAAGATACATCTTATTGATTGGAATACCGTTTGTCGCCCCAAAGAAGAGGGGGGGGGGGGGGTTGGGGCTCCGTAGTGCAGCTCTCATGAATGAAGCATTTATGCTTAAAATCGCCTGGAGATTACTCACGGAGCCGGAGAGCCTATGGGTGCGAGTGATTCGAGCCAAGTATATGTCCCAGTCCGAGGATGGGCTCGTACCGCGCACGACATGGCGAAATTCTAATCTTTGGAGGGGTGTACTACGAGTCATGCATCTGATTCCCGAGGCGTTAATGTGGAACGTTTAGAGTGGCAGTCAAACCAATTTGTGGTTTGATCGGTGGCTTAATGATGGACCTCCCTTGGCGGAATTTGCAGCGAATCTTCCAGAGGAGGCGAGATCGATGAGGGTGGCTGAGCTAGTGTTGAATGGGGAATGGAACGTAAGCTATTTGAGATTATTCCTCCCCGAAAGCTGGGTAGAAAAGATAAAGCTCCACCCGATCCCGATTGACACTGGTCATGATATCCCGCTTTGGCGGCTTACTCCGAATGGGAGGTTTAGCCTAAGTCAGCATACGAAATCACGGATGAGGAGGAGAGGCCGGGCGGATCGCATCCAGTTTGGAGGGCCGTTTGGCGTATCCCGACAACCCAGCGGGTCCGATCATTCTTTTGGCTCTTCGTGCATGACAGGTTGCTGACGAATGGAGAAAGATATCGCAGGCACTTGAGCACGACAGCGACATGTCCCATATGTGATCATGAGCAGGAGAGTGCACTTCATGTGGTCAGGGACTGCTCCCTGGCTCGTGCTGTGTGGGCCGATATTCTGGGGAACGAACCTGACAGAGTTTTTTTCCAGGAGAACAGGATGCAGTGGGTACTCCACTATATAGCTGGCCGAAGTAAAAACATCGATCCCACTCTCTTTGCGGGGGTATGCTGGCTTCTTTGGAAGAATAGGAATAAGTTTGTTTTTGAACAAGAGCTAAGCCACCGGAGGTGATCAGGCGTAAAGCGGCAGAACTACTCCATCAAGTAACAGAGGCCTCGAAGCGGGATGTACTAGAAGGGAAAAGCTCTCCGATGGGGCGTAGGCAAGAAATCAGATGGGACCCTCCGGCACGGGGATGGGTCGCCTTAAACACAGATGGTTCGGTGAAGAATGGTCAGGCCGCGGCAGGGGGTGTTCTTAGAGATGACAGTGCCCGAATCCTGAAAGCGTTTGCAGGGAACATTGGTGAAGTCTCAATTACGAGAGCTGAGTTGGAAGGTATGGTGCATGGCTTGAAGATGGCTTGGGACGAGGGCTTCCGGCGGGTAGTGCTCCAAACTGACTCACAAGCTGCCATCCGTTTGATTGAAGGAGCAGAAGAGAGGACCCCTCATTTCCTGGCGGTGCAGTCTGCTCGCCGGCTTCTGGACAGAGATTGGCAAGTCCGGCTTGTTCACGTATTTCGTGAAGGGAACTATGCTGCAGATTACCCGCCGCAGTGGGACATCGACTGCCGATCGGTTTCCATTCTAGAGAGGAGCCGGATCCAGTCCTGAACTATTGAATGTACTTTGATGTTATGGGGGTGGAAACATCTCGTATTATTAATGTCTAACGGTTGGAGTGCCCGTCGCACTCCGTTTTCTCACCAAAAAAAAAAAAAAACAACCAAGAGCCAACAAAATTCAACACTTGCTGCCAAATGTAAAAAGGGCAAGCCAGCCCATCCCCACGCCAAATTCCATCATGGTTTCGTTACAACATTGTCGTTGTAGCTAATGGCCCAAAATTTAATATAATCAAATGGTACAAATAGTTAGTATCCTTTGAGAATTATACATTTGAACCCAAAAACATTCATACTCATCTAGTATTCTTCTCCTTTGTTCTCTATTCTACTCTTCACATTTTTTAAATTCGTCTAATATTTTACTCAATTGAGGACTCTTAACATATCCAGGTGGGTCTAGTAGATAAACTAATTTTCAAAAGAGTTAGTGTTTGGATTCTTATATTTGTTTCACTCTCTCAATAATCAATTTTGTATGTTTCACTCTCTCAAAAATCAATTTTGTATTGTATCTTCAGTTTTTATTATTATTTAATAAAAAATTTGATAAATTTACGGGAACAAATTTTTAGGACCACATTTTAAATTTTCGAACAAGGCCTCCGATAATCATGAGCCGACCCTGTCCCTAATAATGCAAGGTTAAAAGCTCCCAGATCCTTATTAGTTCACTGAATGAATGCAAAAAAGACAAGTTTAAGTTGGATGGTTAGACAGGGATTGTTTGTAATTCGACATTATGGTAAAAGAAATAATTCGATATGCTTTTTCCATCATTGATAAAGAAGATTTGAGGTGTTGATTTTCTCAATGTCTGTTGTTAAAACATCATTTCTTATCGGATTAGAGAAAATCAGACCATTACCACCCAGAGATCATGGCCTCAGAAGATCATGAACCTGACCACGATGAGGAACGTACACTTGCTCATGTGTAGGAAAGTTGCATCCAAATTTGTTGTCGGAGGGTTTGATGGGAATCAGTGACTGCAAATGTTCGAGATAATTCGAAAATATTTTATATTACTATTCTAGTGATTTAAAAGCAATCGGTACATGTTGACGTCGTTGGATCTTTAGCTTTCAGAAATGAAGCACGCCCACCTCCGAACAATGATGATGTGTCCTGCTGCTGGTACGTTCACATGGGAACGACATGGTAGAGGAAAAAGGCCCCCCTGAAAAGCCCAAAGGTTTGATGGATGGACGGCCACCAAAAAGAAGAAGCAGAACAGGAAAACGACAACCTGGCCTGTCAGATAATTAGTGACCAATTTTGATGAAAATCTTAAGATCTACTCTAGAAACAAGTGAAAATTGGTAAGGGTTAACGTACAGATGAATGATGATAAAGGCTAGTAATAAGTAGGGGTGTTCAAATGGTTACCATGGTTATTATCAAACTAAATAAGGCTAAATTTCATTAATCATGGAATACAATTTCATAACCAAACCGTCCAAATTAATATAACAACCAAATTAACCAAACTAATGTTTAATCGGTTTGGTTAATTGGTTAATCATATTAACCAATATAAAATCACATTATCATTAACTGAGAAATTTTTTGGTTAATTTATCAATTCACAATTTATATAATGAATAAAACAAAAAATCAACACATAGTTATAGTAGACCCTTAACATAAATACTTGCAACTAAGACAATTATCTTACGGTTAGTATAGAAGTATTCACCTAACAAAAATTTATCACAATGGTATGGGTTAATGAATTGTTGTGTTTGTTTGAATTGACTTAGTCTTTTAGCAATTTTCATAGGCTGAAAAGGACCTTGCTTTCAAGTTTTCATCCAATACAATGTATGAGATTTATTTAAATTAGATGTTCATATGTTGTGGTCTACACTCTACATATACAAATATACATTACAGGAACAATATCAAGCTTTATATTTTATGAGTCTAAAAGGGATGAGCGTTTAACTCTTGAGTGGTTATTCAAAGTATTAAGTATGTGTATATATTAGATATATGGCTAATTATTTATCTGGTTAATTTGGTTTGGCTGGTTAGGAGTGTCTGAAACCAAACCACCTAAACCAAATAAGCTAAAAAATTTAACCAAACCAAACCTATTATCCAAATTAACCAAAACAAATTATCCAAATAATACTGGTTAAAACGGTTACCATGGTAACCACACCGTTTGAACACCTCTAGTAATAAATGTTTGTAGAACCGTATTATACCAACGGTTAGGGATGGCAATTTGAACCCGCTTCCAGGGTATTATCTGGTTTGACTCATGATGGGAGGGTATTATCTGACCCGCAGTAGTGTGGGGCGGGGCATGGGTATCTACTTCCGACTCGCTCGGCCCCGTCCTGCCCCCGTTCTTAGCTCATTTTATCTTAATTTCTCACAATATCTATACATATTTCTCCTATTTTGACTTTTCTTCTACTAGTTAGAGTCGATCTTTCAACTTGTTAGACTTATTTACCCATTCCATTATCAATATTTTTCATACATAAAAGTATTTTTACTCACTCGTTTTATCGTAAAAAGTAAAATTTGGGCGTATTTTTCCAAAGAACATTTAAGAGTGGGTCAACCCGCCCTGCCACGTACCCGCACGGATTTTACCCGCCCTACCCGTAGTAACGTGGGATGGGGCATGGGTATTGAGGTACCCGCCCCGCCCTGCCCCATCGCCATCACTACCAACTGTTGGATCGAGAAAATCTTTTATCGAATTCTAAATCGATAGGTGAGGTTTTAGTGGTAAACCACGCGATTAAACCACATTTACAACATAATATATCGTATCACTGACTTTCTTCTGGTATAACTTCCAATACTGATTACAGTCGTCGCTACCTACCGATACATTTATCTATGTTTGCCCCTCCATGACAAACCCTAATTCATCAGCCACAAGAACAGAAGGGGGATTGTAGCTAGAAATGGTCAGATGATCAGATAACTAGGTCACAAAATGGTTGCGAATGAAATGATGACCGGACTACTAAACCATATATTTTTTTTACTGTTTACCAGACAAAAAAGTTTTCACTCTTTAGTTGCTTTCAAGTTTCAGCTGATGCCTATGTGGGTGGGTCACCAGCACTCCATGCAGCCAGCCAGTACTGTTAGTACCTACGTACCCTTCTTTTGTCTCCTTCCTCTCCCTAAACTTATGTATGCGACAAGCGACGATCATACTTCGTACTATCGACGACAACAGTCACTAATCTCTCGCGTTATAACGACGACAAAAAAAAAATACAGTACACGATTAATTTCAGCAAAAGAGAGACCAGTCAAATGAGTGTATCAATGTACACGTGTGAGTGTCAGATATTTGCACATATGTGTGTGTGACTGTGAAATTTGACACATGAATCTTAGCACACACCCTTATAGAGGGCATTGGAGATGGAGGGGCCTATAAATATAACATCTTTAGGTCAGTGTTTTTGGACATTACACCCAATTATTATTAGCCATTGGAGGAGAGCAGCAGAGAGTTTAGTAGAGATCAGGAAGCCATGGAAGCAGCTGGTGCAGAGTTCAAGCACTTGGCCATCATCAAGTTCAAAGAAGGTGTTGTGGTGGATGATATCATCAAAGGGATGGAGAAGCTTGTCTCTCAGATCCCTCTCATCAAGTCCTTGGAATGGTCAGTTTTTTTTCTTCTTCTCTCTTTTTGATTGGAAGTAGTTATTCTAAAACATTGTAATTGTGAAATCGTACCGGAGATCAGATCAGAGAGCGAGGCTAACAACGCGCGCGATTCTGAGGTTTTTTTTTGTGCAATGTTCATCCAGGGGGCAGGATTTGGAAGGGCATGAGATGCTGACACAAGGATTCACACATGCATTCACATTGACATTCAACAGCAAGGAGGATTATGGAGCTTATGAATCTCATCCCAATCACCTGGAGTATGCTGCTGGTTTCTCTGCAAGTATTGAGAAATGTGTGGTTCTCAACTTCCCCACTACTCCACTCAAGCAGACACCAGCAGCAGCAACCTGATGTGTGGTGTCTCTCTCCACTATGGAATGAAAATTACTACAAGTCTACAACCAGAGATATCAATGAAGGGAGGAGTTATGATCTATGTAATATCATTTGCCAAATGGGTTAACCATTACTATTGAGTTTGCTTGTATGAAAGAAGATTTGGGTTGTGGGAATATGTGAATTTCTTATGTTTCTGTGCTGTCTTGGTTGCTGTTCTGTTCTGTTCTGTTCTGTTCTGTTCTAGCTAATCTGCAGATCTTTCTCTCTGCCTTGGAAGAAGTTCTGCTTCAATTTCAAGTGCTTTTTGCTTTTGCCCTCTCTAGGCCATGTGTGGTGTTTGACAATGGTGGAAAGCTTGATTAGTAAAAAAGAGAAACAATGTGGGCACTCATTAGATAAAAAGTGGGAACAAACAGGTAGATTTGTAGGTTTAAAGTTGCCCTTTTCTTCACTTCATTTGGGTGCCTCTCAAATCTCAATCATGGAGGGCCTTTTATGTGGCAGCAAAAGTTGCTGTCTAGGTCATTTAGAACTTCAAAATCTTGAATCTAGAAATCAAGATTGGCCACTAATGGTGATTATTGACATGCTTCTTTCTCTGATCAGCTTTTTTAAGCTGGTATTTCTAGAAATCCATGGCTTCTCAGTAAATAATAATTCATAGACCCTCTAGTAGAATGAGCAAAATCAAGAGTGACCAAACATGTGATGCCAAGTCCATCACCCAACATTTCATGTCATATTCTTTTCATTTACAGGGACCAGTACTGAAGCAAAAAGGGGTAAAAGAGAGACAGAAGAAACATGTAGAATCTCTTGCAGATTGCGAAGAAAATGAAAGATTTGTCAACAAAGTGACATCTCCAGGTGAACATATACCAAAATTAAAATACTCCCCACTCCATATAATATAATTGTTTTATATAACTTATATTGAGAATATAAAATCGTTGATAATGATGGGATAGACGTAAGCACGTGTTTATAACTCTTCAGTTGCTTGAATTGAGAAACGAAACGAACTGAATGGAACATGCACCGTGCAAACGTACCACAATCTCCCATTTTATCGTCGATCAAGCAGCGACGCTGCTCGTGATAGTCTTAGCTTTAAGCCGCTATCGTTCGCTTCGGATCTTGCGCTTCGTGCTCTAAATTGTATGATCTCAAATCGAACAGTCGAGACTCGAGAGGAACAGAAAGAGTGATATAAATATTTATGTCTACTCTATTTAGTAATGTTGTTAAAACCTTAGTAGTAGTTGATTGTTGGTTATGTCATGGAAGATTCCCCTGTTTTCCCCTGTTTTCATCAAGGAAAAATGCACTGCCTCAGAAACAAGGGCATCTACTATCTACAGAGTCAACTAATTGAGGGAATCTTCCATGACATAACCAAACAATCAACTACTACTACAACAGAAAAATAAAGCAAAAAAAGCTAGCAAGAGACAAAGTGGACAGATCACTTGGAAAGGAAGTTAACCAAAGAAAAATGATGGATAAAAGGATACAGAAGAGGAGCTGGTGGTTTCCAATTTCCATCCATAGCCATCGCCATGGAAGGAGGATGCTTCAAGCGTTTAGTCCTCTTCAAGTTCAAAGAAGGGATTGAAGTGGAAGATATGCTGAATGGGTTGAAGAAGCTTCTTTCCGAGATCGATCTCGTCAAGTCCGCCGAATGGTCAGTCCCTGTTGTTGTTACCATGTCTCATTTTGATGCTAAAATCGTGGTTCAACCATTTCGTATAGTTGAAAATTGTCTACCGATTTAAACTCCGATTTGTGGGTTTTTCCGATCTGTCACACCATCAATATGCTGATCCTGGCTGGCTGCAGGGGAGCGGCGGCCGATATTCAGCAGGGCTCTGAAGCTGCGAAGCTCCGTATCACCGCAAAAGGGTTCACTCACGCCCTCGTGATGAGATTCGAGAACCAGGAAGACTGCCTGGCCTTCATGAGCCACCCGGCCCACGTTGAGTCCGGCGCTGCTTTCATTGAAGCCCTTGATGACTTTCTGGGCCTCAACTTCCCGGTCCTTTCTCTCAAGTAGTCCACCCGAATCCGAATCCGAACCGGAACCCGGACTCGGATCGAGTGTGTGTCCGGTGGTTCGTACGAACAGTTCGATTTCGTATCTCGTTGATTGAACCATTCGAGTTTCTGTTCAATTCAAGTATATTGTGTTTGTGTGTAGGGTAAATTTATGGTTAAATACACTTGTATATCCAAAACTTTCACGGTTGTGCCAATAATATCCAAATTTCCCGAAATACCACTTATATCCAATTCCTTCACATTCTTTAACGGTGTTTTTGGATATACAAGTGTATTTAACCAAAAATATTTTGGGAAATGGATAGATTTGGCAAAGAACAAATTTAAAACATGGATATAAGTGGTATTTCGAAAAATTTGGATATTATTGACACAACCGTGAAAGTTTTGGATATACAAGTGTATTAAACCTAAATTTATTTCAGTTGTATGTTTTTGTCAGCATTATTACAATGAGCTGATATAGTAAACAAAACAGTTTCTATCTTACCTGACGTGCAAAAAAATTATGTATTCTATACAAGATGGTTTCATCTATTCAAAGAAATGGGCTGGGTGGATGGAATCAACATATTGGACAACTAAAAAGCCTTCTTGCCTTTGGACACCTGGGCTCGTGACAGTAAAGCTAACAGGCCCAATAATAGTAGTTCCACCGGCCCAACCAATTCTTTCTTGCTGTAATTTTGTTCACCAAGTATTTTTTCTTCACCATCTACCTATTTTTGTCTAGAGTCAACTTTGCCCTTTTACCAACTTGCCCTTTGCCAAAATTTCAAGAGTTGGTCAACTTATTGTTGGGCCAAGCCCAAAGTGAGTAAGCCGATGTTTCCATGAATCCAGATCTGGTGGCCTAATTGTTTGGAGAAATTAATGCATCCACTTTCGTCTATACGATCACTATGTCAATCCACCAAAATCAATAATAAAATGGGTCACAAAGACCTTGTCACTAGCTATGAAGGTGATTATGATGGTTTCGGGCAATGAGATTCAGGGATATGATAGAGCAACATGTTTCCTGTTTGAATCGAGTGTTCGTCAAAAGGGGCTGTTCACGTCAGCTTGTTAGCATACTTGTCATATTTTCATCATCGACTTGTGTGATCTCTGCATGTTAATCAAGACGAGTTGGATGATGAAACTGATTGAAGATGTTTGGAGTTATCATTATGTTAAGTTATATTTCAAGCTTGAGTTACAAGTTTGTCACAGGGAAATAGAATAGCGGGTAGGTTGTAAGGCTAGCTCCCTTGCTCCACTCATGAATGGAAAGTGTTGGACTTTGAGAATCGGATAATGACAAGCTTTGGAGGATTACTAAGCATGAAAGGGAAAGGTTGGAAGATGATCAATGGCTAAACCCGCATTTGACTCGAGTTTCGATTAATTATAATCAACTGATTTGTTGGTGTCAAGTTCCTCTTCACCTACTACCACAATACAAGGAAATTAAGGGACCAAAAAAAGAGTGATTTTGGACCGGCATGAGGATTTGAAATTCAAACAGCAGCCGTAGGAATCCTGATTTGGGTTCAAGACCAAGGAAGAAATTGAATTGAAGTCTAGAGATTTCAAGGACTTTGAAATTCAGAAAGGGGAGTTGGGTGAAGTTTGAAAACTGCTAGCTACCAGTCTTTCCATTTGCAATTTACTTGACTATAGGTTGGTTAAGAAAAATAAAAGCAATAAACATTCTAATAGCGGTTTGATAAACCAACTGGTTCTAATAGGTCGAAATTGTTGGGAGAGATTTATGTATAAAATTTTAACAATTTCTCGCACGTCCTCTCAAAACAAAAGTCAACTCATGGGGTTGAAACTTGCGCAGACAAGTTGTACGGTGTGTTTTAAGAAAACGATTAAAATATCGGAGGTCGTGAGGACTTGAATACGTGACATCAGACGGCAAACTAGCTATGATACCATATCATAAACCAACTAGTCCCAACAAATTTCGAGTTGTCGTAGATGCTCATGTATGGATTTTAGCCACTTCCTCACACCTTAGAGGTCCCAGTTGATAACGAAGTCTGATTTCAGTCGCTAAATATTATCGTATTAATGTTGTTTATAAACACCACACTACATGCATCCAACGAGATATTTTTTTCGATTCCGATATAGTGAAATTGCAGGCTTAACAGAGGAAGAAACCTAATCACCCAAACTCAGGGGAGTCGAGTCACCACTAACCCTTGTTGTAATGATACTCTGTAGTCTGTACCGAATAAAAACAGAGCATCCCTTCCACCCAAGAAAAACAGAGCATGGGGGAAAACAATAAATTGCTGATCAAACCCATTAACTAAAGTTAAGGATACGTGTCCAGTACCTGGAAGATCGGACAATAGACCTATGAACCCTAAAAGGAAAAGAAAGGAGAAACCAAAAGCAGTCACTCTGGTTCGGTTTTGTTAATCATTGTACCCATAACCCTGGAAAAAAGTGTACCTTAAAGTTCAACCTTGTGACTTGTGAGTATACTACACGTTAAACAATCTCATGTGCAAACGAAATGAAGAGGGAGGACTTAGAAAGAAAGCAGCATAATTGTCTAGGTCTTTTTATGTTCTTCCTCCATAATTTGGGTACTTACAGTAGCAGAGAGTGTGTGTGTGTGTGAATGAAGCTACAAAACTAGCCACTCTCTGGTTTCCTAATCAAACCCTAAACAACAGTGGGCCAAATGAGGGAACCACAACTTGAAATCTGTCTGGGGGACCATGGACATCATTTTCTCTCTACCACTTGAATGAGAAAGACAAGTGCAGAACCAGAGGCAAGTAGTGATGTTTTCTTCATTAGTGGGAAGTATTGATTCTGCTGCCCCTTTTTTTGGATCAATCTGGCACCCAGTTTGACTCTGGCTGTAGCTGTGTTGCGATTGTTTCGAATTTCTTCGTCTTGAGATGTGCGTGACAGAAAGCGCCTTAGTGGATGATCGGATCGCCATAGGCAGGATCGCACAATCCATACGTATATAAGAACGATTGTGACGGTTGGGAATGTTGATATAGAAGCAACCAAAAGAGTCTTTGGGATTTTGTTTTTGTTTGAGAGCAACTGATTCAAATTTCACATTGGCTAAAGAACAAAACCTGCAATTTCCCAATGCCTGCTGCAGAATAAGAAGCAGAGAGGGCACAAGTGTATCTCTGGGATGGGATGGAATTGTAGAGTGTAATGTGGGTGAGGGTCGAAATCTTCATCTAGATCTGCTTCCTTTTTATCAAATCTTCATTGAAAGCTGAACTGGGTAACATCTCTCTTCTCTTTTTCCCCATAATTTCAACTAAACCAATCATTCATATTACCTCACTACATTGTTTATGCTACAGTGGACATGAGGCTTGGCATAAGCGCCATTGAAATCGCACACAGTTGCAGTCTAATGTGGCAAACAAACTCCCTTCAACAAATCCTCATAAAACAGAGGAAATTTCTAGCTACATGACAAAGATGAAAACAGAGTCACAGAACAGTTCTGTTGGGGAAAAAGAAAAACAGGGGAATTCTGTTTCTGCTGTGTTGGCAAACCAAAGAAGAAGAAGAAGAAGAAGAAAAAAAAGATATTGTCAAGGTTCTTCACATAATCTGCATATCTCAAGCTCCCCACAAATCTACAAATTACTAACAATGATCCAAAGAATTGTTCTTTTTTCATCAGATTAGCTATGGCCCTTCTCTTCCAAGCAGAAACAGAAGAGAACCCAAAACCCAAAAAGGGAAAGGGAAACCCAAACCAGTCAAAAAGTAAATAACTTTCCCCTTCCATGGAAGCTCATATCAATGGCTCTTACAGGCGTAAATCAGCAACGAGAATTCAAGTCTCTGCTGCTGTTTTTCCTGCTGCTGAAGTTGTTCTTCCTTCTGCGCTAACTTCTCCTCCAGCCACAGCCGGCTGTCCATCCCACGCCTCGTCCGGAACATAAACACCGCCGCCGTCGCCGTCGCCGCCGCCGGGTTAAAAAACCAGTCATGTACGTCCCACATCAGATCCACCAGCAACCCATCGACGAAAATCGTCTGGTTCCCCCTGAAATTCCACTGCAATCTCTTCACCCGAATTACAACCTTCTTATCAATACAAACTGACAAAACAGGGTGGTGGTTCCTCTGTTTCACCCCTTCCTTCTCCCCTCCGTCGCCGCCGCTGCATTTAATCAGGATATCGTGCTGCCCCCCTGTCTCGCAGAATTGAGCTTTAGTCGAGTACAGAGTGCTCCCCGAACAATGCTCCTGCCGCGAAATCAAGCTCGATTTCGCGGCGGAGGCCGGCGCCGCCGTCCTCAGCAATTTCTTGGGCAAAACGGTGGATTCGTCGGCCAAATCGCCGAGGATGAGGACAATTTCGGAATCGACCAACACGACGACGTAGAATCCGTCGAGGGGCTCCGGGCCGGCGGCTTCGTAGCGGGCGGAGGAGAGATCCCAGTAGACATCGAATTTGGAATCGGGGCCGCCGCCGGCGGCTTCAATTGACCGGCAGCCCTTCTTCTTGCGGAAGAGGCCGGAGCTGGTGTTGAGCTTGAAGGTGGATGATTGGCCGGAGGAGATGGTGAGCCAGTCCGCGGCCCATGTGACGGATAAGTGAAAGGGTTTCTTGTGGGTGGAGAGGGTGATTCGGTAGAGGGAAGAGACGGCATTTTGGACGGAAGGGGTGGAATCGGAGGAAGGAGCGGCGGTGGCGGCGAGTAGGGTGGAGGAGGCGGCGGCGGCGGCGGAGGAGGAGCAGGAGAAGGAGTAGTGGTGGTGGGTTTGTTGAGAGGCAGCGACGTTGATGGCGTTTTCGCTGAAGCAGGACACGAAGTCTCTCATTGTGGTGGAGGGGAAGGAAACTGTGGGATTGGGTTTTTGGATTGAGACAATAATGGAGGCGGAGATTTCAGAGTAACTGAAGGGCGGAAGAGGAAAATGTGGGAGCGTGGGGGAGAAATGAGGGAGAAGAAGAAGGGGAAAGGGGTTTAATTAAATGTGGTTGGGAAAGGAGGGAGTAATCTGTGTTTTGTTATAACCGTCTTTCCTTTTGGCTTTTTGTGTGTGTGTCTTTTTCTTTTTTCATCCATGGCTGGGAGGAGTCACGGTGCTACAATTAGCACCGTCCTAACTAAGAGAAATACTACTACTAGTTTGAATTAGTAGTGATTTAGCTTAGATGTCGTATTGATTTTATAATAATCCGTAGTGATTTCGTTATTAATAGTAGCGTTTTTTGTTAGTTATCACGGTGCTAACCCATATAAGGGTTAGCATCTAATCCCATCCCTCCATGGCTACCAAGGTAAAGTTTTTTTTTTGCCGCAAAATTGCATCGTATCGGTTGTTGAACCTGGAAAAAAACCTGTTATCAGAATTTGAATCGGTAGATGAATTTTAGGGGTATGAAATAGTCGAATCACGATTAAATTACAGTTACAACATAAATTTTCCGATGCAATCTCAGGTACGGTTTTACAATCCTTGCCTTTTAGTACTGGCTTGGATTTGATCAATTGGAAAATGAGATAATTTGATTAATTGTCTCATTTTACAAATTGGGCTACTTAAAGTGAGTCCATTCGAATTACTTTTCTTCACCCTAGACAATTTTAATTATTTCAAAATGAGTTAATCCAAAATTTCCGATGCCAAATTGCTTCATCCAAATTTTTTGGTGTCAAACGGGTCAATTTGGTCTGATTACCTCTGAATGAATGAGACAATTGTCTCAAATTAATTCATTAACATTCATCATCCAAATTACTCCTAAGTAACTTTTGTTATTAGGTGACCTTGAACATGATGTATGCATGAGTCTGTGAGAACAAGTTGAATCTAAATAATGTGTTGTGTGTATGTGAGATTCACAAGAACCTATATGTTGCTGGTCCATTGTTTAGTATGCATGACTTTGGCACTAATTTCTTATGGTTATATAATTTCTCTTAAAGAATTGAGTGTCTATTACCAAGGGCTTGGTAACTAAGGGTTTTTCCCATAACTCAATGTCACACAAAAAGTGAACAAAGAAATATGTAGCTTGCTACATCTTCAATAAAACCCATTAGTAGATAAATTCGGAGTGGATATGGTGCTAATCAGAAGGGAATTGCAACGTACATATTTCCTCGATGAATTTTTTTTACGATTAATTTTCTTCTGTGGATTTACTTGAAGCTACCAAACTTAATTATCTTTTAGAGGTTGTTTGCTTGTTGGATTTGAGTCATGAACTTGGGATCCAAAGCCCAAAGATGATGAATTTTAGCCAAATTTATTGTTTGTTGTTGAGAGTAAAATCCGTGGAATCCATGAATTTGATCATTTTTAATGTCTAAATTAGTGATCTCCAGGGAGTTGTAAATCTCACATATTAAGGCAGGATTTGTAAATTCTTGATGACTAGTTATATATGTAACAAATATCAAATCTATCATGCAAACAATAAACTCTTCAAATTCCTAATACAATAATACCACCAGAAAAATTTTAATATTTATTTTATTCAAAATCTTCATTTTCAAATCTAACCAACAAACCACTCTTTGCCTATGCCAAACAAACACGTGCTTCTAAAAAGCTAACTGGTTGTTAATATACAAGACATGTAGATAACCAGTTGGGCACATGAACAAAACAATGTGTCTTGTAGCTAATCAGACTGTGCAGGATGTCGTTTACCCGCGCATAGAGATTGGCTCCCAATTTTTCAACTACTTGCCGCACGTCAACCAAATTCCTATGTCAGGTTTTTTTATATAACTACGCTGCTACAGCTCGGGAAATCGTCGGTATCGAGAAAGGAAGAATATGTAAGCGAGAATCGAAAACAGACACACGATTTACGTGGTTCACTAACACAATGTATGTTAGCTAATCCACGGGCAGGAGAGAACCAGTTTTCACTATACTTCGAGGAGATACAGATTACAGAGGAGTATGAGAAGTATTTATGACTTCTACTAGGTCTAACCCTAATCCAATCTGGTAAATGAAAAGAGGTTACAACCAGGCCCAGAACCCAAACCCAAATAACATGGAGCCTATACACCGTGACTTCCAGTCGTAGCGATTGAAGGTCTGATTCAAGTCATAGTTTTTAACATGAACTCACTAGGCGAAGTTTCTACAATGTACTTCATGGATCGCAGACTTCTCAAATTATTCCAACCTCCTTGAAGCATTAGCTGCCATTTGAATCAAGCGAACTAGTAAACTTAGGGGTCATTTGGAAGTTGTGATTGTTAAATAGATGTATTGTTGAGAATGCATGTATTATATTATACATGTGTATTGTCGAATTTGATGCATTGTAGAATACAACGTTTGGTATGTGTTATTGTGTATGTCGCATCAGCTAAAAGCTAAGAGAAAACAATCTCAACTCAACTATCTCAACAGTCACAACTAAAAGTTGAGATATAACAATCACTCAAAATGAGTGATAGTTTCTGTCACATCACAGAAACAATCCATGTATTGTTTCTGCTAAAAAAACAAAAAAACGATGCATTGTAAACAATACATGCATAATGACAATCTCAACAAAACTATCGCAACTTCCAAACGACCTATTAATTCGTTATGAGATTTTAGTTTAGCTCCCAAACATTTATGTTTTGTAACTCACTGTAACATTTCTCTGTACTTACTGTGGATTTGATTCACACATATTATGTGTCTTTGCAATAAAATCCTACATCATTCATAAAAAAAAAGCATTAACTCGCACTAGGCATAAGTAACCATACCATCAAACCATTAGACAAATTCAAATTTGTCTAAGACTTTGTAAATGTCAAATCGAGAATAAGACAAACCCTTGAGTATGTGCAGTGGCGGAGGGAGGTAAGGAGGAGAGGGGTCCTAGGACCCCATTTGGCAAATAATTGGGCAACAAAACCTTTTAAATACATAGGTTTTAGTACGATAATTCAAGTTTAGGACCCCATACTCTCAACGATGTTAGCTCACCAAGGACCCCGATTAACTCAAAATTCATTAGGTACACAAGCATTTACGTTAGTAAAATTTTAAGGACCCCAGTGGACTTGATGTCTGGCTACGCCACTGAGTGTGTGACCTATACAAAGATAATTGTCATTCTTCCATTTCTTTATTTTTACGAATGATCCTCCTTTTTTCCTCGTCTTCGAATCCTTCCCCGTCCTAGTTACCTACCAGGTATGAAATTCACCTTGAGAGTAGTGTGATGAATAACATCTTCTATTCTCACATGATGTTGATGTATGGAACAAGCGTATAAAAAGAGTATAAATGAAATGAGTGATGAATGTCATGGGTAAAAAGATGGCGCAAAAGTGTAAAATTAAAGCTAAATTTGTGGAGTTTTACTCAAAATTATGAAGTACCATATTTCTTTAAAAACACCATCATATAAATAATGAGGACTTGGAGCTGGAGTCTGCAGGAGGCAAAGCCCATCTGTATACTGTAGATGAAGATCTTGGTTCCACTATTATTTGATTCTTTTTTTTTTTTTGGTTACAGAGTAGTGGTAATCAAGAACAGAACCTCTTTTTTTCTTTTTTTCTTCAGCATAATTAAGAAGACAACTAGTTGGTAGAGAACAATTGGAGATCAATTTCCCAATATCGGTGTATTAATAATGAGGCAGACAATATAATCCATAATTCTCAAGTAAAAGGGGGAAACAAAAGAGATCTGGACATAATCTAAGTCGCATGCATGCTTTTGCCAGACAATCTGTTGTGTAAATGGTAATGGAAAGTAATAATTATTTGCAGTAGAAAGTGAGATTGAGATAATGATGAGACTGGTGTAACTGCTAATTATATCCACCAACAGCTCCTCTAGTTAGTGCAAAGAGACAACAACACCAATGATTAGAAGCATGCCATATCAAAAGCATGAGGATTTGCTTTGCAAAAAAGCTCAATTATGTGAGTTGCCCTAAAACAAATTTCAGATTTGATCTTGAAGGCTAGTCATAGATTTTCTGGATGGAAAGTTTAAACACTTTATTATTCTTTATCGCCTTCTCGATTTGATGATTTGATTGATAATATAAGTAATATGTTTAAAGATCCGCCGCTCAGTGGACGAAGACACACTAATGAATAATAATAATAAATTTAATGGAGCTCCTCATTATATCCACAAGTACCTTCAATAAGATTGTGTTTCTTTCCCTAAGGAAGTTTTTTTTTTTCCATCAATGATACCGTTGGCCATCACGGATTCCACGAAATTTCACTAGCATGTTGTGATTAACAACATTGTGAACTAATGCACTCGACTAGTCAGAGGGTCACATTGAAAGAGAAGAAAATACGAAATTCATTCCGAACTAGTTTAATGGTTGTTCAGTGCCTGACCTCTCCAGACATATTATTATAACCAAATCAGTTGTTGTTCAAATAAAAACAAATGGAGCGAAAATGACATTCTAACGAAGTATCGCAGATATATTGAATTTTTTTTTGTTTAATTCTCATAACAGCTTCAATATTAAATTACAAAGTAATGGTTTGCATGTTACATCCTTTAAACACAAGACTCAAGAGCATCATGTAGCAGCAGTTGGAAATAAATGAAAATAGACCATGTCCAACAAAAAAAAAATATTAAATGCAATACATAGCCCCATGGCCATTAATAATCAAATCATGCTGGAGTTGTAGGTCAATAGTCCTCTTCCATGTCCTTTCAATTAAGGGCAGGAAAGCATTGATCAAAATCCTTAAACAACTCTAATTAATTGTTTGGAACTTTGGTTTTTTTGTCTGTCTGCAGATTTAAAGTGAGATCCTTGGGCAGGCAGGTGAAAGGAGTAAATGGAGCAAAAGGACACAAACAAGAAAAGAATGTGGCTTATAAATGATCTTCCAATGGAGCTATACATGTATTCAAAAGACAGATCCCAAGGGCCCCCAAACCAAATGAAGAACAGGGCAGAAAGATCATGCATGTAAGGAGGATTGTGAACTGTAAAAAGGCATAGATTTTGGAGGGAAAGAATTGTGATTCAAAATTTTCATCTGTATCCGAACGAAGAGAATTGTGCTTCACTTATCGTGGGTCTTACTCACGAGAAATGTTTTGATTTTGGGTCAAAAGATTTATTGTTCAAATCATATTATTGTCATTGTGGAGAACATTATGCCTAATAGACATACGTGTTTGTTGTCGTTGTGAAGAAATGTATTGATTTACTTAACGGGGAACCAGAAAATTAAACCAAAAAAACTACTTAGTATGATTGCCTCTTGCTGATCATGATGATGATTGGAAGAAAAAAAAAAGCAGTGAATGAGAAGGAATGGACAGGTGCAAAATGGAGCATGGGGTAGTCTGTCCCTTAAAACATGGAAGAACAGTTAAGATTGGGTATAATTATCAGTATAGTTATTACTTCTCTTTCATTTCTGGACCCTCCAAACAAAACAAAGAATTGACCTACACTAGGGCCAATGTCCCCCTTGCTCTCTCATGATATGGCCAGATAAATTGTGCTATGAATATGACTTGCAAATCTGCTCATATAATGAATACTCCCAAGAGGGTACTAAAAACAACACACTTGAAAAGAATGTACTTGGTGGGATTCAAAGGCCACTAGCATAGCAATCAACAAAAAAGCAAGTGAGAAATCATGCATGCAAGGCCAATTGGATTAAGTTATTCAGAAGTTGGACACAGTTTTACTCGAGTTTCGAATTTGAATTGTCGAAACGTATCATATTGATGACATGTAAAAGGCTGAAAAAAGTACATGACATAGGAAGGCTAACATTTTCACTTATAAATCAGCTAACGAACTTCATAATTTCTCGCTCAAATGTCATTTTTTTTCATGTTATGCTTCCCAATTCTTGACTCATATCATATATGGTGATGTTTCTATAATAAGAAAAATCATTGGCTCAAATGCAAGACTGGCTAGCATGGTTAGCAGAAACAGTAAGGGGTAATTTCGGAACTTTCGATTCTAGAAATAGTGTATTCCTATAATGCATATATTAAGGTTATGTGCATACTAATATGTTTTTTTCTAGCTAAGAAGACATTGTTTAGTATATATATATGAAAACATGGGCATTTAACACGAATTGAAACATGGATACTCAGAATACATTATTTCTATGAATGAAGAGTACAAAATGTATTATCAATACATACATTCTGGAAAAAAAAAATATTGTATTCAGAAATCAGAATACATCATCCAGAATCGGAGGTTCCAACGCTAAAGAATGTGAATTTGCAGTGGAGCTCAGAATGTAGCTGGTATAGCAAGTAGACACCACCAACAAAGGAAATCATTAGCCACCCACAAGGAAGAAAAAGCAACAAAAAAAAAAGCTGCAATCTTTATCAGTAAGTTGGAATGGAAGCAGATTCAACACCACAGAAAAACTGCACAACATCCCCACACATATATCCACCATGATTGATCTCTGTTAAAGCTTCAAACTTTGTTGCTACTGAAACCAGAAATCTCTGTTAAGGAGAGAGTTCCCAATCCATTAGGCTAATCGCTTTGTTAATTACTGTTTTTTTACTGTAGCTGCGAGGGCTCAAAATTGCTACTACAACAATAATCCATGTTCATCGATGGGAAGGAATAATTGGTAAAGCAAAAGGGGAGAGAATCAATCTCACCGAAGATGGAACTCTTTTCTATTTTGGCTTTTTATTCAATACCAAGAAATTCCCACTGAAAATAGCACAAATAATTAAATTCAAAATATTGCCCAACCTTTGATAAACAAATAAATAGAAGGCTTATCGGTTTCGATAAAAATCATTAATAAACCACAAAAAAAATAGATAAGTCCTGACTCGATTAAAGGTTAGGCTTCGACTAATTTGGGTTTCGATTTCTAATGGTTTCGGTTAACCGAACCGAAACCCCTACTCTATATTCATTATTGGAGATGATGAAATGACACTTCTAAACTAACATCCACTTGACACTTCTAAGTACCCAACTTAATGTGATTTTAGCTCAACTAACTACATGTGCTAATGGAGTAATATAACATAAAAAAAAAAGGTGATAGGCCAGGGAGCAAGCCCTATCATGATGTGATTAAACTATATCAGGTCAACCATAAGACTAACCAAGTTAGATACAGCAAAGTAGAATCTATCTGACAGTTTTTTTTTTTTTTTTGTAGCTTCTGGGAACTTGTCCTGATGTTCATTCCACTGTTTGACAAATGGAATTATAATCAAATGAAAGTGACACTTCAAATTCCACACACAAACTTCCCTACTATACTTCATTATCATCACAACTGTTGCTTCTTGAAGATAAAGTTAACAGCTGTCCCTGATTGTATAAAACCCCAAGCCCAAAGAAGTAAACTGAGATATGTTAAGAAAAAACTGCAACAAGTTTACTGTTGAATGGGGGTAGACATAGGTGTGTTTAGGAATGGCAATGGGCAGGTCCGGGGCGGGTTTCTTGGTACCCAGACCCGCCCCGTGGCAGGTCGGATCCAGGTCGGGTAATCGATCACGGGTCGCGGGTCGGGGCAGGTCGACCCAATGGGTATGCAATTTATATGAAAAAACATTAGAAATATTCGTTATTTTTATTATAAGACTAAGAAAACAAACAATATTTTGACAATTGTAGTTAAATTATTGGAGAAATTGAGATTTTTACTAATTTACAACTTTATTATAGCTAAAATATGATGCAATAAAAGGAAAATTCTCAGTAATTTGACTAAGATTACATGTGATTTAGACAAGAATGGGTCGAGAATGGGGCGGGTCAGGGCAGGTCGGGTCGATGAGACTACCCATGCCCGTCCCGCCCCACCTACGGGGCGGGTCCTACCTGCCCCAAAACAGGTCAAACAGATCGGGTAAAACGGGTCAGGTCGAAATTGCCATCCCTAGGTGTGTTCGCGTCTTCTTAGCGTAGCAGTCCAATCACTAATCAGATGGTTGTGATACGCATGCATGAGAAAAAAGAAACTGAGATTTGTTAAGAAAAAACTGCAACATAAGTTTACTGTTGAATTGGGTAGAGTTAAGTGTGTACACGCCTTCTTAGCGTAGCGGTTCAATCACTAATCAGATGGTTGTGATACACACGAGAAGCGCGCACTACAAATTCTCGTTTATTTTCTTTGAATCCCATGTGCAATACAGCCACCTGATCACAAATCAGAAGACTGGTGCTACCCATTCTGCAGAATAGCCAAACTTAAAAAAGGCTAATGGCCAAAAGAAAAAAGAATCACTTAAGGGTTGTCAGAGTTTTCAACCTCAGGAATTGGCCTTCACACAACCATGAAAGTGACCAAACTTGGTTCATAAGTCAGATTTCACCACCTCAAAGTACAGAGACTATCAGGCAATGGTATTGAACAAGGGTTCCATTGTCTTGCTGCTTTCGATGTCCTTCTTGAATCTAGTTCAATATTTCCTAACAGTTCATGTACTTAGACTCACTTGATAATTAACCTGCAAAGTCTTCATTCAAATCAGACAGTTGACAGGTAAAACTTAATGAGAACCTACCAAAACTATTCTAGTATTCAAAGACACAAACTTTTTCTCTGCCAAGATGATCATATTCAATAGGGCAGTTGAACAACTTCCCCTACAGAAAATCTAAGAGCAGGATTTGCAACAATATGCTAGACGATAGAAATACTGATAATAGGACCTATCCAACTTCCAGTGGCATATATGATTAACAAAGAAATGACCAAAAAAGGGCATTTCTCTGCAATAAGTTAAATTCCCTGATCAACAAGATGACATCAAAAGCATAATGGGAGAACTATTTCTCATCAACAATATATTGACTAGGATAACAACAGGCCCAAACGTTTGCCTCGAGACAATGAATGAGATTTATCGATTGATATGATTCATATGAATGTATATCAGTATCATCGTCTCAAAACTTTCTACATAAAGGTTTGCCAATGACCATCATCTCAAAACAAAAAGGGCACCCAACTAAAAGACACTAACAAAACCTTAGTAGGAATTACACAGCTACACTGGAACAAGAACAGCCCAAGACACTGGATAGAGCAAAAATCTCAGAAAAGCGAAAGCGCACCTACGGAAGGCACCAATAGAAGTTACTCTTCCATGGGTTGGTTCTCGACCGTTTGTTGCTTGGGGGCCTTGACTTTGATCTTCGGGACTGTGATCGCTGGCTCTTGTGATTGAATGGCAAGAGGAGCTTTGATCAAGCTGATGCTCTGTTCCAGTTCCTTCCTTGCTTCTCTGCGCTCCTTCGCTGCCTTTGGCTTCCACCTGTGCATAGAATTACCAGTGTGAGCGTATTACAACATAGAGGGAACAGAAGTACAATGAGGTGTTTTGATTGCTGTGACAGCAAGAAACTGGACGCCGGACCTCTGGGCAATATGATCAGCTGCCCTGTCGTGTCTGATCTTGTCAATCTTCTTGATGGCCTTTAGGGTATTCTCCATAACGTTTCTGTCGTATCTCTCGGGCCTATTCCTCTTTCTCTCCAGCTCAAAGGTTGAATCCTACACCAATGTAAGGAAGGGTATGAACAACAGCACATAAGGCAGACAGACATCAGCCGATTCTTCAAAGAGGGAGAAGAATGTGAGGGTGGAAAAGGAATAGGTGCACATTTTGTTACCTTTGTCATATCCTTCCCGTGTAACCGCCTATAGGCCTTAGTCCATTTCACCTTACGAGGATTCCTCTTCATCTTAAAGTTCTTGTGGCATTTCGACCTACAGAATCTAAATATCTGCAAGAGGAAAAAGAGTAGTTATAAACATGGTTCAGAAATTTCATCATCGTAAGGATACCAAATCGAATGCAAGTACTCAAACTGCAAAGAACAAAATCACACTATATGCTTAAGCATCCAATTCGTTCGCGGCTGATACTAAGCTGCAGTCGCACAAATTAGACAAAATCAATCCTCTAACCAAGTCCCCTATTCAATGTTAGACAAACAAGCATTCACAAAAATAAATGGCACCACATGAAGAACTCTGCGGCTAGTACTAGTGCATGTAATCAGAAAGAAGGTAAAGAACTGACCTTGGCATCGTTGCGAACGAATTGAATACCATGCCCGGGATAGATCTTCGAAGAGCAAAACCAGCAAAACTCCAATCTCATGGTATCCCTTGTTTAACGAGCCAACCGGGGAAACTGGACCCAACAAGCAGCAAAAGGCATACATATATGAATAAGTCAAAGCTAGCAGCGCCCTAAGTCCAAAATCCCAGCACATGCAGCAGCAATTGCAATTACAGAATTCGGAGGACCAAGCAGCAAGCGTTCCAACACTTACAATCAAATGAGATTCAAATACTACATGAATCTAAAAAAGAAACAGAACACTAGGCTCCAATCAGAGTCCCGATGTTCGCTATGACGGAAGCGACGCGAAACGTAAATGGCCGAACCATACAAGATTAATCCGAAGGAAAGAAAAGAAGCAATATCGGAGCGAGAGCAGATAGAGCAGGGAGATAGGATCATACCCGGGGAATTTGGTCGGCGGAGAAGGAAGTGACGGAATGATTTGGCTGCTCCTTCCCGCCTACTGGAGCACCGTAACGTAATGGAGAGACGGCTCTCCTAGGGTTTAGGGAGAAAGGAGAGAAAACCGGTGACAGGGACGACTCGGGCAAGGTTTTATGACTTCCGTGATGGGTCTCGGGTTCTTGACCCGACTATGTTGGTTCACGGGTTACGTGCGCCCTTTGTCTTAAGTCTTAACATTGTTGCTTGGCCCATCTGCACTCGTAATGGGCTTTGGAATTTCATAAGCCCATCCTGGAATTCTTTTGTGAAAGGCCCATCATAAAAAAATAATCTCTTTTGTTCCGTTTTCCTAACTTCTGAGGCGGGAGTCTCGACTCTAGACTATAGAGTTCACCCCATTTCGTCCAAACTTCCAAGTTATTAATGAAATCTGGCTAATATCTCAATATTCTTCACGTTAAATTTGGTTTAAGTTAAAAAACACGTATGTCCACTCAAAAAATATACACACTTTGAAATTATAAGGTGCACATTTGAGTTTTGAACTCCAATTAGCAAATAATGAATTTGTGCCAAATACTTGTTGGATGCCAAATTCATCGCCCAAATCCCACAAACAAGGATGGCAGAGTGGTGGCCGAGAGCAGTGATTGACCGATGCAGACAAATAAAAAATTTGATTGTTTGATTTTATTTTATTTTTCAATTACGAGCAACAGTTAGTTCATCTTTCAAACTTTATCATCACAAAATTATAGCTCTTCCATGCCTAATCTTGGTCCAGGTTGAGTTCAATCCCGCTCTATTCACCCAAAAAACAAAACAAATAGCGATGTTAATCATCCATTGCTCATGAAAATGAACCGCAAGACAACGATCTATCTATACCATTCCAATGAAACAATGTACACCAAAATAGAATTATGTACACCCACTCCACGTTCTATCTATCTTGTCTTGTCGATCCAAGCCTTCCTGTTTGCGCTGCAAACATATATACCGCCATTGTTAATCCTGCTAAACCCAAAATGGGTGGGCACCTAATTAATCCCTACGAAAGTGACCCGATAAAAGTTCTGAACACTGATGTGTCGAAGCGACGTTACCTTACAGCTACAGTTCTTGTCATCATCATGATCAACAGACATATCCTGCACCATTGATAGCAAGAGGATGAGTTGCCTTGGCAAAAAATACACATTTTCAAATCAATAAAGTAGCCACAAAGTTGATACAAGCTACCTCTCCAGGCTCGTCGTCATCAGATTCATTCTCAAGTTTAGCGGGTATAGCAGCAAATTTGGATTTTGGTTTTGCAGCTTCAGCAGGAGTCGCAGGCTTGGCGGCTGCAGCCTCAGCAGGAACAGCAGGCTTAGCATTATGAACTTTACCTGTTACACCATTATTATGGGGAAGAGAGATCAAAGGCCAGGCACTATTACAAGATAAAACATTGTTAATATCACTCGACAAGAAAAAAAAGTGCACACCATTCTCTGACTCACCAGAAAGCTCCTCGGTTGAAGTAGCAAATCCCAAAGCTACTTACAAGTGTCATTTTCCAGAAGGACCAAAATAGCGCAGGAATAACACAAAAGAACCAAAAGAAAACGTCGCGATTACCAAGGGAATGATCTTTGACAACAGAAGAACTACTTGCTACACGAACAGACGAGCTACAAACAAACACCTATAACGTAAGAATCAACAGAGAAAACCCCAACCATATCCGTGCAAAAATAGAACGATGGAGAACACATGAAGAAAACTCAAGGTAAAAGAGGTGCTTACCCCAAACGTCCATGGCGGAAGACATGGCGATGGACTTGGTGGATGCAGCCTCAGCAGGGGTAGCAGGGGCAGCAGGCGCAGCCTTATAAACTTTATCTCCTGTTACACCATAAAAACCAAAGGTCAGGCACTATTACAATATAAAACATTGTTAAAAAGAAAGTGCACACCGTTCTCTGGACTCACCAGAAAGCTCCTTAGTGGAAGTAGCAAATCCCAAAGCTGGACCAAAATAGCGCAGGAAGAACACAAAAGAAACCAAAGAAAACGTCGCGATTACTCAGAGAACGATCTTTGATAACAGAAGAACTACTTGCTACACGAACAGACCAGCTCCAAACAAACGCCTATAATGTAAGAATCAACAGAGAAAACCCCAACCATATCCATGCAAAAATAGAACGATGGAGAAAACATGAAGAAACATCAAGGGAAAAGAGGTGCTTACCCCAAACGTCCATGGCGGAAGACATGGCGGTGGACTTGACGGCTGCAGCCTCAGCAGGGGCAGCAGGCGCAACCTTATGAACTTTACCTCCTGTTACACCATTGTTACGGGCAAGAAAGACCAAAGCTAAGGCACTATTACAATATAAGACATTGTTAACATCACTCTACAAGAAAAAAGTGCACACCATTCTCTGCCTTCTCCACTGACACCTCCTCCTGAGTCCTGGACACACCAGAAAGCTCCTTGGTGGAAGTAGCAAATCCCAAAGCTGGACCAAAATAGTGCAGAAAGAACATAAAAGAAACAAAAGAAAACGTCGCGATTACTAAGAGAATGATCTTTGATAACAGAAGAACTACTTGCTACACGAACAGACGAGCTACAAACAAACCCCTATAACGTAAGAATCAACAGAGAAAGCCCCAACCATATCCGTGCAAAAATGGAACGATGGAGAACACATGAAGAAACATCAAGGGAAAAGAGGTGCTTACCCCAAACGTCCATTGCGGAAGACATGGCGGCGGACTTGACGGCTGCAGCCTTAGCAGGGGCAGCAGGCGCAGCCTTATGAACTTTACCTCCTGTTACACCATTGTTACAGGCAAGAAAGACCAAAGCTAAGGCACTATTACAATATAAAACATTGTTAACATCACTCTACAAGAAAAAAGTGCACACCATTCTCTGCCTTCTCCACTGGCACCCCCTCCTGAGTCCTGGACTCACCAGAAAGCTCCTTGGTGGAAGTAGCAAATCCCAAAGCTGGACCAAAATAGTGCAGAAAGAACATAAAAGAAACAAAAGAAAACGTCGCGATTACTAAGAGAATGATCTTTGATAACAGAAGAACTATTTGCTACACGAAGAGACGAGCTACAAACAAACCCCTATAACGTAAGAATCAACAGAGAAAACCCCAACCATATCCATGCAAAAATGGAACGATGGAGAACACATGAAGAAACATCAAGGGAAAAGAGGTGCTTACCCCAAACGTCCATTGCGGAAGACATGGCGGCGGACTTGACGGCTGCAGCCTTAGCAGGGGCAGCAGGCGCAGCCTTATGAACTTTACCTCCTGTTACACCATTGTTACAGGCAAGAAAGACCAAAGCTAAGGCACTATTACAATATAAAACATTGTTAACATCACTCTACAAGAAAAAAGTGCACACCATACTCTGCCTTCTCCACTGGCACCCCCTCCTGAGTCCTGGACTCACCAGAAAGCTCCTTGGTGGAAGTAGCAAATCCCAAAGCTAGACCAAAATAGCGCAGAAAGAACATAAAAGAAACAAAAGAAAACGTCGCGATTACTAAGAAAATGATCTTTGATAACAGAAGAACTACTTGCTACACGAACAGACGAGCTACAAACAAACCCCTATAACGTAAGAATCAACAGAGAAAGCCCCAACCATATCCGTGCAAAAATGGAACGATGGAGAACACATGAAGAAACATCAAGGGAAAAGAGGTGCTTACCCCAAACGTCCATTGCGGAAGACATGGCGGCGGACTTGACGGCTGCAGCCTTAGCAGGGGCAGCAGGCGCAGCCTTATGAACTTTACCTCCTGTTACACCATTGTTACAGGCAAGAAAGACCAAAGCTAAGGCACTATTACAATATAAAACATTGTTAACATCACTCTACAAGAAAAAAGTGCACACCATTCTCTGCCTTCTCCACTGGCACCCCCTCCTGAGTCCTGGACTCACCAGAAAGCTCCTTGGTGGAAGTAGCAAATCCCAAAGCTAGACCAAAATAGCGCAGAAAGAACATAAAAGAAACAAAAGAAAACGTCGCGATTACTAAGAAAATGATCTTTGATAACAGAAGAACTACTTGCTACACGAACAGACGAGCTACAAACAAACCCCTATAACGTAAGAATCAACAGAGAAAGCCCCAACCATATCCGTCCAAAAATGGAACGATGGAGAACACATGAAGAAACATCAAGGGAAAAGAGGTGCTTACCCCAAACGTCCATTGCGGAAGACATGGCGGCGGACTTGACGGCTGCAGCCTTAGCAGGGGCAGCAGGCGCAGCCTTATGAACTTTACCTCCTGTTACACCATTGTTACAGGCAAGAAAGACCAAAGCTAAGGCACTATTACAATATAAAACATTGTTAACATCACTCTACAAGAAAAAAGTGCACACCATTCTCTGCCTTCTCCACTGGCACCCCCTCCTGAGTCCTGGACTCACCAGAAAGCTCCTTGGTGGAAGTAGCAAATCCCAAAGCTAGACCAAAATAGCGCAGAAAGAACATAAAAGAAACAAAAGAAAACGTCGCGATTACTAAGAAAATGATCTTTGATAACAGAAGAACTACTTGCTACACGAACAGACGAGCTACAAACAAACCCCTATAACGTAAGAATCAACAGAGAAAGCCCCAACCATATCCGTCCAAAAATGGAACGATGGAGAACACATGAAGAAACATCAAGGGAAAAGAGGTGCTTACCCCAAACGTCCATGGCGGAAGACATGGCGATGGACTTGGCAGGTGCAGCCTCAGCAACTTTACCTGCTACACAGTTGTCTGCCTTCTCCACTGACCCCTCCTCCTCCCGAGTCCTGGACTCCCCAGAAAGCTTCACAGTGGAAGTAGCAAATCCCAAAGCTACTTGCAAGTGTCATTTTCCAAAAGAACCAAAAGAAAACGTGGCGATTACTAAGGGAATGATCGTTGACGACAGAAGATCTACTTGCTACAGGAACAGACCAGCTCCAAACAAACACATATAACGTAAGAATCAACAGAGAAAACCCCGACCATAATCGTGCAAAAAATGGAACGATAGAGAACACATGAATAAATATCATGGGAAAAGAGGTGCTTACCCCAAACGTCCATGGCGGAAGACATGGCAATGGACTTGGCAGATGCAGACTCGGCAGGAGCAGCAGGCAGAGCCTCAGCAACTTTACCTGCTACACCATTGTTACAGGCAAGAAAGACCAACATCAGGCACTATTACAAGATAAAACATAGTTAATATCACTCGACAAGAAAATAAGTGAACACCGTTGTCTGCCTTCTCCATTGACGCCTCCTCCTCCTGAGTCTTGGACTCACCAGAAAGCTTCTTAGTGGAAGTAGCAAATCCCAAAGCTACTTACAAGTGTCATTTTTCCAGAAGAACCAAAATAGCCCACAACACAAAAGATCCAAAAGAAAACGTCGTGATTACTAAGGTGATGATCTTTGAAAACAGAAGAACTACTTGCTACACGAACAGACCAGCTCCAAACAAACGCCTATAACGTCAGAATCAACAGAGAAAACCCCAACCATATCCGTGCAAAAATTAGAGAGACCTAAAATACATGAAAGAAACATCTAAGTGAAAAGAGGTGCTTACCCCAAAAATCCATGGCGGAAGACATGGCGATCGAATTGAAAGAGAAGCGACGGGAGTTGGGGAAATTTTAGAGTTTAATTCAGGCTAAATGAGGCGGAGGAGCGGGATGGAGAAGAAACAGGGATTATCAGAGAGAAGAATTTACAAGTCTCTTTCCTCTTTGGTGTTTTGGCGAGTGACGACTGACGCGACGAGACAAGGAGAGAGGACGCGTGGGAGAGAATCAGAGAACAAAAAGGCCGGCCTGCTGGATTGTTGGGTCAAAATTTATGGGCCAATGAACAACAAAAAGAAGGATTAGGCCCATTCAATTGCTTAAGCTTATCATTGATACAAATCCAGTGGGCTTCTCACTATACAAAAAAAAAAAAAAAGTGACTCACTCTTTCCGTCTCCTTCTCTCTCTTCAGTTTTTCCCCCCTTCTCACTCTCTCACTCACTTGTCACTTCCATACTCGCACTTCAAAGCTCAGCAGCAGCAGAGCCTCTCTCTCTCATTCTCGCTCTAGACCGCTGGCCTTTTCCTCTTCTTCTTCTCTCTATTTCTTTCAAGAAGCCTCGCCATAATCGCCCGAAGAGGAAACCCTAGTCGCAGCGAGACAGATCCGCGGCTCGCCGTTTCTGGAGCTCTTGCTGTTTGTTTCATTGATATGCATTCCTCGGTGGTGGAGCTGAAGCAGAGACTTTGAATTCAGGGGCCGGAGGGGAGGGGAAAAGGGAAAATGTCCGGCTCCGACCCGAAAACCCGTCTAATAAACCCGGCCCGTGGACGTCCCCAATTCCGCCAGCTTCTTGGGCTAAGAAGGCTGGCTTCCGCCCCAAGTTCTCCGGCGAGACCATTGCCAGCGATTCCGGCCCAGAGAGCACAGGGATGCCCAGCCCGATCTCGAGGCCGGGCTGGCGCCGGCGCCAGCAGCAGTTCCGGGTTCCTGGACGGGCAGTTGCTGTGAATGGGGGCACGGAGACGGTGGTGCCACCGTCGGGAAATAATAATGATAAGGATCAGCCAGTGAAGAAGAGGAGGGATTCCGACGGTGGGGCTCAGCCGTCGGGTGGTCACGGAGGAGTAAATGGGCATTCAGAAGGTGGGACGAGGAGAGCCATGAGGAATGATGAAGTAGTTGAAGTTTTGCCTCAGGAAGATGAAGGTTTCCCGGCGAAGCATTCGCATATGAAGTACGAGTTAAGGGACACGCCGGGCCTTGGTAAGCTCTGCGTGAACCAGTGTCCTGAATCCTGATTGTTTTCCCGGGGGGAATTTTCTATTAAGTTAATCTGAACCCGTGAACCGGTTAATTTGATTTCGCAGTTCCAATTGGTCTCAACGGATTGCAGCATTACATCTCCATGTTAGGGTCGTTGCTTCTAATTCCGCTCGTCATTGTTCCAGCAATGGGTGGCACCCAAGTGAGTAAAATTGGGAACTAGTTCTCATCTTTGGAAGTCCTAACTGATGTGGGATGGTGTTATTCTGACTGGATATAGTTGGTGTAGGAGGATACTTCAATGGTGGTGTCGACAGTGCTATTCATTTCAGGGGTCAGAACCCTTTTTTCATTACGTCTTTCGGATCGAGGTTGCCGTTGATACAAGGTCCATCATTCGTTTTCCTAGCTCCAGCATTAGCCATAATCAACTCCGCGGAGTTTCAAGGTCTAAATGGAAATGTATGTTATATTCAGCTTCTTAATTACAGTCTCTAGTTGGATTTCACTGCTCAGTTGTGTGGAGTTTTTGAAAGTTGATTAATTGTGTAGCAGAATTTCAAGCGTATCATGAAGCGGTTGCAGGGTGCTGTTGTTATAGCTTCAGCCTTTCAAACGATACTTGGATATACTGGCCTCGTGTCTATAATCTTGAGGTACTACTATCCTTTACAGTTGTTAAGAATGGAATCATTGTTCTGGTTTACAAATTGCAGTGGTTTCCTTTCTTGGAAGTGAGTCCATTCTATTCTTTTCTTTTTCGGGTTGATCAATCCTGTAGTTGTTGCTCTGACCATAGCAGCTGTTGGTCTTTCTTTCTATAGCTATGGTTTCCCGTTTGTTGGTACCTGTATCGAAATCGGAGCTGTGCAAATATTATTCGTCATCATCTTTTCTCTTGTAGGTTCAGCAAGAAATATAGCCCGTAATTTACTTCAGCTACCGGCTGTGTTCTTCTTTCCAGTTTCCACCTTGTTATCATCTCAGTCACAGTTATAACATCTCACTTATCGCTGAACATTAAGTTATCTTTCTTAGTATTTGTGATGGCTCTTTTTTCATTTGGCAGTACCTCCGAAAGATATCAGTATTTGGTTACCGCATATTCCTGATCTATGCGGTAATAAGTTTATACTCTTAATCTTTTGCACTCCCCTGTAACCATTTATAAGAGTAACGTTATAGCTTTTATCATTCTCTCTCGGAAGGTTACTAATGTGATAGCCTTCTGTGCTTGAAACAGGTTCCGCTAGCTTTGGGTATCACATGGGCTATGGCTTTCCTCTTGACAGAAACAGGAGCCTATAGTTACAAGGGGTGCAATGCGAATATTCCTGCGATCTATGGCCTTTTACCCTCCTATTTTCCTGCCTTTAATTTGAAACTGTTGCTAATGCATAACAGGAAAAGTAGGGGGGGTTTATCGCTTCGATCCCACAAGTCATGGTAGCAGCTCTACTCTGTTTCATGTGGGCAATGCTAAAAGCTTTGAGATTGTCGAATCTACGATATAGCGAGGCCGGAAGCTCCAGGAATATCATCATCGTCGGGTTATCATTGTTCTTCTCGCTTTCTGTACCTGCATACTTTCAGCAATACGGTGTCTCTCCAAATAGCAACCCGTCTGTCCCCAGCTATTTTCAACCGTATGTCGTAGCTTCTCACGGTCCAATCCGCACTACGTTTGGAGGGGTATGCTTTTACACTTTCATGGTCTAGTTCTTTCCGCCTAGCTCTGTCAATCACTTCCTGACGGGCATTTCCATCTTTCTTGCAGTTGAATTATTTCCTCAACACGCTACTCTCGCTCCACATGGTGGTTGCCTTCATCATGGCCGTGATCCTGGACAACACGGTGCCAGGTAGCCGGCAAGAACGTGGCGTATACGTGTGGTCCGACTCCGAAACAGCAAGGAGGGAGCCTGCTGTGGCCAAGGACTACGAGTTGCCCTTCAGAGTTGGCCGGCTTTTCAGATGGGTCAAGTGGGACTACGAGTTACTTTTCAGAGAGTGAAGGAAGAAACAAACAGAGGAGTAACTCACTCTCAAATGGGGGTTGGACGACTCTGCAAGTCCCTTTTGCAGCTGGCTTTTTGTTTGGTGAAACTAGTGCACAGCAGATTTAGCTGCAACTGTGTCAGTAGGTTTTGGAGAAGAGAAGAGCACCTTAGCTTGCTAGCAAAGTTGGGGACAGTCGATTATAGGTAAGTTACAATCCTAGTTTTCTCTGTACATTTTCATGGATCCATTGATGGATCTAACCGTGTTGTAATTTCAATCTCTTAAAACTTTTTTTTTTATAAATTCTGGCCTGTTCATGTATGTATATTAGTTATAGTCTTCTTGATTCATTTGGGGGCAATGTCTGGGGGGAAGGTAGAGAGAAAATGAGGGAGATATTCTGTTTTTAGATCTGTATATTATTATAAAGAGAAATCCCTATATGATTCCCAGGAACAGTTTGTTCTCTACTGTCTAGTTTCTGCCCACAAAAATAGAAGAGTTATTATTTGACGCTCTACCAAAGCATCATGTTTTTGTGTTTGGTGTACGTAGTAAACCAAAACATTTTGGACAACTACTAGACTTTAGGATTATGTACAGTACCATGACAGCCACCTCAAAATATGTATAGTTTAAATGTCTTGTAAGAGAGCTTTAACTTCTCGATGAGTGGTATTGGTATGTATTTAATATTTATGTTAAGGGTTTGTTGTAAGCTAACTATATTAGGTGTAAATATAAAGATTTTATTATTAGTTTGGGAGTGGTGGATAGTCAACGCGGCATGCAGTGGGTTTGACTTGACTAGGCCGAAGATCTGACGACTGATAAAGCCCCGTAACCACCGAGGAAGATCCAAAGCCCAATCTCCACCGTTGGTGGATCTGTCTACCAACAACAATGGATGAGGGGAGCTTAATCTAATCTAATCATCATCAAATACTGGAATTTAATAATAAGCTAAATGTCACATTTGGTCACTGAGATTACTAAATTGTGCCATGTTTAGTCACTTGAAAATTTTAATATCAATTTTGGTCACTCGAATTACTGAAACATGTCACATTCAGTCACTCTCCCGTTAGCCACCGTCCAACTTCGGTCACTCGAATTACTGAAACATGTCACATTTAGTCACTCGAATTACTGAAACTGGTCACATTTAGTCACTCTCCCGTTAGCCTCCGACCCTCCGTCCAACTCCATTAATAGAGTTGGACGAAAACTAACGAGAGAGTGACTAAATGTGACATATTTCAATAATCCGAGTAACCAAAATTGATGTTAAATTTTTTGAGTGACTAAACATGCACGATTTAGTAATCTCAGTGATTAAACGTGGCATTAACCCTTAATAATAATAGGGGATTCCATTCCTCTAAGTGGGTTGCTGAGTTGTTGCGTGGAAAGAACAGAAGAGGGAAATCAATTCAACTCTCCACATAGTAATTAACCAACAACAAATACCTACATTTGTTTTGTTGATTGAAAACGCCACATCATCAGTGTGCGTGTGTGTGAAACCAGGGGATACCCATTGAGAATCTGCTGTATCGAGGAAGTTTATTGGTAGATTAATTCGTGTTGTTAATGGTTGCTTAAGAAGTCAATGTGTATTTATCGAATTTAAATATGCATATTAAGACGAAACAAAAGGTGTTAATATGTGTGTATAGATATGTGACGAGCCAATGAGGAGTCTGTATAAACCGCATGTCCATGCTCAGAGTACGTACGTGCGTACGTTATCAAACTTCAAATAAGTGTATAAGTTGATATTCGTTTGAGAAACGTGCAATATGCGTACGTACTGCATAGGAATTAGGAAATTATATAAGATCAATATTTGACGACATCCCTCAGCATTTGAACAAGAAGTTCATTTTGAAATCATCGCATCCACTGCATGTATACGTATATTAAGACAATTTGGTTTCGACGCGGAGTACTGATCAAATCGACATTTCTAGAACCAAGTTAATTAAACCTAGCAAGGTGCATCATAAGATGTCGTGCTTGGACTCCATTTTCAGAATTCACCAGTTGTTAGATGATTAGGATGACGCAATCCATCGGCTGAAGTCGGCAAGAGCAAGAAAGATATAAGAAAGTCCAAAGACAAAATACCAGCTTCCCAATTATAAGTCTTCAGACTCTTCTCCATTTAACCAGGATCTAATTACTAATTGATTGTGCCCCAAAGTTTTCTTAATGAATGATGATTTGTGAACTAATCAACATCACCCACTAAGAAATAGGAAGGATTTGCAAATAATGATTTGGAGTTCTCACCAACCCTCTCTCACTATATTTCAAAGTAGTGCACACACAAGTTTCAACACAATTTTGGGCTGGTTAGACAATTAAATCCGCCATATAAAATATAAATAACTTAATTATTGGGAGCGCCCTAAATAGTAAATACCTATCAATATTGAGAGGATGATGAGGATTCAAATATGATACCTCTCGACCAGTTGAACGCTCGGATACAATCAAGAACTTTTAATCATAATAAATCAACTTGTTGGAGGATGCACACAAATGAAAGTTTTAATCATAATAAATCAACTTGTTGGAGGATGCACACAAATGGGTACCTTAATTCGGAACAAATTGACTTGTTCTGGGTTATTCTTTCGTCAAAGCAATGGAACAACATTTACTATAATGGTAGAGGACGAGCACTACTCGATCTCTGTAACACTTCATCAAAAGTTCGAACCATAATTCGATACGGAATACATGAATCAAAGAGGCTAACATAAATGAACAATGCACAAATAAAACAGAACTGAATGAAGTCGGGTGGAGAGATTGAATGATCAGTAATTATTTCCAAGTGTCACAATGTTATGGAAAGAGGCATATATTATTTGATAAAAAACAACAAGAAACTGAAGATATCTATTCTAAACCTAACTTGTCGACCCATCTATGGCTACCTAGTACTGGGCCACTCATCCCATAACGGCTGATCCTCCTACATACATAGAGATAGAAGAGCTAAAATTAGTGGCCATCGACTATATCTTAGCTGCTTTCAGCTGTTCATCAGACCAAATTATTACTCTGTGAAGTACAACTAAGGGTGGAGTTTCAGTTACCGATTTTTCGGTTAACCGATAGGTTAAACCGATAACTGGCCGATTATCCACTAACCGATATAACCGAAATTCGATCGGTTATTGGAGGCTTGACTAGATGGTTTTGATCCTGAAGGAGGTGCGGTTAATCGATAATCGAGATAATCGAAGCCTATTTCGATCGGTTGTCGGTTGGGGGTCGGCCTTTCGGTTAATCGATAACCGACCGTTCGGTTACCGGTTATAACCGAAAATCCACCCCTGAGTACAACCATCTTTCAGGGCTTTAGACTTTAGACAAAGGTAGCTATAGTTGATGGATGAAGAACGTTAAACTCGTCATTCATATATGTTTGGATTGATCGAATTCCCTCATGTCCCACAAATTCCTTTCTCTTTCGAGGCTAAAGGATGCATGCGTAATTTTCTACGGCTTGTTTGCTTGATGGATTTGGTGAAGGATTTAGTAATGGATTTGGGTGCATGATAGACGTTGTCCAAAATTCATTGTTTGCTTCGAGTATTTAGAGGTAACAAATCCATGGGCCCCACGGACTTGAAAATCTCACCTCTTTAGGTGAGAATTGATCATGGACTTTGAAGTCTTATCATTTCTTACCAACTTATCCCTCGTATTTTCTTTCTCTTCTTATATCTTTGAGGGCAATAAAGGTAAATTTTACTCCATACATATAAATTTAATTAACAAAATTCATAATGAAATTCATGAAACAAAAAATGGTGTTTTTCAAATTCATAATGAACCCAAAACCCTCATATATCCATGATTTTTCAAAACCCAAGATATACCAGAACTTTCAGTTTTCAAATACACAAAGCAAACGCACCCTAAATAGGCTTAGGTGTTACTTCTACTCCTATGGGCTTGCTTTGCCCAAAACCTAGATAATAAGTAAAAGGCAACCTTGCTCTAGAAAACAAGTTCAAAAGTAAAGCCTTTTGTTTCTTTTGTGGAATTATTTTTATGTTCCCAAGTTCGCACGTATGGACAAGGATGATTAGGGTCGGGGTTGGGTACCGGGTGAGTTTCAAGCGCAAACTAACAATTCCGTTTACTATCGAGTTGGTGTAATTGCAACCTGCTATCCACCAACATGTATCTTTGTGTTGGGTTAGATGAATGATAGATGGGTGAGGCTGGGTTGTGGGTTACCCCCAAAAATGATTCTTCTTCCCCTAGCCATGGGACAAGCTGATCGAGCAACGTTTATAATAAATTTCTCCCGACAAGATGGTAGCAATTAAACACATCCTTGTTGTATCTTACGTGGATCCGACTAGTACTTGTGACTTGTAAAGTTTTTCATTACTGATACCAATTTTTCAATTGACCCATTTAGATGTAAGTATTCGTTGAAATAGAAAAGGTCGCTAAGTAGTAAGTACATATCGTAGAGATCAAAGTCATTTACACATGTGAACCCCACTCTCATTTGTCAAATGTATCAATCCTTCAGTACTCCGCATTAAACCAGATGTATAAAATACTGTTTCTTTTGACAAATTCGATACAATCTAATTGTCTGCAGCTGCATCTCAACATCCAATGAACATTACACTACAAAATAACCAATAATCCTTTGCTGTGTGAAACTGGAATGCATTTCATTAGAGCTCAAGCTCAATTGGTACTCATTTCACCCATCCACGGGTAATTAGTGCGACTCATAACCAAATTATTGGCAAAAATCTATGCTTGGGTTACAGCATTTCACCCCAGCCATCTAAATCCAATCTCAATATTTACCGGGTGCAGACACTTATCGACCATCGTATTTTATTTATTTAATTTTCCTAGCCTGGTCTTAGGAGACCTTATATTTTGTTGTATCTTTGCTGCTTTCCTTTTGGATTAACTATGGCGCAAAAAAAAAAGATAGATTTTAAACCGTTTCACCAGTGTTATTAACTCCTCCAATCAAGAAAAATCAATCTACTAAAACATGTAACATACCCCACATATAATAGTACACTGAACTGAGTATTCATTGTATAAGTAATAGACATGTGCCACATCTACCCATCACACAACAAATGCTTGAAAATTAGCCATTCATCAAGTTGGGATTTAAAATACGATTAGTAATTAATTAACTACTAATCGCAATATAATAATAAAAAAATTGTTTAGAGAGAGAGAGGATGAGTGAGAGGGGGTAGGTGTGAGATTTTGACCAAACCAACCTCTCAAACCTTCCTTCCTTCCTTCCTTCTTCCTCTCCTCTTCCTTCCCCTTTCCTTTTAATCCTTTCCTCCCATTTAAATACCCCTTCCCCCCCTTCCTTTTCTCCTCAGCTTCGCGTTCCCGAGAACAACAAGCTGAACAACTATAACACCAAAACAAAAATTACAGTTCCGATAGCGTATATCTCTCTTTACTCTTCCGCTTCTACAATTTCCGATTCCGGTAGCGAAAATTTGAGATATGCAGTCTCTATCACCGCCTCCGTCGTCTCTCAACTCCTCGTTATCCGGAACCAACCGCCACCGTCCCTCCTCCTCCTCCGTGGCGGGACCAACCGTCGTCCGCTGCATCCACCGCTCCTACGACTCCGTCAACTTCCCCGCCGGCGCCGTCCGCAGCAGATCCGACTGGCAGAGCTCCTGCGCCATCCTCTCCAGCAAAGTCGCCGCTCAGGAGCAGCATTCCGATTCCAGATCTGGACGAGACAATAACGGACTCGATTCCATAGCTTCGGTCAACGGCCACAAGACGATTGACCTGGATTTGGTCCCGGCCGACGGTACCGCGACCGTCGTCGGCGGAGACAGCAGCATCAACAACAACGACAGGCCGTTGCCGATGCAGAGGCCGTTGACCATCACCGACCTCGCTCCAGCTCCGATGCACGGCGCGCAGCTGCGAGTCGCCTACCAGGGAGTCCCCGGCGCGTACTCCGAGGCGGCGGCCGGCAAGGCCTATCCGCAGTGCGACGCCATTCCTTGCGACCAATTCGAGGTCGCTTTCCAGGCGGTGGAGCTCTGGATTGCAGATCGAGCTGTTCTACCAGTGGAGAACTCTCTAGGCGGTTCGATTCACAGGAATTACGACCTCCTCCTCCGCCACCGCCTCCACATCGTCGGAGAGGTCCAGCTCCCCGTCCACCACTGCCTGATGGCGCTGCCTGGGGTGAGGAAGGAGTACATCACGCGCGTGATCTCCCACCCGCAGGCGCTGGCACAGTGCGAGCACACGCTCACCAAGCTGGGCCTCCAGGCGGCGCGTGAGGCGGTGGACGACACGGCGGGCGCGGCGGAGTACATCGCGGCGAATGGGCTCAGGGACACAGCGGCGATAGCCAGCGCGCGCGCGGCGGAGCTGTACGGGATGCAGATCCTGGCGGACGGGATCCAGGACGACTGCGGGAACGTGACGCGGTTCGTGATGCTGGCGCGTGAGCCGATCATCCCGAGGACGGACCGGCCGTTCAAGACGAGCATCGTGTTCGCCCACGATAAGGGGATGAGCGTGCTGTTCAAGGTGCTGTCGGCGTTCGCGTTCAGGAACATCAACTTGACGAAGATCGAGTCGCGGCCGCACCGGAACCGGCCGGTCCGGCTGGCGGGCGACGGCGCGAGCGAGGGTGGGACGGCGAAGCACTTCGAGTACCTGTTCTACGTTGATTTCGAGGCGTCGATGGCGGAGGTGAGGGCGCAGAACGCGCTGGCGGAGGTGCAGGAGTTCACGTCCTTCTTGCGGGTGCTGGGGAGCTATCCCATGGACATGACCCCATGGTCGCCTTCCGGTGGGGATTAATTGAACCAACCCAGCAAAAAAAAAAAAAAAAAATAGACAAAGAAATTTTATTTGCTGGAAAAAGTGTTGTTTATTATTTGGCTTGCACATAGAAGGGAAGTTGGACTTAATTTGGGTGGGGTTTTAGATCCATTAAATGGGTTTAAAATTGGTTGGAAGGATGACAAAGCTGATGTGGTAATTATTGCTTGGTTATTGAAGTTGTTGAGGGTAAATATCTTTTTTTTTAATCACGATTTTAACTTACTAGTTACGTCTGCTATACGATTACCTGTATGACTAGTTCGATCGAACAAAGTTTACTATCGAATTATAAATAGAGATGATTTTAACGGTATGAAACAATTAAATTATAATTAAATAGTAGTTAAATCATAAAAGCTCGACGTATTGTCATTGCCAGAGCAGAGTGGGTGTAGAAAGCAAGCATATAACATGTACAGAAATTAAAAACAAAAATACTAATATTCGATAGGTGACGATTAGTGTATTTAGGTTTTAAGGGTATATTGTGTAATTAACCATAAAAAATTGATGATGGGGATCTCAAATCTGATCTCCATTTAGCTCTATATGCACCAAACTTTCTCAGCGTATTGAAATATGGAGTGGTTGAAGTATGTGTTAGAAACCGAACAGAAAAATTAGGGTTACCGATCTGTCTGAGTCGCGGACTAGGTCGCTCTCTTTAAGACGTTCGCGGCACTGCTTCGTATTGCGCACAGCAGACTATCAGCCGGTCGCCTCCAGGATAAAACAGCCACTCTAATTTTGTTGCTCATCAGTTTTATGCGTCTCCTATTTATAGGAGCAGAAAACCCAGAATATTCTCTCTTTTTTGGGAATAAGTCATATTTTAATTAGGGAGATAATTACTCCCATAATTAAAATATAATCTATTAAGATAATTATTCCTAATTATCTCCATAATATTCTTTTTATTAATTATCCATCTTATTTATGTATTTTGGAAAAATACTGGATAATTAATTAGGAATTTCATTTATAACTTTTCAAAGCTATTCATCCCATCAGTATGTACTTGGCTTCTTAATTGGTTGGATCTAATTAGTCTCTTTTTATATAGGATTATTTATCTATTAATTATTTGCTTAAAATCCCTCCTAGAAGATCATAATCTTGGACGCAGCCTGCTGCATGTATGACCGAGTTAATTATGAAACACAGATAATGATGTGTGTAATTATAAATAGTTCCAAAGATTCTTCTCAAGTTTCATGCCGAGGATCATTAGTCACTAATTAATTTTTTTCTAGTTTTCTGTTACATCTACAAGTGAATTGGTGGATTTGCATTTCCTAATCTCTTTAATTTTAGAATTTGCAATTGAGATTGATAAAATAGGAATTATTAGATTCTTACAAAATCCTCATTTTATGGAGAATTCTGGAGATGGGTTATATTTTATGTCCTTTTTTATAGTGTACTCATATGTTTTACTAAAGTAAAATAAAATATATGTCCTTTTTTTTATAGTGTACTCATATTTTTACTAAAGTAAAATAAAATATATGTCCTTTTTTTATAGTGTACTCATATTTTTACTAAAGTAAAATGCTCATTAACAGGAAGAAAATCACAATTAATCTTCAGAAGGGGGAAAATTATAGATTTTGTTGAGAGTGGGATTTGAACACACGCCCTTTCGGACCAGAACCTTAATCTGGCGCCTTAGACCAACTCGGCCATCTCAACTTGATGTCCAAATTTGTAAGTTTACCGGTTATGTTGATTTAATCTAATTTCTTCAACCTACTGTTTGTAATCCCCTAATTGTAATTGTTACTCCCAAATAAGTTCACCAACATGCTCGTGTTATTCTCTCCTCTGTTCCCATTGGCAGCTTCGGATCCAAAACTCAGAAGAGCACTGGGCCGCATTTCATTAGAAAATTAAAATAATAAAAGAAATGATTATAGTTTTTTCACAATGTAAACTGTACACGACGGTATCTTAATTTAGTGAATGCATCAATAATGTAGTTCACATCCAAGCGTATCAGCTAACATGGGGCTATCCGTGCCCCCGCCGGCTAGTGGCGCAACCACAGCCGGCATGGAGAGGAAGGACGAAACCCTAGAGCGCTCTTCGCAAGAATTTTCGCCGCTCCAAAATTTTCAGAGCGCTTTCGTTGTTCGGAATTTTAGCATATTTTCAAGTATTGTGTCTTGTATTAATAAAAACCAATTTTCTGAATTATATGTAGTTACTATTACTAAAAGAGTAGCGAAATGATTATCAAAAGAAAAAGAATTTTTGGGAAATGAGAGGTGGCCTGGCCACTGGGCACTGGCCAGTTCAGATTTGGGTCAATTCAAGCCCTAATGCGTTTGGGCTCGGTCTATTGAACTCGGAAAGCGTTTGGGCCATACTAAAATTTCGTTTGGGCCCAGCGAAAATGAAAATCCAATTTACATTCCTCTTTATTTTTTTTGTTGCAGAAAAAAAAAAAAAAAGTCATAGCTGAGGTCTAACCTCCTCTCCTCTCAGTCTCATTTCTGCTGCCGCATTTAAAAAATTTGTCCCTCAGCTTCAGTTACTACTCTGTAACCTTCACCTAGCAATCTTATCTTCTTCCTCTCCACTTCCATCAATGGCGAACGACGACGGCGATTATGAATACGAGCAAGACGAGCAGCAGGAGCAAGAAGGAGACAACTCGGATGACGAGAACAACGAAGCCCGCTCCTCGGACTCGGATTCCGAGTCCGAGTACAGCGAAGACGACTACACCGCCGTCGAATCCGCCGACGGGACGGTCTCGTACGTCCGCCCTGGCGACGAGATACCGGAGTCGCTGAACACTCCGGAGATCAACATCCCCCGCTTCAAGGCCTTGCTGGACAGCAAGGCGATGAAGAAAATGGAGGAGGAAGAGGACCGGGACTACGTCGTGTGGGAGGACATTTGGGATTTCCCTCCCGATAGGGAGAATTGGAAGGAAGAGGATTTGCAGGAGCTCTGGGCGGATGCTCCGGTGGGCATGACCAAGCCCGGTTGGGACCCGGCTTTGGCTGACGAAGAGGATTGGAAAGTTGTCAAGGAAGAGATGAAGGAAGGGAGAGACCCCCACATTGAGCCGTTTTATGTTCCTTACAGGAAGCCTTATCCTGTTATCCCGGATAATCACTACGATATCCAGACTCCGAAAGGTGTGATTGAGGAATTGGATAGGATTGAGGAGTTCCTCACTTGGGTTAGCTACGTTTTCGAAGATGGAAGCACGTAAGTTTGTTTATAATGTGAAATGCTTGTGGAAACGGTTTATTTGGATGATGTGTGTTGTTGAATTGTACTTGGTCAATTTTGCTGAAGTGTAGCGAGCAATGTCTGATTTTGTAGTGCAATTTTGTTTAATTGTACTTTGGGAAGTCCTGCTTAACCTTAAAGGGGTCCTTGTGTGTTTGCCATTCGCTATATTGGTCCAAATGTTCCTTTTGAGAGTTCCTGAACCTGTCATTTGGAAGCATAATGGACCCAATTTCTGTTGAGATGGGAATGGTTTTGGAAGTGAGATGAGTCTAATGCAAATGTGTTTCGAGATCTGATTGATGTTTTATATTCATTATATATGTTTTGCTTCATTGAAGGTATGAAGGCACTGTCTGGGATGACCTGGCTCATGGGAAAGGTGTCTATGTAGCAGAAGAAGGCCTAGTCAGGTACGTGAACTACGTCTTAGAGTTAGAACTTCTGTGTATGTGTGTGTGCTTTGTACTGGGGTCTACTACTGTAGCTTGGCAGCAGTAAAGCACAACAGCGAGTAAAATGAAACATCAAGTTGGATGTGGTGTTGGCAAGCACCCATGATAAGCTAAAACAGCAGTATATGGCAGAACTTTTTTTCTTCCACGAAATGCTGGAATGGAATGCAAGGATAAACTAGCATCTTTAGGAGGCATAAGTTATTTTAGGTTCAAGAGGGTTTAGAGGAATTGGGAATATTCTGTCAAACGAGAATCTTGACGTCTTACTTTCTTCTTCTCAACTGAAATCTGAGTTCTCTATTCATCTTCTTACATTTCCAGATTTGTACTTGGTACCATGACTCTCCTACAGGCTACACCTATCTAATTTCCTATATCTGACATGCTAGTTGGTAGGTTATTTAATGACATGCTGAGGTTTGTTGAATTTCTTATTGTGTAGATATGAAGGTGAATGGCTTCAGAATGACATGGAGGGTCATGGAGTTTGTGAAGTTGATATACCTGATATAGAACCTGTGCCAGGTTCCAAGTACGTACTTATCTCCATATGTTTGTCATCATAATCAGTAATGCGTTGAAACAAAATAAAGTAGCTAGAACTAAACAAAGCAAGTCTTCCATTTCCCTAGGCTTGAAGAAAAGATGCGTGCCGAAGGACAAATAATTGGAAGAGATTTTATGTCACCAGAAGACAGAAAATGGCTGGAGATGGATGTAGAAGACAGCATGCAATTGGCAGGTGGACAGTATGAGATACCCTTTTATGAGAATGAGGAGTGGATCAAACAATTTGGCAAGAAACCGTGAGTTTCCTTGCCGAGCATACTCTATTTCACCCTTCTAGTTCTTGTTTTAATCTTGTACTTGTATTTTTCATGTTGCACAATACTGTTTTTGGATGTTAGCTTGAAGCATCCCTTTCTCTTAGCATTAAATTCTTTGTATAAGATGACTCCATAGGCTTCTTGCTTAATATTTACACTTCCCTTGTGGTTTATCGCCCATAAGAGATGGTACTTGGTAGTTTAATAGTCTTGAAGCTTAGTAAGACCCAGACGATAACTTTGCTGAAAAGGTCATGCTTCACATTGGTTGGTGCTCAGTGTGAGATTAGATATTAATAAGCTTTCTGGAAAAAGCTTTTATCACCGGACTTATGGTGACAGTCATAATCTTTATTTCTCAGGGACAAAGGACGATATCGATATGCTGGCCAATGGAAGCATGGCAGGATGCATGGATGCGGTGTCTATGAATTGAACGAGCGTATCTTATATGTAAGCCCATTAAATACACACCATGTTTGAGCTCTTCATCTTTATGGCTCAATGTAGATTAGGCTAGTATGAAATAAGTGTTTCTGGAGCATATCAGTATGTACATTTTAACTGTTGCACAATGCACTTTCTTTTGACCTACTAGCAGTGTATTGGTAACAAATGGTTAGAAATGATTACTGCTTGGAATAGCAGTAATTCTCTTGGTTCCCTACTGCAAAATATAGATTCCAGCCTTTTCCTTTTATGCCAGTGACTAACTGTTTTGTCTGCCTACAGGGAAGGTTCTATTTTGGAGAGTTTGTAGAGGAAGCAACCGATTGCACTGAAGAGATTTCAGGGGTACGGAATATTTTCTGGTCATCTTGAGAGAACTTTCAGGTTTTCTCCTGGGTATATTCTTAGCAGCATGCTCTTTCAGATGCATGCAGGAATAGCAGAGGTAGCTGCTGCAAAGGCTCGAATGTTTGTGAACAAGCCAGATGGAAGTATGTGTTATTGAACCCACTGAAAGTCGTTCGAGTAAGAAATACTGTTGCGGGTTTTAAAAATGAAAATGTTACAGGCAGTAACCTAGTCCATCCATTACTGGTAGCTTCTATTAATTGTTGTATCTTTGTATTTGATTATGTGAAAGTGAAATATTTAGACAGGTAGCCTGGCTTGTTGTCAAGCTGCTGGGGACTTGAAGAGTTACATCAGTAAATAAAATCAACGGACTAGTATATCTAGTTGAGTCATTAATATGTTGAAAAACGAAATGTGTATGTTTTGTATTTTACTTTACTAACGGCTTACTCTTGTTCTGTGGCATCTCATATTTTCTATATCTTGGAATTGCATTGCCATAGTGGTCAGGGAAGAAAGAGGTCCATTTAACGACCCACAACACCCATACTTCTATGAAGATGAAGATGTGTGGATGGCCCCCGGTTTCATTAACCAGTTCTATGAAGTAAGGATTATCTTGTTACAGTTGTTTAAAAGAGATGCAGAAAATTATAAACGAAATTTTTGATGTTGCAGGTCCCTGATTACTGGAAAAGATATGTGCAAGACGTCGATCAAGAGAGAGAAATGTGGTTAAATTCCTTTTACAAGTCTCCACTGAGGTTACCTATGCCTGCTGAGCTTGAGTACTGGTGGTCACAAGGTGCTTATAATATTTTTAGTCCTTCAATGCACTATAAAAGTGACATGCCCCATGCATTTCCCTTGCATGGTTTTTCCTTCTTAATTCTATTATTTGCAATGAGCGAGAATGGAGAGAAATCAAAAGGCACATTTTTTTAATGCGACTATGTCAAGCTTTTCTTCCTTTATAATGCTGTATCTTGGCTTTGGTTGCTTTTATCTCGACATAACATACTGCAAAATGTAAAGATTACCCTGGTGAGCTAAAGACATTTTCCTAGAAACTAAGTCCCTTGTACAGTATTCTAATATTGTGGTAGACTCCATTACACATTCCTTAGCCAATAATTATGTTCAGACGATCAGCTGGTTTTTCGGGCAGTGACATGCTGGAATATTCAGAATTTTTCTCATCTTGTTGTTAAGATAGGGTAATTTTTATTTCTTTCCTGTTCAATGGATGTTTCTTTATGTGACAAACAACTGAGTTCAGATCCTTAAGGCAACAATCTGAGTGTCCTCAGTAGGCATGTGTCTGCTCTTTCATTCTTTTTCTTACCTTCTCGGCTCTTACATTTTTTCTTAAATCATTTGCCAGATCAGAAGCCTGAATTTGTTGTTCTTAGCAAGGAACCAGAAACAGATTCGAAGGACCCATCGAAGCTCATCTATACTGAGAATCCTGTCATCTTACACACACCAACTGGGCGTATAATTAATTTTGTGGAGGATGAAGAACATGGTATCCGCATGTTTTGGCAGCCAGCAGATGGGGAAGATGCAGACCCCAGTAAACTTCAGTACTTGCCCTTGGGGTTTGATGAATTTTATGGGAAGGAAAACGACGAGCAAAAAGAAACAAAGCAGCAGCGTGTTCTGGCATCAGTAGAGAATGCGGCGAAGCAGATGATTGATAACCTGGACAAATGGGCGGAAGAAAAGACGAAAGATTATGAAATGAAAAAAAAACTGATTGAAAAAGAACTCGAACTATCGGAGGCCGAAATACTTCTGGAAGACGCAATTGATAGCATTGATGAGGATTTGGAGTTGGAAGAGATAGAGGAAGAAGAAGAAGAGGAGGTAGGGAATGAGAAAGAACCTGTGGATGAAGCTGAAAAGGCTGAAGTTGTTTCTGAAGATAAGGTTTCATATGAGAGAAAAGATATTTCTCCCTTGTCTAAACAAGACAAGGAGCCTTTAACTGATGATGATGGTGAAGTAGAAGATGAGGTGGAAGATGAAGAGGAAGAAGACGATGCTCCACCGTCGAGTTTTGGCTTTGTAACTCAATCTGATGAACCGAAACAGAACGGCCAGAAAGGAAATGGACCCGGGCGGTCTCCTTTCTCCACAGCATCATTGTTATTCACATCTTGCAGCCTGCTTTCAACAGTAAGTACCAAGTCTCATGTGCTTTTAATAGAACTGTTTCTGAATAGTTAGTGGTCGAAGGGGAATTAAACTTCTTTTCAAGGTTTTCACATTATTTTTCTGGGGTCCAAACTCCAAACCTTTGATATTAACGACTATGATAGTCGATCTTTTAGAAAATACATGAAATAGCCTAATTTATGTTCAAGTTTTGACGACAATAACAACCTTAGTGAAAGTAATAACCAACTTTGTGATAATAATAATAAGAGTCAACTTTTTTTTGAAAATAGTCAAATACACAATTTAGCGACATGGAATTATACCTCTATATACGCGGACCACTGTCTGTGTCAACCACATCAGCATTATCTCTAAATCTTTTATGTGTAATACAAAACAATTTTGAGTTTGGCTATCATTTCGAAAAGATTGGTTAGGTATTGTAAAACGGTGAAAGGTTTGGACATACCAATGTATTGAAACATTCCATTATATGCTCTTGCTTGCCTGACTGGGTTTGGTTAACAATGAGGTGGTCATCTTTGCTGCTCGGTTTTGGTTTAAAAGAAATCATTACACTTTCCTCCATGCAGTTTCCTGAGTTGTGTAGTTGCAGTATAACCTCTGGGGAATTCTTTGGTATGCAGGTTCCATCAAGGCTACAGAACACCTTTGTGGGCAGAAGTGACAGAAAATTGCAAGTGCAGCCGAGGAATCCTTGCTCGCATTCGAGGGAACCCAGCAGCAGGCCCTCGAAAATGGTGAGGTTCCCTCTTGTTCTTGGTGAGAAGGCAAAGTTAAGAGCTAACAAGAAACCTGCATCCGAGAAGTTTGGATCCAGAAACCGGTCCATGAGGACTGCTTCTTCTCAGTTACTTTCCTTATCCCGAATCCTCTCTCGGAATTCCCCTCCTGCGACAGAGGAAGGAACTAGTTCCAAGATGCAGAGGGGAGAACAAAGGCATAGTTGGCTTCATGCAGCACCAGAGACAGATTCAGACTGCATACTGTCGATCCACACTCGATTCAGTTTCCCCGAATCATATAGCACCACCGTCGCTACTTCTCCAGTCGTTGGAGAGCCTCCTTGCTCGACAATGACATGAGAGAGTTGTAATGGTGTGGGGCAGAGTTGTTGTATTTGCTTCTTAACTTTAAGAACAGCCTTGGTTCGAATTTTGAGAACATTGTATTATTTTGTCAGATGGAATGCTGAAAGAACAGCATGAAGTACTGTGTAGCTGAATGTATTCTCGATTCTGTTCTTTCCATTTTGTGGAAGGCATTTGGTGAATTATGGACCTAATGTAGAAGGAAGGGACCGGTTTTGGCTCTCGATTTCGTGAACGAATTCACTTTGGGCACCATTAGAGGTTGCATGGCCGCCATTACATAAGGCGGCGTGAAATACAAGAAACAGAGACACAACCACAGTGTTAGAGAGTGATATAAGATTCAGCATAACCTTGAACCTTCTCCCAACAACTGAAGTTATTGGGACCAACTAGTTTATAACGTGGTATCAAAGTCTATAACCGAAAGGTCATGTATTCAAATCTCCACGACCCCCAATATTAACCGTTGTCTTTCTAGCACATGGTATGGTGGGCCTGTGCAAACTTCAAGCCCATGGGTTGGCTTTCGTTTGAGGGGGCGTGTTAGAGAGTGATATAAGATCCGGCATAACCTTCTCCCAACAACTCCAGTTATTGAGACCAACTGTCCAACTGGTTTATGACACACAGAACAGAGCAATCACTATCGCCACCAGCAGCAGCAAGCCTTCGTAGATCAGTAAGAAGAATCTTGCACATATTATTGCTTGTTCAAGCTAGTGTTTGTGAAGGCAAACTGTATCGAAGGTTCGACTGGAAAAAATTATTGGAAATTAAATCGATAGAAGGTTTATAGTGGATATGAAACGGTTGTATCACAATTAAAATCACGATTTTCAACACAAAATATCATACCACTAACTTTTTTGATACAACCTCCGATATCGTATTATTACGACGAGGAATATGTGGTAGAGAGCATTATTGGTTGTAGACTGATTTTCTAAACCGTCGGCTTTCTGGTTGATGAAAGGAATTGAAAGGCCTTCAGTTCTTCTGGCCAGGCCATATGCATGCCCTACCAAGTTGCCCAATTTGGTGGTCACTGCTTCTCGTGAAGCTATACATGATGCACCGGTCGGTCGAATTTGGTCTCTAGCACCTAGTATTATTGCATACTGCAATATACCCAAACAACCCAAGGTTATGGCAGAACGATTTGTTCGGGTTATCACAATTTTGTGAAATCTCGGTAACGATTGGTATTGATTTGTATTCATGTTTAGATTCACGTTTCTTTTTTTTTTATCTGATCATATTAAGGGTACATTTACGTCATAATCTTTTAATCGATTGAATCGTCAAAATTTCAATTTGAGACAATCTCCAATTAAATGGATTCAGATCCTTGATGCTATCGCGTCCTATTGGTGTAATCTTAATGATTTTCCAAGAGAAAAATGTTTCAAATGTGAAAAAATGACCATATTATATATATATAGTGACTACTTCGGTGCACTCACAAAAATGAGTGCGTTCAATGCACCCAACTCAAAAACTAGTCTTAAGGTGTCGGATTTTGAATTTTAATTTGTAGAATTAGTGTAATATGATGATATAACATATGATAACAACTAATTAGCGGATTACCCTAAGCTCTAGACCTCCAATTTTGAGTTCTATCCCTAAATCCCAAATTATAAACCCTAACTCTAACCCTAAATCTCTAAACTCTAAATTCTTCAAATTAAAGTAAATCTTTAATGGTTTTTTGACCAAATTCATGTGCCTTATTGTTCATCACATTATAAGTGATGATTGACATCATTTTGACATAAATCGCATATTTAAAATAACAATTATGAAGCGAGTGCACTGAATGCACCCAAAAAACGCCATTATATATTCTCATCAAGAAGAAAGACAGAACATGGAACATGAGCGATAGTCAATTAGTCATGTGGTGTCTTCCCGATCAAACTTGGGTGCTTAACCTCAACTGTTTTTGTTTTGGTTCTCATAACTTGGTCGGGTCAGGTCCTAGCTTGCTTTTGTCATTTGATGTTACATACTTCAAGTGGCACTCTCTATGCAATCAATGTACATTCAACGTTTTCCCTACTTTTCTCTTTTTTGTTCTTTTGTTACTCTATTTGATCAATCAACTATTTTCAACGATATGGATGGACAACGTCGTTACGGTTTGTAGGATAAAAATCGATACAATATCAATATATCGTTATGAGATATTGAAATTTTGAATATTATATCGTGTCCTAAAACCATCTAGTCCTAATATGCAAATAAATTTGGCATTCTATTTCCAAAATATTTCGGTACAGTATCGGCAGTCTATTTCCATTAGCTGGTCGGTGGGACACAACAATGGACCCTAAGACTAACTCCAACCCTAGAGCTAAAAAACCATTTACCCATTTTTAGCTATTTTTTGGCGCTCCAACCCACACAATTTTGGAGAGCTAAAAATGGATATTAGTGAATTAGGAGCCAAATTTAACTTTCAATTGGCGGAAAAGTGAAAAAACGAAACTTTTTTTGTATCGAAATTAAAAAAAAATTACATCGCAAATTTTATTTTCAAAAGTAATAACCAACTATAAAAAAAAATTAAAGTGAAATATAAAAATTAAAGGTAAAATAAGTATGGTTTATTGAAATCAATTGAAAAAAGGGAGGTGGAAAGCTAAATTTAGCTTTTTGTCGGGTTGGAGTGAAAATGAGGTTTGGGGAGCTAAAAAACCATATTTGGCTATTTGAAGAGCCAAATTTGGCGTTATGGGTTGAAGTTAGTCTAAGGGACTAATGGACCTTCAAAATGCGACCCCAGGTCAGACGGGAACACCCGCTGAGTTTAAGCATATCAATAAGCGGAGGAAAAGAAATCGAAGCTTTTTTATATGGTTTAGGCTGGTAGGGCTTCATTCATGATTGAAAATCTTGGCGATGGAAGTTGACGATGAGAAAAGCCTAATAAGAGCTAATTAAAAATCCACATTAGATGGACTCGATCAAAGTTCTCATTGATCGGATTCATTCATAGATTTTGAGAGTTTGAAAGACTAGGCAAATAGTCTTGAACTATTCTTGAGCTAAGGCGGCGACAATGAGAATGGAGGAAGGAAATGATGACATCTCGTGCCCCAGCTAGGTAATTTTTAATTCGATAGATTAGAGGTCAAGAGATTATTGATGAGAGTATATGCTTTTGGTGTTTTGAAAATAGCATGAGTTTAAGTGAGAGATGTGAGTGATCGAGGAACCAAACTTGGATTGACCGGAGAATTGTGAGTTGTCAAAGTTTGAAGGAATCATGTATCACAATCCTAATTGTAAAAATGATGCATAATTCATATATTTGTGAATTTTCTAATACAGAGCCCAATTTTTTTTTAAATATACGCACTTTCTAATGAGACAAATGATGGACATCTCCAATTATTAGCAAACAATGGATTGGAACGAACATATGTTGCCTTCACTAGATGTGCACTGATTTGGGCGCCTCTTTTTTTTTTTTTTTTTTTTCGAGTTAGAGTCAATATAATTTATGGTTTTAAAGTTTGTATAGTCTTATCGTATTATATATCTAAACCGTAATAGATATGTGATGACAAAAGACTATCAAAACTTGTAAATATTGCAGGTTACCTATCAAAAAAAACTTGTAAATATTGACGTTGTCAAAGATCCTGATACGACTATGTCAATTGTGATATTCTGCAAGTAGAAACGAGGTGATCCAACGACCCTTACGACCTTACCTCCATTAATTCTGCTTACGAACCCACTGTCAGATGCATCGAGACATTTCCCAGCTCAGCCACTGCTCATAGATTCATAGTCATACCATTTCATTCCTCTGGTTTTTCTCCTCTCATTCCTATCCTCGGACGCAATAAAATCCAATACGTCATCGTTCCAAGGAATCGGTTCCTTCCTTAATTACTGAATAAACAAGATATTTAGCTGATGTGGGAAGCTTAATTATGCACTAATCAATGGCCTAATATATGCTTTGTCTTGACCAGTTACGTCAGCTTCAGTCCCCATCCGGCCACTAGCCTCTCTCCACGTCCTCCCTTCCACCGGCTACCGGCAAGCCCCACCCGGTGGAACGGTGAGTCACTCCGGCTCACTCCGGCTTCGACACGTGTAATGACGGCGCTAGATTACACCGCCGTTTCAGCTTACTCTCCCCTGGGCTAATTCTTTACTAACGGTCTCGCTATCTCTTACGGCGTCACCGTTCACTATTATTGCCGTTTAGTTTAACGATAAAACCTCCAATGACGCCATCCGTCCACCGTCCCAGGCCGTCAGTGTCAAACTTCAGCCGTTCAGCGGCAACGATAATGTTCCCCCCCCCCCCCCCCCCCCCCCCCCCCCCCCCCCCCCCCTCTCACACGTGCGAATTATTTTATTTTTACAACCACATAATTTGCAGAACCCAATCCGTAAATGAGCTCGTCCTAGGGCCCACGCCCATTTTTGACGGGCCTTAACGGTGGGCCACTCAATCGAAATGGGCCCACTACCGGCTGTACCCGGTAAACCGAGGTCTCGAGCGCCCGCTTTCCTGCCTTCTTCGATTCTCCTCCACTCCATTATAAAGCCGGCACAAATCCGCTACCCCGAATCAAAATTTGCTTCAATCTTCCTCAATCCGATTCCTTACGTCTCTCTACAAAATCCATCTCTCAGGTTATGCGAGCTGACGGCCGCCGGGGAATCGAGAGCCCGAGCTCCTCCGCCGCTCTCGCGTTCCCTCGCTTCCGCTTCTTCCGGTACCGCCGTTTGAGGTGAGAGAGATAGTCCGTCTTCTTCGACAACCGAACCAGCGAGCGATTCCGATTACGGAATCCCTAGATTTCTCTCTACAGGTTGTGTTTTGGTTTTTGCGAGTTTCTGTTCTATATGTCGTCGACGGGGAAGATTAACCGGAGAGGACCGGAGCCGACGGAGAAGACTAACAACAATCGCAAGAACCGGCTGACGGAGCGCGCGGTGTCGTTTCACGGGAAAATCGCGGAGCAGATGGCGCCGCCTCAGGCCGAGGCGAGGATGCAGAAGCCGAAAACCTTGCCGAACTTGCTCGCTGGACGAAACATGAATTCGTCGAGCGTGGAGATCCGGCCGCTCAAGCTGACGAAGCTGCTGCTCAACGTGACGGTCCAAGGGAGCGTCGGGGCGGTACAGATGCTGGTGTCGCCGGAATCGACGGTCGGAGATTTGATCGCAGCTGTAATCCGGCAGTACAGCAAGGAAGGACGGCGGCCGGTTATCGCGACCGATCCTTCCCGATTCGGCCTCCATTACTCGCAGTTTAGCTTAGAAAGTAAGATTTCGTAATCCCTAAGTTAATCAATTCAATCGCCGATTCCATTTTTCTTTTTACCAATTGCGTTAGCCGATTATGTTAATTTTTTTTTTATAACCTAGAATTGCGAAAAGATTGGAGACGTGGATGGATTTGATTGACTGACGGTGAATTTTGGATATTGTCCCCCAGGTCTGGACAGAGCAGAGAAGCTTCAAGAATTGGGGTCGAGGAATTTCTTCATGTGCCAGAGAAAAGCGGCGGCCGATTCCGGTAGCGGTGCGCCGCCGTGCTCGTCGTCTTCCTCTTGTTCGAATGAGGTCGAGAAGGCTGCGAGGAGCGGGTTTCCTTGGCTGAAATTCATCGACTTCCGGCAGTAACTCTCTTGGCGGCGCGGCCGGTTAACTGAATGATTGAGACGGTGGCAGGTTGTGGAAACGGTGGGCAGGGGAGTTGAACCTGCTGGAAAATGGTGGAGTCGAATTAGGGGATTTGGTTTAGGTAACTAAAAAATCGCAGTCGGTTGGAAAATTCTCTCCGTCATCAACAAAATTGGTTACTTGTAATCTATCATTTACCAATTTTTTAGGATGCCCATTCAAGGTATTTTTCAAGTGGATGGAGAATTATATTGGAGATAGAGGGTTCGGTTTAGTAGCATTTCAAGAACAGGTTGGTATCGTGATATGTGATACGATAACGATATTAATTTCAAAGTGTACCTATGTTTGAATTGAAAATTTCATTCATCTATGTATAGATAAATGTAAATTTGGAGTATCCTACTTTCCCGCAATTCACAGGGTTCAACAAGCAATCGATATTTCACGATCAAGGGTGTAGTATTATTTGTAGTAGTGGTCCTCTTGTCATTCTTTTACATATAATCGCATCGGTATACTCAATACTGTCAATAGACTTGACTTCTTTTGATTTAGAAACGACAGTGGGTAGGTCTGGGGTGGGTATCTCGATACTCATACTTGTTTCGTGGCAAATTGGATAATTTATAACGGGACGCGAATTAGGACAAGTCAACTCATATGGGTATGTCATTTTAAAGGAAACTAGTAAGAATATTCATTATTCATTATTTTTCATTAAAAACTCAAGAAACAAACTATAATATGATAAATGTAGTTAAATTATAGAAAATGTGAGGTGCTCAACTATTTATAAGTTGATTATTACTAAAATGTGAGGTGCTCATCTATTTATAAGTTGATTATAACTAAAATATGAGGTGCTCATCTATTTATAAGTTCATTATAACTAAAATATGAGGTAGCTAAGTAACTTGAGTAAAGTTACATGCATTTTAGGTTAAAACGGGTAGAGAACGAAGTCGGTCAGTGCAAGTCAGATCAATGAGAGTATCCATTTGCGTCCTGCCCCGCCTTACTCGTCCAAAATAAATCAACAGATCGAATAAAACGAGTTAAATCAAAATTGTAATTGCTAATTTGACGTGGGATATAAACGATTGCCTCGTCACGGAGGGTGATAGGATTAGGGATTAATTAGGATAACGCCAACCTCGATATTAGGCTATTGTTGAGGTTACCCGGCTAACTTATCCACTCCCACTAGGTAGGTAGTTTATGATTTTGGTTTACGCAATAACTTACTCACGACTAATCAACATATCGCCCTCTAAGTAATTAAAACTAATACCAAACGTATAGACAAAGTGTTGACAAGACAAAAACAATACAAAAGACAATAGAAGATTGATTCAATTAATTTTGCTTACCAACTGACATGCACGTACCTCCACCAACAGGAATATCGATGTTTTACCAATGTCTTGAGCCGTTACAAGAAATTCGTTGTTTCCAATGTATTGAACCACGATTTTTCGTTTGTCTAGTCGTTCAAGATGGATGGATGATATCACTCAGTTGTTAGTAGAACGTTAATTATTGATTTTATCACAATTCATTCAAATAAAACTAATGGATTTGAAATTTGCACAAAATTATTGTATATTATGCTTAAATCAATTGTTACATAAAGATGCAATGCATGCATTACCACCAGGGACATACCCAAGTTAGTGAAAGAGTTATTAATCCAAAATTCAAATTTGGGACAAAAAAAACTTTAAAGATGTAGTATTTAGACACTATACTATTTGATAATAGTTAATGATTTTGGTCTATTGTTGAATACCCTAAATAAAGTTATCTGGGTCCGTCACTGATTACCACTTGATCAAACCAACACCGATACCATAAAGAAAACATATTAACAAAGAAAAAGGGATATTAGAATTTACATTGTTTGCTTGTTCGATGGTTACGAGACTAGTCCATCGAGAACAACAACTCTCAAGTTCTATCTTTTGCTTTGATGTGTATTTCTAGCTTGAATGAGAACCCTGCCCGAAACTATATACATGAGCAAATCGAATAACGTACTCAAATTTAGTAGGAGAAAATAAAATCAAATTACTAACGATTCTCAAACTTATGATACTAACACTCCTCCGTACAAAGAAGGCATGAATATCGAGCATGCCAAGTTTGGAAAGTAGGTAGATAAACTGATTCATCCCAAGAGATGCAGTGAAGAGGTATACAAGTTGATAGTCATAATAGATCTTTTGGGGATCAATTTTAGAGGGATGGATGAACTCATAAGTGAAATCACACAATTTATTTGAACGTGCTTTGTGCGCTCATGAAAAATCGAATAGGCAACAATATGAAAACAACTTTAATTCCAGCAAGACCTTAAAGTATCACAAGTTGATTTATTGTAGCATTTTGGACATGATACCACCATATCTTGAGAACATTATGTTGTCTTGTTGTAAACTAATTATGTTATTTACCTCCTTGAGCAAGGATTACATACAAGCAAGTATTATAAAAAAAAACAAGTGAGCTTAGTGGAACACTCAATTTTCTAGATACTCATTCAAGAGTAGCTCTAATGAACAACCCATAGACCACCCATCCTTAAAGGTATAAATAAACTATAAACTCTTTCCATTTTTCCTTCTCTAACTCTCTTTCTTTTATATACACATTAGATATGTCATTTTATGCTTTTGAGTCATGCACCTTGGCTTTCCTTTCTCAAGTTATCTTTTCTTTAGGGTAGTTTCACTAACTGTTGCTTGAAGGGTTCTGAGAAGAGGTTGTAACTATTTTCCCTTGTTATTAATTGGGAATAAAAGTTATCTTCCCTTTTAATTATTTTCTTGATCATAAGTTCATAACCATCAAGTCCTCAACCCTAAGCAATTTGTTGGGCCTCACCGTCCTCTTTGCTGGGTCACATCTATCGGCCATCATTTTTGCAAACCAGAGCGTCTTATTGGGCCTGACTTGGCTATCACCTAAACCCATACCCCGTACTATATTTCAAAAAGCCCATAGACGTCAGCCCAATAGTCCAGCAGGCCATCTTCCCTGTTCTCTCTCCCACGCGTGACCTCGGCGAGCCACGCGCCAGTCGCCCAAAACCCTAGAGGAAAGAAAGAGACTTTGCCGGGGAGCGGAAGCGGAGTCAAAACCTCGCAAGCTGACTCTCTCTCTCGCATTATAAATTCAGCTCTCATAAACCCTTTTTCTTCCTCCCGCTCCTCCGCCTCCTTTTAGCCTCGTTAAACCCTAAAACTCCTTTCCTCCCTCCCGTCGGTTCTCTTCAAAGTCCATCACCATGTCTTCCTCAATGGAGTTTTGGGGTAAGCTCTTTCATTTCCCTTCATATTTATTCATGTTTATCGTTTCATTTTTTTCGCCCGAAAATGGTGTGGGTTTTTTCTCTGTTGATTCTTACGTTATCGGTGGTTGTTCTGAGCTGGTCCGTTTGTTGGTAGCCTGATAGTTGTTCTGTTGTCAAAGATCATTCCTTTTCGTAATCCCTGGGTTTTCTTTTTGGTTCTTTTGTATCTCCTCTTATTGTGAGATAATAATGCCCTGTTGAATCGTGTGCTATTTCTATGCTTCTGGAAAATGACACTTGTTAGTACCCTTTTCCTAGTGTATGAAGCGAAGAACCAGGTTTCATTTTTATGGGTTTTTGGTTGATTCCTCTGTTGGTCTTGGACTTTATAGGAAGCTCCTGATTGTATCGTGCTTGCACCATTATGTTTTATTGGCTTCTATTGTGTTATAGATGGTGCTTATTTGAATGAGTTTAGTTAATAGTGTCTTTGAACTAATCGGGGAGGGTTTCTTTTCGTTGGTTTGTATGTATGGCTTTCGATTTCTAATGTGAGGTGGGATGATGTGATACAGGTGTTGAGGTTAAGGCTGGGAAGCCACTTAAAGTGACTCCTGAGGACGATGTCATCCTCCATCTCTCCCATGTAAGCTCAATTCTATATTCGTTTGAATGTAGCTGAACACGGTGTGTTTGGTTGGTTTATGGTTTGATGTTTTATTTATTCCATCGCTTTGTATGATTTTGGGATTGTAGGCGGCACTTGGCGAGGCAAAGAAGACCAAGGAGAGTGAGTTTGTGCCTCTTTTCATCAAAGTAGGCGAGAAGAAGCTTGTTTTGGGAACCCTCTCTCCTGAAACCATTCCCCAGTTGGCGTTTGATCTTGTCTTGGAGCAGGAGTTTGAACTATCCCACAACTGGAAGAATGGGAGCATCTTTTTCACTGGCTACAAGTCGGTTCTCCCTGATGATGGATATCCTTTTTATCACCTGCTGTTTTTAAGGTTTCATGGTAGAATGTTTAGGGTATTGTAGCTAATTCTGTGAATGTATTGGTTTTATTATCTTCAAGAATCGTGCATTTTTGTTGATGTCAAACATTGCTTCCTTGACTCTTATTCCTGTGGGATTTGCTTGCTTCCACTGAGGAGTTTTCTGGTGAGACACTAAACATTGCTTCTCTCTATATCAAATGTTGCATGTCACTGAAGTTCTGATCTCATTTGCGTTTACAGATTTTGGTTCTGAGGATGAGTCAGAGGACGAAGAAGAGGAGGTCCCAGTGGTGAAGGCAGAGAACGGTATGCGCTTGTTCTTATTTTAAGTGATAGTAACAATATTGTTTAGTGTCTGACCTTTGGTTTCTCTTCCCTATCATAATGATGTAATAGGTAAAGTTCAGAAGGCTAAGCCTGCTGCTCCTGCTAAGGCTGCGGCTGCCAAACCCGAAGCTGCAAAACCCAAAGCTAAAGCTGCTGTTGTGCCTGCTAAGCCTGAGAATGAGTCTGATGATTCAGATGATGATTCCGAAGGCGATGAAGATGAATCTAGTGATGATGGAGAGGTAGCATGTAATGACTTTGTAGGCTTAGATGATTTGAAAATGTGGATATTTTCCATGACCACTCATTCTCCTACTATCAATGATGCAGGACATGTCTGTTGATGCTGGTGCTGATTCAGATGACGATGAAGATGATTCAGATGACAGTGAAGACGAGGAGACCCCAACCCCAAAGAAGCCGGAGCAGGGTAAGAAGAGGTCCAATGACTCTGCTGTGAAAACACCCGTCCCTGCCAAGAAGGCCAAACAGGCCACACCTGCAAAGTCTGGTGAGTTGCTCACTGAAATTATTCTTAGTGTTTGTCTTGGATGTTATCCGTAGTGGGTGGTTTTTGTCTGGTTAAATTTTAAGCTGGGAATGCACATTCTTGTGTCTTGTCATCTTTATCGTTGTTTATGAATTATGACTCTTGGTTGCTGACTAGTCTGCCGTGTTGGGTGTTTTTTGCTCAGATGGCAAGAAGGCTGTACACACAGCCACCCCTCACCCTGCCAAGAATGTCGCGAAGACTGCAGGTAGTGCTGCGAAGACTCCGAAATCAGGTGGCGAGTTCTCTTGCAAGTCCTGCGACAGGTCGTTTGGAACCGACGGTGCTCTCCAGTCTCATGCCAAGGCCAAGCACACTGCCAAGTAAAGATGGTTAAGGGGAATTAGTTACTAAAGGGTCAAGGGATGGTAAATGAGAGGTTTTTGTTCGTGGGAGAGAACTTGTGGGAATGGATGGATGTATGCGAGAAAGTGATTTTGGGTATTTGTTGGCTGGCACAGCATTTGCGGATGTTAAAACAAGTTTTTGATTCTGATGCATTGAGTAGTAGGTTCACTTAATTCAGAATTGTCTACCTTTTATCTTATCCTGCTCTATGATCACCATGTTTGTAGCAGATTGCCAAACATAATTCCAGAGAAGCATTAAGGCTAAAAGAGACTGCATGTTATAATCCAAACTTCCAATGAGTAATATATCCAGTTACATTTTGATAGAACACAATACGTAGTATCTTAGAAAGAAACACACTAAAAAAAAAGGAAGCCCTGAAGTAGTCCCCCGAAAAGAAGATATTCCAACTGTGGCAGCTCGTTCCAGACTCCAAACTTCCCCTGCAGGCTGTAACATTGGGTCAAACCAGTCAGTCACCAATCTATAATCTGTTCCTCGTTGATTGTAAGTCGTCCAGCCAACACCTCCAACCAAAAACCACCTGTAAACAAAGTTGATCATAGGGCGATTATTCAACGAAGCAAAGTATTGTTTTGGAGTAGCAGGGATTCCTGAAACCTGCAAAAACTCGTTAACATGTCAAGTATTTCCTCTTGTAATGCAATAAATACACAAGGATTTGGATCAGTGAAGATAAAAAACCGAATGTATGACTGCAGATTCTGATTGCGTTCTAGCAACTAGCCTCACTACAACGGTGTTCGAAGAGTTCCTTCGCTGTACATGGAATGCAAGCATGGAAAATTGAGAATGCCAACAGTACGTGATAATCGGTCGTTTTTTTATGGTTAGAGAGCAAATATTTCGAAACTCAGCCATGCATGTTATGTTAATCAAATGGTTAAGAACTAAGAATTACAAGTTTGACAGGCAAATATATGAATTCTGAAACCTGCAAAACCACCTGCACAGTAACAAATACTCAATTTCTACCCAGAAACAACACAACATCAAATAAACCCAAGGAAGAGAAACAAACCGGAGACACCCTGAATCCCCTCAATTGCCATACTCCACATCTTTGTGTGAATCCTGATCCTGGTGTCCATAATCAATATTACGATCGGCTCTCGATCCATGTTCCCTTTCCCTTTCCCTGTTCCACTGTTCAATTCTTGCCCTTCTCTCTTCACTACCTTCCCTAACAGGGCTTCGGTTCTCGCGCCTCCCTCTTCCTGGACTGCTACTTCGTTCCCTCCAGTGATCAGGGCTGGTGGTCTTGTGCCTTCTACTCCGGCTCTCATGATACCGCTCCTTTTCATCGTCATATCTCCTACTACTCCTATGGTAATGATCTTCATGGCTTCTATGCCTGTAGGGGCTCCTACTTCTGCTCCTACTACGACTGTGCCTGCTTCTGTAGCTCCCATACAATTGTCGCCTCAATTCCCTACAAAATTGCAGCAGCAACAAATTAATCAGATAGCATAAACCAACTCCTAACAAACAAGACACAGGCAGGCATAGAAATGCTTACCTGCCAATCCTTTTAAGATGCATGAAGTTGCAATAACCACCACGGTTGCAAGTGTTCTCCTCGTATTGCCTGCATGTGGCCTCTCGGAAGTCTGTCACTGGAGAGAAGTCCGCAATGATGGGGCGCCCTGGGATCGGATTGCACATAAGAAAAATGACAGAATGCTTAGCAAACAAGCCGTTCAGCACCTGGCCAAAGAATTAGAAAGGAGAAACTTGATCTATACCCACCGGCATAGAACCTTCCAGTCAGTTTGCGCAAGGCAGTAGCAGCCTGCTCTTCCTCACTAAACTGAACATAAACGTTTCCCACCTGTCAACAAACAACAAACGCTCACTTCTTTGATTGGAAATCAACAAACAACAGAGCAATCCTCATGAAGTGACATGAACAGGAGATCCCCATTAGTATATAGAACTTTACCATGTGGTCAGCAAGGTTGTCGCAAACATTCAGGCTCTCAATCTCTCCATACTTGTGCAACTCCTCAAATAGATCTTCATAGAAGTCCTGTAGTGAAAGGAAGAAACCCAACCAATCGTAAATCTCACCGAAACCATCTTGTAAACACCTAAACTTGATGCAGCTTGAAGCAATTCTATGCACACAGGAAACTGATTCTACCTAATGATCTACCCCAAATTCAAGCAGGAACCTAGCGAATTAAAGAGAAACCCTCTAATCGAATCCAAACGAGAGAAACCCACGATCTTGACAGGAAATGGATAGAGTGAAGCGAGAGGGTGGGAAAATACCTCGAAGTGTTGCTGGATTTTGCGGGGATGGATAGGGTTTCCTTCGGCGTCGACGCCAGGGGTGATCATGTCGGGCCGCTGGTACATGTTGGAGAGGAGGAGTGTGGGGCTGACGCTGGGCTTGGTATGGAGCCTGGAGCAACGGTCGCCATGGCGGCAAGCTCCGATCTTGAAGTAGAAGGGGCAATTCACCCTGTCCTTCTCGGTACCGAAAATCGACGCCAAGTGCTCCGCCATTTTTTCTCTGATCGGATCGCCGGAGATTCTCTCACGCTCTCTCTTTGCTCTTCCAGAAAGTTCCCGTCTGATCGGCTGCTGGGAGCTTGCCTCCGATAATTTTGCAACGAACTGGTTTTACCCGCGGCTTCTAGACGCTTCCTTCCTGGGCCCGTGGGCCGGGCAAGTTGGGTTGCTGCATAGCCCAAAAAAAGAATAAAAGAGGCCGCATTGTTAAAATTGAAAAGGAATTGCGTCTGCCGGGAGTCGAACCCGGGTCTATTGCTTGGAAGGCAATTATCCTAACCGTTGGACTACAAACGCTTGTTGTACTTGTGTTCTAGAAACTCTTTTATATTAACATCATTATTAGTCCATTTCTTGCTGAGAAATGGTAGAAATAAATACATGTGGAAATATTGTTTTCTGGGAATATAAGAATATGGGATATAAGGCCCCCATGAACATGGGAAACCGGCAAACGTCGATATGGACAAGGCATGAGAAGTGAGGCCATGGCCACCATTATGAGTAGAGATGGCAATTTGGACTTGACCCGATTTACCTGACTTGTTTCACCTGTTTTGCGGCGGGTCAAATCCGTCTCGTAGACCGGGGGGGGGGGGGGGGGGGGGGGGGGGGGCGACATGGGTACCTCTCATCAACCCGACCTGCCCTGACCCGCCCCATTCTCGACCCGTTCTTGCCTAAATTACATATAATATTAGTCAAATTACTTAAGATTTTCCTCTTATTACATTATATTTTAGCTATAATAAAGTTGTAAATAAGTGAAAACCTCAATTTCTTCAATAATTTCACTACATTTTATCATATTATGGTTTCTTTCTTGGTCTTTCAATGAAAAGAACGAATATTTCTACTGTTTTCACATAAATTACATACCTAATGGGTCGACCTGCCCCGACCCGCGTCCCGTGATAAATTACCCGACCTGGACCCGACCTGCCATGGGGCGGGTATGGGTATCGAGATACTCGCCCCGGACCTGCTCCATTGCCATTCCTAATTATGAGTTCTACGTACATAGTTGTACTTAATGAATTCGAGTTTTTTCATACTTGAGAGAATCAAAATCATCTTTGAAAGTTTTCTTGCAATGTCGGTGTAATTAATTATTCATGGCGTTCGGAATGTTGGAAGATATCTATTTTTAGTATTATTCGTAACTTGTCTTTTTGTGAAGTATTGATAACCAACCCATTCCAAAATCCCCTTTTAGGAAACTGCTATCTTCGGTATTGTAGAGTTATGATAGACTAATTAAGGAGAGATACAGCACATAAAAGCTAGTCTACGGTGTAAGGAAGTGATCAAGATTCATATATGGATCTCTCTTAACAAGTTTTGAGTTATTGAGACCAAATGATTCATGATAGGGTAATGGGAGCTTATTAAATCATGAGGGTACGTGTTCAAGTCCCGACGACCCCGATAATAAAAGTTCATTTAGAACACACGATATGACGGAGCTATGCAGACTTCAAAATCACGAGTTAGATTTGTGCAAGAAAGTAATCAAAGATCATATATATATAGATTAAAAGCCAAACCAAGTTTCTTGTCACAAAATTTGTTATTTCTTGTTGAGAATAAATCCAATTTTTACCCTTCATCTTTCCTGAGCTTTCTTACCAAAACCACATATAAATCTGTTTCCTTAATTAATTCAGTCAAATGATATTTACTTATCCCTTTAGAAGTTTGTCTTATGATAATTCAAAGAATAAGAAGGAATTGTTTTGTCTTATTCTTTTCCTTCCACAATTAGCGGAGTTAGAATCCAAGGATGGATGGAGAAAAGATCCCGCTATTGTCGGTGGAAGAACCTTCCCCGAAATTGGTGTAAATCAAACCGTCAAATGAAAGCTCAGCCAATTGCTTCACATAAATCCAACCATTATCTACAAGGGTGTATATAAAGCAGTAAAGCCAAATAGAAGTTCTACAAGTCACGTTTATTAAAGAATGTGATGCTTTGTATGCACTTAAGCTTTGGGATTGTAAATTTTGAGTAAAAATACTGTGCAACACACTTTCACATATATACTAACTTATAGCACATTTGTGGATATTATGTTAATACTAGGGTGGGCAACGTGAAACGGGTATTTGGGTATACCCGTCCTTTTTTTAGGGTTACGGGTACCCAAATACCCGTAATTATTTTTACCGGATGGGACTTGGGATCAAAAACTTCTACAATGGGTACCCGCGGGTTACCCGCTAATACCCGTTTGGGTATTACGGGTACCCGCCGTCTAACCAAACCATTAATTTGAAACAACAATGAATGAACATACATGACCTGTGATACGTGATAACATATATTACTAAAACAATATATCCGCTGTCTTCACCTACTTGATTGGGACAACAATATATCCACAGTCTTCTTTCATTCTGTATAAATCAGAAGCAGTAGCTTCGTTAAAATTCAATAGAAAGAATTCCTACCACTGCATGCATGGGAGCGGTTGAAAGCCCAATGCTTTATCTATTCATTTTGTATAAATCAATAGCAGTAGGTTCATTACAATTACAATTCAGTAAACAAAATTCCTACGCCAGTTTTGCCGCCAACAAGAACTCAAATAACGAAAATCACACAAATTTATGGGTACCCGCGGGTACCCGTTATCCGTCCCGTACGGGTAATGGGTACCCGTTAACTCGTACGATTTTGGGACATGGGATGAAGTTTCTTCTCCAAATGAGATTGGGTACCCGTTTCAAACGAGACGGGTACCCAATCCCGTCCCATTGCCCACCCCTAGTTAATACGGTAGAAAATGTGATCTTCTTTTCTAGATAGTACGAATCTCCCAGCAAAACGATCAAATATCATCTCAATGTTCCGTCAATTGCGGTATCGTCTTGTTCTCCTGACCACATGTAGATTCTGTTTCCATCCAGAGCCCCAGTACCTAAATGATTATGATCAGCACACGAATACCAAAACCAACAATTGGATACCTATTGTATTATATTGTTGCAGTTAATTTTGTGGGCTACCGAGACCAACTGATAAGTTGCAGCAGCAGCAGCAGCAGGGAATCAGAAGACTGATGGAATTGGTTCTGTATTTGTTTATTCCAATACCCCATCAGCCAGCTTGCTGCTCAACCACTTGCTCTAATAACCCACCTTTTCTTTCCTTCTGCAGATTCCTTTCCAGCTGGTTATCTCACACTCCATATTTATTGAGCAGTTGCAGCAAGTCAAACAGCTAGCTACATTGTATTCCAAGCCCCATTGTACTAACTGAGAGTATCAGGAAAAGGGAAAATAACAGGCATGCAGGATTCTGCTTGAACAATGAAGTTTGAATCTTTCTTTTTAGATATAAGAATGGCATCAAATTTCTTCAAGGCTGTTTATTTCCAACATCTGCAACAAACAAGCCTAAAGGAAGAAAGAAGAATCTAAGAACAATCTATTACAAAAAAGAGGGAAAGGGGAAGGCCAGAAGAAAGACCCTCTCCCCAATGACCATACAATATACTATATATATAAGAAAAGATACTGCTGTTCTTCTCCTTCTCCTTCTGGCAAGCATGCTTCCCTTTCTGTCCACCCTCTCTTTATGGTGAAAACAGCAACTATCTATGGTCTTAACCTTCTAGGTTCAGCTAGTAATGACTTTTTTTACACTCCCAATTTGAAATCTCTCTGTGAATAGAGATCACATGTAACAATGGAGCCACTTAGAACAATCTAAAACCCAAAAACAAAAACAAAAACAGCAGGCTGTCTGCAATCTGAAATGCTCTCAAGGGCATGTATCCCTTCACTGCTGAACAGCAACAAACAAAATGCAGAGAGCATCATGAACAAATAGGCTTGCGCCCCCCGAACTACAGTTCTTTTGGCTTCTTCCTTCTTCTGGTGATCTCTCTGTAATGATCAGCCAGTCTGTTTATATGATGGTGCCAATGTAGCCAACTCCGGCTATGAAGAAGGTGATGGTCTGAAGGAATAGGTATACGAAGTAGTTGTTCTTCCCATGAACATAGTCATAGCAGCCACAGACGAACAGGAACAATGCAAACCCCAGCTCTGTCTTGTTCAATCTGTCCCCCAAAAAACACAACCAGAAATCAGAAACATAATGCTAAACCGAAAGGTCTCCTATCCAAATGTCGTTACCACAGCAGCCAAAACGGTTTAGGTGAATGGCAGAGAAGCCCACTTCATCATCTCTACTAACTATACTGAGACCAGAAACAGGTCAACCAGACAACAAACCTAACCCTTTATCTATTCCATATATGACTCTCTGAAGTCATGAGTAGTTTCCAACACACTGCAAAGATTCTAGCTATAAAATCATATTTGGAAGAGAGTTGGATTTGGTGGTCAACCATCATCCTAGCTGGGATATGATTGTGTCATCTAATGAAACACCATACCAACTATGACACGAACAGGGCTGTCCATAGAGGGACGCAGATGAAATTTGTCAACTATCTAGTCTAGAGAAGGCAGATTGGCCAAAACAGAATTCAATGAAGAGATTCCAAATTCAAAGCCACTAATTACCTCTCAGCAAACTTGAAGCGGTGTCGTTTGATAGCCTTGGCAGCAGAAGTCTTGTTCTTAGCAGCATCAGCAACTTTCTGCAGGGTATTCCCAAGCTTCTCCGTCACAACCCACTCGTTGGCCCTCCCAGCTCCCAACAGCCCAATCAAAGTCGCCTTGGTGCGGTGCAGCGACATGACATTCTCGAACAGGATCCAGTAGAACAGCAGGTGAATCGACCGGGGAGTCCCCACCGAGTTCAGGATCGTGATGATAGAAGGAATGTAGACCGCTCCCCAGATGGGCACCTGAACCTCGGGCACCAGGATCGTCAGGGGAAGCACGACGCAGTAGAAGATGAATGTCACCATGTGGGCTATGATCTTCCTGACGAAGAAGAAGCTGTAGATGACATAGACCTTCTTCCAGAACCGGACTTTCTGGTTCCTGACGATCTCCATCACCATTTTCCTGAACAGGTTGGCCGGACCGCAGGACCACCTGTGCTGCTGGAACCTGAAGGCCTTGAATGTGCTGGGCAGCTCGCTTTTTACCTGCAGGAAAAGGGAGTGGTTTGTAAGGAAATGAAAGTTTGAGGATGATTGGGGAGATTGGTGGAAAGATTTAGGACCTGAAGGTCGCCGAGGTAGACAAACTTCCAGCCGCGGAGGCTGGCCCTGACAGCGAGATCCATATCTTCCACGGTGGTTCTGTCTTTCCAACCACCGGCGTCATCAATGGCTGCTATTCTCCATACTCCCGCCGTCCCTACACCACATTCATTACATTAACACCAAAATTTACCCCATCCATTCATTCCTCCGCAGTAAAAGTAGAATTCCTCCTGTTCTTCCTTTTTTTTTACTTTCTAGATTTGACTGCTGTTTTCCATGAAACCAACAACACACATAGCACATGCTACTGAGCAGCTTTATGCCAACTTTGTACTACTTGCTACTGTAGCAATCCATTACCATCACTGACATTAACCATAAGATCTAGAAAAGGAAGAATTTTTACTGAAGGGTTAAATGGGATGTGTTCAGCCGAGCCAATTGAATCTCGTATCACTGAGTTCTTAATCGTTTGAAAATATTATCAGGCAGACATTGAATGACAGTTAAAACACGAACATACATCCAAATTTGAATCATGAACCGAAATATAGGATTGGATTGAGTTGTGATTAGTGTGAATTTCATAATTAGTTAGCAATAATTGGGTTTAGTAGTAGTTACCATTGAAGCCGAAGAAGGCATGGGTGGCCGACCCGACTTCCTGCTCCACGGTGAAATGATAGTCCAACGACATCTCTTGCATCCTTGTCAGCAGACACTCGTTGGAATTCACTGCAATAATTCAACAGTTAATCACCACTAAACACCAACCAACGAACCGTCCACACTATTATTGACTGCAATTATCAGCCCCGCCAAAAAATTAATCTCCCCCAAAGTACAGTAATTAATAATGCCCAACCGGGAAGTAAATTCAGCTTCAGCACACTGGAGTACCGAATTCGAGGTGTCGGCAACATGGGTCCCACGGCGTCAAACACAGTAAAAAAAAATATCAAGTTATCAACCAACCACGTGACCGGAAAGTGGCAGCCGGACCCGGAGACGGCCGGCGGCCGCCATGTGGATTCCGCACGGCCCGGGTTTTGTCGGTGGTAAACAAACCCGGTAAAAGACAAACTAACAATTTTGGAATTGACCGAACCACCCCGACCCCTCCCACATTATCCCCGGGATATCCGGGGGCATTTACGTCAAGAAAACAATAAACAGCAGCATTATAGGAATTTCGACAAAATTAATCACGAGAACGGAAAAGCGATAAATAGAAAACAAAAATTAATCACAAGTTTTCGGCGGGAAACTTTGGAGGGGGGTTTGTTCTGTAGGTGCGTCCTCATTTTGGATAGCGGGACGTGTACGGCTGTGATTCGTTTTCAGCAAAGCGATGAAAACAAAGGGGTGGGATCCATCCCGTGATTGATGGGAAAGTGGGCCCCCCTGACTCACGCAGTCGCAACCGTAGGGGAATATTTCCCTTGGCACGGGACAATACCAAAAGCATTCCTTACTTACTCAACTTAATCGTACCACCGACACTCTCTTAATTGCGTAATTTATATATAAAAGTCACATTAAGTAATAAAAAAATTGGAAATTTAGTAAATTTACCGAATCGCCAGCGGCCTTGGACAAGGGCGATCTCCGGGTTGTTGACGAGGAAGGGAATGGCGCGGCGGAGGTAATCCGGCTCCGGCTGGAAATCGGCGTCGAAGATGGCGACGTAATCGCAGTGCTTGGCGTAGCCCCGTTTCAGGCCTTCTTTGAGCGCTCCGGCTTTGTACCCGCCGCGAGTCTCCCGGATTTGGTACCGGATGTTTACCCCTTTGCTCGCCCACCTCTGGCATTCCAATTCCACCATTTGCTGCAAACACCATTTTTTTTTCCGACGACGCAGAGCAAATCATTAAACAAAAGGAAGAGGCAATCCACAAGCCGACAGAAATGGTAACGCCCGAGGATTAGGGGGAACGTGGGGGAGACGGGGCGGAGAGGGAGAGTCTTATCCTATTCGTCAGGTGGTGGAAGAGCCGGAGAAAAAAAATTTAACCTTTACTTCGGATGGATTGTGAATGAGGTCAAATAAGAATGCACACCATGTGACTGATAAAAGTACCGAGAGAGAGAGAGACAAATAGAATTGGAAGGCTCGCATTGCTGGGTTTTTTTATTACCTTGATTTCAGGGTCCGTCGAGTCATCGAGGACTTGGATCACCAGACGATCCGCTGGCCAAGATAGATTCGATGCAGCTCCAATGGAGAGCTTGTAAACCTGTTCGTCGAGAAAAAAAACAAGGAAAACCCAGAAAGAAATTGCATTAGCATTTTCTCGGAAGAAAAACAGGGGAGGGCGGTGGTGGGAAAGAGAGACCTCGCGTTCGTTGAACATGGGGATTTGGATGAGAACGGCGGGGAAGTTGGAGCTACCGGACTCCATATCTTCCTCCAACGCCTCCCAATTGTAACGCTCTTCAGGCTTCTTCCAGAAGAGCTTGACGAGGACGATAACGATGCCCATGTAAACCCTCTCGCAGAAGAGCATCAGGGACATGATTAAGCAAATCACGACGCCGAGCTGCAGCAAGGGGACAATCAACGGAGCCTTGATGAACTCCCACATCAGCGCGAATTGAACCCCAATGTCATCTCTGGACAGCTGCAGCGCCTCTGGTATCACGATTCTCTGCGAATCTTGTGCCATTTCTTTCTTCTTCTCCTTTCTTTTTTCGACTTCTTTTTATTTTTACACTCTGTCTCCGCGCCTGCAACGAGAAAACATAGCAATGGATCTGATTCAGACAATGGGTGGACAAAAAAAAAATCTGGGCTGATAATGTAAACAGGAGCAAAATGGAAACGAAATAAATAAGCGGTTCTTTGGGTTTGCCTTCTTACATGGAAATGACGAGATGAGATATGGTAAGACTTCAATCGAAGCCTCGGAACCCTGTTTCTTCCCCCTCCCAAAAATAAAAGGCAGCGAGAAACCAAAAAGAAAAGGGAAAAGAGCGCTTTTTTCCCCCCTCCTTCTCCTATCTCCTCTTTCTCGAAATCTGTCCTCTTTCCCTGCTCTGCTGCCTCTGTTTCCTTCTTTACCAATGTGAAGAAGGGGAAACAGAGGATCTCTCGAAACAGAGCACCAGAACGGAAGAAGGAAGGCAGAGGAAGAAGAAAAGGAAGAAGAAAAAAAAACACAGAAAATGGGAGATTTTCTGTGTGTGAGTTTCTCTCTGGTGTGAGTGTAAAAAGGAGGGAGACGAAGGTGGTGTTATATAGTCACATTTTACCCCTCTCCCCCCTTGTAAAAATTATGGGGTTGCTGTTTTTTCCCCCTCCTGGTTTCCTAATCGAGATTTTGTGGTTCCTAAAGCATTTACTAAGTTAACAAAAGTTACAGCCCCAGGAAAAAAAAAATGAAAGGCCTAATGGAGGGAGGGACCAATCTGTAAATTTGCCATGGTGGGGGGGTTTTAGGGGATTTTTGGGGCCAAAAGAGATTTTTTTTTTTTGCTGTTTTGGTTACGCCTTTTGGGTTCAGAGAGGTTGAGCTACAGAGTGAATTGTTTCCCTTATTTGATGCCTGCAGGCTGCAACTGCATCCAAGGGCACCTGAAAACTGAAATTGCTGTAAAAATGGGTGTATGACAGAGAACCAGACCATTTCACAAACAATTAAGAAGCAGAAGAAGGAGTTGTGCTTCAAGTTTTTGTAGTTATGTGGTTGTGTGAGACCGACAGGGTGGTGTGACACAAGATGTGAAACGAACCCCGTTATCGTGCTCATAGACCGTTTTGCGAGAATGTCTTGACAGGCATTTGGTGTCGTAAGAAAATTGTCACTGTATTCATTGATGCGACAAAAATGTATATGCACTTCATCATTCATTCAGCGGTCGCAGACCGTTCTCGCACGATCTGACGACGTCGGACTCCTATGAACACATTCTTGCGGCTGGCATATGAGCAATTTAGCAAAATTGGTGCGAAACTACTCGTGAAGATAGAAAGTTTATGACAAGTTCACAAATATGTACCCCTAAACTAAGTTGTTAACCTTGCACTTTTGTTGTGTATTCTTTTACGTTTGCATCCGAGCGTTTCAACTTTTCGATGAAATTTTTTTCATTACTGGACCCACATTCTTGAATCAGCTAGGTTAAATTGAGAAATTATATGATATTATCGAATATTTTAGAATTCGATCTGAAATTATTTTCCGGGTAATGGATCAAAATGGTCACATAGGTTTGATCAAGTAACAAAATGGTCACAAACGTTTAAAACGTAACAAAAAGGTCACACAAGTATCATGTTGTAACAAAATAGCTATTCCATGTATTTCCATTCATACTTTCATCCAAAATGGTCAGTTTGCTTCTCTAAATAAGAGGTAATTTCATAGGTTGGTTAGGTGGTTGATAATTTATTATCAGTTTTGCACTATATCATCAAACTATTCGGTTATTTTGGATGAAAACATGCCTAAAATGAGATGAAATGCCTGTTTTGTTATATCATTATAAATTTATGATATTTTTCTTACGTTTTAGATGTTTGTGACCATTTTGTTACTGTCCCAAACCTATGTGACCATTTTGATTAATTACCCATTCTTTTACCCTATTGAATCCATTGCTCGTTAAACTTCATCCATTTCGAGCATTACAAATTTCTTCGATGAGAAGGTAGAATATTTTCTAAACTCATGAACATCCAGAATAGGAGTAATAATTTTCTTTTTCGTTGAATCTTTATCGGTATATTATATAGGCATGGATCCTCTAAAATTGTGAAAAATGATTTGTGAGAAATAAATTATCAATATATTATTTAAGTGCGACTCCTCTAGAATTTCGAAAATAAGTTTTATTTATTTTATGGCAAGAACATTATAGTGAAAGTTCACAACTTTATAGTTTTGATTTTATGGCAAAAGCATTATGGTTACTAGTTAGAGTTTAAGGTAGCTCTATTTCAAAGAAGAAGAAAAAGTTAAGGTACTTCCATATTTCCAATCAATTACTATTATAGGACATACAACCCACTATAGGAGGCATTTAAGAGTTAGTAATATTAATTAATTAGATAAAAAGGGGAGTTTAATAAATCATGTTCCATATCCTCTTTTGCTCAAATCTTAATTTGGAAATGGGAATAGAGTCCAATCAAATGTTTTCCAAAAATACATTTTAAACCAATGAATTGGGTACACTCAGATTCTGTTAGTAATTAGGAAATGTTTTAAATGTATATTGGGAAATGTATTTTTGGGAAATATTTGATTAGAGAAAAATGTATGCAACAAATCTTTGATTGCCCTTCTAAAAATCCTTTCCATATTTGGGAAACATACAATTAATTTCGCATTCCATTGCTCCCCTAACAAAAACTTTTTTCTCCTTGCATGTTTCGGTCCATATCTCTCGGGATGGCAATGGGTTAGATTTTGTCAAATTCAAACCTAAACTCATGGATTTATCTGCGAAAAAAATCTGGGGTAAACCCACTGAGTTTGAAAAACTGAAACCCAACCCAACCCGTTGGGTATCCGCGGGTTCATGGGTACCCATGAGTTTTTGTCGTAAAAAATTTATAAAAACAAGTTCCTATCAAAATAAAAGACAAATATCAATCTCTCCATACAAATTATCCATAAATAAAACACCATTCTAGAAAATTCAAGCAAATCACAAATTAACCATACAAATTGTTCAACACCAATCTAGAAAACTCAAGAAAATTGAAGCAAATAACAAGTTCCTCCTTGTCAACTAAGTTTCTTCTCTATTGTCCACTCCATAATATCAACTTCATTCTACACAATTAGAAAGAAAATAGTAGACATGTCTCCACAAACATAAAAAATATTAGTTGCTTAGAATATTGAATATTCCGGAAAAGTTAATTATATGGGTGTGGGGGGTATCCATGGGGTGGGTATACCTAAACCCAACCCAACCATTGGTTCGGGTTTTGTTGTCATCCCTACTCAAGATTACCTAGGGCTAGGCACATGAGTGGTTAGTTCGCAGTTTGACTTTGATCCATCCATGAATAATCCAAATCGTAGTGCAGGTGGATTTGCGGATTGATAAGTCTCTTACCCACACTTATTTGGGTGGGTGGTGGGTGGATTGCGGGTCACTCAAAAAGTTATTTCTTATACTATTAAATAGTCATCATATTTCCTAATCGCACTACACAATGACCATTTACTTCTGGAGGTGGAGAATAAAAAATATTTTTGCACTACTATTATTGGTTACTATGTCGTGTAATGTATATTAGATAATGTGATGCAAGAAAACCCACAATGCAAATCCTCATTCAAAATACCTCCGCTAATCGCCGCCGCTGCCTCCGTTGTGAGGCTTCTTCAGAAACGACAAGTACTGGGACGAACCCACAAGTGGGGCGAGGGATAGGATTATTCAATCCTACGGGATTGCCTCTCAAGATCGGAGTGACGCCGCTGTTTCTGAGTGGATCTTCTCCTGGGTTCCGAGATTTTGGGGAAACGGAATGAAGGGGAATAGCGCAGAACAACTTCAAAGCCTTGATCCTTTCGCCAAGTGCTCTTGCCGGAAATTCTCAACCTCCTGCCCTCAAGTTTCGGCCGTAATCTTGAGGAGTCTGATTGCTTTCCCCCATCGCTTTCATCTGCAGGATACGGTGGAAAAGGCAAGTTCAGATCTTGCTCTAATTTTGAGGTGATTGGCTGCATCCTCCACTCAATTTGCTCGTGGGTGTAGCTCTTTTGGAAAGTGAATTTCCTCTACAATCCTTGCTTGCCTGATTTTATTTTATGAATTTCTTCATATCACATAATGATCCTCTTTCCCCTGTAAAAGGTGGGTGGCTAGTTTAAATAAAGTTGCAGAGGGTTCTTCTAATAAGAATGGCTCTCCTGATTCCCAATGTGTAGTTGTGTGGCATGTCGTGTGCCTCTTCTGTTTGTGGCTGGTTACTGCAACTGGATAGCTGAGTGGATCTTCTCCTGGGTTCCGAGATTTTGGGGAAACGGAATGAAGGGGAATAGCGCAGAACAACTTCAAAGCCTTGATCCTTTCGCCAAGTGCTCTTGCCGGAAATTCTCAACCTCCTGCCCTCAAGTTTCGGCCGTAATCTTGAGGAGTCTGATTACTTTCCCCCATCGCTTTCATCTGCAGGATACGGTGGAAAAGGCAAGTTCAGATCTTGCTCTAATTTTGAGGTGATTGGCTGCATCCTCCACTCAATTTGCTCGTGGGTGTAGCTCTTTTGGAAAGTGAATTTCCTCTACAATCCTTGCTTGCCTGATTTTATTTTATGAATTTCTTCATATCACAGAATGATCCTCTTTCCCCTGTAAAAGGTGGGTGGCTAGTTTAAATAAAGTTGCAGAGGGTTCTTCTAATAAGAATGGCTCTCCTGATTCCCAATGTGTAGTTGTGTGGCATGTCGTGTGCCTCTTCTGTTTGTGGCTGGTTACTGCAACTGGATAGCTAATCAACGTCATTGCTTGCACTCATCCTGCCTACCTAAGATCACTCTTCTGATTGAATTATTAGATGCTTGTCATCTCTTTAGTACTTCTAGTAGAGTACTGTTAGCACAATCCATTTGCAAAAATAGGATTGCCGCCTTGAATCAATGAACGAACATCTCTGCTTTTTGTGTTGTCTCATTGATATTAACATTTTTACGCTCTATTATTAGTTCTCTTAAGTTTATAACTCCTCTTGGCAAATTGCTAGTTGCGATAATGGGAATCCTCTTCTGGAACTGTCAAGGGATTGGCCCTATAACAACCAATAGACAGCTTGCCGAAACAGTAAGTCGTTATTCAATATACTTGTTGTTTCTAAGTGAAACAAAAAACGAAGATGATTTGGTCAGAGACAAAATTAAAAACCTTGGTTTTAAAGAAAACTGTCTCGTCAGTGCTATTGGCCTATCTGGCGGGTTAGCAGTGGGTTGGGCATTGGATGTAGATTGTACTATTAGAGACAAAAATCGCTTCTACATTTCCTTAGAATGTCAACATCCAAGACTCGGGAGAGCTCACTTCTTATTTGTTCACCTTAGTTGTGACGTAGGGACTAGGCAAAATCAACTCAATGAATTATCTGTCATTATTCGAGCTGTTCTTCTTCCATTATTTATCCTCGGAGACTTTAATTGTGTCCTCGACAGCTCTGAAAAATTAGGAGGCAGATGTCCTGCCCTTTCTGCCCTGGACCAACTAAGGAATTTTTGCCTCCATTCAGGTCTTCAAGACCTAGGTTTTAATGGCCCTAACTTCACCTGGACAAATCGCAGATCGGCTTCGGATCATATTATGGCTAGATTGGACAGAGTTTTAGTCACCTCTTTGGCTCTAAACCTTTGGCCTCTCGCCAAGGTAACTCACCTATCAGATCTAGGTTCGGATCACCGAAAAATTGTGCTGCAACTCATCCCGCCCCATAATTTGGGCCAACATCGCTTTCATTTTGACAGTCGTTGGGCAAAAAACTCGGAAGCAAGAAAAGCTTTTGCTGACAAATGGGGTAACCAAACTTCTGGTACAAGGCAATTCCAATTTTTCAACAACCTCAAGTCCTCGAGGCTCGACCTTGTTGAATGGATGAAAAAGGGTACTTCTAACTCGTCTAGGAAAATTAAAGAACTTCGTCTAGACATTGATACAGCCAGAAATGCTCCATCTGTTGACTGGGAAGCGATTAAGGGGCTTGAACAAATGTTATCATCTTCCTATCTCCAATAAGAGATTTATTGGAAACAAAAATCTAGAGTTACGTACCTTCTGGAAGGGGAGTCTAATACTCATTTTTTTCATACCATTACAAAGCAGAAGAGAAGGATGAATACAATTCTTTCCCTTAAGGATGATAACGGCTTAGTTCATTTAGAGGAAGAAGCTAAAGCCAAAGTTGCAGTTACTTACTTTATGGAACTCTTCTTATCTAATCAACCTTTAGTTCATGAATTCATTTTGAGCTTGGGTCTCCAGGAAAAAGTGAATGATTATATGAATACTTGCCTTGCTGCAACAGTTACAAGAAAAGAGATAAAAGATGCTACTTTCTTGATCGGGTCTTACCAATCCCCGGGGATAGATGGATTTACTGGAATCTTCTTTCAAGCATTTTGGGATGTGGTTGGGGAATCCCTTTGTGATGCTGCCCTCTCCTTCTTTCATACGGGAAGATTGTTGCATAACTTTAATCATACGCTGATCACGCTTATACCCAAAACTCCAAATGCTGAAACCATGAAACAAATGAGGCCTATAGGACTCTGCCAAGTATTCTACAAGATCATTGCTAAAATCCTAGCAGATAGGTTGAGTCGTTTTCTCCCTCTTATTGTGGGCCCCAACCAAAACGGCTTTGTGAAAAATAGATCTATCACAGACAACATCCTAATTGGGCAAGAGGTGATGCAATTTCTCAAAACCAAAACCCAAGGAAAGGAAAAATGGATGGCTTTAAAACTAGATATGGAAAAGGCCTACGACAGAGTTGAATGGCCTCTCTTGTTTGAGTTACTTAAAGGCCTAGGATTTGGAGATAAATGGCTCAAATGGCTAAGATCATGTGTGACAACTGTATCATTCTCCATTGTCCTAAACGGGTCTATCCATGGCTATTTCCATCCTCAAAGAGGATTACGCCAAGGGGATCCTCTCTCCCCCCTCTTATTCGCTCTATACACAGAAGCTTTCTCATCCCTTATAGAGAATTCCATTAGAGATTCTAGCCTTCATGGGTTACGTATTCACAGAGAAGCTCCGCTGATCTCCCACCTATTTTTTGCGGATGATTCCTACCTATTCCTCCGTGCCTCCTCTACTGAATGTGCCCGTATAATTGAAATACTTCATGAATATGAAGTGGTGAGTGGGCAACGAGTTAATCTCCAGAAATCAGCCGTTACATTTAGTGCTAATGTCTCAGATCTGGAAGCTACTCGTCTAGCTGGTTTACTTGGTGTGTCAGCAATTGGAGTTCATGATAGATATCTTGGTCTTCCATCCCAGGTTCATAGATCTAAAATACAAACCTTTCGGTATATTGAAGACTCCTTAGCAAACCGTATACGTCATTGGAAGTCAAAAAACATGTCTTTGGCTGCCAAAGAAGTAGTTATCAAAGCAGTGGGGACAGCAACTCCCGTCTTCGTGATGTCCTGTTTTAGACTCACTTCTGATTTGTGTAGAAGGATGAACGGACAACTCTCCACCTTTTGGTGGGCAGGCCAAGACAAGGAAAAAGGTATACATTGGTTATCATGGTCTGAATGTTGTTTCAGCAAATTTGAAGGAGGATTGGGATTTAGAGACTTTGATAGGTTCAATGTAGCAATGCTAGCCAAACAAGCCTGGAGACTTATCTGTGAACCGGAAAGTACTCTTGCCAGAATGTACAAGGCAAGGTACCATTACACCGATCATTTCCTTCTAGCCCGTCAGGGGGCACGTCCTTCTTGGGCTTGGCAAGGTATCCTGCAGGGTAGAGATCTACTGAATAAAGGTCTTCGCTGGCAAGTAGGATCAGGAACTAAGATAAACACCTTACTCGACCCTTGGCTACCAACAGACCCTCCTTCTAGCCCTGTGTTGTTAATTGGTGCCTCCCTAGATCACCCAATGGTTTCTTTTCTTCTGGATTCTAATGCTATGGAGTGGAATCTGGACTTGCTTAAAACCATATTTCCCCCTGTCACGATCGACAAAATCTTATCCATCCCTCTCCCATCGTCCCCCCAAGAAGATAAATTGATTTGGCATTATGACAAGTCTGGTCATTATACAGTTAAATCAGGGTACCACCTTCTTTCGAATGGTTTAAATTTACCCAGAAACTCCCTGCCATATTTTTTGAACACCAAGTTCTGGAAATTCTTGTGGAATATTCCAATGCCTCCTAAGCTCAAATTCTTTCTTTGGAGATTGGTGCGTGGGTTTCTACCAGTTAAAGGAACCCTCCTTTATAAGAAAATTATTTCATCAGGTCTATGTCCTGTTTGCTGCGAGGTAAATGAAGACTTCAAACATTGCTTCTTCGACTGTAGAATCACTAGAGAACTGTGGACATTATCTGACCTTGACCATATAAGAGATATGATGAGGGAAAGTCCTATGGATCTTGCGTGGAGAAACCTCTTTCTCACGCCCCATATCTCCAAGAATGATGTAGCTTTCATTGTCTTCTTATTTTGGAGAATATGGAAAGGCCGATGCAAGGCTACTTATGGATACATTTTATACAGGTCTCATGTCCTATACAGGCAACTATTAGCGCAGGTGGAGGAATGGAGAATGGCAGAAGCACAGAAGGTTCAGAGATCCGAAGAAGTCCAAAGGTCAATACCCCACTCTTCCTCAGGCCAAGGTCCTCATTCAAGGAGAACAGATGTTTCCTTCCCTAGTGAAGGTATCCTAGTTCGTTTTGACGGGGCAACAAAAATCCCTCAAGGATGTGCAACTGGCTTCGTCGGCTTTTCAGGTGATGGAAATATCACTTTTGCAGTTGGTAAATTCTATCAGGGCATTTCAGATGCCTATATATCAGAATTACTTGCTATTCGTGATGCTATGAAATGGTGTCTCACCCACAATTTTTTTACTGTTGTTTTCTGTGGGGACTCTCAATTGGTCATCAAGGATGTGACATTAAAGAAGACTTCACATTCAAGAGCGGGAGCTTTATTAGAGGAAGTGCACTCTCTTCTTTCCTCCTTCCTATCTGTCTCGTGTCATTTTGCTCCTCGGAGCTTCAACAGAGCTGCCCACCTCGTGGCAAAACAGGCTCTTTTATCGGGAGTCCGGTTGCATACGGACTACCGTTCTCTTTTAGTGTCTTTCTTGTAATTGTGTTGTCCGGCCATGCCCTGGGGGCTTATCTTGGATAAAAAAAAAATGTGATGCAAATCCTTGAGCTTGATATAGAAATAGAAGAAAGGACTGAGAAAGTATGGGATGAGCGACCGACCGTAGCAGTAGAAAGAGCTTTCTTTGGAAATCATCAGGAAGCATACAGTGGGAATTTACTGCAGTTTATGGGGACCCGACCTTAATTCAATGCCGGGACCTGTGGCTATCTACGGCTTTTAACCCTGTTTGCATAGGCTCGTGCACAGATTTACGTTCAATAATCCCAGGGGCTAATCAAATGGGAGTTCGTCCGGCAGACTTTGGAGGCAACGATGTTTTGTTATAGCATCTATAACGGCCTCGGGTTTAGGGGGGCAACCCGGCAAATAGACATCTGCTCACACATTCCATATCCATATATGGAGTTCGATAAATTTTTTTGTTATTCTGTAAACAGAATAGAAAATTTATAAAATTTTCGTTGCAATGCAGCCAAAGTCGCAATTCTATGTAGAAACATTTTGGTGATCTAGAAGCGTAGAAACATAAACTTTAAAGCGTAGAGTTTAACTACAATTGTAAGTGAAAAATGGGACAATTGGTTGGAGTAATGGAAATTTTGATGCAAATGCTACAAGGATGCATAGGAGACCAAAGTGAAAAATGTATAAATTAATATAATCTTACTAATTTGCGATGAAATTTTTATAAATATTAATCAACTTTTCTGATGAATAATTGGAGAAGCGTTTTAGCTCGTTTAACACACAACCCAACTCCACCCTTCCATCACTCATCCATCTACTGCACAAAGTCACCCATTTCTATAGTCAGACATCGCCTGGATTATCACTATGATTAATGGTATCTTCAGTTCATCGTATGTTTTCTTAATATTGCGTAATAATAATTTAATGGAGCAAGATCCAAAGGATCACTTCAGTATGCGAATAAATTATTTGCTATTTTTCCTTTTATAAAGGTAGGGGTCAACACTAGAATATATGTAAAGTAAACATGAAGAAGTGGAACAAAATCTAATATTCTAGGCATTATTGAACATATCTCATTATCTTCTCAAGATCAGCGGAGCACATCGAGGGAACTGGGAAGGAATAATACTTTTGTTGTCTATATATCGTTTACTTTCTCTTTTGTGGTTTCCACTTTCCCCAATGTCCAGTTCAATTAGGGTCTCGTTTAAATCGTAATGTTGGTTTAGCAAGTGATAATTATTCGGTCAGGCTGGTTTTTGACACAGTATGTTGAAAAAATAAAAAAAATGTCATTAACATACAACGTATCTCAAGAAAATCTCTCCAAAATCTACATTCATATTTAAATAAAATAAAAAATATATACAGACAAAATGACAAATCCTCATATTCCAGCAAACATCTACACTTTCGTGATTGAATCCAACAAGTAACATCAACATTTTTTTTTAAATTAATTAATTTCACCGAAACGACGCCGTTTAGTTTGAAACCGAAAAATCGATTATCCAATCAGACCATCATAATTTTTAAATTTTGCCGAATTCGTCCAATTTTGACTGCCACTTCATATCGAGAATATTTCAATCAATTATGTATCCCGTATCGTTAGAACCCGATTGTACCCTCCAGCATACCACGGGTTTGATTTGATGGTTTAGGTTTGGAGCATGCAACTCGAGTGGGTGACCGACTGGGCAATGGAACTAATCAATCAGCCACTCTTTTGCGACCAACTATTCTCTCATAATTTATGTCTTTCACATGGAAAAAGAAAACAAGACAAAAAGGGAAAATTGGGAAGGTTGGATCAGGTAAATGGCTAATCACAAAAGTATTGTGTGTGGAAAAGGTGATCAACAGACATTGTGACCTACCCAACCCAACCCACATTTGAGTTGTGGTTTTTTTTACTCGTTATCTTATAGCGTGTTACGACTTAATCATTGTCTTTAATTGTAAAATAAAATTTTAGGATTCATCATTAAACCCTATCATAATTTTCATGTACGTACTTAAAGAAGAACTCAATTGACATAGCTGGAACAATCTCGAGGCGTATAGACTCTAAACGGAAAGGCGGAGGACATTTTTGAACAAGATTGAAATTTGGGTAATCGAATTCGACAAATTAAAAGAAAACCCAGATTGCAAAAAAAAAAAAAAAAAGTGAAACTTTGAGGACCTAATATTTTACCTTCTATATTTTTTTTTTTTAACATAATGAGTGCATTATTGTACTACTGAATCAGTGATGGAGGTAAGAAGCCAGAAAAGTCCCATGCAAATAAATCTTTTGTCCCTCCTTAACTTCTGATAGGTAAAGTGGCCTTCTTTCTCTTCAAAAGAACAAAGAGGATGCAGTCTCATTGAAATGTAGCCCATACGCCATTATTGCATCCTCATAAATCTCCAGCCGATCCATACCAAAATAATGCACTTGAAGCCTCTTAAAATTGGAACTGGTAACAATGCTTCACTTGGTTGAGAGAATACCAAGATATTTTGCTAAATAGAAAGCAAGAAAACACTACTGCAGTCCTGGTCGACGAAGGTGAAGAAGCGCCCGCGCCTTAAGAGCACAAAGCAATTAGTCTCGATCACCATTCGAGTTATAGAAGCTCTAAACGCTCAATTTCACCATAAGATTTTCATAATTAATTCAGGTTCGAAAACGACATTAAAGAATGAAGCTCTTGAGTTACGTTTATGTCTATTTCGTCCGTCGTAAGATCCACGATCAAATCATTATGATGTACACATGATATGACGTAGTAAAAACAAATACACGCGATAAAACCACTTATTTTTTTCTTGCGTTTGGCAAGAACTTCAAAAGCGGAAATGAGGCAGTAAATCATGGTATATGGACAAGAAAGAGGAAAACAGACACGACCAAGCAAATCCACCATTTTTGTTGTTTATTTATGTATTTTTCAGTGAACAAAATCAACCATTTTCGCGCCAGAAACTTGTGCATCAATCAAATATGGCAACCACTTTTCCGGGATATGATGTCCAATCCAACATATTTGTCCCCACGAAACAGACAATTAGTGCTTCACTTTGCTGATGCTCCACAATGAGAAAAAAAGCCTTTTCCTTTTCCACAATGTGCAAAAATGGTGGAAAGAACAGACGGCGATGGCAAAGAAGAAGATATGGGTAATAAGGACAGCAGGCTCTATAAGTTTGCATAGTCTCACCATCATGGTTCTAAAAAGTATTTGCGTCTAAACACTTGTTTGACCTTGTCTAGACACTGTATAAAAGGAAGATATCCGGGTTTGGTCATAAGCATCCGGACAAGGCGTCTTGAGCATGTTGTGGCTCTGGTGGCGTTTAGATAGCACTGAGTTGCACCTCAAAACAACGTAACGATATCTCTTTTCTATTTTTTGATATGCTATTAGGTTACGGAGAAATCAGGTCCATCCTCCCTTTTCCTTCTCCCCCCTCCCGAGTGTTGCTAGCCGTTAGGCTAGAGTTAGAGACGACCATCTTTATTCTTTAGAGTGACTTCTTCGTTCTTTTTCCCCCCCGCTTCTTCTCTCTCAATCTGCTCCGCTATTTTCCAACTTCTTCTTCTTCCTTTTCTGTGTGTACCGTGTGTTGTTGATGAGGGTTTAGAAATGAGAGCTAGACGCGATGATATTAGTTCATAACCTTGTGATTCTAGACAAAGCCCCAATGTCTGCCTTACGCCTAACACTTTCTTGAACCTTGCTCACAATATCTACCTCATATCAAAATCACTTTTTTTTACTCCCTTACTATATAATTTCCTTCACTACTTGCTAGTAAAAATCTCATCCTTTGGTTTTGTTTACTCGAATCAAATGCTAAAATATTGCGACATTATGAACATGGAAGAGAAGTACAAAGAACCGAAAACCTAAGAAGAAATAGTTACTAGCCACACATTCATGCCTATTCATTCTTTAGCCAAGCACATTGATCAACAATCTTGCCCCCTCAGCCAAGTTAACCATGATTCATCAATAGCCCTAATTGTTACCCAATACTATTGAGAAACCAGTTTCCAAATATGTTATAGCTCATGTTCATTATCTTAGAGAATTCACACTATCTAGCTCTAAATTGGGTCGTCATTCATCTAAAGTTGACTAGAGTCTATGTGAGTTCGTATGTGAATCTGGAAACAAAAAGTTTGATCAAGATGAGACGAGTGATTATTATGTTAGTATTCTACAAATTCAGTGACAAATTCGTTAAAAATTAAAGCTTGATTACTAATCTGTTAATGACCCCAAAGTTCATGACCATTTGTGTAATTAACTCTGATACAAACAAAACCGTCTAAACGAGGCGTCGTTTTGCTCAGAATTTTGCAGAACAAAAGACACTTCCTCTTCCTCCGTTTTTGTTTCAATTTTAGGGTTTAAGAACAAAACCCACAAAACTTCGGAAACAATTTCTGCAGCTGAGCAGCCGAAGAAGCCATAGCAATGGGAACTTGGTTGGCTTCCTCCCGTGTCTCCCCTTTGATTCTAAGGTCCATTTCAAGAAACCCTAGATCAGTTTGTTCCCAAGCTGAACTCCCCAAGAAGCCCGTCCCAGAATCTGATTCTCCTCCACAGAATCTCAAATCAAGCTCGGATTCCCCCGATGAAACTTCCCCAGAACCCCATTTCCCCGAAATCGCAACTTCAGGATGTAAAGACTCTGTCTTGACGCAAGCGGACGTGATAAGCAGCCTTCTCAGCCGTAAAAACGATCCCGATTCAGCTCTGCAATACTTCAAGTGGGCGGAGAGGAGACGCGGGCTTGTAAGAAGCATTGATTGGATATGCATTCTGCTTCACATTCTGGCGAAAGATCCCGGGACTCGTCGGCATGCACAGAATCTGCTCAATCAGTTGGCTTCTGGCGATTCAGGTCCGACTCCCAGTATCGTAGTTGATCATTTGGTTCAGTGTCCAGAAAGTTTCGGTCTTGATCCGGATCCCCTGGTTTTCGATTACTTGTTGAATAGTTATGTTAGAGCTGGAAGGCTTGATTGTGCCATAGATTGTTTTAATTCAGTGGTGGGTCGTGGTATTTTCCCGTCACTGCCATTTGTGAACTTAGTCTTGAGGGAATTGGTTAACAGTGGCTTGATTCGTGAGGCTCACGATGTCTACGATAAAATGGTTGCGAATGGCGTGGAAGGGGATAGTGTAACGGTTAAAATTTTGATGCGTGGCTGCTTGAAGGAAGGTAGAGATTCGGAAGCTATTGAGTTTTTTATGAAGGCGAAAGAGAAGGGTACTGAGCTTGATGCTGTGGCATACAGCCTTTCCATTCAGGCTGTTTGCAAGAAGCCTGATGCTAAGTTAGCGTGTGAGTTGTTGAGCGAGATGAAAAACAAAGGATGGGTTCCATCTGAGGGTACTTTTACCACAGTCATTGGGTCTTGCATGAAGCTTGGGACTATGGCTGAAGCTTTGAGACTTAAAGATGAGATGGTGAGTTGTGGGAGGTCGGTGAATGTGGTGGTTTTTACGAGTTTGATTAATGGTTACTGTAAGCTAGGCCAATATGATAGTGCCTTGGATCTCTTTTATCGAATGGGCGAGTCAGGGGTTGCTCCTAACATGGTGACATACTCAATATTGATTGATTGGTCTTGTAAGAATGGGAATATGAATAAAGCTTGCGAGCTTTATGGACAGATGAAGAAGAAAGGCATTCGACCAAGTGTGTTCACTTTCAACTCCTTGCTACAAGGACTCTTGAAGAAATGTTCCCTTGAAGAAGTGAACAAGTTGTTTGACGAGGCAGTTGAAGATGACATTGCTGATGTCAGCACCTATAACTGCTTATTATCATTCTTTTGTAGTGAGGGCAAAGTAGACGAAGCACAACATTTGTGGGGAAAGATGTTAAGCAAAGGTATCACACCTACCATTGTTTCATACAACAACGTGATTCTTGGCTACTGTAGAGTAGGTAACTTGGATAAGGCATGCAGTGTGTTGTCCCAGCTCCAGGACTCGGGTATCAAACCTGGTGTGATCACTTACACAATTTTGATAAATGGCTATTTTAAGAAAGGTGACCCTGAAAGTGCTTTCAACATGTTTGACCAGATGTTGATTGAGAACATTCCCCCTTCAGATTACACATACAATTGTTTAATTACTGGGATGTGCAAAGCAAGTCAAACATCTGAAGCACAAGTGAGGCTAAGGAAGTTTGCAGAAGAAAACGGGTTTGCTCCTTCAGCTTTAACTTATAACACCATCATTGATGGATTTGTGAAGGAGGGTGATATCAATTCTGCATTGGCAGTTTACGGAGAGATGTGTGAAGGTGGTCTTTATCCAAACGTTGTCACTTATTCTACATTGATTAAAGGCTTATGCAAAAGCAATAACTTCGATTTTGCTTTAAAGATGTGGCATGATGTGAAAAGCAAAGGACTTCACCTGGATGTTACTTTGTACAGCACTCTGATAGATGGATTTTGCAAGAAAGTAGACATGGAGAGTGCATGGCAGTTCTTCTCTGAACTCCTTGAGGTTGGGCTATCTCCGAATACTGTCGTCTACAATAGCATGATAAGTGGCTTCAGGAATCTTGATAACCTGGAGGCAGCACTCAAGTTGTATAAGAGAATGCAAGCTGAGGGAGTTCCTTGTGATCTTCGAACTTACACGACATTGGTTGATGCTTTCCTGAAAGCGGGCGAACTAGTATCTGGTATTGATCTTTACACTGAGATGCTTGCCAAAGGCTTTGTTCCTGACATAGTAACATATGGTGTCCTAGTAAATGGGCTTTGTAAGAAAGGACAGATTGATAATGCACAAAAGAAGCTGGAAGAAATGGATAGGAAGGGCATCACTCCAAACGTTCTCATTTACAACACTCTAATCGCTGGACACTTTAGAGAGGGAAACATACAGGAGGCATTTAGACTGCATAATGAGATGCTTGACAGAGGTCTTGTTCCAGATGATACTACTTATGATATGCTTGTTAGCGGAAAAGTGAAGGGACAACGTTCAACATCAACTCCTGGGTAGGAAGCTTGATCTGGTTATTAGAGTTCATTTATTGTTCTTCTTTCAAATTTCTGTTATTACGTCCTGTATGATATCGTGGCTTATAGGAATGAGAATCATATGATGTTGTTTAACGGAGATTGGGCTAATAGCTTAATGATGTGTTTGTTTCCTTCTTTTCACTTTCCTAACTTTTGTCCACTGAATAATGCTCTCAGGGCTAGCACAGCTGTGAAGATGTGAACTCCCACTGATCATATTTACACTCCAGGAGTTGAACTTGTTTGTAAATATAGATGAGACCGTGGAATTCATCATGCAGCCAAATCTTATGTCAACCATACAGAAGTTCCATAGTAGTCGTTTTTCGGTTAGCAGATGGTAGCTCGTTCATTTAATTGCATTCTCAATTTGGCTCAAGTTGTATGACTTTTAAGTGCTGATTTTCCTTAAAAATTACCCAAAGTTACTGTAGTCCCTGATCCTTCCTTTCCATTTGTAGCCTGTAGGCACTGATGAAAAGTCAGGCACGTATGCCTCTCCTGATACCAATGCCATTGAAACTAAGAAGGCAAAGAGCGGTCAGCAAGTGTTCAGGGACAGGTGAAGATAAATACAGATGCGGGCGAACTCTCTGCTGGTGGTATTGGTTTGGATGTTGTGATTCGAGCAGATGAAGGCAAGTTTGTGTTAGCTGCGGCTAAGAATCTCCAAGGACAGTAGAGTATGGAATATGCAGAAGCTTGAGCTATGGAATTTGGGATGCAGCTGGCTGCTCAATTCCAGCTCATGAACCTTGTACTGGAAGCGGACTGCCGGAGTTTAATACAGAAACTGGATAAAGCATTCAAACGTAGCTTGGAGTTATCTGTAGAAATACCCAACGTCTAGTTCATGAAATGGGAGACATGAGATGGGAACATATCCGACGTGATGCAAACAAGGCGGCTCATTGTATGATTCATAGTAGAACGGAATGGGATGCTCCAGTTGTTTGGGTAGATAGGTCACCTATCTATTTAGTTCATCATCTGTTGCTCGATAATGTAACCTCTTCTTCTGAGTAATAAAGAAACAGGATTACATAATAAAATGACTTTCACAACAAAGTATCAGGCAACTTTACTAAGGCAACAAGCATATAGAGGAAATGTGATCTATGATGTTACAGCTAGCAATCTACCAGAACTAACAATCTTGGGATACGCTAAATTTCTGAACATTCATAAAAGTCTTCAGCAACTAGTAATAGGCGCTGTCCTTATCGGGTTAGTTACTTAGTTCACTGTTTCCATACACAAACCATCAAAATGATCAAGAAGATCCAGCCACTGTCTCATCATGAACATCTTCTACTGCTGGCTCATGATTAATAGGCATTGAATCTTCTACTTCTGAAGGCAAGCTAGCCAGCATAGTTCTTGGGCCAGAGCCTAAATTCTCATTTCCCTGGCTATGAAGTGAGGTTGTTCCTAACAAAGACAAGATCATCTGCCTTCTGCACTCGCAGTCTGTTGACTACTTCCTGATACGAGGAGCCATTAGTGTGCCAGATCTCTTAGCACATTCCAACACTACAGACTTGGCTGAGAGCCCTTATGGCTAGAGTTTGCAGGTCAGGTGTGTAAGAACTAAGAACCAAAGTCTCCCACCAAGCAACAGGGTCCCTCTTATTCCTGAAATCAACAGCATCTTCCTCACCGAGTGACCCCTCTTGGCGCCAGTACGAGCTCAGCTGCTCTCTCAGGACCCGTCTTCCATTGCTGTCACTCTGGTATTCGGTCTTCCATCCCCGCATAACATGTTTGTCCTTACCCAAAACTAAGTTTCCATTGCTTCCACTCCTCACTAGCAATAACCTCTTGTAATGCTTCTCTAAGCTCAGAAATCTTCTTGAGAAAGCAGTATGAAGGTGCAAGCTTAGTGGAGATAGGGTCAGAGCCATCTTTGAGATTCCAAAGAGAATTGAGATTGGGAATGACCATGATAGACTGTCACGCATTCCTCAATAGCCTTGCCCTGTGAAATCAAGACCTAAAATATAGAAAAAAAGGTAAGATCTTTTTCATGCTAAACCATATGAAATTGTCAAATTCCTGCCACTCCTCAGTCCTCACCAACCATGAATTTATCACAGTTAACATTCCTTGAACCACAGAAAAGAGCATTATCCATTTGGGTCACTCTCCTTGCACTCAATCAACCAAAATCCACCCCAGAAAACGAACTCCTCTGCTCGAAAGTTTTCAGCTTTCGATCCCAAACTTCAAAAATGGGAAGTAAAAGCTCTCTGATCAATGATTGCTAAGCTAAAATAGACGTACTAACATTCAAATGGATCTCAATGGCCGATCCTCACTAGTAAAATTAAGCACCAGACTGAAGAAACCTTTGCGGATCCGCGTTTCTTCGTTTCTAGAGTGACTGATGAAACTGTTCGTCGGGGACTTTGCTTCCGTAGTTCCGTCTCTTTCGATTTGATATCGCCGGTTTCTTTTCCGTTCACCCGAATCGCAACCGTCGCAAGTTTGAAACCTTTTTGTTTTTGGGTTTTGGTTTGGCTAGCCGTTTGGGCCTGTTTTTTATACATCGTAATGGGCCTGGGTTACAAGCCCAATCAACCAGCTCCGTATTTTGTTGTTTGTCGTTATGTAATAGGGCAACTCATTAGGGGGCTTTGATCATTAGACAAAGTAATTATCTAGTTCACAAGACGCTCATTAACGAAATGAAAATCAATCAATAGATTGTTTGAGTGACCATTGATTTTTTTATAAGTGTTGTCATGTTAAAGTATGAGCGAAAAAATTTATAATATACAATTTAATGAGAGCAATCCGATTATGGTGCTCACAGTTCATTTGTGAGAATGTATTTACTTATTGAATCGTTTCGCTCGATGCTCCACATTTACCAACAACCACGGAGGAGCATCTAACTGGATTAGACAACTACTTTAAGCATGTTCTCACAAGTAGAGATGTGAGCATTTTTTACAAAATGTTAAAAAAAATTGGAAGAAATGGAAGTCAAATATCAACAAAAAAGTATTATATCGGTCTTACGATATGCTATTTTTGCTTCCCTACATCTCTAGCTTGAAAATCTTTTATCTTTTACTTTCTCTATATACCACCCGAAGTGCTCTTTTGTCTTCCGAATTTCTTTTTCTTTAATATAAAGTCAATCAAATTATTTAAATATCATCCTTTCACACGATTAAGGTCATTTTATAAGACCATACATAGACCATATCATTTTTGGCATCGCCGTAGGAGAGAACATGTCAAGCCGTTTTGGGTAAAGTTGAAAAAGGAAATTGCCATTAATTGGCTGATCTCACTCACACCCAATATTTAATATTTCCACCAAAAATAATTCATAGAATATTATTATGACTTATAGAACAGTACTCCAGCTAGCTATATATATATATATATAGCTGAAAAATATAACAATGGCCTGGCCATATTTTTCTATTCGAATATGGGTTCCAATCATCTTTGAAATGGGAATCCAGATCCAATTTTGACGGACTGATTATTAATATTAGCTTTCGTTGTAAGGGAAAGAGTTTGAAAAATCATCTCAAAACTAAAAATGAAACGTAATGATGAAAATGACGATTCTCAGAATATCATAAACACACCATATGAAAATTGGTAGGAATTTTTTAAACACCATACTGTCCACGTTACCATTAAACATTTTGTTTCTATTTAAAGGGAAATTAGGTTGCGAATAGGTTGAGCTTGTTCGTATCTTTGAGTTCACACTCTCGACTCTGACATATTTCAACGAATCAGAATCGTCGATTGTTTATTTTTAGACTAAAATATGTATCTTATAGTTTGATCAGTTAGAAAATCAGAGACCGAGGTTCACTTATTATTTTTACTCTGCATATATTCCCGCAAATAAGAACCGTCCGTTGTTATTTTTATATTAAATGAATCTTATGATTTGAATTAAAAAATTCAGAAACAGAAATTCACCCATTATAAAATTAGCGCGTATCATGATTCAAATTCCGGTTAATTCATTGCGCAGCTAGATGACGTCTATATAATATATATATATACCATGCACCAGCTTCTCCTTCTAGCTTGTTCTGTTCTAATTCTTTGCTCCCAAACTAGAGAAGAACTCCAGACCAAAAAAAAAAAAAAAAACAGATGAGGGAAGCTGCTGCTGACAACCCGAATTCGGAAGAGCAAGGCGGAGGAGCTCCAACCGCTAACAATGGTAGAGATTATGGACTTCATCACGATCAGCAGCAGAAGGCGGCGGCGCCGGAGATGGACGCCGGAGCGCTTTTCGTTCTCAAGTCCAAAGGTAACGTAATAGAGAAGTTTACAAACAAATTAAACAAAACTTTCTTAATTTTGTATGTGGTAAATAGCATAGTTAGTAAATACTCCGTTTAATACACGTATATGTACCCGTACGTAGTTTATCAGTTTAAAATTTCTGTATCTTTATTATTGTCAAGTCGTTTCATTTTAGTCCGTTCATTTGATGATTAATATATTTATTTATATTTAAAATAATTAATTTTTCTATATTTATGACAATTAACGTACTATTAAACGTAACATTAGCATATAGACGAAGTAAAATACCCGTTCATATATTATACGTAACTTTTCCGTACCGTATTTTACTGACTATGGTAAATATAGGGTCGTGGGTGCACTGCGGGTACCACTTGACGACGTCGATAGTTGGGCCGCCGCTGCTGAGCCTGCCGTTCGCCTTCACGCTTTTGGGCTGGGCCGGCGGAGTCGTGAGCCTGGCGGCGGCGGCGCTCGTGACGTTCTACTCCTACAACTTGCTCTCCCTCGTCCTCGAGCACTACGATCAGATGGGCCGCCGGCAGCTCCGGTTCAGAGACATGGCCAACCAAATCCTCGGCAAGTATATATTTATTACATAAATATATGAATGTCCATCAAATCTTTCTTGTTATACATCTACAATGGTATTTCGAATTTTTCGGGTTTCTTACTGTTTAAATCAAAACTGAAATCGTCAAATTGCAAAATGACATAACGACGAGAAAAGAAAAAAATATTATGAATTCTTATCGATCAAAAATCGAAGGAACGTCCCTAATTAGAAGTGTAGATCTTAATTAGATGAGATTTTGGCATGAGTTGGGTATAGCTAACTAACTAGGGTTTTGAATTTTGATATAAACAAAGCTATATTACATAGTTTCTTCGGCCCTTGCATGTTGTTTATTTGCTTGGTTTGTTTCTGTTGGGGCTTGGGAGTTGCGTTTTCACTTGTTTTTTTCCCCTCCCACACCTAAGCATGGATAATTATTGGTAAGCATTGGATATGTAATATAATAGTTCAAATTAAGTCCGAGCCACGTTGAATTCCTATAATAGGGGTTTCAAAGAGTTGACCAAAAATAACTTAGCATCATGCACGCAATAATTGGTGGTCGGTGGATGACTTTCGATTATTCCGTTCATGAATTAGTTTGAATTTTGGGTATGATAATACATTATTATAATTGTGATGTGGCTTGGTGCGTGACTTTAATCGGATTATCTGTGGTTGACGGGAAGTTAATCGGATTTCGATGTTTGAAAAAGTGCTATAAATTAAATACTTCTCATACTCCTCTGTAATCCGTAGAGAATAATCTCCTCAAATATAATGAAGCTGACTCTCTCTCCTGCTTATGAACTAACTAACACACATTGTTTTAGTGAACCTCATGAATCCTTCTGCTCTTTACTTTCTTGCTCATCGTTGTATTTCTTGCTCTTGTCGATCACCATGTCCCTAACTATATATTGTACTTTAAAAGTTTAATTTAAATGTTCGGGTACCGAATGAGCCCAATTGTGAAAGTCTACTTTGGAATCTTTCTTCCAGGCCCAAAATGGGGCCGTTATTGCGTCGGCCCAATCCAGTTCATCGTTTGCTACGGCGCAGTTGTGGGCTGCACTCTTCTTGGAGGTCAATGCATGAAGGTCAGCCACCCCGATTACGGCCAGTACTACTTCACAATAAAATATTCAACGTCAATATTAACGCCGTCATTCATTTCGCAGGCAATCTACGTGTTACTGAACCCAGACGGAACGTTAAAACTGTACATGTTCGTCACCATCTTCGGTTGCTTCATGCTCACGCTAGCACAGATCCCGTCCTTCCACTCCCTCCGCCACATCAACCTCCTCTCCCTGCTCCTCTGCCTCGGCTACAGCGCCTGCGCCACCGCCGCCGCCATCCACATCGGCAGCTCCTCCTCCTCTTCGCCGCCGAAGGAGTACTCCGTCCCCGGTGATGACACCGCGGACAGGCTATTCGGCGTCTTCAACGCCGTCGCCATCATCGCCACCACCTGCGGCAACGGGATCATCCCGGAGATCCAGGCCACGGTGGCGCCGCCCGTGAAGGGGAAAATGTTCAAGGGGCTCTGCGTCTGCTACGCCGTCGTTTTGGCTGCCTTCTTCAGCGTGGCGATTTCTGGGTATTGGGCTTTTGGGAACCGGGCCCAAGGGCTTGTGTTGAGCAACTTCGTGGATAATGGGCGGCCCCTTGTCCCCAAGTGGTTTGTTCTGATGGTCAACGTCTTCACCATTCTTCAGCTCTCCGCCGTGGCCGTGGTAAGCTAGCAACTAAGCACTATCGGCTGATTTTGCGAGTAATTGATGAATGTATCTCTTTCTCAGGTATACCTGCAGCCAACAAACGAGGTGTTGGAAGGAACCTTCGGCGACCCAAAGAGCAAGCAATTCTCGGCGCGTAACGTCATCCCGAGGGTGCTGTCGAGGTCCCTGTCGGTGGTTTTCGCGACCACCGTGGCGGCGATGCTTCCGTTTTTCGGAGACATCAACGCTCTCATCGGAGCCTTCGGTTTCATCCCACTTGATTTCATCCTGCCCGTGATCTTCTACAACTTGACGTTCAAGCCTTCGAAGAGGAGCCTCGTCTTCTGGCTCAACTCCTCCATCGCGGTCCTTTTCTCGGCGGTCGGAGCCATCGCCGCTGTCGCCGCCGTCAGGCAAATCAGCCTCGACGCCAAGGCTTATCGGCTGTTCGCCAATGTATGAATTGTCTGGTATGACCAGGTCAAATGTGTACAAACGGCCGTGGGCCTAGCCCGGACTTTTCAAAGTACAGGCCCAACCCATAACTATGATTAACCCAAAGGAGCAATGAATTTGGGCTTTTATTCGGCCCACTCGTTGGTTTTACATTAGATTTTAGATTCCGTAGTCTCCGCTAGAGGAGTATCATTTTCATTTGTCCACTGCCGAGTGCGAGTGCCTAGTGATAGTGATGGCAATGGGGCGGGGTGGGTACCTCAATTCCCATGTTCCGCCCCACGTTACTACGGGGTGGGCGGGTAAAATCCATGCGGGTACGGGCGGAGCGGGTCGACCCATTCTTACATGTTATTCGAAAAAAATATAAATAAATTTTACTTTTTACGATAAAACGAAAGGAAAAACACTTTAAAAATGAAAAATAGTGATAATAGAATGGGTAATTGAGTCTAACAAGTTGAAAAAACGACTCTAACTAGTTGAAGAAAAGTCAAAATAGGAGAAATATGTATAAAAATTGTAAGAAATTGAGATAAAATGAGTCTAGAATGAGACGGTGCGGGACAGAGCGAGTCGGAAGTAGATACTCATGTCCCGCCCCACGTTACTGCAGGTCGGGTAATACCCGCGGGGCGGGTTTGAAATTGCCATCACTACTAGGAGTGCCGACTTCCACAATGACTTTTTTTTTTTTTTTCCACACTGACTTCACAAGTGTCCAATTTAGCATTCCATTTATTGTGAAAGCATCTCCACGAAATCAGAAGACACAAAACGTGTGGAAGGAGAGAGAGAGATGGCCGGGACGGTGGAAACCGATCCGAAACTTCAACAAGACGGCGGAGCCGCCGCCGCCGCCTCAGATGGTGGTGGGGAAGATCCTTCGCAGAAGGCGGAGCTGGACGCCGGAGCACTCTTTGTTCTCAAATCCAAAGGTAAAAGGGTACAGTAATCCGAAGGAGCGCGAGGCTGATTAGAACTGTGATAATTTGGGACCGACAGAGGTCAAGGCCTTTCTTAATTCTTACTGTTATGTATTTTTTAAATTTGTTAGGAATTTTACATGCGCGATTTTATCTATGTTTAAAATCCGGAGAGCGTTATATCTTCCCTGCTGACTTCAACCTAACTCCGGTAATTCGAATCGAAACGACGGGGTGTGTAGGGTCGTGGGTGCATTGCGGGTACCACTTGACGACGTCGATCGTGGCGCCGCCGCTGCTGAGCCTGCCGTTCGCGTTCACGCTGCTGGGCTGGGCCGGCGGGATCACGAGCTTGGTGGCGGCGGCGGTCGTCACTTTTTACTCCTACAATTTGCTGTCCTTGGTTCTGGAGCACCACGCTGCAATGGGCCGTCGGCAGCTCCGGTTCAGAGACATGGCCAACCAAATCCTCGGCAAGTATATATATATCTTTCTTTATTGATTCGTCCCTAGCAAACCCCCGGCCGGCGGATTTTAGTCTTTCCGGTCGCCGTTTCCTTTGACCGTTCCCTTTTCCCCGTTAGGTGAGTCAACTTGGACATAGTTGGCCAAGTCAATAAATAAAATGTGGCTTTGTAAACATGGTCCGGGTCTGTCGTTTTCAATGCTTAGAAAGCTGTCGTTTTATCGAAAGTTGACCAGCTTCTACAATCGAAACGAGTCAATTTAAGGAGTGGTAATGAGTAGGTTGGGCGGATATCTCGTTATTTGTAATTGTCTCGTGGTAGGTCATGTTTAGATTATGTTTTTGTCTAACGATACGGATTACGATATGTCGATTCATATGAGTACGTATTGTAACGAAAAACATTTGATATATGAATTTTTTTTAATTAAAACTGGTCAAACAAGTTGAATATGATGGATCACATCGAAATTGCCCGTATTCTTACAGGTCCAAGATGGGCCCGTTACTACGTCGGCCCAATCCAGTTCATGGTTTGCTACGGCGCCGTCGTCGCCGGCACTCTCATCGGCGGTCAATGCATGAAGGCAATTTACGTGTTGTCAAACCCACAGGGCACTCTAAAGCTCTACGTCTTCGTAACGATCTTCGGCTGCTTCATGCTGATACTCGCACAAATCCCGTCGTTCCACTCCCTCCGCCACATCAACTTGGCCTCTTTGCTCCTCTGCCTCGCCTACAGCGCCTGCGCCGCCGCCGCCGCCGTCCACATCGGAACCTCCTCGTCGAAACCGAAGGAATATTCCCTCCCGGGGGACAGCACCGAGGACAGGCTGTTCGGCATGTTCAACGCCATCGCCATCATCGCCACCGCGTACGGCAACGGAATGATCCCGGAGATTCAGGCGACGGTGGCGGCGCCGGTGAAGGGGAAGATGCTGAAGGGGCTGTGCATTTGCTACGCGGTCATCTTGGCGACGTTTTTCAGCGTCGGTATTTCGGGGTATTGGGCTTTTGGTGACCGGGCCCAAGGGCTCGTGCTGAGCAACTTCGTGGATAACGGGAGGCCCATCGTGCCTAGATGGTTCGTTTTGATGACCAACGGTTTCACCATGCTTCAGATCTCCGCCGTGGCCGTGGTAAGTGTGAGTTTGTGGGATACAATATATATATTGTTGAAATTCTGCTAACCAGATGGGATCAATTGGTTATTCGTTATAAAATGAAAAATTTTGTGATAGAGAGGGTCTTCTGTTAAACACATAATATTCGAATTTTAATGGTGTTAGCTTGGTCATAAAAGCCAACTGAGCCGTCCTGATTTTTAGGGTCGGGCTGGTTCAGTAGTATGTTTCTGCAAGGTTAGTTTAGGGTTGGATCAACTTAGCGCCGAGGTCACTTTTTTGGCCCAGTGATCCTTAACAATAACTAGTTTGATATGAAATTACTCATACCAACGCATCGGACATGTTTGTAAAGTTTTTGAAAATTTATAATGCAAGATAAAAATATAAATGTGCTAAAAACGTAATTTTATCATTAAAATTTTCTGGACCTATGTAAAACAAAATAAAGCTCGGGAACTAAACGGTAAGGAAAAAAATTAATTGTGATACCAGAATATAATTTTCAAAAAATCGGTACGCACGTTGATTTCAACCGGTCCCACTAGCACGTTCCAACCCTACAGGGCCAGACAGGATCAAGAAGGAAACAGTCGGTTACATATGTTAACCTTTTAGGAAGGCGAGTTAGTTCAATTTTCAGTACTATTCGAACGCGTGCAAACTTCAAACTCTACGGGTCTTCAGGAGAATATCTAACTAGTAATTACTAATTAGTGAGTAATTTTGAGGATTCAAAGCACTGAATAAGTTTCTAATTACTCAAAGAGTTTTGATTGCAGGTATACTTGCAGCCGACCAACGAGGTGCTGGAAGGAACCTTCGGCGACCCAAAGAGCAAACAGTTTTCACTGCGAAACGTCGTCCCGAGGGTTCTGTCGAGGTCCCTGTCGGTCGTCGTTGCAACCGTCGTAGCTGCGATGCTGCCCTTTTTCGGCGACATCAACGCGATCATCGGAGCTTTCGGTTTCATCCCTCTGGACTTCGTCCTGCCGGTTGTTTTCTACAACCTGACGTTCAAGCCGTCCAAAAGGAGCCTTGTTTTCTGGCTCAACTCTAGCATTGCCGTAGTTTTCTCGGCGATCGGAGCTGTTGCGGCTGTTGCCGCCGTCAGGCAGATGAGCCTCGACGCCAAGACTTATCGGCTGTTTGCTAATGTGTGACGAGTTTGACGACGAATTTGACCTATAGAGGCATATATATACTCTAGAAATATAGTATAATTCAAGTGATCTGGATGTTAAATGTATTTTAATGAGCGGCAAAACGAATTTGAACTAGCAATTATTATTTTCTATTAAATTGAATTTTCATTTTGGATTTAGAGATAAAACCCGAGAGGTACAGTATCATATCCAAAATCGATTTAATTTAGGGTTAATACCTTATTTTGGCCCGAACTATACCCAAACTTTCTACTCTGATCCGTGGTTTCCGAAATTGCTCCACTGGCCCGAACTATGCACCATACTTCCTTGCTTGGCCCGGTGCGGGTTTTGACCGTCAGATTGGACGGTCAAACTCCATTGACTGTTTGTCAAGCGCAGGTCACTTGCCACGACAGCGAACCCGAAATAAATTAAAAAAAATTGAAATTTGAATTTCTGTAATTATTTTCGTTATCTAAATTTTTGAATTATTTGTTTCGTTAATATTATTGTTATCAGAAAACGAAACGAATTAAATAAATTCGAAATGTACTCTTTTTTTATTTCAGGTTTGTTGACGTGGCAAATGACGTGACGCTTGATTAACGGTCAAAATCTGCGCCGGGCCAAACAAGAAAGTATGATTCATAGTTTGAACCAGACTTGCAATTTCAGAAAATCACGAGCCAACGTAGAAAATTTCGATTATAGTTCGGGTCAAAATAAGATATTAACCCTTTAATTTATGATCTGGATAGAAAAATATGTACAATGGGCTAGCTGGGCTCTCGCGTTATTATTGGACCTCAACGATCCAGCCTTTATCATCCTTGGTCTTCCCCGTTTGGATCCCTTCTAGGATAGTGTATAATTCCCGGCCCACGGTTGAAGCTCCCACCTTGAACTCCATCCTGCAATCAATCATTTTATTCATATATTTTTCATTATTCATCCAATTCATTATTTAAAAGAATATATATGTTATTGCATGTATTTGATTTTTTTACCTTTTGCCTTGGTATGTTATTGTTCCCACCGGAGCCACTCCGACTGCGGTTCCGGTACAGAAAACTTCGCCGGCGTCCTCCAGTTCTTCCACCGCAATCGCTCGTTCTTCAATTTGGTAACCCCGATCTGAAGCGATCTCCATGATGCTTTTCCTGGTGATTCCTTCGAGAATAGTCCCGCTTGTTGCAGGAGTCGAGATGACGTTTCCCTGGACGGACGAATTAAGACCGAAAAAATAAGAGGGTTATTATTTGCCGCCCGTGTCATTACTATTTGCCGCCCGTGTATTAAGTTAAAATGACTTTTTTGCCCTTATCAACACTCCTTCCATCACCCTCACACTATCACCATACCACCATCGTCGGCAGACCACCACCGCCGTTAAACCACCATCGTCGGAGCCATCGAATGAGACCACCTCATCGGGCGGCAAATAGCGATTCATATGGAAAAGTATGTTGTATCTAGGATACCTTGACGACGAAAATATTGCAACATGATACTTCTTCTATGTATTTCTTATGAACCGAATCGAGGTACAGAACTTCGGAGTATCCCCTTTGTTTTGCCTTTGATATTCCTTTCAGAACCTAAACGATCGAAATTTTGAAAATCGAAACGACCAAATTAGAAATTTGTCCATTGGGAAAATCAAGTCACCTCAATCTCAATCAGCATCAGCTTAGCTTAAATTAATTACATATAATTACCGGCGCATAATTGGTGATGGATTTAACACCTCCAGCTCCTCCAGGGGTTGCACGATGGAGTTCATCCTCAATTATCAAATCTAAGGATGCAAAAGTTCCCTGATGCACAATTGTGTTACTTTGGCAACCATCATTTTGGTCACAAAAAGGTTTATTCTTTACTTTTTGCGACCACATATTTGTCACAAAATATTGCTTTACCCTCGTACCTTGAAGTAGTTGCCCACTGGGGAACAATAGACGAGAAAAGTGTAGTCAGGCGCTGGAGCGAAACCAAGCACCGCCCCAGTACCCATTAGCAACGGCCTTATGTACAACGACCCTTTCCCCGGCGGAGGAACCTAATTTTACATTAATCAAAACTTATAATCAGTTAGACTAATTTTAAATGAAGGCAAGTAGCTAGCTTAACCACTCTGTGCCGAAAAACCCGAAAGTCAACTCACACATTAATTGATGTGTAAGCTAAAGAGCGACACTATTCGTTAATTACGACGAAATAAGTCAACTCGCCCATCGCTTGTTCGCAAGAGCGGTTTCCTTAACCGCATCTACGAACGTTTCGACAGAAGGTGAAGGCATGCAGATCCTCTCGGCGCCCATCTTCATTCGCAGGGCGTTCTGGTCCGGACGAAACAGGAGCAGTCGGTCATCTTCCGCACTCCTGTAAGCTTTTATCCCTTCCAATACTCCCTAAACATAACACAAATTTCACGCTTGTCAATAAAACCATTCAAAACTTCTCATTCTTACGAATGAAAGAAGAGATCTTTTGCTGACGGAAATTTTTTGCGGTGGCGAAAAGTGGTGACAAGTAGTTTTTGCGACCACCACTTGAATTTTTAGCGACGGATTTCTCGTCGCAAAAAGTCTACTCCCCGAAACGAGGAAAATCAGGGGCTTTGCCTGGCCATAGTTGAGGACTCCGGCCGAAGGGCTGAGTTCAAGTGCTCCGTAACGGGTAACTACTCCCTTCTGAAAAACGCCATCGTTTCCACATTTGTTGATGTACATATAGTCAGTCGGGGTGAGACCGAACCCGAGATTATCCCAATCCAAATCTGCATAGTACTGATCGCCATCTCTGCAGACAACCAACACAAAGCAAAGAAACAGATGTTCATCGTCAGCGCCATAAGGCGTAAATCGCGCCACATTGAAGGCGTGCATATGTGTATACCTGCGAGTCAATGGCTCAGTATCTTGTTGCAGTGAGGCCGCAGCAACACGCGATGCGTAGGAGCTACGAGCCCCGACTCCAAACTGTTATACATTGTTGGTTACGAAAAAAGGCACACAAAAGAAGACCAATTCGTTAGACGACTAAAATCTGACTCGCACGGTGCGAGAGAAATTAATTAAGTAATATGATTGATAAGCTAGGGTTCACCTGGAAATGAGGACGACGGAGAAACGACGACGACGAAGAAGAAGAACGAAGCAGTGCTGCTGGATTCAGCAGCCTTCGTATTCCCATCATCATCACTCAAAAACGGGCTAGTTGGCAGATTGAAACACGGCAGAGAAGAAATGACAAACCAAGAGAGTAGTAATATACTGCTGAAGAAGATGCTTATTGCTTGCTTGCTAGCTACTGGCTCTGCGTTATATGAGCTTTTATTATTTATTTCGTCAGAAGTTAGCCTGCTAGCACCAAAATATTTTTTTTATTTTCTTTTATTTAATTATTTATATGTCTTATCACTGTTGGACTGTGGTAAATCGTGTGCATAGTTTTGATTAATTAATTTGCAAGAGGATTCAAGATTTGAGGGCCTGGCCGGCCTTGGGCAATTTGACCGGTTTGGCAAGAACAATAAACACATGCAACTTGCGTAGGGAAGTGAGTGAGGGGAACAATTTCCGGGACACCAACGTGATTGGCTTGTTTCTTTATTTGGGGGAAATATCACCGGGAAAACTTGTAAATTTGCTAAAATTGTCATTTATTATAGCATGGATTTTGTCGAAATTACGTATCCTAGCACAATGTTTCGATTTCATTAGCGTTTGATCGTTAAATGATTAATGTATTGATAGATGATATGTCATCTGAACTGAACTTTTTTTCCATATTAGTTTTGAAAATGAAATAAAATAAAACAATACTGTGAGAAGGAGAAGAAAAGCATGCAGGAGGAGCGGGATCGAACGAATCTGATATGAAAAATCCCCTCTTTGCCGTCTCTTCACTATCTCCTTACTCTATAGTTTACCCCTCTTTGCGCCAAACTCCCCGTCTCTCACCATTACAGGAAAAGAATACAGGGAATCGTGTGTTTGAAAGTGAGTTTCTTGTGCTGAATAGATTTTAGTCACGGAAAATTACTGTACTATATAAAGCTCTGTGTCCGATTATAAATATTATCGTGACTATTTCTCTTGAGATACGCGCATGTCGATTTGTCTGTGATAGACTGTTAATCACGAGATATCATAAGACAATGAGATAATATGCTCTCCATTTTCGAATTACATGATATATTAGACCTCATTGTTTTTTTTTCTATATTATTTTAAACATATATGATTATATTACACACCGTGTAATTCGGGAATTTTATGTCAATTTATTTGTGTTATTATATCATGGATTCATGCTAGCCAAAAAAATAATATTATGAATATATGAATTCCCATTTCCCATTATTCTTCTACCTACAAAATAGATGAATCTATACACATGTTTTTATCTTGTAAATAAACAAGAAAAGGACACTCTGGATCCATCCTACATTAGTTTAATCGTAAATAATCATTCAAAAAGATCTTTCAAAATTTGCTCACCTACGTTCTCAACAGAATAAATGAATAATGCATTCCGCGTAATTCGTTCCCCAATTCTGACCAAAAATAGATTAATCTATTGCAACCAACAACCAATTATGTTACAGCTAGCCAAGGTGAAAGATAATATAACTAGCGCGAACTGCGCGCAGGCTGGCTGAAAACCCATAATATAATCATCAACTCCAAAGCTAGCTAGCTAGCTCCTTTCTCCTTCACAATTCACTAGAAAGCGATTCGACGAGGTTAGGATTAGTTGAGTTTTACGTGAATCGGGTATTGCTCTGAAACAGCACTTACAAAGTATTCTTCAAAACATCTCACCAAATATATATTTCGATATTTCTCAATAAGGACGACGATGAAGGCGTTGTGCTCGTTGCGAAAGGCATCGGTGCTCTCCGATGGCAGTTTCGCCGGAATCAAGCTCCGACGGGCTTCTTTCTCCAGTACCTCTCTTCTCGACGACACTCAGTCGCAGGTACACTCTCCATCTTTTCCTCTTCAATTCAACTGGTAGGAGAAGAAACCTTTTTTTTGCAACCGCATAGAAATGGTCGCAAAAAGTAATAGGATGGTCACAATTGGTAACCATTATGCTGCATTTGTGGAACCTTCCTTTCGTCACGCCAACTGATCTTCATGTTGATAGTTGTGGAAGTTTTGAGTTGACTTGCCTGAGGTTTTGAGCTCAACTACAAAGTACTTGCTAGCTAGTTGTGTGGTCGCGCTTTATGTATTCGTGACAAACAATAGTTGGTCGCAAATGCTTTTGTCTACCTATTGTTATCACTAGGGGTGTCAGTTCGGGTCGGGTTCGGTTACTCGAACCGAAACCCGAAAAAACTCGAAACCGAAAAATCACTGAAACCGAATCCGAACCCGATAAGGACTTGCGGGTTCCGGTTATCCGAAATCCAAAAAATCCTTATCGGGTTCGGTTAAAGCAAAACCGAAACCCGAAAACCCGAACGCGTAAGAATACGGGCTGAGTTCTATTCATTGGAGGTTTTTAGCCGGAACCCGAAAAACTGATAAGCAAAACCGAACCCGAAACCAAAACTAACATGAACCCGAAAAACCGAAAATGTATATAATCGGGTCGGTTTCGGGTAAACCCGAAAAACCAAACCCGAATGGACACCCCTAGTTATCACTCGGGAAAAAAAACTCACTAATAAATAATATTATCGTTGATTTTCAATTTCAAAATCTGACATTTAAATCTGAGGACTAATTTCCGGTGTCTACATTGCAATATTTTTTTTGGCATGCAAGTTCAAAGAGAGTGTGAAGCAGTTTGCAGAGGAGCATATTGCTCCTCGTGCATCTAAAATCGATCAGGATAACTCTTTCCCCAAGGTACGTTATCAATATTACTATGTACATATTTTCCTAAATAAATTTAAGTGAATTATTCTTAATCGACCATGTGATTGCATTTGTGTAATGCTAAATGAAACTATGGGCAGGATGTTAACTTATGGAAATTAATGGGAGACTTCAACCTCCTTGGAATTACTGCTCCAGGTTAATCTTATTCTTATAATATTCAACTTTTACCTTGTCAAATCTTGTTTTGAAAATTTCGTTTATGATAAGTGTGGTATAAGATTCATAAAACGACGGTTTATGGCGAGTAGTACGACTGTCTGTTATAACTGGGTCTTTTGATTGGATGCAGAGGAATACGGAGGGCTTGGTCTGGGTTACTTGTACCACTGCATGGCAATGGAAGAAATCAGTCGAGCTTCAGGAGCTGTTGGCCTTTCCTATGGCGTCCACTCCAACGTCTGCCTTGATCAACTGGTACGGTAGATTCTGCATATTGCAGTTACTGTTATCGAACGTCGATTTTCTCGAAAGGGTACAAAGTTGGGATCGTATTAGGGTATGTACGTTATTTCGTGTTTAATCCGATTAATTTTGATGCACGGCGCGAACTGTTGTGTCAGGTGAGGCACGGAACACCAGCTCAGAAGGAGAAGTACTTACCAAAGGTTGTGTACATTCTGTGGTCACATTTTCACCTGACCAAACGCTACCCTTTTCCCCATCTCAAATTTGCTAAATGGATGGAATTTGTCTCTGGTTTTTGAAGCTTATCAGTGGGGAGCATGTTGGAGCTACTTCTATGAGTGAACCCAATGGTACTCAGAATCTGCACAATCTCAAAACGGCTTTGTAAATTATATATCTCGTACATACCCTTTGATTTTATTCAAGATCCGTGCTAGAATTTTATATCTTTTACGTGCATTCAGCTGGTTCTGACCTCGTTAGCATGAGAACGAAAGCCGATCGAGTGGATGGTGGCTACCTCATCAATGGAACCAAAATGTGGTGCACAAATGGTCCAATTGCTCAAACATTGGTAACCTATCTCCCTTCTCGATCTCTTTCTCCTTCCTTGCACGTCATTCATCCAGACCGTTCACATCCAATCCATGCATCCAATCCATTTGTAAGTAATCGCTAAATAACGTACGAATCTTTTGTCAACCTCCAGGTTGTATTTGCAAAAACTGATATCACAGCCGGCTCGAAAGGAATCACAGCCTTCATTGTTGAGAAGGGAACGCCAGGGTAATTAAATTTTCAATTTGGAAGAATGACCCTGCAATGTAATTAGTGTCTAATTAAGTTGATTATGGACTTAATTACGAAACTTTGCATTGTAAATGGAATGCACGCAGGTTTTATACAGCACAGAAGCTGGATAAGCTAGGCATGAGAGGCAGTGATACGTAAGTCGTCAACAATTGCTCTCAAGTACTTTGATTAATTACTCACACATCTTGTCTTCAATCCTTAATCACTGACGTACAAAAATGGTGATTACCTTATATAACCTCAGATGTGAGCTCGTCTTCGAGAACTGCTTCGTTCCCGAAGAAAACGTGCTTGGACAGGAAGGAAAAGGTTTTGTACTACTAATGATGATCACTTCCTGCTTTCTATATGCTTCTTGTACAATAGTACGATCTCGAGTTATTAGGACGAACGAGAGAGTCGACGTATACTAATTTCCGTTTCTTCGTCTTGTTGGCTGCAGGGGTTTACGTGATGATGGCAGGGCTCAACTTCGAGAGGCTCGTGTTTTCGGGTGCACCAATTGGGATCATGCAGGCGTGTCTCGACACCGTTCTTCCTTACGTTCGGCAGAGAGAACAGTTTGGGCGGCCAATTGGGGAGTTTCAGTTCATACAGGGGAAGGTTGCTGACATGTATACTTCCCTGCAATCGTCAAGGTATATATATATATACATGACGATCATGGTTTCTCGACTAGAGCTAGCTAGCAACTATACGTAGCAGAGCATTCGATTGTACTTTGTTCTAAACCCTTCTCGATCTTGGTTTCGATATGGTCGTTAGGGCTTATGCATACTCTGTTGCAAGGGACTGTGACAATGGAAGAGTGGACTCAAAGGTCAGTTTCAGACTCTTTACCTTTTGCAATTAAGTTAGATCAGTTTGGTTAACTTGGTACTTACCTATGCGTTTCCAGGACTGTGCTGCAATCTTGCTTAATGCTTCGGAACGAGCTACACAGGTCGCCTTGCAGGTAGGTACCTAAGTGATCCACTGCACAGAACTCGATTTTTGTCGATGCCCTAATGAACGCGGTAACATCGTTAGTTTGATTCAACTCGTGCAAGTGGTTTATGTATAGTACCTGATATGTGCTGTGAAATGGACTGGTTTTCTGTATGCAGGCAATACAATGTCTGGGTGGCAATGGATACATCAATGAAAATCCAACCGGACGTTTTCTTCGAGATGCCAAGTTGTACGAGATTGGTGCAGGGACTACCGAGATTAGACGAATGATCATCGGTCGAGAACTCTTCAAGCAGTACTAGCAAAGTACTGTGGGATTACTGGCTTTGATTAATTTCTCCTATACAAATTAATTCATGTTGGAATTAATCAACTAATAGCTGGTGCTGGCCTAGAGGTCTTCGTTTTTGTACGTGAGACCAATGCATTGTTCAGAAGCTTTCACTGTCAGCAAAGGTCATATATGGTGATTTTATTTGAGATTTTAACATAATGGGCAAGAGCAGAATGTTCTCAAAGCTCTTTCCAGTTTGAATGGCACAATTGTGAGCATAACTCGTCGAATCCTAATTACCAACGACGCAACTTACTGTGATCGACCAAATATCGATTTATGCATTCACGATACATGCTAAAAGAATAGCATCGCTTTTATCGTATACTTAACTGGATTAAACCTAAAAAAAGACATGTCACCTACGCGCCAATCAACTCGAGGTTTTGATCAGGACTACGTACCAGGACAGCAGACATCAGGGCTCAATCTACTAGCAGTAGCAGAGAGAGACCATCAGCCGAGAAGGCAGAAATCGTTCCTGGGTCCCTACATCTGGCAGGAAAAAAACCAACAACAAAAAGAGCAACTTTCATTCAACTTCATCCATATCCCCGTATTGCTCTGTCCAGTAGGCTGATGCTTCCTCCTTGCTCCGGAAAGTCCAGATATGAGTCTTGGCTTTCTCACGGGTATTGAGAATATCCTGAAAACAGTAACCCAGATAAGTTGAGGGGATCAAACTTAAGGATAAAGCAAGACGAGCAACCGTTCAAGAACAAATGCTGATTTACAGTGTTATTTGTTAACGTCCAAAACCAAGAAACAAATGCAAGCTGCAGCATTGATCATTATAAAAAGCCCAAACCAGTGGCTCTTTCAGCATACACCTGGTTTACCTAAAGAACAGAGGATGAAGAAAAAAGATGATACCACGAAAGTGGAAGTACAAACAAATTCAACTCTCCACCAACTCATTCGTAAAAATGAACTAAAAACTGTCCACAACCCAATTAACAAGATGATCAGGCACCAAAGGCTACAGCCTACAGCAGCTTCAGTGGAGGTGGATTAAGGGCACACATCATATAACTAGGATCTGAGAATTTAGGAGCAGAGCTTTCTCGAGTCAAAGCATCCCCAATAATCGTCACAACTCTTTCTGCTCTCAAAAGAGCTTCCCCAAATCAGACGCTTTTGATACTGTTTTTTTGGACAGCTGAAGAATGTCAACAATCACAGTAATCATCTCATCAAGAAAAACGATTCAGCTTGCCACCTACCCAAGATTTCCACAGCCCAATTTTCAAGTGATAGTGCAAGACAGGCTCGAGTTCTATGAAACCGAAAAATTCAAGAACTAGCTTCAGACAACAGCGTAGTGAAATTCTAATGGTGAAGATCATGTAGAGCAGAAATTAACCGTCTACAACATAAGCTAATTTCACTGAGAGATGCAACCCTCAGCATGCATCCTTCCTCGTAAATAAAGAGCATGTAAAGAGAGAAACCTTCAGCCATCAGTGAGCTGCCTAAGTACAGGACGGAAAGCAGTGTTGCATTCCCCATCAGACCAGACAAAAGGCGTTTCACTAACAATCATTGTACCCTTCCCCAAGCCACAATTACCAGTTTCTCAGCAAATACACAGCTTTCTATTCTGCTGACTCTTTCTCTAGCACCAAACACTACCATGTAAAGGCAAATTCCCAAGCAGATGTTCTCAATCGATATGTTGTTAGCTATGCAATGATCTCCGGAGCACAACATACAAGCACACCAGGAGAATCGAATGATTTTGGATTGGAGATTTGGGGGAAACTGACCTCGATTTCGGAAGACCTCTTGGTCTTGAGAGTCAAGCAGTCATAGAGAGCGCTCCATTTCCCCGAGCAATTGTCGAGCACTCCAAGCCGATAATACTGCTGCATCTGATGAACTGGGGCTGACGACACAAAGGAAGCAAGAACCCGCCGCCATCAGCGAAGGCAACACACACAAGAATTCGGCAGAACGAACAACCGGAGACGGAATCAAAAGAATTGATTAACCGGAATATGAAAAAAAAAAAAGGAAGGAGAAGAAGATCCGTACAATAGCAGAACCAGAGGGCGTCAAAGTGCTTGGTGCAGGACAGACGCCGCCTCGCCGCCGACGAAGTCACCTCCTCCGGTTCCATGCTGGTCGCCGATGGAGTCTGCTCTCTCTCTCTCTCGACGCTGAGTTTCGGAAAGACGGCCCCGTTCATTAGGGAGCGAAACGCAGTGCTCAAATCAGGTTTTAGCGGGCGAAGCATTTGAGGCTTGGGCTGTGGGCTCGATGTTCCAGGATAAAAGCCTCCCCCAACTTGGGCCCATTAGCTCACTTTAATTTTTGTGGTGACCAATGATAACTTGGTTGGTCTAGCTGTATAATCATCCTTCATTATGTCAAGAAAAAATCAAATTTTGTGAATATGAGAGGGCTTGTAGTTGTTTATAACCAAAACTGCAATTAGTTTAAGTGAGATTGTTTTTTTTCATAGATAGATGAAAATAAATAGTTAGAGAACATCACACAACCAAACGCGCCAGTCGACCAATAGTCGAACTGTCGATAAAAGGGCTTGTTGTGCCACTAAATGGATAGTCCTGTTAAACCTGCGAGGAGTAAAAGTACAAGAAAACACGGAGAACGAAGACATCGCCACTCGTATCTCCTCCAAAATTGCACCGCCCCGACTATGCGCCGCATCCCTTTCCCGCACAGCTCGCACCAATGTTTCGCAATCCCCGCAGAAATTCGCAATCAGGAAACCATGCATCAGACACCAATTTATTGCATCACGAAGTGCTAACAATTCCATAAGGAAAGGATCATCGATACCTGGAAAGTGTTTGCCAAACGCGAATAGCAAGGCACCATTCATCGAAAAGCCCGCAAAGCCAATACCACTTCCTGCTCCTTGTCTCCATGCTGCATCCACCCGGACTAGTACCCCACCCGGAGGGCACTCCCCGTCGCGGCCGGATTGTGCGCCCAGCGCAGCTTGCCGACCCTGGTGAGTGAGATTACGGGTTCCCTGATGCAAGGCAAGAGGCTCTGTGGCAGCCCGCTATTCTTCCACCTGAGCTCGATATTGTCAAAGTAGTGCTGGCCCCAAGTATTGGATCCGTTTATGAACCGCCCAAGTGAGATTGTTAAAATACTCTATTGTTTATAATTTATTATTTTCCTAATTTTTATTTATAGACAATATATGTATTGTTTATTTGATGTGATCGAGATTGTTCAAAATAAATTTTTGTATTGTTGAAATTGTTAATTCAATACTATTGTCTCTTTTTTCAACCTTAACCTTTAAAAGTTATATTTTCCATTGAAAAGGAGTAGAAGGAACATTTCCATTAAAAATTATTTTTCCTTGTAATTATTGCTGACACAATTACAAATATCCATTGTAATCTATCTATCTATCTATCTATACATAATATTATGGCAATTCAAAAGTAATTGTTTGCCACCTAAGCACTTGGAGAGTTCACAAATTGCCAAGGTGGACAATATTTTTACAAAAAGAAAAATAGTTATTGATATATTTATGGAGTTATCTCTCTCTTCAATTAATATTTCATTTCCCTTTTATCTTTTTTTTTGTATTATATCAATGTACACAATAATAATAATGTATGAAAAGTGACATATATTACCTTTTTTATCTCTAACTTTTTTTATATTTATTTTTCTTTTCCAATACTTCCTTTATGTTTTTGTTTCTACTTTTGCATTGTATCGATGTACACAACAATAGACTAATGTCTTTGAGTCACACATGTAACTTTTTTCTCAACCAAAAAAATATCTTATTAAAGCTCACTAAGTAAATTTTTAACTCACTTTTACAATAATTTACAAATATGTTACTTTTTGATGAACAATTTATACAAATACACATACATAATAACATTTTATCGCGACAAAATAACTATGGAAATTAAAGAGAGAAAACAAAAAAGGTTTGAATAGAAACTTGACCAAGCAATAAAATCTATTTCTTAAAAAAAAACCTTATTCATTCTAATTAAGTGAAAACATATGAATCATAGGTGCAATAATTTACAATGTATCCTAAGTTCAAATTACTAATATTTTGCATTTTTTGCTCTATATCGTGTTAATTGAGCAAACTCTACTGAAGTTTTACGTCATATGTTAATAAATTTAATTTTCATACTTGGAGTAATAAATTTTCAAGGATTATAAATAAAAAAATTTAAAATGACTTCGGTATGATTGTTGATGAACTTGACTTCATATCTTAAGATGAGACATGAGATACGTTAAAAAATGATACATGTGAAAGTTAAATGAATCTTTGCTAAACTGTATGTTAAACATCATGTGTTCATCAACCACTGACCTAAGCATTAATCAAATAAAGGTTTAAAATCTATCTATCTATCTATGGCAATTCAACAATAGTTTGTTGCCACATAAGCACTTGAGAATTTATAAATTATCATGGTTGACACTTTTTTTACAAACACAAAAGTAAGTTAATGCTCAATTTATGTAGCTATCTCTATCTTCATTTAATGTTTTCTTTTGTTTTTATTTAATAATTCATTTGTACCTTTTGTAGTATATATGTGCAGCAACAGTATACTAATGTTAGGCTGACATGTATCGCGATTGTTTAAACAAAAATATTTGAATAAATCTTATTAAGTAAATTTTCAGTTTACGTCATATGCTAAGTAGGTGTTAGGCCATTACCTTTTGATTTGTCGTTAGGAGGAGAAATTTTGAGTGAAGGCAAGCAAACCAAATAACGGGTGTTAAATGCAATAGAGAGTGGAAATACCCGGTTAGACGAAACTAACAATATCCACAATTTGGTGGCGCCTGTGAGAAATGGTGCATGAGGACAATTTAAAATTCAGCTGGCGATGTTACTATATGGGCCGTGAATTGGTGGACAAAGGTGAGGATTGGACAGAGCAGATCTGGTATAGATCTTCAGTAGTGGCCGTGGCAAAATGTGGGAGGAGACAGCTTAGCAATTGATACATATTGATTAAATAACATTTAAATAGCTAAACCTTTCAGTTTTTTTAAATTATTAGCCAAACCTTTCAAACTATAAATGATTAGCCACATATTTTGTATCACATCAAAATATTAACCATTTGTTTGTTATCATTAATAATTTTGTAACTCTTTTTTAATTAAAATACTAAATTGGATTATATACAGTCATGTGTCTCTTCCAACTCATCATCATGTTGTTGAGTCAACATTGTATTTTACTTTGTATTTTGAATTTTTTTTGAAATATTTTATTAATAAAATGTATTTACTCTGTTATATAATATACTAAATTTGGGTCTCTTGATAGACATATGTTAACATAAAATCGTTAGGAGACTTCATGAAAATTCACATGAAAATGAGGCAAGATTAGAGAAGTTGATCATCGTAAGAGATATGATCTTTCTTAGCAAACACGTACATTTTTTTGCAATAAAACACATGCATAACTAATAGGGTTAATACCCTAGTTTGGCCTGAAGTTTAGCGTGAGTGACAGTTTTGGCCCCATTTTTCAAATAAGACATTTATGGCCTACTTTTGAAATTATTGGACAAATTTGGCCCGAAACTTGTGTTGATCGTTAATATTAACGGTCAAACACTTATTCCATTAGTGACTCATCAAAGAACTACTGACGTGGCTTATACATGGTGCCATGTCATTAAATAAAATATTTCTTAATTTTCTAATTCAATAAATAAGAAGAAAAAAAACCCCAAAAACCCCCAACCTCCTACGGTCCTACCCTTATCTCTTCCTCCCTCCGCCTCATTCCCACTGATTCAACCCCTTCTTCCGCCGAGACCCGCCTCTACATCCCCAGACGAGACAAAGAGAAGAGGAAGCTGCCGGTGTTGGTGTACTTCCACGCCGGTGCGTTCAAGGGTAAGACGCCGTCGGGGTGGAACGAGCGGCTGTGGAAGAAGATCTGCGGGGGCGCAGGGCAGGGCTTTTGACTGGGACTGGTTCCTTTTCCTCTTCTTCGTCCTCGACCGCGGGCAGGGCTCTTTTCTTCTTTTTCCTTGTTCCTCCACCGCGGTCGCCGTCCCCTCAGATTCCACTCCGTCGTCAAGATCGATGGATTCGGACCCGATTCAGGTTTTGTTCGTCTTCTCCCTCAGCCGAACGAACTGGTGGCTGTTCGTCTTCTCCCTCACACCGTCGCTGCTATAAACCCACCGCCCTTCAACTCTCTCTCCAACGATCCTCTCTCATTCCCCGATATCTGCTTCCTCCGCACCAGATCTGAGTTGATGGCGGCGATGTCGAGCTTTTTGTGGGCTCGATTGTCGATTAGAGAGAGGGAGGAGGTTGGTGGTGAAGGCGCCGGTAGGCCATCGATCGAGGAGAAGGGACCGCGACCACGATAATCGTTACCGTCGAGACCCAAACACCTCCCTCCTTCTGCTCGCGTCGTCTTCTCTCGATGGTTCGTTACAAAACTCATCCACCTCTGGCGCTGGTCGGGATTGAAATTGGAGGAGCGATTTTGTTGATTTCCCCTCTGTTTGACAGGGGTGAATTACTTCCTTTCTCAATGACGTCGAGGGCACCATCTATCACGGCGAGGGAGTGGGTTTTGGCGATTGGAGGTTTGTCCAAGAGGAGAGTGGAAAAAGTCATGGGGAAAAAATATTTATATATTTAATTAGTTTTTATTTTTTTAATTTAATAAATGATGACGTTTAAGATCCTAGTCAGCACCAAATACTGAGTCACTAACGGAAAATCATTGACCGTCAATTTTGACGGTCAATTTAAAACCCATGCCAAATTTGTCCAATACTTTGGAAAGTAGGCCACAACTGTCTTATTTAAAAAATTGGGCCAAAACTGACATATACGCCAAACTTCGGGCCAAACTACGGAATAAAATAATTTGATAAAATTTCAATGGAGCAAGAATAAATAACCTCATTGGATAAATGAAAATGATAAGTAAGAATAACTTTTCTCTCACTTATAATGTGTCCTTCCATCCCTTATTTTCTTTTACAATTGTTCATATTTCCCTTTATTTTCTTAACATTTTACAAATCCCATTAAAAACAAGTATTAATTACACTTAAAATAATTAAACTCTTTTTAATATATATGCTTATATATTGACAATAAATGTGGCAATACAGAAAAATGCATATATTAGTATAATTAATGAAATTTTTATTTCTAAACTAATACCAAACATAAATAAATTTTAGAAAACGAAGGTTCTACAAGTTGTAAAATTATACACTAACGCACCATATTAAGATCAAAATCCGTATGTGAGTATCTTCGATTGAGATTCTAAAATAATGTATAAACAACGACAATGAGTCTCAATTAGTCCAAATTAAATTTAAAAAATTAGCAATTGATACATATTGTATAAGAGATTAAATACAAATAAGATCTTACAAAAAACTTCATGAACATCCAAAGTGTCAACTTTTAATTGGGATGTAGAAATTTATCCAATAATGAAGTATATGTACAAAGAAACTCTAACTAAGATGTCCTCATCTGAACAACATGGATTCATATAAGATAGAAAAAATTGTACATGGGACGTGGTATACCTTTGTGACATGGTTTATTATTAGAGAATTCAAACATTTTAAGTGAATGTACTAAGTATTGAGAATTTTCAATATATAGACACACCACATACTCACTTATTAATACAAAATATAATAAATTTAGAAGGTCTAAAATAGTTTAAACATATAGATAAATTGAATTAATGTCAACAATAAAATGAAACTCTCCGGCCAACGGGCCGGGTAAAAAGCTAGTCTACAATACACCAAATTCAAATATTATACATTTATGATCTATCTATCGAATTACACAAAATGTCCCCATTATCAAAATTAAGGCCCTGTCTGCAGTAATTCGTCTCTAAATAATCAGTCCCCTAATTGCTACAAATATACAACAACTCATCACTGCATTCATTAATTCACACTGAAAAGCCATTAAGCTCGGCTGAAATGAAACTACACGATCCAGCCTGCATTGGCTTGGCCTCCCCCGTATTTAGAACTTGATGCAGTACTCCAACAAGCTTCTCTGCAATGGAGACTTTTGCTCATTGGAGAATGCCAAATCCCAAGATTTGCACTAATCACTTATTATGTCTTCGAAAACTGCAATTAGTGTATGCTCACTGCACCTGCAGACTGAAATCTGCGTCTCTCCGAAGCTTCTGGTTCATAGCTTTTGCCTCCTCAGGCAGATAGAGATGTTTTTGGTTTTCCACCATCTTTCTAATGGTCCATTCCTTGTATCCTTCCAATCCCAATAATAACATGGAGCTTGAAGTGAAGAGCTGGTTATGTAAAAAGCAACTTCAACTCTTCGATTCGTGCACTCCGGACTTCTTGATCAGTTAAGGCACCAGATATCATCCGATGTTTGCGTGCTTGAACTGCCTCCATCCTCTCCTCAACTGTCCCCTGCCCCTCCAAATTCAGCATCTTTCAGTTATATATATCTTAAACATAACCGCAAGTTAAAAGAGACATCGGTGAATTGCGATGTGTGTACCTTGACAATGAAACGCCTGATCATTACTGGTTTTGTTTGTCCAATGCGATGTATCCGCATTACTGCTTGTTCCTCTACTGCTGGATTCCACCATGGATCCTGCCACAAAAGAAACTCATACATCAATCAGTTACCGTTTGTCATTACGCAGTTCTAGAAAACAACAAATAAATATGCATTCTCTAAAAAACGGGCAAGCTCAAATGATTGTCCTTCTCTGTTAACATGAATTTGGAAGACTGCTCAGTTGACAGTTGTTGTTTTGCATGCAGAAAACAAGTCACGATTTGAAATTAAAGGTCTAGCCATTGAATACCATAACGAAGGCATTGGATGCTGCTGTTAGATTGATCCCTACCCCTCCAGCTTTCAGGGACATCAGCAATACCTGAGTTGGACAGTAGCCAAACACGGAAACAATCAGTTACATGTTGGACACAGACGATCCAGAAAATAGTAATAATAGAGGTTTGTGGACCTTTATACTATCATCTTCGGAGAACTGTTTTATCACTCTTTCACGCTGCTGCTGGTTCAGGGTCCCATCAAGGCGTAGGAAGGAAATGTTACTCCTGACCACAAAGAGAAACATATCAGAAGAGTTAGGATGATACGAACACAAAAAAGTACAGATTTCTTGGCAGATGTCACATGAGAACACAAGTTTGGTAAATCTCAAATTGTAAGTGCACAGCAAGGGTAAATGGCACATTTGGTCATTGAGATTACTAAATCATGTCATGTTTAGTCACTAGAAAAAATTAATATCAATTTTGGTCACTCGAATTACTGAAACATGTCACATTTAGTCACTCTCCCGTTAGTTTCTGGAGGCTAACGGAGAGTGACTAAATGTGACATGTTTCAGTAATTCGAGTGGCATTCATAAATAAAAAAAAGTAATTCGAGTGATCGGAGTTAGACGGAAGCTGACGGGAGAGTGACTAAATGCGACATGTTTTAATAATTTGAGTGACCAAATTTGATATTAATTTTTTCTAGTGACTAAACATAACACGATTTAGTAATCCCAATGACCAAGTGTGGCATTTACCCGCACAGCAAAGACACCAAATGGACAATCTAGCTTCAGTAATCAGTCCATCAGTCTGGTTTTTCCAAAAACTGAAATTGGAAAATTCTGAAAAGATACCAGGTGATACCTTGTAAGTGGGATTTGTAACAGATCCAGAAAAGCAGTCCACTGGCTGAAAAGAATGCTCTTAGAACCGGAAGGACGAAGAGCTTCAAGTTCTTTCAAGAGAGTGGTCACTTTGGTCGATTCAATCCAGTTTCTCTCAACATCAATCTGAAACCGACTGTCTGTTGGAGCAGTGATAAGCTCTTGCTTAGTCACAGCTTTCCTGCAAGATTATACGAAATTGCATCATGTGGTTATGTGAACTAGAACTTAAAGAGAATTTCAAGGACATAAAGTTCACTTTCAGACAAATGTGGAGTCATCCGACTAGAACATGGAAAAGTACCTACAAACAGGGCATAGACCAGAACTTGCATTTCTCCAACTTGACAAGAGACATTCTCGACATAGCCGGTGAGCACAAGGTGTCAATACTGCATCTTCAAACGCTTCAAGACAAATTGGACACTCCCCCTCTCCTCCCTTTTGGAGTTCATCTACAACTTCTTGGACATATGCCACCGAAGGAGCACCCGGGTCAGTTCCCTGCAGGATACTTTGGCCACCTTTCAGGAGACGCTTAGCCAACTTGTTCATATCTGAGAATTCTTGTGTATCACCTCGACTGTGTTCATCAATGTAAACCAACAGACATAATTTTAATTTATCTCACTAATGGTAAGTTGGCAGATGGACCAAATTGAAAACAGTAGCTAATGCCCAAAGAAGGTCAGAATTTCTCAAATAATAATACTCTGAACTATAAAAGAGGTTAACTTGTAAAACAAACTCCAAAATCAGATGCTGAAGCTTGATAACCAAGCTTGATTTTAGAACACTCAGCTTTCCTTTGGAATTAAGCTATTCCAGTTTTTATCAAATGATGCATTTTTTAAACATCAGGTTAGAGTTAGTCTGCGCCGAAAGTAATACGCCTTCTCCCAGTACCCAGTAAATGACTGAAATCAAAATGCAATTTAAATTGCATAAAATAATAGGCAGGAATCACAGAAGTATGAAACATCAGTAGTTCCCCTGTTACCTAAAACAAAAAACATAAGCATCTCTCTAGATATTGAGCTAGCCTCCAGCGTCTTGATACCCAAATGAGAGAGGAACAATCCTTGTTAAGGAAATACATACTTGAAGCAATCAACACAAGCAATCCACCAATCACTGTGATAAATAAAGGCTTGTCTTTTTACTTGTATGAAAGAAATTAAGAAAGCATCCGGAGCATACCTCATTACAAGAAATGGATGGTCACAGCATTGACGAAGACGCAACAACAACTCCAGTATTGAAGCATAATTATGCAGAACCCTGCCTTGCTCAACAAATTGATCAAACTTTACCTGAAGATATTAGACGAGTAAAGCCACAACAAAGATGAGTTAAATCATAAAAACAAAGTAATGAAGATAACAGAGACATGGAAATGCACGTGTAAGGACCTTGGATCTTCGAAAGAGGGCATCATAGAAGTCCTTTTCAGTTTCTGTCAGTTCACAATAGGTCACCTGAATATCAGCTGGAGGGAGATCTATGATTGGCCTGCATTGAGAACAAGCTTAAGAACCAATGGGTTTTATAAAGCATAATAAAGCTCTCTTTTTTCAGGCTCAATAAGACCTGTTGTCAGACTTTGTGCTCACCTGCCATCTCGATCTGTGCTTGACTTTGTTCTCCTGAGCATAATAGGCTTCAGAATAGACTGGACCAACTTTAGACCTCTCTCATCACCCTCATCGTACGGCCTTTGAATGAGTCTATTCCACCTATTGCACACAACAGAGAAGAACCATATAGAGTCATTTTCTCTCAACTGCGGCAGGCTGTCATAGATTCCAAGTGACATGAGATTTTTCCTTTTGACGGACAGCACAAGCTCCGAGAGCTAAGCTACACTATCTCTACTCCAGAGTCCAGACATCACATCATCGTCGGGCAGGTAACTAATAGTGAGGTTTCATACACATTGTCAAAAATCCAATTTGATCGACATGGGATTTTAGGTAAGCATGGTAGTATGACCTGATCGTTCTTGAAAACCTATAGATAGATCAATCTATGCAAATAAAAAACTAGCATAAAAAAATTATGAAATACTAAAACACTGCTAATTTTATGAATATTGCTCGTTAATCATAAGCATAATTTTATAAAATGATAAAGATGCTTTCATTGCTATGCCACCCATATTTATTTCTATTTTGTGCACCAAACTTCACTTTAAAAAATTTGATTCAACCACCGAATGCCAATAGGGGCGCTTATCAATCTATGAATGTCAGAACACAGAAATGTCACCATGTTAGGCTAATGATCACTAGTTAGGCAAAGTCAAACGAATTAGCTAAAAGAGCCCTTACCATGCCCAATTCTCCCAAGGTTCCACCTTCAAAAACCGAAGTAGACTGTAGAGATCTTCCAACTTATTCTGCGACAACGTAGAAATTAAATCAGGGACTACAACACACTAAACTCAATGATCTGAAGTACCATTAATCTAGTTTGTTGAACCTAGACCCTTCTGGAAAGATAACTCTAGTAAGCAAGGAGTTTAAGCAAATAAATCACATTGAAATATTAAAAAGACACAAGCAAGATGAAGGCATGTTATACAACAGCTGCCATACAGTTCTCTCAATAAGCTGCACATAAACAGTTCTCAGAAACTGCTTTCCCAATACTCGGCAGAATGTATTGTCTGGTAATGGGTATTTAGTGAAGTGGGGTATCACATATTAAGTCTCATACATTAATCGAATTTTCTATGGCAAGATTGCAAATGTGTTCTCTAGTCAGTTGAGACGCTGTTTTGGTTCCAAGATACACTGTGAAGGAGTCGAGATGTAGAGCTAGGCTCAACCTTGCAATCACAGCCAGTAGAACAAATGTCATGATACAACACCAAGTCGCTGACTTTGTTAATTGATATTCTCAGACACAATGAATCTTTCCTGGGACATAGCAAGCAAGAGGACACAGGAACATACTACAAAGTGAAACTCTCTGCATTATCGTCTGCTCTGAAGTAGCTGACCTGGATGGGCGTCCCTGTGAGACACCAGCGCCGATCGGCAGTCAGACCAGCAGCAGCCACTGATATCTGGCTCTTTGATGATTTAATGGTATGTGCTTCATCAAGAACCACTCTAAACCAGCAAACCGAGTAAAGACCACCATTCTCAGAAGCATTCTGTGCAGGCATAAAGAGAGCAGAAGAGGACACCAACGTAAATGTGAAGTTAACTACAATCCATGGAACAAAAACATAACCAGATATAACACGTAGGAAAATTGCACATTACCTCAGCAGAAAACTCAGAAGCCAAAACACCATACGTGGTTACTACTACGTCGTATTGTGCCAGCATTTTCGCATCCTTCGCTCTACTTGGTCCATAATGAGAGTATAGAGAAAGAGAACCTGGCTTTGCATGGGTCTCTATCTCTGCCTGGCAATATTCAAGAGCATACGATGAGTTTGAATAGCAAAATTTTACACACTAGCCAAAAGCTACTGAGGACTTGCAAAAATGCAAATTGGAAAGGACACAAGGAAAACATAGAGAATGATAAAATAAATGCATAGAGATGACTGGATGTATACCTTCCACTGTCCCAGAAGAGTCATAGGACATATGATCAGATTACCACCATAGCTGAGTGACTTTCTCTGCTTTGTCACCTTATCACCTAGAATTGTTTTCTTGTTAAAGGGACTCGATAATTGTTCAGAAGCATCACTAAATGCCTCAATTTCACTGGAAGTCTGACTAAAAGATTTACTACTCGATGACCCAGACTTTTCTGGATGACTGAGTAGGAGAGATATAGTCATTATAGTCTTCCCAAGTCCCATTGCATCCGCTAGAATCTGCAATACCACAATGTAGTTAAATGCCATAAGAATATGACAATGCTCCCAACTTCAGTCTAACAAAAAGGAAAAGTTACTCACTCCTCCTCTAGCCATCTGAAGAGTGCTTGGGAAGTCAACAGTTGCTTCACCTGAAAATGCATTCAAATAGATGACAAGCCCTCTCCTGCACGAACAAACACCTCGTCAACATTCATACCGCCTGGCACTAGTGTATTGACCAATTTCCAACTCAATATACTTGTCTGATATATGATAAGCCTCCCAACAAGGATGAAGTGTTGTTGCTGCCTCGTCAGCACAATTCCCTCTTTCAAGCTCCATCATCCAGTACAAGGCCTGCTTTTGGTAGGGACGAAGTTCACACTGAAGCGTAGCAGGAGGATCCATTTCCTATCAAGCATCACATTTTTTAGTGACTGCACCTTCAAGTACATCTTCAGCACTACCATTTAATAATGCAATGAAGCATTGAAACCCAGTACCTTTAACTCGTCGCTTTGTCCTACTCCAACAATCTGATCAAGATCAGCCTCTGAAATGAACTCCTCATCCTCCGTATCATTTTCATTTTTCAGCTGACTTTTAGACTTGTTGACACGCACTAATGATGCATGAAGACCAGAACTTTCCTGTTAAACTAGTGTCGTCATTATCCTGCTTTAATGCGAGATGGGGGGAAATCCAGACAGAAGAATCTACACTATGATTGCATGTTTACCTTTGAGAGCAAAGGCCGCTTCCTAGTGCACAAGTCAGCAGGGGTAAATGCAGCCTGTGATGGGAAGCATTCAAAAAATCAGAATCATTGAATTCAGCAAACATCTATCCCAAGGAACAGTACTAAGATAGTAAAAAAAAAATTCGCTTGGCCTCAACGAATACAAATATTTTAAATTTCAGAACTAGCAGAATAAGACCTTCTTGAAAGGAGTTAGACCAAGTAACCGGAACAAATTTGGAAGGGGATGAACAACTGTTTCTTCAGTGGTACTGCTGGCTACTTTCAGTGAGGTCTGCTGAAACTTGTGGAACATGGCACTATTGATGTAAACACTGAATCAAAGGAAACAGATCAGCTACTACATAAGATTGCCAGCGAGCACAATTTACTGATGCGCCAGTAACATCTATAACTTCCATGCCACTGTGACACCACTAGTTATGAGGATTTCAAAGCAATCATAAGACTTCAGCAATTTCACGAACTAGGAGACCAATCTGACCTTACTGATAATTCAATTGTACCCATGATTCCAAGTATCTCCGGAGCAGACTTACAGTGCCCTTCTATCTTAACCTTCTTATCCCTCACAAGTGGAAGAAGGCACCTACCCCACTCATTCGGTATTCGACCAATCTGGAATATGCAAAATTAATCATGGGCATAGTTGTTCTACATAAGTTACAAGTACTGAAAACACAATGCCCACTAGAATTACAAATTCAGCGATATCGAAAGCAAGTTTGACCATACCTCCCCACCATTTACGGTAGAAAACCTCACTATCTCTGAACAAGCGGCAGCCGCCTGTCTTCCCTTTCCAAACCCCTTCGCAGCCGAAGCCGTGCTCTTCCTGTTGACTGGAAAAGTAAACATAACCTCATCGCCAGCCTTGATTTTCCTCCCTTTACTCGTCGACAACCCTGCAACCACCCCATTTCCCAAACACCACCACTCACCGCCAAGTACACCTGAAACGGAACTCGAACCTGACAACCTCACTCTCTCATCAACTCCATCCCCCGATTCCCTCCCTCTCGGACTGACACCCACATCGCCGACCAAATCACGACTCCCACCGTTCTCCTTCTCCGCTCTCCTATGTTCAGCAGAACTAGGTTTAGGCCCGGGACTGGGGCTTGAAATGGAAGCTCTCGGAGATTGAAACTTGGGTTTTGAATTGAAGTTGGGCGTGTCGAAGATAATGTTTATAGCGGCTGTTGGGTCGTGGTTGGCGAGGTGCAGAGCTCTGATTATATCCATGTCGGAGAACCCGGATCCGACAATTGCTCGGACGGTGGTGAGCAGCTCGTCACTGACCTTGCTCCCCATTGATTTTAATCCAGCACCCTGGAAAAAAAAAACCCTAACCCTAACTCTCCGAGTTCCCTCGCTGGGCTGGCGAATCGGAGAATGACCGGGTGGCGACTGAGCTAGAGTGGTTAGGGATTCCGCGTAGGGAATTTGCGCGGGGAAAATTGGAGGGTATTTTGAAATGAGACGACGAGTGGGGAAAGAGGTGGAAACGGCTGGGGACGGCGAGTGGGAATTTTGCCTTCTGCGCTTCTTGTGAAGTACTCTACTCGTCCACGCCGCACGTCTAACTTTCCCGCCACCGTTCCATTTATTTTTCTTTTTCTGTTTTATGTTTCCATTATATTTTGCATTCTATTTTCTCAATTTGTTAAATAAAAAATTTGTACTAGTCTCACAAATTTTTAAGCATTTCGTTTCCATCCTAAATCTTCTCGAAATCAACAGAAGGATCAACATCGTCTCCCTGTGCACCTGCAATTTAAATAGATTTGATACATTATCGTGATTGTCATACGAGTTATAGTTGCCTTCTCTTCGAGCTTCGACATCTCATGAGTGATCTTTCCTAACCAATGTCAAGAGGAAAATGAAGCTCTTAACAAATTCGATCCAAATATTGAGATTTGGGATCAATCATAGTTCTTTCATATAATATTTTCAATAAGGTTTTCTTTATATCAAACTTATAAGATCACACCCGTTCATCTGAACCTATTCATTGAATTACTTGACTGATAGAATTCAAATAAGCATTAATAGTTATGCTTTCTTAAATTAAGGTGGTGTTGTTTTGAAATTATACAATCCATACGACCATTTAGTATTCCGTGAAGACCCTGGATAGGAATTTGTAGATGCTTCTCACATGAGTAATTGGTTTGAGATCTCTTACATTCTCAAGTACCTCGTTTTAAGGACCAACTAAATAGAAGTACCATATCCATCCTAGATAAATGTAGACTATAAAATATCTGCATAATCGACATCACATATGCCTTAACCACATCCCATAACCATTTGAAGAGCCCAGAGGACACCATCCAGGCTCAAAGTCCTAACCTTAGCTTGCAGTTTTTCAAAATCACCCCCTCAATCTACCTTTTTCATATGAGTCTATAACAAAATTGGTGAGACTGACCGCCTCTAAGTCATCGAATTTTCTAAACTCCAATTTTTACGAGGAGCCTTAAAAAGGGATGAATCCTAATACACCTTCTTGTATAACTCCAAAATTGATAGAGAAAGACTCATGGACCCATAAAATTGAACTCGTACCACCTTAATGTCATCCACAAAAGTTTTATTTCCTCTTATGATTGATGTCTTTGTAAAATAATTTAATATACCTATATCATTATGTAAAGTTTCGCTGGATTTTTTCTTAAAGGTTTCTCTCTTATTTTCCACGACCTAATCGGAGACCATATCATAAGTCTCGCATTCATACTCTAATCATCCATCATTTCGTTTAAGTTTCTATTTATTCACAACAAACAATCTTCCCAAAAATTCTCTATATATCTCCATCAACCATTCCACAATACAAAACACTTGTGTATTACATATCGATAACCCATCTTAAAACTCGGTAATTGCGTCTATGAACACTAATTTAGACATTCCAACAACCTTAGCTCTATTTGGCAACTCATTTTGCTCCGTCCAAATAAGTTCAAACCTCCATGTGGCCACCTCAAAGCTCTCTAAGTCATGGAGTAGAAGACAAAAATGTATGTTTGCAACCACGCGCCTACCTTATTGCTTGATAGTTTTCTCTCCCTCTATTATGATAACAAGGTTAAAGACACTTTACGCCCTACATTATGTGAAGTTTTGGAACGCTTATGCGTACGAATATTAAGAAATTATGTGCCATTGGGCTACTAAATCTTTTTAAAGTTACTCTTCCACCCAAACTTCCATCAAATTCTCGGTAATTCAAATCATGCACTTATCGAATACGTTTAATGAGGAGGACAACTGACTAAGATTCTCTCCTATTCATCATTTTCACTGTTTCATTCAGTACTTTCTCTTCTACCCCCTACATCATCGTTTGCCAACTTTGCTCTTGCTGCCACAACCCAACAACAATAAAATGGTGGACGTCAGGGTAAACTTGATTAAAGTTTTCATTCCCAATTTCAAATTTCGGATCCTTATACGTAATATTGCATGCCATGCAATTCTCTTTTTGTTGTTTCACGATGTTGTCATTCAATTGCATTGCCATGGTGTAATTGTTAGGCTTATGTATCGTCCATGCACCCCTTTCTCGTTCATCATTGCCTCCTCCCAGGCCCGCCCATGGGCCTGTGCTGGCCTGCCCGCCAGCACAGGGCCCCATAATTTGAAGGGCCTCCATAGAATACAAAAATGATAAGCACTAGTTATCAATAAATGGACTTAATTATAGGCCCCTTATGATATTGCTTTTTTTATTTAATCTATATGGGCCACGAAATAACTGCATGGGCCAAGGGTTAAAAAAGAATAAAATTAATAATTCTTAGATGAACATGACAATGTGGCCCATTTCTTATTAATCCACTCTACCCCTCCTTTCTTTTTCTTTTGCCGAGTCCTCCCCTGTTTGCAAACAATTAAAACAAAATCATCCACTAATTATAAAAAATGAATTTTCATCAACCATAAAACAAAATCGCCCACCAAGAGTTTTTTCCAATGAAACTTTTCAACCAAAATGCTATTTTGAATTATGTTGTCCTTGTTTTTTGCTGTCTTCGTTGGGATTTCCCTTATGGTTGTTGCGTTTGAGTAGGAGCGGTTTTTTCCGCTTTTTCCCCCCTAGTTTTTTCGCTTCCTTGTGGGATCAATCATTTTGATTCCCTTTGAGTGTATTTTTTCAGGTTTTGTTTTGTTTCCTCTTGCAATATAATTTCATCACCATTATAAAAAAAATGTTCATTAATTTCCTAATGCCACAATAGTATATAGAATCTTGTTACTTTTTAAACAATGATAATGATATTATTACTTTTGTAATCTTTTTTTAATTTTTATATTTTTAGCATTATTTAATAATTTTTATTTTCAATAAATTTGCAAAAAATATTTTAAGGGCCAAATTTTGAATTTTCAAACAGGGCCTCCAAATATTATGGGTCGGCCCTGCCTCGTCCCTTAATTAGTACTCCAATATTGCTAGATACGACTCATTGACGTTATTCATAATCAATATTGGGTTCAGTTATCTCCTTTCCGTCCCCTCCCCCTCACACACATCACATACACACATTTGATGCAGTTTTGGACCCAATATTGATAAGGAAGCATCTAAGACCCTCACTTTCAACTTTTAAAAACTCTCAATCATATTAGGTTTTCCTCTGCTTCAAGTTCTCCAAAATTTGCTATAAAATCGCATTCTCCCAACTCTCCATCTTTTGCAGGTGGATACCTGGTTAGTTCTTAAGCTTTTATGGTGTTAGATGATAACTGTTATACTAATGATAATATAGATAGAGTGGTATAAGATGATGTATGAACATCAGAAATGAGGTCGAGAGTGATGAGAGTTGACGAGAGTATGAAGTGGATGAATGAGCTATCTCTCGATTATTTCCCCTCTTCATCTAACTGCTTATTAGGAGATAGAACTATAAACATCCAAAAAGATCTTAGGGGTCGTTTGGAGAATATGAGTTTAAATCTATAGATTGTCAACAATCTAAAGATTCTAATTCTTCAGATTGTTGAAAATAGATTTTAAAATGTTTATTGTTTGGTAACTGTGATTGTTAACATTTAATGAAAATAAAATTTTTTATATTAAATAACATGTTTATCCTTAATAAAAAATTAGAGTAGTTTGAGAAATATTAAAAACTTTGTTAGTAAATATATTTAATGCGATAAATAAATAAAAGAAAGTGAAAAGGTAGGAGAAAAATCTCACGAATCAAGATATAGAATCTCTCTGATTATGAGAGATTTTATATCCATAGATTTTAGAGATTTAAAATCTCTAAAGCTAAAATCCACAATATAAAAAACAACAAAAAAACATAACTTTCTACAAAATCTACCGATTCAATAAATTCACACCCTAAATCCCATTCTCCAAACGACCCCTTAAATGAAAGAACCCATTTGAAATCTTTTTCTGATAAATGATACTAAAATTTAATACAATAGTATGTTTGAAACTTCCCAAAGTAGGAGGACTAAAGTGTGTTTAACTGCTTATAAGGAGACTAGCTTGGTGCCTGGCCTTTGGCCGGGTGTGAAATGTGAGAGGAATTTGTTTGTGATTGTGTTATTTGCATAATTTGTTTATTTGTCTTGCGTTGCGTGTGCTACAAATTTTTTCAAATACATTCAAAGGAATTTTTGTTTGTGACTAGCAAGTGTATTTTACACCAAAATAAAACAAACAAATATATATTCATAAAACGACCAAATATTATTCACATTGTTTGGGTACTGATGATTCGTTACGTTACACCATCAGAACTTATTTATAACAACATACGCTTAGCTGAAAGCTATTGTTCTAGTTTCCGCGAAGAATTGGCTTGCGTGAGTAGTAGGTGAGGCTGGAAAAGGTTATGTTGAAGATTTTGAGTTGCATCGTATAAGCCTATAAGGGAATCATAGATACTACCAAGCGGTACATATGCCTTCAATCGACACAGACCTGTAAAATGACGTAAGGTTGAACATGGTAAATTTCTTAACACCAAGCAAGGATGAACATGGTTCCACTATGTTGGCATTTGAATCAAAATTGTGCTTTCTCCTAAACTCCGGGACTTATTGTTTGGGATCTTATCTAAAATGGTGGTGTCAGAGATAGCAGTAGCATGTTTAGCTATGAAGCATCAATACACCATTGTTATCATGAGTATTAGAGTAATTAGGTTACCTAGGGTGTCACGTGGATGAAATGAAGATTGAAATCCATGGTAGCAATATAATGAAACACAGTTGGAAGCTTTGTCACAGCCAGAAGATGTATACTTTAAAACTCAGATACTCTCAAAGCATCGAATGAACTACATTTAAGATGAAAAGCTTCTGAATATGATAGAACCTAACCTGAAAACTGAGGGAGTAAGAACTGTAACCTTATGTCGAATACTGGCCCTTGTAGTTGCAGTAATCGGAGACAAAAAAAAAGCATAAGAAGATAGAAAAAATAAGCAGCAAAATGAGGGGAAAGGAAGAAAGAGAGCAAAAGTTACTACTTAAGAGATATGGCAAGAAATAAGAGCAGGGGGAAAAAGACCCTACTACTGCAAAGGAAAGTACAACATTTCAGGTTGGATAATGAGGACAATTAGATCCGACAATGATTAGAAAAGTTGGTTAAATATGAAGTCGGCTCTATTTGCCCGACCCAATCTAAGCAGGCAACATGATGGATGCTACAGAGGTACAATGAAGAAAGAAACTACTCAATAATCCCAATTTGAAACCTGAGAAAACAGATTCAATCGAACATAATATAATATAAAGTGCAATAGGCAAGCATCTAAGTGAATTCAAATACCATAATGAAAGATCACAACACTAGTTATGATTTTCGTGCATGCATCCCACATGGTACTCTGCACAAAGGGTGGCTCCATTTAAATCCAATATTAGAGCAACATCATAAACGAAGAAAACAAATCACGAGAAACGCAAAAGAGTTGAGAGGAAATTGCATAAAGATATTTAGGAAGGCAAGAAGGACGTACTATCTGGGATTGAAAGGCGACCTTTTTTTCATGGGTGAAAGGCGGCCTTCATGTGGTTGGTAAATGCGAATCATCTGCGGAATTTGGCTTAGCGGGCAGGAATTGACAGGGTAATAAGGGGCGAAGCGACGGTGACGACATCTTAGTAGTAAGAGCAGCCGAATCCCCAATGAAATATAATCGGCAACCCAGAATTGACGTTGAACTTGGATAAATTGATGGAAGAGAATTGTGTCTGATTGGAGTAGCGGAATCTCCGCTAGAAGTGAAACAACTAAGCAAAATCGCCAGGGAAATTGGGGCTAATAGATGGTTTTGGCCTCTGTTTGCAGAGAGAAGTCGAATCCCCGTCAGAAAGACAATGTAATATGAAAAGGCTCCAACACCGAAAGATATAACTGGAGAGTAGTGATTAGTGAACGAAAGATGTTTGCATATCTGGGAATGAAAATCTCGCTGGACGAATGAGAGGAAGAGAGATTTGGGGAGGGTGTAGTCGTAACGCTGGTTGGTGTGTGCGCTATCAAAAGCCTGGTGTGCTGGCAAAAGTCTATTGTGGATGATGTTTTTGGTGTGTGCGATGAGAATACTGAAGGGGGTGGAAGTTACTGCAGATTTGGGGGGAAGGAGGCCATTGGCTTCAATAAAGACGAACGGAGACGACGATTCCAAAAGGAAGAGGCGCTATCCAAAAGAGTTTTAATATTTTTTAAGAAAAAAGGAAAACGGAAATCGAAGTTTGCGGGAAAGCTTTCTCAGACCTTGATTGAAAGAACTCATTTGAAATTGTTTTCCGAGAAACGGTCGTAAATTTAATACAAGTGTACGTTTGAAACTTTCCAAAGTAGGAGGACTAAAGTGTGTTTATCTACCAAACAAAAAAATATTCAGAACTCACGGACTCGGAGGGAACGAGTTGCGAGTCAAACCCGAAACATAACTCGACGTTACTTTTTATTTCTTCGTTTTTCAAAAAGTAGAAAGAGATGGCGTTGTTTTCTCTCTTTTTTTTTCTTCCAATTTTAATTTTTTTTATCTCGCCCTATTAGGGCTCCACTTTTCTGCTTGCATTGCATCTCTCTGCTCGTCAATCTGCACACTCTCAGTCCTCAGACCAGTGAAACCTGCAAAATCCCAGACTTCGATGGCGGTCGCGTCACCTTGAGCAGTTATTTTTTGCGTTATCCGCACAGACGTTAGGGCTACCCATCTACTCCGTGCGTGTCTCCGCAATTGAGCCGAGCTTGTTCATCAAGAAGTTTCAGAATCGCGGGACGCGCGATTTCGTTGTACAGAACCAGCAACTTACGGTCGATTGCTGTTTATCTCGCCCCCTCTTGATCTGATTAGACTATATCGAGGTATTTACTGGTGTCTGCTCTTGTTCATTGGATTCTTACTTCTTAGGGATCCGCATGAAGGTAAGATCTTTCTTGCTACCGGTGCCATCCTTTGTGGGAACTAGAGATTTCTGGCTCTCGTCTGTTTAGGGTTAGTTCAGTTCGTTGTGCTTGAATTTTGTCCAATGGAGTCCACCGAGGTCAAAAAGAAGGGTCGAGGAAGACCGAGGAAGCGAAGGCGTGAGGAAGAAAGTGAGAAGAATGATAAAAAAACTGGGAGTGCGTTCAAGAAGCGGATTTCTGACATGTGGTGTAAGCCACTTCTGGGTAGGTTTGTGTTGAAAGACTTCGAGGGCAATGGGCTTTTCCTTGGGAAGATCGTGCATTATGATACGGGATTGTATAGAGTTGAGTACGAAGATGGGGATTGCGAAGACCTGGACAGTAGTGAACTTCGTAGTATCATTTTAGGCGACGATGACTTTGATGACGGACTAGTTGGGAGGAGACAGAGATTGGATGAAATTCTGATTAAGAAAAGTGAGGCTCGGAAGGAGTTGGAGAAGCAAATTGCACGTTCCAAGGATGAAGTGGTGGTGGTTGAAGCACCTCCATTGGGCGAGATGAACGGTGTGTGGAAAGCCGGGAATGATGTGGAACCGGAAAATGATGCAGATTCCTCGAGTGACTCATGTGACTATGCGCAGGAAGGGGATCTGGGTCTCGAGGAAGAGGTCCCAGTTCTACCCCCTCCAGAACTGCCGCCTTCTTCTGGAAATGTAGGTGTGCCGGAGGAGTATGTTTCACATCTATTTTCAGTCTATGCATTCTTGAGATCATTCAATATACAGCTCTTCTTGAGCCCATTTTCGCTGGATGATCTGGTGGGGGCAATTAACTGCCGTGTGCATAACACATTGTTGGATTCCGTTCATCTTGCTCTGATGCGTGTGATAAGACATCGTCTGGAGACACTTTCTACTGACGGTTTGGAGCTTGCTTCAAAATGCTTGAGGTAAGTATTGAGGTTGTATATCTAATTTCTCGTCGTTGTTGACAATTGCAAAGAGTTTCCATGATTGCTACTGCTTCTACAATGGGAAATTTGTAAACTATAGTTTAAGCTGGAAAGTAGCCACTGGTGAAATAGATGATGAGAGATCTTTGGTGGACAACCTGTATTGTTCTTACTTTCTCAAAGAAGATCTGTTGCAAGCTTTCATATATTATTTCCATGAACCTTCCCTGCTGCTTAGGATTTTCGTTAGATGATATTAACACCTCTTTTTGAATTTTCTCTGCAGGATTATAGACTGGAACTTGCTTGATTTATTCACGTGGCCTGTTTTTCTGGTAAATTATTTTACAGTAATGGGATATGCAAAGGGCCTTGAATGGCAAGGATTTCATCAGGATATTTTGAAAAAGGAGTATTATTTGTTAACGGCTGGTAGGAAATTGATGATCTTACAAGTCCTTTGTGATGATGTGTTGGACTCTGCAGAGGTAAGAGCAGAAATTGATAGTCGTGAAGAAGCAGAATTTGGAATAGATCCTGATTTAGTTGTAAATGGTATTCTGGAAAGTGGACCTAGAAGGGTGCACCCTAGATTTTCAAAGACTTCTGCTTGCAAGGACACAGGGGTCATAGGAAGCATCACAGAAAACCATGGAACTAAGTCCTCTCAAGATTCAAGATGTGTGGGCTTGCGCTCTGAAGAAAATAATCCAAATGCTCAGACTGCTAACTCAGATGGGAATAGTGACGACTGCAGATTGTGCGGAATGGATGGAACCCTGCTGTGCTGTGATGGTTGCCCAGCAGCATACCATTCAAGATGTATAGGTGTTGGTAAAATGTATATACCAGATGGGCCATGGTACTGTCCAGAGTGTATCATTAACAGAATAGGACCTTCAGTAACTATGGGAACATCGCTTAAAGGAGCAGAAGTTTTTGGCATTGACTTATACCAGCAGGTCTTTATGGGCACTTGCGATCATTTGTTGGTGTATGTTTTGCCATTCTCTCTGTGTGGTTAAAGTTAGTTTACTGAACTATATGAATCTTAATTATGTTTTGTCATCTCTCATTATGCTTGAATCTCAGCATATCTTGCTATTTATCCATTCCTATTTGAACTGATTTCAGGCTCAGAGCTTTTGCTGACAAAGAACAGTGTTTTAGATATTATAGTCAGAAAGACATCCCAAACGTCCTGCGAGCTCTTTGTGCATCTGAGCAACATAGATCAACGCACTTGGAAATATCCAAGCTGATTGCGCAATTCTGGAATATTCCTCAAATTGACTTCTGCCCTGATGAGATGGTAGAGCAGGATTTAAAGCCTGCTTTGGTAAAGGAAGAGTTCAATATTCCAAGTGTGTCGACTCCTGCATGGGAGATCAGTCAGAGAGTTCCTGATGTTATTAAGGCTGAAAATCAAACTAGTTTAAATGGGAAGATTTCGGTCTCATGTGTTGACACTTTGGGAGAGGTGACCACTCCGGCTGAATTGCATTGCGCTTTGAGCACTATCGACACCACAAGAACCTCAGATTTGGATTTGGCAAGCACTAAGCTTCCTGAGCAGATTCAAGGGGAAGGCACCGTATCAAGTACGCAAGCTGATCCATCAGGCGTGACCCACCAAAGTACTACATCCAACTCGGCAAACAGTGACAGTAGTCATGTTGGGCGAGCAAGTGGCACTTCCTTACCTACCGTTATGTCTTTCAAGGGAAAGGGTGCCGGTCTTGTGAACTCTGGAAAAGTGGCAAGATATGTGGGTGAAAATGTTCTATATGTTGGTGCTTCTTTTAGACCTAAAGCCTACATAAATCATTATGTGCATGGTGATTTTGCGGCTTTGGCAGCTGCTACTCTGGCTGCTCTTTCCCCTGAAGAAACTCGAGCTTCAGATGTACATAAGTCAACCGGTGGCAAGAAGGCTAGCACTGAAATTCTATTGCAGGTGAAGGCGTTTTCCAAAGTAGCATCGCGCTTCTTCTGGCCATCTTCTGAAAAGAAGCTTATGGAGGTTCCAAGGGAGAGGTGTGGTTGGTGTCATTCCTGTAAGCTTACCACTAACAGCAGAAGGGGATGCATGTTAAATTCCGCCTGCTTGACTCTGACTAAGGGCGCCATGAAGATCATTAATAGCTTGCGTCCAACAATTGCTGGGGACGGAATTCTTCCTTGTATCTCAACCTATATCATGTACATAGGGGATGTTTTATCTGGGCTTACAATTGGTCCCTTCCTCAGTGCAAGTTATAAAAAAGAGTGGCTTAAGCGAGTTGAAGTTGCTTCAACGTGCAATGCAATAAAAGGTCCACTGCTAGAGGTAAACATATTTTCCCTCTTTTCTGAATTAATAAAATGCAGAACTATTGTGCTCCTTTCTAATTCAAGCGCAGTAATAAGACTCTTGGTGCTGGTGGCTTGTTGTTTTAATTGCAGCTTGAGGAAAATATCCGTCGTATTGCTCTTTCAGGGGACTGGGTTAAGGCTGCGGATAGTTGGGTGATTGGGACTTTTATAGCTGAAAGTGCTGCTACTGAAACTCGCAGTGTCCAGAGACGTGGACCAGCTGGGAAGCGTCACAAGAAACAATCTGCATTGGCAGACAGGGAAGTTGACGGTTGTGATGATAAGAGTTTTATCTGGTGGCGAGGTGGAAATCTCTTAAAGCATGTGTTCCATAATGCAGTTTTGCCTGGGGCTATGATAAAAAAAGTTGCCCGTCAAGGTAATATGCCTTACATCCTCTGCGAGGGCATTATCTCATGCTTTTCTTTGGTGAAATCATCTGGCCCTCTAAAATGTTGATGCTACATAGATATCTCGGTTATCAGGATTTCAAAAAGTACTGTAACGTAATTAATTCTTTCTGTTACCAGGGGGTTCAAGAAAATTTTTAGGTATCGGTTACACTGATGATTCTGAGATCCCTAGAAGAAATAGACAACTTGCTTGGAGAGCTGCTGTGGAGGAGTGTAAGAACTCATCCCAATTGGCACTTCAGGTATATATAGATTCATTGTACTTACTGCTGGTAGAGCTCTCTCGAGGTACTGATTCTGTAGTGGATTTGAATTTGCATTAGGTAAGGTATCTGGATCTGCATATAAGATGGAGTGACCTCATCCGGCAAGAGTTGAATCTTCAGGATAGTAAAGGTCCAGAGACAGAAGCTTCTGTTTTCAGGAATGCAATTATTTGTGATAAGCAAGCTGAAGAGGAAAAGATCACTTACGGAGTTGCTTTTGGGAATCAGAAGCATCTGCCTTCTAGGATCATGAAGAATGTGGTTGGGGTAGAAAAAAATGAAGATGGTAATGACAAGTACTGGTTTTCTGAAGCAAATGTACCATTGTATCTGATCAAAGAGTATGAAGAGAAGAGACAGGAGGTTGCTTTACCACCAGTTAAAAAGCCAAACAAAGCACTGTCTGAGTTACAAAGACAACAACTGAAAGCTTCTCGTAGGAATATATTCTCATATCTCGTGTGTCGGAGAGATAGCTCCGATAAGTGTTCTTGTGCTTCATGTCAACTCGATGTTCCTTTAAGGTAATTGTTACATCTTGAATGTTCAATCACTGTAGACTTTATATTTAAACTCCTTGTTTATAAGCTCAAGATTTTTATTGTCTTTTCTCCATCTACAGGGATACAGTTATCTGCAGTGCTTGCCACGGTATGCTTATATCTGAGCTTCCTTGTTTATCATTTTCCTTGAAATATGTTTTAGCATGCTATATGCAATAATATGGAATTCAGTATCCCATTGTGACATAGGGGAGCTGAACCTTGGCCATTGTATGAGCATCATAAGGCTAAACCCCTGTTTATTAAGTTCAATGTCAAATGTGGCAGACTTGAGTTATTTAGTTCATATAGTTTCCTGGTAAACAAGGAGCAAACGTTTTGATGAATCTGTAATCAGGTTGCCCTGACTTTTTATAGTTGCTGCTAGTTTAGACTTTAGTGAAAGAATGGGAAAATTTAGTTAGTGTGTTCTAATTTGAATCACCAACCTGTTTTGTTTCCTTCTCTTGTATTCCCTAGATTGATAACGATTTATGGGCGCTATAATTTGCTTAATAAATTGCAGATGATCTCTTAATTAATCTCTTGTTTCCCCTAAAAGATATGCGTCCTTTTTTTTGTTGGTGTTGTTGCAATGTTTTCTCACTTTTCAGTCGTGCTGTGAACAGGTTACTGTCACAAGGACTGTACTCTACGTGCAACAACTTACAAAAATTATGTGCCTGAGCTCTTCCTCACCTGCAAACGGTGTTGCAATGCCAGAACACCCTGCATCCAGTTCAGCAATAAGTCTCCAACCACTCCCCTCCCTTCGAGAAGTCTGGAATATAACAACACATCGATTTTAAACCAGGTCACAAAACCCAACATCCGAAATCAGCCCTTGGCGGCTGGTAAAATAAAGTTGATTATTAATTCCCAGATGAAAACAGAAGCTGGAGTCAAAGTAAAGGTGCCAGATGTAGCAACTGTTATAAAACCCAAGGATGCTGTTCCTCCTAATATGCAACAACAAGCTACTTCTGCTTCAAAACCAAGTAAAAATAGCAGTTGGGGTATCATATGGGCGAAGAACGGAGATGACACAGGCGTTGCTTTTCGGCGTAACAAAGTTCTTGTAAAGGGCTGTTTAGATGGTAGCAAGTTGCGCCCTGTTTGCGTGATGTGCCAAAAAGAATATGATCCTCATCTCATGTATATTTCTTGTGAAGCTTGCGACAGTAAGGCTACTTCTTTCTCCCTTTAAAATTCTTGGGGCCATTCTTCTTTAGGTTTTGGTCTATAAATTCTGTCTTTGTCCTTTTTATTTTCCAGGATGGTTTCATGCCGATGCTGTGGAACTGGAGGAGTCAAAACTTCCTGAACTTGTCGGTTTCAAGTGTTGTAGATGTCGCCGGATAAAAAACCGACAGTGCCCTTACAAGGACGACGATCCTGCTGCAGTGGTTGCTCAGGTCGGCAAAAAGAGGTCTCACAAGAAACTGGCAAAACAAGTGGACTCTGACACTACAGACTCCATTCTTACAACTCCAATGTTTCTTCCTACTCAGCAGCAACTGGTGATGCCAAACAGCGATCCTCTTCTCCCAAATCTATCGAAAGTGGAGCAAATTACACCCGAGCAGAAGCCTGGACTGGTGGATGGTGAATGGAGTGCCAATCTACTGGGCCCACAAAAGCTTCAGGTGAGAAGGCAAACCAAGCACCATCACGATGGGGAATTTACCTCTTCTGCTATAGATTTTCAGCCCGAAACAAACATCTATGATCATCCTAACGAGGAGTACGTCCCTGGCATGGAGTGGGATCAGTTGGGTAATGGTACCGTTGGTGGTGGTGAAGGGGAGTTGATATTGAACGATGACGATGAAGGTGGTTTTAACTTCGAGGACATGGAGTTCGAGCCCCAAACCTATTTCTCCTTCACCGAGTTGCTGGACCAGGACGAGGCTGCTGCTGGTGAAGTTGATGCGGGCCATCATCAGGCTGCTGTTGCTGAAGTCGATGTAGGTGACCATCAGGCTGCTACAGCAGCAGCCGCAACTTACCCATGGGATGATTCGGAAGCAGCAATGGGGTCTGAAAATCCTTGTTTTAGTACCATGATTCCTCCATGCCAGTTCTGTTCGCTGGCGGAGCCAGCCTCGGATCTATATTGCGAGATTTGTGGCATGACGATGCACAGTAGTTGCGCGTTTGTGGCTGAGCTTCCCCCCGAGGAAGATGGTAAGTGGAGGTGTGGGAGTTGCCGAGAATGGCGATAAGGTCGCGTCACGATCATCGTTGCGGTTTATTCGTCATCATTTTTTTTCCTTTTTGAGGGTACTGGGTGTATATAGGGCGGGGCAGATGTCGAAATCTACTACACAGATGAGATTGGGATCTACTTTCCAATCACATTTTTTATTTCTTTGAAATTTTTTGGCAAGTCAAATATGGTGGAAGGGTTGTTGGAGAGTGGGGAAGAGGCTTTAGTAATTGTTCCAATGGTGGAAGGTTTGCCCTTTTGTCTCAAGATAAGCTACCGTCTTCCTTTTTCATTTGGCATTGTTACGCTTATCTGATTGGAATGATACATCTGTTGAGAAAAAAGTGACCAGAGAAGCTTAGTCTAGTACAGAAATTCCATACCCAATTCCACTATTGTCATTATCGATTTAGGACGGTTGACAAAGTTTAATGCACTGAATGGATCTAAGCACAAAATAAAGAACCAAATGGTACAAAGACTAAAGTTTAAGTGGCTCGAAACACTATTTTCTTTTTTGGTAAGGAAAGAGATAGTACGAAAGTGAACCAGAAAGGTGCCTGTTAGATACACAAAACGCTATTACAAACTCCTCCATGATCAATCTCATATTCTGCTACTCAACTTCCGTATTACAGAAACAAATCCGAGCCGAAACCGTTTGTAAATGCAAGAGCAGAAGAGGGAAATAACTTTTAGCATAAGACACCAACAACAACAAACCCTCACTTCACTTCAACCCCAATGGATAATCAAACTACGAGCAAAAAGAAACAACAAAGAAAGAAAATAAACACTCGGCTCAGCTAATGCACGTTTACAATCGTGCAGAAAAGAATCTCAAAATTCCGACTCAAACCTCGCTCTCTCCTTCTACCTGTACTATTCAACACAAACTACATTACTCTCTCCGATGAACAAACCCATGGATCCCGAATTCCGGTCCAATTCCTTCGATCCCCATTGTCCCGCCGCCAGCCCTGGGCACCAAGAAGATGGCTTAAGAAGCCAAGTACCTTTCTTGCTTCGTGTTAAGCCTGGGTATAATAGGATGTGTGTATATTCTCAACAAATTCTTCACGCGTCAATCGTTGTTACTTGTTGACAGGTCCCTAGCGTCGTGGGGTCACAGCAAACCGGCCAACAATGCCCCTGGATCTTGCGAAGCTGCTGGAGGGGGGCCCGCGATCTGTGCTACTTGAGGAGGAGGTGCTGTCGGTCCCTGTGGACGTTGTGGTGCTGTGGGGATGCTAACTAATTGCTCCTTGATGAACTCCTTCAACCTGCCCACATAATAATGGTCACAAAGTGTTATGACATAGCTAAAAGAAATGACCCTGTGGGGAGGGAGTAAGTAGGTCATTCAAAAGTGGTGTATACTAACTCAAACGTAAGTGTCGGGTCACCAGAGGCGACAGTCATTCGCAACTGTGTTCTATCTGCTGGATCTGTTTCAATTCTCACCTGAAACACACAGAACGCATAGTTATCAGATGCTAGCTCATTACCATACCATGTACTGGATTCTGTAGAAAGCTTAGTGCTTACCAAGCAAAGCATGGCTCGTGTGGTTTCAGAGTAAAAAGTCGTGCTTGCAACCAAGTTGTTCGGATTAGGATCCTAGACCAGAGAAAGTTGAACACAATGTTAATTCAACTTCAACAAACAAGAATATACTCAGTAAATTCATAAATTCAGTTAAAAATCAAAGGGAACACTTACAAGTCCGGGACAAACTGTCAACCGGAAAGTGTTGAAGAGATTTGCCATCTCGGGTAGAGGTAATGGTCTTACACCTCTAACCTGAACAAAGGACAATAAAATGTTAGTATATATCAATTTTTTAGGCATAACTCAAAAGTTATCAGTACATGAATTTGGTAACCCAAAAGTCTTTCCACATTATAGGGCAAATTACGAGTGTTAAAGAAATAGTGCTCAATGAATCATATACATACAACTTCTTGAAGCTTTAAAGGAGGCCCTGATAGAGATCTCCATTGAGGGAAAAATTCTTCAGGGGACACAGTTATAGGTTGAAGAAATTTGTTGAGAACAGCCGGTAGGCGAAGCTTGACATTTACCTTAAAAAAATTAGCGAAACATGTAAGACATTCTTGTAACAACGGTTATAGGAGAACTACACTTAACTAGCAGAATAGGTGAGCACTATTATATATAATTTACCATGGTGGGACCAAACTTGTAGGAGAAGTCAAGAACAGCGACATCCCGACTTGGCCGGAGATTCATGATTTCAAGAGGGCATTGAACCTATACCATCATATTAGGAAGTTCACAGACCAAGAATAAAATAACTGAAGCAGCAAAAAAGCAACTCCCTCCCAATTATGAATGAGGGTTTATGGGAAGGATAAAATACAAGTTGCTTACCTGCGCTCGAGGAGGAATAGTATCTGGTACTAATGAGAGCTCCATCTTCAGATGAGTAGGAGGTAATATGAGGGCCTGAACGGATCCAAGAGAAGCAGTATTTTTGTTCCCTAGGAAAAGCACAAGACGCCCTTCATGTGCTCTCCACTCTGCTTTAATGCCTATCTGCAATGGTGATAATAATATTTAGATCTCGAAATTTGATGCAGTCCATCCTCAAAGAAAATGAAATCACAGAGCAGGAAAAAGAACCCAAGGGGAACGTAACCACATAAAGAAACAATTCATACCTGGATGTTGGGATCCTCATACAGAACACCACTATCCTTCAAACACAAGGCATAGAACCTTTCGTTGATATTTCCTATCGGCTGCAAACAAAAAGCACAAAGGAATGACTCTTAACAGAGTTATTGAGGTCTACAGCAGCCCAAAAAAGCAAGCATTTCTTCATTTTAGTTTAGCACACAATTTGTCCTGAGCTTCATTAAAAGCACACCCAAGTTATCTTAAAAACAAACACCACAATATAGTGTCATCAAAATTTGAATTTGGATCTTGGTATGGGTCTACTAGTCATAGGCTGATATGCTGTTAGCTTTACGGGAGATAGGTATGGAAGCCAAGGAATCTATGTTTAACTTCAATTACTTTCCGAAAAAAAACATGCTGGCTCAAATTAAAACCACAATTCTATTTAGAACTCCAATTCCAAATGGAATATACGCTACTTCAATAACAAAGAGTCAGAATTAATACCTGCACGGAACCCGACTCTTCTCCAACAGGTACAAGAGCTGCAGCATCAGCAGCACTTGGAACAGATTCGGCTTCAGAGGTTGCACTCTGCGCCAATGGAGCAACAGCTCCAGGAGGACCTTCAATACTCAATGTACCCAAAAGGTCACCAATAATATCCTGTGAAGGTTGCTGAGGATCTTCTTGATATACAACTCCGTTTGGCTGGGTCAATCCTTGGTCTCCAGGATTCTGATCCTGTAAACATGTATATAAGACATGAGCTCCAAGTATGATAACCACATTTATTCATGATATGAAGGAGGGAAAGTACAAATGTTGAAATCTTAGTCAAGAAAGGATAATGAACTAACCGAATCAACTGTCTCGCTGGGCACCTTGACTAGACTCAGTGGCCCTACAGTGGGTGGGGGTGGCGTCCCATTGGGAGGGCGTTGGTCAGTTACAACCAAGGCAGTCGACATTTGTTGCTGTGCCCTCACCTTGATAGCACTTTGTTCCGCGGTATCAACCTCAGCATCTTCAGCTTTTCTTATCAGTGCAGACTGATAACACAATAACAAAGTCCATATTAATGATTACAGAATGAACAACTATTTTACAAACCTAACTGAATGAAATTTAAAGGGAATAATGTTCAAAGAACTATTGAATAATTACCGGGGGAAAAAAACTATTGAATGACTGCATCTACTTGTATTACCTGGCGTTCAGGAAATTTAGGCATCTCAGCCAATATGTCCATTAGAGATGCACCTTTTCTGCTTAAGGCAAAATACTCGGCTGCTCTTTGTTGAATCTCAACATCAATGCAACTTTCGTATCTGTAAATAGTGACAAAGATAAGAATGTGTTAGATAAAGCTTATGAAGACCAACTATTGAGAATACAAAAATTCAAGGCAAGGTGGCATCAGAAAGCCTACTTGTTGAATATACTCCAGATCTGGTTTTGTAGTTCTGGTTCTGGTGGTTGAGTGTGCATTAGTATCTTCGCATAAGTTGAGAGTAGAATTGGAACAGTGGAGGTTCTGCAGAGATACACATTGAGGTTAAACATAAGAGAATTTTGAGTCAAACAAAGTCAAAAATCAAATACAAAGATGACTGATCTTACGAGACAGTAGGATGCTTCTCATGTATAATGGTAAATAATTCCTTTGGACTACATCCAGGCCGTCTAGCCAGAAGGTGCCCATACTCTCCTAGGATATAAGCACTGAGCTGTTGCAGAAGAAAAACATAAGTCTTAGCATAAATAAACATAAGAAATAGGAGTTCCATCTCAAATGTGGCCACTTCAGTTATACACAAACCTTGACCATCGTCTCATGTATGGCAGGTTTGTCAAGATACTCTCTCGCTTTAGCTGCTGCATAAGGCTGGTTGAATGAATGAAATCTCAGTTATCTATTCCAAGAATCAACTTTTGCCACAAACAAGAGACATATGGTCTCTGTAATAGAAATTATACCTGCAGGTCTTCATTGTTAGTAACAAATTGTACTACCCGAAACCATATGTCATCACTAACAAAGTCTCCTGCCTTATCGATCAACTGAAGTATTACATCCACATACCTGCATTTAAGAAGAGAGGGAACAAAGCCATGAATAGTCATTATGATACACATCTGAACAAAATAACTGAAATTCAGCAAGGAACAAAATAAGACCAAAGGAAAATGCAAACAATTATAGATTGAATAAAATTTACCATGATATGCATTAGAACCTAGTCTAGGCTGTGGTAAAAGGGTTGAGTCATCAACGATGTTGACAGGAAAAAAATCGAAACATTAAAAATGTTACGAACTCTGTCGTCCATCTTTCCACGAAACAAGACATAAATGTTAATGCTTCTAGTTAAGAGTTTCACTCTATCTAAGGTCACTGGATAAACAATTTTTCTTTTCGCAATTTTAAACTTTGAAATTCTGGAGTTCGAACCGAGCAGATGTCCTTACCAGGATAGATCAGGGGCAAACTTCTCTGCGAGGATAGCAGCTTTTAGAGACAATTCCTCACGCATAGCAAAATCTGCCGCGCTGAGGTACTGAAATTCGAATTAAAACATCTCAGAAAGCCAAGTTTACGAATCAAACCACAAATTCTAGGCATACCGCATTAGAACCTTGAAAATAAAAGAAATAAATTTTGATGAAGGCAAGTAATGCGTGCCCATTGGATATGCACCTGTAGTAACTCTTCAACTATATCCTTTGCATTTGACACATCACACATGCCATAGAGCAAATCAAGAGCACGTCGACGAATGCTGCAGAATTTTTTTGAAGTCAGAAAATGCAAGCTTGTTGATAAACTGAAAATGAAAATATAACGAAAGATATCTAGATTGACTGCCCATATTAAATTGGACATTGTGCTCTGCAATATAATATAAGCATCTGCAGAGCACAAATTTATAAATCATTTGACAATTCCCCTCCACGCCCTACAGCCACATTTTGACAAGAGAGTCGAAGAGAGAAGCTTTCTGTAACCCACAACACTATATCTCGTTTACCAGTCAAAACAATAAGAGAAGAAACACATATGAAAAAAGTATGTGTTTGCAAGCATATACAACACACCCAAAATAATTCTTATACCCTAAGGGACTATATAGGAGCTTAACCTGATATCCGGATCTTTCAATGAAGTGATAATCTGAGCCTGGTGTTTTTTAATGATATCTTGCACATCTGTTACCATCAACATTCGAGTCATATTTTCCTGAGAAAATGTACGAACCGATAATTAGACATTCTCAGCAAGTAATAATTGGCAGTTCAGTTGATTCGACAATATGAAACAAGTAGAGTGACTAACCAAGCCAAGATATCGAATATTTGGTTCCCGGACAGCAATAAATTTTCCGAGGAGGGCCACACATTGGGACATCATCTCTTTTTCAGCATCAAGATGCATGACCTGAAATAAAATGTATTAAGATAAATACAAGGTACAGAAAACATAATATGTCTTCCAGAAAAAACAACCTTGGAAGTTTAACATTACAGCGCATTTTGGGTAAACTTACAAGTGCAAGAGCCTCAAAAAGAACGGCATGGGATGCATTGTTCTTATTTACATTTTTCACAACATCAGTCCCCATTAAGATTCGTTGCAAGACCTGGAAAAATAATTTCATGATGGATCATGACCAGATAATCATATGTACATTGGAGAAAACAAAAGGGGATCATGGACATAGATATGGACCTCGAACAACGATCTTCTTGTGTTAGGATCTTCTACCGTCGGAAAATACTGAAGAGCCCTCATTGTTTTGACCTGTCTATGCAGATCATGTTATTAGCAAAAATGATGAAGCAACGGTTTCTGTTCTTCAAAAGAGTATAGAATAGGGAGAAAATCGTAATCTTGTGACTGGATATCAAATAAGCAAGGGTTTAGATGCTTCCTCCAATGGAACATATAAGTGCAAGGGATTTTCAAAACATAAGTCTAAGCAACAGCATATTTAACAGCAAAAAAATCTATCGCCCACAGGACAAAGGCTGAAAGATGTGAACGTTCCTCCTTGCTCATATAAGGGGCTCTTCAACTTATCGTTTAAATTATTATTTCTAAAAAAAATTCACGTGCACATATCGGACAATTGTTTCTCATATTTTTCTAATAGCTTGTCAGTGGTTTTCAAATTCTTTCATGAAATGGAATAGTCCCCAGTCGGTATGAACTTCTGGTTGTCTGCCTGACTATGAACCAATAAGAATAGAAGATGATAAAAGGGGACATACCTGAAGCCAAGGAGATGGGATACCATAGTAAGTGTATTCTTGGGGTATATCCTGGTTCCTAGCAAGTCGTTCCAAAGTCTTCACACATTTTGGCAGACAACTCCAGTATGCTTCATGGTTATTTGACACTAAAGCAACAAGTAGACTCATTGAAGATGTAAGAACACCAAGATCACGTTCATCAAGGAGTTGTGCCATCCGATCAGCCCTGGTGATTTTACAATTAAATACATCAAATTCGGAGCTTTCTAACAGATCTCTGTAGATATAGACCATATACAGTTCAAACATACCAGCCATCCACATTCACAACATCAGGATTTTTCCTATAGAGCCGTAGCAGACATAAGGCAGCCTTTTTTCTTACAAGAGGTCTGCAGCTACTTGAAATCTGAAACAGCAAGAGCTATGTCAGAGATCAAATCAACCAGTATCTTACATCCCTATAAAACTGACAAGACTGCATTCTAATCTCACCAGTAATCTCTGAACATCAGCCGCCAATGATTCAGCAAATTCTCTGCCACCAATATTTCCAACCTGCAGAATATGAAAGATAGTGCAAGTAAGAAGAGTCGCAAGAACTTGAAGCATGTCATATGGATACCCTGTCATACTTGAGTAAGAAAAAAATAATTGTGACAACAGAAGACAATACCTGTTGGTGACTGAGAAACACACTTTCAATATTGGAAAACAGAAATTAACATATAAAGGAAAGCGGTTTTGAAATTTAGATGGAACAGAATTTTCTGTCAACATAGAAAATCAGTTATTATGCATCACACAGATGGCATTCTGCATTACATTCCCTTATGGATCAAAAAAGGCACCTTGAGGTTGGAGGATACAGAAAAAATAGATGAACTACTAGTTATGATTTAAATCATGAAGTCTACAAAAAGGCAGTAAGATCATCGCCAACCTACCAGGGTCAATGCGAGGCACTGAAAAGTTTCATTCCGACCAATTATGTCGTTCCGCACGGTATTTATGGCTAATCTGAGAAAATCATGGTTCTCATTGAGCAAACACGCTGTCGCAATGTATCCAACCTGCATTATTTAGAAATTTCAAACATTACAAGCTCTAAGCAGCAGAACAAATATTAGCATAGCTCAAAATGCACCAGCTGAACGTGCCACCTGACATGACATGCAATGCGTACAGTACAGGAACTTGAAGGCCTCTACCACATTCAATGACATATATGCGCAATGTTCCTATCAGACTCATCTTAAAAGTTCATCAAATGACATACATTCAATGACATATATTCGTAACTATCCATGATAATGCAATCATGAAGTATATGCATCACACAAGTGCCAAAAGGTAATACCTGTTTTTCTGGGTATTTTGGCGCAGATATTAAGGAAACAGCTTCCATATGACCGAAGTCGACATCATAGCCAAGCATGTAGATATAGAGCATTTTCCAAACATATTTCTTCTTCTCATATGGACTCAAGCCCTGTAGAAAATTTAACAAGGAAAAAAGCTTCAATCAATCACATGGTCTCTAGTAGAGACAGGAATTTTGTATCTGCTGAGAGAGGATGGAATGGATATCAATTAGACACTGAAGCCACTTCTGAGTGCGTTGTGGAGTAATTTGCTGAAACAAATTAGGCAGAGGGTGCCGGAAGAAATTATAGATTACATAGTACCCTTAACCAGCAGGCAACTGCCGCCTGAGATGCACCACAAACCCTACCGATACCCTCAAAATCCATTGAGTTTACTAAATCAGGTTTCCATATGACTGCGTATACGAGAACTGCCTACAAGAAGCTGAGTCCCATCACAGAACAATCACGAAGAAGCATGTGCATCAAAGCTCAGAACCTCCATCACCTCCTTTAACCAACATAATGATCCACCATAATTTGTATCCAAACTGAGATGGCAGCACTCTTCTATGCTATGACAGCTTGTAAACGAGCACCTGAAGCAGATTTATCCATGAAGGAATGCCTCTCCTAATTATATGCCACTTAACCATAACCTATGCAGGAGCAGTACATTCTGATTGAGTTCCAAGTCAAGTTTCAGTGGGGGAAATGTCCTCAATTTTGAACTAATGTGCCCACTTCAGCCGCAGTTCACCTATATCGCTCAACTATCCAAAACTTCGAGGAGGTCGAATAAACTCTTAGAAAGCCCCAATTAGCAACAAGCAATGGAGCCATTTCCACGATCCTCAGTAACAAAAATCAGCAGGAAAAAAAAAGCAGAATTGCAGCAATAACCCTAACCTTCTCGTGTTTGAACCGAGTACGGACGTTCCCGAGCTCCTTGTCAACACGGAGCCGCTCCTGCTCCTTGTTCTGACAATTACGAACGTCACTGATGAAGACGGAGAGACCTCTCATGCCTGAAAGCGCCATTGTTTCCCTCCCTCCTCTCTCAGATCCAGTAATAAGAGAGGCGCGGCCCCTCTCTCAACTTAACCAGAATTACCCCGAGCCTTAGTTCCTCTTCCCTTCCTCTTACACAGCGGGGAGCCCGAGCTGCGACGCCGAGATCTAAGACGACGACGGCGACGGCGACGGATAAACGAAGCTCCGGCGTATAGTTGAACTGCAGATCGGAGTTGTAGGAAGATTCCCCCGCAGCAGTCGCGTCGTGTCGAAGAGGGAGAAATTGCTGTGATCTAGAGAGAGAGAGAAAGAAGGATTGAAATGTCGTTTTTGTACAATAAAGAGATGGGAGAACAGAAGGAAGGAGAGGGTGAGAGAGAAGGGGCGTGGACAGTGGACTCGGAAATTTGTTAGAAAAGCCGTCGGCGCCAGTGGTTGAATGAAGGAGACGACTTGTTTTTTTTTTTTTTTACTGGTTTAACCATCAATGTCTTTCTGTTTTACCATGTTCGTAACTCTATTTTACTTATTTGGTACCTATATTCAATTGCTATTTGTCGCTCTAAATTATCTTATTCGTCACCCTAAATTTTATCAAAATTACATAAATATCCTTAATTTAATTTTAGATAATTTGAATGACCAACTGTCCATATATTAGTGCTGCGACGGTTTGTTCCTAACACATACAACTATACATCCCTCAATAACAAAATAAAATATAAAAAGATTAATGATTTACAAGTTACAACTACAACAAATGTAACCATTAAAAAATTATACAAATACAAAAGAATTTTAAAAAAAAAACAACGTATGCCAATTTCCTCCGCCGCTTCGCCGCCACCTTCCATGTGACTGTGCAATTGTTTTTGGTAGAGACCCTGTGCAATTCTCGAACATAGAAATCAACATCTCCCAATTTCCTCCGCCGCTTCGTCGACCTTCTTTTTCTTCGCCTTCTTCCTCCTACTTGGTATCGACTCTGACAGTATAAGCCGAGCATCGATGGTGGTAGGGTTTAGGTGGACAACTGCCGGCGAGAAGAATCCGACAGCGGCATTAGCGACCGCAAGACAGAGGAGTTTGGCGGCAGCTGGCCAGAGAAATGGATTGTTTGTTTAGGGTTTTGTTAGAAATCGGGCTCAGAGGTTAAAAGTGTCAATTTAATGCATTTTAGGGCGACACAAATCGAATTTTAGGGCGACGAGTAGTGATTCAAATATCCAAAGACTGCTCTTGCAAGCCATGTTTAGGATGGTTTGTAGTTTGATATTCAAATTTTGGTTGTTGTAACTTTTACCACTTAATTTATTTCACCATACGTTTTAGAAGAAACAATATATCGTTTCAGTGGCATGTTACACGAATATATATTTATTTAAGTGTTATACAATATCTAATAAGTCAAAATAGCGTGTGTGCTATTAATCGTATGTAAATTTGAAGATGAATTATGATTTATGACCCTAATTGGCAAATGGCAACATGTTCAACTACAACATCGTCCTTAAAAGGACATGAATAAGACAAACTTTCAAGTAGAAAAAAACAAAATCGAGTGAAAAGTATGGCCGTTTAGGCATCACAAATGTAATCAGTGTGTCTCAATACTAAGAGTGAATCAGTGGAACATGTAATCGCGAGAAATAAGTTGCAAACAAGATTGCGACCTTGAAGGGTCATTTTATGAGGTTTTCAGTTATGAAAAGTGAAAACCATGACCTCTTATCAGATTTTATTTGAAGATGAAGGGCTAAATTTTTTTTTTTTTTTTTTTATCTTCTCCGGTGTATTTAGAGTAGTAAGATCAAATATTTCTTTTCTTCAAAGAGTATAAGACAATTTACATATTACCGCTTTTTTACGGTCGTTTTTATGTTAATGCACTTTCCAATGATATGTAATTTAGCAGGCTATTCATGAGGCCTTTAAAAACCCACATAGAATTTGTCTCGTCATCAACTACTAATCAAATCTTAAATCGTACGTTAACCCGAGTGCTGACAAATACCAGAAGAGAGAGCAAAAGCACAGAGGACAGGCTGTTCACCTACTAATACAGTTCTCCATTCTGTTCAGCGCATCATAAAACAAAATGTTGACGACAGATTACACAACAGCTGGACTCATCTAAACTGCTCCATCCAAATCTCACAATCTTCCCACACTCGGCCAAAAAAACAACGACTGAGAAGGTGAGGTGGAAGTGATGTTTTCTAGCAATTTACTGAACCCCGCTCAACTTTGCCCAGTCGACAAACTGCATCCCGCCATAGATGTTGTTGGCGAATCGAACACCAACAGTGAAGGCCTTGGAGAGAGGAGGGAGTTGCCTCGCCAGTGGCGATGCTTCGACCACTCGTTCCAGACCGTTGATGACTTGGTACCGCGTGTTGGAAGATACGCCGAGAAACACACCTGATAAAGGCGAGCAAACGAATGTTAGGCATCAACTTGAAAGTGGGCAATGTAGCAGTAAGTGAAGAAGAACAATGCTAATGAAGCGCAGTTGAAGACAGACAAATCATACCCCAAAGGATGGCACTTTCGACTAGAGGTGGTATGGGAATGTCCTCTTCAGACTTCTTCATACTCCTATTTATCCAAACACAATCAGATAATTCAGAACGATCAGGAACGGAGAAGGGCTTGCGACGCATGAGCTAACCCGTAGATTTCAGGTGGAATGAAGCTACAAAGGCTAGAAAATGCAGATAGAAAGAGGAGTAACTATACCTCTTAGCATTCATGATCATATTTGCAATGCCCTGACCAATCAGTCCGCATCCAAATCCAACTGAGCCATACAATAAACCCTGTACCCAAGAAGCAACGATATGCAATGTTATCAGAAGAATCGAGTTCATCTCATAGAGAAGGCAAACTATGTCAGTTTCGAACGAATCTAGCTGGATTCAATCATCGGCACCTTATAGAAGTACGTGGCCACTCGCTGCTTCACACTGAATCTGCACCCGGGCCTTTCAGCCTCAAATACACTGCAGTGAAGTAATGCTCACCAGTCACCATTAGCAAATCAAGAAATTCCCTCACTTGTTCTTAACAAGACCTTACCTTTAAGTGCATTATACCAAGAAGACACAAACAAAGAGTGACAGTGGTAAGTAGTAACCTGCTGGGAAGAGCAGCACAAGCTTGCTGTATGTTACCGAATAATCCGGCTTTGTAGACGGAGGGCTTCCCGATTCGAGCATAAGGTGCTAGCATACCAACCAGAGCAACATCAACAACAATGCCAACCAAAAGATCAGCTGCATACAACTCAAACTCTGACCAGAAATCTTTCCCCCTTTTCTGAACTTCGGCAAATGTTGCACAACATGAATCAATTACTACCTGCATTGCATTTTCGGCCCAACCCCCAAATTCGAACACCCCCCAAAAAGCTCCGAAAATGTCACACCCAGTTATGCAAACATTCATTCATTCTAAGATCATCAAAAGTACTCCGCCAATGACACAAACCTCCGTTCCAACTTTGAATAGGAAATCGGGATCAGCCATCATCCGATTACGCAGCATCGAGCAGTGGTTCATCAAGAACCCTAGCGGCCATCCGGCTTCCTGCAATTCCAGGTACCGATGCAGAAATTTGGCTCGGATTCCGGTGGTCTCGGCAGCTTCCAACATATCGGCTGGAAGCTTGGCTCCACGCGCCTCCGTTTCTCTAATCACGTCTACGAATTTCATAATCGGCCCAAACTCCTCCTCCTCCTCGCCGTTATCACCGCCCTCATCTCCACCGCCGCCGCCACGGGGTAATCCTCCATTCCCTCCAGGCCCATCATCGCCGCCGCCACCGTCGGGCCGGACGACTTCGTAATCTAACAACTCTTTGATCGGATTAACCTCGGAATCTGAGTTCAGACACTTGATTGCACGGCGAGAAATCGAGGACGAAGAGCCAGCGAAGGAGTGACAGTGCCAGTGAGACGAGGAGACTGATAGCTTGAGAATTCTGAGATTGGCTGACGGCATATGGCGACAGAAGATCTTAGCTTTGAATGAAACGGCGCCGGATTGGCTGTGGGAAACGGCGTCGTTGGAGAGAGACGATGATCGGAAGCATCCGGCAGAAGAAGATGGAATCGCCATTGACGAAGAAAATCTCGGCAGAGACTTCCGGTAGAAGATGCTCGGAGAGAAGGCGGGTCGGATAGAGATGAAAGGCGGGCAGCCGGGAAGGAAACAGGGAAATGAAGAAAGCAAATGCTCTGTTAGAGAGAACACGAAGGAAGACGAAAAATGTGCAGAGAAGTAGTTCCGGCGCGCGGAGCGGGAGATACTAGGTTTTCGAGTGTGTATCCGGTGCGGTCGACTCTACGGTAACAAAGCCCAAAGACGTTTCGTTTTGTTAGAAGGAGGGAAAAGGAAAAACGTTTCGTGTTGGTTAACAAAAGAGACACAAAAATGAACGTCGCCTGAGAGATTCGAACTCTCGCGGGGAAACCCCATGTACTTAGCAGGCACACGCCTTAACCACTCGGCCAAAGCGACTTTGTTGATGTGATCTCAATGAAATTCTAAACTACGTATTCTATCAGTTCTTACAACTGACTTTTCTTAAACGAAATGCTCAGCCAACGGCGCTTAGCAACTGTATGGAAGTAAAACCAACAAAAGAATAACTGAAGAGGAAAATAAATGACCATGAAGATATACATATATATGGCTTTTTCGATTCTCATAAATTTTACAGTACGTGTGATATGAAGTTGTGCACTGCAATAGCTCCATTCTAAATCTGGTGTATATTAGCAGTCCAGATTTAGGTTGGAGCACATTGTGTTCAAACTTCAAACATGAAATCTTCTTGTACAATTTTAAACTTCGACGACAACTCTTAGGTTAAGTCCAACTGAGTAGGCTTTCTACCTTTCAGACCAAGGAGAAGCTCTTCCTGTGTCTTGAACCTCGGGATGATTGTGGTGGCTGCTGCTGCTGCTGCTCGACGGATGCTCTGGGAGTGTGTCGTCCACTGCTATTACCACAAAGAGGCTGTGCATCTGAAGATCGAGGGAGTAGCTTGCATCCGATTCTCCTGGCAACCAACCGAGGAGAGCTGAGAGAGCTGTGGGATTTTGTCACCTTCCTCATTTCTTGCTTTATTCTGCTGAACTCTTCCTCAAGTTCCCCAACTCTAGACCTCATGTTTTCCATGTCTCCTTTCAGGACTTGGTTCTCTCTCACCACGGTCACCCACCCATCTCTCGGTACAATCTGGCCCGGCAAAGGCACTGCTGGTGCTGGCCCAGGTTCTGTATCAAAGACATGGAGACATCCAGCAAGAGCTGTTCTCAACTGCATCTGCTCAAAGTAGAGCACTTGAAGAACTGTCCTAAGTGGCAACCGTTCGTTCTGGGAAGCATGAGCACATGCATCGATCGAGAGTTTCTGGTAGTCGATGATGTTGCAGAGCTCCTCCTTTTCTCTCTCAGATAGCCAGGGGTGTGCCTGCGTAATGGGGCAATCATTTCGTTAACTTTTAGGAAAAGCTGGAAAGAAGTGTTCATTTCGTTCAACAAGATCGAGTTGAATCCAAACCTTGAAATATATGTCTAATGCTCGGTACAACCCATCATGGAATGGTCTAGAGGATTCTGGAAGAGCTTCAGCAAGAGAACGAATTTTTCCAGGTTTCAGATTCACATCAGAAGCAACTTCCGCAAGATAATCATCCATCAATTTACCAACTTTCCGCAATGGCTCTAATGAAGGTGATGTTTTCGCCAAGTCCATGGATACTGGAGAGAATGACGGTATCCCTGATTCTGAAGACATGAAGTGATGAAGAACACGGTCTACGCAATCAGTATTATAGAGAGTATCAGAGTCTGAATAATTCGGAAAAAGAAGACCCTCCAGAGAAGCCAACTCCAACTGCAGCCCTATTCTCCTCTCGAGAGACTCCTTGCATCTCGGGCTCACACCTACTATCAGTCCAACACGAAGCAGTCCAAGCAAAAACCTGCAAAACGATTTCTCCTTCTTTTCTGGAAGAAGCTTTTCAATCGTCTCTAGTAACGCTTGTTGGTCAACAGCAGCAGGAGTCAAGCTAAGACTAGCAACCGTTCTAGTTTTACTACTACTTTGTCCACTCTGCCATCGGCCTAAACCTGGTAGGTACTTCTTGGCATAATACATTATTGCACCAGCGAGATTCTCGGGCCTTATACCTCGATTCCCCATCACCTTGATAAGTCTCTCGAACATAGACACATTTAGATATGAAATATCTTCAAACCACCAGTCTGATTCATTGCTCCTGATCTTTGCTCCAGTGTTTATTCCATTCCACAAGATGCTGCCACCTGGGCTCTGCAAGGTGCCGTACATCATCATGGGCCATCCGAACAAGCTAGGGTCCGTTGAAACCATCAGAGATACAGCGTTGAGACATTTGGTTATGATCCCAAGTTTCTCAGCATTTGGCAAAACTGGATTGCAATTTTGGAGAGCCAATATACAGTCTTTCCAGTTCTGAAGTACGTTCTTGTGCAGAAAAGTCTCTGATTTTGACAGTAAGTTGCCTTCTCCAAACTCGTCTGTCATTTCCAGGTAGTCGGCTGCACAGTAGATCATTACTATGTTTCGTGGTGTCAATTCCACTCGCATGCCATAGCAAAATTTAGCAGCGATCAAGAAAGCATCAGAACTTCCAGGGAACTGTTCGAGTTCTGTGGTCAATGTCTTCTTCTCGGGGCATTCCTCGCAGATTTTAGATATCTTCCCACATTTCGATACTAGTGGAAACTGGAGAAGTTGAAGAACATGTTAGAAACATTATGAGAGTGCTGTTCAACACACAAATTTGTCAAATTGTTTCTTGCACCAGAATCCATAAATTGCATCTTCAGATGGCGAACTTTATATCATTGATTAATTTTAGAATTTACATAAAAACTCTGAACTGCTTTTAATTAAAACAAAAAAATGCAGCCACAAAAGATGCTCAAGCTGGCAGGACTAAATGCAAACTCTCTGTCATATTGACTATCGGATTAGAATAATTAAGCCCAGCACACTTCTCTAATCACTACGAAATTTCAAAGCTATCTTTACAAGCAAGGTAGTTCTACCTGTACTATACTAGTAGCCAAACTAAATGATAAGGGTGGGTGGCAATTATTGTCTCATCACTAATGAACGAAAACTAATTGAGATTAAGAAATCAAGCTGACCTACGCAAAGAGGTCCCCATTTAAAGACAGCGACCCTCAAATGTGTTCGTCTCAAAGAATAAACAAGTAAACAAAGTTAAATACTTTAACGAACAAATGCAAAGCACGAAGAACACCAGACGAGGGTCTATTACAGATACACAAATGAGCTGGCAAAATAAGTTGTTTTAAACCTTTGAACTTGGAAATTCTACAGAAAGGCAAGTTTTTGGAGCTGTACCTTGTGAAGATGGAACTTAACTCCATCTACTGTAACAGTTATATCGCTGGGCAACCCAGACTTGCAGAACCTGCGAGACATTGGAGAGAACCAAGTTTATTAGCCTCAAGGGTTCCAGCTAACTGAGAAACTACACCCTTCAAACAAGCAATGAAAGCTGTGATGTTTTAAATGCTGACAGGTTGATGATTAAACAGCTAATTCATATTATTAGTTATTTGATTAAACAGTGGACATTAAAGTTGAATCAGTTTAAATCAGGAATGGGCAAAAAACAGAAGGGTGAACAGACTGGGTAATTTACTAAAATTAGCACAGGCCTGGTAAGGTAAATCATTACCCAAAAGCTGCGGATAAATAAATGCGTATCACAAATGAGATCACGAGAAGAAAAGGGTAGTTACCATTCATTGCCTTCTTTATGAACGGCAGTAACTTTCCCAGCAGGCGCCATTGTAGCAAAAAGCTCTCCCCAAAAGCCAACAAAAACCCCTTCTTTCTCCAATCTCAGTTAGGCAATTTCATCGAGAAACAGTAAACAAGAGGAGTAATTCTACCCAACTAGCATGGATTCCCCGCCACAAAGATCAAGGAATTGGGTTCCTTCTATGTCATGGTGTCCCTTACCCAATGGAATTCAAAGAGAAAAGGAACAGGAAGGGCAAGCGAAAGAAATGCAAGAAACACCATTGACGACAGAAATATGAAGCATAAGAAGAAGGTCCAAGGGGGTCAAGACGTGGGGGACGTGGCGGAATCGCCATTCGCGGGCCTCTCTTTACAGCTAAGAGAAACACCAACTCTCCCTCGCTCGAGTATTCTTAATCATATATAGAGGGAGAGAAAATGCTTATTGCTTAGCTTTGGACCACGAAAGGAGCCGAATCTGCTTGGCTACAAGAAGACCAACCACCAAGTTAACCCACTAAAACAGAGAACCCGGCCACCCCCCTGACCCATCCTAATAGAAAATTCGAACGATGCCAACAAAAGGGAAAGGAACAGCTGCTGCAGGGAAAGGGAAGAGAAGGCGACTTATGGAAAGAAAAGTCCGGGAACAAGAAACCGATCATGAACATGAAGTGAGGTTAAAACGGTAGTTTGGAAGGGAAAGAGAAAGAGAGAGAAGACTGAAGGAGACTAGGAGAGTAATGATAAGCGGAAGGCCCCTACTCACAGTGACAAGAGAACGGGTAAATCATGGTTTTGTGTCGCGCTTTTTGTCGAACACTTTGCCGGCACTCTTCATCATTCAGAAACGCGTGCGTTTCGGGGGGATTGAAAGGAACCCTGTCTTCTCATATCTCCATCGGGCGGTTCCTTTTCCTTCATCGGGGCACATGAGTCGGACTTTTCTGTGATCCATGATTCGGATAATCTTTTGCCCGGTCTTTACGTTTGGGGGACTAATAATAAGTTCGCAAAAGCTAAAAGACGATGGAAACTGGAAGAGTTCTGTGGCTCAAAGTAAAGAATAATCATCTTGTTTTGTCGGCACAGGTGTTCTAAACTGTAAACTAATGGAAGAAGTGCCACCAGTCAAGTCAACAAGTAGAAGTACACTGCTAATTGCAGTCTGGACACTGGACAGGAGAGCGGATCCGGTGACTAAGGGGGTGCTTAGTCACTTGACTAAGCCCCTCCCGGCCCTTAAATCTGAACACATCAATCTGATGGTTAAAAAGTGGGAAGGGCTATTTAATTAATGACAGGGGCAGTTTGGGTATTATGGAAAATTACGAAGTATACAAACCTGACTTAGAATCAGTACAAACCATACAAACATACGAACAGTACAAACTAGAGCGACAAAACATACAAACAGATTTACAAACATTACAAACGTATGAACTGTACAAACAATACAAACTAGACCGACAAACAATACAAACCATACAAAAAGAAAAAAATACCCGGGTTGACTTTGGAGGCTCCTTCCCTATATAGAGGGGCTCCTTCCCAAAGTCAACCCGGTTTTTTTTTAGACATACAAACAGTACGAACATGGTGGACAAAAATGACAAACTATACCGACAATCCATACGAACTAAAAAAACACCCGGGTTGACTTTGGAGGCTCCATCCCTATATAGAGGGGCTCCTTTCCAAAGTTAACCCGGGTGTTTTTTAGACATACAAACAGTACGAACATGGTGGACAAAAATGACAAACTATACCGACAATCCATACGAACTGAAAAAACACCCGGGTTGACTTTGGAGGCTCCATCCCTATATAGAGGGGCTCCTTCCCAAAGTCAACCCGGGTGTTTTTTAGACATAAAAAACATTACAAACATGGTTGACAAAAATGAAATACGAAACACAAAAATAACAAAGTTTACAAACATTACAAAAAAAACCGACAAACATTACAAAATAACAAAGCGTACAAACATTACAAAAAAACCGACAAACATTACAAAATAACAAAGCGTACAAACATTACAAAATAAACCGACAAACAATACAAAGCATACTAACAAAATCTCTCTCTCCGTCCCCAAACAATTCCCATAAGCTCTCTCTCTCTCCCCAAACAATTCCCATAGGCTCTCCCTCTCCAAACAATTCCCATAGGCTCTCTCTCTCGCACAGGAATAATTCCCATAGGAGCCTTGGAGGGAAAATGGAATTAATGACACCCTCCCCCTAGGAACATGCCCACGCCGCCGAAGAAGTATTTTCCCCACATCGTCGGCGTAAGAGAGGACCGCCGGCGAGACTGGGAAAAAAGGTCATGTCGCCGGGCCGGAGAAGGGAGCTGGTGCCCGTTGGCCGCGACGACGGTAGTTAGTGGCAGGTTTTTTTTTATTTTAATTGATAAATATAATAAACATGTAATTACTATACTGCCCTTCATTAAATTGAATTAATAGGAGCCCTTGGATTTTAATGAGATTGAGTGGCTGAGATTCACTTAGCCATGTGACTAAGGGACCCCCTAGCCACCTGATCTTAGCCCCACTGGACAGTGGAAACCACTTATCAGTTCTTTCTCATATTGCTTTCTTATTTTCGTATTTGATGATGTATAAGGAAGTTCTTGTGAGTTAAGATTACTTGATCTTCACTCATTCACTTAAGCTACCACAAAAGCGGGAGAAACAAAGCAAGTTCATCGTATTCTAAACCCGCTTGCACGTTGTATTTCTCGACGAAACAAGGGTCTAAGGGTCACTGCCTGATAGACCGATCAATGTGTTGGAATAGTTCGCGCACCGCGAAGTACAGAAGTTAGAACGCTCACTGATGAACATATGGCAATGGAAAGGTGAGAGTCATTCATCATTGTCTAAGGCTGACCACTTCCAACTGGCCAGATGCAGTGCTCTGAAGTCGAAGCTCGATAAGAAGTGCAGACTAGTGTAAGGAGATTACTAGCCTACTACAAGAGAGAGGCAGCGTGACGGTAGTCGTACTGGAGCACCGAACAAGATCAGAAAAATCATCGAACCAGCTACCACAATAACAAGCAATTGCCGTCGATTCAAAGCAGAACTTCAAGCCATGACACAGACAAGGAGCAGCAAGTTGCTTTGACAAGAATAACAAGTGAAGGGAAACAGTTCTCGTCCTCTAGAACGAAAGCAGCAACCCAACGAAACATGTACATTATGCACCAATGGTCATAGTCCCAAGACGAAATCACCCCTACTAACCATGAAATCAGGAAGCACAATATGCAGACAATAAACAAGCTAAAAACCTTCATACAAGGTGAAGATACAGAGAGAAACGTCATTGGCAAAGCAAGAGCAAACATCCCATCTGAACAATTCATCCACTGAACCAACTTGTACATTTCGTCCCTTCTTGCCCTAGTAAACAGACCAAAGCTCCACTTACAAATGTATGGCAACAAGAGAACAGCAGCATTCATGACTATGTTCGGAACTAAGAACCTCCCGTAAACAAAACGTATTCCTTAATACTACAGTGGACTCTCGCTGTTTCTCAGTTTCTGGCACGACCAAGAGGAATCCCCAGAATGGGGCAAAAGAACGAAAAAATTGAAATCATAAGCCTATGTGGGGGAGGGAATCAAACTATCAAGTTGTACTTTTTCGAAAGGACTTCATTACAATGAATTGTGGCACTTCCTCAAAAGAGTATAGTTCAAACATTCTCTTACGTATTTCTTCAGCTCGCTGTGGGTTTCGCTATAACCTTCTTAATAGCTTCGGCATACGTCCTGTGCTGATAGGTGAGAGTCGACTCCAGCAAGTCCCACAGTGATGTCTTCGGGTTCCAACCTGAGACAGAAAGCAGTCATTTTCGGAAGAAAAGGGAAATTTAAATTTAAAATACGATATAACTTCAACTCTATACGAATTTTCTAACTATCTTCACAAATTAATTTCAAGGATCAGTCACCAAATTGGTTTTGAGGTAATAAAATCAATTATTTTACTCAGAAGTCAGAAATATGAACAGAGTAAGACACAAGGAATTGTCACAAAGAGCAGATGTTCATGTATGCCTAGAGAAGTTGCAAGTAAAATAAAGCAAGAAGCAGTACCGAGTTGCCTATTGATGATGGTCATGTCTGGGATTCTCTTGTCACTATCATCATATCCCTCTCCATAAAATTCCTTTGAGCTGATGTCGACTGTTGGTGACTGCAAAGCCTGATCGCCACTGACTTTGGCATAGATCTGTTGATAAATCATTACGTTAGTTCTATAATCCGTACGAATAGAACAACCTAACATCCAAGTTCGGAAAATTTCTTCCCCACCTCTGACATCATTTCAGCAAGCTGCCTAACAGTTACTTCATTGTTAGGGTTGCCCACATTGAATATGTGGCCATTGGCCCTGGCAGGATTTTCCTGTATGAAATAATATATCCACAACATGTTCAGTACAATGCCATATCACAAAGGGGGGAAAGGCAGAAAGAAAGGGAAGGAAAACAGTATGGCATACAATCATCAGCATAACTGCTTCGATGGCATCTTTAATGTAGATGAAAGTTCTCTGGGATTGGCCACCATCTACAAGCTTTAGTGGTTCGCGTCGCAAGAGAGCCTGAAAGTAAATGCAAAATTTAACCCCAATAATCAACAAACTTGTGACAAGGTCAGAGCACAACTAATGGCACAGGTACTCCTAATCCCAGAGAGGTAGAGTTGGAGAGACTCACATTGCTAAAGCATGCCAAAACCCTGGGAACACCCTCACTTGGGCCATCAATGCCAGGAATGAAATCCATCCTGGGGCCAATCCAGTTGAATGGCCTCACAATGGTGAACTCGAGGCCATTCTCAGCACCCTCAGCTATTATATAGCAAAAGGAAAGAGAAAATCAGAAAAGAAAATGCTTTAAAGAATTGTAGATGGCCCAGATAAATAATAAGATAATCTGCTTACCATATATCAGCCTTTCAATCAATTGCTTTGCACATGCATAAGACCACCTTTGCTTCTCAATCGAGCCAAAGATGCAAGGCGATTCATCTTCTTTAAGGATATAGTATGCAGGATCCTATCATAGTAAAAAAAACGTAAAGTAAGGAGATCAGTTATAGCAAGTAAATCAATAAAATTTAACAAAACAGGTACGAAGCAAGTGGCCAAATAATTCAGTGAGACAGCCAGCCCATAGAAGAAAATGAACAGCAGCTAGAATATGAATGAGGGAAGTAATGTTATTCGACACACATGTGCAGACCTCGCTAACTACTGCAATTATCTATCCCCGACACCAAATACTAGTCACTTAGCCTAGGGCAAAGACAATTGACATCTAAATCAAGAAGGGATATATGTGATCCATAAAGCATAACAACAAAACTATCCTTCAACGTCAGTATGGCCACATATAATTGAGTATAGCATTCTTTGGAATGTGATTAACATTGCAAATAAAAGAAGCCAAGTACACCATAACACACTCAGTTGTGTAAAGACAAAAAGGAAAACACATCACAGACCCCGCATTTAGTAATCACCAAAACACATAAGACTAGACCGTCCAATGTATAGAAGAGCACAGCTCCTTTACAAGGACTAACATCAAACTGGCAAATCTACAACAGACACCAGTCTACCTAATCGACTGACTAAGAGAACAGAGATGCAAGAGTCAACAGATAAACAACCACTTCCATGAAATTTCCACATCTGAAAATTCACAACTATTTATACTACTAAGACTACATTGGGACACCGGAAAGGTAAAGAAATACAGTGCCAAGAATGCTACCAAACTTGTCTAGATCTAGTAACAGATAGATCATGCAAGAAAAATAATACAGCAGTCACTCCATATCCTTTGCTACACATTCCCCCAGAAAAAAATGCATCATTGACAATATTGGTCAAGAATTTAAGAGTAGGCAAAACCACATTTCTGCATTTTGCAATCCATGGATCTCACAATTTCATAGTCTAGTTTGATAATTGGCCAATGGATGGTTCAGGAAAGGCTAACAAGATCAAGAAGGCATACAATTGGTGCTCCAATCAAGATTCGTGGCAAGATTCCAGATTAGTGACACAAACCAAAATATAAAATTAGCATACATGGCCTTCCTAGACAAAAGTGCCTAAACAACACTTGACAAGCAAGCAAGAAATCTATAGAATAAAACTCCATGGATAAATGTCGCCTACTAATCAAGAAAAAGGGGATAAAAGTAGTGGAAAGGAGAAGTGAAATATTAAAGTAAGAGGAAAGCGAAGGCTTACCTCACGAAGAGGACTGTCTTTGGGAAGAAAGCTCCCAATGGTTTTACCATACACTTCGCAAGTCGAGAAGTGAATGAGACGCTTGTTGTTCTCAGAGCAGTATTTCACCTAAATTGACAAAATCAAACCCCGGCCACATCAACTTCCAACCACCAATATTTCCCCAAAACTGTCAATTCAGGCTGATCTTACGAAGAAACGACTACTGTAACTAAATTCCCCTACAATGAATGCATGTTCCAATTCTAGTACAAGTTCGAATCCGGATTCAACTTACCACAGGGAGCGCATCGATGAAATTGCTGTAGATTGTGTCCAACGGACGAGTGTTGTAATCAGCCGGAGTACAGATCGCCGCCAGATTTATGACCTATACACCGCACCGGGGAACAATTCCACCACCTCATTAGCACGGCAGCAAGAAAACAAACCGAAGCGGAGAGAAAGGAAAAACCTAAACGCATGCATTCCGATAACAGAGCTTGAATATGAAAACGAGAATCGTAAAATGGCGGAAAGCGAAATTTACCAGATCTGACATCTTGATGAGGCCTTCGAGGCGGGAGTCGTGCTTGATGTTGATGCGGTGGAACTGAATCCGCTCGGCCAAGGACGTGTTCTCGCCCTCCAGGAGGTGCTTGATCTTGTCGTTGTAGACATCCAGAGCCAAGATCTTGTGCGGCGTCTCCGTCAGGACCTTCTCGCACAGGTGCGAGCCAATGAAGCCTCCGGCGCCGATCATGCATATCGTCATCGGCTTGATCGGCTTCCCGTCGAGATCCACCCTCGCCGAAGCTGCCGCCATTGTTGCAAAGCAAACGCGAGCAAGAAGAGACGGGAACTCGCTAATGCAAAAAAAACTCACTCGCTCACTCCTCTCCCTTGCAGCAGAAACTGAGAGGCGAAGTTCAGAGAGAGAGAGGGAGAGAAAGGCAATTGATGTGTTGGATTGGAGAAGAAGGTGAGGTTCGTATGAGTATATATTTCCGGAGGAAGAAGAAAGAAAGAAAGAAAGAAAGAGATGAGAATGGGGATTATGTGCGAGCCGACTGTGGTCATTTGCAGGATTTTCCCCCACTCGCGGACGCGTTTCGTTATGAGGAAACGCAATCGTTTTTGACGCCACGTGGTCCGCTGTAACTGATTGTATCAATTAGGATTTGACATCTGCCATTAATGGAAGGGAGAGCGCAATTATTATTGGGTAACAAGATCACGTCGCTATTAACAATATACGTCGCCGTTTTGATGCTAGATGTCTCTTGATCATTTCATTTTTTTTTTTACTTTTTGAGTTGGGATGGCAATTGAGAGCCGCTTTGATGGATATTTTTTCGATCTGATTCGTGTTGAGCACCAGAAAGAAACGGAATGAGAGATAGAGAGAGAAGAAAGAAGAAGACCGGTGGTGGAAGCATAACGAGGGGAGAGATGGGGTTGCTTGTAAATGGGGGCACGACGGATTTTAATTATCCCCCGTCACGCAATGATTGGATTCGAAAAGTGCCAGCTCTTTGCGGGACACTAGGGCATGACGCTTGTTTGGTGGTAACTGCCCCAAATCCGACTCGTTTGTCATCCCTAAGCTATTTTGAGTTGCTCATGCATTGTTCGTGAAGGAGAAGTATTATACCCTACATATCTTTTTCTTTTTTCAATGTGAGTCTTGCAAGAACTCTAGCCATTATAGCCAATGGCAGTAAAGCGACTACTCGTTTGGTATTAATCTCAATGAAAACCACATAGGCGAACCTATGTTGTTTTCGAACCAATCAACTAACGATCGTAACTTTTTACCAACGGCAAGCGGAACTCAATGGTCGGGCTTTGATTCATGAATCAAAGAAGGCAACACACAATCATTATCAAAGACGAGGACTTTTCTACCAGAAAAGCTGAGAAGTTGAGGTGTAAAAAAATTACGAGAAGTGAAGCAGAACGTTATGGGAAATAAAATTCAACAGCGTAGATACTCTGTTTGGATGAAGTTTTTTTTTTAATTTCTCATTTTGAGTAATAAATTTTGTAATTTCTCTAATTCTCTTGATCATCGGACTAATCCGGATTATCAAATTGGGGAGAAGCTTCGGCGGTGGGGATTTTGGCTTATTTGGGGGAATAAGAATGCGAGTGGGGGTTTTAATGTTTTATATAAATAAGATGATCATGTGAAGGGGATGCCTTTTGCTGCTTGCTACTTGCTAGTAATGAGCTGTATATGCACTACACTCACGTGGGTCTCCTTTTTTTGTATTGATTTTCAGAGTGCGGAAAACAAAAATTCATTCTCCACACCATCTTCTGAACGCGTTGTCTCTACGCGCCTAAATCCCCAAGTAATCTCCCTCCCATCTTTCACTAATTACTCACTAATCAAGTGATAGTGTCCACAACATATCGTGGTGTGCCCAAGTTTGTGTTATCAAATATCAACGTTGTATCACATGGTTTGGTACCTAATTCACGACCATTCAAGAAAAATCACGTATTCTACTACTATTGCCCAGAGTAGTTTTTCCTTAATGCGTTCAGAAGGTGGTGTTAGGAGGCGGTTCGGTTTGGGCTTGTTGGTTTTAACTGAAATCGAGCCAATTTTAGCTTTATCGATTTCTTTAACGAGTAAAATAAAATAATATATTAAGTGTTAACAATTTCGTTTAAAAACCGAAAAATCGATTGGTACACCAATAAAAACTGAAGTTTTGAAGCGGGAAAAGAGAATCGCAGCTACAAAAGTTTTAAGGTTCGATTTACTTAACAGTTTTCAGAAGGGGGTACTTGAGAAGTGAGAGCAGCTGAAGTCTGAATCGGATTCCATAAGGTGAATTAGATTACATGCCCGCACTGTTTTGATTATGGGAATGATTGTGATTTTAACACCATTGTTCGGCGATGATATACAAGAAACCAACCCCATATGACTCCTTTGTCATCACTATATTTAGGGTTGGGCATCAGTCGACTCGATAAAGAATCAGATCAAATCAGATAAAAAATAACTGAATCGCTAAATGTCGCCCTTAAAATTGCTAACTGTCGCTCTAACTCTAATAATAAATGACTTATATACCCCCAATAAAATTTCAAATTTTAAACAAACCAAACAATCCCTAACCCCTAAAACTGAAACCCTCATCTGCCTTCTTCGCGAATCCCTCTCGACGCACCAGTTCGTTGGCGTCTTTCCAGCCGTCGTCGGCGCCCGTTCTCTAACGAAATTTCCAAAAAAAACGCTCAACCTAAGGCAAGTTACGGTTGGTCCATGGTGCAACCGCAAGCTGCGGTTGGCGCATGGTGGAACCGCAAGTGAGTTGCGGTTGCACCATGGGCCAACCGCAGCTCACTTGCGGTTGGCCCATGGTGCAACCCCAAGTGAGCTGCAGTTGGCCCATGGTGCACTCGCAAAATGAGCTACAGTTCCTTTTTTTTGTTTTTTTTTCCAAATTTTTTAGTGAACTTTACCGATTCAGAGTCCCTAGTCATGATCCAGACATCATATCGACGATTCCAACTCCAGAATGACGATGATGGATTCTCTCTTTTGAATAATATTTTATTTTCTTTACTAAGTGATGTTTGTTTGCTAAAGGAAGAGTAAAGAAGCTAAAAGGTTAAATTTGTAATTTTGATGTTTTTTAGGGCGACATTTAGCAATTTTAAGGGCGACCTTTAGCAACTCCAAAAAATAAAGGGAAAATGAAGACCATAATCCAAGGTTTAGGAAACCATACAGTATCGGTCGGTCGGACCGGAGATACCGGATATCGAACCTAAAATGGTAGAAGATTTTAGTAGTAGAAACGGTTCAATCACGGTTAAACTACGATTTTGATACAAAAATACCCTACCACTCGCTTTTCCAGTATGACATCCGGTATGGTTTCCTGAACCTTGTCAGAATCATACCAAAAAGCATGTTTGATCCATTTGGTTCGATTCGGTCCAATCTAAAATCAAATTACGTTCATCATTTCTTCGTACTCAAAATAATTCATAGGACCAAAATCAAATCAAAATATATCCGATCCAATTCGAATCGATCAAATATCACTTCCAGTACGATCCGACGACTCGTTATGAACCTAATCGTTGCCCACTCCAAACCGATATTAGAGGAAGAAGTGACAAGAAAGAATTCGGAATAACGGAAATGCCATGGAAACAATGCGCCAAAATCAGTGCAAACTGCAAAGCGAAAGTGGGCCCCGGTAGGAGTTGAATTCCCTACTCAGCACCGACACCGTAAACTCACGCTCGTCATGGACCACGCGCGCTGGGAATCAAATGAACGCAATTAACTAATTTATTAATTTGGTGATTAAAATTCAATTAAAAAAAAAAGGGACCGATCCCTTCCATTTGACGGTGCACCGAGATTCCAGACTTTGCTAGCCTATCCAAATAGGGATTGTTTTGTGTGTCGAATTATTACATTAGGGGATTGATTGTGTGTGGAATTTTGTGTGTGAATTGTGTCTAATTCCCCATGTAACTTGTTGATTGTGTAAGAAACCCCACGTTTTGTTGGATACAGATAACATGGGAATCAGGTTGTAAGTTCCAAATTCCCGTGTTACAATCAATCCCTAATGTAACAATTCAACAAGATGCGATCGGGAAGACGAAACTATTTCGAAAAGATACGTTCATCTTCATAGAGGCTTACATTTCAATAACCAATTTTTCTCAATACTCTTTGAGAAATGAGAACCATTTCAAAGAAAATAGAACCCAGTGCTGCTGCTGCAAGGGTTGGATCTTTTCCTCCATCTTGGTAAGGAGGGCCCTTGGCAGGCCGGACCAGCTTGATTGGCCCAACACTATCACAAGACTATTGTCGTTTGGGCCAAACTCTACTATCGAGTGATAAGTGATGGGCTTTTTTCGGATGGTCCAGTGGCTTCGTAATAATAAAGCCGAGGGAGGAAGACTGGAAGAGAAAGGGCAAGTGGGCAACAAAGCAAGGCAACCATAATATAGGTCCCAGTTGTACTATTGTTTTGTCGCAATGCAATTGAATTGGATTAAGTTTGTTGCTAGCTAATTGGTCAGTTTATTATTTAATATAACCAATGGAAAGAAAGATTTTTACAAAAATGACATTTAATTATGATATATTATGGTTAGTAGTAGTAGCAAGGTGGGTTAAACACCAAACTTATAACGATAGTTGAACTCGAACCCCACATGTATCGTAACTCTGTTCAATTCGTTCAAAACAGGTAAAACGCAGTATTGACGGATTTTGGGTTGGGTACAGATTTTGTCACCTTTAAAATTGGAGGTTGATTAGGCAAGACCCAATCCGCTTCACCAGAACCGCCCATAAAGCAAAACAAGAATAATTTTGTATCGAATCGGAACAGTATGAATAATTTATGGATGTTTAGTAGGAGTCGTTTGGATTGAGTATTTATGAGTGTTATTTGGCTGGCAAAAAATGGGATGTGTTATTTGGATGTGGTATTTTGCCAAATATCATGTTTGAGACCAAATAACACAAAAAGTGTTGTTTGCCAAATACTTGGAGGGGAGATGGTATTTGCCAAATAACAGGTTTGAGTAGGGGTGTTCAAACGGATTGGTTACCATGGTAACCATATTAACCGGTAGCATTCAGTTAATTTGGTTTGGTTAATTTGGATAATTGGTTTGGTTTGGTTAAACAATTTAGCTTATTTGGTTTAGGTGGTTTGGTTTGGTTTAAACACTGCTAACCAATAAAACCAATTAACCAATTAATGATACACGTAATATATAAAATTATTTATACTTCCATGCAACCAACCAAACCAAACTTTCGTGATTCCCTATTTTATTTCCATGTGCAAAACAAACCAAAGCATTATGGGTCAAAAATTAAATTGGTCTGCCTATTTACTAAACCAAAACATTTTGGACAGGTACTAGACTTTAGGATTACGTATAGTACCATGACAACCACCTCAAACTATGTATAGTTTAAGTGTTTTGTAGGAGAGCTTTAACTTCCTAATGAGTGGTATTGGTATGTATTTAATATTTATGTTAAGGGTTTGTTGTAAGCTAACTATATTACGTGCACAGATGATGAATGATGTATTAACTCGAATAATGATGATGATCATGGATGATTAGTCTTATTATTATTGCTTATATATAATGATAGTCTATGATAGTAATAACATATGGTTATGTTATTATGTTATAATGATAGTCTATGATTGTAATGTTATGTTATTATGTTATATTATTATTGCTTATATATAATGATAGTCTATGATAGTAATAACATATGGTTATGTTTTTATTAATTAACATGATAATTGTTTTCATGTAATGTTATGTTATTTGGTTAATCCGATTATCCGATTATCTAATTGTTTTCATGTAATGTTATGTTATTTGGTTAATCCGATTATCTTAATTTGGTTTTCGTGTTAATTTGGACGGTTTGGTTAAGAAATTTTATTCCATGGTTAATGAAATTTAGGCTTAATTGGTTTGGTTATTACCACGGTAACCATTTGAACACCCCTAGGCATTTGTGTGCTAATTGGCCCCAAATAACAAGTTTGTCAAATACTCAATCCAAACGACCCTGTATTCTTTATGGAGATATATTTGTAGGAAAATTTTCGATAATGCTATGATATGGATGTTCGAGGAAAACATTTATGGTTATGTTCGTAAACCCATGGCGGTACCCATGCACTCGTGGGTACCCGTTGAGCTGGGGTCAGGTTTTCGCCTCTGTAAACCCAATGCTGTTGTTGTACCCCTTTTTTTTAATGGTTGCACATGTTGGGTTAAGTTTGAGTTTAGAGAAACCCGACTTACACGCAAGCAAATATATGACAAATGCTAGCATACGCGCGCCTGACGTAATATTCTACGTCCGCGTTCACCTTCTTTATATGTAATTTGATGTGCTTCCCATAAGCTTTCGAGTATTATTATATTTATGAAACTGATCTTATCGTTTAGGTTTAGAGAACTAGGATATAGAGTTCACGTATTAGAAGTTATGCTATAATAATCTATCGTCTACACAATAAAACTCACCGAATGTACTATATATATATAATACACTGTTCTGAACCATAAAAAGAGACTTGAGCTTCACGAGTCATGCACATTCCTTCATCGCCACTACTCTAATAAATGCAAAAGCTGTTCGTTTGAGATCGAATGTCCTTTTTTTCTCCAACTTGTTTCATACTGTGACCACAAGTTCTTCTTCTCCGATATGATCTATAGCAACGCTAAGCTTAGATTGGCATTTGGCAATACGCCCATACTGGCAATATCCTATCGCTTGGTTGGCAACGCCGCCTAACTCCAGCTCTCATTATGCATGAGACTGTCGGCATTCTTATTCCCAACCACCTACAATAATTGATGGAGGCACGGCTATTTGTCAAGGGTAGTTCAGTCATTAGTTAGGGTTAAGTCGATTAGGGTTTCAGTCACTTTCGCGTCTATATATTGTCGTTTACCTATTTCGTCAGAATCAATCAATCAATAAACAAATTATTAAAGTTACGTCAGATTATCACAGCCTTCCTCTCCAATCCCTGATTCTCTATTATGTTTTTCTCCAAAACCCTAAATATCTTCTTCTCATTCCCGAATTCAATCATCTCTACCCATCATCCATTCATCAATAATACACAGGGGTTTGAGTTAGACTAGACAGAGTAGCTTGTGAATCGGTTGGTGATGTGGTACTAGAGCTCTTTTATGAATCTATAAACCCTGCAACAATGTATTGTGACAATGAGTATGTCATCTACATTGTAGAGAATCTTACTTTTCACGGATGTTATAAAGCACATTAAATTTGGCTGTTATTATTTTGTTCGGAGAAGTTTCAGCCTAACTCTAACATAAACAAAATCCTCCCTTGTTTCAAGTGTACATCAACTCGCTCGCAGATCTCTTTACCAAGCTTCAATCTACCTCCTTCAATCTTCACCACTCTCCTCTCTAAGTATGGTGTTCACAATTTTGTGCCCACCAGCTAGCTGGAGGTATCCGGGGGAAAATTCAAGCACGAATTTTTTTCGTGCTTCATGCTCTGCTCATGCCAAACCGACATCGTTGGAAGGAGGAGGAACGACTCGAGTTAAGGCGATGCTGGTGGATGGAGTAACCTCTTTGTTCTTGGATTGACATCATTTCTAACATTGATTGGGGAAAAAAAATTCACAAGTAGTACCCTATATTATGTTTTCACTCATTTTCCCTTTTCAGTTTGTACTTTCTTCAAGGTCAGGTTTTGTCTTCCTCCCCCTAAATGTTGAACCCGCCGTTGTAGTCACTTACTTCAGCTACATAAGCTGATAGATGAAATGGAATCAAGTACGTGAGAGATGGCAACAACAGTGAGTGAGCAGAGTAGCCTAGTCCCCTAGTTTTCACGGCGAGTACTGCCGCCGGCGACCAGCCGGCGAGCCAAAATAAGGAGAAAATGATAAGTCAATGCCATTCAGAGACACCATTCCAATTTCCATGCCCTTTTTCACGATCAAATGATCAATCATAACTCATAAGCAAGCCCATATGTCTCCTTAAACGCCGTGCCTAGCTAGCTGCACCTTCCATTGCGATTGGACCAGATTGCAGAAAGCCAAAAATGTCGCCTTGTGCTGGGAACTTGCAGCAGCTTCATTACATTATTATTCTGTTGATGGGTGCGTATATATACGACAGTAGTTTGGGCTTCTGTGTTTTTCGTAGTGTGTGCTATCTTTTGATAGATTCTTGGTGGTTTGGTCTTTGGACTGAGGAGGGCCTTCGGATTCTTTCCCTCTACCGATTTGCTTATCCTTTCCTATGTAGGCTTAGCCAATTTAGGGAGGTAGAAAGCCAACCAACGGACTTGGAGTTTGTATAGGCCCACTATATCGTGTATGTGAAGACAACGATTAATATTGGTGATCGTGAGGACTTGAACACGCGACCTCAAGGACAAACCAGCTCTGATACCATGTCATAAGCCAACTGGCAACTGGTCACAATAACTCGAGTTGTTGGGAGAATGTCATTATGGATTTTGTACCACTCTCTTACAGTATTGGCCTAAACGGATATTTGAACCAGATCGTACCGAATCGAATAAATCTAGTTTGGTTCTTGGTCTCATGAATCTTATAAATACTGAAGATCAATGGAGCTAAGTGACATTTAAACAATACCAAAACGGATCAAATGTAATATTAGTTCAATCCTTGATTCTTTAACCGTCTCTCAATATCGCACCACAGTTCTCTTGAATTTGGTTCGGGTACAAAACAGAGTGAACCGTTGCACAAGCTTGCCAAATTTATCTTCTAATACTATATCAGAATTTAGACTCATGACAAGCACAACACAATTTAATACCATAAAAGCAAGATCCCAAACTTTCCATAACAATTAGCTCTCTCAAGTCTCAACTGCCGCAAATCACAGACCAAAGTCCAAAGAACTAGAGATGATTAATGACCAAAATCCCCCTTAACAAATCTTGCTTCCTGGTTTGTCTCTTCTATCTCTTCTATCTCTCCTCCACCCCCATTTCCTTTTCAGCCGCTGACACCTTCCCTACCTTGCTCTTCCCTCCATCACTCTGTCTGTTTCTTAGGCAGGCGAGACTCTCTACTCTCTCCACTACTGAATCTTGTGTTTATGGCGGAGGCTGTGGAGGAGAATTTCTTGGTGGGGAAGGAGACGGACAGCCACGTGGAAAAAGCTCAAAAGAGAAGTAACGGGAAAAAAGATATGCAATTTTTTTCTTAGAAACAGAGGATCCAAAGAAACAAAACCCCACTCTCTCTGACTATCTTGGCCTTGCTGCCGTAGGAGTAGAGAGAAGCCTGCGGAAGTTCCAAAGACAAGTGTGGCGAGAAGTTGCCAAATTCCACTTCCAAGTGTTGCTCCGCCCACGCCGCCGCTCAACACCTCGCCCCGTTCTTTCCCTTTTCTCTGCTCCATCGCCTTTTGCTGACTTAACACGAACAGACTTCTGGCACATTCTTTTTCCTTCAATTTCCCGGGGTCCAAATTGTTTGTTTCTTTGTTCTTCATCACGTGCTTTTCTTATTGTTCAACAGCTATATGTACACCTCACTCTTCGAGCCCATTTCACTCTCCCCTGTTTCTGCTCTGTTTTCAGCTCAGCTCTGTTCCTGTGTCTTCCGTCCAACAATGGCGGTCTTGTTCTTGATTCTGTAATTTTATTCGATTTGGGTTGAACCTTTATTTGATTTGGGTTTCGCTGTTGGCTGCTCGATTCTCAATGGGTTCGATCCTCCGGTTTCGGAAGCTGTCCTACTTGGCGCCGGTGAAATTGCATACCGAGAAGAAGGTTGAGCAGGAGAAAAAGGCTGTCGATTTTCCCAATCCTTGCTTTTCACCGGAACCCACGAAGAGGGCTCCGTCGCCGCCGGTGAGAAGGTCCGGCGGGAAGGAATGGAGGTGCATGGACAATTGCTGTTGGATGATTGGGTTTCTCTGTACGACCTGGTGGCTCTGTTTATTCCTCTTCAACTGTTTGCCGGCGACTCTGCCCGGGTTCCAAGTACCCGAATCCCCCGGCGTCCGGCTCAAGCGCGAAGGGCTGACCGCACTTCATCCCGTCGTCATGGTCCCCGGAATAGTCACCGGCGGTCTCGAGCTTTGGGAAGGAAAGCCTTGTGCTGAGGATCTCTTCCGGAAGCGCCTCTGGGGCGGTGGCTTCACTGAAATCTTCAGAAGGTAAAATTTTTACCGTCTTTCTTTAATTAGAATCTCAAAATACTTGCTAAATTAGGTCAAAGAATATCCATCTTTACCCCTTTTCCCTTGCTGGGTTCTCAATCCTTCTACATTTTGGTCAAAATTGGTGCTGAAAGAATCAATTTTTAATTTTGACCCAGACCATTGTGTTGGTTGGAGCATCTGTCTCTGGATAATGAAACCGGGCTCGACCCGCCGGGGATCCGAGTCCGAGCTGTCCCGGGTCTGGTCGCCGCCGATTACTTTGGGCCGGGATATTTTGTCTGGGCCGTTCTCATTGAGAATTTGGCCAAAATTGGGTACGAAGGGAAGAACTTGTACATGGCAGCTTACGATTGGCGGCTCTCCTTCCAGAATACAGAGGTAAAGAAGCCGACTTTCTAAACTATGAACTAGATATAGAGATGATGAACAAAAGTACTGATACTGTTTTTGTGAATCAGATTAGGGACCAGGCACTGAGTAGATTGAAGAGCAAAATAGAGCTAATGTATGTGACAAACGGTTATAAGAAAGTAGTGGTGGTTCCACATTCCATGGGAGTTGTCTATTTCCTTCACTTCCTCAAATGGGTCGAAACCCCGCCTCCGGTTGGAGGAGGGGGCGGCTCGGGCTGGTGCTCGAAGCACATCAAGGCTGTGATGAACATCGGCCCCACGTTCCTCGGGGTTCCGAAGACAGTCAGCAACTTGTTCTCCGGGGAGGCTAAAGATGTCGCATTCCTGAGGTTGGGGACAATCCTTTATTGGAAATGGCATTGCTAATTGGAGTAACACTGCATAATTACATTTGTGTCTGTTTTTGCAGGGCTATGGATCCTGGTGTACTGGACTCCGAGATGCTCGGATTGCAAACAGTGGAGCATCTCTTGAGGGCAGGTCGAACTTGGGATTCGATTGTTTCCTTGCTTCCCAAGGGAGGAGAAACTATCTGGGGCAACCTAGATTGGTCTCCTGAGGAAAACCATGCTTGTGATTTGTCTAAGAGGAAGCCACTTGGTGAACGAAACTCGACCGATGGTAATGCAAAGAGATCAGGACTTAAAGAGCCTGTTAAGTATGGAAGGATGATCTCATTTGGCAAAGCAGCAGCGGAGCTACCATCTTCGCTCTTTCCATCTCTCGATCCAAAGGTACGACGAGGAAAGGTTTCAATCCTGGTAATGCATTGTGTCTGTTTAACTTGCCTGTTTGGATGATAATGAAAAAGGGAAACACCAATGTATTGCAGGATATACTAGTTGCACAGACGACCACGAAGAAGAATTCCACTTCCTCGTGCAGTGAGGTCCGGACAGAATACGACGAGATGAACAGAGAAATCATTAGAAAGATTGCAGAGAACAAAGCATACACAGCTAGGACGGTTCTCGATTTACTAAGGGCGGTTGCTCCCAAGATGATGAAACGAGCAGAAGCTCATTTCTCCCATGGCATAGCCGACAATCTCGATGATCCGAAGTACACACAGCATTACAAGTACTGGTCCAACCCACTGGAGACAAAGTAGGCACTTCCCTCCTAAATCAGTACTGCATTGCTAAAAGTTAGACCAGAACAATGTACTATGCTAAGAAACCTAGTTTCTTATATGTCCCATTTCTTTCACAGGTTGCCTGATGCTCCAGACATGGAGATCTACTGCTTATACGGAGTAGGAATTCCGACGGAGCGATCGTATGTGTACAAACAGTCGCCCAGCAGCAGGTGCAAGAGCATCCCATTTCGAATCGACAGCTCGGTGAATGGAGACCGCGGAGAGAGTTGCCTGAGAGGCGGGGTGAACTTCGTGGACGGGGACGAGAGCGTGCCCGTGTTGAGTGCGGGGTTCATGTGTGCCAAGGGTTGGAGAGGGAGGACGAGGTTCAACCCGTCGGGGGCCTCGACCTACGTGAGGGAGTACCGGCACAAGCCACCGGCTAGCCTGCTCGAAGGGCGGGGAGCCGAGAGTGGGGCTCATGTTGACATCATGGGGAATGTTGGGCTGATAGAGGATGTGATGAGGGTTGCTGCTGGCGCCACCGGTTTGGAGATCGGTGGCGACAGGATTCATTCCGATATCGTTCGAATGTCGGACCGGATTAACATTCGACTGTGACCGATCGAACGAATGGTGGTCATCGGAGGAGGAGTAATGTGCAAGGTATTTTGAGGTGTAAAAAAGAAAAACTAACAAGGGAACAAGTGGATATCCTGCAAAGCTAAGCTAGAGAAGTTGTGACTTTTGAGTTGTTAGAAATGTGGAGGAAGGAGAGAGAGAGTGTGCCATTTTTGGGTTCTGTTAATTGCAGCAAGTTCTCTGGATAAACACATCTGTAATCAAATAAAACGGCCTCTCTCTGTTCCTTCTTGTAATCATCAACTATTTAGGCTTTTTTTGTTGTTGGGAGTTGCCGAGACTCGAAAACACGAGCTACTGAGCCCAAAGTTATCATTACGTACCCAAGTTGGACTGGGCTGGCATTAACGTGTGTGGAAGAAGTTTAAAGGCCCAACATGATGTCTCCGACGAAAAAGCATAACTCGGCCCACTAACAATTGAATCCATCTACAAAGGCTCAAGTACGCAACGAAAACAGTAGGGGGGAAAATGGGGCCAGAGCCTTTGAGAACTGAGATTGAGTAATCAAAATAATTCAAAATGGAAAGAACAACATAAATAATCTCAAATCACTGTTAGAAATCCTTCTTAACAAATCATTAGGTATATATACATATGTAGATAAACGGTGGGGTTCCATTAGGATTAGGTTAAATATATTAATTACGATAGGTAATTAATTAAGGGTAATTTAGGCATTCTCAAAAAGCTAGGTATCAGGTGTGACATTCACTCCTTAAAAAAATTCGTCCTCGAAATTGAGGTCGCAAGAACATGAAGATGTCCAAGTCTCAATTCTTATTACTACTGACATTATAATGCTACTACCCGACCATATCTAAACTAAAAATCGATTCAAATAGTCAAGAACAAGTTTGGATAGTTCTCTCTCATCACCTCTTCAATCACCCACATAATTACTTTAGTGCGTGGGTTCCTCCCTTCCATTTTCATAATAGACACCCTCTCTCTTTTCCATGATAAAGACTCTAGGTTGCCCACCGGCTCTTGACATTTGACTCTGATCACGATCGACATGACGAGTGTTGCTGCTATTGAAACGCCCACCATTATTGTTGCTGAATTCACTAGTCCTGCCACTGAATCTACTTCTCGAATGTGCTTTACCCCCAACAATTGAGGGCTCAGAGATAACCCTTATACGATAAGCCTGTCTTGGGCAGTTCCACTTTATATGTCCCGGTTAGCCACACTCGAAACAAACGCCCATATTACGTCTGCACTCGCCTAGATGACGTTTGTCACATTCCAGGCATAGTGGATATAGTAGTTGTGTCGGTGCATTTCTTGTGGAGACCGTCTGGCTCCAGGATTGATTCTAGCTAAATGAACCAGATCCCTTCTTGAAAGGTTGGGTCGAGAAAGTTTGGCTCATGCCCCCAGAGTTGTCTGGCTCCTTCCTCTTCTTCGTATCCATCCTCGCATCCCTCTCCTGTTCGGCCATCTCCTCATCCCTCTCAATGCGAAGGACAGCTCGATATAGTGTGGCTTAAGATGCCCTCTCTGCTTCTCCCATGCATTTCCTCAATTTTGCCCTCAAACTCCGGAGATAACGATCTCGCATCCCTAGAAGGATGTTTCATTTTTTATTTGCAGTTTTATATTACATAGCATTTTTTTTCTAGCCGTTTGGAATTGAATATTCTGCATTAATTTTAAGGACCAAAGTTGCCCATAATTCCTCTTGCTCTAAAATATTCATCATGTCCTGAACCTTTTATGAACAGCTGGATCGGCCCAACGAGTCTGCAGAATTATATGCCGAGTGAACGTTCACATGTAGAATTATTGTACAGTAATACTCTAATCCTCTCACGAAAATTCCAAAAAATAAAATCTTTCACAGCCTAAAGTTAAGAGAATCCGACTTTAAATTTTCAAGACGTTCACACGCTAGAATTAAGAATTGTACGGCAATCCATATATGCATTGCTCTAGATTGAGCAGGTTTTGCTCGGGAGTTTTTATACCAACTCTTCCATTTCATACCAAATACCGTTTTTGTTAATTAAAATTTGGATTGTTTCTTATAAATTATAAATTTCTCTTATGCTTGGTCGATGGGTGATTTGTTGAAAATGTTACAAGTTATAAAAACTAGTCACATTGATTACCATTTGTGAAACCATGTCGAAGACTCTGCACACGACAGATTATCGGGGGAAAATGGTACATATTTTGATAATAAAATCATGATTTAGTCCGCAACTTTTCCATAACTATTCATAAAAATATGGATTATAAGTATAATATGCCCATGTACTATGACATTTTATCAAACCTGCCCCTCTACTATCTATTACATCAAATATGCCCTTACACTTTGGAAAAATTATCAAACATGCCCTTCTGTTAAAATTTTCATTGGAAAAATAGTCAATCATGGTTGAAGCGTGATTTAGATGACCTGACATCGACAAATGAGAGAGAAAATGTCAGTTTTGTCCCGTATTTTAATTCTCTGGGTCTCGTCAAAGTGAAATTATTAGAATTATTTGGCTATACAAGAGAACCAAAAAAAACTTCCAGAGTGAAATTATTAAGGATATTTTAGACATTTGTGTCCCCCAAACCAAATTTTGGCCGTAGTTAACTGTTTTTTTATTATGAAAATTGTGACAAAATGGCATGTTTGATCACTTTTTCGAAGTACATTGACATGTTTGATGTAAAACATAATAAAGAGGCATGTTTGATAAAACGACAAAGTAAAAGCGTATATTATACCTATAACATCTAATTTATTCATTTCTCGAAAAGTACATATTTTGATGATAAAATCGTGATTTAATCCGAACGTTATCATCCTATAAATATATAAAAACAAGTTCGTATTTGAAACTCCACACCTTTTATCTCTCTCTCTCCCGACTCGCCGGCAGAACGATCACAATGGCGGCAATATGCTTCACGGGTTCCTGTCTCGCGTCAAGCCCAGAAGCTTATCATCCACCACCACCGGCGCCGCCGCCGCACACAAGCCGCAGCTGAAGATAATCGCCCAATCCGCCGCCAACAACCCGGAGATCTCCACCGTGATGATGGCGCCGGTATTATTTCCTCCGCCGCTGATGAAAGTGGCGGCGGGGTCGCTGCAGTACGAGAGCGGGTTGCTGGGCCCCGTCCCCGAGAAGCAGAAGAACGCGGCGGCGGGGGGAGACGGCGGCGGCGGCGGCGTCCACAATGTCAATGAGATGAGCTACTTGACTAGGATACTGTCGTCTAAAGTGTACGACGTGGCGATAGAGTCGCCGTTGGATTCTGCTCCCAAGTTGTCGGAGCGGCTGGGCGTCGGTGTTTGGCTCAAAAGAGAAGACCTCCAGCCGGTGAGCTTTTCTCTCCCAAAAAAACTTGTCACTTCTTTCTCCTTCTTGGCTTCTTCTACTATCTATCTTTTTCTCCATGGTTGAAAATAAGTTCCCAACCTAGAATAATGTAGTGAATGTTCTCATTTCCAACGCTACTACTAGGCCATTTATATTTTTTTTTGGGATTACCTCATTAAAGCTGTGCTTTCCTGCTAATTCCGATAATTTCGAGTATAATTAGCTCGTGGAGAACTAATAATGAATCGTGTGCGTCACGTCAAACGAAATTCATTAAACATGAAGAATTACACGACCGTCATTTTTTATGTTAAAATCTCAGACAACATCACATTTCTATCAAGTGATCGATCATGTAGAGAACCCAATTGTCATATAATAAATCGATTCGTGAATCTGTAAGTCTGTAACAAATAATTCATGTCGTATAAGATCATTAAGGTAATTCTATTTCTGGATGAGTTGATTGAAGTTTTGAGTGATTAATTAATCTAATTGATTGCTCTCAAAGTTAAAAGTGTTTGATATTAAATCTAAAATAACTATATATCATCTTACATTGTGTGGTGCTCGCCAGTATTACCCGACCTGACCCGCGCACCCGCCCACAACCCACCCCGCGCACCCGGCGGATGCCTCCCTGTACAACTCGTCACCCACATAACAAAATTCGGGTCAAATGGGGGCGGATTGGCTCAAACCCGCAGATGACCTGCCCACATGCCAGAGGGTCGGGGTGGGTAAAACCCGTGCGTGTACCGCCCGGGGGGGGGGGGGGGGAGGGAGGGGGGATCGACCCTCTCTGACATGTTATTTGAAAAAAATACAACAAAATTTATTTTTTTACGATAAAACGAAGGAGAAAACACTTTATAAATGAAAAATAGTGATTATAGAATGGGTAATTGAGTCTGACAAGTTAAAAGATCGACTCTAACTAGTTGAAAAAAGTAACAAATATGTATAGATAGCGTAAGAAATGAGATAGAATGAGTCAAGAACAGGGCGGGGCGGAAGTAGATACCCATGCCCAGCCTCACGCTACTACAGGTCGGGTAATACCCTCCCCATCGCGGGTCAGGTCGGGTAATACTGGCGGGGCGGGTTCAAATTGCCATCACTACATTAACGGTGTTCAAACAGAGTGATTATCATAGTAATGATTTTATGCGGTAGTATTTGGACAATTCGGTTTGTATAATTGGTTTGGTTTGATTAATTTTTTTAGTTTGTTTGGTTTAGTTGGTTCGGTTTGGTTTCAGACACTCCTAATCAATCAAATTAAACTAACCAGTTAAGTAATTAGTCATATATCTAATATATATTATATACACGGTGGCTTCTATGGTACTCCGGTTGAAATCCGGGTACCGCATAGCTTAAGTATGAAAACGCTATATAGACCTCGAATTAGCATGATTTTTTGGGTTTGATACTATAAACTCTAAGATGATGCATTCATTTTTTGCCTATATTTGGACGAATCATAACCGCCTATTATTGTTTATAATTAAATTGATCTTGGGGTATAAGATTTAGAGAATTAAGACCTAGATTTTGATCTTTAAGGGTTAGGGTATAATATCATGTCCGAAAGTTCAGTCAATTTAAGATCTGGATAGCGTTTTCATAATCAAGATATGCGGTACCCCGGATTTCACCATGGGTACCGTAGAACTCACCTATATACACATACTTAATACTTTGTATAACCACTCAAGAGTCAAATATAAGATAATTGTATTTGTTCATGTATTTATGTTAAGGGTTAACTATAATTGGTGTTTGATTGTTATATAGATTGTGAATTGATGCACTAACCGGAAAAAAATTTCTCACTTAATGATAATGTGATGTTATATTGTTTAGTAAAATGAAGAGTCTCAAAATATAAAAGAATAGATTTTATAAATCGAAGTTCAAATTTATAGATTATTAAAAATTTCTAATTAGCGAGAACATATTTTAAACCGTTAGTTTGACAACTATGATGGTTGATGGAAAATAGTCCACAAATTCAAACATTTATGGATTTGATGTACAATTAACAATGCAAATCTATATTTTCGAAAGTTGAAATATCTACACCTAATATCTATGGTACTATTACAACAGAATGAACAACTAACAATGCAAGAAACTACTGAACACACAAATTTATGCTATTCGCAAATATGATGTGTTACACTGCTCCATAAAAAGAAGAGACTAATTTCAAATTTCAAATACCATGGGCAGAGGATCGTGTTGGATCAGGTCGGAGGGTTCGCCGATGGCGTTGCTGTTAAGGCTGTTGGTGAGGAGCCGTTCCGGTTGTGTAAGGAACTCGTCGATGGCGTCGTTCTGGTGAGCCGGGACGCCATTTGCGCATCGATAAAGGTAAATGAAAGTGGAAGATGAGTTGGTCACCAAGTGTTCGATGAAATGCCTGAAAGAACGATGTTTTTCTGTTTCTTTGGGGTCAGGACATGTTTGAAGAGAACAGGAGCATACTTGAGCCAGCGGGGGCTCTGGCCATGGCTGGAGCTGAAGCCTACTGTAAATACTACGGGCTCAAAGGCGAGAGTGTGGTGGCAATTACCAGCGGAGCGAACATGAATTTCGACAGACTTGGCCTGGTTTCTCAGCTTGCAGATGTGGGAAGACGGTCCGAGGCTGTTCTAGCTACGTTTGTGCCTGAGAAGTGGGGGAATTTCATCCAGTTCTATAAACTGGTGAGCCATTTTCCCATAAAGCTGAAACCTTTTTTTTTTTTTTTTTTACCTCTCTTGAGTTTATTTACAGATTCAGCTCACCCATGAGAATTACAGGTTGGCCCAGTGAATATTTCCGAGTTCAGATACAGATACGATGCTCACAAAGAACAAGCTCTCGTTCTCTACAGGCAAGTGATCAATGTAGCTTAATCATAAATGGACAGTGATCATAGCTTGCTTATCCTTTTCTTTGTTCTGTACACTTGCAGTGTCAGCTTTGATACAACCATGGAGCTCGAGAAGTTGCAGGACTGGATGAAATCTGCTAATCTCTATACTCTTAATCTCACCGATAATGACCTTGTCAAAGACCATCTCCAATTTTTGGTACACTCATAAAGTTTCCCCTCTCATGTCATGAGCGTTTCTCCCTTTTTCTCATTCTGACACATTAGTAATCCGATGATGTCAGGTGGGTGGTCGGTCCAAGATCGAGAACGAGATTGTATGCCAATTCATTTTCCCTAAAAGACCAGGCGCTCTAGGGAAGTTCCTTGACTTATTTAGCGTCAGTTGGAACATCACACTGTTCCACTACCGAGATCAGGTCATTATTATTATGATCCTTGATCTCCGTGAATCGTGTGATCGAGGTTACTCTGTCACTTACAATCTGTGTGGCACACCTGCCTAACATATGCATTGGTGTTTTCTTTCGTTTTGTTGACAGGGGGGAAGTGACGCCAATGTGCTAGTGGGTTTCCAAGTTGCAGCATCTGAGATGGACGAGTTCAAATCCTTGGCCAATAGCCTGCACTGTGACTACAAGTTTGAGACGGACAGTGAGGTCCTGGAGCTTCTGCTGCACTGAGCAAACTAGGTAATGGTACTCTGCAGAAGACCAACCAAATCTGTCGACAATGAGCTCTGTTGGGTTGCAGGCAAAACATATGGGCATGAATGGGTAGTGTGAGCAAATATCAGTTCCTGTAGCTAGTAATTTCACCCAGGGGAGGGTTGTTGTAATCAATATATTGTAACTACTGCGCGAAATCGGATAAACCTTCGTCCTGAATTCTGATATACATCCGAGGATATTCTGATGTTGATCTTGATGTTGGTTGGATGACATGATCAACATTGTTATTATAACAGACTTCAATTTCAATCCACACCCATCAGCTTGTTTAAACAAATTAAAGCAGAACCTAGCTTACTGTACTTGGTGCAAACTTTTGGTCTCCATCTGTTCCTCTGCAAACTAAAAATATAGATTCTATTGTATCAGTTGGTCTTCTTAACTCTCAACAGAACCCAGAAGTTGCAGAAGGACCTGGTACTGGAGCAAAAGTAACACCCAACAAGTGACAAACATCAAGAACGAAAAAAATGCGTCAAAAATAATATCAGAGCCTGGTTTCGATCCAGGGACCTGTGGGTTATGGGCCCACCACGCTTCCGCTGCGCCACTCTGATTATTGATAGTCTATTTCCAAAAAAACTTATATGGCCCAGCTTGACGCAAATACCTTCTCCGGCAAGATCCCTGTAGAGAACAACTAATTATATGTCCACTGCCTGCCAAAATTTTCTGCTGCAACCAAAGAATTTGATTGAGCTTTGCTTCAATTAACCTAGGGGTCGTTTGGAAGTTGCGATAGTTTTGTTAATATTGTCATTATACATGTATTGTTTACAATGCATCGTTTTTTTGTTTTTTTAGCAGAAACAATACATGGATTGTTTATGTGATGTGACAGAAACTATCACTCATTTTGAGTGATTTTTATATCCCAACTTTTAGTTGTGATTGTTGAGATAGTTGAGTTGAGATTGTTTTGTCTCAGCTTTTAGCTGATGCGACATACACAATCACACATACCATACGTTGTATTCTGTAATGTATCAGATTCAACAATACATGTATAATATTATACATGCATTCTCAACAATACATCTATTTAACAATCGCAACTTCCGAACGACCCCCTATTTTTCGAAACAAAAGAGAAGTTTACACATCACCAGTGATGTCATCTATTGTTAGCTAGCATAGCAAGAATAGATACCGCTAGGAAACTTCAACTACGACATGCATGCAACTCTCTCAGTGAATTATTAAGTGCATTGTTTGTTTTTCGTCTGTGGAAGAACCTTCTCCAGGAAAGGAAACAAAGACTCAAATAAAACCTGCAGTTTCTATATTAAAATATACACAAGTGTGTATTATTTTGCCATAATTCTATGCCAAGAATCAAAGAGAAAGCAGTATCTAAGCTAGAAAAAATATCGTCCCAGCTAGGGGGGAAACAAATTCCATCTTTGTGACTAGTGTCGATACATAGTCCAAACCTAAGTACCTAACTTTAAACTAGTGGCGGCGGAACCCGCGCTAGTACCGATCAAGAATTCGTCTACCAGAGATTCGATGTGGGGGAAAATGTAAGTTTCGAAATGTGGTTTCGTTTCGTATATTAGAAAGTTCATAAGTTACATTCTTCGTGTAAATTTGTGAAATATGTCGTTTTAAAAGTACTCCACCACCGAAAATCATCCTCATGATCTCGTCACCGCTCATATAATTTTGAAGTGTTTTTTTCTATCTTGTTAATTTGCAGCCAGTAAGCGTTCTTTCTAATTTGAAATGGCAACTTGGTAAGCAACAAACATGACTAAGTTTTGAGTTTTTTCGTTTATAACAAACTCACTTACAGAATATATCTTAATTAAAAGTTAAGTGTAGATACTGGTTATATAGTCCCATTCAATTTCTAAAAAGTAGGTAAAATAATATATACATTTCAAAACTAGTATAGTGAAAATCCCACTTATTGCTATGACTCAATTATTGGTTAAATAATTTGGAGAAAAAACACCGACTAATCAGCTCTGAAGTCTTATCCCAATTCAATTCTTGGTATTTTTTTAGAATTTTTGGAGACAAAAAAAGAAGAGTTGGCTAGCTACGCTTATAATAAATCTATCTGTTGAAATATTAGTTTAGCAGCCAATATCAATTATTGTTATAAGAAAATGGGATACTATACCAACCATTTCTTTTTTTTTTTTAGGTCCATAATTATAATTCTATGAAACAGATTTAGTTAGCAGCCAACAGATTTGATGCATGGTTTTATGTACTTACCAAGTGAAAAAAATTCGGTGTTTCCTTCCTTAAATTCATCTCATGTAATTAATTACAAACCTCACTTTTCAAAATGGTTTAATTTCAACAACTCAACTTTATTGAGAGAGATTGAAATATAAATATTATACGAAATACTAAAACGACTTTTCGAACAAAGTCAACTCATATGTGATTGAAGTATTTTACATGTCGTAATACCATGTGTTTAAGATTGGAAGTCGTCAGTGGCGGATCTAGTACAGAATAGAGCACTGGGCCACATTTAAAAAGAGGCGGAGAGCGCTGAGCCTTAACCCAACAAGCACCGAAACAAATACTTAAAGTCGAAAATTTACAAGTGTTATTATACTAGCTCTGCATCCAGAAGAGAGCTAGGTCATGGCCCAGCAGGAGCGGCTCCCTGGATCCGTCACTGCAAGTCGTCTGAATTTGAAAACAAGACCTCTCAATCATCAAAGGCAACTCTCATACCATGTTTAGAATCATTTAGTCTCAATAACTCAAATTGTGATAAGATGTTGAATTATATATCTTATAAAACTATAACTTTCTTTCCTTTCTCATTCCTAATTAGTTTAATCATTTTGGCCATTTATCACTTTACATGTGACAAGAGTCAAACTTGCTTTTGTACATTCTTAATTTCTCAAGGTAAAGATCTCAACCCCAAAATCTTATATGTTAACTTCATTAGTCCACCATCCCTATATTAATAATTCATCATTTCTCAAACTTTGACTATCTAGTAAACGACATGTCCCTCTTTTCTCTCGAATTTACTCGGTTTAGATGACTTAATTGCTTTACCTAATTAAAAAAATTGCCACTCAATACAACTCAACTAGACCTACATCCCCTTATCCATCGTTATAAATAGAACCCCAAAAAACCTCACTTCCCATTCGCAGCTTCACACCATCACATCTCCATTTCCCACCAAAAGAAAGAAAAAGAACCAATGGCTACTCCCACTACTATTACCATAAAACATACCACCCTGGTCAAACCGGCCGAACCCACATGGTCCGGCCGGATGCCCCTTTCCGAATGGGACATGATCGGAGCCATAACCCACGTGCCAACAGTGTTCTTCTACCAGTCAAGCACCTCATTATCAACCCGACCGATCCGAACCACCGACCCGGCCCTTCTCGACCACCTGAAGGACTCCCTAGCCAGGACCCTGGTCACGTTCTACCCTTTAGCAGGCCGGCTCGAACCGATCGGGAGAGGCCGGTTCGACCTGGACTGCAACGGGCTCGGGGTGCTGTTCATCGAGGCGGAGGCCCAGACGACGTCGCTTGATGACTTGGGTGATGGGGACCTGTCCAGCTGTACTGATTTCCAGCCGTTGATCCCGGAGGTGGACTACGACCGTCCGATCGGCGAGTGGCCGTTGCTGCTGGTCCAGGTGACGAAATTCAGGTGCGGCGGGATCGGCCTCGGGTTCAGCATCTCCCACGCTGTCGTGGACGGGCTCAGCGCGCTTCATTTCAAGAACGAGTGGGCCCGGGTGGCGCGAGGCGAGGGGATTGGGACGGTGCCGTTTCTTGATCGGGGAGTTCTGCGGGCCGGGCTGCCGCCGGTGAGTAGGCTTCCGAGGTTTGACCCGGCCGAGTTCCAGCGCCCGCCGGTGCTTCTCCCCGATGCCGGCTGCTCCAATAACAAAGGTATATATATACACCATAACAAAAGGGTTTTCTCTCAACTTGTATCAAAGAAAAGAGATAGCAAAAAAATGATTTTTTTCTTCTTCTTCATTATGTTAATATCATATCTATATATGTCTCTCTCTTGTGCTAATTGCCTCCACCATTGTTGTGTTAGGAAAAGGTTTGGGAAATTAATTAAAAGAGAGTATCCATTCACATGCTCGTAATTTTGCATTTATTAACTTAAATATATATTTATTCACTTGGTTATTCCCACATATAAACTTTTATTTACGTAAGTTGATGTTTATTCGGGCTGCTGTGTGAAAATTTTTAAACTTTGAAATATACAAAAAGTGGATTGCCAGTCCAACTCGATTTTATAGAGAAAATGAAAATAAAAATTTAATTCTATGAAATATGATCAATACAAATTATTAGTAAAAAAATTTGAGATATTATTTGCGTAGCGTAAAGAAGCAATAGATTATAAGAACAAGTAGGGGCGGATAAAAATTTGAGAATACGATTATTCAACCCCCGGTAGTAGTTTTGTATGGATAAAAAATTTATAATTAGTAATTCGGGACACTGAGAACGAGCAACGAATTACATGCATAATCACCAAATATCATGAATAAACACAGAAAAATACATTGAGAGCGTAATATTGAGTCTCTTTTATATCTCACCAAATCTTTTTTTTTTTTTTGTCTTATTAACAGAAGAATTGGTACGTAAGAGAAAAATCATCGTTGAACAAAAATGTCTTGTTTTATGAATATTTTGGAACAAAAAAAAAAAAGATGGCATACAATATAGCACCACGAGGCAAAGTTCAATTTTGGTTCATTTCATTTTCATATAAGATTCAAAGTAAATAAAGTTATCTTGCATGCTGCATGCACACAAATGAAAGCAATAAGACACCAACTTGACCACGACTTAACTTCAATAATAATCAATATTATCCAATGCAATTGATAGGGACATAATCGTCATTTCCGTATGCATGCAGGTAATTACAAACCACACCACCACGAGACGACAGTGGCCAAACTGAAGATGACCAAGACCAAAGTCCAGATGCTAAAAGACATGGCGAACGCCGGCGGCAGGACTCCGTCGTCGACATTCGACGGCCGTCCATTTTCCACGTACGAAACCCTAACGGCTCATACATGGCGGTGCGCATGCAAGGCTAGAAAGCTCAGAGCCGACCAGCCCACATCCGTCGGCGTCTGCGTCGACTCGCGCAGGTACAGAAGTGACCGTCAGTATTCAAATTCACGAATCCAATACAATCCATTCAAAAAATATCCGACTAATCCAACCCATTTCATTCAAATTCAACTGAATTTGTGGTTTCATGGATAATTGACAAATTATAATATGGTATCTCAAATTTATTTTTCAATACGGAAAATCATTGAAATATTTACCTAGAAATTGTTATTAGTATATTTTAGTATCTTTAACTTTTCAAAATTTACAACATAGTCCAAATATTGAATATAATTTGTATCCGTGGATCGATCCACCAATCTATGAATTCAATCCAATTCATTCACTACAGTATCTAATTGTTTGATTCAAATCCAATTAGATTGGTGGATTCATGGATCATTGACAAATTACACTTCAGTACCCATACTTTTTATAATTTACATTTTGGTACCTAACCTTTATTTTTTAATGGAAAATAATCATTTAAAAATTACATTCTGATAACGCAAAAAATTTTCATTACGATATTTACCTAAACTTTATCAAAATTTCGATCCATGAATCAATATTTCACTAATTCATGAATCCAATCTATTCGCAGGCGGACGAACCCTCCGCTCCCCGACGCCTACTTCGGCAACGCGGTCCTCGACGTCAAGGCCGTCGCCCTCGCCGGCGACGTGGTGGCGAGGCCGCTAGGGTTTGCAGCCGGGAAGATAAGAAAAGCCGTGGAGAAGGCCGACAGCAGCGAGTTCCTCAGCTCGGCCGTCGACTACCTGAAGAACCAGCCGGACCTGAGCGAGTTCCAGGACTTCCACGCGGAGGATGATGACGACGACGAAGATGACGATGATGGGCCGTTCTTCGGGATGCCGAATCTGGGCGTGATCAGCTGGCTCAGGCTGCCGATGGTGGGCCTGGATTTCGGGTTCGGGAAGGAGGTCTACATGGGCTCGACCCATGAGTTCGACGGCGACACGATGCTGCTGCCGAGCCGGGATGGAGACGGCGCCATTGTGGTGGCGATTTGTTTGAGGGTTGACCATATGGAGGCTTTCAAGCGGTGTTTCTATGGTGATATTGTTGCTTAGTTAGTTGTTAGGATACGTATACGGTATACGGTATACGGTTGGTGAGACGGTATTATACGGAGAGGGAGAGTATAATAATATTCGCTATAGCTAGCTCATAATACATACATACATACATACGATTAGTATACGTTAAGGATATTATGTGAGTATAACATACGTATTTGGGATGTATGGAAATTTCAAAATATGATATTTATGTGCATGTTGCTAATGGGTATGTGTCCATTTTTTGCTAGCTGGTGTCGATATTTTTTTTATTTTTTTATTTGAGGTCTTCGGTTTCTTGTTTCTTGAAAATTGAAGAGATATAGGTTTAGGTGGGCTGACGGTTCATTTTGTTTAATAAGTACGTAGTGTATAGTAAGTTGAATTAATTGCATAATAATTTTGGCTAGCTATCATATATGAAGCAATATTTTATATACAAATACGTCGAGCAGTTAAATGTCAATTTTTTTTAGTTAAGTCTTCTTTATTTTTTTGTGTTGGTATGATTATCTTTTTTTTATAAGGGTGATATATGTTTCATTTTGTTGTCGCATTAAAATACCATTTAAGGGATTCGAATCTTAGATCTCCAAGTTCTGAGCTTACTACTAGGCCAAATCCTTGTTCGTCGGTATGATTATCTGCTTGGTGTCGTTTTGTGAGTTTCTATTTTACGGTTAGTGTTTTCCACCATTGAAGGTCTCCGTTTACATTCACCTAATATTTTTTATTTATTTATAAAAAGTGCGATCTCTAGTCTCTACATGCACCTAATGGCTTTGCTAGATTATGATTTTGGTGGGGTTTGTTCGGTGAGCCGTGAACAAGTTGAAAGTATTAGGTGCCCTCTCAGCTTTAATTAAGTCAACCAGAGAGTCTTATTTTTCTCATAGAAAGACTTGAGATAAATATATAAATAAAGGCTGGTTGTAGTGGTTCATTTCTTCTATATAGTTGAATGAATTTACATATTTTTATCTTTGTGAATGATTTATACTCATTATTTTGTGATAATGTGGTACAAACTCAGGAATATTCATAGTTACAACTTCTTTTTTATTTATTTATTTACAGAAGTAATGTATTTAAGTTATAGTTATAATATGCAACCCCATTTTTTGAAATGAGACCCATCTACGAATTTCAAGTCATGAACGGCTCTTTTTGTTTGATAGCCCGTCATAGAATTGCAAGGTATTTGATGATTAAGAACACTCTAGGCGGCTTCTCGTGTTTTCCTGAAACTGAAAGACAAGAAATATTTCAGTTAGAAAAGAAACCTTGTGGTGGGAAATAAAAGTGAAAAAAGACTCGGGTTACTGTGACGAAGTGGACAATTTGTACTCGATTTGGAAGCCGCGGTGGTAAGAACAAGTCGTCAAATTGAATAACGATTCTATAAAGAAGCATGCAGTAAGTGGTCTTGACCCTAAAACTCTTATCGTTAAGAGACAAACTAATACGGCTCTGAAAAAGCAGTAAAACCTCTTTCTTTAGGAACCTTTTTTTCCAAATAATACGGCGAATCCATTTACCCATGTGTTTAATTAATTAGCGGCCAAACTACTACTGTTGGACGTTCATGATTTCTCGCCAGACAAGATAAAAGCTATAATTTATATCTGCATAATTAGCGGCCAAAAATAATTATATCCGCATAATTTATTCATAGATTAAAAATAACCGATTATACAACTATTATTTTTAATAACCACAGGAGAGATTTCATATTGTGAAAGAAACGCAAAAACATTCGTCGTCTACACTATTAAAATAGTCTTTTTCAATGTATCTCACTAAATTAGCATTAGCAAATTGGTCGTCGAATCGACTTGGAAACTTGTTTTTAATATAACTCAAAGCTGAAAAATGCTCTTTTTACATTTGCAATTGTAATTCGTGGAATCAAAACTAGTGAAATTGTCGCTGTCGCTAGACAATTTCAGGGTTGTTGGGGAAAAAATCGAATAGAGATAAGGAGAAAAGAGATCCGATTAGGTCTTTATTGCAATTAGAATTCGTTTATAGTATAATAAATTAATTTTATGTCAATTTATGAATAAGTAATGAGTTGTGCTGTAGTGACAAAAATACTCTAATACTACTTATAGGCGTTGTTTTGCATCACTAATATACATATATATGACATATGTTTATTCCTCCGAAATTTACCCCTGTCCCGGGACAAGGCCCATTGGGCCTCCCTCCGCCTATGGAGACGGCCGAGAGAGTGGAGGTGGAGATGGAGATGGTGGCGAGTTCTCTCGCTTCACAACTCATTTGTCTCATGGCGAAACTAGAAACAAAGTTTGAGTGTTGAAGTGATCTACGGTGGGAGAGTATCACGCCATGTTTGAGGTTAGCTCAGAACTGATATGGCTAGGTAGAGCTAGCGTTTTCTTCGAAAGGCAAGATTATTCGTATCAAATTGACCGTTGCGATTGATGTTTAATGATGACACCGAATCCTTGTTGATCGCTAATAACCAGGTTTTGCTACATCGAGATACATGTTAATTATATTTGCCGCCTTTTTACACACAATTTTTTCCCCGACGGATGACATTTTACTTTTTTTTTTTGTCTAAAAAGTCGATGTTGCGTGATAACTTATTAACGTATTCTTAGTTCTACATACTCAAGTTATGACCATTCTAAATTAGAGGTTTCGATTTTCTGATAGACGTTGGATGGTAACTTATTCATAGTCTTATGAGCTAACACCAAATAATATCATATTTAGTTAAATATGACTCAGTGTAAACCAAACCATTGCACACCGCTACGACAGAGACTAGAGATCTAAGCTGCACCTCTAAGGCTCTACATGAAGAAAGATCGAGTATGTAATAGTCCCTACTCCCTCCCCTAGTATAATCTGGGTGGATCTCCTTCAGCTTGCAAGTCCCTTTATTGGGCCCAAATCCAGGCCTGGCCTATACAAATTAGTTCCTGACTCATTATATCATCTGGGCCCTGTTAATCGGGCCTCTCCTCTCTTCCCTCGGGCTCCATCACTTCATCTCCAATTCCCTTTTCTCGAATCTTCATCTCCAATTCCATTTCAAATTTCCTGTAATGAGAGTGAAAGTAGGAAGGACATTTTGGTCTTCACAATTACTTTTTTTTATTCATTAAAAAGATACATACTGGGATTCGAACCATGACCATTTTAAAGAAAGGCAAAGATCATAACCAATCACACTAAATACATTTGTTGTATCTTTTTAAATTAAAAACATATAATAGCAGGATGGGAAAAACTCTTCCCCTATTTCAAATTTCCTATTCCAAGAGCGTTTGTAGGAATGGTGGAATAGGGAGTGTCAATTTTTTTCTCTTTCATCTGTGGAACGGGCCAACTTACCGTACACATGCGGATTTAAACGGGTCCAGGAGTGTCAATTTTTTTCTTTATACCCTTTTATTTCTCCGTGGTGATAAAATATATATGAAAAGGCAAAAATAATACTCCTTTTTATTATTAAAAATAAAAAATTTAACAATAAACTAATGCATGGTATCTAATGGGCTAACCGCTAACCATAAAACAAAAGAGTTGAATGAGCCTGACCTACATGGGATTTGGTCATCAAGTAAAACAAATGAACATCATTGGTTTGCCATTCTAAAACAAGCTATTTTCTCTGACATAATATATATATGCTATTATTATATATCTTAGCGGCTAAAATATAATGTATTTTAAAGTTATTCAATGGTTTAACCTCGACCAACCCAATTAGTCCAATTTTTATCATTTCAAATATATATTTTATAATTATTTGACATCATAATGATCAAATTATAGTGTATTTTATAGGGAATCGTTTGGTATTTGTTAGTAAAAAACTAAACATAAAGATCTATTTGGTTATTTTAAACATTAAAACGATCCTAAACATTTTCAGTTCCTTTTGAATTTATATGGTTTTATTCCCAAATAAGTGATGTGCAAATGGCGAATTGTAGTCGTCTCTTTTCTTTCACTATTTTTTATTTTCAAATAGAAAGTTTAAAAGTAAAGAATAATTAGAATTTGGCATGGGTCGGTCAAACATGTTGAATTTCAAGTTTTGGCCTGTTTGTTTTATGCATTGCAAATTTATTAGCATGTTGATGGAAATGGCTTGGAAAAAAGACATATAAGTTGTACCTTTGCATAAATGTCCTCAAATGTTTGAATGCTTTGTGAATCAGGTTCTGTGACTTTTGTGATAGTGTATGTGCTTGACGATTGCTCGATGTTGTAACTACTTAATTTGAGAGTAAATCTTTTGATTTTCCCTATGAGTTGTGATACCAGTTCTGGTGGTTGCAGCATGTTGTCGTTGTTGGCCTGTAAAAGTTGTTCCGTCGTGATGCTAAATACCTTTCTTTCTTTTTTAACAAATTGTGTAGTAGTGCTATGAAACAGACCACCCATGAACGCTACGCTTATTATGGTCTGTTCTTACTTCCGGTGGTGAGAAATTGTGAATTGAGAATCATATTCGCCTACCGCACTGTGTCTGGTTGGTGGCTGCTTACTATGCTCTCTAGAGTTATGAAACAGACTACCCATGAACGTTACCCTTAAGAGTCCATAACTTTGCGAAAAACCAAATTTAGGCAATCAAAGGTGGTGGATGTTTGATGATTTTTTATGGCTTAATTGTTTGTGAATTGGATATCTGATCTTTGTATGATTAGAGGGGATGTTTGCTGAATAGAATAATCCATTTTAATTCATATTTATTTTTAACATGAACTTTAGTAACTCAAAACCTTCGGGACACATATCCCCTACTGCATTGTATCATTTTGCCTGGGTGCTTGCTGTGTTGTCAAACTTCTTTGCTGCTGCTGCATTTACACTAACAGGGGAGTTAAGAACCCATGAATGTTTCCGTTTGACACAAACAAGAGGACTTACTTCTAAATCGTGCACTAAAGATGATTGGAGGAAACATCTCTGTTGCAGTTGATACACTGGAGACCAGAACAAAAGCAACGTATAACATCAAAACCAACCATCTGAACTATTAGCATTGTTGCTTTACTCTTTTTTCGTGGTTGAGTATCCTTCAAAAAATTTAGTTTGATTTTAGAAAATTTTGCTTCTGCAGTCCTGTCTTGCCACCAACGCGTTCAATAGATGGAGATGGCAGAGGCGAAGGCTATTTTTGTGTTGTTGTTGTTGGTTTAGGGATCGGTTTGTGAAGAAGAGGGAGAATAGAGGGGGAAAGGGAAATGCATGAGAGGGGGATAACTCTTTTCTCCGACAAAAATGGAGTGAAGAAAGGAATTATGATCAGTAAGGATATGGTTATCTTACATAACTGTGTCTATTCTGTTTGAATTGAGCTTGGGAGGTAGTGATAAGGACGAGCTGCAACCAATTCATAGTGATAAGAGTGCTATGAACTGTGATCATGTATTATTTCAAGTTAGAAGGTAGTTTCAGTATAAGGATTATTTAATTTGACAAGTTGTTTCGTCCATGATTTTTGGTAGTTTCAGTGCCATTCTAGCCATTGTTTAGTCTGTAATTTTTGAGAATTGATGTGCGAGTAATGACTTTCACTTAGCTTCAACTATTATGTGTGTATTTATTGGCATGTGAAAGAATTCTCTTTTCCTTTTCTTTGATATCAGTTTCATACTCTAATTGTATCATTTGTACATAGGCAAATCATGCTCGAGATGACAACTCGCCGATATGGCTGGTGCAAGGAATGAAGCCATCATTAAAATTCAGACCGACAACGGGGAGGGATGCCTAGGACTAATTCAACGATGATTGATGATGGTATGATAAAAACTGCAGTCTGCATCAGCACCAATTTCTAGGACTAAGTAAAGTTATTCAACCCAGAACTCTGCTTAGCGCTAAAAATTGCCCTCACCCAACATTGATCCTGTTTGACCCACTTCTGAAGAGTCAAGATATATTACTAATTCTCTCTGTTCGTATTTTCTTATTGACTCTTTCTGGCCCTTTAGGTTGGGGCGGGTCGGGAAGAATCAGATTAGTGGGTCGGTCCTAATCAAGTGGAATCACAATCCCTTCACTCTCACTTGCTTTCTCTCCCATTCCACAAGTGGGTAACATACAGTAATCCGGCCAACGGGCCGGGTAATAAGCTAGTCTTGTACATTTGTCTATCATAAATCAAAATCCCAGCTTCAGTAATCAGTACAAAAGTAAAAAAAAAAGAGTAGCAAGGCACTGAATCTATAGACTATGGTATCGAAGAGAGGAACAAACTGAACAAGTTAGCAACAGGCTTTCTAGAAACAACTTCTATGAATACGATGGTTTGCGGATTACACATTATTTGCCATGTTTTACTGTACCGAATGTCAAACAACTTATGTGCAATTAAACAAACTAATATAATTCTATCGAGTTATATTATATTTTGTTGTTGTTGTGCATCTATTACACATTGGAAATTAATTTTGCTATTTTAATTTCTATTAACATTCCTTCTTCTGCATTACTTCTTCGCTAATCCGTTTACTTTCTTCTTTGTTCCTTCTTTCTCCCATTTCTTTCTTTACTGGTCAGTGGTCAGCTGATTCTGCTTCTCCTTCCCAAGCAATTTCCCCCATTAAAAAAATAAGTGACTTCTTCTCCAATCTAACCAGACTTTAATCAGCAGTTGAAGCTGTCCTGAACGCCGTCGTATTATACCCCACACCACGCCATTTAATTAAGCATTAAAAGACTAATAATTAATTATTAATTAATTAGTCCCGGGCCGGGAATGATCTCATCCAGCCGAGTTCGGAGATGCCATGTGTAAACAACCGTTAATTAGTAAACCCATTAAAGATTAAACACACGATAATGATGATTATCCATTCAAGAAAATAATCCGCTTTAACTCTTCGCCTTCCTCTTCAATCTCGTGGGCCACTTACCCACGACCAGCGCCGAACCAGAAAATTCGAGAAAGTTCCAGATTTTTTCTCCCCCCGCTCTTCGCGAGGGTTAGTTCGGGTATTGAGATGACTGTTCAAGGGCATGATCGTCCTGACTGTGAAACCGTCACTCACACAAAGAGGCCAGACGCCACGCTGGCACGCTCTCTGACATGCGGCTTGCCTGACGCCCCTCCAGAACCGGTCCACGTCATTGCCAGCTGGTCCGATGTTTTTATGCCTTTTGCCATGGGAGATAATCCAGCCGTGGGATGATTAATTAGGTCATTCAAGTAAAAATGTTGTTAGGTTTTAGTCCCTCGAACCTGAGAGTTTTTACGTTCCAGCCTTTCAAGTTAAAAAAATGTTTACTAACCTAACCCAAACGGGTAAAAAAAGAGTGGTGGGGTGTGCAATGGCTTGAACTTTGGTCCCCATCAATTTCACAAATATTGAAGAAAAAACAATGAATTGAATTGAACTTTGGATCGAATAATAATTTCTTTTACTATTAAACCGTTATTGTTATAATTTGATCTGATCCATACCAGATTTGATCGTTGAGAACTACTAATAACCTAGTACCTTGCTATTTATTGCCAAATCATAAAAATGTGAGTTTAATTTAGTTTTTTTCACAAATATTTCATAATCCACTAGTAGTCTTTTCACCATAAAAAGTACCACTAGATTTTTTTTCACTTTTCATAAAGCTATACACTATCTCGAGACGAAACTTCTAGAATGTCTCGGACAAACTTCTATTGAAAGCTTCAAATGTCCATTTACTTTGCTAAATTGTTTCTTTTCATAAAGCTATACACTATCTCGAGACAAAACTTCTAGAATGTCTCGGACAAACTTCTCTTGAAAGTTTCAAATGTCCATTAACTTCGCTAAATTGTTTCACGCCCTTTATCACATTTGAAAATTGAAGGATGTTCGAACATTTTTTCTTATGATTTCGTAATGTACTAGACTCGATTCAGTTTATACCTCCTTCGTGTTTAAGTTCTTTCATGTCAAGTTCCGACACATGATAATAATTGGAAACCTTACCATCATAAAATAAACATTAAAATCACATTCACCGAGTTCGTAATTAGATTGTCTTTTCTGGTTTTGCTCATGCTTTACTGTCTAATCTTATGACCCTAAATAATTTTGATCAATAGACTAATTTGTATCTAACTTAACTCCTAAGGAGTTCCGTGGTAAAACAAAATATTGCAATGACTTGATATAAATTAACGAAGAGACAGTCACTCGTATATATATACCTCACTCGACACTCGTCAATCAATATTCAATAACCGCCCACTTTTCCCACATTCCTCGTTGCGCCCTTTTCTCTCCCTCGTCTTCCGTACTTTCTTCTTTCTCTTTTCCTCCCTTACCTGCAACTCCTTCTCAGAGACGTTTCCTTCACCACTCACCTCCTACTCTCCCTTCTACAACGATTAATCGCAATGTCGCGTCGCGGTGGTGGCCGGCGTCCGGATCCCGGCCGTGATCAGCAGCCGCCGTCCCCTGCGGTCGGTGGTGGCCGTGGTCGCGGTGGAGGTCGAGGTCGAGGAAGAGCGCCGCCGGCGCAAGTTCCTGGCTCGATCGGTGCTCAGGCACCTTCCCCTGCCCCTGCTTTCCCTCCCCTGACGAATCCGTCTTCTTCCCGCCCTGTTCCACCGCCTGCCAGCGCGCAGCCGTCTGCTCGACCGCTGGGAGTTCCAGCTGCCGCTGCCGCGGCGGCGGGGGCGTCGAGCTCGTCTTCGGTACAGAAATTGGCTGGGGAAGTTCAGGGTAAGCTTCTCGTCTCTGAACCGACGGCGTCTAGGGCCGCGGCGCCGGTGTCGTCGAAAGCAATTGCTCTGCCGAGGAGGCCCGGGTACGGGACTGTAGGGAGGAAGTGCATGGTTCGTGCGAATCATTTTCTGGTTAAGGTGCAGGACATCGAAATCCGCCATTACGACGTGAGTTTCGTACTCTGGTTTGTTGAATTTTTTTTTTGTGGAAAAGAAATTTTAAATGCGTTTGCTATCTGGTTCATATGATCTGCATTTTGCGTCTTCTTTTCTTTGCCGATGTTAAAATTGTTGTGCTAGAATGTACTTTGCCTAGGGTTTCAAGACTTGACATTCTGGTCCTGGACCATTTTAATTAACAGTCTTAACACGGTGTAGTTGCTCTCATGAGGATTGTGGAGAAGTGCTGGCTGTGAAAAACTCAATAGGGTTTGTACATTAGAGGGGGATATGGATTTGCATACTTTTAAGTATAGTGCCGATGACTGATTCATGAATCTGTTTGGTTTCAGGTTACCATTACTCCGGCGGTTACTTCAAAGGTTACTTCAAAGAAGGTCAACCGGGATGTCATTGCTACATTGGAGAAGCTGTACCGTCAATCTCATTTGGGGAACAGAATGGTGGCCTATGATGGTATGAAAAGTCTGTTCACTGCTGGGGCTCTGCCATTTGAGACGAAAGAGTTCGAGGTGAAGTTGGAGTCTGATAACCAACCTGGTCCGAGTGGTGCCCCTAGGTAAAATGCTGCTTCCTATTGGGACTTTGGTGGGATTGCTTGTGATAGGACCCTATGGCAGTCTGTTTGGATTGGTCCTCGTTCTGTTGTTTGTTTGGATGGCTTGTGATAGGACCTCTGGTAGTCTGTTTGCATGTGTCGTCATTAAGTTGTTTATTGGATGAATGATTGCTTATATGGCATTGCTGTTTATGCTTTGTGGGTTTTCAGGAAGGAAAGACTGTTTAAGGTGGCAATCAAGCTTGCATCCCGACCTGATATTGGCCATCTGCTACGGTTCCTAGATGGGACGCAACGGGATATGCCACAAGATACCTTTCAAGCTCTGGATGTGGTTTTGAGACACAATCCTTCTGCACAGTACTCACTGCTCACTTGCCTATTCTCTAAAGATAACTGATCTTTCAAAGTGGGATAAGTTGTTTGCCTAAATGGATAGTACAACTGATTTGACAGCGTCATATTGTAGTTATACTGTGGTTGGGAGGTCATTCTGCTCCATTTCACTTGGGCCAAAAGGCACCCTAGGCGATGGTGTGGAGTATTGGAGAGGATTTTACCAAAGTCTAAGGCCAACCCAGATGGGACTATCTCTTAATATTGGTAACTAGCTTTTAGTTTTACATTTTTACTCTTTTGGTCCATTCTCCTTTTATTGCTTAACGAGTTATGCTTTCTTCTGTTAATTGACTTGTCTAATTGTACCATTGCAGATGTTTCTGCTAGATCTTTCTATGAGCCAGTTCCTGTTATGGATTTCATCTCCAAGAACTTCCGAATTCAGAATCTATCCAGACCTCTATCTGATCAAGATTGTATTAAGGTTGTTACATCTACTATCAGAGGTGGAAGGAACATTAGTTTATGTTCCTCGAAGGATTATGTTTTATACTAGTGATGTAGGATTTTTAGGCTATTCCCTCTATATCGAGCTGCTACAAATATTTTGATTCATGTTAATATTTAAGTTATATTTTGATTCGACTTTTTGTGTCTTATTTTCCCCTTTTGATTGCACAGCTCAAAAAGGCCATGAGAGGTGTTAAAGTACGAATGGACAATGGGCAGTTTGCAAGAATCCACAAGATCACTGGCATCTCTAGTAAGCCAGCCAACCAGACAATGTGAGCAGTTTCTTCTTTGACACATTTTGAATGCGTTCCTTGGCAACTGTGGCCAGTATGTAAATGGGATATAAATGGGTGTCATTCAATGTGTTCATTCTGTATTTATCTATTATTTGCAGGTTTCTGCTTGAGGAACAGAACACTACAATCTCGGTAGCACAATATTTCCTCCAAAAATACAAAATTCGTCTCAATTATCCTTCTTTGCCTGCTCTTCAAGCTGGAAATGCACCGAAGCTTTACTATCTCCCAATAGAGGTATTCATTTAGTATACTAGAGGGTGGAGCGAAACAGTGTTCTGAAATTTGTTGATAAACTTAAAACCTTGTTTATTTTGTTTGACAGCTGTGTACGATTGTTGAAGGTCAGAGGTATACGAAGAAGCTCAATGATCGACAAATTACTGCTTTGTTGAGAGCGACATGTCAACGTCCACAGGAGAGGGAAAGGAATATCGTGAAGGTAAAATTTTCTTTTAGAACTATAGTGATGTTGTATTTACATATGCCAGTTACTTGGGAGTATGAGTCATTTGCTGACTAATGTCATCTTTAGGTTGTTGCCGAGAAGAGCTTCAAGGATAGTGACATTGTACAGCAGTTTGGCATTCAAGTTAAGCCACAGCCTGCGCTAATTGAGGCTAGGGTCCTTAATCCTCCCATGGTGGGTGTTGATTTTATTTTTGTTAATGTCATGCCTTCGGCCTAGAATTAGTGATGTTAACTTTGCTTTTGGTTGTTTCCAGCTTAAGTATGATGGTTCAGGGAGAGAGGCAAATGTTAGTCCCCAGATGGGGCAATGGAACATGATTAACAAGGTAGGTTTAGATTGAGTTCCGCTTGGTTATTCGTTCGTTCTTTCCTGAGATGCAGAACTTTATTTAGTGTATTTTATCTCACTGATGTGGATGATGTGAGGATGTGTCATGCACGCACTTTCTTAGAGAGATATATAAACCAAAGCACGCACTTTCAGAAATGTCTGTACGTAAAATGGTATTCATTTTACAGAAAATGGTCAACGGTGGAAGAGTAGACTACTGGACTTGTTTGAACTTCTCTTCTTTGAACAACGATTTCCCAATTGACTTTTGTGGAGAATTGATTGACATGTGCAACAGCAAGGGGATGGTATGAATTCAATCCTCTATATGGTTTGAGTAGTTCCGTCCAGTTGGTTTACTTATTTTTCTCATCCCCTCCCACTGTTGTTAATGTACAGCTTTTTAACAAAAACCCTCTAGTTCCGATTCGTTCAGAAAGGCCTCAACATATTGAGAAGGCTCTTACAGATGTTCACTACCAGGCTACTCAGCAGGGCAGAGAACTTCAGCTGTTGATTATTATTCTGCCTGATTTCTCCGGCTCATATGGTTTGTTTAGAAAATGGTTTTTATGTTTTTTTTTTTTTGTAAAGCACTTGAATGTGAGATGATTTAATAGTTTTTTTGTTGATAATTTCTTTTATAGGTACAATCAAAAGAATCTGTGAAACAGAGTTGGGGATTGTGACCCAGTGTTGCCAGCCCAAACAAGCCTCAAAATTTTCCAAGCAATATATGGAGAACTTGTCACTGAAGATCAATGTTAAGGTTGGTTTTGTTGCATCACACTTTCTTGTGACTTTTGGTAATGATTTTCTGAATGCTGATTTGACGGTTGTTTGACTAGGTTGGTGGGCGAAATACTGTGCTGAATGATGCCGTCCAAAGGAGGATTCCGCTTCTCACTGATCGGCCGACCATTGTTTTTGGTGCGGATGTTACACATGCACAGCCTGGAGAGGATTCAACTCCATCTATTGCTGCAGTAAGTCCAAGAGGTATCCCATCTTAAGCGTTTTGTTCTGGATTTTTATTGAGCAAGTGACCCATTGGTTTTCAGGTTGTAGCTTCCATGGACTGGCCAGAGGTTACCAAGTACAGGGGAATTGTTTCTGCTCAAGCTAGTAGGGAGGAAATCATCCTGGACCTCTACAATGAAGATCCAGCCAGGGGTGGGGCTCCTGGTGGAATGATCAGGTTCAGAACCGAGAAGTCGAATGCACTTCTAAGTAGTTATTGATATTTTTCAGTTCTCATTCAGTTTGATATTTACTTCTTTGCAGAGACCTTCTTTTGGCTTTCTACAGATCAAATCGGATCAAGCCTCATAGGATCTTATTCTACAGGTGAGACTTCTTATGATTGTGGCATGCTCTGCTTTGGTACCTTTTTCTCCTTTTTCCTATTTCCAAAATTGCTAAACTTAACTTTTGTTTGAAACAACGCTAGAGATGGTGTTAGTGAAGGACAATTCTTCCAAGTTTTGCTACATGAGGTGGATGCCATACGAAAGGTAATGTATCACATCTTTTAAACTTGTCAAGATGAGATGGGACGCCTGCGGCAGGTCTGTGTCTAAGCAGTGGCCTCTTTTACCCCAGGCTTGTTTGTCATTGGAGCAAGGCTATCTTCCTCGGATCACCTTTGTTGTGGTCCAGAAGAGGCACCACACTCGCCTCTTTCCCGAGGATCATCAAAATCGCGGCACGACAGACAGGAGCGGCAACATCCTCCCAGGTTTCTTGATCGGTTCTCTTAGCATGACTTTCTACAATATGTTCTCTCTTTTTTTTTTTTTTAATGTATGGAAGGTAATTTGTTTCTTTTATCACGTGCATAGGCACTGTGGTTGACACCAGTATTTGTCACCCGACAGAGTTTGACTTTTACCTCAACAGCCATGCTGGAATTCAGGTGTATATATATACATGTTACAACCTTCCATGACAAACCTGCAGGCTGCAACTCTGATTTCCCTTTCTTTGGTTCCTTTTGAGATATTGAAATTCCTCTTTTATTGTTGCTGTAGGGAACCAGTAAGCCTTCTCACTACCACGTTCTCCTTGATGAGAATGGATTCTCGGCTGATGGACTCCAAGTGCTGACTAACAACTTATGCTACACGTAAGCTATTTCGGAATGACTTCTCTTATTATTATTATTATTATCTCTTTCTTCCTTAGTTTGCCCTTGCAATTGAAGACTCTCTCGCGCTGTTTTGTTTCAGCTATGCTAGATGCACTCGTTCTGTATCTATCGGTAAGTGTTCATCTTCAAACCATTTTGTTTGTTTGTTCGTTTGTTTGGTGATCGAATTTCAAACATCAGGTATATATATTCGTGGACTAATCCCTTCTCTGGTCTATCAATGCAGTACCACCGGCCTACTACGCTCATCTGGCAGCATTCCGTGCTCGTTACTACATAGAGGGGACCGCATCGGATGGCAGTTCATCGGGCGAAAGGGGTACAACAACGGGAATGGCCAGGGAAGTCCAGCCGCTGCCAGAGATCAAGGATAATGTGAAGAACGTCATGTTCTACTGCTAGTCCATTTTTGGAGGGTGGGTTTTAGGTGCCTTGGGGAGCTCGTAATTACACTGTAAATGCTCTCTGATTTTGTCTAGTTTTTTGTGAGTATGATAGGCTGATCTGAATTCTGAACAGTTAAAAGACTTCATAGCTCTCTACTGGGTACATTTTGTTAGAAGGGGGAACAGTGGAAGCTCCTAACAGTTCCTCGACAGATATACATAGGAAGGATCGTTTCATGTATAATGTACTATAATTTATGTAGGGGCGGTAAAAGGTTAATAAAATTTTACTTAATAACAGAACTGATAAATAGTGGTTAGTTAGTAATCGATCATTTCTTACTGGTTCGGTTATGGTTAGTCGTACTTAGTAATTAATTGTTAAATAAATAACTAATCAGTTAGTGCATAATAAAATACATATTAGACCATCCACATCGATTGCAATTTGCAAATTCTATATGGTGGTTCAATATATAATTGCAAAGTAAAGAGTACTTGCAAAGATGCAAGGTTGCACTAAAAGAAATTGAAGATGCAAAGTCACATAGGAAAATAAAGATTTTTTTGTTGTCATTTTGGCTAGAAAATACAATTGTCTGTAAGCTTGCAAACATGCAATGGGTAGCTACATTGATGCAATTGATTTTGCAATTGCAATGTTGCAATTAAAAATGCAAGACCAATGTGGATGTTCTTCATATTAATTACGGCCTTAATTTTTTAGCTGGCAATTTGGCATGGCATTGGTTATGAGTGTGTGTTCAAACAGTTACCATGATAATTATCAAATTAAATAAGTTTTAAATTCTATTAATAGTAAAATATAATTTAGATATGATAACCAAATCGATCAAACTAATACAATAATTATATCAACCAAATTAATAGTTAATCGATTTGATTAATTGGTTAATCAGGATACGTCATAACATTATTATTACATGAGAAAAATCTCATGTTCATGCATCAGTCTGTAATTGATGTAATGAATAAGACATAACAATCAATGCATAGTTAATCCCTACCATAAACACATATACTAATAACATTATCTTACCGTCATTAGAAGTAGCCAACTAACAAAAATATATGTAAATAGCATAAGAATGTTTTTTTGTTCATAGATAGATCGTAATAGATAGGGTACTACAATGTGGTGGAAATGAAAGAGTTGTAGTCAACCAAATGGGTTGCTACTGATGCAAGGGCCATTTGTACCACGCGATAGGCAGCCCTGTTAGTATTACGAGGAACAAAACACAAAAGATACAAATGCAAAAGAGGTCTTGAGCAATCACACTTCTTCAAGCACCGCGTCATCTCGATCATGATTGACATCATTCACTATAGCTCGTTGTATGACCAATTGGGAATCACCAAAAAAAAAAAAAATCACAGGAATAACCACAATTGAGGCATAACATTTGTCTGTGTGAATTGTCTTAGTCTCTTGGTAATTATACTAGGCTGAAAAATTCCTTTCCTTTAAGGCTTTGATCCAAATAATCTATGAGTTTTATTTAAATCAGGCACTCATATGTTTTTATCTATCACTCTACAAAATTAAATGTAGCATCAAACAATAATGAACTTACTTTTTTTTTCTTTTAATAAGGTGATACATGTTTACTTTTTAATTTTTGTTGATTTGGTACTACTTAAAGGAATTGAACCTAGGACCTTCACATTCAAGTCTAGTAGTATTACGCTACAACAAGCCCTTGTTCGTGAACTTTTTTTTTTTAATAAGTCTAATAGGGAGGAACGCTTGATTATTGAGTGGTTATGCCAAGTATTAAGTATGTGTATATAATATACTAGACATATGACTATTGACTAATTGTTTAACTGAATTAATTAGTTTGATCGGTTAGGAATGTGTGAAACCAAACCATCTAAACCAAACATACTAATAAATAATTCAACTACAACAAACCAATAAGCCAATTTAACTAAAGCAAATTATCCGAATGCAACCAATTAAAATGATTACCGCGAAAACCACTTCGTTTGAACATAGCTAGCATTCTGGATTTTGCTCAACACGTTTACAAGAGCGGTGGATTCTGAAATGAATTGCGTGAGGAAGGCATGAGAACCAAATACATTACCAAAAACACCCTTTATGAGTTATTTTAGTATGGTGCTAACACTTAAGTTATTAGCACGCTACTCGGTCTTATCTAATGTAATACCAAACATTCTCACCATAATATAAATTAATAATACATACCTCAATTTTTTTTTTAACATATCAAAGTATATGTCATTTTTTGAAGAAGACGATTAACTTGATCGTTTTGTCCCAAAAATATATCAAATTTAAACTTAAAACGAAAAAATATAACACATTAAGTACCGATTTCGCCTTCTTCACGAGCAATAAATAATTCCCGAGTTTCAGAATTAAATAGGCAAATTGCTATAAAAAAAGACTCCTTTACTACTGCAACTCTTTTTCCTCTTCTTAGGATAATAAGCTTGTAGAGCATCACACTATTACAACTCTAGAACTAATAAGATTTTGAAATCACGTACTCCCCATATTGCTGAAAGAAATCAGACCCTAAAGAAACAAATAATTAGACACCCTCAAAACCCAAACGTGGTATTTACAAACATAACTAACTAAATCAAAATCCTAGCTATGCAAACCAGCAAGAATGAAAGAATTGGACTTTCCTAACAATCACTCGCTCAGTCACGCACTCTACTCACTCTGACGAAGGAACTGCAGCTTTATCATTATCATCACCGGACGGTCCGGAACTACCATCACCACCACCGCCAGCAACCGGCCTGATCTCTTCCAGCTGCTGAAGCACTTGCTGAACTTCTGGCCTCGCTGAAGGCGTGGGATCAACACAGTGCAGAGCCAGTTTCAACGTGTTAAGCAGTTCATCACCGATCTCAGTAGAATCCTTCATCAACTCCACATCAAACACTTCATTGGTCCACTCTTCTTTAACAATGGAGGCAACCCATTGTGGCAAATCCACTCCATTCATCGCCTCGCCTGGTGACTTCCCAGTCAGAAGCTCTAGGATGATCACACCGAGGCTGTAAACATCGGTCTTGGTGTTGGCTTTCTTGAGCTTCGACAGCTCGGGGGCCCTGTAACCTAATGCACCAGCTGTAGCAATCACGTTGGTGTTTGCTGCTGCTGTCATTAGCCGAGACAGGCCGTAGTCTGCGATTTTGGATTCGTTTCTCTCGTCGAGGAGGACGTTGCTCGATGTGAGGTTGCCATGGATGATGTTCTCGTTGTTGTGCAGGTAGAGCAGTCCCCTAGTCATGCCTTGAGCTATTTTCATTCGAGTTGGCCAGTCGATTGGGGTCTCCGGTCCTCTAGCTGCATAATTAGACAATGGAAAGATAATGAGCTTTGATGCGATTTCAAATACATGAACTGTGTTTTGTTGAGGTTCTTACCATGGAGGAAAGTTGTAAGACTGCCCTTTGGCATGTAATCAAACACAAGAAGCTTTTCCCCCTTAGGCCCCAAATAGTAAGCCCTGAGAGCAAGAAGGTTCGGGTGCCTGATCTTGCCAAGCACATTGACTTCAGCTTCGAACTCCCTCTGACCTTTGGTAATCTTCTCCCTCAACCTCTTCACAGCAACTTGACTGCCATCTTCCAATGTGGCCTTATAAACAGTTCCATAAGTGCTCTTCCCCATAATCTCAGCAGTAGCACACAGAAGATCATCAGCAGTGAACATCAGCGGCCCATCGAAATGGACTAGCTTTCCTCCAGTTTCACCACCGGCCTCGACTTCAGCAGCAGTTGGAGGGGCACCCTTTTCACCTCCTGCCACCCCAGCAGCAGCAGTTCTTGCTGCCGTTGACGGTTGCCCTTCTTTAGCCTTCGCTGCTCTTCTTCTTCTTCTTCTTCTTCTTCAGGAGTTGCCCCAGAATAACCACAAAGCTGAATGTTTACCACAAAGTAAGTGTGAGTTGAACTTGCTGGAGAGTTCAGTGGGTACAGGGCCGGATAGATTGTTGTAGGAGACGTTGAATGAGCTAAAGATGTCGCACTCCTGAGGTTGGCAACAATCCTTTATGAAAATGGCTTTGCTAGTTGGAGTTTACCATATGCATAGTTGCCTGTATACTATTTGTTTGTCTTTTGCAGGGGTATGGATCCTGGTCTCCTGGACTCCGAGATGCTCGGATTGCAGACAGTGGAGCATCTCTTGAGGGGCAGGTCGAAGTTGGGATTCGATTGTTTCTGTTGGTGTGACTTGAATCGGACTATCAGCCGCTACGACTGGTAATCGGGGGTCCAGGGGCAACGCCCCGGTGGGGGTGCGGGGGCAACGCCCCCGGCCCACGGTTTATGGGCTCAATGTTATTTGGGTTCTGGGCCTGGTCTGTAACCGTTTCCTTTGCCAGATTGGATTAGGTTTAGACCCACATGGAGAAGTACTATAAATACTTCTCATACTCCTCTGTAATCTGTAATCTCCTTGATATAGTGAAACTGGCTCTCTCTCGCCCGTGGACGTAGCTAACACACATCGTGTTAGTGAACCACGTAAATCGTGTGTCGTGTTTTCGATTCTCGCTTTCGTATTCTTGCTGTGTCGATTCCTGCGATTTCCCGATCCGTAGCAGCGCGTTTATAACAAGTGGTATCAGAGCCGCGGCTGGAAATCAGGTTAGGGTTTTCGATTAAGAAGAATGACGTCAGTGAACATGAAGATCGAAAAGTTCACGGGGAAGAACAGCTTCGCTATATGGCAGATTAAGATGCAGGCTTTGTTAAAACAGCAAGGGCTGTTGGGGCCGCTGTCTGCGAAACAGAAGAAGGCAGCGGTCGATGACGATGAGTGGAATACCCTGGAGGAGAAGGCCCACTCGACCATCATGCTATCGTTGTCTGATGACGTCATCATTGAAGTCGCTGCTGAGAAGACTGCCGCGGGCTTGTGGTTGAAACTAGAGAGTCTGTACATGACTAAGTCTCTAACCAACAAGCTGCATCTCAAGCAACGGTTGTTCAGCTTGAGGATGCAAGAAGGTACGCCTTTGAGGGAACATCTCGAACAGCTGAACTCTATTTTGCTGAATCTGCGTAATATAGATGTTCAAGTTGATGACGAGGATGCTGCCCTAATCCTGCTGGTTTCTTTGCCGAGTTCATATGAGAATTTCGTTGATTCTTTTATTGCTGGTAAAGAAAGCGTGTCGTTGGAGGATGTCAGGTCTGCTCTTCATACGAGAGAGACAGACATAAAGCGTCTGGATCTGGTACAGGTGGTGAGGCATCAGGTTTGGCTGTTACAGGTGGAAAGGGAAAGAAGAAATCTGGTAAAGGGAACAAGAATTCCAAGGGTCCCGGTCCACAGCCAGGTGATGCTTGTCACAACTGTAAAGAAGTGGGGCATTGGAAGTACAACTGTCCCAAGAGAAGAGGGCAACAGAAGAAACAAGGTTCAGTTGCCGTGGCAGAAGTGGACAACAGTTCTGAAGACGATCTCGCCTTGGCTGTAGATGAGAAGGCACATCGTGGGGATGTGTGGTTTCTGGATATTGCAGCCTCATACCATATGTCTCCGAACAGGGATTGCTTCACAACCTACGAGCAGATAGATGGTGGTAACGTGGTCATGGCAAATGGATCTGTCTGCAAGGTTGTTGGAATCGGGTCCATAAAGGTTCGGACACATGATGGTTCGTTCTGTACCGTGAATGATGTCAGGCATGTTCCACGAATGACAAAGAACCTGATCTCCTTGAGTCTACTCGACAACAAGGGTTTCAGTTTCAAAGGAAAAGGTGGAGTTGTGTATGTCTGCAAAGGTTCAAGGAAGGTGCTGAAGGGCGTGAAGCGTGGGACCTTGTATGCATTACAAGGGTTTGTGTTGTCTGGTTCTGCTGCAGTTGCATCATCTCAGGCTCATCAGGAAGATATGACCACTCTCTGGCACATGAGACTGGGGCATATGAGTGAACGGGGGATGCAAGTTCTGTCGAAGAGGGATCTTCTTTGCGGGCACAAGATGCAGAATTTGGAATTCTGCGAGCATTGTGTGTTTGGGAAGCTACATCGCAGCAAGTTTCCCAAGAAGGGTATCCACCGGACGAAGGGGATACTAGATTACCTCCACTGCGACTGTTGGGGTCCTTCACGAGTTGAATCCATTGGAGGCAGCAGGTATTTTCTGTCTATTATTGATGATTATTCGAGATTTACTTGGATTTTCATGATGAAGCAGAAAAGTGAGGCTTTCACGAAGTTCAAGCAGTGGAAGACATTGGTGGAGAATCAGACCAGTAAGAAGATCAAGAAGCTGCGAACGGACAATGGTCTGGAGTTCTGTAATTCTGAGTTCAACGAATTCTGCAAGGATGAAGGGATTGCTCGTCATCGGACTGTGAGAGATACACCACAGCAGAATGGCGTTGCAGAAAGGATGAACCAGACATTGTTGGAGAGAGCACGGTGCATGCTCTCTAATGGTGGACTAGAGAGAAGATTCTGGGCAGAAGCAGTGAACATGGCGTGCTTCCTGATCAACCGTGGACCTCACACAGGTATCGAGTTGAAGACTCCTTACGAGGTGTGGTATGGTAAGCCTGCTGATTACTCTTCACTGAAAGTTTTTGGGTGTCCTGTTTATTATCATGTGGATGAGGGTAAACTGAACCCAAGGGCAAAGAAAGGTGTATTTGTGGGTTACGGAGATGGAGTTAAGGGATTTCGAGTTTGGTCACCTTCTGAGCATCGAGTTATACTCAGTAGAAATGTGATATTTGATGAGAAGTCTATGTTTAACCCCATGTTGAAGGTTACTGTTGTTGAAGGTAGCAGGAATGTTGATAAGCAGGTGGAGCTGCAAAATCTCAATGAGAGTGAGTTTGAGCACCAAGGTGGAGAAGATCGACATGATGAGGATGTCTCTGCAGAGCCAGAAAGTTCAGAGTCCAGTTCACGAGCTCAACAGTCTATTACTTCCGGTAGACCAAAGAGAGCGACTGCAGGAGTACCTCCACAGAGGTATGGCTTCGAGGACATGGTGGCGTATTCATTTCAGGTTGCTGAAGAAGTGGATGCAGGAGAGCCACAGTCCTATAGAGAAGCAGTTTCGGGTGGTGAAGCTGATCAGTGGCTTGCCGCAATGGGAGATGAGATGGAATCCCATGACAGGAATCAGACTTGGGAGCTAGTCAAACGACCACAGGGAAGGAAGATTGTTACAAACAAGTGGATCTATAAGAAGAAGGAAGGAATCACTTCTAAAGAGGGCATGAAATTTAAAGCTCGGGTGGTTGCACGAGGCTTCTCGCAGAGGGAAGGAGTTGACTACAATGAGATTTTCTCACCAGTGGTCAGACATACTTCGATCAGAGTGCTACTAGCAATAGTGACACATTGTGACTTGGAGCTCGAGCAGCTAGACGTGAAGATAGCTTTTCTACATGGAGAGTTGGAGGAAGAAATTTACATGACTCAGCCAGAAGGATTCGAGGTTTCGGGAAAAGAAGACTAAGTTTGTAAGTTGAAGAAGTCCTTGTATGGACTTAAGCAATCTCCGAGGCAGTGGTACAAGAGATTTGACAGTTACATGCTTGAGCTAGGCTACAACAGAAGTCCATATGATTGTTGTGTATATCACAGCAAGGCAGAGGATGGTTCGATGATATATCTAGTTCTGTATGTGGATGATATGCTCATAGCTGCGAGGTCAAAGTCTGATATCCAGAAGTTAAAGGGGCTTTTTAGTGCTGAGTTTGAGATGAAGGATTTGGGAGATGCTCAGAAGATCTTGGGTATGGAGATTTACAGGGACAGATCGAAGAAGAAGCTTTTCTTGTCACAGAAGAGCTACATCCAGAAGATACTGTCGAGATTTGGCATGTCTTCAGCAAAGCCCTTAAATACTCCCAGTGCTTCAAATGGTCATCTATCCTCAGCTTATGCACCGCAGTCAGAGGCTGAGAAGGAGTACATGTCGAGAGTCCCATATGCTAGTGCAGTAGGTAGCTTGATGTACGCTATGGTATGCACTAGACCTGATCTTGCACATGCTGTTAGTGTTGTCAGCAGGTTTATGATACAACCTGGGAAGGAGCATTGGCAGGCTGTGAAGAGGATCTTCCGGTACCTTAAGGGTACACCTGATGTGGGAATTAGCTTCGGAAGTGATACAGAGTGCTTGGTGTCTGGGTATTCTGACTCGGACTATGCTGGAGATGTTGACACGAGGAGATCCATGACCGGTTATGTATTCACTCTTGGGAGTTCTGTAGTGAGCTGGAAGGCAACTTTGCAGTCGGCGGTGACATTGTCTAGTACTGAGGCAGAGTATATGGCGTTGACAGAAGCTGCTAAGGAGGGAATATGGTTGAAGGGACTGGTTGGTGATCTTGGTCTACATCATGATCAGGCAGTGGTGTATTGCGACAGTTTGAGTGCAATATGCTTGGCCAATGATCAAGTCCACCATGAGAGGACTAAGCACATTGATGTGAGGTATCATTTATTGAGGACAGAGAAGAGGATTAAGGTGAAGAAGGTTGGCACCGCGGATAATCCTGCTGATATGTTCACGAAGCCGGTTCCACATGGCAAGTTCCAACACTGCTTAGACTTGCTGAATGTCTTGAGTGGGTGACTCCGCCCTGCGGGGCATTGATGGCGGGAGAGAGATAGAAGGAGCAGAGTACATCAGAGATTTCAGAGGAAGAGGATTCAAGTCAAGGTGGAGATTTGTTGATGTGACTTGAATCGGACTATCAGCCGCTACGACTGGTAATTAGACCCACATGGAGAAGTACTATAAATACTTCTCATACTCCTCTGTAATCTGTAATCTCCTTGATATAGTGAAACTGGCTCTCTCTCGCCCGTGGACGTAGCTAACACACATCGTGTTAGTGAACCACGTAAATCGTGTGTCGTGTTTTCGATTCTCGCTTTCGTATTCTTGTTGTGTCGATTCCTGCGATTTCCCGATCCGTAGCAGCGCGTTTATAACAGTTTCCTTGCTTCCCAAGGGAGGAGAAACTATCTGGGGCAACTTAGATTGGTCTCCTGAGGAAAACCATGCTTGTGATTTGTCTAAGAGGAAACCAATCGGTGATCGAAACTCGACTGACGGGAATGCAAAGAGATCTGCACTTAAAGAGCCTGTTAAGTATGGAAGGATGATCTCATTTGGAAATGTTGCAGCTGAGCTACCATCTTCGCTCATTCCATCTCTTGATCCAAAGGTACGACGAGGAACGGTTTCAATCCTGTTAATGCCTTGTCTTTAACTTGCCTATTTGGATGATTATGAAAAAAACTCAAAAAGGGAGCACCAATTGTTGCAGGATCTAGTAATTGCACAGGCGACCACGACAAAGAATTCCACTTCCTCGTGCAGTGAGGTCCGGACAGAATACGACGAGATGAACAGAGAAATCAAATATTTATCTTCTTTCGCGCTCTCCCATCCTCATTATTATGAGATCCTATATTGAAGATTTGATGAAGGATGTCAGAATTCAAGTGCTACTCAAGCCTTGTTCGGGACGATTGGCGCGATATTTAGCATCAATAGTTTGTGTACAAGATAATTGCAAAGATCTTAGCGGAACGATTGGCGCGATATTTAGCATCGATAGTTTCACCGGGGCAGAATGAATTTGTGCGTGGGCATCAGATAGTGGATAACGTCCTTATTGAGCACGAGGCAATGTAGTCAAAATCGGGATTTTAAGTAAAATCGAAAACTAAGGTAGAATCGGAATCGTAGATTAATCGTAAAATGTAAGATTTTAAGGTTCGTATTAAATAAAGACTTAAAACACCAGATAGTAACAAAAATGCATATACTGGATAACAATAAACCACATATAAACACATAAATAAGCAACCTGGAACCTCATAGAAATCACTTAATTAATAGTTAAAAGTAGAAAATTACATAAGATCATTAGGATCAAGTTACATCATCATCATCATCCTCACCCTCACTCTCACTCTCATCCTTGTCTATTTGCTTGAGGACTAATATTATTACTTTTAGAATATTCACTTTAAGTACTTGCACCATTAACCATATTTCCTTGATCATCATCGTCTGTCAAAGATAACTCATTGATTGATGCATTCCCTTCTTAATTGGTAAAAGTTGGTGATAGTGGTGCTGAATGATTGGGAGATGAACGAAAGCTTGCAATGGAATGAATATTTGGATTATTGTGAGTGTGGTGGGAACAAACTACAAGCTAATTGGGAGGGTGGAAGATATCATTGATGGAAGGAGTTGGGCGTCGACGTGCGAAAGAGGAAGATATGAGGAAGAGAATGAAATAAATTGAGGGTTGTCTGTTGGGTTAGGGTTATGTTGTTCATTATGTTGGGTCAGGGGAAGTAAACTTGACTCGGTCCATGGGCAAAACTCGGCTTAACTGGCCTAATTTTGCTCCAATTGATATGAACCTTGAAATCGTACAAAATCGTAGATTTTAAGGATTTTAGAGATTTTATGGATTTTAAGGTTCAAAGATTTTACAGGTAAATCATGATCGAAACCCATAAGTAAGATAGTAAAATCGTTAGATTTTAAGATTAAAATCAGGATTTTGACTACAATGGCACGAGGTTATGCGTTATTTGAAGAATAAGCGAGTCGGCAAATAAGGGTTTATGGCACTGAATGTGGATATGGAGAATGCATATGATAGGATGGAATGGGCATTTTTGTTCGCATTGCATGAGAAACTTGGTTTAAGTGCTCAATGGATTAAATGGCTTCGAGCATGTGTGACTTCTTCTACCTTCTCGGTCATGCTGAATGGACAGTCGGTGGGTTACTTTATGTCGTCTCGGTGGGTTACTTTATGTCGTCTCGTTGTCTTCTTTGTTGTTTGCCTTATGCACGGAGGGGTTTGTAGCTTTAATCAGATGAGCTGGAATGTCGTTCGCTAACTGGTCTGTGTATTAGTCCAAGATGTTCAGTCGTTTTTCACTTGTTCTTTGCGGATAATTCGTACTTATTCCTTAGGGCCTCACCAATGGAATGTGAGTCACTGGTCGCGCTCCTTATTCAGTATGAGATGCTTAGTGGCCAAAAGGTTAACTTGGCTAAGTCTGCATTGTGTTTCAGTCGGGATATCTTATTGCCTGATGCGGAGGTGTTGGGATGGATTCTGGGGGTTGGATCGGTTATCGTAACTGATCAGTATCTTGGACTCCCTTCCTTGGTGGGTCGATCTAAGATGGAGACGTTCAGATGTTTCGAGGAAAGGGTGTTAAGTAGACTTCAGGGATGGAAGTAACAATGTCTTTCATGGGATCCCGATGAGGTTCTCATTAAAACTGTGGCGAATGCCTTGCCAGTCTATGGGATGTCGTGTTTCATGTTTTCTGTCATGTTTTGTCGATCAATGGATAGAAATCTGACCCGCTTGTTGTGGGGAGTGTTGAGTGCAGCATGGGGAAAGGAGAATCAATTGGGTTGCTTGGAAGACACTGTGTATGAGTAAACATGAAGGAGGGGTGAGATTTTGACGTTTTGAGGAATTTAATCAGACACTTTTAGCAAAATTGGATTGGCATCTTTGGACAGAGCCAAATTTGCTAGTGGTACGGCTGCTGAAAGGAAAGTATTATCCTCATATTTCTATTTTGGAGGCTTCTTATGGCTCTCTCCCTTTTTGGGGTTGGCGTGAGATTCTTCATGAGAGAAATTTGTTGAGACAAGGTCTCTGTTGGAGGTGGGGTCGGTACAATGGTGGATGTTTTCATGATAATTGGGTGCCTCGCTTTCATCCATGCTCTCCTCGTGCTCGGCAAGGGATTGTTAGGGTGAATGGGATGATTGCTTCACTGATTCAGCCACTATAGTGGGGTTTGGCGGATGGATTGTCTTCGGCAAATTTTTGAAGAGGACATAGTTCGGGCAATTGCGTCTATTCCCCTGCCGATTGATCCTGTTCCTGATCGTTTGGTTTGAATTGGGGAGTCCTCGGGTGTATACTCAATTAAGTCCGGGTATCACTTAACTTCTCAATTGCAGCGGGAGAAGGAGCTGCTCAGTAAACAGGGGGTGGCTCCTTGGGATCGTGGATTACGGAAGAGTATCTAGTCGACATCATTGCCCCCAAAATTGAAGTACTTCATATAGTAGCTGGTACGTCGGGTTTTGTCGACAGGGGAGGCACTCAGTCTGAGGGGGTGACTGGTGTGCGGGGATGCCCGGTGTGTGGGGAGGATGAGTCTCTTGAACACCTCTTCTTCCGCTACCAGGTGGCCCAAGGTCTTTGTGAAGGGACTGGTTTAGATGGTGTCCGAGAGAATTTCCCCCAGGTTCACATGGCTACCTTTTGGATTGTCAGGTTTTAATGTACATTGTGACCTTGTTTTGGAGGATTTGGAAGGCGCACAATTGGGTGGTATTTGATTTTACTTTGTTCACCATACCTGTTATGCTTTCTCAATTTTGTTTGCATGTTGTTGAACGCGAGGTGGAGAATAAAGAGCAGCCGAGCATGGATGGTGGAGGTGGCATTACCAGACATTCCGGGGGTCTTAATTCTGTTATGAGCTCGGGCATTTGGGTGGTTCGGGTTGATGGGGCAGTGAGATGTGGGTCTCATGGCATTGGGGGTTAAGTATTGAAGGATCAGTCGGGAGAGGTGGTGACTGCGGAGGCGAAGTTATATGAGTTTATTAATGATATGTTCCTTGTGGAGTTGTTGGTTTTTCGGGATGCAATGTGTTGTTATGTTGCTCGGGGTTTAACGACAGTCCTTTTAGCGGGTGATGCTAAGGTTGTCATCTACAAGATCGTGGAAGAGACGACCGCTGACATCCTTGGGGGGAGGATCCTCGAGGAGATAATAGTGCTTCGTCAATCTTTCCAGAAGTTCTCGGTTAGGTTTGTTGGTCGTTGTTGTAATACGGTTGCCCATTTAGTGGCACGAAAAGCACTTTCATTGTTCCCTTCTTTAGTTGGGTTCGATTTGGTTATTTGGCTGTTTTCGGCCATTTGAACTCTTTTGTATCTGGTTGTTTTTCTCGGTAATACGAGTGATCTTTTGATAATAAAAAAAAAGCTTTCTTTGGAATTTTTGTGTTTCTAGGCCATTGTTGAAGATGGTCTAAAGTCTAAACCGGTCAGATTAGATCTTGGATTAAACTAGTAAACCTCAAACGACTTACCTGGGCCTGGGCCTGGGCCATTGTCATATTCCTGGACTGTATCCGACGTTTAACAATCTTATCTGTAAAGCTTGCTAGATCCCATCTTGCCCTACCATTCCCCTTCCAGTTTCGCGTGCTCAAGGTTAGGGTTTAGTCTTGACGATGAAGCCGTCAACGGCTGTTTCTCTCGATCGGCTAGGCTGAGCAGTATGCTATCTCCGATGCCTCGGTTCTGCTGGGTTTTATTTGAGAACAATGTTTGGGATCGACTCGGCAGCGATGGAGGCAGTAACAGCGGGCTCAGCCCGTTTCCCGCCTCTCCTCCGCAGCTGCAATACCGTACGGAAAGCAGCAGCATCTAGTTCAAATGCTGGAAAGCTTGGTGTTTGCGGAACCAAGCAAGCCGGCCTACGCCGCAAGAGACAACGAGAAGCTGAAGGTCGGCCAGTTAGTGCCAAATCTGATTCCCTCATCAGCGATATCCCCGATAGTCTCCTCATCTACATTCTGCAACGCCTTCCGAATCCCAGATCGGTTTGTGCGTGCAAATCCGTCTGCAAGCGTTGGAACCTGCTCATCTCCGATCCCGACACCCTCCATCAGTTGGTTTCTCGCCACAGGATCAATCTGACCGGCGAAATGGAGGAGCGGCGACCTCTGTTGATCTATTTCGATCGGCCTCAAACACACGAATCAATCGTGAGGAGCATCGTTCCTTCACATTTCCTCTCCAACAATGTTCCCTATGATGACCGCCACTCTATCCAAGTCATCTCGTGCTGCAACGACTTGCTCCTGTGCGGGAGGATTAGACCTAAAAACAGGTACCGCAGGAGGTTCTTTGTCTGCAATCCGTTTACAAAGCATTGTGTCACACTCCCTCTGGTCCCTCGACACCTCACATATCGCGAAGGATTCTACTTTGGAACTCATCGTTCGGGTACCGAGATGGAGGCATCCCTAATTGGATTTGTTTGCGAACCCTGCTTTTATTATGATGATGCATCTAGCAGTAGTAGTCATGTGGGGACAACACTGCTGAAGAATCCCAAGTTTCGATTCCGTGTAGTGTTCTTTTTCAAAAGTCGTAATGGTCTTGGAGTGACCACCTTCTGCTCTGAGTCGTGGGAGTGGAAGTTCTCTAGTTATGGATATCAGGAAGTGGAGGTTGAAGAAACAGTTATACCTCCCACCGCACCCTATATTGGCATCGGCAATGCTCATTCTACCTCTACTTCGGCAGGGACGAAGCTATTTTGGAAGACTGCGCAAGCCAAGGTTGCTGTTTACGATCCTTTCAGCGAGCAAAGTCCACCACAGATCAATTTGGTTGATTGTTCTCATTTATGGTCCAATGATATTGTTAACAACAATTTCTTGGTTGGAGTTTCCAAAGGCTTTTTGCGTGGGATGGTGTTTCCACGCCCAGGTCCATCAACCTACAACAAAGATGGATTCTTTAGTCTCTGGAAGCTGGAAGAGGACCAGGACTTGGTGGGCGGCTATAGATGGAGTTTGGACTATCAGGTGTCCATGCGAGTGTTGTACAACGTTATTGTCCGACGACATAAAATGAACAAGATAGAAGGAGGAAGGAGGAAGAAGACACGGTTGGGGGTACTGGGTGTTCACCCAAGCAGGCCAGAGGTCATCTATTTTGAGTGTCGTGATTATGCTAAAAAGCATAATCATGACCCTTTCTTCTTTGATTTCAATCATCACTTCAGAGATGGTCGCATTGGCGACCTGAAACTGCCTGAGGATTATTCTTACGATCCTATTTATGTTGTCCCCTTTGATGTGCTTAGGCATAAGGTAGTGGGAGAGATTATACCGATTGCTGATATTAATGCGACCCATCTTAGGTTTAAATATTGGGGCAGGTTTGGAGTAGGTGATCCAATCGGCTGGGCTGTATTCCAGCCTTCGATTCCTTTTTGGCCGACTCCAATTCCAGTGCCAGGTAAAGAATCGCTGTTCTATTGTGGTGAACATATATCCTGTTTTTATTACTAGAGTAAGTATTGTGTGCATATTCGTGAAGTATGCTGCCTTGTTTAGACAACGTGCTTGAGATAGAGTTGTCTAACAACGTTGCAAATGTTAATTAATGTAATCCCCTTGACTTTGTTATGGTCTGGAAGATGTTATAACCGAATTTGCTGAAGAACCAGAGGAGAACATCAAGGAGGGTACTTTGGGATTCATGTACAGTGTCTGGTATGTAAGCCTTTTTCCATTTTTAGTGTCCTTTTTCATTATGTTTGTTGCCATGGATGGATAATAATTTGACACATTTCTAATCCTTTACTTGGGTTGTTCATATCAAAAGGTGAAACAACTGATAAACTAAGCATAGATCTAGATGAGCAGCAGAGTGTGTTGTGGTTCGTCATCAAGAATAGCAGAGTATGGCTAGCTTACGGTACTGAGGCATGGAGGAAATCTAGAGTGAAGGTGTGAACGAGTTATTGTTGTATTGTTCCGGTGCTGCAATGATAGTGTTATTTATGGAGTTGTGGTTATGTAGACGGATGTGTATGATATCTGATACTCGTGCATCTACCTTTGCTTCTCTGGAAAATGTTCCTCAAATATTTTGCATTCTGCCTTTTTCAGTTCCTGGTAATGTAGTAAAACCTTCTATTGGTTGCTAATATTGCTATTGCCCTCTGAATTCCTTCTACAGTATATCTTCGATCACGTTTTTAGTTTATTGGCTATCTCATGAAACCACTCAGGTCGTGTTGTAGGATTAAGGGTTAGCTTGTGATAGATCCCTAGAATTAGGTTCTATCGGATTTAGGGATTTGGTGAGAGGAATTGAATCACCAAGATGGTGATTAGGGTTGATTTGGGAAAATGGGGTGAGAACAGGGGAATTGGAATTGAAGGGGAGGGGAAAAGAGAAGCTGCTGTCGCAGCAGTGGAAGAGAGGTGGAAGAGAGGGGAAAGAAGTTGGGGAAAGATTGGCTGCTCGGCAGCCTTGGGAAGGAGAGGAAGGGGTCGGCAGAGGGTAGCAGGGAGAGGATTGAGAGTATTAGGTTTAGGGTATAATTCTTGTTTAGTGGTCTAATTCCACTTACAAGTGATTTATATAATAATTGGATAATTCCTTATCGCTACTTGACATATAATTTATTTATCAATTCCCGAAATAGACCCAATAATCTGAAATAACAATAATCTGATAATTAATAAAAATACTAAATACTAGTTTCTATCATCCCCGCTTTCTTTGGAAAACAATCTTGTCCCCAAAGTTGGTCATCTAGCTTACTAGGTCTCCTCCTCGCCATCTCCGGCGTCCTCACCTCGTCCTCCGCTTCGTCCTCCCATCGTCCCACTAGCATCATCAAGTACGGCTTCGGGCACTGATGACCAATGGTGAATCGGCCATCACAATTGAAGCACTTGCCCTCCCATCTCTTCTGCTCAACCTCGGCTGGGGAGAGCCGCACGAACCCCATTGGTATTGGCCGGGGTCCTCCCCTGGTCACTGGTGCAGTGTTTTCGCTCCCGGTGCTCGCCCCTACTGCTAGCGGTGGGCAAACGGTTCGGTAAACTCGAACCGAACCAAAACCGAATTAAACCGAACCGAAATCGAAATAATGCTATTCGGTTCGGAATTCGGAAGGAAAATATAGATATTTCGGAAACCAGGGTTCTTTCAACCGAATCGAAGTTCCGAATTTCCGACTGAAAAACCGAAATACTACAATTGCAACCTCCAAATGGTGGATTTTTATATTTGTAGTTGTTTTTATACTTAAATATTTGAAATGTTTTATGACTTATGTGTTGAAAAGTTTGATTTTATCATTGATTATGCATATAATTGCATATTTATTGTTTACATTAGGAGTGAAAAATAATTTAAAAGTGAGAATATACAAGTAGCCTCACAAATTCGATTTTGTGTTAAAAACTGAACCGAATTATAATTTAAACCGAATTATAATTCGGTTCGAATTCGGTTTGAGATTTGAGTGAATTCGGGGACCCGGTATTCATAATTTCGGTTCGGTCGAAACCGAACTGACCGAATGCCCACCCCTACCTACTGCGCTTCCTGTCGCTGTTCCTCCTCCGCTGCCTCCGATTCCACTACTGCTTCCCCCTCCACTTGGCCTCGTGTAACGGCCAATAGTACCCCTCCAGCTGGCAAGTTCTTCTTCCTTGTGACCTGCAAGACGAAAAACAGCCTTCAAAGATCCCGACTCGAATACTCGAACTGCTGCTGCTATCTCGGGTTTGAGACCCGCCATGCATAGCCCCACCAGGGTGTCCTCCGGCACTCCCTTGTACTGGTTACCCAACTTGAAGACCTCTGAGCAGTAGTCAACCACCGTGCCAGTCTGTTTCAGCTTCGCGAGCTGCTCCATAGCCCATCCTTCTGATTTCCCGAACTGGTAGCGGAGCTCCTCCTGGAACATAGGCCAGGTGATCAGAGTCGCGGCGGCCGCATACGATCGCTCCATCCACTCCCACCACTGAATCGCATCACCCTCTAAATAGAAGGACGCCAGGTAGGCCTTCCGTTCCTCCGGAATTGGGTGGTTCTGAAACCACCTCTCAGCTGCATATAACCAGAGACCTGCATCCTCTTGCCCGTTGAATTTTGGAAACTCAATGGTAGGAGGGTTAGCGCGAAAGACTATCGCATCAGTACCCTCATAACTAGGATAGCACGACCCATACCTGTCATTGCCCGGGCCCTCCATGGCTGCCCCTGTGAGAATCCATGCCCCCTGCTCGGATTTCTCGAGCTATAGTACCCCTGGTAGCCTCCTTGCTGGTCTGGATATCCTCTGCTCGGATTTCCCGAGCCATAGTACCCCTGGTAGCCTCCTTGCTGGTCCGGATATCCTCCAGGAACGTCATGCGGCCCGTACGGGGCTCTCCAACAGGCTGATCCTCTGATGTCCGCTTCCCTTGACGGCTGATTGGTTGGGTTCGGCCGATGTCCGGTCCGACCCACCTCGGGCCGACCACTGCTGGTCCATCCGGTCCCGGTCCGCCCCGGTTCAATCCTTCCTGACCCGGGCCGCCCGCCGTCAGTCTGACCAGTCATGGTCCACCCCGGGCCGACCCGCCCGACCGGCTCAACTGCTCGGCTCGATCCGCCACCCCCTGGTTCGCCCTCAGTGGGCCGAGCCACCATATTGAACTCGCCCTCTTCGGGCTCGTCCTCCAGGTCCAACCACCCGGGCTCGTTGGTGCTCCTTGCGGTCTGGCCCAGCATCTCCGGCCCAACATTCTCCGGAGGCCCCTCTGTGTCATAACCGGGCATTTTGCCCTTTCCTTTCCGGGCCGCCATCTCTAGGGCCGAAGGTGTAAGCAAAAGCCCAGGCCCGCCACCCTGACCTAGCGTGTCGTGACCCGCACGCTCCCGAGCTGCCGCCTGGTCACCCACAACCACCATCACCGGCGCCGCAGCCACCGCCGCTGTCGCCGCCCCGCCTCCCGCGGCCTCGCCGCCCGTACCACTCGCCGCCGGTTTCGCAGCCGCCCCGGCGCCGCCGCCTGCTGCCGTCAGCTCCATGCTCGCCCCACTCCCGCCGCCGGGGACGAAAGCCGCGGCCTCCATGCGTGCAGCCGCCCCGCCATCCCCGCCTGTCGACAGCGGTCGCCGTTCACCACGCATCTCCACCATCATGGCATGGAGAGCATCGAGGCGGCTCCACACCCGCCGGGACTCCTCCAACCGCTCCTGGCGTTCACTCGCGACCAGATCCACGAGGACGCTGAAGCGGTGCTGCGCCGCCTCCTGCTCAGTCAAATCCTCCAGCTCACAATCCACCGGGCCGCACGGAGCAAGGAGGGGTGGCCGCCCTTGCGGAGCTTTGGCCGAGGGTGGAGCCCCAGTCGGCCCCTCCTGGGTGATCTCCGGCAGCCCGCCCGCCGCCGGTGCTGCTTGCCCTTGTGCAGTCCTTGCCGCTTTCTTAGCTGCGACCTGTGACTTGGTGGAGACCATGATGTCAGGTGAAGGAGGATTGGCTCTGATACCAATTAATAGATCCCTAGAATTAGGTTCTATCGGATTTAGGAATTTGGTGAGAGGAATTGAATCACCAAGGTGGTGATTAGGGTTGATTTGGAAAAATGGGGTGAGAACATGGGAATTGGAATTGAAGGGGGAGTGGAAAAGAGAAGCTGTTGTCGCAGCAGTGGAAGAGAGGGGAAAGAAGTTGGGGAAAGATTGGCTGCTCGGCAGCCTTGGGAAGGAGAGGAAGGGGTCGGCAGAGGGGAGGAGGGAGAGAGGATTGAGAGTATTAGGTTTATGGTATAATTCTTGCTTAGTGGTCTAATTCCACTTACAAGTGATTTATATAATAATTGGATAATTTCCTATCGCTACCCGACATATAATTTATTTCCCAATTCCCGAAATAGTCCTAATAATCTGAAATAACAATAATCCGATAATTAATAAAAATAGTAAATACTAGTTTCTATCAGCTTGTATTTGGTTTATTAATCATAGTGGAATTCTGACCTAATATATTTATTTAATTGATCCATGAGAAATAATTATCCATTCATAAGCTTTACAGAATGTATAGTAATTTACGCCATTATTAGTGTGATCTAATAAAAAAGAAAATAGTGAAAAAAGAAAACTTGATTAAACTATTATGTAAATGTTACTTACTTTATATAACCTTTGTGTAATGCAAATTAATAAGATGATAAATATTATAGTCAATAATAAATAAATTTTTGTTAATTGTTATATAGTTAAGTTATGAAAAGTATCACGTTTGATAAAATGGTATGTAAAGAATCAATGACCTTAAAATACCTTTGTGCAATTCGTTCAAACTTATATTATGAAAGACACATTAAGACTTAGGTAATATGTGGGGTTGGTCTATCGATAATGTGGGGTTGAAACATCGACCAAACCTTAGGTTCGAATCTTGAGGCAAACGGCCAAGGAAAAAAATACTTGCTTAATTGATAGATAAGAAATCTCTATCCCTACATAAGTTTTACATAATATTTTAATTAAATATGAAAGACTTAAGTAATGTATTTCTTAATTAATATAAGAAATAACTAACTCCATAAATCTTATATAATAGATTTGTAACTAATCTAGAACAATTACTCCTTTCTTTCTCTTCTTTCTTCTCTATTTACATGGCCTTCTTGAATCGACTCGGAACTTCTGAAACTATAACAACTGTTTTTTCCTTAGTATATGGTCTAACAATAAAATGAAGCTATAGAAAATATTATATTTGATTAAACTATTATCGAAAAGTTAACATACCTTATGGAATATTTTCTCAATGCAAATTGATGATAGGGTGAATATTGTAGTTGCTATCAAATAAATTAAGTTATACAAAGTATCACATTTGATTAAATTATTCTACAAAACCAATTGACCTTACAAAAATTTTGTGTAGTGAAATAAATGAAATGGTCAAGAATTTAGTTAATGATAAAGGTATTTTTTTCAAAATGAGATTACATCCGTATATTTTTCAAAAGTTAATTATTATTGTCACAAAGTGCATCCTTATAACTATCATGTTTATTTGCAAACAAATCATTTGCAAACAAATCATTCTAAACATGAAAATTAACTTGAATTGAATTCAGGTTGATGTTAAATTGGTGGGTAAAGACGAAGTAACTTACCTCCTTGGTTTCTTCTTATAAAAGAGACAAAAACAATTAAAGTTTGAGAATGTTCCCCCTTCCTTAGCTAGGGTTCTCGGCTGAAGCTTGTCTAGCCGCTAGGGGTCTCCACAGGAACTAAGTTAGACACAACCACATAATACAATCCCTTAATAAATAGTGATTTCTCTAATTAATTGGGTTTTGCGGAATTTTCGTAAGAAACAGTAATTAAGTCTTCGGTAACTTGAAGGTGTTCATATCTGATCGGGGGGTGCAGCCGATAGGGGAGGCCAATATGTGGAAGACGATTTGGTCCATGAAAACGCCACCAAAAGTCCGCCATTTTATGTGGCGGTTTGCGAGAGTTTCATTGGCTACGGGGGACCAGGTGAGTATGAGAAGTGAGCGGAGAGGAGATGATTGTCCCTTTTGCAACTTGAGGGAGACACAAGTCCATTTATTTGGGGAGTGTAGCTGGGTCTGTCGAATCTGGCGGGCATCAACTTTGGCCAAGTGGTTTGAGATGAGGGATGATAGAGGCTGCTTGGAATGGGTAGCACGAGTGGCTCAGACAGCAACAGCAGATGAGTTTGCGGACTGGAGCGTACTACTATGGTTTCTTTGGAAAGAACGAAACGCACATCTATTCAATGGTGCAAAGTTGGCCGAAGAGGAAATAGTGGTGCGCGCCCAAGCTTATCTTGATGATTATAGACAATACGAGGAGACTTTGGAGAATTCACCGGGACCAGTCATGGCGAAAACATGGCAACGTCCAGCAATGGGAAAGATTAAAGTGAATGTGGATGCAGGAGTCGTGGATGGAGGTTTGGGCCTGGGTGTGGTTATAAGAGATGACAGGGGGCGCTTTGTGTTAGCGGCTGCAAAGAGAGTCCGATACGGGAGAGATCCGGAATTGGGCGAGGCGCTAGCAGGGGAGTTTGGTCTCCTTTTGGTGCGACAGCATCACTTGGGATCCCCAGTACTCGAAACGGATTGCCTTACGCTGGCGGGCAAGCTATCGACAGCTAGAGAGGTCCATACTGAGGTGGGGTTATATGTCGAAGTATATGTAAGCTGATGGAGGAAATTGGGGGAGGCGAGTGGAGACACGTTAGCAGGATGGCAAATGAGGCAGCCCATAAAATGGCGCATGTCAATACGAGATGGAATGAAGCGGAGGTCTGGTTTGATAGACCACCAATGTGTCTGCTCGATCAGTTGAAACTCGATGATGTAACTGTCTCATCTGATTAATATTAGCTCCGAGCAGATTTCTATAAAAAAAAAAAACTTGAGCTTTAATAATTCTAATAACTAATAATAATTCTCATTATTGTTGGCATGGGATTATGTTATTACGTGAGTAGTTTCTAGGTGTAGTTAGGACTTAGGATTGCTCTTGAGGTTGGAGTAGGCGGCAAGTCACACTAGCCGAGTAGGATTAGGATTAGTTTAGGGTTTAGCCGTATAAATATATACATTGTCATAATATAAGAAGATTGGAATCCGACTCTTGAGTCTTGCTTCCTTCTTCGTCTAAAGTTCTTTCCGTCCTAAAGTCTATTTCTCTTCGTTCTAGCCTAATTCTCTTTGTTCTAAAGTCTATTATTTGGTTATCCACGTAACACCATGATCCCATGAATTTAGCACTAAAAACAAACAATGAAAAACATGAGATTTAAGGCTGAAGTCATGAATTTTGGGATTTGGGTCACAATTCCACTCTCCAAATCCAACAACCAAAAGACCTCTTATAATGTAGCTTGTGAATGTTCAAAATAGCAGCCATAGCTAGTGTCTTAGTCTGGTTGATAATGTTTTGTGCTTCTTCGACTTTAGCTGCCAATGATTCGGCAGATTTTAACAACATTGTGTCGTATCCATGAGAATCCTAGAAGCTTGATATTGATCACCCTATAGTCTGTACATAGCCAAAGCATATAACATAATGTAGACTGTAGTATGAAGTCTGTTGGTCCATGCATTTATATCATGTAGCAAAAAAGTAGATGTCATTTTGAAAAATATGATCAATCTGATTTTTTTTGTAAAAAAAATTGAATTCCAATCTAAAACGAAAAAAAAAATCTCATTAAATTAAACTAGAAAAATAGTTATATACTATAGTAACTTGGTTACTAACTAGATGCGCTTCCAATTTTGCCTTTTCATGAGCAATAATAATTCACGAGTTTCAGAATTAAATAGAAAAATTGATTAAAAAAACTCATTTTATGACTGCAACTCTTTTTCCTGTTCTGTCTAGGATAATAAGCAGCAGAGCTCGACCACAATAGCCATTCCTTAAGCAGCACCCAGAAGTACTACAATGCTAGAACTAACAAGATTTGAATCACTTTCTCTCCATATAGCTGAAAGAAATCCGACCTAAAGAAACAAACACATTGAGACATCTTCAAACCAAACGTGGTATTCACAAACATAACTAACTAAATCAAAATCCTAGCTAGGACACCAGCAAGAATGAAAGAATTGGGCTTTCCTAACAATCACTCACTCACTCAGTCACTCTACTCACTCGATGAAGGAACTGCAGCTCTGTCATCACCGGACGGTCCGGAACTACCATCACCACCACCGCCAGCAACCGGCCTGATCTCTTCGAGCTGCTGAAGCACTTGCTGAACTTCTGGCCTAGCAGAAGGCGTGGGATCAACACAGTGCAGAGCCAGTTTCAACGTGTTAAGCAGTTCATCACCGATCTCAGTAGAATCCTTCATCAACTCCACATCAAACACTTCATTGGTCCACTCTTCTTTAACAATGGAGGCAACCCATTGTGGCAAATCCACTCCATTCATCGCCTCGCCTGGTGACTTCCCAGTCAGAAGCTCTAGGATGATCACACCGAGGCTGTAAACATCGGTCTTGGTGTTGGCTTTCTTGAGCTTCGATAGCTCGGGGGCCCTGTAACCTAATGCACCAGCTGTAGCAATCACGTTGGTGTTTGCTGCTGCTGTCATTAGCCGAGACAGGCCGTAGTCTGCGATTTTGGATTCGTTTCTCTCGTCGAGAAGGACGTTGCTTGATGTGAGGTTGCCATGGATGATGTTCTCGTTGTTGTGTAGGTAGAGCAGTCCCCTAGTCATGCCTTGAGCTATTTTCATTCGAGTTGGCCAGTCGATTGGGGTCTCCGGTCCTCTAGCTGCATAATTAGACAATGGAAAGATAATGAGCTTTGATGCGATTTCAAATACATGAACTGTGTTTTGTTGAGGTTCTTACCATGGAGGAAAGTTGTAAGACTGCCCTTTGGCATGTAATCAAACACAAGAAGCTTTTCCCCCTTAGGCCCCAAATAGTAAGCCCTGAGAGCAAGAAGGTTCGGGTGCCTGATCTTGCCAAGCACATTGACTTCAGCTTCGAACTCCCTCTGACCTTTGGTAATCTTCTCCCTCAACCTCTTCACAGCAACTTGACTGCCATCTTCCAATGTGGCCTTATAAACAGTTCCATAAGTGCTCTTCCCCATAATCTCAGCAGTAGCACACAGAAGATCATCAGCAGTGAACATCAGCGGCCCATCGAAATGGACTAGCTTTCCTCCAGTTTCACCACCCGCCTCGACTTCAGCAGCAGTCGGAGGGGCACCCTTTTCGCCTCCTGCCACCCCAGCAGCAGCAGTTCTTGCTGCCGTTGACGGTTGCCCTTCTTTAGCCTTTGCTGCTGTTCTCTTCCTCGCCAAGCAACAGAGCAGTACACACACGAGTATCATCAGCGAAACGAGAAGTGCCCCAGCTGCAATCAGGATAATGTCTTTGGTACTCAGTTTTTTCTTCTTCTTCTTCCTTTCAGGTGGCTGAGTTGGGCCAATCTGTGATGGAGGTGGAGATGGACATGGTGTTGCTCCAGAATAACCACACAGCTGAATGTTTCCCACAAAGGAAGTGGAGTTGAACTTGCTGGAGAGTTCAGTGGGTACAGGGCCGGATAGATTGTTGTAGGAGACGTTGAATGAGCTAAGCCTAGATAAGTTTGCAAGTGAATGTGGGATTTCACCACTAAACTTATTCTCAGACAAATCTAGCCTAGTTAATGTTGGGATCTCTCCTAATGTCACAGGGATTGGACCAACTAACTGATTTCTCCTCAAGTTGAGGATAGAAAGGTTCTGCAAATTACCCATTCCTTCAGGGATTTGCCCATCAAGCAAATTGCTCTCCAAGTCCAGAACTTGGAGCGAGGAAAGATTTGAAAGGCTAAGTGGAATGGATCCAGAGATGGAGTTGTGGGCAATGGCCAAGTACTGAAGCACTGGCGGAGAAAAAGCTTTGTTCTTTGAGCTAAAACTGGAACCCCAAGAGTCAGGAATCGAACCAGAGAGGTTATTGTGCTGAAGATCAAGGTAAGCGAGGGAAGGAGAATGGGTTAAGCTAGCTGGGATTGGACCTGATAAAGAGTTGTAACTCAAATTGATTCTAAACAACTTGGTCGCATTGGCTAACCTATCTGGGATCCTACCAGCAAGCAAGTTATTACCCAGGTCTAGGTTTTGAAGCAGAGGGCAAGAACCAAGAGTAGGAGGGATAGAGCCAGAGAACCTGTTGTTAAACAGCTGCAACCCTCTGAGGTCAGGGAGCACACCAAGTGTTTGAGGAATTGTCCCTGTGACGACATTGTCATGAAGGCTAAGCTTTCTTAGCGCTTGCAGCTGCCCAATCTTGTCAGTGAGCTTCCCACCCAACCCTTTCCATGGAAGCTGGATCACAATGACTTGGCCCTGCGCACATTTGATCCCAGCCCAGCCGCCGGAGCAAGCTCCATAGCCGGAATCGTTCCAGCTCCTCAAAAACCCCTTTGGGTCGATCAGCTCCTGCTTGAAAGATTGCAGCACCTGGAAATCAGCTTGAGTCACCACCACGCCGTCCCAATCCTGACCCAATACGGATTGAATCAGGAGAAGGTGGAAGAAGAAGAAGAAGAAGAAGAAGGAGGAGGAGAGCTTCCATTTCTCCTTCTTCTTAACGGTGGTGGTTAGGCGTTTGCTGTTAATCCCCCCAGCTACCACCATGGGTGTGAGAGTTAAGAAGAAAGGAGGGAGGAAATAGAGAGGAGAAGGTGGTGGGTTTATAGGGTTATTGAATGAAACAGAGCAAAGTGTGAGGGGGAAAGGAAAGTTTGGGTTTTTCAGTTTTTGTACTGTTGGTGATGGCGATGGTGGTGTTAAGTGGCTCTGGCCTCTGTTGAATATGATGGACCGCGTGAAGTGAAGGAGTAGAAACCAGAATGAATGAAGGAAGGAAGAGAGAAAGATGGGGAATCTTTGTATTTGAATTTTCGTTATTATAATTATTGTTTTTTTGGGGGGAGAGACACAGTTGTCAGGGGAGGAGCTAATGAAAGCATTTAAGGGTTTTTCTTCCGATGCAGGGACGGAGCGGGGCTAACGGCTAGTTTTTATGGACGGATTCGAAGGCTGAGTTGGAGGGAAGAGGGGCCCATCATTGTTTTGTTCTTTCTCTCGGTGGAATATGGAGATTCCCGGCGGACGGCGGTGGTGTGTCAGCTTCCCGGCGGCGTTGCAGTCTACCGTCCGTCCATCTCTCCGGTGGTGTCGTGGATTTTCTTACTCTCAAAAAAAGGGGACCTTTTTCAATCCTTTACTCATTGGGTAAATATAGCCATCAGAGCATATTTCATTACTCTGGCATTTCCTTGCCTTTTGTTCCCGTTCTTTGTTATTCAAGGCTGTATTACTACACAAGATTGAAATTGAGTTCTTAGTGACTCTGCAGTTGGTTGGGAACTATTGTCATTGATTGCTCTTTTCAATATGCCGATCGATGGCAGTGTCGGTTTAGACGTTAGGATACTATATAGCAGACATGTGGCACTATCTTCGAATCTAAACCCTAGCACATCATACAAGCAACTTAGGTCTATAGGCTTGCTCAGCATCGGTCTCCTGAGCTAAACTATGAGCATTGGGGATATCGAGAAAAAGAGGAGGCGAAAGGTTTGCCAACACTGGAGTTGCGAGAAGATCTCCCACCGAAATATCAAAATAGTGGAACAGGTCGCGCAATGGCTCATCCACGAACGTGGACCTTTAAGCGTATTGGTGAGGGGCTCAGAAATTACCTTATAGAGGAAGTTACAGCCAAACAATAAGAAGAGGAATAAGAATGGATCAATGCTACGGTTCAAATTGAATGGTACCAAGCTACATCAAACTCACCTGATGTGTAGCAAAATCATGGCCTACTGACCTACTCTATAGTCTATACGTATGAATGTATAACCTTTACATAGATAACAAAACAAGATCTTTAAACATGGGGGAAACTAAGGAAAAGACCTATACATATATTTCCAGTTTTCAACACCAGCAGTCAAGCTGCAGCCATTGTCAAGACAAATCAATCAGTGAGGGCCTACTGCTGCCGGTCACACTAAATATATAGACCGACTGAGCCATGATGAGAGTGGAAGAAAGAATACTAACTGGTTAGCAAGGTATGTGCTACAAGAACAGGCAGCTTCTAAGCGGAAGCAGATGAAGTAGGAAACTGATCACAGCAGTTGGTAGTATCAGTCTGTTTAGATGTGCATTTTGCTGTGAACCGTTGCTGCCCAGCTGCCCTGGGTCCACGAATTCTGTTCTGCCAGTGTTTTCAACAGTAGAAACATTGACCGATGTTGAACCTGGTAGGATGGTACGCGGATTAAGGAGTTAGAAGCTACTAAATGAGAACTTACCATTGAGACATTGCTTAAAGCTAGTTCAAGCAAGTAAGTTCAACTTACAGTCATAATTAGCCCATCCGATCCGTTGATTAGCTAGGTCGTAAACGAAGATTTTGTCTTTCAGAATGATATCTGCAAAGGAAAGGAGCATACAAGAGTGAAACGTTTTGTAATCTGGTGTTTTAGGTATCACTTAGTAGAACTGAGGACCATTGAAGATTCATATATAGGGTTAATACCTCCTAATATTGTTATTGATTGACCATGCAGTTTCTGGAAACCCATGCACCACACTGAAGCACCATTCTATCATACAAAGTGAAGCAAGTATTATTAATATCCGCCGAGGTATATTGGAACGAGAAAATGCAAAATAAGCTAGAAACTTACAACGGAATTTTGTTGCACAAGGTAGTCTTGAGGATTGAAAAGCATGGATACACCACCAGAGAAGTGTAAGCTAACTTGAGGAAAGATGTCGTTAACACTAAAAAGAACAGTTAAAACAAGTGGTTCCAGGTTAGGCTCATGGTTAAAGTTAACACAATCAACTCAGAAATGAAAGGATGCCTTGATTTAGGAAGTGAAACCTTGCGGTCATCAAGTAACATATTTGCCCCTTCGAAACAATCGGCTGCACGGTTTGTGAAACCACACTATTTATCTGCGTGAGAAGAGTACTAAAGAGTGAATTTACAAAACAAGAAATGTTTAATCCTGAAGTATCGATTTTGGAACCTACTGCGTTAATAAAAGGATCATAAGCTGCATCTGCAAGGTACGCCAAGGTTGTTCCCGAGTCAACTATGGTTCCTTTGTTATCTGATGTGCCAAAAACCGATGGATCGATGGTCAAAGTTTGGCCGCCCACCGATATGCTCTGCAGATTCACATTATAGTGCGGCCTGGAATTTAAGGCACACTAGTCAGTTAAAGCTGGCAGTAAGTAGAGAATTCTGCACTCGGAAATGCATTGAACTTAAGGGAACATTAACACGAAAACAACAATCAAATCGAACAACAATTTGAAGTCATAAAACATGTGATAGTCAAGCACCAGTGAGAAGTAGGCTGCAAGAGAAGTACAAGCGAGGTGCCAGCTGGGGAGTCCATCATCACCCAAGCAACTGATCAAAAGGATAATCACGCATGACTAATATCTACATATACCAATTCCAGCCGACCTAATGTAATAGATCCAAACTTCATTCTTGTGAACCTAGTGACAAGCTATTTACATTTTACATTCCAAAGGTTCAACCCGTAAAAAAATTCAAACAAACCAGTATATTACAGTACCTAACAATTCTCCATAACATAATAATAGGCTGGATAAAACTGAAAATATGCAATTTGACTTTCAGCAGTGGAACAATACCATTTTAACTTTTAAGACATGAAACTAGAAGAGCAAAAACTTACTGCGATGCAACAAGTGGAGTATAGACAATATTTGGCTCCACAATTTCTCCAAGAACCAATATACCACCACCAGCATCGTCGCCTTTCAAACAGTGGGAGAACACTCTTGGCGATACTCCTTGTGAAGCAAGTTGGGAGATCACAGACATCCCTTGCTGTCCGAAACCAAAGATCCCATCAACTGCTCTATCTGGCTTCTTCAAGTCCCCAGTTTGCAAGATGCTACACCTGCTCAATTGAACCACTTAACGATCTATAAGCTGGACACTGTCAACAAATTCCAAACTCTACACAAAAGTCAAAACTTCTCTAAAGGGCAGTGAAGCCTTAGCTCACCCGAACACAATAGGAACAGTTGAATTAGTAGTCACAGATCCCCCAGCAATCGTATCCAGATGCAACATGTCAGCTACATAATACCCCGATGTGCCACTACCATCGCCATATTGGAAAGTGTAACCACATTGATTATTGTTCTCTAAGCACCCGGAATCTGCAGCTTCCAGTCCCGCAACACATCTTTCGTCCGTGCAAGATATCAACGAAGCGGTTGATGAGCTATCGGAGTCATAGAAATTCATGGGAATCTGTCAAACAAATAGATAGATCAACACTACCAATAGTTTTCATATGCCGTGCGAGAACTTATGGTAGCAAAAAAGACTCCGAGCCTAAACAAAAAGATGAAAATCAAGGTCACCTGAAGGCCACTTGAAACAGGACAACCATCGCAATTGTTACAGCTCACCCACAGAACATCACTGCCTGTATCTATCTGTACATAGAAGTCCTTCGGTGGAGAACCGATTTGTAATCTTGTATAGTACAGCCTGGAATAACCAAGAATATCAATGGATATATGTCCAATCACAAGAACAAAAGAAAAAGGAAAAGCCAGAGTGAAGAACACCAAGAAATGAGAGTTATTCCCAGATGCTCTCCCATGGCCACTCAGGACCCCTTTTACAGATACCCATAGAAGAAAACAAGAGGAAAAGTCACTTGGAATTCTAAAGAGGGAAACTTTAGTAGCGGGAAGAAAAAGAACTCGAAGCCAATTAATCGACCTAATTCCAAAATTGGAAAGCTATAACACGGAAATTCAAAAATACATCATACCCAGAAGTTTAAACTTATCAAACTCCTCAAAAAGCTTGCGAATGGTGAAAATCCCAAATTAAAAGGAAGAAATCAGCTTTCGGATGATCGATTTTCATTTACCCGACGAGGAAAGGATCGAATGTCCCCTGAACAGGGAAATCCACGACACCGCCGGAGGTGGACTGCAACATTCTCCGGTGTCGGACACTGTCTCGCGCACTCAGCTGACCCAGACCCACTCTACGACCAGGCTGCGGAATTCCCCGCTCCAGCATCAACGCCGCAGGGAAATACCCACCACCGCCGCCGCCCGTAACTCCGACCACCGTCAGCGCTGACTGAAGCAGCACGGCTGCGACTAACACGACACCCGCCGGATAGACCGACGCCATAATAATAATAATTATTAATCTCTTTTGTCAGGTCTCTGTAACGATAATCTGTGTGGCAGAGTCTATTCTGTTTCTCTGGGGAAAAGAAGACGACGAAGGAGAAAAGAACAAGGAAGGAATACACGGTTTGTTTGGTCTTCACAACGGTCAGGCAAAAATGGAGAATGAGAAATGAATAAATAAAATACGACGGATAACGAACAGCGAAGGAGAAGGAAACAGGGGAGCGAGAGAGATGGGGGGAAAAAGCTTGAAACTTTAGCAGAGGGCGATAAGCAGTCGCAGAGGACACTTTCTGAGGTTTTGCTGTTGGGTCATTCAACTTTCTTTCTTCTACAATTAGGTCATTTTACTTTTGTGAAAGCATATTGTATCAGCCGTTCCACTTATTCTATTGATAGACGAATTTTAGTGTTGATTGATACCGCTAATGTTTTCGATATAATCTCCGATACAATTTCGCAATTCTTGCCCCGGCCACAAGCACTAGTGTGCACCACCGTGGCTCACAGCCAAAGGAGTTGGGAAGAACAAAAGATTGGCCAAAAAAGATCCTCCAACTTCGTCACCAAGCACAAAATCCATCTCTTTTGCACTACCCAATGTACCAATTTGCTTTTCTTTTCTTGGCATTTCCCACTTTTTGAAAAGCCAGAAGATAATTTATTTACATTCCCCACCTTCCTCTTCTTTTCTGCACTTATTTTTATCTTACTTGATTTTGTTAACATGAATTATTTTGCATACCATCTTCAATTTGTATATCCATCAATTATCTATTCATCTCGTGACATTAGTACCATCTTGAGAAACTAGAGACTTTGCCTCAAAACGTGCAAGTAGTAACTGAAAATTTGCTTGGTAGACATGTGAGACATGATGATGTATTTAAATCGTATTTTTTAATACGAACCCGAAACCGATAAATAAAATAATAACGACATGCATGCTACACCTAGATCCATTGTGATATCATATCAGTTTACTTCCTCTCTATGTCGATATCAAATCTGCACAAGTTAGTCACTAAACACAACTTCCAAGTTCACCAATGTGATATCATATCAGGCATCAGAATCAGCAGCAAACCCTAAACTCGAAGGGACACATTTATCATCACATGGCCTTGCTTTGTTGTTAAGGAACCCAAGCTCGCCATTTTGTACCAAAACTAGGAAACTAGGTCACCATCCACATTCACTAACTTCCTTGCAGGCTGGACATTTACGTCACAACCCATTTCTGTAAAAAGCTTGGCCTTTTTTCCTCTTTTTACTCCTCGATGAGTTGGGCAGTTGGCTTTATCTTTCATTAAATAGAAGACTTTTTGGCACACTCTTGCTCTCGGATAGTTCTCAAAATCGTTCACATCAACTCTTGCTCTAGGAACCTTTCCTTTGTCATTACAGAACTTCCATATATGATGATAAACACTAGTTACACTCCAGACTCATGCAACAATGAATGAAGTATCAGAGGCTTGCAACCATTTGTGAGAAACAGGGCAGGATCATGCATATGCTACATAGGACACTCTATATAGAGAAGGCCTTGAATAGCAAAGGACGAGAATGAATGGTCGGCTGATGAAGTACAAGCATCAGCAGAATTGATTCTTAAGATAAAGTCTGGTGGTAGGCAACGATAGAGAGCTATAAGGACGGTTCGGTTTTGAAATCCAAACCCATATCCGACCTTAAACACATGTCACGACCTTCATCCAACAACAACAACAACAAAAACTCGGGGTTTATGGACATGTACCGTTATAAGACCATTGTTGGTTTGGTTTCTGAAAGCTTATTGCTCGGAAATCTGTCTATGCCGGGGGGTGGGTGAGTGAAGAGGAAACTTCAATCTTGTAAGAGTAACGACGTGCATGAGAGGAGGGAGGACATCTCTTCTTCGGTGGCTGAGCCGGATCCCTGCCATCTAATCCTGCCAAATTTGTCTACAAGGTAAATATACCTGTGAATATCAAAGAAAAGGAGAACAAAGGTATCAGAGTTAATCCTTGGTAGCTCCTCAATGCTATATTATAACTGGGGAGGGACCAGTAAGGTTACCCTGTGAGAAGGTTCAATATCTTCAGTTCTTTTCGGAAGTAATAATGGTCGCCAAACGAATAAGCAATCTGCTTTTGAAGTGCTCGACTCGCGTCAACTGTGGATTTCTTCATAGTCCGAAGCAGCAGCCGCTTGATTGGACTCCGACATAGGAGCCATGAGTCTATGAATGACACCTGCAAATTACAGACACCCTTTCATAACAATTCATCATAGGAGGAGCTTCTAATCGTAAATGGAGAATGACTTGCAAAAACATTTACCACCAACAAGCTCAGGTTAGTAAAATTTTGCCCACAAAGAGAAAGGATTAATCCAATTGCGAGTTAATGTGGACGAGCAACGAATTGTCAATCCAACCAAAATGACAACTGAAAGGATATTACAGCCTCAGGTTCTGTTTACTGTCAAACCACATTAGTTCATTCCGGCCGGAGACATATCTAAAATGATAGGAGTTAAGAGAATGATGAAAACTGAGAGGAATCAGTTATGAAAGGTGACTGTTGAGATGGATCTCTTTGCTAACTGAATTACATCTAATCTAAACTAGTACACTGAAGCACTGAAATATGATATCGATATGGTAGTTTCAGTCATGAGGTTACAGTTCCAAGTACCATGTAAGAAAATATTTTATAAATAACAGAATAAAACTCAGTACCTCATAGAGCTGAATATTTTTGCCATCACGAAATGCCTCAAGGAATGGCCCAGTCCAAGAGTCGATCATTCCCTATCAAAGAGAGGACATTCATTTAAGACATTTTCACGGAACCATCAAATTTCATGACTTGTCACTGTTTGCACTATGATTAGCATATTTGCAAGGAATTATCAAAAGAACGCTCAAAGAGTCGAAAATGTAAAGCATTTTCAAACTTTCTCAATTTACCTGCGAGCTTGCTCTAAACGAAAGACAAAGCAGAGTTGCATTCGGAAAATCAGAAGCATCAGACTTAGTGATATTCCCACTGAATCTAGTAGGGAGCTTTAAGGCTCTACCATCTGAGAAATTCACTTCGAAGTCTGGAAACTTAGCTGCAGTCTCTGCAGGGATTAATATCTTATCTGCCTGAGCAATCTACAATGACAAGATTCAAACTGTTGAATAGTACACAGGTCATAAGAAATCCCAAAGCATTCACAAAGCTCAGCCACACACAAGAAAGAAAAAAATATCAGCAGTCTTTGTACCTTTCCACCATGCTTCTTGAACTCTGACATATCAGCAAAGTACCCTCTATTCATCTCATCCGTACTGCCCTAAATCAGGTGGCATCCATTATCAATTAGACTCACATAAACTAGCAGCGAGAAAGCAAACCAATGAACAGTAACAAGTGGAAAACTTACATCCTGGCACGCTCTTTCTCAATAGCTGCTTTGTTCCCAAGCTGCATTTCCCATTGTTTTGGACCCCATCAAACAAACATTGAGTTCCAAAAGCAGGATATTGCATAAAGAGCAGAGTTGGGATTCTTCAGATTTTTCTTTTAGGAAGATGGGACATGAGTGTACCTGATAGAAGTCAAGGAAGCGAACAGAAGACAGCTGAGGCTGGCTCCTCAGGTCGACAATGATACTGTGTTGGGCGCGAGCTTCTTGGACTTCACATGAGAACAATGAAGCTCTGGCTGAACGAGCAAGATTTGTGAACCGATTTGCTCTAAGCATTTTGTACAATTAGTTTGAAGCTCCTTGTTTTCCCACTTCGGAAATGTCTATCCTGCGCCAGGAAAGTTCCGGTTTTTACACTCTAGAGCCAAAATATAAGCACGTTCTCAGTTTCAGTTTTTGAAAGTTCTTACCCCTGCCCGTAAATTTTAATCATGGCAAGAGAAATGGAAATCCAAAATGCAGGTATCGCAACGACCCGGAAACTATAGGGAGAACAACTCTATACTTTGATCCGAAGTATAACACATGAACCAGAATTTACAATATCAAAGACAGACTAATATTGCCACATGAAGACCTCTAAACTGCATCAAAAACTAACACATGGTTTCAACATATTGCAAGGACTCAATATAACGTCCCTCTGCCAACAAACCCCTCAAAGAGACATCACAAAACGAATGAAAAAAAAAAAAAAACATTCTACTCAGGCTGACAAATAAAAATTGTCAAATTCCTTCCTTGAACATAAACCAGAGAAGAACCTACAATGTCAAACACTCGAACTAGCCCACGGTTGTCTCTACAATGAAGACTCTACTAAAGTCCATTCAGAAAGTTAACTTTCTACGGAAGATGCCTGGCCCAGATCTTTCTGCTACGATCATCGGCTATCAACCAAAACATTCAGGGGTCGTTTGGATGGATCAATTGTAAAACGAGACAATTTGACCAATTGTTTCATTTTACAAAACGAGTCATTTAAAACGAGTCAATTCAGATTACCTGCCCCCACCCCAGACAATTGTAATTGGCTCAAAATGAGTCAATTCAGAATTCCCCAGCCCAAATTGCTTCATCCAAATTTTCTGCTGCCAAACGGATCAATGTAGCACAATTGACTCAAAACGAGACAATTGTGTCAGATTGATCTATTAGAATTCATCATCCAAACGACCCCTCAGTCTTCAACAATATCCCCTAGCTGATAGCAATGCGAACATTCTCCATGATTAATTATGGATCCCCTAGTAGCTGATAGCAATGAGAACATTCTCCATAATAGCAAAACCCAACCACACCATTCCAAAACCGCTGAGTGAACCCCCGCAATTGATCCTAATTATGCCAAATCAAACGACTCGTATGGATGTGCACAACCAATGCAGATGTTTTTGCTCAATTTTGCAAAAAATTCAGAGAGCAGAACAATGATCTCCTTAAATTCGCCATTCAAAGAAACAGAAAGAAATTCAAGGATTTAAACCTTTACCCACAAACCAGCAAAGCAACACAAAAGAGCCCAGCCTGCCTCCGATTCAGCTCGCTGTCAGTCGCGATCCAGTCGCTACCCGCACGAGGAATCCGGCAGTTTGTCGTCGTTACGCTCAGGTTGCCAGGACGTCTCCCCCAATAGAATCAGAAAGCTGGAAAGGAAACGGTGGAGAGGGGAAGAGCTGGGTCGACGGGAGAGGGCCTGACGGCTCAGCCGGCTGAGGACGAGTGGAAGAGAGCAGAAGCCCTTGCAGCCTGCAGGGGTTTGACACTTTGACCTGAGACGGGTAAGGAGTAAAAAAGTAAGACTTAACCCAAATGAAGCAAAAAATGGGTTAATTATCTCGTCATCGAACTAATACGAAATTTTAGCAAAATTATCGTTTATAAATTATGTTTTTATTAGGGATAATACCCCATTTTGGATTGAAGTTCGACGTAAATTATAATTTTAGACTGAACTTTTATTTTATATAAAACAATGTTGTCCAAATTTTGGAAAATTAACAAATTTGAATTGATCATTAATAGTGATAGTCAAACATTTTCTTCTATTTACGACTCAACATAAAATGTTAAGGTGGCTGTGACGTGGCTTAGGGGTGGGCATACGGTTCGGTTTTACCGAACCGAACAAAAGCCGACCGAAACCGAATTAATCCTTATTAGGTTCGGAGTTCGGATGGAGATATACCACATTTCGGGAGCCAGCTTTAGTTAAACCGAACCAAAAAATCGAACTTCCGACCGAATTTCCGAAATTAAAAGTGGCCCAACCCAACCTTGACTTCAGCCTACTCCCAACACTTGACCCAACTAAAGCCCAAACCCAATACCTACCCGCCTTGCCCCAAGCCCCTAATTAAAGCCCAATTCCAAATTTTCAATTCCCTTTCTCCTAGCCCACAGACGAAAAAACCCTAGGAAAAGAAAGGAAGGAAGGAAGCAGCCAACTACTTTTTCTAATTCAACCCCTCCTGCCTCCTCTCCTCTCCCTACTGTCGAAGCAGCACCAACCAGTATCGGCGACTCGACGACCAGCCGTCCCCGTCAGCCGTCACGGCGTCTCCCCGACCCCGACGGCCTCTTGCTCGTGCCTCACAGTCTCGACTCTCGACTCACCTCTCTCACCCTCCATCTCTCCCAGTCTACCAGCGCTACTCGGCGCCTCCTCCCACAGACCTTCTCTCCCGTCGACAGCCACCACTCGCCGCCGCCCACACTCCAAATTCAAAGTCCAATTAAAGCTGCCATGTTGCCAAATTTTGAGTGACCAGAAGGCAGAGCACAAAAAAAAAAAAAATTTGACAGCAGTTACTTTTTCGGGTCTAGGTTGAAAAACCGAACCGAATTATAGCTCGGTTCGAATTCGGTTGGGGTAGTGGCGATTTCGGAAAATCGGCATATACTAGTTCGGTTCGGTTCAAACCGAACCGACCAAACGCCCACCCCTAATGCGGCTTCCACGTCTTAAAGGGCAATACCCTGTTTTGATCCGAACTTTGATGTATAAAGACAAAATTGGTCTGAACTTTCAAATAAAAACGATTTTGTCTGAATTATGAAATAAATAAAAAATGAACAAATTTGGGTCGAAATTTAGGTTAACGGTTAATGGTGATGGAGATGAGTATAGAGAGACTACCATCGGGAAATTATCTTTCATTTCCATGAGTTTCCATAACGAAAGCAACTCTGCAACAGCGGCGGATCTAGGGGGGCCGCCCACCGGGCCACAGCCCAGCCCTCGCCTGATCCAAATTTCGTAGAGTACTTGTAAATTTTCGATTTTGGGTATATATTTCAATGTTTGTAGAGTTACGATCCAACCCTCTACACCGCTTTTTTTAAATGCGACCTAGTGCTCTAACCTGTTCTAGATCCATCGCTGCTCTGCAATCTCCGGCGTGCATGATTCCTATCTCTCTCCACCGTCGCAAGCAAAATTTTCCTTATAGAGTCCCTTACCACGACACTTAAGAGGCTGTTGCCCTTTTATTGATCAAACCAGAATTATTAACTACCTTACAACCGAAACAACTGTGTTCATCACTACCACGATGAAACAGAAAAAAAACCAACTGTAAAATGTAAATGATCACTAATAAACCGAAAATTCAATCCATCGGCGGGAAGCCCACATCACCACCGTTGCCGTCGCCACCGTCCTGATTAATAATGTGATTCACGAAGTCCTCCTGCCACGACAAATTAGGGTTTTCAGGAACAACAACATTATTATTTCCAACGTTTGTCCCTGCAGCTGATCCCTTCAGTTCAACTTCAAAGTACTCAGCCTTCTTCCTGACCTCCCTCAGCTTCTCATCCAGCAGAACCGACAGCCGGTTCAACCCGTACAGGTCCAACCCCTCCAGCCCGCTGCTCGTATAGTGAACCTGCATGCAGTTATAGAGATTCAGAGACATCATCAGTGATATGACAGTGGTAAGATGACGTAAAAAAAACTTTTAATCCGAATACCTGGTCCATAAGGTAGGCGAGCTCGAGCTCGTTCAGGACCCGGACCTGTTGCTTGTGGACATCGTGGAGCTTGTTGAGCATCTCCCGGAGGTAGGACTCTTGGTTGGTCGTTTTCCTGGTCTGCTCGACCGCGGGCAGGGCCAGGAACCGGGCCAGCAGCTTTTCGGCTTCTTCCCGGGTGGGCGGCCAGACCGTGGGTTCCGGTTCGCCCTGAGAGTACACGATGAAGAAAGTAGGGACGCCGCAGAGGATCGAGAGCTCCCTCACTTTCTTCACTAGGCTTTGGCGGCGGTTTCTCATTGTGGATCTTCTGGCGGATTCATTTGGGATCCATGCAAGCTTCACTCTCTTTCTCGCCATTTTTTTTTTTTTTTGTTTTTGGTGGTAATTATTTGTATGATTTGGTTGTGGGGAAAATGTGAGACCATTAGAGTGGTTTATATAACGGGAGGAAGTGAAGGGTAAATGGAAAATGAATCGTTTGTTATGGAAAATTTTAATTATGGGAGGAATATGAAGGGGGAAAAGAAAAGGAAAAAAGAATTGTGATTTTTTGGGCCTAATAATTAAGTTTAAAATGTAATTCGGAATGTAAGTGAATGGTTTAAATTGAAATTAAGGTATATATGTTAATTTGGGTATGCTAATTAAAAAAATACCTCTTTTAAATAAAATTTTTAATGTAGTAAGATATAATTACTATATTATTTTGGTAGAGGATTTTAATTTTGTCATTATCATGTTGTTTTAGTAGACAAGGATTTAAATTACAGACCAGATACATGTGAAATTATTATGTTTTTTTCTCTAAGAAACAATTATTGAGCAATTTAGGACGCACAATGACACTTTTATTCATATACGTCCTTAGTTTTTTTTTTTTAAGATTAATTCACAATAAAAAAACATAGTACGAGACTTGACTCTCAAGATACTGAATAAAACCCTAGAGAATACAACGAAAACCTTAATTATGAATATATTTACAAGTGAATCCTAATGGAGTGGAAATAAAGACAACCAAATTGTCATCAATGCAAGAAAATAAAGATATACATTGATGTATGTGGTTCACCAACACAATGTGTGTTAGCTACGTGCCTATTTCCACAAGTATGAGAGACGAGTTTCGCTATACTTGAGAAGATACAGATTACATGGATTAAGAATGTATGAATATCATCTTCAAAGAAAGCCATGTGACGCTCAATCGATGGCAGACAATCTATCTTAAAGTCATAGCAACAAATCTCCCCTTGACTTCAATTCTTCCTCAAATACAAGTACTCAGCCTCACTCTTGCATTAGAATGCCCCTGGAGGCATGAACCACTCAGAACATTCACCAAGCTCAAACAGTGTTAGAACTTGTCATGTGAAACCGACTTCGTGAAAAAATCAACATGATTATGTGCAGTACCCACTTTCTTCGTCGTCTTAATTCTCCTCTCTGTTCTCAGGAAATGATACCACATGTCTATCAGCAGGATTATCAGCGAGATCACCGTGACTTTCTGTTGATGACATGGTCCATACATGGAATAGAGAGAACTCTTTTTTTTTTTGGTGAGAAATAATAGAGAGAACTCTATCACAAGAGATAGAAACCAGCCCTAAGGCAAAATCTGTTTAAGGGCGCAGCTTGTGTATATATGTGCGGGTGGATTGTGCTATACAAGATGGTGGATTGTACATAGGGGGTACGTGGACATCTAATTTGATAAACTAAAACCATGTAGAACTGAACCAAATCACAGTATTACACCTCGGTTCAAAAATCGATTCAATGTTGGTCAATACTCGGTATTTGATTCGGTAAATTCATAATCGACCATCCGGATACCAACCGATTTCCCAAACCACTAATAAGAACCAAATAAAAGTTTTATTCGAACTCAGATCAATGATTTGTGCTCTTCAAGTTCGATTTTGAATGCTTTCTGTTTGAAAGATAATAACATAACCTCTAAGAGTGTCTCTCACTGTTGAAATCGTCTCAACGATTCTCATTGAGGATATTATTTACGAAAACTATTCGTACTCACGACTCTATCCCAATCCCAACCAAACTATTACCCCATACACTAGTTGCGCGTTTCAAATAATTAAACCCAACATAGAAAAAGGGAAGAGCCCTACATAAAGCAGATAGAACAAGGGCCATAATGGCTAGCTACTCAATAAAAGGATTAGAAGAGAAAGAGTGATGACGAAGGCAAGCATTCGATACGCTCTTCTTGTTGCATTTTTTATAATGCGGAGTCCTAATGGCCATTAGTGGCGATCCAAAGTACTTACCATCATTGCTTGTGCAATTATTGAGTGGTAATCCTTTCCATTTGATTATAATTTTGCCCTATAATGGCGATAGCTAGGACCCTTTTCTTTATGTCGAAGATATACTCTTTAAGCATAGTTAGTAAAATATAGTACGGAAAAGTTACGTATAAAACATGTACGGGTATTTTACTTTACTTCTGAGCTAATGATACGTTTAATAGTACATTAATAATCGTAAATATATAAATTTAATTATTTATACATATATATATATATAATAGTAAATTTAACAATTTAATTCATTAAATATGGATATTAAACGTGATATACGGGTTTTCTACGTGTTTAGTACGGGAACCATCAAATAAACGAGAGAAAATGAAACGACTTGACAATAATACGGATACTGAAGTTTTAAACGGATAAAATATGTACAGGTACATATACATGTATTAAACGGAGTATTTGTCTTTAAGTTCTTCTTCCGCCACCTCTATAGCTAGGCTCACGATCGAGCTTCATATGGCGATAATAACTTAATTACATTTTAAGTGTTCAATGACATGACTCAACATCCACTATAATTAAAGTTAATTATCCGATTAATTATTGGCATTAATTAATGATCACAGACAGCTAAAGATACTTCTCCTTTTTTCTAACGGGGGATATAAAGTATATAAGACTAATGAAATCATATCCTATTACTGACTTACTGTCTTCAAACCTACTTGTTCAGATTCGGCTGGTAATTAATGAACCGAGTCGAGCAGTACTCCTTTATCTTGTTCAGACTCAGTTCCTTATTAATAAACGAGTCGCGAGGTTGAATTTACTCGTTTTATCAACTAGTTGTGCTCGCGAGCTGGCTCATAATTTATTAAAAGGTTGGCTCATCAATAAAATCACAGAGTTTGACTTGAGTAGTGATGAAAATTGGACGGGGCTGTACAATATTTCTCATACCGCCCCCCGCACCAATTAGCGCTGGTCAATTAGGATAATACCCTCACAGTGTGGGGTTTTCATATTTTTTTCCAAACTGACATCATGATGAACTTACACAAACCGATTGTACCGACGATCGAACTATACCACTTGCAACCGGAATTTAACAACCTCATGCTACGTTTCTTTGAATATTGAAATGATCATATGGCCCCATTATGTTTTGATCAAGTACACTACAAATATGCCTGACCTCAGGACACTGATGAATCATTGCCACAAAAACAACCAAAGAGCCATCATCGCCCATAACATGAAAACTCTCAGCCAACCAACTTTTTTAATCCTTTCCTTATTATCACTCCTCCTCCTCCTCTTCCTATTGGCTCAGTTCCCTCCTCCAGCACAAGCCAAGTTCTCCCGACTCGGCGTCCACAGAAAAAGAAGCCCAAACCAAGCACGGCGGCAGCCTGCGGCGGCGGCGGCCGGCGACGACGACGACATTGAGAGCGATTTCGTGACGTTTTACTACAACCAGACGCTCGACCACTTCAACTACAGGCCGGAAAGTTACACCACTTTCCGGCAGAGGTATATTTTGAACGTGAAGCACTGGGGTGGCGGCGCCACCACCAATGCTCCCATTTTGGTATACTTTGGGCTTGAAGGCAGGATTGAGCATGCCTTGGAGAATATCGGCTTCCTCACTGAGAATGCTCCCCATTTCAAGGCCCTCCTTCTGTATATTGAGGTACAGAATCATGAAACTCGTTTTGGTACCAATTCATTGTGTTAATTTGGGCGCTAAGTCTGGCCTTAGATACTCACCGACTCGAATTGGGTTGGGTCAATTCGTTTATAAGGCTGTCAATGCCATTTTAGGGTCGGGTCTTGTCACTTTCTGGCCCTGTGATCCATAGCAACAATTATTAATATGTAATTCATCATACCAACACATTTGGACAACTCTGGAAAGTCTTCCAAGTTTAGGTACTATAATGTGAAAATTATACGGTCACGGTAAAACGTAAATTTACCACCACCAAAAATTATGGACCGATTTGTAAGAAAGAAGTTCAAGTGCTAAATTAAAAAAAAAATTAAGTTACCAAAATGTAATTTCAAAAATTATTATGTTGATTGATTCAATGCAGTCAAAATCGCGTTTTAAAACTTAAAAAATTACGATTTTACGCTTTTAGGTCACCAAAACGCTTTCGTTTCCATATAAAAAACTTAAGTGTATAAAATCGGACTAAATTGCGCTTTAAAGCTTAAAAGCTTACGCTTTTACGCTTCTATTTCACCAAAACGCTTTACGTTTTTACGCTTTTAGTTCACTAAATGAGTATTCTTTTCATGAAATTAATTATAAAAAGTATATTTTAAAAGTAAATCACCAGCAATATGATACATTTGAGATTAAAAGATACATATCATGTACTTGGATACATTCTCAACTTTAATAGAGTAATCTAATTCACCAGCTAGGCTCTTCCCGAATGCATTAGCACAGAGGAAGAAATGGCTTATTGTTAAAATTTATGTTTATGAACTTATTATTAAGATGCTACAAGTTGCTCTACTTGAGGCATGAATTGCATGTATTTATTAACTTATCTAAATTCCGGGCATTCATATTTTACAAAGTATATGTCCTAGCTTTTTAGTTATTTTTCAGTATGCTTTAAAAACTTACGCTTTTACGCTTTGATTCTACGCTTTATGATTTTACCCCTTTTCCGCTTCTAGGTAGAATCACGCTTTTGACTGCATTGGATTGATTTGAGTCGAGCCCGACCTGACCCGACAGTACTAGAGGGTCATATTGGATCGATAAAGAAAGAAACAGGGTCGGGACGGACTAGTTCTTATGACTAAATTGATCCTATACGAAGGCGAGTTAGACAAGTTTCTTACCGAATCGGGACCAGTTTTCAACCCTACATATGCATGTAGTACTACTGACTGATCATATACGTATGATTTGTCATGAACCAGTTGATCCCAATAAGTCGACTTGTTGGGAGAGGTTCAATCGTGGATCATATACCATAACACTAACACGCCCCCTCAAACGAAAGCCACTCACAAGGGCTTGAAGTTTGCACAGGTCTGAAGACAAGAATACCATGTGCTTAACAAATGGGGATCACCGGGAATCGAACATAAGACCTCTCGGTCACAGAAGGCCCTGATACCATGTCATGAACCAGTTGATCCCAATAACTCGAGTTGTTGGGAGAGGTTCAATCGTGGATCATATACAACAACACTAACATGATCAATATGGCCTACCAATTATTCTACGCAGCATCGGTACTACGGCGAGTCGGTGCCGTTTGGGTCGTGGGAGAAAGCTTCGAGGAACGCCGCTTCTCTCGGCTACTTGACCTCCGCTCAGGCGATGGCAGATTACGCCGCTGTCATCCTCCACGTCAAGCGAACTTACTCGGCCGGAAACTCCCCCGTCATCGTCGTCGGTGGATCCTACGGTGGAAGTAAGTAAACTATCTTTCATGAATATATATAGTGATCGATCATAGGCAAATTTTAACGTACGTACGTACTTTAATTTCCTCAACTCGATCGATCGGCGTGTATGCATGCATGCATGCAGTGTTGGCATCGTGGTTTCGTCTGAAATACCCACACATAGCGCTTGGAGCGCTGGCTTCGTCGGCTCCCATCCTTTACTTCGACGGAGTCAAGCCTGGAGGTGGTTACTACTCTATCGTCTCCAAGGATTTCAAAGTAAGATCATCAAATCTAACGGATTATATGACAACACATATGAAATTATATAAGATGCATAATTATATTAGATATCTCTTGAGTTATTGCGATCAACTGGTTCCGCGCACAATAACGTGGTCTATATATGAATGGATGTTGTCATGCTGCATATGCAGGAAGCTAGCGAGAGCTGCTATGAGACGATTCGCAAGTCGTGGGTAGAAATCGAAAGAGTGGCTGCTTCCAAGCCCAATGGGCTTTCAGTCCTCAGCAAGAAATTCAAAACGTGCAGGTAATCTATATGTATTAATTATATTTGATTGTCGCACATTATTGTTTGTTAGCATTTCGTATAATATATTCATTATTCAAATTCTTCTAATAATTCAAGTAATTGGAACATACGGCGGGCGAATTTTCTAACTACATGTCTTCTATTCTAATCCGACGATTTTACCTATATAAATTTTTCAAGTACATATAAGTTAACTTTCTCTTAACATGTGATATAACATCATTATTAAAATTACTCAATGACAACTAACTGTCTAATTCTTTATATTATCTTTAATACTATATATGCTAAACATATATTATCTCCACGTGTCAGTCGTTTGAGGAGGACATTCGATCTAAAGGATTACCTGGACTCCCTGTACTCGGAAGCGGCTCAGTACAACGAGCCGCCGGACTACCCCGTCGGCATAGTCTGCAGTGCCATCGACGGAGCCCCAAACGACGACGTTTTGGGCCAGATATTCGCCGGCGTCGTCGCTTACATGGGGGACAGTTCCTGTTACGACGTCGCCTCTGACTCCGCTCCTCCTACACCTTCAGCTAGTGCATGGAGTTGGCAGGTAATTATTAACAACTCTACCATTTTGATTAATTAAGGGAAGAGCAGGAAGTAACACAGAGAGAGATATATAACATAAGTACTGTTGGATGAAAAAAACAGATGTGCAGCGAGCTCGTATTCCCAATAGGGCACGACGACGACGGCGACGGCACGATGTTCCCGCCGGAGCCCTTTGATCTGAAAAGCTTTACCAAAAGTTGCCGGAGCCGCTTTGGAATCGTTCCCCGGACTCACTGGGTCACCACGTTTTACGGAGGCCACGTATGTAAATCCATTAATATATATACTAGCAATATAATAACGCAGTAGAATGCGGCTAACTAGGGCTTGTCGTTTGTTATTGAATATTATTAATTAAAAAAAATTAAATAATTAAGCAGGACTTGAAGCTGGCTCTGCATAGATTTGCTAGCAACATCATCTTCTCGAATGGGCTGAGAGATCCTTACAGCAGCGGCGGGTACGTATGTAATTATCATGCATATTTCTCTCTATTTTTTGAACAATATAATTTAGAGTGTTTGATAATTTCGTTTTTTTTTATTATATATGTTTAGTAATTAGTACTACTACTTGATATAAAATAGTGATAATATATATATTGTCCATTTGGCCACCCATTTTACAGGGTGTTGGAGAACATATCAGATAGCATTATCGCGGTGTCTACAATTAATGGTAACACATTTACCATGTTTTTCACGCTTGTCTGTTTATTAACTGACAATTATTTATTCATCAAAAATAATAATTAATTAAGTAGTGGATGCATGCATCACACCTTGTTAGTGGATGCAAAGTTATATGACAAATGATGACACATGTCTTACACGCTTTTCAAACGAAAGCCAATTCATCAATTTGAAGTTTGCAAAGGTCTGTATAAATGGGGGAGTCTCTATATTTGGGGAAAATTTGGTTTCAATAAAATCTCTATAAATGGAGTAGTCTCTATAATTGGGGGAGATCTGCAAAAAGATCTCCAAATTTGGGGGTGGAAATGGGGGTTCTCCTAAATATAGAGACTCCCCAAAGCCCGCCACGTGGCTTTTCTTTGGCTTTTTAAGATTTTAGGGGTTAATTGGGATTTAATTAGAGGATTAGTTAGGAGTTTAATTAGATCAATAATTTTCAAGTGTTGTGTGTAAACCTAAATTAGGTCCATAATTTTTCGCAAAAAAAATTGGGTTAATATTTTCGTATGGCCTGAACTTTGACCAAAATAAACATCCTGGCCAATCTTTTCTATCTATAACATCCTGGCCCGAACTATACATCAAAATAAACAATTTGGCAAAACCCGATGTTTGACCGTTAATTTGGACGGTCAAACGCGTTGACTAACGGTCAACCCGCCACGTCACTGCCAAGTCAGAAGATCTGATAAATATTTAATTTTTTCGTTTTTTATTTTTGGTTTAACTAAGATATTAAATGATTTTTTTAATTTATAATAATTTAAAATTAGGGAATGTGTGGAAAATGTGAATTATTTTAAATATTTTATGCTGACTTGGCAGTGACATGGCGAGTTGACTAACGGTCAACGCGTTTGACCGTCCAAGTTAACGGTCAAAAGTCGGATTTGGCCAAATTGTTTATTTTGGTGTATAGTTCGGGCCAGGATGTTATAGATCGAAAAGATTGGCCATGATGTTTATTTTGGTCAAAGTTCAGGCCATACAAAAATATTAACCCAAAAAAATTCGGTCTCGGAATTTAACAAAATTCTATCGAAATATTTGTATTTAAAAATGATGACGAACTATACAAAAATTAACATGAATAAATTATATTAAGGCTTGGATAAGTACATTTTTTAAGTAAACGGAAAAACTGGAAAAATTAAGATCCCAAAATATGAAAATTGAAGTATTGGAACAAAAGAAGTGAAAACGGAGATCAATCCCCAAATTTGAGGACGAAGGCCCCCAAATTTGGGGTTTTGCATTGGACTTGGCCTAAGTGATTTAGACAACAATTAATAGTGAATGTTGTGAGGGTTTGAAGACAAGATCTCACAATCAAACCAACTTTGATATCATGACAATAACTAATTTGTCTCTAACTCGGAATGTTGGAAGAAGTTCAATTATAAATGGTATATTTCTCCCAACTTTTTTTTGACAAATTAATAGAATTAATGCGTAGTTTCTTTATGTGGTTGTACGTATTTCAGGATCTCATAGCCTGGATATACTGACATCAATGCCAAGTGACCCCGATTGGTTAATCAACCAGCGCAAAACTGAGCTGGAAATTATTGGGAGGTGGCTTTCTAAGTACTACATAGATCTTGTGCAGTTTAAATTGTTGCCATCAAGTTAGTCTTTGTGTTACATGTGTGAGCCAAAGCCACAAGATAGTTGGACTGTTAGATTGAATGAAGGGTTTTGATCATGATTTGTATCCTGCCCTGTTTATTAAGCTTTTCAGTTAGGGTATTATTACGTGTTGTTCTTATGTATTTTAAAATTTATTAAGAAACATCTCTCAACAACTTAAGTTATTGAGATGAATTGATTTCTGACATTGTCTTCGAGCCTTTTATGATTGAGACGTGTTGTGTTCAAATAAAATCCCGACGACCCCGTTTTCAGATTGTCTAGAGCGGTCCGAGTTTGAGGGGGCATGTTTTTTTTTTTTATGAAACGGGTGCAAGCACCACTACCTCTTATTCATAAACCGATCAAACGGTAAAACCGCCAACAGAGTCAAATAAGGTCCAATGACAAATATCAGGATCCGAAACGGGAACAAAGTGAAAGCCCGGGGTCAGAGAATGCCCCTTGTGAGCAAGACAGTCGGCCAAAAAGTTGGACTCCCTATAGATGTGAGTGATACGCACAATCCAATCCCTGCGGAGCAAGGCCTGGAACGATAATGTGAGGTTGGCATGTTGGTGGTTATGTTGTCCCGAATCCTTGAGAAGCGACATCGTCGTACGAGAATCGAGCTGGAGCTCCACTTGTCGATGCCCTGCTTCCCAAGCAAGCTCTAGACCCTTCAATGCCCCCCAAATCTCTGCACGGGTGATGGTACACTTCCCCAGGTTCATCGTATAGGCCCCTAACAAGCGACCCTGCCAGTCTCTAAGCGCTCCTCCTACAGCGGTAGACCCTGAGGGCCGCAGGAGCGACCCATCAGAGTTCACTGTGATCCACCCTGTCGGGGCCGGTCTCCACCCCACAGCCACGTCTCGACGCGACCCCGACCTCCCCAGTGAAAGATTTTGATCCGCTTGCTTACTCTGCTGAGCGACGACCTCCCAGGCGAGGATCCTTTGCGATAACTTGTTAGGGGCTTCTACGATGTCTGAGAAAATGAAACCATTCCGAGCACGCCAAAGGAACCAACACGTGAAGCCAAAACGAACCTGGCTTGGGGGGCACTTGAGAGACTCTGTTAGCCAAGTTTTGATGTCGCGGCTGTCATCCGGACGGAGCGCTTCGGGGAGCACCTCCGCCCACACTTCCTTAGCAAAAGGGCACTGCCGGAGGACGTGATCCAAGGTCTCCGAGTCACCTCTGCAGCGTTGGCAACCTGAGCTGTCGGCGATGTGGCGGCGGGCGCGCTCAGCATTTGTCAACAACCGATCATGTACCGCAAGCCACAGGAAATGGCGCACTCGGCTCGGTCCTGGCCACTTCCAAATAGAGTTGATATGTCGTATGAGATCCATTATTGAACAGCTCCAAACAACTATAATTATCGAGATCTGCTGGTTCTTCGTCACTCGTGCATACAAGGAAAACCCTTCTGTTTGAAACTCTAATTAATACATTAGATAAATCTCTTTTTCCTCTAAACTTTCTCTAGATCGAGTTATATCAAACAATTGTCACCTAGCTTATTGATATATAATGGGTGGATTGTTGAAACATAATAACACCACCAGTTAACTCTAGTTCTTGCAATGTAAACAATTTCATTAATCATTCCATGAAAGCATGAGATTTAGACTGCCTGAAGATCCTTATAGTAAGTTGTAAGCCAGCCACGCATAATATTGATCTCTTCTTCATGCAGACTACGTCTACATGAACAGAGAATTTCATCGTAGAAATAAGCTCTCGCCATTTTTTTTACGGTTCATTATTGGTTCGTTTGGCTGGATTTGGATGGCTTCATTTGGCCGGCGCCGGCTTTCAGAATAAGATCATTATTGACACCGACGATTAGTTATATCAAACGAGGTACGAGGGACAAGAATTATAGCATTGTATGATTTGTATCTTTTACTGAAGAGAATACTGGAATAGTGATCAAAGCAAGGTTGTCAAATCGGTTTAAGTCATTGAGTCGGTCAAGCAAGGGATTTGAGGTTTAATGGTCTGATCGGGGTTCGGCGGATTTGAGCCGTTTTAGACGTTTTCTAAATATATACGTACACAAATTAAATAAGGTAGCAATTAAAGATTTAATGAGTGAAATAAAATTTATTTTACATATATCGATTAGAAACTTATTTTCAACAAAATAAATCTACCTAACTTCCACGATCAACCCACCATTTCCCTTCATTCGTTCCTCTTCCTCTCTTCCCCCTCTTTTCTTCTCCAGTTTTAGGAGTCAGACCGGGGGGCTTTCTGGAGGCCGTTTTGAAGCCCGACTCGGGTCGAACCGGATTCAACCGAGGATTCGATAGGGATTTAACAACCTTGGATCAAAGCCATATTCATGATGAAGGGAAGTATATAACACCCAACACATACATTTTACCAACAATTGAATGACACACAAAATGGGCTAACCGATGGGTGTTAACATGGATCAACAATGTCACCAAAGCGGATTGTTTTTATAATGGATTTTATATCATTCAGGATCAAATCAGTTGTTGGAATAATTTTACTCAATTGAGTCTCTCACCAAATCTAACTAGATCACTTTCTATATATTTTTTTTCTCTATATTTTTGCATAACTCATCGTCTCATCCACAGTGGCAGATCCAGAATAGGGTAGAGCACTGGACCACATTTGAAAAGAGGCGAAAATAGTTGGTCCATAACACAACAAGCACTGATATGAATATATAAAATCGAAAATTTACAAGTGCTATACTAGCTCTGAATCCACCGAAGGGCTGGATCGTGACCTGAGAGCTGAGGCAACCTCCTGGATGGCTCATCCACAAAAATTTATTGTCAATATTAATTTTCATATAATTAATTTCTCACTCAATTTTATTGACACATTTTCCTCCAATTAGTTTGCTATTTTTGGTTTTTGTCTCAACATTGACACAAATGACAAAACTAATTAATCAGCTGGGCTCGATAATATCCACGGCCCAAATGTACGATCCAGAAGAGAAGGCCGACCGTAGGCCTTGTACAGAGGATACATACTTACATATCCAATCTATTGCCTTGTACAGAGGATAAACATATCCAATCTATTTGGGCCGTATATTGACCCAACCCCTAACCATTACTTCAAGCCGCACACTGAACGACAAAAATACTTATATGGGTTGAGTGCTGATATTTTTTTGTTGTTGTTGTCATTTGTCAAAATGGCAAAATGTTATTATGGTTAAAAAAAATTATAACAATATAATACTTGTAATAACAAAAAAATTTGATATATACAAGTTTTGAATTCTTAAACCACTTCCAAGTACACTATTCCCCAATCCTCTTAGAGTTGTTCCATCAACGAGCAATCGATTCCATCGTCTCAATTCTTTAAGTTTTACTAAACAAGTTGAAACCCAAAAATATGTACAAAAGTCAATCCGCTTGACCGAATTCATTATGTTACTCCTAAATAATTGAAATGAGAAAATTAATGGAAAAACATATTTGTTAAAACAGTAAAACGCGAACAATCGACACACCATTTTTAAAAGTTCAAATTGTAGGACTTCTTTGTCAAAAGTATCAAAGTAGGAGGGCAAAATGTTAATTTACCTTCTTTTTTTTTTTCTTTGTCGGCCACAGTCAGTCATTCAGGATTCACAAACTCAAAACCCAGCCGGGGAAGAGACAGCTCGGCTCTTCAATTGAACGTCTCCGAGCAAAGGAATTAAAACTCCTTTTCCTTTTAGCAAAAAATACAAACAAACAAAAAAACAAAAATCCTCCACCGTTCCATAAAAAAAAAAAAATCATCCTTTCAGACCGCTTTCACATTGGTTCCCGATCCACGAAATCGCGCGCGGAAGCTAATGAAGCTGTGATCGGATCTCAAAATTCCGATTCAGAAAAGAAGAGAAAACCTGCAAGTGAACCCGTTTCATTTCTGTCTCGATGGAGTTTCTCATGAAGGAGGAGCTTGATCTCGCAGTTTCGAGTTGAAATGCAGCCGAATCCGTTCCCATTCGGCAGTGTGCTTGGGAATCCCTTTCTTTTCAATGGAGAATTGAGCGAGCTCGGCGGCGCTGGTATTGGATTCGAGAGCTCTAGGGTTTTCTTCTTACTCCCTTTTCTCTTGTCCCAAGGAGGTGGAATGGATTTGTCCAAGGTCGGGGAGAAGCTGCTTAGTTCCGTGCGGTCTGCTAGATCGCTTGGTTTGCTGCCTACCGTCTCCGACAAACCTGAGGTAAATTCTCCCCTCCCGCCAAAAATGCAGCTCAATTATGTGTATGTGACTTCCAGTTTAATTATAGAACGACAGTGGAGTTTCAATGAGGATTTCTGTTACCCATTTTCATACTTCTGGTGTAAAATTGAAGTAAATGCAGATTTAGTTAATTAATGCCGAGAGGGAATCATGTAGTCATACTGGTGAACACTTGTAATCCCTTCAGAGTAGGCATTGTCCTTTACGTTATAATAATGGAATTGTATTACTTGTTCCATCCCAATATTTATTCAGTATGTTGCCTTAGCTGAAATGCTGTTCCATTTCTTGCCTCCTCATGGTACCATCTGATAGCCGAACTGACAGTAGAAAGTTCTTTTCTTTCTTGAACATCAGAATAGACTCAAAAGTGAGGAATACTGTGATCTCATTGCACTCCCAACTGTTAGCCTCTCGCCATGATAATCAGAATACCCAATTTCTGACTATGTGCTTACTGGAAATTTAATCAAGCAGCGCGTTGACATGTTTCAAGTTGAGACTTGCAAAACCCCTGCCCTGTTTCATGAAGTTTGATTGGGGTTAAATGAGAACTGTTGTGCTTACATTCCTGGATCATTTCTTTCATAAACCATTTCAGCAAATCCCCTTCACTACGCGAGAGAGTGGGAAAGAGAGGAGAAAGAGTTGTAGTTATTCTGAGTTAATGTTAGGTGTCGACAGATTTTTTTGTAGTTTGATTTTCAGTTTGCTGGATCAAATTGTTGTTGCTATAGGATGTATGCAGGACAGCAGGAGGACTTTACTGTCTATCCCAGCTCCTCTCTTTTTCTCTACTTATCTGAAGGAAGATACTGGAAATGATCTTTTGATTACTAGCTCTTCTTTGGGTCAAGAAGACATGATTTTGTAGATTACTTTTTTCTTTATTGCAAATTCTGAAGATTCTTGAACTGGAGTATTCGCAATTTATGATTTATGACCTTGTACAGGTTCCTGCTAGGGCTGCAGCAGCGGCAGCTGTTGCTCGTGCAATTTCAGGGCTGCCTCCTCATCAGCGGTATACTCTTCCTTCAAATTCCGAAGACTTGTGCTTTATATATGGAAGCAGACCACAAGATCAAGTGGTGGAGGAGCTAGAAGAAGATTTCTACGAGGAGGTCATTTTTTCATTCATTACGGTTGAATTTAGTTACTAAGAAATCATGGAAAACCAATATCATCTTTGTGTTTGAACATGATTTTGAGGCATTCCATGAAACCGTCCAATACTTGATAGTTGATTCTCTTATATGTATAATGTTAGTAACATATTTCCCTGATATGTCTTATTTTCTATAGAAATGATTTCTCTGATATGTCTTCATTTTTATATAAATGATTTCTGATGGATATTACTTCTTACTTGCAGAGCTTCGATCCAATTCGACATACACTGAAGATGATTCCTTCTGAGGAAATTGAAGTCACATATTTTGAAAAACAGGTACTTCTTACATAATTTCAACTGGCTAAAGTTTCTTGCTATTTTTCCTTTAGAGTAGCTATCAGGGCATTTTATTTCATAGTAATTTTTAAATAAGAGGGCAGGGACTCATGTAATCTTATTTATAAACAGAAATACATTCTCTTTGTATGTCTATGATGAATATGCCCCACTAGCTAAAGATACCTGCATTAATTTTCCTACTTATTCTAACACGTGAACCCTAGTCAATAATACTGTACGCATCATTAGCAGTTCTGTTGCTACTACATGATGCTGGTGCCAACCTGGTGCGGTGTTTGCCCGATACGAGTATCTCTAGGGTGCAGTAATAATCAGGTTGACAATTGTTCCAGTGTTTATTTTGTCCTGTAGTTTTGATAAGAGGGATATAAATAGGATGCAGTAATTATTAGCAGCAGTGTTGGTAGCTTTAACTACGGCAATGTGACCGGTTATCTTGCAGTAATTGAATGTCAACCACCCAGGTCCAAACCACAAGGCAAGATCCCCTACGAGACAGAATGTTTCTTTTCATTTACTAATATGTGACTCGTTCCTAAATTTTATTAGGATGACGTTCATGAACGATTTGCCTAAAGTCATTTTTGCTTGAGCCATTCTATCCAATCCACCGTGAGAATTGAAAACCTATAATAGATTGGCCTATACATTGCTAGATATATATGCCTTCTTACTGGTGGTATTAATATCAAAACTCAATTTCTTGTTGATTCTGCTCCCTGTAGGCTGCTCTTAGATTGACACAACTGGATAGGGTAGCCGAGCATTTATCCCATCATGTCATGGAACATCATGAAGTAATGGGTAAGCTCTATTGACATCTGTTCTGCAAATATTCTGATACACTCTCAGCCATCAAGGTGGCTATTAAATGATTATATAATATGTTCATTTGGCTCCAAAATATTCTTGCTACTGAAAGTTTTCATACTTTGTTCTCTGCAGTGAAGGGAATGAATTTGGTCAGAGAGTTAGAGAAAGACATAAAGATTGCAAATATTATCTGCATGGTAAGGATTCATTGTGTGTTGCATCGAAGTATGCAAGAGTTCTTATTTTCATTAAAATTAAAAAGAATTAACAGTTTGTTTCAGTGATGCTGTTATCGTAATCTTCAAAACCATGATGTTTCTGCTACAATCTATGATTTGTTTTTCATTAGTTGTGGCTATGGTTTGCAGAATGGGAGAAGGAATCTCACATCGTCCATGACCGAGGTTTCAAGGGATCTTGTCGTAAATACAAATTCCAAGAAGAAACAAGCTCTTTTGGTGTGTTTCCATAGCAGCATTTTTCTCAATGTATTGGAAAGGCGATTATTCAAAGAATCTTTGGTCTCAATTGAATAGCCGATTGTGATTTTCCTCATTGTAGGACATGCTTCCAATATTAAACGAACTTCGTCATGCTGTGGACATGCAATCAGCACTTGAATCCCTTGTTGAAGAAGGAAATTACTGCAAGGTTTGAACTGGGTCTTGACGGCTGATACCTTCTGCCATGTTGGCTTCCCAAAATTTTGTTATTTTCTTGATTTGTAACTTGGGGGTTTTTTAATAAGGATTTGTAAGTTGTGCTTTGACTTTCTGTTTCAGCTCAAAGATGCTTGATCAAGTATCATTCTTTTTTTGCAGGCATTCCAAGTCCTATCTGAGTATTTGCAGCTTTTAGATAGTTTATCCGAACTTTCAGCCGCACAAGAGATGAGCCGAGCAGTTGAGGTTGGTATTAACTAGATAATGTTTGCTTTCATAATTAGCATTAATTTCTAAAGCCCATGCAAATGAGTTAATATGGTTTTCTAGTTTATGATATTGAAAGTGTAGATTTTTCTTACAAGAATGTTGAAAGCATAGGTGTTGCTTGCTAACATTGCTGGTTTCTCTCTGCTTTCTAAGAACTTACGGTATGTCTCTTTTTTCTCTTGCCTCAGGTTTGGTTGGGTAGAACCCTTCAGAAGCTAGATGCACTGCTGTTAGGAGTGTGCCAGGACTTCAAGGAGGAGAGCTATATAATTGTCAGTACATTTCTCTACTTCAACAACATTTATTGGCTATCGACTTCTGGAAATATGACTTTTAATTGTCTTCACATTTTATTGTATCTGATTTGTTATCATATGCTTCATGTCTACTTTCACTTCTCGTTTTAAACTTTTTTACTCCCAGACATGGCAATAAATGTTGAGTCGAGCATGGTTCAGTTACAGGATAGTCTATATGGAGTGTGTGTAGTTTTTAAAACAGGATTTGATATCCAGAGAAGGCAAGTACCATACTGTAATTAACCAGTGACCGTTAAAAAGATGTTGAGAATATACTGTTTGCTAGACAAAAGTCTTCTTTGTTAGGATTATGTATGATCTTCTCCTTCTGTTTTCAGCAAATGTTCAACCAAGCACCACGAGTCCACGACTTAGATAAAAACTAGAAGTATATCGAACTCCTCCTCTAAGCGTGTTTTATCCTTCATCTCACTTCTTTGGTTTTCGGCATCCTGTACACCAATGATAGTATCCTATCCCAATTCTTCATTCTTCTTCAGGCTATGGCTGGAGCAGACTACTAACAATATTGACTAATAAAATTACTTGTTCCTGAGATGATCCAGGTAGTTGATGCATATGCATTAATTGGAGATGTCTCTGGTCTTGCTGAGAAAGTTCAAAGTTTCTTCATGCAAGAAGTTCTCTCAGAAACCCATATGGTATTGAAGAATATTGTGCTAGAGGTACGCACACTTTCAGTTCTTCAAAAAGAGTTTTAATAGATGGATGGGAGTAAGATATTAGTGAGCTGATCATGGGGTTCAAAATAAAAGTGTGTCCGCTTGGATGAAATATAAATGGTTGGTAAGAGTATACATATAAAGTAGAGATTATGTTATGTGATATTCTATTAGTGATAAGTAACAAGTGATACTATGTATTTTATGCGCAATGGCTATAACTAGCAAACTTCGAGCATAATTTTTCGCTTCAGGAAACAATTTTTCGTTAATGGGATGACATTCGAACAATAATAATTTTGTGGGTTCATCATACATGGTTTCTTTTTCTTTCTAAATTTTTAGAGCACCTGCATTACTTTGAGTTGCTTTTTCCATTTAAATTTTAGCTACTAAAATTTTAGAGCACGCACAGTCAAAGTATCTTGAATGCTTGTTTCCAGTGTCCTTTTGTCGGCCCCTGATATTTGGTGTCATCTATAAGTCACATTCTAATTTGTTTTTGTCACCAATTATTGAACGTTTTTGCCATCTGATATATGCACTTGTTTTGCAGGATCAGCCAGTTCAAAAGCAGAATAGTAGGTAATTGCTTTTGACTTTAGCAGCATGCCTACTCAAGATGTATAATTATGCTTTCTATGTTCTGTAACCTTTCCAATTTTTCTACTTTTTCCAGACTTACCTACAGTGATCTATGCCTTCAGATACCGGAGTCCAAGTTTAGACAGTGTCTATTGAGAACACTTGCTTCCTTATTTAGGCTGATGTGCTCGTATCATGAAATCATGAGCTTTCAGATGGACAACAAGGTTGGTCAAAATCATTTCTTCTTGTCCCTTACTCCCTTTATTTCCTATGCTTTTCTGCTGCTTAGTTTCCCCTTGCAATTCCTTGAATCAATAAACTAATTAGATTGATGGTAGTATCAGCACACGATTCTACTGGGATTGATGATCATATATCTTAACAAGTTATCTCCTTTGATATGAAAATCAATATTAACCCTGACCAATCAGTTTAAGACATCGTTTATTTTATTATATTCGATTTTCTTCTCCTCCCTGTGTCCAGTATATCAACTACTTCGATATTATTTTATGGCTTACTAGATTTTTTTTTTTTTTTTTTGAGTGATGGCTTACTAGATAGAAATGACCTTTTACATGACTTAAAGAATTAATGTTGTGTATATAGCTTGTGATATTCCAAGACATGGAACGTGAAGGCTTATTTTAGGATGTGTTTTGCTTACATTTCACATATCAATTGCAACTACATATTGTCCATAAATTCTAGTGGTTCTGTTATTCAAGTTTACGATTCCAATTGTATAGAGGTCTTTGACTTTACGTGGAGTCTGTAGATTGAACAGTTTGGATGATCATTACTCCGCTCTGAGATTGCAGAATCTAGGATACCAAACATCGCTGATGAAAGACCAGGAATGTGATCAGTCCTGGCATGGCAGAGAGGTCCAAAGAACACATGATCCCCAAGTAAATAATGGGTCTTCTAATTCTGTAAAGAGACTCCCTGATTCATCATCAGCTGAGGAGTCTACTTCTGGGTCTTTGACTTGTGCAGCAGGATCTAAAGATTCTGTAGCTTCTGATTCTAAGATTTTTCATGAGACCAGGAATGATAGTAGTGAAGCATCAAGCAGTGGATCCCCTTGGTACCAGCTGCGGAAAGATGCTACGGCATATGTTTCACAAACCCTTCAAAGAGGAAGGAAGAATCTTTGGCAGCTCACAACGAGTAGAGTATTGGTGTTGCTTTCCTCTGGTGCAGTTGGTTCAATGAGCATTCACCAGTTTTTAAAAAATTACGAAGACCTAAATATGTTCATCTTGGCGGGGGAAGCATTTAGTGGAGCTGAAGCAGTTGAGTTCAGACAGAAGTTGAAGGGTGTCTGTGAAAACTATTTTACTGCCTTCCACCGACAGAATATTCATGTAAGATAAACAATACTCGTTTGAATCTTAGTAGTTTATTTGTTTGCTAGTTCAGTTTATTGTTCTTGGTTTAAAGAAAAACATTTTTTGTTTGATTGCATTTTTACCTCATAAAAGGTAATGATCATGTTGATAAGAATAGAAAGGGTTGTTGATTAGGATGTAAGCTAGCCTTCAATATGTTGCCACAGGTTCACCATGTATAGTTTTTGTTTTAGTGTTCATGCAGTCATATTTCTAATCTTATAACAAGTGCATTGAACATCCTTGAACTCCAATGGCAATATGACACCATCTAACTTTGTGATATTGATAGGCACTGAAAATGGTTTTAGAGAAGGAAACTTGGCAGAAAATGCCTCCTGAAACAGCACAAGTAGTTAGTTTTGCCGGGTTAGTTGGCGATGGCGCACCAGTCATCAGTCAGTCTGAGAGTAGGTCTGCTGGTTCTCGGTTGCACCATTCTGCTAAATCAATGAACTCTGTTGATGCCAATTCGAGGAAGAGTGGGTTTACTAGTTGGCTTAAAGGTGGGAACCCATTTGCATTAAAAGTAATGCACATTGCCAGAGACGGTCAGGATTCTCCCCATGTCAGTAGTGCTACCGGGGAATTTGGAGGGCATGTTAATAATCATATAAATGGAACACCTGTTTCTGAAGATGAAAATGAAGATCTACTTGCAGACTTTATCGATGAAGATAGTCAGCTACCTAGTCGAAAACCAGGTATTCCAAGAAACAACTCGTTGCATTGGAAAAATGATGATGTAACAGCACAGACCGGTTCATCCCTTTGCCTGTTAAGGTGAGTTGGGTTTTTCAGATTTTCTGGCTAGAAGTTTGAATTTATATCACAGATGACTGCGTTAAATACTGTTGCGTCTGCATATGCTTACAGGTCAATGGATAAATATGCAAGGCTCATGCAGAAACTAGAAATAGTTAATGTTGAATTTTTTAAGGTATATTTCTTGTCCAAGTACAATTATTGAGTTCTTGTCCTTGTTGCCTGAATTTCCTTGTACACGTGTTTTTTTCTCTCTGAATTGTTTTCTTTTCTGCTTCGATGTATTGTTGCAGGGAATTTGTCAGCTGTTTGAGGTTTTTTACTACTTCGTTTTTGACATATTTGGTGGGAAAAACTCTGCCTCAACTGGAAAATATGCGCTTGACACTTCCAACCGTAAGTGTTTTCATGATCTTCGCTCTCACTTGTTCATGATGGAATTAGTTCATCACCTCCCTTCCTGTTCAGACCAATGATGATGCAATGAGTTCATTAACTTGATATTTCATGCATGCCTTCTTTCTTCTAGCAATTATGTGTGCTTAATTTTGTGAGGAAGTTGGAATTATCTCTTATTGGAGCTGATAAGAACTAATGTTTTATGCACTCTATTACTCAGATCGGCTGAAGACTGCCTTGTTGAAGATATCCCAAGATTGTGACCAGTGGATAAAGCCTCAGTCAATACAGTCAGCATCTTCATTGCCTACTTCTGTTACATATATCCATTCAGATATTGTACCTAGCAGTCCACCAAATCACTCTCCTGCTTCTTTTAGTCTCAAGGTAATCATATGGTACTTCGTTTGCATTTCCTTTTTGGTTTTGGTTTTTTTTTTTTTTTTTTTTTTTTGGTGTGTAGTGCCTTGTTAGGAGACAGCTTGTGCTAGTCTGTATAATTTATATTCTACAAATGATGACGTGGATACTCTCCTCAGCTCCTGCATGATTTAGGATAACCTAAATGAGAGTTTGTTACGTGTTGCAAATTTTTAGGGTGCTATGAATTTGAGCATCTTATAGTTCACTGTTCTGCGGTAGGCTAATGGATTATATGCCCTGGTTGCAGGAAAGATGTACTGGTGCTGATACAGCGTCAGTTGTTGCTCGAATATTGCATAGATCTAAAGGTCATCTTCAATCCATGCTTCTTCAAAAGAATCCAACTTTAGTCGAGGATTTCTATGCAAATCTGGTACGTGCTATGCTGTGACCCCTTGATGCATTTTGTGTATCATAAATGTCAAGATCATAGTGGTCCTTGTTATACAATTAAGTTCACTGTAGAGGGTTTATAGTTTGGAAATGGTTGCTAGAAATTTATAGAATCAAGGGAAACCTAGGCCTAATTTCTGACCAACTATTGTTGAACAAGTTATCATACCATAAAGGTGCTTACAGCATGCTGAACCTAAATTGGAGAGTGCTCTGAAAAAGCCCCTCTATATACTATTCCTAGAACAGAAAGGAAAGCTATATATGCTAGCTAAGTATATATTGATGCACTTAAGGTCTCTTGAGTGAATTTGTCTCCATGCATATATGAGATATTCCCTGGTCTCTCTCTTTGTTTTCCTTTAAATTCAGCTATGCAGTCTGTCCTTCAAGTGACTTTTACTCGTCTATATATTTTCAGTGACTAGAATTCCTGTTTTACTTGTCTGCTTATCCTTTATGTTAAGTGGTACCGGATATCCTCCACATCTCAGATATATTGAATAATAAGGATTTTTTTCTTTAAAAGAAAATAATAAGATATAGAAAATAGTTCAGTATCTACTGGTCTTGATGGTAAGTTGTTGATCATCAGGTGGATTCTGTACCATCTCTTACAGAGCACATACATAGGACAACTGCAAGACTGCTGCTCCACATAGATGGGTAAGGCTAGATCTTATTTTGTTATTATGTTCTCAAAAAAAGTTGGTTCAGTTTACAATTATATTCAGATCTGTGAGTCAAACCCCGTCGTGCCACTTTCTAGAGTAACTCATCTTTATCAGATGACTGTTATCTCTGACTTCACTCTTGCTGGTATTTTGCGTAACCAAAACAATGGAGCAATTAAAGGAGAAATGTCGTTTCATTCATTAATAAGAGATGCATAGAGAATCAGTCGAAGGTTCATTATGCTACATTCATTCCGTTGAATTGCTTAGGATTGAGAATATATCTAGCTCAAAACGCTGCTGCTTTGATTTTGGGGAACAGATACAGAGATTTGTATTTGACGGTGTAGCAGCTGTTGTAAACAAATAGGGACCTCAATATCTTGAGAACAGGTAGAGAGTAGTCTTTTCGACTCGAATGGGCTTCAGAGGTTACTGGCTATGGTTGCCTGTTGAACAATTTATAAAAGTGGATGGCAGTTTGGTGCAAGTCCTTTTACCTCTTCTGCTCACCATATCTTCTTGTGCTTGAGATTAGTTCTAACGTGTCTTAAAAATCATAATCTTGGCCTTTAAATTCATCTTAGAGGCTAGAGCAGATGTTGGTCAAGCAGTCTCTTCTGATCCTTCTGAATAATGGAACTTGGTCAGATAGTGATTTCCTATTAGAGCACAGTGAAGTAGACTGCGTCCTGGGAATTTCTTCTAGAATTTGTAGTGGAAGAGGTAATAGCCGATACGAGCAACTAGGTCTCAATGTCTCATAGGCTGGCACTAAAAAGGGGATTTCATTTCAATTGGTATGGTGGTGGAAATGGTTTGGCTCTAGCTCCTCATGTCGAAAATGGTTCACCTGGAACTTGCCATGTTTCCCGAGAGCGCTACTTAACTATAACAAATCCTTTTTTTTGTGTGTGGGCAGCTTAAACTCCTTCCCATGCCCTTCTTTTTCCATTTTTCTTTTTGATTGGAAACATTTTGAGGTCAGGTTATTGAAGTGAGGAATATCTGTGTGAACGTCTTGTGTTGCTATTTTCATAGTAAATTCTTTCTGATGCAGGTATGTCGATCGGATTGCTAATGCGAAGTGGGAAGTCAAAGAGCTGGGTCTTGAGCATAATGGGTTTGTCTCATACCCGTGCATGAATAAAATTGATCTTTATACTACATTTCATGATAGTGTAGCTTACCTATTCAGATGTTCTGATATTCCAAACTCGCAATATCCCTGATAGGTACGTTGATCTGTTGCTGGGAGAATTTAAGCACTATAAAACACGGCTTGCTCATGGAGGAATTCACAAAGAGGTAAAGGCTGAGGCCACACATTGTTACACAATTTTCTGAAATTCTTACTACATGATCTAACCTCCAAGTGTCTACTGCTGTTTCAGTATCTGTCTCAAGGAAGTTTTTAGTTTGTGTTTGCTCATGTGTCAAGAATCAAGATGAATCAAACGCTTTTTCCCCTTATATTTTATCAGGTTCAAGACCTGCTGTTGGAATACGGTGTTGAAATTGTAGCTGAAACTCTCATCGAAGGGCTGTCTAGGGTCAAGAAATGTACCGATGAAGGACGTGCTCTCATGTCATTGGATCTTCAGGTTTGTTTTCTCAACTGCTTCCAAATTTTAGCATCTTGTTCAAAGTCGAGATCTAATTTACTTGGTGCCCTGCCCTTGTCCTCCCAGGTTTTGATTAATGGTCTACACCATTTTGTACAAGGCAATGTGAAACCAAAGTTGCAGGCTGTAGAAACTTTCATAAAGGTGAGCCTACACATATACTAAAATTCAGTGTGTAAATTTTAGAAAACCGGTGGGCTTCCTGAATCGGCTTAAATCACTATGATTTATATGTCCATAACTTTGTGCAGGCTTACTACCTTCCAGAAACCGAATATGTCCACTGGGCTCGTGCTCATCCGGTAAGAACACATGTTCCAATGCCTGAATGGGAACAATCCACTGAAATTCAATGCTGAATGAGTCAAAGAAAACACTCCAAGTGATTAATTTTCTATCTCGCACCATGAACACTGGAAATGCAGGAGTACACCAAGAGCCAGGTAGTTGGACTGGTGAACCTTGTGGCGGCAATGAAAGGCTGGAAGAGGAAAACCAGGCTGGAAACAGTAGAAAAGATCGAATCAGGCTGAGTGCTCGCTCAACTTCGGTACAGCCCTTGTTCTTCTTGAATTGTGTGTTTCCTGTTTCGTGCCTTTCTCCTGGCTCACTCAACTCGGCTGCCAGTATTGTTCTAATCTCCTTACCCTCTTTACTTTTCTTGCAGTTTTTGCTAGTTTCTTGAGTGAGGTGTATAATGTCTCCCGGATTATGCATTGCCCTTTTTTTTAACACCATGCTGGTAGGGTTTGTATATCTTGTAATATAGCTGGGGATTGATTCCCAGTTGATGAGGTGAGAGATCAGTCATCGGTTGTATTATTATTTCTATCATCCACTCCATATAATGAGATGGTCCATTCATTCCCAAAGAAAGAATATATAACAAATAAATGTGTTAAATATATACAAAACTGGCATAGTACACAGACTGAGAGCAGAGCACTGCTAATTCAGGACTTGTTCGTCGTTTTAGTAGCACTTCACTTGTGCTAGTTATTAGTCCATACAGGCATGAGTTGCCAATTTGTGCTAGTTATTAGTCCGTCTGCAAGCTGGGGAAAAGATGTTTGATAATCCGCCACAGCCGTCCCCAAACTTCAGCTTTTCTGGCCAAGATATAGCTCGAAAGTATCGAGTTCGGTCATCTCATTGAACTAGCTAGGTCAATTGATCGTGACTACATCTTCTCAGCTGCTCTGATTTGCGATCGAACAACCGTGCACTTGTGATGTGAGACAGAATTAGTGGGTACGAAATGTCGGCTTGCCTTTGTATTAACCAAGAGCAAAAAGAGCATGTTCTGTAGCGAATTTTGAATCCTTAACGAATGTGCATTTGTGATGTGAGACAGAATTAGTGGGTACGAAATGTCCGCTTGCCTTTGTATTAACTAAGACCAAAAAGAGCATGTTTTGTAGCGAATTTTGAATCCTTAACGAATGATTAATCCATAGAAGAAGCAATCTGATGAGTGGCTATTCTATTCAAGAATTGAAGGGCATGCACCTCCATTGTATTATGTTTCAAAATAATCGAACCTTCTGCATTAATCCTCCTGAGTGCTGTTATCAGCTTCTTCATCTTCCCCCTCTTGGAAGTTCTCATCTTCTTATCTACATTTTGTCTCCCCCTCTGCAAGATACCATCACTTCCCCCTACAGAGTGCGGATTGGGACTCCATCTCCGAGCACAGGAGAGGCCGGCGACTGCGTAATCTCACGAGCCATGTTCAGTGCAACACAAGGTTGGTCCACTGGAATCTGCAGTACTCCAACCAACATTGGAAGAACACAATTAAGCAAAACCATGGAAACATCTTCTTTTGTCTCCCTCTGTTCTCTCAAAACATAACAATGGAAGGACAAACAGAACTTACGAAATGGCCGGCTCCAAGGATCCAATAGAAGTGAAGGTTCTTGTAGGATTTGAAGAACCCTTTCGTTCCCCCTTCGCCGCAGTACAGAGCAGTTCTCCTCGTTGCTGTGAAGTTAGAAAGCCCTTTCCACCTGCAACCCCATCATCATAAAAACCATACACAGTTTACCAATCAATGATGATGAAACCACTACTCACTTGAGCTTCTGAACCCATGCCTCTGTCCCTTTTGTTGCACAGATTACATCCAGCTACAACCACGAAACGAATTCGTTAACCCGAGTACCATCATAATCAAGGACAAGGGAAACCTTATCCGCCAAATTTTAAACCGAACATCTCAAGATTAGCACATTCTGAGTGTCAGCACCGTAACCGCGTTGCAAATAGGCATTCTATGGCGGGGAAGAAATCATAGTTAAAATGTCCAAAACCAGTGAGTGTAACCTTACCTGGCCATTATATATAGTCACATTGACACCTTTGGCCAAAAGTTGATCCACCTATCAATTTAGAGAAGTGAAAAAGGAATCAATCAACATGAAGATAATTTACATAGTAGTAAATAATAAATGATATATAATTAGCACAAAACCTCGTTAATCCTAGGGTTCATAAAATCAGCAGCCATACTATTGAAAACAGACCCCGACTGCTCTCCCCATCTGCAAATTCATTTCCCAATTCAGCACATATAATTATTAAGAATTTAATTCATTAAGTAAGCTAGTAATGACTTACTGAAGCTTTTCAGGGATGATCCCAAGCTTCTTCTTGATGACACCATTCATTAAGGTTTCAATGTCGACTCCATCTTCCCCCAGCGAGCTCAGATATCTGGCATAGCTCCTCCTCGTCCTCCCCAGCAGAAGCTCCGCCGTCGTCGTCGTAGCTGCAGTCGTCGTTGTTGTCATCATCGACACCGGATCCATATCGGAATCCAGCATGAAATTGTAGAAATCCTGATTATTACCACAAGCTAGTTGAGTCATTAATATAGAAATTAATACTGAAATGAGTAAAAGGTTCACTGGTTATAGTAAAAAGCTTACCACATTGTTGGAGTAATCAGAAACCACCTCTTCTAGACGACCCCATGAATCCGTCGCTTCCAAGTACTTCCCCTCGCTGATCTGCTGCTTTATCCCCTCTGCCAATCTGGGTTTCCATTGTTAATTCCTGGGTTAATGGTACAAAGTTCAAAGATCTCAACTTTATAAACAGATTTTCGTCGAGTGGAAGCAAATGTAGTTTACTTGTTGACCAATTTGACGCCATTGGTGTCGAGTCGAGAAACAGAGCCCAATAGGGGACCCCAAGAGAGCACGAAATCTTCAGGGGAAATCCAGCTGTCTCCCAGCGCTATTCCACCAAGCTTGGCCTTCAGCTTCCCGGCCTCAATGGCTTTCAGTGCAGACAATCCCAACGTGACGGCGAATTTGCCGCCGTAGGATTCCGCCACGATGTACAGAGGACTCTGCTGTAGCTTCTCGTCTCTGTTATATAAGTTCTGTAACAGCACCGTCAAATCGGAGGCTGCTTCGACGTCGGTCTTCACCAGTGCCTCATTTTCTTCCACGAAACTGTAACCTGTCCCCACCGGCGAATCCTATCAAACGAAAGATTCACAATTTGTATTTGTCCTTTGGATTCAATTTTGTTTCGTAGTGGAAATGAACTGATTAGTTACCACGAAGAGCAGATCGGCCACGCCGAGCCAGGTTGAGTTCCTGGGCTTGAGATTGGTGTCCAGCGAGCCGACTTCCTGGAAATTCCCAATCGCTACTCCTGAAGCTCCCTGAAAATCATTTCAATCAAACACATTTTTGGGAATATGGGGTGGATCTGGAAAATGAGGAAACAGAGTAAGAATTTGCACTCACGGGTCCTCCTTGGAGCCAGAGAATGGTTGGCCATGGCTTTGATGGATCTTCAACTCTGTACGGACTCTTGTACAGCCACCAGAACATATGAGCTTCTGATTTACAGCAAAGACAACAACTTTAGAGGAGGGGATCTCAATTTTTCAATCTCCCAATTGCTCTGTTTGGTTGCAGAGAAAATGAAAGCAATATGAATGGGGAATAGACAAATTGAAAAATGGGCTTACTGGGTCGGACATTTTCATAACCCCAGGCTTCCGATCCATCTTTGTTCGTCCTGGAAATCAACCTGGCGGCTGTGGAAGAAGCTAAAACGGCGAGAAGAAGAAGGACAAGAGCCCGCAACTTGGCCATAGTTAGCTGCTGCTGTAACGAAAACAGAGAAGAATACGCGACACGATTCAGATTTTAATGGGCAGTATAGATTGCCAAAAACTCGACTTCAGTATCTGGCCGAAAGAGGGAGCAAAAGCAGCCACGCGACTGAGCAGCGAATATGGCCCCCTGGCTACGGCAGAATAAGAAGCAAGTACACAACTTTATCTTTACGACTACATTACCCAAACAACAGAATGCAGCGATACGCTTTTGCGCGAGGGAAAACGCAGTCGGTGAGCTGCTGCGGCGGCGGCGGCGGAGGTTCGTCTTTTGCCTTCTGCGTTTGCTCTGTTTGTTGCCGGCAACTGGACGCTTTGCTCTTTTTAATAATACAGCTTTTTGCAGTGCTTGTTGAAAGGGATATGGTTCTATCTGATGGTTCTGCCTACGGAACTCGTATAAGGGATGTGAAAAAATGTTATAGAACCATTGTTTGTAAGAGGTTCCTCATCGATCATGTAAACAAGATCTATACTTGTTGCAATAGCGAATGGAAGAATACAAAACCTCATGGCCAGCAAGTCGCAAGCTAGACCATTTCATCAAAATCCAGGAAGTACCGCACATTACAAAAGTATCAGTATTCAGTAGTACCTAGCTTGTGAAGGCAATTCAATCTAAGTACATTGACAACGCAAAGGTACAGAGACACCGGGCGGTCTCCTCTTCTCCCTAACAATGGCTTCCTTAATCATGGGTAACTTTTGGTGCACCTTTCTCCATATTTGGTTCACCGCACCGTCCGGGTGAACAGGTCCGATGCCACCAGGTTGGCCATTGTCGAACCAAAACATCGGCTGAACCATAGACATCTTCTGACGAAATCTGGCCTTCTGTCTCTCGGAGATGCTTTGCAGGTGCCGCAGGAGCCAGTTTGGCGTCAAGGCGTCGCTGGTTGCTACAAAGACGGAGAATTCGGAGTAATCCACCATCCCTTCGAATGGAAGCTCGATGCTGTCGCTGACAATGACCGGTATGCATAGGCTTTGGATGGCGTCGAAAAGCCGGCAAGAAGTTGGGGTGTCTCCGGCTGGGTGAAGACAGAACTCTGATGTTCTCATCCCTCTGATTGATTGCTCCCTTCCGGTTGCATTAGGAAAGCCTTCTTCCATAATTACCCCAGGCTCGTTAACCAGCAACTCCCACAATTTTTCTCGAATTATGCCTCCCTGTCGATAGGTAGCATTCAATGGCTGATTAGATGTACGATAAAAATGCCAGAGGTATCTATCTGGCGCTATATGATATATATGAATCTAAGCACTCCTACAGTACTATTCTTCAAACATCAGATGATACATCATTTTTTCTTAAGATGGAAAGACGAATTGATAACAGAAGAATGAGAGGAACTGCAAATGATAAGGTTTAATTTGGGTGAGAAAAAGTATTTTGATCTTCACTCAATATGACTAATGACCACTAGGCAATCACTATAATAAGTTCTCAAATGAAAATGCAGTAGAGTGCCAGGTGATCAAACAACGGGATTTAACAAACACCTTGCTGATGCTGTGAATGAGAATAATAAACTACTAACTCACCCTTTGCCGATGCTTGGCTCCTTTGAAATATAGGAGAGTGTGACGCTTCGTATTTTCAGATAAGGGCAATGGAGGAAGTAGATGTGTGTAAGGAACTATCACATCTTTGATAAGAGAAACTTGAGTATGCTGAACCCGCTCTGTCAAGCTGCCATTTGATGATTTCCTGTCAAGCCTGTACCAGCCACCAAAATCAACAACCAGGAGAACAGCGGGGGCTATCTCGGCTTTCACATGCCACATAGCTACTGGGTCTGCAATACCCTATACACAAAATGAACTTTCGTATGTAGGTTTAGCATATACATGATGAACAGAAACTATAAGCTAACTAAACACCTGATTCCATATTAAATAACCCAAATCACGAAAGTTTGAGTTTATCAAGAATACGAACAATGTTACCTGTAATAATGAAAACATGATCTCTACCCCCAGACCGCTTCCATGCCTCTGATTTCGTAACAAAATCAAGTGTCTCCTTCTGCCTTTGGTAATCCTCATTGCCTTCCTTCTTCTTAAACGTGCCCTTCCCCCTTGCAAGCTCCATTTCAGCACTCAATGTGGCAAAGAAGGGCACAAAGAAGACATCAGCCTTGCTCTCGTCAAACACCCTTTTGACGAATGAGTTTGTCCTTGAAGCTTCTGGTGTCATCAAGTCCCCCAAGAGCCAGTACTCAGCACTGTATTGTTTGATTACTGGATTCTCCGGATATGGAGGAAATTTTGTGCCTTTGTGGAAAGACACGGTCTTCGTTTGGTCCTTGGGGTGATCCGGATCAGAGCTAATGCGTGCATCAGGTACAGAGGAAGCCCAATATTTCTCCAAGAGACCATAGTTGAGAGATCTAGGCAGGTTTACTACATAGACTTTGAGGGATGTTTGGGCAGTGTTAAAATGGGTTTGTGATTCCAGAAACAGCTGGGGCTGGGATGGGGTTGAGTAAAAGTGGAAGAAAATAGAGAAAAGGGAAACAGTTACGAAGGCGAGGAAGATAGAGACAACGGAACACCACGGAAGTTGAGTCCGTCTGATTGCAAACATAGTAGGCGCATTGCTCTTGGGAATCATATTCAAAATAGTAAGATACTGGTTGGTCTGTTGATTTCTTGTTGCAAGATCATGACAGGGCTAGCACCACCTCGGTGGATTGTAACCCGCCATCAAGTACCTGAAGCATAATATCATGTCACAGATCAAGACGGAAAAGGAACTTCTGAAATAACAAAAACAAGAAAGCCGCTAGCATTCATTAGCACAGGTAACATTAAACCTTTCAAGCTACCCGATCTGCATTGTAACTTATAATCTACAAAATCTCCAATCAATATGAAATTCACACACCCACTAATGCAGATTAAGGAAAGCATCACTGAAGTGAACAGTATACGGATCTACTGAGCTGTTAGAGCAGTAATTGAAGTTCACTACTTACTTGGGCTTAACACTACTGTAAAGACAGAGGCTTTCCTGGAACCCAATTGGAACTCTATGGAGAAAGAAGCGGGAAGGGCGAAGGACTCTCCTGTCTTGCGGATCCAGTCGAGGAGCTTCCTCACGGTAAGCTGCATCCGATGAGGCTGTAAATCAGATCAGATTGAATTCCCAATCAAAGCAGAGAGTTATTGGGGGTAAAGAGAAGGAAATTACCAACCGCCGGTTTAATTTCGCAGTGGATTGAAATGGGACGCGGTGGTGTTCCAATCGCCGGCGAGGCCCAAGGTTGAAGCTGATCTCAAGAAAAGACGGCAAGAGGCGATGGACAAAAGGGAAGTAGAAGAGAGAGGGGAAAAGTGGTACCTGCTTCTGCGTTTTGGTCCAAACGACAGGCATTGGAAGACGCATAAACGTCAAAGGGGAAAGACTGGAAACTTGGGCTACAAAATTATGGCCCGGGCCATAAAATAACAAGGAGGTGGGAACGGGCCCACTTTCATCCATGACTGGGTTGGATGGGCCTATGTTGGGCAGGGAGGAGAGAGTCCAAAGCACGAGAGGACTTTTAACTATTCTTATACAGTTAGAAGGGTTGTTTGGAGGTTGTGATTTCAAGCGATGTATTCAACTAATGCATGTAATGTCTAAATTAAGTCATCTTTTTAAATAAATTTGTGATAGAGTACATATATTATATTTTTTTGGGCCCACCAACAATCACTCAAAATGAGTGATTATCAATCTCTACCAAAACTGAGATTGTGACCAATGAATTGTGTACCCTCTATATTTCATTTATAACAAAGCACAATGTAAACCTCCAAATAATGTATTTTTAAAATCCATATTTTTCATCAATACATCAAAATACAATACACAAATTGATTAAATACTTCAATTTGGAGAATCCCAACTTCCAAATAACCCTTATACCCCAGGCAACAAGTGTTATGATTAGGGATGGCAATGGGGCGGGTTTGTCTAAACCATCCTCATCCCCATCTTCAAATATCCAACCCATACCCGCCCCATACTCATGCGGGGGAATGTTTGGCAAACTCATCCCCATACCCGTGGGTTTCGGGTACCCATGGGTAATACCGGTACCCGTACATCCAACATTATTATCCTAAAATTTACAAGAAAAGTCTTAACTATAACTCTAAATGTACCTATTATATCACGAATTAAACAAAACACGATCATTTTCTTAATACGGTTCAAAGAATGATCCTAAAACATTCATTAATACATAATATAGAGTATAATATTTTTCAAATTATTATGTTCTAACTCTGATACATCTACTAAGAAATAATTAACTAACATAATCTTGTTGACAAGGGGGAAAGTGAAAAGGTGAAAGGAGAATAGAGGGAAATGAATAAGGTTTTGATGAAGGTGGTCACTCAACTGCATTTCTACTATTTATTTCCTCAAATTATCCTCATAATCATTGATAGGTTACAATTTGATCCACATATATTAATATATGTGAAGAAATTCTCTTGGTGGGGAGGGTATGAGTATGGGGCGGGGGAGGCTAAAACCATACTTGCCCCATACCCATCAAGCTTTTTGCGTGTTTTACCCATACCCGCCCCATACCCGGTCAAAGCGGGGATTACCCGCATTGACTGGGTCGGGGACGATCGGGTACCCGCGGCCATGGGTTTAATTGTCATCCCTAGTTATGATATCGTTGAACCGTGCATGTGTGACTTAATTTATTAACATGTTTATTTGTATTTTTTCTAATTTAGCTTTTTCAATCTTATTTTCACCCAATAAAATAAATTGAGATAGATGCGAGATCTTATTTTCACCCAATAAAATAAATTAACATACATGTGAGATTTAATTTTTCAATTAATTATACTCGATTATCCATTATATCATTACTATTTTAATTTTACATTTGTAAAATGTTTTTTCTTCAATATTCATTTTCTTCTAATAAAACGTCATACCGGATCAAAACAACTACTATCCAACAGAGATCCATGCTTTATACTAAATGAATACGAATATTGAGATACCCGATCTGCTTGCCTCTTTTCCATCACTAATCACCATCCAATAGCATGATCCATGAAACCGTACCATATCGGCGACTGATCAACCACGAAATACCAGTATTGAAAGCTAAATCAGTAGGCAGTACTTAGCAGTCTAACTGTTGAACTACGGTTAAACCACGATTTTTATAATAAAATAACCTATCGTTGACTTTCTCGATACGATCTTCCCGGTGGCATGCTGTTCATGCCCAATAGCAGCCTAACAATGCAGGCCAGGCGGGAATTTGATCCTTATCAGTTATCACCATCTTCCTCGTTTGTCTTGTAACAATCTTATGAATCCCCAGGCCCCACTTCTCCTAGTACCCTCCAATTTCCATAAACCCTCCCCCTCCAGGCTCCATCAACTCGACAAAATACCTTTTCTGTTCCTTTCTCCCGAAATCGATTCCTCTTTTGCTCATTTCACATCACCAATAAGTGAGACATGAGTATTCATACTCTCCAAAGTTCTCTTCTCCTCTCTTCTCTTCAAACCACAATGAACTCCAACAATCGGAAGATCCAGCTCACGCGCCGCGACGGCAGCTCCGACTCCGTCGTCGTCGGCTCGGTCTTATTACCTCCGCCGTTTCCCGAAACGCCGCCGGAGATGCTGCACTACCCGGACCACCGCCGGACCATCGATTCCTCCATGGCGCTGACGATTCTGCTGCTGCTGACGGCCATCTTCTTCGTGGGTTTGTTTTCCCTGTACATCCGCAGATTCTCCGGCGACGCCGCCGCCGCCGCGGTGTCGTCGGCGGCGGAAGTCGGCAATCACTACCGCCGCGGCAGCCAGAAGAAAGGGCTCGACCCGGAGGTGGTGAGGTCGCTGCCGGCGTACTGCTACAGGAAGGGCGGCGAGGGGAAGTATGATTTGGCGGAGTGCGCCATTTGCCTGGGCGAGTTCGAGGAGGAGGCGGCCGTGAAGATGATACCGGTCTGCCAGCACGTGTTCCACGCGCAGTGCGTCGAAGCGTGGCTGAACGCGCACGTGAACTGTCCCTTGTGCAGAGGCACTCAGTTTCTCGGAGTGGTGGTGGAAGGCGGCGACGGAGGAGGAGGAGGAAGCGGTGGTTCGACGAGGGTGGTGGAAGGAAGAAGATCGACGGTGGGAAGTGAGGACGCGTGGACGGTGGAGATGGGTTTAGCTGGTGGGCTGAGGAGGGTCTGTAGCTCTTCGAGTTTGGTCAGAAAGGGACAGGAGAGGATTTCCTTACCCAGAACCTCCAGTTTCTGATACGTGTGCCCCGCACGTGTAAATATTTACTGAGGATGTGAATAATTAATATAATTATTATGTGAATATGGATGTGGTGGTAGGTGTTAGTTGTTTGGTCAAGTTTACTCTGTTTGGGGAACAGCCTAATTAATTGAATGGTAGTTGAAATACAGCAAAGAGCAAATAACGTTGATGCATTGATTCTGACCCGATTGTGGCACTTTCCAGTCCATCATTTATGTACTGCATAATTTGGCTAGCATTATGCGTCAACACGGGCTAACATCGTTGGATTATACGTCGATGCAATCTCGCCATCTTATAAATCGAACGACTGAGACTTCGGACACGCGTTAGCACCTCCGAGAACACTTGTCGATCTCTTGTTATTCATATGGATTCAAAATTATATTTGAATAGGTAACAAAAATATCGTTCTATCAGGTTAAGAGATGGAGTAAGCTCGGATGACCTCAATTACAGGCGCTCTGCACATCGGGCACTTTTCGGTTGCCTGGACCAACGCGTTGGCACACTTTGAGCATGTGCACATGTGCCCGCATCTGCATGAAGAACAAAAAGATTGAAAGTGAAGGGAATTAGGGCAAAAGCTCATTAGCTCGTACCTGAACTGATAATGGTAACGAAAATTTGTTATTCGTACCTGTACAGCAAGGAATCAATGCTGCTCTCCTTACAGACACAGCACATCCCTTTCCTAACGTGCTCCCACCTCGATGGATCCTCCGGCAAACTGTCATCGCATGTCCCTGAAGGTTCGGGGGATCGATTGAGAGCAGCTGAAACTTCCTGTTTGATAGAGCGCTGCAACTCGAGTTGCATGTCCATGCAGGCTTCCAGCATCCTCTGCATGTTGTTCATCCTCTGTTGCATCCTTGCCATGTCGATTCTCAAATCGTTAACGATATCCCACTCCTGCGTTCCATAATCCACCAACATGTTTCGGTTCATACGTACGATCTTCAAACTCGTAACGGGCAGCTTAGCGTGAGCAAGAAAGGAAGGAAGTGGCGAACTTACCATTCCAAAGCGTGGATGCATTTCATCATGATGAGGCCAGCGGTAATGCTGTGATTCCCTGTCCCACAGCCTTTGGACAGGAAGTGATTGGGGTGGTAAAGGTGGAGGATTTGGAATAGAGTCTGCTCCACTGGCATTCTGATCAACAGTTGTATGCGGATGAGCCAACGCTTGTTCCAGTGAGCTAGGAGATGTTTCTTCTTGCAGCTCCCAATCAAGTTGAGTATTACCACTTTGCCTTTCCACATAAGACTGTATCAATTGGTCGAGACTCTCACGGAACCCACTTCGAAGAAGAGTGGACACACTTCTCCTGCAAGAAAATGAGGTGAAACAACTAACATTAGAATAACTTGATAGCCATTTAAAGAAGCCAAAGGAGAAAATAAGGGCCCCTGTAATAAAATTTCATACCTACTCAGAAGTTCCCTGATCTCCTCACTGTAGACATTATCATCATCAGTAAAATGAAATGGATGATCCATCCTTCCAACTGCAGCAGCATCCCAACTTGAAGAAGAAGGCTCTTCTTCTTCTAACCAACTTTGCATATCCTCTTGAAACTCACCACCATCTACTTCATGCCATTCTCCAGAGGCCTCAACTGTATCATCATGGTTTCCTAACCAATCATCAGCAGTGGCCTCACTTTCAAAAGTTAGATTCTCAGGCTCTTCTGATCGTGCTTGATTGCCTGCATTGCTTTCAGAATAATCCATGTCATTCGACTCAGATTGTTCAGAAAATGCTTCAATAGCAGCAGGACTCCGTCCTCCACTCTCAGTCGTTGGTGGAAATGTGGCTTCTTGCACATCTCTGCTCATCTCTTCTGCATTATCACCAGATGATTGCTCGTCTTCTCTTGCATCCACACCCTGTGAAGGTTGCCTAGACCTGTCCTCTAAAATATCAACAGATCCTTCGGTAACCACATCTTGATTCGTGCTAGACCCAGTATTGTTTCTTGCATCTGTCGTCCTATGGCTGTTACTTTCTTCAAATCTCGACTGTGTTTGACGAGGAGATTTGTCTGCAGCCCTCTGTGAATCATTTGCTTCGGAATGCTCAGTTATGTCACCATTTATGACGATGTTAGATGAGGTATCAGAAGCATTGTTGGCTAGTTGACCAGAAGCTGAATGGTCCAGTCTTGAAACAAGCCCTTCCCTGCATCAAGAAAGCATCCATGATCACATAAACAATCAATAAGAAAAATTTGATAAGAAAAACTCAACCTAAAATATATAGAAAATGTAGGAACGCCGTGTAAGTTCATATTCAAGTCCTATTGTACAAATAGTGTGCATATTGTTTTCAAGAATGACATAACACCGTAGGTGCCAGAAAACAGAAAAGAGAAAAGAGGGAGTAGCTTATGTAAAATAAGAAGCTTGACATCCTATGCACATATATGCCGTACCTTAAATCAGCTACAGAATGTCTTTCCCGCAGCAAACCCAACTCACGTGCTGCTGTCGATCTAGGTCTGTCATTTTCAATCATTCTGCCATTCCGGAGGAACCTGCCTCTGAGTAATGACTGCAAAATGTTATAATCATATTCTTAGCTACCACACATTTAACAAGAAATTACATTTCAAATCAAATTTTTCCATAACAAGAACCTGTGTGTTTTAAGCAACGACTACCCGTTATAATCAACATTCAACCAGTGAACGATTGTAACCAACAACTATAATCGACCAGGGATATTCAACAGCAGCTAACCTGAATCCTGTTACGGTGAGGAAATTGAGTAACAGCCCTATGCTCCAGCAAACCTTGAAGCTCTCTTTGCCTTTCTCGCTCAGCCTTCTTAATCATATCAAGGAGAGCCTGCCTCCCACAGAGTCGACCAATCCCCCTTCTGGGATGCCGCTCTGGTGGTCCTTCACTACGATGAAGATAAAGACCATCAAGAACTTGTTCAATCTGTCCAGCAGCAGGACCATTGTTTATCTTCTGTACCCACTCCCGTATGACTCTCACTCTCTGCTGCTCAGTTTCACCCAGCCATTCGGCCCTCGACCCATTTCTCCTGGAGACATGAGGAGTGCTGCGTTCCCTTGCACCGCCACTACTCATCCACTCCCTAAAAATTTGCCTCACTCTCTCCCTCTCTATCTCCCCAAGATCAGATCGATCATCCTCATGTCCATACTCACTCTCCCCTCCGCTACCGATCCTCACCTCTTCATGTTCATCACTACCAATATGGTTGCCACCGGAAACATCATCTCCCCTTGACAGGTTGCTCAAGACCTCACCCCTGTACTGGAGCAATCTCTCACCAACTCTACCCTGACCATGACTCACCCCATGCTCATCCTCAAGCTCCCTCCACATTCTCAGGAGAGAAGATGCATGGGTGCTACCCCTCCCATCACTGCCTTGATTCCGGCCTGATCCGGATTGTGGGTCCCTCAGGAACGGTGAATCAAGTACAGAAACATTTTGCAGGCCAGCAGCAATAGCCATCAGTCGCTGAAATCCAGATTAACTGTGGGGTAAGCTAAGAAACCGTCTCAACCCATCTTCTGCTTAAGCTGAACGGGACCAAGCATCACTAATGGGCACACGATCAGGCAACTCATTACTGCATCAATTCAAAAGAGAAACAGTGAGAATGTATGCAAAAACTAATTGAAGTAACTGATTAAAACTACTGAATCAAGTACCTGACAGGGAAACCATAAATCACAGAAATAGCGTAGCTAAGATCCGCTTCCTAATTTATACGGAATTCCATAGAAACATAAGATTTCCCGTCACCAAAAAACTTCATAGGAAACATAAGAATTCCCGTCACCAACTGAGATAGGGATTTGAATCCAATTCAATCAAAAGCCCTAAAGCACTAAATCTTCAATCAGCCGGCCTATTCCAATGCAGGACAAGCCAAGAGACCAAATCTCTCGAAGCCGCATTTCCGAATCCCAGCTGGCCGAGGCTCCACCAATTCCACAGTCCAACGGATTCTCCAATGCCCCAAGTCTAAACAAGAGATTCATACCACCGCTCCGATTCCCCATCTCTCAGGAACCAAAACAAGAAGAAACGAGAACAAGTGGAAGGAAAAGGCTAAATCGCCATCATTATAAACCAGGGAGCTCCTACCAACAGCTCACCGAATCCAGCACAGGGACAACAAAAGGCATGGTAAATTATAAGCAAGAGATTCGTGGTGAAACTTACCGGCGATGGAGTGGAAGTAAAGGAAACGGAAACCTAGAGGGGATCGAACGGGAGAGAAAGTGAAAGACTGGCGTTGCTGAGAGAGAGAGGGAAGGAAGGTGACTTTGGGAGTTGTCAAAAGGGGAAGAAAGGTCACGTAAGCGGGAATTTTCTCAGTTTAACCGTCGCTCTAGAAAGAGAGAGAAGGGAGCTTTTATATACGATGAAACCTCGGCAGCGGCCGTAGCGAGAAGAAGAAGGAAACGGAGGGAAACGCTCCAACGGCAAGTGATTGTGAAGGAGGAGAAGAAGCCGGTGATGGAACCACCGTGGATTCCTCGTTCTTTTTTTTTTCGCTTTATATTTTTTGATTTTGGGTAATGACTATTTATTAATCAAATCTTTTTTTGGATTATTTTTTATTAGTCAAATCTATCGAAATACTAAGAATTAACCAAATGTTAACTTCAAGTTAGCAATTTTGTTAGTAAAATATTGACTTGGCAACATGATACTGACTTGGAAGAGACACATGAACGTCAACATTCCAAAATTTTAGTATTTTAACTAAGAAGAGAGTTACAAAATTATTAACGATAACGTAAAAATGACTAATATTTTGATGCATTACGAAAGATTGGCTAATTAATAGCATTTTAATAGGTTTGGATAATATAAAAAAATTTAAAAAAAGATTTGGATAAAAAATAGGCATTGCCCTTTGATTTTTATTTTCATAACTTTTGGTATATGTACGAATCAGTCCCTAAACTAATTCGAGTCGAGTTTTTACTTGATATTGTTATGTTTAAATTGAGTTAAGAGAGGTCGATTCGAGCTCCGTGAAAATAATGCATCTCAATCTTATCTTGGTTGAATCCAACAATGATAAATGCTTTAACACAAATTCGAAATCACAAAGTGGAAACAATAATCCATAAGTTTCATTTATTAGGTTCAATCTCATTTCTTTTTTTGGAATTTAAGTTGATGCACACAAGTCATTTTACGCCGAACTTGTAACACATTTTTCACACATTAAAAAATAACTCTAGCTCCCTCATTTGAATAAGGATATCCATAAAGCACCTTGATTAATTTTTATTTTTTTATTGAAGGGAGGTGCCGGCAACAAGACTGCCGATCACCAGGGGAGAAAGCGATGGCATCTTTTTTTTTTTTGTCAAAAGATAATATATATTAACCCATCAAAAAGATAGTTACATCCTAGAAAGCAGCCAGACCCTGAAATCAAAACAACGGTTCCCAGTTGAGTACAAAAAAGGGCTTTTCTAGCAACTAAATGTGCTACCCTATTGTTCTCCCGACCTATAAACCGCACAGAAAACCCTGGATAGGCAGCAAAATATTGACAAATCTCGTCCAGGACTGCCCCCAAGCGATTGTCCCGCGAATCGGCCTGATTAATCTTGTCAATAATGACCTTCGCATCACCCTCGAACCGAACAGCGGACAAACCCCCCTCTAAACACCAAGTGATCGCCTCACGCAACACAAGTAATTCCACCACCATTGGATCATCAATTTGAGCAAAGTGCACACCTTTAGCCCGAAGGACCGTCCTTCCTGGACCACAAAGAACCATCCCGCCAGCCGAGTGAGAACCCCTCCTAGTTGCCCCATCCCACATGCAAACCAACCAAGCATCATCCATTTGGATCACTGGCTGGACTACCTGGCACGACACCCGTGACTGCTGGTCCACCGGCAGCCCCATCCACTCCTCAATTTGCTGAGGAAATTGGCGCATTAAAGCCGGAAGCCCAAATTGTTTGCCCTCAAAGACAACCTAGTTCCGCGAACGCCAGATCCGCCAAAAAACGGCGACCACCGCCATAAACAGCGATTGATCATGGACTAGGGCAAGCATCCGCTTCAGAAATAGCGGAAAAGTGTGCCGAGGCAAAGCCTCACCTAAATACTCCAACCCCGATAAATCCCAGAGAGCCCTCGCAACCGGGCAGTAAAGAAATAAATGTTCCATAGTCTCGGGACCATCCCAGCAAACCGGACATCGGGGGAGCACAGGAACATTCTTCTCATTGAGCGCCTCTGTGTTTGGCAAGGCTCGGTTCAAAATCTGCCAGAGAAAGACTTTAAGTTGGGGGGGAATTTTAGCTTCCCACAACCGGATCCAGCTTTGTCTATCCATCCAACTCACCGAGTCTCGCCACCCACCCCTCCTCCTGTCAAGCTCAACAGCCAGATGGTAAGCTGTCTTAACCGAGAAAACCCCATCCGCAGTGCTATTCCATATAAGTTTATCATCCACACTCCGCCTCGGAAGTGGGATAGCTTTAATGGCCCGACAGATAGAAGGGTCAAATCATTGACTAAGCTTATTCTCATCCCAGCGCCCTTCCCCTTGACAAATAACCTCCGCCACCAGAGGATCCCCCCCATTTGGCAGGACACGAGGATTATAGCAAGGAGGATCCAGCTGAAATCCAGGAATCCAATTAGAATGCACCAGGGAGGCCGAAAGACCATTTCCGATCTGCCATCTTAACCCTGCCTCCAAAAGCTGGTGCCCAAACAAGATACTCTGCCAACCCCAAGACGGCCTAGATCGGGCAGTAGCAAATAGAAAAGATCCTTGAGGAAAGTACTTCCCTTTATACACCTGTGCCAGGAGGGAGTGCGGCTCTTGGAGAATACGCCAGCCGATCTTTACTAAGAGGGCCTGATTAAAATGTTCAAACCTTCGAAATCCAAGACCCCCCTCATGCTTACTCCGACAAAGGTTCCGCCAGGACACCCACTGAATCTTGGAGTGTCCCTCCTCAGCTCCCCACCAGAAGCGGGCCACATGTCTATCCAATAAACGACAAAGAGAGAGGGGCAACCGGAAACAAGACATAACATATAGGGGCAAAGCCAAAGCAATTGACTTAATTAAGGTCTCCTTAGCCGCCCAGGATAAAATTTTCTGCTTCCAGCCCTGCAGACGCGCCAGTAACTTCTCCTCCAGATATCGGAATGTCTCCATTTTGGATCGAGCAACCAACGTGGGCAATCCCAAATACTTATCATGTACCCCTACTGCTCCGACTCCAAGAATCGCAGCCAAAAAATCCTGATCCTCCAAGGCAACATTTTTGCTAAAGCAGACTGCCGATTTTTCCAGATTAACCCGCTGCCCACTCAGCTCCTCATACTCATTTAGCACCACAATTAGATTCTCACACTCCTGAAGAGAACCTCGCAGGAATAGATAGGAATCATCGACAAAAAAACAAGTGCGAGATCCGAGGAGCACGCAGCGCCACCTTCACCCCCTCCAACTTCTTTTCAGAGATTGCCTTCCGAAGAAGGGCCGCAAACCCCTCCGTGCATCAGCCAACAAGGTCGAGCGAAACAAACAGCAGAGAGATAGTCACAAGCAAATTAAAAGCCCAGAGAAGCTTCAACTACAGGAGAAGGCAAGAGGTTATCTTCGAGGAAGGTAGCTGCAAAGATCAAACGACCACCTGTCTAGGGAAGCTTACCCCCTCAGATCTTCCAGTAAAATTTTCTATAATTCGAGTGGAGGATTCAGCAGTTCAAACGTCCCGAAGGGATAGACGAGATTGTGCTTCGAGAGCCAGTCCGCGACTCTATTCCCTTCGCGGTACGTATGAACTAATTGATTAATTATAAGTAATCATGGGACATGACAGGTCTTCTCGAACACTAATTCGAGTTTAAAATTCCATTGCAAAAAAATTCATTTATATATTGATTGTTAATTTTTGTCTTTAATGATTAAAAGTTGCCTATATACAATCTAGTTCAAAATGTTTCATCCATCCTTCACAAACTGAAAAGGAAACTGTTGGGCATGTGACTCGGATCGCACCCCACGGCAGAAGCACTAAGGAGTCGCGCCAAGGTTAAGCGCGCGAGCCAAGCAGAAGCACTAAGGAGTCGCGCCAAGGTTAAGCGCGCGAGTCGAGCGCACGAGTCACGCCGGAATCAAGCGTGCAGGCAAAAGCCACCCCTGAAGAGGCGCGCGCAAACACTGAGCGACGACGCTTGGGACAGGCGTGGGCCCTTGTCGAGGAGTTGTAGAAGCGGCGCCACGTCATCCAACGGGTAGTCACCATCACAGTCCTAGGTATAGTCCTGCTATGTCAGTAGTCACATCAGGGTCCTAAAAGTATGGCCTAAATCCCTGACATGTCAGTGGTCACATCATTGTGCCCACTTGTAACCCAACCACTCACCCACCAACATGTAGCCTATAAATATGGCATTTACTCCGGTGGGTGAGGGGATCGGATTTTTCAGACTCTATCTCTAAGATCATCAACTTCTCTCTCTAAGACTACTTCCATTTCCCACTCTTTTCATAATCTCCGGAATCTATCCATGACAATCGTTCCTTCATTGCTTACTCCTCTTGACCCATTTTCACGAGCCTCCCTTCTACACCCAGTTAGGCTCAAACAGAAACATAAAAGGTCGGCCAGTGAATATATATAAGCCATTAAGCCTTGAGTAAGCTAATATTAGGGCTTTGATTAGGACCCTTCCGTTTTTTTTTTTTTTTTTTGCCCTAATCATGTCAAAACCTCTTTTTGTTGCCATATTAAACTAAGCTCATTCCTCTAAACGGGAAAATGGTTGGCCTAAAGAGTGTGCCAGATTGCACTTTTGTACTTTGAGCTTCTTCCGACATCCAACCAAACACAACTCGAACTGATCATGTAAAAGAAGAACTAATTAATGTAAATTTTGTGTCGTTTTTTCTTCGAACTTGAGTCACATATTTGTTTCATTGCAGGTCGAGTCCCGATGTAATAATTTATTATGGGAACACGGAATGAGACAGATCAACCCATATAGATATATACGTAATTTAAAGAGATAAAAACACGTTACCGACCTCTTGACGTGCATCCACCAGACTTCCATGTGGGGAGCAAATGACTGTTGAGTTTCTTTCTCTTTCTCCCCTCGAGCAAAATGCAAAATGCATGCAGGCGGCCGGTTCTTTTCTTATCACCAATCCAATCTTAATTAAACCAGGGAGAAAACTACAAAGAGAAGGTGTACAAAGTTGAGAGGACAAAAAAATGAAAGGGAGAGGACTGGATCCAAATGGATAGATGTATGTCATGAAAGCTTATATGGTGATTAATTATTATGCCTTTTTTTAAGTTAATAATTGAAGGGAGACCCATGAGGGTTCAATTTTCACTAATCACTACTTGGTGAGTGCTGCAGTCATGTCGGTAATACTTCGGGACATATCTATTTATTCGTACATGTGATTGATAAACATACGTAACACGAAAAAGATATGTCGTAAATCAGTTATAAAGAGAGTAACATGACTGATAAATCCAAAATATTTTGAGCGTAACATGATCTAATTAGTTGTTCACATTATAAAGCTTACGTTGTAATTCGCTTTATGGAAAGAAATAACAAGACGAGAGTAAAACCCACATCCCATCTCACTTTGTTATTTGTTAATGTGGGCAGGTAATACTTACTTACACGAGATGAATCGGGATCAACTAATTAGATCATGTGAATTAGGTCTAAATTGACATTCTTCCAATCATATGGAATCACATATCACAATAGTTAATCTAATAACAATTATAATGATTTATGTCAACGTCGACCAATTTCTTTGTAATCGAACGAGCACGATAAATATGTGAAAGTCGATACCGCCCGGATCATTCCATGTGAGAACGAAGGAAAAAAAAACTGAAATAATGCCATGACCTACAATGACAATACATCACTGATCCAATCACATATGGGCAATATCGATCGCAAACGGAATAGAAAGAACAGAAAGAGTTAAAATAGGTAGGTTGTCTGTCTTTCAGCAGCTTCTCCTCATCCTTCTTCTCTTCACATCATTTTCCCTACCAATGAAAAGTTGTCTTCAATGTTCTTCCTAATCCTACAAACACCATTCATATATGATCGATGAACATTATAATGGAGAAGGGTCTATCAGAAAACAACCATTGCAAGTTGCTTTGTCCCTTGAAAAGTAAAAAAAGGTGATGGGGATGTTAATCACTTTTACGGTTAAAGCCGTCTCAAAATATTACATTGGCGAAAATGATCATACGAGTGGTTATAGATTAACATCTCTCATTTAAGAGTGTAGCTCTTACCCACTTTCGTGAAGGGAAAGACCAAGGTGACCTCCAAACTATGCGTGTGCATCGTTCGATTGAGTGAGTGGACGGATTGGGTTGAGTTGGTTCAGGCGAGATACTATTTTTTTTTATAGATAATTTGTTATAATAAACTTTCTAAGACGGAAAAGGCTGGAGTAACCATCCTTATTAAAAACGTATTTCACTCGAACAAGGAGAATTGAGAGTGGTTGTTTTATCATTGATACGCTCGATTGAAACTCCGTCGTTCGCGGTCACAGGAACGCTTTCAAAAGAGCAATCTAACCGGTAACTCAAGCAAATCGGAAAACTAACACGATGTGAGATTCAACTCCACGTGTCTCCGAAGGTTCGAATGTTTATTAGGGATATATAAAATCCATCCATTCAAGAATCAAAACGATAACTAAGGCCTCGTTTGCTAATGGGATTTGGAAATGAGGGTTTTGGTCTAGATTTGGGTTTTGAAAACCTTAAGGATTTATAATGGATTTGATACATTGTGTTTTTGTAAAGTCTCTTGTTTGCTACATAGATTTGATCATGGATTTAAGGATTAGGGATTTATGACTAGAAAAGGTAGATTACCACATTGTCCTTCTTTATTTCTTTTTTTTTTTTGGGTAGAAAGCCTCCACCTCATCGCAAGTTATTATTAGCAGCCTCATCGCAAGTTTTTCCTTTGAAAAAGAAAGCCCCCACCTCCAGCCGCTCACATCTCCACCGCCAACAATCAGCATACCCAGAGGTGTGGGATCCTTGTGATAGCAACGCGAGTCTTCCTTTCATTAACGGCTACTACAATTCCTCCGGAGGATTCGTCCCCGTGGACATGAGAAGCGGTCAGAACGTCCGCGCTTGGATCGATTTTGACGGTAGCAATTTCGATATCAATGTGACGGTCGCGCCGATTGGGATCAAAAACCCTCAATCCAGTGGCCGGTCGTGAACACTATCTTCTCCTGTGCTAGCTGGACTCGGGTAAATCTCTTTCTATTCTTCTCCATTCATACGATGATTGACTAAGATGGTTGATGCTCGTGCGAATCAGTTGAAAGGAACCTGCAAAATCAACTCATGGCAAGTAGAAGGAATTGGGCGAATCTGGTGGATGACTTCGAATACGATGAGGAAGAGGTAAAATGTGGTTGTGGGCTTAGGGCTGCTCGGAAAATTTCCCACACAACCAAGAATCCGAATCGCAAATTTTTTGGATGCCCAAAATATGGTTCGAAGGTATGTATTCCTTTTAGAAATTTCGACATTCCCTTGTGTCCCTGAATCGTCAAAGTAGTGGTTTGCCAACGTTGATTTGCATTTGTGTACAGACTAGTGAACCTTGTGATTTCTTTCAATGGTATGACATAAGAGTTGCTGTGTTCAAATCAACAAGAATGCTGTCTGAACTGGTTGCAAAGTTAACACTTGAGAATGAAGAGCTTCGTGCTTCATTAGAGAGACTTGGTGCTCGTCTGGCCAAGGAGACAGCTACGCCATGCTGTGTTGAAATAAGTGAAGAGTTGCAGACTGTGAAGCAAAGGTTGGAGCATTTGGAGTTAGAGTCTTCAAGGAGGAAGTGATTGTAACATAAGTTGTATAATCCTATGTGGAATGTTGTTGACTAGCTAACATAGTTAGCATGTATTTACTTGTGTGAATGAAATCACGCTTGATGCTGCAAATGTAAACAGTAGGAAGTGAATGAAAGCTTGATTTTGTCCCTTTCATGGTGTGAATAAATTGCTGCAACTTTCAATGTGTTTGGCCTATGAAATATGCAGCAAGTGTGCAATGAATTTTCTGAATCTGCAGAAGGTTTACATAAAATAGGACAATACCATGTTCCCATACATTATAGCAAGATTCTTACATATACAACAAACTTCCTGAATCTGCGCAAGGTTAATTACATAAAATAGGACAATACCATGTTCTCTTACATTCTACTACACACGAGTTGGAATGATAAATAAACTTCATCAAAATCAAACTATTCCTACCTTCATCAACATCCTAAGCACTGTCCAATCCTGGTTGCTTCGACTTGCCAAAAAATGAAGTTTCACATACCATTCCACATGTGCTGTACAAAATCTTATGTCCAAATGCTAGCTACCCCCATTTATGGTCAACGTAGTAGACTCTTCACAAAATAGAAGCGGTCCTCTTCGTTCTTAAGAGCATAAAAGAGTTTTGTCTTCGATTCACTGTCCACTAGAGCGATTGCAGCATCAATGACTTGGCATCGTGTTAGTCCATCAATTTTTCCAATCTCAGCCATTAGTGCAGCTTGCTTACTGCTGTCATTATCTTGATCACCTAGTATGGATCCAAGAGCTTCTACAGCCTTGTCAATAACAGGCTTCAAACCACCAAGCTCAGACACAACATTCGCTATAGCTTCATCATTGTTGAACTCGACCCTTTTAGCCTTCTTCTTAGCAACGGAGTTGCTGCCAACAGCACCCTTCGCAGATGGCTCCCCCTTAGTTGCTTGGCCATGTGCCTGCTGATGCCCTGCACTTTCTCTAAGACTCTGCTCAATTCCTTCATTCATGATGTCAACCAATATCTCCGTGCTATTCGGGTCTTCTAAATCAATGGGTGAGTCTAAGCTGTCCAGATTGACAAATGTTTGAGGCGAGTAAACCGGATCTGAAATTCCACCTGTTACCCTTCCTTGAGCTGTTCCGCCTTTGCCAAATATCTTCAGAAGTTCATAGTAGTGTGGGAATGGCTTCTTGTTGAGGTTCTTGATGTTTGGATGCACCTAGAACATTCTCAAAATGGTTATTCGAGCTGCTATATCAATTATAATAAGCTAAGCAATGAAATAATGCCATTACCTTCATCAGATCATCAAACACATCATCCTCCACCACTGGTGTTAGAGTCAACTCATCCCACCCATTTCCACTCTTTGAACGCAACAAGTGTACAGCACTAAAATCCCTTTTCAGCTTCCTGTGCCTCGATCGAATATTTGGATCAACCTTGACCCCGCATCCAGGAGCCTTCTAGTGCATCATGTTTTCAAGTTCAGTAAATGCTCCATTCTTGAAGTTGCCATTCTCAACTTGATGCTTCTCGACCAGCTCTAGCATACATTGTATCAGTATAGCATCAAGAGTCTCGTGCCAAGAGAAGTAAGGACCCTTTGGCTGAGGGGGGTTAGCTGCTGCTTCTTCTTCTTCTTCTTCAATCTTGATTTCCTTTCTCTTCCTGCCCATCCTATGCAAAAGCCAAATAATAGACAAACATAATATATAACCACATAGCAATCAACACATCCATCAAACTGAACAAATACACATATATAATCACCACAATCAGTCCACAAGAACAAAATACAACAAAGCAAATCATGGGAACCTTACAATAGCTCACATCCTACTGTTCAGCAAAATATAAGAAAGCTAATAATTAAAACAAGCGGATAACATGGTTCAACCTCAAAGTACTTCATCTTCTACCACTCCTATTTGACCAGATTTCTTGTGATAGCTTATCCCTAAAGTTAGTCCACTGGTCTGAAGGATGAACTACAGATATTACATCCTCAATGTGCTCGGCATAGGCAGAAGGATACTGCTCAGGTTCAGTGTCCACGCAATCCCTCTCAAATGTGTCAACACCTGCCTCTCTTTTGATAAAATTATGCAACAAATAGCAAGAATTCACGATCTGGACCATTACTTCAGGGGAGAACCAACTCGCATCTCTTAGGACAGCCCATCTATTTTTGTTGATACCGAAAGCACGCTCAATACTGTTTCTTGCACTGGCATGCTTCATGTTGAAGTATTCTTCCGCTTTCTTAGGGCGTAATCCTCCCCACTCCTTGAGATGATACCGCTGCCCACGGTATGGTGTTAAGAATCCTTCACAATTGCTATAACCTTGATCTCACAAGTAATACGTGCCTAGCAAATGAAACCAATCAGTCAACTCTAGACGGATTTAATACACCTTTATGTTTTTTCGTGACATGCTTAGCCTACATTACCTTTTGGAACCCGCAACCCATTTGGCCTTAGCAATGCATCTCTAAGCACCTTCCCATCATGAGCTGAACCTTCCCAACCAGCTAAGCAATATACGAACTCGAGATTTGAATTACAAACCCCCAAAACGTTCATTGAAACAGTCCCCTTGCGGTCTCGATATCTAGGTTGGTCTTCAAGCCTTACACGGACCTTGATATGTGTCCCATCTAGTGCCCCTAAGCAGCCCTAAGGAACAAAACAACTTTATTACACTAATGTTGAACTTTTTAGCTATACATAAAGAAAATAAAAAGATGCTTTAGTCACCTTAAAGAATTTCCACTTTGCATCATCAGAGTTTTCTGGTATAGGTGTTGGCTGGGGTATTAGGATGGGATGGAGTCGGAGAATAGAACGAAGGACCTTATGGAATACTTTTGAAATGGTTTGCCCCGATCTACAGAAATCTTGTTGTAGGATCCTGTTCTTGACGTTGTGTCCAATTGTGACCAAGAAAATCATCACCATCTCATCTATGCCTACATCATCCGTACCATTTAACCCCCCCTCACTGACAAGTAATTCACACAACTTCCTAAACAAGGTTCGGTTCATCCGAACCTTATGAATACATCGACTATCAGAAAGTTCAATCGTGCGCCTCATATAACGCCTCCTATCATGTTGACGATCAAATATGTTATCTAAAGGGGTATTCCGAGGTCTCCTAGGCTCTAATAACCTTCTCAATACCAAAAGCTCAAGCAACTGAATCAACAACGAAAAATAGACAAGCAATAGTCCTAACACTATACTAATGGCCTTTGCAGCTTTCCGATTGCGCACATTAGATATCCTTCTCAATCGAGCCATTTCCTTTATAGAAATCAAAATGAGTGAGAGTTAGGAAAACATATCAAATACCAAACAATTAAAATCATGACATGACACAACAATATTGGAAAACAGAACAAATATATAAGCAGAAGGTGGAACCGCACCAAAATAGGCAGAGGGTATAACACAACACATAATAATGGAAGAATAAACACATATATAAACAAAGCATTAGAGCAGCAGCCCTCTCATCACAAATGGAGGCATTTTAAAGGCGAAAGAATCGCCCAGCCCTTCCTTTGCAATTAGGGTTCAAATAGCAGCTTGAGATAGAGTAAATGGATGTTTTGGAGATCCCACAGCATGGTCAAAGTTGGACTCACCTGATTAATGGTGTTGCGCCTGTATTGTTGACGAAAAGAACTTCTCCGCTGCTGAGTTCAGCCGCTCTTTCTTTCTTCCTCTTCAATGATCGCTGGAGGCTAGGAGAGCACCTGTGCTTTCTCTCTTGCGAAGCCGACCTAATAATATGAAAGGGAATAGATAATAATTGTTCCAGGGCAAAGGTGGAATAAACAAAAATTGCTTGGACATGGGAGTCAATTTGCACCACGTTTTTTTTTTTGTCTCCAGCCAAATACCAATGAAAATGTGGTATTTACAAATCCGTGGGGCCCACGGATTTGGTCCAAATTTTTTTGATCCAAATCCGTGGACCCCACGGATTTGGGTACCAATTTTATACCTAGCAAACAAAGGACTTACTCAAATACATGATGGTTGGGGTTTTGGGGGCAAATACAACACCCAAATCATATTAGCAAACGAGGCCTAAACTCCAATGAGAGGACTAATTGGTAGTACTTGATCGAAGGAATAATCGGCGACTGTTTTGTTTGTTATTTAGGGCACCAAATGTTGATTTCTATTGCATGATTTGGGCAAGGTTGGGTCCCGATTGGTTAGAATCCCCAACGACATTGTGGGATCGATCTTCTTTGTTAAGAACTTGGGAGGATATAATGCAATCTACCTATCTTCCTTTTGAAGGCAATGCTAAGGCTAAGCACATGGGTTTAAAGCACGTCTTGTTTGGTATTTCATGTGGAAAAAAATGTTCCCCACCATCATCAAACAAATTGGAAGCTAGAGATCATTAGCCAACTTAATTGCAAAGTTGATAACAAAGCAAGATTAATGAGTAAAGTGGTAAACAAAGTTCCCATAATTATAGGTTGCTAACTCTAATTATCAAATCCTTTTGTAAGCGAGAGGTTTTATGTTCGAATCTCGATTACAATCATTCGTACATGGTATTCGGACCTATACAAAATTCAAGCTCATATATAAGTTTGATTTCGTTTGAGTGTTAGAGAGTAATATAAAAATCCATAATTAACCTTCTTCCAACAACTCGAGATATCGAAACTAACTGATTAATCATATATATTGAGGGAAATGTTTCAGTCAATGATATATGATCGATAATCAAACTTCTCACAACAACTTGAAAATATTGTAATTAACAATTTTAACAAAATAAAATCTAAGTTACAAATAATTCCCAGATTCCCCTCAAAATACCATGATTTCCAGTTCACAAAAATCACAGAGTAGTCGCTCTCTTTCACACGGCTCCATACTGATGATAACATCCATTTCATTGCATGTTCACTTGTTGAAAACAAAATAAATAAATAAATAAAAATCAACACTCGAAAAAAAGAAGCACCCAAGGATGAAAAAACAAATAAATCTTTTTTTTTTTTTGGTCAATAATCCAAATCACACTCGGTCTTCTGGAAGGTCTGGCCGGAGCGGAAACTGACGGGCACGGCGGGGCAGAGGACTTTCACCGTCTGGTGCCTCAGCTTAATGACCCCGACCTTGAACCGGATCCTGGCCCGGATCCGAACATTGACCTTCACCTGCCCGTCGGCCCGCTGGGCCCGGACGTCCTTCGACAGGGACTTGGACAGGGCCACGTCGCGGGCCTCGAGCCGGGCCTCCAGCACCGTCACGTTCCGCTTGGGCTGGTGGAACGGCGGCAGCGTGTTGAACGCGACGGTCTGGCCGTCGAACGCCGTGGAGACCTCGACGGCGTCGTAGTAGACCGACATCCGCTTGTTCGGGTTGTAGGCGCGGAAGTCGAAGCGAAACGACGAGTTGAGGTGGTCGTTTTGGATGTTGAAGTTGCGGATGGAGGCGTCCTCGATGGTGTAGACGAGACGCTTGGGCTTGACGATGAGCCAGGCGATGAGGACGGCTAGGCCCAGTAAGACGATCAGGCCCACGACTGCGAAGATCACGAGGCGGAGGAGGCTGCTCTTGGGCCTAGCCGCCTGGCCCTGCTGCTGCTGCGCCGTCGTATTTGCCGGACGTCGCATGGTCGAGCTGAGAAGGGGAGATGGAATGGAGGTATGGGTTTTAGCTCTTGGTTTCATTTCTGGAAGAGCATTGGTTTTTATAGAAGTGGAAAAGTTCTTCATTTTAAAGCTTTTGATTTGTTCGTTTTTGCTGAAAGATCGAGGTTTCTTGCGCGACACTCAAGAACATTGTTCGTTACTTGACAATCAATGTTTCTTTAGAGATTCATGTATGGTCTGGCTGTTCACTGTTTGGAGCACAAGTAAAGAACAAAGAGAAGAGAATATGCTGTCTTCATTAGGGTTTTCCCCCCTGCTTGTCTGAGTAGATTGTCACCTTGGCAGGATTTCCTTTTTCCTGACCAGGGAATTTTTTGTTTGATCTCCTGGTACGATGGTGTTGTTGACGAAAACTAATTCGTCAAAAGGCAATCTAACGACGTTAGCATACATTGAACAACATATATGTGTCAGTGTAATTGGCTCGAGGAGTAGTAGGATAGAACGGCTCCTCGCTAAGAACCGCACATGCGAGTTCCCGGCGTACGGCTCAAGTAGCAAAGGTTTATCATTATGTGAGCCCGAAAGTTTATCATATGATTAACCGAAAGGAAAAGGGCGGAGGAACGAACATTCGTACTTGGTAAGCGCTTTGCTATAGCCGAGCTTCGACTACTCGTCGCTTTTTGCTGCCTTATTCCGTCAGCCGAGAAGTATACATAATCCAGCCCATGGTTTCTTGTAGGGCTGACTATTTGGTCCGGACTGTTTGGTTTTACCCTAAACCGGACCGGGGCCGGATAGTAAACAATCCAATCTCATATTCGGGCTTAGATTTGAGGTAAAAAAAACCGGATAAGAGACCCCCAACACCTAAAATCAAGATCAAATTGGGACCGGACCGGATTGTATCCAATCCAATCTTTGGTCCTTATATTCCCGAAAAGACTGGACTGGGATCGGATCAATTTGGTCCAATTTAACCGGACCGGACCGTATAGCCACCCCTAGTTTCCTGGCAGAATATATGCTCCAGTGCACAGTACTGACTGCAGAGCAAGGTCTTCCAACCTGTGATGGATGATCTATCCTGACAGAAACTTGAAAGTGAAATCTTGGGGGAAAGGTTTTTGCAGTGAGAGGTTCCTTACTTTGCATGAAAGGCAGGGTCTCCGTTCACAATCTAGCTTTTGATTATTCAACAGGGCATTAATTCGTGGCCAATGAGGGGGTATCAGCCATTCTCTTTATTGATTTCATGGGGCTTTTCCACCGGAATGGGGAGAAGAAGACAGCCAAAAAAGAGTGAGGGAATGGGAAGAGATCTAAAGGTGTAAGCAAGGAACCCTGAAAGTACACTTCTTCTACACCTTGTTTTCTTCCCCCTGCAATTGACAGTACTGTGGAAACTTATCCATGTATTTGAACCGGCTTTTAGAAATGCTTTTCGACTTTAGAAGCTGAAGCCGGGCCAAACACCTCTAAAAATCCGGCTTTTGAAAAGCTGAAAAGAGATTTTGTATAACATAAAAGCAGGAGCTTATGTAAAAAACTGTTTTGAAAATACAAGATTATTCTTACCATATTTTAATCTTATTTCAGAAAATATCATTTTATTTAATTTCAATCATTAAAAATAAAGTCATTTATAAAATCATATTATTTAATATAAATGAGATGGCAGTGATCTTCTATCTCGCCTGCAGGCCGGGTCCAAATCTTCATTGGTCCCAAGCCCACAAGGCTCAACCTAAATGATGGATCCACAGTAGCTAAGGCCCATTACAGGCCCACATGTTTTCGTTCCTTTTGTCAATCGGGGAAGGGTGTAGTACAAACGCGCAGCGAGTCGGCTTTGCCGCGAGTGAGACACCTCAGCGTTTTCTTCGAGCATATCGCGGGAAATAGTTAATTCTGGTGCGATGGTCGTTGATTGGCTGAGCCGCCAATACTAACGGACATTTTTGCGGGAAAATTAAAATGTGTGTATATATGAGGTGGAAGAGAAGAGAGAGGGACGCTCCCCTCGGATATTTTTCACGTGAATGGACCAAACTGCCATTGCAAGATGTGTGAAACATTTACAAATTGCTATGATTATATAACCCTTTGTCATTACTTAATTGTCTTTCCATTTTATGAAATCTCATGTGTTTAAATACATTTTCATTATACAAATTACTATCCAGTTATTTACCAAAAAGTTACTACCCATCACATTCTAGACACTCTTACAATTTTATATGGAAACATGTAGGACCATCTATAAGATTATTTTGTTGGAAACAGCGGCGAATTCAGAACAGGTTAGAGCACTGGACCGCATTTAAAAAGCGATGGAGACGGCTGGACCATAACCCTATAAACATTGAAATACATACCCAAAATCGGAAATTTACAAGTACTATACGAGTTTTGGATCTGGGGAGGGTTGGGCTGTGGCCCGGGGGCGGCCCCCCTAGATCCGCCGCTGGTTGGAAACAGATAGCAGATGGCTGGGTGTAATTTGACCAGATTTAACTTCCGATTCAATTTGGCGTACACATCGACATAATTTTTAGCTAAAATCATTCTTCCGGGACTTTATATCTATCTCACGAATGTAACGCGTAGTAACTCGTAATGCAATTGTAATTTTTCTCCGACAATCACATTCTTCATAATAAAATATATGTCTTTGACGTCAAATTCTAGAATATTAAATGTATATGGTATAGAAAATATTGGTCAAACACTCATTAGATAATAAGACATTCCAATGTCTTCACATTTGTTTCTTATGGTCATCTTAATTTACACTATTCATAACCAACCAATAACAAACTCATGATTACGTGTAAGTAGGTAGTACAATTATCGTATAAATTTATTTTAAAATAGTTATTAGACTGACTTAACGGCTATGAAGTATGGAGGCAAGAAATTTTTTTCGTAAGGAATGAATTTAATCATGGTTGTCACGTCGGCCGGCGTGCCACCGGTTGTACCGGGTTCAGCCGGTACCGGTCATAAAACCGGCGTGACACCATCGGTATGACCGACATGATCGATATACGAACCTCTAAGTAAAATGATCTTATTTTAGAGAATTTAATTGATAAAAATTATTTTATTATTTATTTTATGAGTATAAAAGTTAAACATTGATGTTATTTGCTGGATTCAAATATAAATGTTTAGGTATTGTCATTAAATGTCATGTTTAAATATGAGTATTTATAATTTTATTTGTAATATTGACCGGCATGAACCGGCACAAACCAGTATGTGCCACCGGTTGAACCATTCCACTTGCTAAACCGGCACACTGGCATAAACCGGTTTGACAACCTTGAATTTAATAAATACCGGAAAACGGGAAAAGGGTAATTAGGTAATTTAAAAATGTAAGGTGGCCGTGTGTAAGTCTGACTCTCTGACTGTTCCGATTTCCACCGTAAGGTAACGTAGTCGCGCGGCCCTTTCTCTCCTTTATGCGCCCGTCTCTTCCTCTGTTTCCCATTGTACAGCGAAAGAAAAGTGGGGAAAAAAACGGCCTATCCCTTTCCTTTTTGTTTTCTCCCCTTCCTCCCCACCTTCCCCATCCAAAATCTCTCTCTAAACCCTAGAATCGCTTGCGCGCCTTCCTATTCAATATTTCATCAATCTCGCGGTTTCTTCTTGCATTGGGATTCTGATTTCCGGAGAATTAGACGCTGGGTGTGGAGGCGAAGAAGATTTCGATTCAGATCTCAACCCATGGCGAACGGATTGGAGGCGAAGGAAGTCCTTGGGGCGAAGGTCCGGTCGGGTTTGAAACGGGAGTTTGCCTTCGCGTTCAGGTCACAATCAGAGATCAGCGCCGGGTCGCTGGGGCGGACCAGAGCCAGGACGCCGACGGCGACGACGACGACGCTCAGCGGCGGCGGAGTAGGAGGAGTGAAAGGAGAGGATGGGGTCTCCCCTGGCAATGCGACTGTGGTGGAGTTCAAAAGATACAAGAGAATGAAGCGTGGAGGAGCTGCGGCGGCAGTGAAGGAGGCGAGTGTTCGTGATTTGAAGGCCAAGGAGGCAGTGGAAGTAGCTGGCGAAGAGGAGGCCAAGAGTGACGTGGTGGAACTGGGCAGCGGTGACGAGGAGATTGTGTCCGTGCACCACGTGTCTGCCGCTGCAGCGGTAGGGCAAGGGAAGAGTGGCGATGTGGCTACTTCGATGGAGGAAAAGGCCGCCAGTGGTACATGCAAGGAACGGACCACCGCCCAGAAGCTTCACATTGTAATGGGTTTATCTGCGCAAGGGACGAGTATCTCACTTCCAGTTTTGATGGAGCACGATGGTTTATGTAAAGAGATGGATGGGGGTACGGGTAGGAATTTGAATTCTAAACATAACCAAATCTGCGAGGAAGGAACTAGTGGATTGGCCGGCGGTTTGGTCAACGGTAAAGGTGATGCCAAACAGTCAAGCCCTGTTTCGGTCAAAAAGGATGATTGCAACAGCAGTATGGTGGAGGAGAAGGCCTTGAGGAGGTTTACAAGGTCAGCCCTGAAGCCAAGAACTGAGGAATTTGTGGATTCAGGGTTAAATAATGATAGCACGAAAGTCAAATGTAGTTCTCAAACTAAACTGGGTGATGGAGGCAAGGTTTGCCAAGACGGAACTAGTGTGCCATCCACTGTTCTGGTCGAGTTTGATGATAGCAGTAATGGCAAGGCAGAGCAGAAGCCTTTTAGGAGGTTTACAAGATCAGCCCTAAAGCCAAAATCTGAGACGACGGTCGCAAATGCTCAGCCAAAAGATGGGTCGAGCGTTGATAACCTCGCTGAGGATGAAGTCGATGATGCAATGCCTACCAGTTCTGCTTCAGCTAATGGATTGATGAGAAGTTCATCTAAGCAATTCCCATCTAGGTTGAAGGATCTGCTTGATTCTGGTATCTTGGAGGGACAACATGTCAATTATATACGGAGCGCTAAGGTATTAACTCTGGCTATCATTACAGTACTGGTAATTTTGCCAAGCTATCGAAGTGCTTTAGTTGAGCACTTTTTGTTTACCTGTAGGTAAGAGAATCTGGAGAGACAGGGCTATCTGGAATGATTGTGGGATCATCAATTCTATGCTTTTGTGACCGCTGCGGAGGAAAAGAGGTGAGCTGAGATTTTGATTTTTGAGGTTCCCTATGAACTGAGGCATTAAACGAAGACACTACGAAGATTGCAATGCATCTCAACCTTTTATATTGTGCATTCATTATGCTGATTACTGGCTAACTTTCATTTATAATTATAGACTGTGACGCCTGCAACATTCGAGCTGCATGCTGGCAGTACGAATAAGCGTCCACCAGAGTATATTTTCCTCAAGAGTGGGAATTCACTTCGTGATATAATGAATGCTTGTAAAGGCGCTTCAGTGGAAGCATTGGAGGGAACTTTACAACTTGCGATTGGTTGTCAGTCCTTGAAGAAGGCAAAGTTCTGTATGAACTGTAGAGGTTTGTTCTCGGCTATCTTGCATATATTTTATTATTAGCTAGTACAAATTCATTCTCCATTGTGTAAAGTTTTTCTTTTTTCCATTGCTTGGTGGATTTCAGGGTCAATGGTGGACACTGCGTCTGGGAGTTCAATGGTTTGTTGCTCCTCATGCATGAACTTAAAGGATACTAGTCCGCCTTTGCCTACTGCTAGAGTTATAGATGACAGGTATGCTTTCATGAAATATTGGATGAATTGCTTTCTTTTTAGCTATGTTGAAAGACTTAGTTTAGTCGAGTACTTTCATTAGTAAACTGTGTTGGTGAAACCTTATTTGAGGATGGATGTCGCTGCTTGCTACGGATGAAAAGAAATCGCATTGTTCACTTGGTTGCTATATTTTTGGCAGGTTTCCTAGGTTTAGGTAGTTCGCCATATTTAGGTTTGAATCAATTAACAATCTTATCATACACGATGCATAAATTGCTGATTGTTTGCATAACCTTGCTTGCCTTCCCATGTAAATGTTGATATTGCTGCCATTTGAATTGGTAGTCATGATTCATGAATCAAGAGTTGTGAAGTTTTCTTTTTATCTGTATGACATTGGAGTTGCTGTTCTGGAAAGCATGCTGAATTGGCAGCAGTTACTTCGCCTATCTCATCAATCTGAAGTCAGAGAGACATGCATATGCAATAGTTTATGCTCTAGAATTGCATCTGTGTGTGTTAATCTTGCAATTATGTGTTTTCCTTTCTGGAATATTAAATGATACTCTCCTTCTCTATGGTTCATCTGTTACATATTTGGAGAAGTAATGTTCGCCTGATTTTGTGTTAGTCGCAGGTCTCCTGAACCACTTTTAGTCCGAAGGACATTCGACAGTGTGCCAAAGCCCTCAATATCACAAAACAAGAGCCTGGGCAGACTAACCAAAAAGTTAGTAGTTCAATACTTCATGTCCTGGGCTTAACTTGAATATTTGGCCTACCAATGGAATAAGGATTGGATTCTGTCTTTATCTTTTGGCTTTTGGTCTGGACCTAGTTTATGTATATCTTCTGATCAATCTTTTTGCAGGGACCTACGGTTGCACAAGTTAGTTTTTGAGGAAGACGTGTTGCCTGATGGAACTGAAGTTGCATATTATTCTCGTGGACAGGTTAGGTGCCTACATCTTACATTGCCACAATTTGATTTATCATACAATTCGCCTTTTCTTACTAGTAATTCATCTGTCTGTGCAGAAATTGCTTGTGGGCTATAAGAAAGGGTTTGGAATATTTTGTTCTTGCTGCGACACTGAGGTAAACATCTTTATCCTGATGTAATAATTGTCTAGTGTATGTGGTGCAGCACTGAAGATCTTTTTCATTTGAAATTCAATGGGCAGGTTAGCCCATCTCAGTTTGAAGCTCATGCTGGTTGGGCATCACGTCGGAAACCGTGAGTATTTATGTCCTGAATTTTTATTGGGATCATCATATCCTATATATATTAGACTCAGAAGCCAGAAGAATCATAACGCTACAGTTTTGAGAACTCTAATGAACTGACATAAAAAAATCCTGCAGAAATCTTTGATGAAAATGAAACTGATACTATTATTCTTTCTTTTTTGTTGTGTGCAGTTATTTGCACATTTATACATCAAATGGTGTGTCTCTTCACGAGCTGTCAGTTTCTCTTGCCAAATGTGGGAAGTTCTCTACACATGAGAATGATGACCTTTGCCAGATCTGCAAAGATGGTGGTGATCTTGTATGTTGTGATGGGTGCCCAAGATCTTTTCACAAAGGTAAGTGTGTTTCTGTTTGATTACTTCACATACCGGTCCACTCTCATTGTCTAAGGTGTTCGTCCAGGATATAGTCTTTCCATTCTGGAGTAAGCTTTTGAAAGACCATTATTACGAACATAAGAAATGTAGCACTCTGGTTATATTGTAACTTGTGCATCCGATTATTAAATTGAAACTGTAAAATTCAAGATTCAAGGCTAATCCTTTGCATTATGATTACATCTCATAGTTTCCAATGCATCTTTGCCTCAGTAAGAGATATTGAGCTTGTTGCTCATATATAGAAGTAGTTTTACATAATACTTTGTGTGAAGGATTATGCATGCTGTATTAAAGATATTAATGCTAGTCAAGGAGACTGTCCATTTTCATTTAAACTATCATAATGTCTAGTTTGGTGGTATGCTGTTTATGCTGACATTAATATGATAGTTATTAGTTAGGTAAGTGGAGTAATTTGGTTTGTTCACCAAGTTGGGTTCACTTTCTCTATGGCTCTATATTAGTTTGTCTTATTATTAATGTTTATATCATGTTAACATTTGCAGAGTGCCTATTGCTGCCGAGCGTTCCTAATGATAAATGGTACTGCAAATTCTGTGTGAACAACCAGAATGAAAAATTTGGGGAGCGTAATGCAAATGCAATAGCTGCAGGCAGGGTTGCAGGGGTGGATCCTATAGAAGAGATAAACAAGAGATGTATTCGTATTGTCAAAACTTTGGATACTGATTATGGGGGATGTTTCTTCTGCAGGTTAGCCCATCCCTCCATTGTGTATTAAAAGTATAATTTTTCGTAGTATACATTTCCCTTTATGTTAGGCCCAGTGTAGAGTGCTTGATTCTCAATCCTGGATTTGCTATATTCTTCAGCTTGGCCTTTCCAAAACTGTCTTTTTCTTTTCTTTTCTTTTCTTTTGGTGCATTGGTTGCTGCTTCATTTGTTCTTCTTTGCTTTGATTTCCTCTAAATGTAGCCTTAGCAGAACATTTTTATACATGTTACTTTTGCAGAGAACATGATTTTGACAAGTCATTTGGTCCCCGCACAGTCATACTTTGTGACCAGGTACATTCCTTTGAAATTATGCCTGCAGTAGCTACTAATTGCCTAACGTTTATATCTTTTTGCTTCATACCCTAATATCTGCACTTTCCTTGGGGACATTTTTTCTTCAGTGTGAGAAAGAGTTCCATGTTGGCTGCTTAAGGGATAACAACATGCAAGATCTGAAGGTAACTATAATTATACCATGTTCTTCTCATTGCCTGTGTCTCACTTTAGTGTTTATCTGACATTAGCAAGTTGTTGTCCAACAGGGGTTACCTGAAGGAGATTGGTTTTGTTGCATAGAATGTGATAAAATTCACTCTGCTTTGCAAGCTTTGGTTGCTCGAGGGGAAGAGAAGCTTACTGGTTCTTGTCTAGATGTTGTAAAGCAAAAACATCAGGTTGACGGTGTAAATAACGAGGAAAGGGTTGATTTGAAATGGAGGCTTCTTAATGAAAGAGTAGATTCATCTGCAGACAGTGGAAGCTTACTCTCTGATGCTGTCACTATCTTCCATGTGAGTTGCAAGGATATTTACTGATTATGCTTTTCCTAATGACAGTACTAATAATATTTCCCGTTACTATGCTACTTTTAAAGAATGTATCATACCTTCACTGCTCTATTGGATTTTGTAAATTATGTTTATTCTTAAGTATTCAAGACGAGGTGGTTAAAACTGCAATTATGTGTTTTGGGATTAGGAACGCTTTGATCCTATTGTTGTCGATACGTCTAGCCGCCAAGGAAACCGCGACCTCATCCCTTCTATGGTCTATGGGTAAGCAACTATATTCTTGAATGTTCATGTTGTCCATAGTTTTACTTATTTGTTTAAAATTTTCTTCTTGTATTTAGTTATCCTTCTCAAGATTTTATTTAATCCAAGTGTTAATGACAATCTTAATTGCTTTCTACCAGAAGGAACCTCAAAGGCCAGGAACTTGGTGGCATGTATTGTGCTGTGCTGCTAGTCGAGTAAGATATGCATCATGGTTTATTGTAGTACAGTTTTGAATAACACTTCTCCTTTCTGTATTTGACATTTGGTTCTTGCTTCTGCAGCAATGTGGTTGTGTCTGCTGCTATAATCAGGGTGTTTGGGCAAGAGCTGGCTGAACTTCCTTTGGTTGCAACCAGTAGCCAGTTCCAAGGACGGGTAATTTGGATTTAGCTAATTCTAGTATGAAGATTTTGTTCGCGAATATGGTGTTTCTCCAATGTACTCCATTTTGTCTTTCTTAAATTGCGGTTACCTGTTCTAATATACATTACCTTGGGCTTTTTGCTAAATTTGCAGGGTTATTTCCAAGCTTTGTATGATTGTCTCGAGAAACTCCTTGGATCCCTCAATGTGAAGAATTTCATACTCCCTGCAGCCGAAGAAGCCGAATCCATCTGGATGAACAAATTCGGTTTCACTAAGATGACTCAGGACGAGGTACCCTATATAACACCCATGCTGCCCTTGTCATTTGCTCAATTCTCGGATCTTGTAGTAGAGTATGACCCCCCCTCGCGCATGCTAAACATTTGCAGGTGGTAAAGTTCAGGAAGGATTATCAGATGATGGTATTTCAAGGCACATCAATGCTGCAGAAACCAGTTCCCAACTGCAGAATCGTCGGCAAGTCTGAAGGCGGCTGATGCAATGCAAGAGCCTAAGGTCCTCTAGATTTTGATCTGGGGAATGCAACTTTTTTTCGGACAGCTTCGTAGTGTACAGAATCGGTATTCTTTCCTAGTTTTCCTTGCTGTACCTTCCTTCCTTCTGGTCCAGGGAAGGTTGGGAGGCAGGATTCGTATATGGATACAGAGAGAGCTGTAGAAGTTGACAGTAGTAGGAGGGGAATTTTGCCTCCATTCTTTTTTGTGTAGAAATATAGAAAGGGGAAAGCAAGAGCTAACCAGTAGGTTTTTAGTGATCAGTAGTCAGCTAAGCTTTGATAGTATTAAGGAAGATGGATGGTAATGTAGAAAACAGAAAGTACAGGAACTAATTAGTAAAAAGTAACTACAGCAGGGACCCAAATGGAAGTTTTGACATGTTTACGGAAAATCTGGATCTCCGTCTTTAGCTTTTGTCTCTTCGTATTAATATGAATCAATAGAAAGTCTTCGTCAAAACTTATGGCCGTGCTTAAATTGTTCATTGCAAAATTAAGCTCAATTAATTTTGGTATTGCCAATTACGTAACAAAGTTCGATCTTTTCGTCACAAGAGTTCATCAACGCGATGTTTGTATATTCAATTTTCTAAAAACAACGTTATAGAAATTGAGTTGCTAGTTAGCCACATTTTCTATTACCCGGGCATGCATTGGTAAATACGGATTAAACTGTAAATAAATAGGAACATTCTAGAGATTTCAATTCTTCAAAAAGAAGCAAAGAGTACGTCGCACGATAATGGCGACTTGTAAGTTGTAATATGGCAAGGGAGAAGGCGGGAGGAAAAAAATTATTTGGAAATTTGAAATTCAAATGCGTAAAAAAAGAAACCACCGTTGTGACGAAAGAAATAAATAACACGAATAAATAAGAAAAACCCTCATTTCTTTATCACTCACCTCTCGCTCGCTCGTGTCGGTAGGCGCTCCGATTCTGAAGTCTGTAACCCTCTGCAGTCTGCTCCCTCCCGCAACCGTTCTCTCTCTCTACCCCTTGAAGTCGCAGGTACAAACTTCTGATCTCCTCCTCGTTCCGCTCTTCTTCCTGTAATTCCTCCATTGGCAGCCTGGAAGAGAATCGAATCGTCTCGCATGTGTACTTTATACTTCTTCGGTTCCATTTCCTGATTTCTCATAATCTCTGCTTGATTTTAACGCAGTTCGAGAATCTGTTGGCGTCTTTGTTCTTGATTCAGCGGGAAAATCTTGCGCTAGCGACGAGATGGGGCAGATCCAGTACTCCGAGAAGTATTTCGATGACACTTACGAGTACAGGTGAGTCGATTCGGCCGCCGACTCGTTTCATTTCCCCCCTGTCGCCTCACTCTTTCGTGTTGGCTGTGTTTCTTCCGAGTTCAAGATTTGTGCTCTCTCTCTCTCTCTCTCTCTCTCTCTCTCTCTCTGTGTTGCTTATCTTGGATTTATATGTCTACTGAGCAGGCACGTCGTCCTTCCTCCTGAAGTGGCCAAGCTGCTTCCCAAGAATCGCCTTCTCTCTGAGGTAAATGAAGAATTAGGGTTTCCTTTAGCTTGCCTCTTTTGATTTAGGTTTGAACCACTCCTAGATTCGAAATCCCGGATTCAAATCTCAGTTCGGAAGCTAGTATGGCAACTGCTTTATGTCGTGTGCGTGAAAATGGACTGGCTAGAAGTAGTAGTAGCGACTCCAGTGAAGTAAATCTTGGTGCATTTGTGTGCCCTTTCCAATTTGCATGATGCTTTGCGTCGTGGTTAAGTGCTGCCCCTTTGGTCTTATGGTGAAGGGCTTAAACCTGGACTATTGAAATTAGGTCTTGATTTCAGTCTCTTGCATGAATTGAAAGCGAAATGAAGTGCTTGTCTTCCGATGTGCAGAACGAGTGGCGCGCAATCGGTGTGCAGCAGAGCCGTGGATGGGTTCACTACGCCATCCATCGACCCGAGCCACACATCATGCTGTTCAGGAGGCCTCTCAACTATCAGCAGCAACAGGAGGCTCAAGCCCAGCAGACCATGGTTGCTTAAAACTCAAAGTGCAGCTGTGCATTTCCAAAAGTCTGATGCTGCCATATAATACTACTGAAGCATTACATAGTCCCTCTCTCTCTCTAGTGGTTTATTCTGTGTAAACCCACCCTAATGAACTGATGATTTCCGGGGTATTCGTGTCGTCAGTTCTGTCTAGTAGATGTTCATGTTCTGTGCCCGTGTGGTTCTGCGATTGTCATGAATTCGTGGTCGAATGCTGATATGGGTTTTAGTGCGAATTTTCATCTGAGTGTTTACATTTGTAGTTCTCGATCTTACGTCTTGTTTGCTTTTCACAGTGTTGGCATTGGCAAATTCCAAATTATCTGTTGGTTGCAAGATTTATGTTGTGCAGGTCCTCGTTTTATCAGTAGCTGCGATACTGATAACAGCCAACTGTAACTAGGCTGCATACTACTATTTCTCTCTTGACAATTCATGAATGAGAAGATGGACTATCGGCTTAAGTCTATAGTGCTTATGTCCATTGGCAGCCTGGTCATGAATGAATCGTCTCTCGCATGCGTAGTCGATACATCTTCTCGATTAATAGACAATCGCCATTGCTCCAATTCGTCGAGACTTGACTAAGAGCTGGTGATGCTGTTACAGCACCTCGCTCGTTCTAGGTCGAATTCCAACTGTCACAGTTGGCGTTTGCTACTATAACAATTTGCAACTCCACAGTTCCACATTCTTCTGATCCAATTTGTGCAAAGCTCCGAGCGATATTGAGTTACCTACACTAGGAAAATAGCACGTCTATAATAAGTGGGCCACAAGATACGTTAAGGCCCAAACCAGTGTAACTTCCAGAAAAAAGCCCAGCTATTGTTATTCACGATTCACGACCGGACCCGCCGTCGCCGTCGGTTGCTTGCTTGCTTCACTGTCGGTCGCAGAAAGCTCGAGAACGAGAAGCAATACCATCATCGTCCTCACCCTCCCGCCGCGACTGCTTCTGCTAGAACGAACCAACCACAAATTCGACTCGGCCGCACCGACTCAGTTGCTCTGAGTTAAGACCTATCTGCCACTCAGCCACTCTATCCAGGTGAGACGTCAGGACGAGAACCTCTTCGGCTCGTCTTGCTTCTTCCCCCCCTTTGTTAGGGTTTTTGAGCTATGAAATTCAGCGAGCCAATGAAGCCCCTGATTTGAAATCAGTGGTGGATTTGATTTCTGGTTATCCTTGTAATTCTTTGTTCGATTGGATCTTCGCGCAGGTCACTCCGTTAACCTGAAGAATTTACCACTAAGGGGATCCCTTTTCTTCGATGTCTCGCGCTCGCAACCTCGTCGTTGCAGGTGGATTACTGGCTTTTGCTGGTGCTGGAATGGCGTTCCCTTTCTACATGGCGTGAGTTCGCGTTCGATCCAATATCTCCCACCGCCATTTCTGCCTCCGGGAATTTCTAGTTGTGGTTTTACCATGATGGGTTTTTTTTCTTACTTTCTTGTGATGCAGGGCAGGGAAGAGTAAGCCAGTGATCGACTCGTCGAAGCCATTGCCGCCGCAAGCCACTTTCCGAGGGCCTTACGTCAACACTGGTTCCCGTGATATCGGACCAGATTTCCAGAGCTACCCAAAGAAATGATTCTGTCATAAACTTCATCGAGCATTCCATCATTTGCTGTCTTAGTGCATGGATTGTGCAGTACAGCCATGAGTGAATTTGATGCAGCACTAGATAATAGCTTGAGGAGGGTTGTAGAGAACAGAAGAGGGATCAGTGAAACAGCAATCGGTGTGCATTCTCTGAATCTCATCTCAACATGATTGGCTTGTTAAGTTCAGTGCTTTTGCCTTCCTGAATGTGGCCATTTCTGCTTTGTCAATGTAGAATTGAAGGATTGCTTCTCAGAAGCAATTCAGTGCTGTTAAAGTTACCATTTCCATGGCGATTTCAGTCAAATGTAATGCCTTTGTATCGATGGTGCTGACCAGCAAATTTGGCTTGTCCTTTACTCCACTGCTTAGATTCTATAGTGATCATTTGTGTTGTGGACCTCAGCTTCATTTTACTTGAACCAGGAAGCTAGAAACCAATACACAGCAACTAAAGTCCACATCTTTACTCGCTGATTTCATTATCCAAACTTCAGTGGCGAAGTTTGAACATAGTAAGTGAGAAAGAGAAAGCAAAAAAGAGCAAGGGGAAAGCGGCAGCTAGCGTTCTTACTTGGCCTTCTCCAGAATTCTCTCCGTGTCTTCCAGCCACGTGGCTGGTCAAATCCCCCGGGTGTATGGCCGCTCGCCGGACGGTGGCTTCCGGCCGGCCAAAATGTGCGGCTCTTATTGCTGCCACGTTGTCACCGTTAGTAAATCTTCATCACATCTTGTCGGTTAAATTTTGTCCAACCTTCGTGCATCATTACTTGGCAAAAAGAAGAGAAGAGTAGAAGGAACTTTGAAATGAAGAAAAAGCCGAGAGCTTTCACTTTCAACTGACGAAGAGTTCCTTGAACAACCATTGCCAAAACTTGCACGCCATTCCTTCCATCTCCTGGAATAAACAAACCCTTCATAGAGTAAACAAACACAGCCCAGATAATACTTAATTATGGCGCTTCTCGTGTCCACCACATGCTCGACCAAATTCCCTACTACAGCACTACCAACGTCCTCTTTTCCCTCTAAAGCTTCGATCTTTTCGCCCGCCAGAAGCTCAAACGCAGCGAGGAAGCTGCCCAACAAACCCCATCATCGCTTCGTATCTCCTCTTCGCGTCGCGGCGCCTGCTTCTCCATCTGTACAGCGGGAAGAAGAAAAGGAAGAGAAGCATGGAGAAGGAGATTACGGAGTTGAAGAGGAAGTTGGAGAAGATGGTGATGATGGGAAGTTCGTCTGGCGGGATCATTGGTACCCAGTTTCTCTGATCGAAGATTTGGACCCTGCGTTGCCTACCCCTTTCCAGCTTCTGGGTCGAGACTTGGTCCTCTGGTTCGACCGCGCTAACGAGGAATGGGTCGCTTTTGATGATAAGTGCCCTCACAGGCTTGCTCCTCTATCTGTAAGTTCGTCGATTCAGTAGTACGTTTTGCTGGTCTGGACATTTCAATAGATATGTTTGCTGTGAGAACTTAGAACTCCTGACTTATTGAGTTGCCCAAGTTTAGGATGGATACTTCATTAGCAGAAGGGGGCTAGCTCTTGAATTTTGGCCTGTTTGCTTTGATTTGACAGGAAGGCAGGATCGACGAAAATGGGCACTTGCAATGTTCATACCATGGATGGTCATTCAACGGCTGTGGATCTTGCACAAGGATTCCACAGGCGATGCCAGAAGGTCCTGAAGCTCGTGCGGTGAGATCTCCAAGGGCTTGTGCTACTAGATTCCCTACTTTGGTCTCTCAAGGCTTGCTCTTCGTTTGGCCTGATGAGAATGGCTGGGAGAGAGCTAAATCGGCCAAACCCCCAATGTAATTCATCTTCATCTGATATTTTGCTAACTGGAAGCTACTGCAATTGAATCATAATCTCAGGGTTTGTTTCCTGTTTGTATGCTTAGGTTGCCTGATGACTTTGATAAGCCTGAATTCTCGTCAGTGACGATTCAGAGAGATCTGTATTATGGGTATGATACCTTGATGGAGAATGTTTCTGATCCTTCTCACATTGATTTTGCTCATCATAAGGTACGAAATAGTAACGTTCATGTGCGTCCTGTTGGAACTTTAGATTAGAGTAGTTATTGTTGGAAGAATATGTAACAGTTATGGATGGCAGGTGACTGGAAGGAGAGATAGAGCCAAGCCATTGCCATTTAAACTGGAATCCAAGGGGTCCTGGGGATTTGCTGGGGCAAATGAAGGTAACCCGAGGATCACCGCGAAGTTCATTGCACCCTGTTATTATTTGAACAAGTAAGTCTCATGAAATGAAATATCAGCTGTAAATTTACTGGTCCAATATAGAAGTTCAATACCTGCATAGGACCGGGTAATGATTGAAGCTTTCAGGGTTCCATTTCTTTCGAGATGGTGTTATACATCAACTTTTCCCCCCAAATGTACTGATTTCTTGCTGTCTGTCACTTGTCTTTAATGGTTTTATGCACTTGCTGGATTTGACAGAGTGGAGATAGACACAAAACTTCCTTTCGTTGGAGATCAGAAATGGGTGATATGGATATGCTCTTTCAATGTGCCAATGGCACCAGGAAAAACCCGTTCAATCGTTTGCAGTGCTCGAAACTTCTTCCAGTTCTCCATGCCCGGGCCAGCATGGTGGCAGGTATGTACACTTATACCCCTCATGGTCAACACAGCAACATAACTACTATATCTAGAGTTTCTAAACAGTTCTCCTGGCTATGATTCTCAGGTAGTTCCGAGATGGCAAGAGCATTGGACATCGAATAAGGTATACGATGGAGACATGATTGTGCTTCAAGGCCAAGAGAAGATCTTCCAGTCACTACAAGAAAGCTCAGAAGGAGATGTAAACAAGCAGTACACCAAAATCACATTCACACCCACTCAAGCTGATCGATTCGTCTTAGCATTCCGCAACTGGCTGAGGCGCCACGGCGAACCAGAATGGTTCAGTTCTACACCTTCCCAACAGCCTCTGCCCTCCACAGTTCTCTCAAAACGTGAGGTATGAAATTATGAAAGCAGCATCACAACACTCACCTTCAGGATCAGAACCTTCCATCTTATGCAATTTGGACGAATTATTGACTCTGTCCTCCTCCACCTTGCAGATGCTGGATAGATTTGAGCAGCACACCATGAAATGCTCATCCTGCAAAAAGGCATACTCAACATTCCAAACCTTGCAGAAGCTACTAATCGCCATGACTGTTGCTTTCTGTGGTACTGCTGGCATTCCTTCTGAGATTCAGTTCCGGGTTCTGCTTGCTGGCTTGGGTTTGACATGCGCAGCTGCTGCTTATCTACTCAATCAGTGGGAGAAGAACTTCGTGTTCGTCGATTATGTACATGCTGAGATAGATTAGATCTTAAAGTTTTTGCCTTTCGAAAGAATGTAACATGAGATTAGCTTTTCCACCAGTCACAAATTAGAGAAATTTAGACATCACTCTACTATTCTTATAAAACTGTAAGCAATATATGATAAGGTCTAATAACAATAACTGAACGAAGAACTTCTGTAATTTCATTACCCTAGATGAAACTGCCCAAAAAACACCAGATTGGCAAAAACAGGAGAAACGATATTTAGAACTACTAATATCCAACATACCGAGCTGATTTACAATCAAGGAAACCCTAAAACTGACGATCCAGCAAAAGCAAAACATAGTGCTTCAAATCCCCAACAAAACCCAGAAAGAACAAATCTAAGAACTAGTGAACTTGGTAACCGCCTTGGTTCCTTCGGAGACGGCGTGCTTGGCGAGCTCGCCGGGAAGAACGAGCCGGACGGCGGTCTGAATCTCCCGGGAAGTGATGGTGGGCTTCTTGTTGTACCTAGCGAGCCTTGAGGACTCCTGAGCGAGCTTCTCGAAGATGTCGTTGATGAAGCTGTTCATGATCCCCATGGCCTTGCTCGAGATCCCAATGTCAGGGTGGACCTGCTTCAGCACCTTGAAGATGTAGATCTTGTAGGTCTCGACGCTCTTCTTGTTCCTCTTCTTCTTCTTATCGGCAGCAGCAGCGCCTCCTTCCTTGGGGATCTTCTTCTCAGCTCTGGGCTTCTTCTCCGCGGGGGCCTTCTCGGCCTTCTCCGCTGGCTTCTTCTCGGCCGGCTTCTTCTCTGCTGGCTTGGGCGCCATCGTTGGATTGAAGATGTAAAGAAGTTTCGAGCTTTCTTGAGAGAATTGAAAAGAGGAAGGGGAAGTTGTGAGAAATTGGTGAAGGGATTGGTTTCTTATTTATTAGGGTGAAAGGGTGTGATCTGATTGGCTGTTGGTGAATCGGTGTGGATCGATGACCTGGACGGTTGGAACCGTTGGATGGAAGAAGGGATAGATGGACGGGGAGGATTGAGTCTTGATGTTGAGCGGGATTTTGAAGCTTTTGGGAGTTGGGGCGCGATTATTTTCGGTGGGTATTTCGAAATTTCAACGGTGTGAGTATTTTATTGGCTGGCGGAGGTTGGTGCGGATCGGTTACGCGGATAATTTGAGCCGTTGGATTAAAGGGAAAGATAGATGGGATTGTTGGGTGGGCTTTTGGAAACATGAAGCCCAACTAGATCGATCAATAATGAAAAGACCAGCCCGTCCAAACTTACCTAGCTATTCTTTTTTTCCAACAATTTCATTTTGTTATGTATAAATACCAGTGATTTTGATGTAATGTGCCTTGTTGGTGGTATAATTTTGTCATATGGAACACTAATCCGTTGATGGTTATATTACTTTTTGTTTAGTTTCGAAAACGTATATGCATAAAGAAAATAAAATTGGAAATTATAAAACGAGTATCTGATTTAGATTTCGTAAAAGAAGCTTGATATACCTAGAATATTCAACTATAATTGTCAGAAAAATACTAACGACTATTTAGAGAGAAGCTACACAAACTTTATCCTCCATATATCCAAATGAATCAACTCAAATGCTGCTTGAGTTTGACTAAGACCATTATGTAGAATTATATGTTGAGAATATTGGATAGTTCCAATAGCATTGGCAACCATATGTAATACATTAAGTAGAATTATATGTTCGATTTACACACTATTAGCATGGTGACATCGATTATTCTTATATAACACTTCTTCAATATGACATGTATAACAACAAAATGTGCAAACACATGCTTCTTGCCTTGTTTCTTGAAACCATTTCCAGCACCTTGAACACTTTAGTAAAGTAAACCATAGAATCAAAGGTGGTGTTGGGTAACTTGGGTTTCTGATATTGGCAGGTTGAGGTAGAAGGCCTATTTCATGTAAATATTGGATAATCATTGCAAACACCTTTTGTTAATGGGTGGAAGAAGATTTAGCAACATGACTATTGAGGGAAGGCCATTAAAGTTGTCGTTGAGGTTCTAAGGAACCTAATGACTTTATCATTCATATAATTATTCTTAAGCGGTGCTAGGATGCATGAGCAAACATAATTAATCATTATCACAATCTCGAATGACTGTACTTTTCTTGTTTATCCAAAATCCCTATGTTGTATAAGTATTGATGTTAGAAACTAACAAAGTTTCTAATGGGTATGATAATTGGGGATTTAGGGATTTGAAAAATAGAATTAGGGATTAAGAAGTAGAATTTGGGGAAGAACGAGAAAGAATGGCTGACGGTCGGATTAGGGATAGAGGAGAAATTGAGAGGAGTTGGGAGAGAACAGGGTTGAGGATTTTCTTAATATTCTTCTTATTGATACCGAATGAATAAGTAAGGTACATATTTATAGGGAATTCTAGAAAACCCTAATAATAAACCTAACTCTAGTAAAAGACTACTGACTATTATAAGAATTACCCTAATAATTACTATAATAATAAATATGCTAAAACACGAGAATCGTGTTTCTAACATCTCCTCCCCCTTGAGACCAACCTTGCCCTCAAGGTTGGCTAGCTGACCCCACTTTTCCGCTTTCCTCACACCTTCCACACATCGGGTCCTCCTTTTCTTACGCCTCCTTTTCCTCCAGTCACGTTCAAACTCACGAACGAACCCAACCTTAGCGGTTTCAACTTTCATCGATCCTCCTCTCACGAAGCGTCCCATATCATCATTAGGATCAAGACCCCATGAGTCCATACTCTTCTCTACAAACTCTGTAGAAAAAGAACCCACGATCTCCAATTCCTTGTGATCTTCATCACCAAACTCCCCCAAATGCAACCACCCACCATTCATGCGTGCCCCCTGCATGGCATGATAATCCTCTTCCAAGCCCCTTTTCATAGCCATGCACCATCCTCTAACTACTACTTGCAGCAACCTCCACGGTTCAGGGCTTAAGACTGCTTGATTAGAAAGATCCTTGAGCCTATAGCCCAAGTCAGGTTGCTTCTATTCCTCCTCCTTCCGCGATCGTGAGCGCGCTAATGAAAGCAAGGGATCTAGAAGCAATAACACCTTAGCATCCCGCAGTCCATTCTCGACACTGGCCTTCATCCCCTTTCCTTCAAGGTTCCTTTCATACCCACCCCAAGCTTCCTCAACACACCAATCCAAGTTGAACCCGATGTTCACATTCTTGTGTGCTTGCAGACAGTCCACCGTCAAACATGGTGGAAACTCGCCGCGTATTTGCTTCTCTCTCGATGTAACCCACTTGGCAGCAACTCGGATATCGTTGCAGGCTGCCTCCTCATCTGATGCCTGCTTCCCGGAGTTCTGCAGCCCCAAAAATATACTCCTCGCGAACCCACCTATATCAGCACCATCGACTGCATATTCCTCCCCATCATGCGCACAACAACTGGCTCCTTTGGTGTTTGAGGCGACAACGACACTCTTGGTGGCAGAGGCGGTGGTCAGCAGGCTAGGAGTTGCGACAACCGGTGCCTCGATAATGATTTCAACCGCCTGCTGCAGCTCCAGTCTCGCCCCTTTGCCGGTGACTTCCTCCCAACACAACCTGCTCACTTCCACTTGCTCCTTTGCAGCAGCTCGGATTCCCGTACACCTCTCCCACAATTTAAAGTTCGGATGAACTTCAAGCACCTCAACTCCATTGCCGCCATTAATTGCTCCCCTCAACACACCTGGCGGCCCTTGTTCTTTCTTCCGAAACTTCCAATAAAACAATCGGAGAAGGACCCTATTCATTATAATCCCTTCATAAGTAATTCCACCGAACTTACCTCCCTTTTGCAGCCTAACTCGATCAACATGGGTAGTCCAAACTCCATGATCATTCCCGCTTGTGAGCGCTATCTTTCGTGCCGCAGTGGTGATTCCAAGTACTGTGTCGACGACGGTAGCGGCGGCGGCATTGAGCGCCCACTGATTCGTCTCGACCTCTTCCGCTGCGAGCGGGGACTCTATGGTTGGTCGGCTCCGGTTGGTGGAAACAACTGTGGGGCCGTGCGAAACAGCAGCGAAGAAGCTTGTGGTGGGGGCTAACTGTCCCTCGGTCAATGCTTGTCGCTCTTCGACCTGCGCACGAAACCTCAGAGTGGCTTGAGGAGAAAGACCAACCATCGGGTGCAAGGAGTTCGACAGCAGCAGTCCAAAGTCTTTGCTGCGCACGTCCGGTGTCCCACCTCCTTCGTCCGCCGTCACAGGTCGGACCGGTAGCTGCTGCTCCTCTGTCACGTCTCCGTCCATAGCCTCCTCCTCCATCACCGGTTCCGTGTCGCTCCCTCCGACGGTGACTTCCACCGCTTCGCGGACTCGATGGACGTTGGTGGTCGCTCGCCGTCGGCGATTCGGGTCACCGTCTCTGCTTGCACGGTCGGCGACTCTTCGGAGCTCCAACAGCGTCTGATGCGGCGAGCCCGATCATGCAGCTTCGCCCACGATAGGTTCGAGAGCTTTGAAGAGCTCATCGTCGAACCAGTTGTAGAACTCGTCCCCGGTTGAGAGTTGTGGTGAACTCAATTCTCGAACCGGGCTCTGATACCAAATGTTAGAAACTTTCGGGTATGATAATTGGGGATTAGGGATTTGAAAAATAGAATTAAGGATTAAGAAGTAGAATTTGGGGAAGAACAAGAAAGAATGGCCTACGGCCGGATTAGGGATATAGGAGAAATTGAGAGGAGTTGGGAGAGAACAGGGTTAAGGATTTTCTTAATATTCTTCTTATTGATACCGAATGAATAAGTAAGGTACATATTTATAGGGAATTCTAGAAAACCCTAATAATAAACCTAACTCTAGTAAAAGACTACTGACTATAATAAGAATTACCCTAATAATTATTATAATAATAAATATGCTAAAACACGAGAATCGTGTTTCTAACAATACAAAAGAAATCCCCAATAAAAAAAAAACCCCAATAAAAAAAACAATACAAAATAAATTACTTAGGGAAAAATTCTCATAGAGTTCAATCCAAACACTGATAGCGTATTGTGATGTATATGGTGTTAATATGCCATCGTGGGACTGACATATCTCTCGTTATCCAACTAAACATCAAGTTGTTGTTTTCACTCCATGGCTCGTGTAATGGAGAATTTTCGAGAGAAGTATAAATCTTAACAATTAGAAAGTCCATCTAGTTATTGTATTCGAGAACGAGAATCATCGATCTCTCTCATATGGAGAAATTCGACTCCGTAAGAGATTAAGAACTCAAACATTGCCTTCCATTTGTCACTTTCATAAGGACAATTGTTGTCATCGTTGTGTAACTATCCTAACTACACATTCTTATTAACTAGTCCTAACTACGGGTTCACAGACCCTGTCACTCAACTCAGCAATCATTCTTCGACAGTTTCTCATTTAGCCATGATCAAGAAATGCAGAGAAAAGAGACGGAGCAAGTTCATCCGGAGGTGGTTAAGTCAGTTGGAATGAAGAAATTGCAGCAAGCCCCTACTATTGCAACTAGGAGGTATCACCATGGTGATGAACATGATAAGTTTTGAATCCGAAACTCTTGTAATTTCATTGCTTCAATTCAATTCAGTCGGATCAAAACTACACAGAACATTAGACCAGATCTGCCAAAATCAAGAAAACCTAGTTTCAGAACTAGTCGCCTAAACATCGCACATCTTTACAATCAAAAGGAAACCCATCCAAACTGACTGAACAGAGAGCAAATCTAAGAGCTGGTAAACTTGGTAACCGCCTTGGTTCCTTCGGAGACGGCGTGCTTGGCGAGCTCACCGGGAAGAACAAGACGAACAGCGGTCTGAATCTCCCTGGAAGTGATGGTGGGCTTCTTGTTGTACCTTGCAAGCCTGGAGGATTCCTGAGCGAGCTTCTCGAAGATGTCGTTGATGAAGCTGTTCATGATCCCCATGGCCTTGCTCGAGATCCCGATGTCAGGATGGACCTGCTTCAGCACCTTGAAGATGTAGATCTTGTAGGTCTCGACGCTCTTCTTGTTTCTCTTCTTCTTCTTGTCGGCGGCGGCGGCGGCGCCTCCTTCCTTGGGGATCTTCTTCTCGGCTCTGGGCTTCTTCTCCGCCGGTGCCTTCTCGGCCTTCTCCGCTGGCTTCTTCTCGGCCGGCTTCTTCTCTGCTGGCTTGGGCGCCATTGGAAAGAATTGGAAAATGTGTTTTGAGATTCTTCCGCTCGTTGAGGGGAAGAAAGTTAGGAGAGATCGGGAATTCGAGATGATTGTGGGAAATTGTAAAGGGTTGGGTTTATAATTTATAACAGGGAAGCGGTGAGATCTGATTGGTGGTTCCGAGTCGGTGCGGATTGATGACGTGGATAGTACAGCCCCGTTGGATGGAGGTATTGATGGATGGACGGGCCGGATTTATTTGTTGCTAAGCGGGCTTTTCGAAATTTTTGGGAATTTAGGGCGCGTTTAATTTCAGTGCGAATTCGAATTTGATGGAGAGATATTTATTGGCTGAGAGAGGTGGAGCGGGACTGATGACGTGGATGTCAGTGAGCCCAGTCTCGCCATGGGCCTCTCCGTGTTTCCGGGCTTTCAATTTTTTGAAGGCCCAGTCTTCACATGAAAAGCCTGCTTGCAAGTTGCTTCTTCTTCATCTGGTTCTGGTGGAGTGGATACTGGAGTGAAGAGAGGAATTCCAGAGAAACGGATAAGACCCAGTTTTGTAAGCAGTGTTTCGCGGTGCTCGTTTGAAAATGGCGTCCTCATACGCAGCAGCTGCTCTATCCTGGAGCGCTTCCTCTTGGCTTCACAGCTTCACCGGCCAAACCAATGAAGCTTCCGTGATGCCAGATAGAAAATTGGCTATGCCGGTCGTTGCCCAGAAGAAAGCCAAGAAGACTAGAAAGGTAGCACATTACCCCTGCATAAATACGGAACTGGGTTCTTTCTCATTGCTGTGATTGTTTCTTTAGTTTTGACTAGCTGAGACGGTTTAATTGGCCTTCCTGTGATGGTACTCTTTTTGGTGGGTTTTCTGTTGTGTTAGATAATATTGAAAGAGGATGTGGAGTATGTGGGGAAGAGGGGGCAGCTAATTGATGTGAAGGCTGGCTTCTACAGGAACTTCCTCCTGCCCATGGGCAAGGCCCAGATTGTCACTCCTGTTTTACTGAAGTAACTCTACAGCTTCCACAAATTCTTAATTCGATTTCGCATTTTCTTGCACTATCCTTCTGCTACATTAGTATGGTACAGCAAATGTGATCATATCTTTGCAATGAGTTGTTTCGGAGATCGAAATGATTCAAGGAAATGTAGACTCTTAGGGAGATAGATAGTAGGTGACTGTAGTTCTTTAAGTAAGAACTTTGAGCTGGTAATGGATTGCATTGCAGAATTGAAGTTGTTGATCTCCATGCTGATTGAGCACTCGCACTCTAATCGAATTTAAAGAACATGGTTCACTATAAGTTATCCTTGCGTTATCTAGCGGAATAGGGCTGACCAATACTAGGTATTGTTTAAAAGAAGAGTCTTCTCAACGGTTCCTGCACATATAGAATGCATACTACAATTGACATTGAGCTTTGAGTAAATGAGTAGGTGCCAAATTGGACGAATATCTCATATGCTTTATATATGTTTTTGTATGCATTGTGTGATTTACAGGCCACCCTGATTTGTTAACCGTACACAAAGAGAACTGAGATGCATCTTAATATTCATAATGTTTCAGGGAAATGCGAATGGAGGAGGAAAGAATTGAAGCTGAGAAACTGCGGGTAAGGATTGGATTTACATGCTAAGCATATTTATGTGCCGTCTTCTTTAATTGCTATGATATAGTCGGCTACTTGCTTTTGACAGGTAAAAGAAGACGCTCAGCAGCTTGCTCGGATATTTGAAACTGTTGGAGCCTTCAAGGTGAAGCGCAAAGGTGGAAAGGGCAAACTGATATTTGGCAGTGTGACTGCTCAAGATCTTGTCGACATCATAAAGGCACAGCTTCAAAGGTATCAGCTTTCTCTAGCTGTGATATAGATGCAGCATGCTGTAGTTTTTCTCTCCATCAAAGAACATTCTCTCTGGAACTTCTTGCCTGGCCACAGAAACATCCCCTAGTCCCGTTTTGCCATATACGTCAAAGGCACTTCGCTTACTCGCTTATTCTTTTATTCCCGTAGGGATGTAGACAAGCGTATTGTCTCACTTCCAGAAATTCGTGAAACTGGAGAGTATGTTGCTGAACTCAAGCTTCATCCTGAAGTCACTGCTCGTGTAAGGTTGAATGTCTTTGCCAACTGAGGTCATTTGTACCTTCCAATATCCCCCAGGACACCCTGAACAAATTTCACATTTCTGGTATGTGATCACCAACCATTACATCATTCGAAATGGGTGCCGATGATAATTTGCTTCAATCAATGGAAGAAGTTCCAGAGACTTAATTATTTCCCATCGTTGCAGGGGGTGCAGGCGGAGTTGTGAATGTGTTTAGTTGGATGCAACAAATCAAGATTAGTTTGTAAACCGTACAGATGTACTGAACAGAATATTTATGGAGATGGCATTGGTGTTTCACTTAAATTGTTCAAATGAAACAAAGTACATGGCAGGTCGATCCCTTCGTCAACATATGTAGTTTGTTGTTGTGGGTGAGAAGAATGTACTGAACAGAACATTTTTGGAGATGGCTGTGTTTTACTCAAATGATTCAATGGAACAGATTACATGGCAGACTGATCCCGGGGAAAAAAAAACAATGTGAAAAAAAGAATGAGTGTTGCTGCCCAGGATCGAACTGGAGACCTTTTGCGTGTAAAGCAAACGTGATAACCACTACACCACAGCAACAATTAATGTTTTGATTGTCCGTGCATAATTAATTTATAACTAATTAAACTTCGATTAGTCAAAAAAAATTGTGAAAAGAAGAAAACATGTTGCTGCCCAGGATCGAACTGGAGACCTTTTGCGTGTAAAGCAAACGTGATAACCACTACACCACAGCAACATTTAGTGTTTTTACTGTCTGTGCATTTTTATTCTATAAATAATCACACTTGGTCACGATTAGTCAAAAAACAATGTGAAAGAAAGAGAAAAATGTTGCTGCCCAGGATCGAACTGGAGACCTTTTGCGTGTAAAGCAAACGTGATAACCACTACACCACAGCAACATTTGGTGTTCTGATTATCCGTGAGTTTTACCTTGTAAAATGATAGTCAAAAGAGTGCCTAGCAATTCACAAAGATAAAAAGATGCCAAAAGGGTATCTCAAAATGAACAAGTCTGGATTACATCTACTCAGGCCAAATGTGAAACTTAATAGCATCACATCCTCACCTTTTTCTTTCCCTCTATCAATAATGCTACTTAAATACATAATACTCTCTTATCCATCAATTCTCACATACCCATTTTCACATAGGCCTGCATTTGGGCGGTTTAGGTTAATCTCACTTAAAAATCCAAATTTTGGTAAAACTCACATTTACAATAAAAATTTATCGATATGATATTTGTGGCATATGATGTTTAATTGTCCGTTAATTAACTTTAGTAGTGGACAATACAATCACAAACAGGACTGGATGCCACAAATTTGTTAGCATCTCGTTGCGTATGATGTCTTAAAGCGGTAAGTGACCGATTCACATAATGAGCTCTATTTTCATGGACAACACCAGGCGACGGATAGATGGGTTGTCAATTACTCACCAGTAAGAGTAAATTGTCTCCATATTGGATGAGGAATTCTAATGGATCAATCTAATACAATTGTCTCGTTTTGAGTCAATTGTGCTACATTGATCCGTTTGGCAGCAGAAAATTTGGATGAAGCAATTTGGGCTGGGGAATTCTGAATTGACTCATTTTGAGCCAATTACAATTGTCTGGGGTGGGGGCAGGTAATCTGAATTGACTCGTTTTAAATGATTCGTTTTGTAAAATGAAACAATTGGTCAAATTATCTCGTTTTACAATTGATCCATCCAAACGACCCCAAAAGAAGTCGATAAGAGAAGAGGAATGGAAGTTGGGATAATGAAGGGTGGATAGATCGATGTAAGGTTTGATGCCAAAGATGGGCATCTGCAGAGGGACTGTGACTTGCCACGAATGGGAAGCCACACCATGCTACCTGCAGGTATTTCCATATCAACTGAATCATCGCCAAAACCCATAAACCACACAAAAGAAGAAACGAATAACATACTAATTATGTACTTAAGTACTTTGCGAGTTGTTAGTTATTAGTGGGACTAGTTGGTTTATGACACGTTATTGAAGATCGTTTTGTTATGAATTTTACTTCTTATCTTAAGTGGGCTATCAATTTAAAACCCATATATTAACTATTTGGTTTTAATGGACTAACTCCAAGTGATCGATACATGATGCCCATCATGACTACTTAAACCCAAAATGGGTCGAATGGGTGGAAACTCAATACTTTGTCGCCTTGGTTTTATAGGAGTCTATGGCCATTAGTATATAAATGAGTTTGAGGTTGTGGTACCCAACACACAAAGACCAACATAACTCTCTTCTGCTCCCCATCAGGAAGATAAGAGGACTCCCGTATAGGAACTAAGGAGGCTTGGTCGAGGAAGATCACGAAATCTCCTGGATCGTGCTTTATGAGTATCGTCCAGTTCCAGATCGCTGTGCGGATTCGACATCAAGACTTTGGCGATCGACCGACTTGAATTCAGGTATTCCAATAACCTTTAATAATATGGCAAGACGATGAATTACGGGGAATTAAATATGATAAAAGTAATTCTAACAGGTTTGTTATAGAAATCACGTGTTCAGGTCATCACGACTTTAATATTAATCATCGTCTTAGATCATATGGTATGTCGAGCAGATGACATGGTATGTCGAGCGGAGTTCATATGAAACTTCAGATTAATGAATTGACTTTCGTTTTGAATGAGGCCTATTTACCACGACGATCCATGGCTCGACAACTCTCTCCTCAATTGGATTTAGGAAAATTCCAAATCCTAGGCCTATGCGGATTTGGAAGTCTGCGAAGCACATATGATATGACATATCCACTCCACTTGCCACATACTTGGAGAATAAAGACAAGAACATGAATCCACTCACAAACAAAGCCTATCCTCTCAAGGATTTGTTTGCAGGCTGATTCCAACTTCACTCAAACACTGGCACCACTCCTCCCTCTTCAACTGTTTTTTTCGTGTCTATCCTCGTCACTAATTTATTAGACACAACTTATTTTTGACAGCGTCAAGACAAAACCAAAAGCAAGAAGTTAAAGAATGAAGACTATACTTCAATTTGGCTATGGGCAGGGCATATATGGGTATATGGGTAAGTTATGCAGATATCACGATATCTATATTCGTCTCGTGTCAGTTCGATATTTTATCTCGAAATGTAAGGTTAGAAATGATCAATTCAAGAACTCGAGTCACTCAATTTTTCACAGAAACATCGAGAAGCAGAAAGATGATGACTCATCCCCGCCCCCCTCCCACACCAATAAGACGGTATATCCGCTCCAAAACATGTCAGGACATGTCTAATAGGACAAGTAAGATCGAAACTGTTATTCGGCCAATGCATTGATTTGGAGGGACGGGGATATTAGATAGCTAGAGTTTGAGTTTCGTAAAGGAACAAGCTAGCAGACATTGTTTTGGTCACTACTACATGTACAGAGGTCATAAGCGTCTATACCGTAAAATCGATTTTCGACGGAATGAAAAAGACATATATGGTAGATGTACATGTACTTACTTAACAATAATAATTAGAATATATGATTACAACCAATCATAGATGCTTGATTAATGAGCAATTATTTGATAGAGAGATTAATGAGTGATTAACAATTTGATAGAGAGATTGAACGAGAGAGCAAGTATTTAGACATGCCACGTAATGTGATGTAAGTGTAATCCTCATCACATGCTTTCCCCACTTTCTCCCATGCCATTATGCCAACATTCACTCTTTAACGTGCACTCCACAAACTTCCTACTACCTCTCTTCTCCTCAAATATACTCTATAAAACAAAATGACTTATGATTGTCTCTGGATAAACGAGTCGTAATGTATCATAAGATTAGATTTCGGCTAATTATATATATAACAAGTGGACTAAAAGTTTGATGAAAACTTTTTACGATGACTATAAGTCTATAACTAGCAAGAAAATATAATTTCGTTTTGCTTATCTACTGTAAATGTAGTAGATTTGGATTGTTGATAATCAATTTAACTAGTGGGAATAGGATAGGGTGAGAGCCTGGGACATGTATCAATGTTGGGAACGTAAATGGATGGATGGAAGGACCCAATTCATGGGATCTAATGAAGTAAAGTTGTCACTTTTTCTCATCACCTTCTTATTCCATTGCTTATTTTTGTTTCTTTCCTTTCTCTTTAGTTAGGAAAAAGGAAGACGGAAAAAAAAAAAAACTTGCAAAGGAAGAGATGATGATACAGTTGCCAGTTGGTCAGTTAGGTGCAACTGAGTGAGTAGTATAGTAGGCACCTCTCTCACTCTCTTTTATTTAGTGGTGGACATTTTTGCAATTCGGTTAAGGATTGAGTCAAATTGAGATAGGACTAGATCAAAATTACGAGAGAATTTAGGACCAGAATCACATATACAGTATGTTTGGTTCATTTAGTTCGACACAGTCCAATCCAAATTCAATGTTAGTATATTTTCCCGTCATTCTTAAAATAATTGATAGAATTAAAAAACAAACCAGAATATAATTTATCCAATCCGCTTTAACTTGCTACACAATTAATACTCTTTCAACAAGAAAAGAATCGAAAAGTGATCCCCAAAATTTTCTTCTAACCCCAAAAAGCCCTATAGAGAAAAGAAAGTCCTCCATCCTCCAACTCACTTTTCGTGGAACACAAGGCAACCATGAACACCACTACTATTCTACTAACCACTATCTAAACAAGAAAAATAAACTTCGTACTCATATTTCTTTTATTGTATGATAATAACTAGGGAAAAAATTGGACCAAATTGGTGAAAATGGAAAATCTTTGAATGGAAAGAATTCTAAGTATAAGCTGTATATTGAGCTCTGAAAAAAAAATCGGGTATCAATAATGGTAACTAAACAAAACACAAAAAAAAAATCACATAAATTCCATTTCCATGTTTCTTTTTACACGCTTCTCCCCCTCCGGCTTCTCTCTTCAGTTGCCGATCAATAGTGGCACCCGACCAACGCCGGAGCTGAGAACACCATCGCCGCCTTCGATGCGAACTGGAACTTCGACGAAGACGGAGACGGATCCCCGCGGTGGTGTTGGTGGGCGTCGAGATCTTCCGGCGCCGGTAGATTCAGATCCAGCGGCAACGCAGGATTCCTCTGCTCGCTATTCAGATCACCATCGCAATTAACCGTTGCCGCCGCGTTCGCGGTCGCCGCCTGGTTGCCGGCGTTGCTCGCTCTGTGCCTCCGCATGTGCCCGCCGAGAGCTTGGCCGGACGCGAACTCCGCCCCGCAAATCGCGCACTCGTGAACTTTCGCCGACTTAATTCCCGCCGTCGTCACGGTGGCGGCCGTCTTGTCGCTATTGGCAGCCGATTGAATCGCTGGATTTTGATGACGAAGCTCCCCCGCTGACGCCGCAACCGCCACCACCACGGCGGTGCTGCTGCTGCTGCTTATCTCAACCTTACAGGCTGGAATCGAACCGGCTGCAATTACGTTCTTGTCCTCCGTCGCGAGTGGGCCCGGAGCGGGCCTGGGCCTTTTGTGGCTGGCCCGGTGGCCGCCCAACGCCTGGAAGGAAGGAAAGCTGCGGTTACAAGTCTTGCACTCGTAGACGAAGAAGCCGGCCCGGTTCGTCGTGGTCGCGATGTCGGAGAATCTCTTGGAACCGATCGTCTTCCGCTCCGGAGGCGGCGCGGCCACGTGGCGGCGGCGGCCTTGAGCCAAGAGAATCAGGCAATTCGCCATGTCCTCTTCCTCTTCGGTGCTGCTCTCGTATAGCGCGGCGCTGCCGGAAGAGGTCGTCGTCGTGGCGGCGGCGTAGGACGCCGATCTCTGACTCACTCCGCCTCCGATGCCGGAATTGCTGGACGTGGTGGTGGAGGTGGAGGATTTCAGCGGAGGAGGAGAGGCGGACCGGTGGCGTTTGGTGCGCTTGCCTCTGATCGTCGTCGTCGTCGGATCGCTCGTGGAAGCTCCGAATTGAGTGTCTTCCCCAGCTGGTTCCATCTCCATCTTTTTTTTCTCTCTCTCTCTCCTTGTGTTTCTGTTTTTTTTTTTCAGAAGAAAGAATTATGACAGTGGAAACTGGCTGCTGATGAAAGAGCGCTGGGTTTTGGGTGATATATAGTAGGAAATTCATGAATTAATTGTACAGTTTGCCGAAAAGGCTTTTTCTTTTTTAATTTTAATTTTTGGGGGGCTTTTTGGGGTGCCGAGTCAAAACGCCGCCCTCCAGCGAGTGTTATTTACTGATGCGATTATTTATAATTATTATTATTGATAATATTGAGTATATAGTTGGAAAAGGAATAAAATTGGGCAATTTGGTAACACCAAACCTCGTGTGTGTGTAGAGTGAGAGACTAGCTAATGTGACCCTCCACACACTCCAAAACGCAAGACCTTGCTTGCGTTTCCATCATTCCAAGTGTTACTCACAAGTTCATGGTAATATGGTATTGTTTGTTGTTTACTTTCTTCCCTTTTTCATACGCTTGATTTAATTCCACGTCATCCATTCATAAGGTTCGATGTGGTAAGTGGCATTAAAAACGAGCAGGTTTTAATGGATGATGTCGCTACAGCTGCATTGAACAAATACGTATTCGTAGCGACTAGCGTGGAGGGATATACATATACTAAACTCTATCTAACATCAGGTTTGGTACGCTTCTATTCTACAATACCTTCCTGATAGTTGAGCGTGTTTGGACCTCGGGCCCAAAAGAAGCGAGTCGGAGTTTAAGGCCCAATAAGGAGTCCAGGCCCGATCGGAAGGCCGGGTCAGCAGGCGGTCCAAGGAATGCTGTGAACCCGAGGAAGAGGATAAGGGCGCCTGACATAAAGCGACTGAGCAGCGCAGAGGGGCAGAGAGCCGTTGAAGATGCGTATCTGGTGTCAGGCAAGACTGAGCATTTATTGCCAGCCGCAGGCGGCCTGCAGAAAGGCTGAAAGCCTGCCCAGGACGCCTGACAGTTTCTGAAAAGCATGAAAGGACGCCCGACCAGGTCTGGGGCGCCCGACACAGCATTTAATGCCTCAACCACCCTCAAACCAGGTATAAATAGAGGAGAGTGCATTAATGGTAAGGCCAACTACTATTCATCTCTCTACATAAATTCTCATTCTCCCAACTCTCTCTCACTAACTTGAGCTTCGGAGAGTGTCCCGGGCGAACCGCCCTGGACCCTTGTTTTGCAGAGTATCTGGAGCGACCCCTAACATCCGAGATCAGGCGCCCTGTCCCAGCTCCACAAACCGCCTAGTATCTACTAGGCACAAACAATTTGGCGCCCACCGTGGGGCTAGGAGCAGAGCGCTTAAATCGAAAGATGGAAGGGAACTTCAGAACTCCGGTAAAAGACGTCATTGGCGGGGAGAACATTAGAGGTTTGGAAATGCCGACGGTTGAGGAGGAAAAGGATATGGAAGAGCGCGTGAGAGATCAGGGGCAGCAGATCACCAGTATGCAAGAAAGCTTGGGTCAGATCCTCACCATGCTCAAAGCAAGAGACGAGCCCGAAAGTTCTAAGGTGCGAGGCGGAAAGGGCAAGGGGGTAGACCGAGAGATGCCCCCCAGCCCCCCTCGCACGGAAGACGAAGAGTCAGACAGGGAAGAAGAGGCTGACGGCGTCCACCTGGACCTCCTTGAAGAACATCTGCGGCCCTGCTACGGGAAGCCTAAAGGTTACAACGTTCTGCACAACCCTCTGGCGAAGAGTCTTTTCAAGACGCAGGTTCCATCAAACTTCTCGTCGCTCGGTCTACCTGCATACACAGGAAACTCCGACCCGTCGGACCACTTGAGCGCCTTCATGCTCAAGATGCAATTGATCAACGCCTCAGACGCTGATCTGTGTAAGGCGTTTCCAGTCACTTTCGGGGGGCAGTGCCGAAGCTGGTACGCGTCGCTACCAGCCGGGATAATCGAGAATTTTGAGCAGTTCGCCACCCTTTTCTCGCTGAAGTTCGCGTCTCAGCGAAGAAGGCAGCTCACGGTTTCCGCCCTCATCAACTGCAAGCAAGGAGAAGAAGAAACCTTGTCCGACTTCTACGACCGGTGGAACACGATAGCCTGTGAAGTGCAGGATGTCTCAACCAGTGTGGCCGCCGGAAACCTGAGAATGTCGACGCACAGCAGGGAGCTAAAAAGGTCACTCATCAAGAAGGAGCACAACATCAAGTCTTGGCAAGATTTAGACCGCGTGGTACGGAAAGCCATCTTCTTGGAAGAAGCGCTCAACGCCGAGGAGGGCGTGAAAGGAGGCCCAACGCCATCGGGCAAGGCAGATAAAGGAAGGAACGGGTCGCCAAAGCGAAGGGGGCGCACGCCCGAGCGGTGAAACTACAAACCCAGGTACAATAACAGAGACGGAAGACGGGAAGTATTCGCGTCAGAAAAGGAGGACGACGGGCGCCGTGAAGAGAGCAAAGCTCGAGAGACGCGTCCTCGCCAAAGGAGGGAAGAAGACCAAAAATGGTGCGACTGGCACCAGCTGCCGACTCACGACACCACTGAGTGCCGCGAGTTCAAAGCCAGCCTCAAATACCTGGCACCGGGAGACCTGAAAAGCCGCCTGGACACACGGGGGCATCACAGGGAGAGAGCTGATGAAAAGAATAGGTCACCCAGCCCGAGGAGAAGGTCCCGCACGCCCAGACGTCGGAGATCCAGGTCGCCAAGGAGGGAGCGAACGCCCCGCCGAGAGCGCTTGCCCCCACCGCCGCCCAGGCACGCCCCTCCTCATCGGCACCCGCCTCGAGAGGAAGAGGAAGGGGTCGAAATAATCACCATCGCCGGTGGACACAAGCGCCCTCGAACTGAAGGAGACCGCTTGGTACAATGCATGAACGTGAACAAGAAAGAACAAGTCGAGATCAGCTTCGCGCCCTCAGAGCTGGCTCCCGAGGAATGCGGAGAAGATCCGTTGGTCATTTCTTTCCGCACAAAGAAGTTCAAAGTCACCCGAGCCTTGGTCGACAACGGAAGTTCGGCGGACATCCTTTTCTACTCCACGCTCAAGAGCATGAAAAAGGGGCCGATCATTTGGCCGATCTACGGGAAACGTTCGAAACGCTCCGAAGAGAACGCCTCCGACTGAATCCGCTGAAATGCGTGTTCGGAGCGAAGGCGGGAAAATTTTTAGGATTCATGATCACTAACAGGGGCATAGAAGCAAACCCAAAGCAGATCGAAGCAATCCTCAGCCTGAAGCCGCCCCGCACGGTGAAAGAAATTCAAGCATTCAACGGAAAGATGGTCGCCCTGAGCCGCTTCATTCCGCGGTCGGCAGACAAGTGCTCACCTTTTTTCCAAATGCTGAAGAAATCCGCATCTCGCCTGCAATGGGGACCGGAGTGCGATAAAGCCTTTTTCCAATTGACGGAACAGCTAGCCTCACCTCCCGTCCTCAGCGCCCCCCTACAGTCCGAGCCCCTATATCTGTACCTAGCGGTCTCTGATCAAGCAGTCAGCTCCGCTCTGGTAAGGAGGGACGCCGATGGTACAGACCGTCCCGTGTACTATGTCAGCAAAGCCCTTCTTCCAGCTGAGAGACGATATATGCCAATTGAAAGGGCGGTCCTGGCGGTTGTATCAGCGGCAAGAAAGCTGCGCCCTTACTTCCAGGGGCACCCAATCACCGTCCTGTCCAACCTTCCTTTGAGGAAGATTCTCAGGAGCTTGGACGCATCAGGAAGGATGACTAAATGGGCAGTCGAACTCAGCGAGTACGACATCACGTATGCCCCTCGCCCTTCCATAAAGGGACAGGTGCTGGCGGACTTCGTAGCGGAAGGTTTTAGCCTCGACGCGGCCGAGGCAGAGGGGAAGGTTGAAGTGTGGCGCCTGTTCGTGGACGGAGCTGCCGGGAAAGGAGGAGCAGGTGCTGGAATTGTGCTCGAGTCGCCTCGAGGAGTCATACATGAGTTCTCTCACAGATTCCAAGAACTGAAAACCAACAATGTTGCAGAGTACGAGGCCCTCTTAAGCGGTCTCAGAATCGCCATGGGAATGGGCGCCACCCGCCTACACATCTCCTCTGACTCTCTGTTGGTAGTCAATCAGGTCCTGGAAAACTACGAAGCTAAAGAGGAAGCGCTAGCGAAGTTAGCCGATGAGGTCAGAGGCATTCTCGCGCAGTTGGAAGAGTGGAAGCTAGAACATGTAAAGCGAGAGGACAACCATCACGCGGACGCCTTATCCAAGCTGGCCACGGCTATGGACTTCGAAGGAGACCGTCAAGTCACCATTACCAAGGAAGCCCCGCCCAGCGAGGGGGTGATGGCCATCGAGGAAGGGGCGGCCGACTGGCGCTCCCCTATTGTCGAGTACCTACAAGCTGACGTCCTGCCAAGCGATGAGGCCCAAGCGAAGCTGATCAAGCGGAAGGCCGCCCATTACAGCATGGTGGGAGGGCAGTTACACAAGAGGTCCTTCTCAGGCGCCTACCTGAAGTGCTTGAGCCCTGCAGAGGCAGAATGGATCATCAAGGAGATACACCAAGGCACATGCGCCTCGCATGCTGGCCCGAGAGGCCTTGAGAAGACCATCCTGCTACAAGGCTACTACTGGCCAACGGTGAAAAAGGATGCTGAAAAGGCGGTCCGCGCGTGTCACGAATGCCAAATCCACGCCAGCAAGCAACATCTGCCCAGCGCGGAACTAAGGAGCATAACAAGCCCGTGGCCATTCGCACAATGGGGGTTGGACCTGCTGGGTCCCTTTCCAACCGCCCCCTTGGGCAAGAAATATCTGGTGGTGGCGGTCGACTACTTCACAAAATGGATGGAGGCCGAGCCGTTGGATACGATTACCAGCGCCAAGATCCAGAAGTTTCTCTTCAACAACATAATGATCAGGTTTGGTACTCCCCATACAATCATTACTGACCATGGGACACAGTTCGATTGCAGGCCGTTCGAAAATTTCTGCGCCAGGAACCGCATCACATGCAGAATGGCCTCAGTCGCATTCCCGCAAGCCAATGGGCAGGTGGAGTCATCCAACAAACTCATCCTCAGGGGTCTGAAAAGGAGGCTCAAGGAAGCCAAAGGAGGGTGGACCGCCGAGTTGCCACACGTGCTCTGGGCGCACCGGACAAACTACAAGAGAGCAACCGGGGAGACTCCATTCGCCCTGACGTATGGCTCCGAGGCAGTTGCTCCCACTGAGGTCATTCTGCCCTCCCTAAGGGTCCAGACGTACGACCCCGAGGAAAACCACAGAAAGCTCCTCCACCAGCTGGACATGATAGAAGCAAGAAGA